CTCCAGTACATCGCTCAGGCTGTACATCTTGCGCGTGGTCGACGGATTGAGGCGAGTCGCGGCAGCTAGACGCGCTGGGTCACGGAAGGTGCGCGCGTCGAAGGGCACATCAAGTGGGGGGACGTGTGCGCCGGTCGCGAGTGGATGCAGGGCCCGACGCGCTGGCGGGTCGACGTATCGGCGGAGCGCGGACGCGTGTACGTCGGACGAAGGCGAGGGCGCGCCGGCGCGAGGACTGCGCGTCGGCAGGATCGCGTCGGCGGGTGAGGCGCGAGCACGATGCGCCAGAAGCCTGGGCGATGGTGCGTCGAGTGAAGCGAGGGCAACGGGCGGAGCCGCGGAGCGCACGCGCGATGGCGAGTGCGAGCGTGCAGGAGACGGCGGCCAACGAGGGCGTTCCGGGGGTGCGAGGACGACGGGAGAGGGGGCTAGCGCACGACGCACGCGCAGGGTAGAGGGAGGAGCGCCGATGGGAGGGACGTGCGCACCGTTCGCGCCGTTCGCGTGCCAGTGCGGGGCTTGTCGCACTGGCCGGTCGACACCTTGACGGGACGCGGGTGCAGGTACGTCGGACGAAGGCGAGGGCGCGCCGGCTCGAGGACTGCGCGTCGGCAGGATCGCGTCGGCGGGTGGGGCGCGCGCGCGGAGTGCTGGAGAAGCGGGCGACGGCGGGGGGCGGCGGGTGCGTTCGACGGGGACGCGCGGGTCGTGCGAGAGCGGATGCGCTGATCGCGCGCGCGGAGAGGGAGGAGCAGGAAGGGGGAGCCGTGTCGACAGGTGGGAGGACGTACTCGCCGCGGCCGTAACCTCTCGCCATCCCGCCCACCCTCCTTCTCTACTCGCCGCGGAAATTCGCGCGGGCCCCCCAGACGAAGGCGGTGGCGCTGCTTGCGCGGCGGGCCGTCGCTCCGTCGAGTATCTTGTTCGGTGAGCTCTCCAGGCTGCCGCGGCGGCTTGCGCTTCGCGCCCGTGGTGCGCGCGCACGACGGCTTGCCCGCGCGAGCGAGGCGAGAGGGCGCGGGCGGGCGGTTCCTCGTCCTGGGCCGAGCGCGTGTGGTGCGAGCGCGTTGGGGCTTGCCCGTACGGGTGCGGCGAGACCGCTCGTGTCGGCGGCGCGGACCGGCGCGTTGCGCGTCGCGCTGCGGGCGGTTCGGTCGTCTTCGCGTCGAGCGCGCTCGCCGGCGCGATGGTCTTCACTCGCGGCAGCCCCATCGCTACGAGGGGCGCGGTATCGCTCACCCTCGTAGCGGTCTTGACGGCCGCATGCCGGGGCGGGTTGACGCGTCGCGGGGCGGCCAGGGAGCGAGAGTGGTGGAGAGTCGAGCGGGAGAGTGTGCGCGCGCGGACGGGGTGCAGGATGGAGCCCCAAGGGCTGGTGACTGGGCGTGCTCACCGGAACATCCCTGCTCGCTCGACCTCGTCCCCACTCGGCCGTTTGCCTGGCTAGCGATCCTCCCACGAGCTCCCCCTGCGAGTCTCCGTGGTTGTTCGTGCTCGCGCCGCGCGGCGCTCGCGTTTGACGGCTCGGGGTGTCCTTTTGCGTGTGGACTTGAGCCGTCCCGTTGTGCATCGCGCTGCGGGCGGGTCGGCCGTCTTCGCGTCGCGAGCGCACGCGGTGGTCTTCGCTCGCGGAGTGAGCCGGGGCCGGTTGGCTGCGAGGAGCGCGGAACCTTCGCGCATCCTCGCAGCCCGGTCGGCGGGACGAGCGGTCGACTGAGGGCGAGAGAGGTGGAAGACGGGGGTCGCGGTGAGAGTCGGCGCGACGGTCGAGCGCCGAGGGCCGCGCGTTCGACGCGCTCGGGCGCTCGTGCGATCGCACGATTCCCACGTACCTCCGAACGGGCACAGGGGGCTCGGCGGGTGCTGGCGAGTCGCGGGGAGTGGCGGAGCGGGGCGGCTGATAGCCTCGAGGCGCGGTCGTCGAGGAGGAGGTGTTGGCGCCGTGTGCGCGCTCGCTGTACGACGAGGACGCGCGCTCGAGCTGCCGGATTGGTGACAGGGCGTCCCAATAAGACCGCGTGAGCCACGTCGCCGAGGGCATTAGATTAGAATCAATATAGAACAGATAGAATTAGAATGAGAATAGAGAATGTTCCAATATACGAGGGAGTTCACAGGGCAGTGGACCGGTCCCCTGAGTGTCCACCAATGTTAGAGTTCGTGGGCCTGGAACCCTAGACTCGGGGGCCGGGCTGCCTGTGAACTCGACGTTTGGTGGTCGCGACGCGACCGGGAAGGTGTAGTCGTGTTGTCGTGAGGTCGTGAGCGAGGCGAGGAGCTCCCGCTGGCGTCGTGGCAGGGCGAGGAGCGCTGCTGTTGTCGTAGCAGAGCGAGGAGCCGCGCCTAGAGGTGAGTCCTAGAGGTAGCGAGGAGCCAGGTCGAGGGGGAGTCCTAGGCGAGGCGAGGAGCTCAAGCCGAGAAGGGATGCTGAACGTACTCGGACGGCGCGGTGTCGCACACGGACGAGGTGGTGGTTCAGCAGTAAGAATGGATTACTTCCCAATATGGAAGTCAAGTGGCTAGGTACAACGAGATAAGATGAGATGTACACTATCAGTTCATAATCTAATCTAATCAGTGAGCATAGTGATGCCCACCCATAACAAAAACTGACGGTCGAAAGAAGGCTAGACTAGTCGCAAAAGGCTACTCCCAGATTGAAGGCCTCGATTATGATCAGGTTTTCTCTCCAGTCGTTCGCTTTGAGACCGTGCGCCTTATACTCGCGCTAGCTGCGCTCGAGGGCATGCACATCTCCGGACTCGATGTCCGTAATGCGTACCTCTATGGTAAACTCGACGAGGAGATTTACATGGAGCAGCCTGAAGGCTTTAAAGTCAAAGGCCAAGAGCACAGAGTCCTCCGGCTATTGCGTGCTCTCTATGGACTCAAACAGGCAGGGTTAGTGTGGTGGCGCACCCTTAATGAGTCTCTCAAGGAACTCGGCTTTACACGCCTTGTATCCGACGCCGGAATTTTCATCTATAAGACGAAAGACGGACGTTTCGTCCTAGTCATAGTCTATGTGGATGATGCCCTATTTTGTGGCAAAGACAAGGCCCTTGTAGCCAAACTCAAGAACCGCTTCATGAAGAAGTGGGAGTGTCGCGACCTAGGCGACGTCAAGGAGTTCCTGCGTATGCGCATTACTCGGAAAGGCGACGAGATTCATCTTGCCTACCTTGAGACTGTGCTGCAGCGCTGTGGCATGCAGAATGCAAAATCTGTGCCTACTCCACTCCCTGCGGGTTACAAACCTGAGCCGCACACTGGCCCGGTTGATCCTGCGCTTCGAAGCCGGTATCAGACCATCATCGGCTCCTTGCTATATATCATGCTCGGAACTCGACCTGACATCTGCTTTGCCGTGACTAAACTCGCGCAACAAGCTGCGAATCCGTCACAGGACCACTTGGACAAAGCGCTATATATCTGCCGCTACCTCGTGGGTACCAAGTTCTATGCGCTTGTATACAGCGGCAAATCTGGACAAGGTGTCTCGGCATGCACAGACTCTGACTGGGCCAATGACCCAGAGATGAGACGGTCTCAGAGTGGCTACTTTATGAAGTTGGCGAACGGAGTGTTCAGTTGGCTGTCTCGACGGCAAAAGACGGTTGCACTGTCTTCAACTGAGGCTGAATACATGTCGCTCAGCGACTGTAGCCGCCAAGTCGTCTGGGTTAAGATGCTCCTCAAGGAGATCGGTTACCTACTTGGCGCACTCCCTATCTGCTCGGATAACCAAGGAGCGATATTCATCGGCTCCAACCCTGTAACTGAGAGGCGGTCGAAGCACATCGACATACGCTACCATTACATCAGGGAACTGATTGAGGAGAAGCAAGTCGAGCTCTTCTACATCAGTACGGATGAAAATCCAGCAGACCTGTTCACCAAGAACTTAGGCCGTGTCAAATTCCTTAAATTTAGAGGAATGCTCGGACTTAGATTCTATGAATCGTCCTAGAGCACCATTGGCAGCGTTATGCGCCTAGTACGCTTATGTGAGTCTACGACGCACTAAGCGAGGGGGAGTGTTGAACTAGGAAGGCGCCTACCGGGCTGCCGGGTTCAATCACAGGCCGGACCGGTTCTATGGGAAGCTCCGGGTCCGTGATGTCATCTATGATGTCATCTGTGTGTTATCACATGGCTACGCCACTTACCTTGTATGTCGTGGGAACGTACTATACAGTAGCTTAGATAAGCGGTCTCCTCATGTATATAAGGACCCCAGTAGTGTAGCTCAATCCCCAGTACCTTCAGTCGAAGTACTTGCGTGTGCATCAAGCATCAGCAACCTTGCAGGTAAGTTGTGAGGGCGCACCACTGCGTGGAGCTGCCTGCTCAACAGACGCACCCCCCCCGAGCCACCAGCCGCTAACGCACGCCAATGCTCACTCCTCCTCCCGCTTAACCAGCACCATCTCTAACTCAATCGAAATGAGCTCGAACACCCTCAGCCACATCCCAGCCCCCGCCCCACCGGCAGGTCAGCTGTCCCAGCAGAACCTCGACGACCGTACCACCCCGATCACTCCTGCAGGAGCCACCCACATCGGGCAGGACACTTCCACCACCGCGAACAACCCGTGGAAGAGCGGTAGACGAACGCCGGACCAGCCGGGCGCCCAGTCCTACGCTGAAGTGATCATAGACAAAACTCCCACTCGCATGGAGAATATCCTGTCCGGTAAGACCCACATGGTCGCCCCCCCGGTCGAATATATCTAACATAAGCCCGCGCCCGCGTAATTATAGGCCTCGCCGAACGAAGCACCCTCCTTAATACGGACAACGTTGGGAACACGAGCGGGACGACAGGAGCCCCCACCCTGGTCGAAACGCAGCCGAACACCGAGCTGCAAGCGTCCCAGCCACAGGAGACCCAGCCGCAGGGGACCCAGCCACAGGCGATCCAGCCAAAGGCGACCCAGCCGCAGTCCCCAGTACGGCAGCACCCTCGGAACAAAAAGAAGGCCACCAAAACGACCATCATGATCGCTGGCCTAGGCCTCCCTCCCTCGTACGCGACCTCGAAGGGCAACGATCTCCTACGAAACAATGAGCAGCCCCGGAGCGTGAGCGATCCCCGCAAACGCCGCCGCACTGAGGACGAGACGGAGGACGGAGGGGAGGCAACACGCCCGCAACCAACAATGGTCGTGCAGAACGCCCCAGACCAGCACTTCGCCAGGACGATCACCTCCGACTCCGACGATGACCTATCCTTGACACCGGGCTACAACTCCGACCGAGAACCCACGGTCGGCGAGATGGATGCCTACCACGGGCTGGATCCCCAGACGATCAACCCGATCCACCGCCCGCCTCCTTTCCTGCATCCCTCGGCCAACGAGAAGGTGGCCTACGACAACACCCCCGCCCATCCTACCGTCAAAGAAGACGTCTTCTGGGGACCGTACCCGCAGGCTCCCCCAACGAGCCAGAGACAGGCGCGGCACCCCCCTCCCCTGTCGACTGCGAGCTTCGAAGACCCAGAGATGGACGATTTCATACGGAGCATGAACATGCCGAGTCTTGACGGCTTCGCCCTCGCACAACCGCCGACCCATCCCTCGCAGATGACGGCGCCCGACACAGCAACCCTAGGTGCCGCCCCACTCCGCCAGGCAAACAACGGGTCTCGTCCGCAAGGCCCCCCGGTCATCCGGACCTACTCTAGGCCCCGCGTACCACAACCTCCTCCCTCGCAAAGCCGAACGGCCCCGCGCACCATGGACCCACGCAGCACTGGACACGACGCCCCTCTCGGCTACTACCAGCCTAGCGTCCCCCGCCCAGAACCGATGCACGATAACAGGGGCCCGGTGCGTCCACGTCTGACACCCCAGACGGAATAACTAACAAATAAAACATTATCGGTCAGATGCTACCCGCACCGATCGCACAGGTCGCCCGCCACCCCTACACCACTCCACCGCGTAGACCCGTGTCCCGCTGCCAGGCAACACCAGGCCCGCCGGACCGCGAACAACGACCCATGTCCCGAGCATCAGTCCTCTCGTATGTCGCGATCCGAGAAGAACACCAACCACGCCGAGGCCACACCGGAGGCGGGGACGACATGCTGGTCGACGAAGAACCGCGGGCCGGACAAGGCAACCCCTCCGCACCACCATTCCAAGGCGTCCCCCAGGGCTTCGACGCTTTCGTAAACCTCCAACAAAATGCGCCTTACCCCGAAAACCAATTCTTCGTCCACGAAGACACTGGCATCAACGGCGAAGGCCCCCTGGCTCCTGTTGCAGAAGACGACCACGAAAACCACGACTGGACCCCGGCAACAGTCACGCCGGCACCCGACGGCGACTGGCGAGCGATCCAGGGCGAGTCCTTCTACTATAAACAGAATGGACAATGCCCCGCGCAACACTCTCGGTGGCTATCGAGTCGTCGCCAAGGAATCCTCGCCTCTTTCGCAGGACACGGCGCACGCGACAACGACACGGACAGCTGGGGAAGAATCACGCGGCTAGAAGACATGCTCAGGAACGACTACGGAGTCCCGCAGCCCGAGATATCCCTCCCCGACATAGCGCCAGGCGCGGTAACGGGCTTCAACGAAGACCCGATATACATCCTCATCCAAGGAATCAACGCCGCCCAACAGACCGCCCTCCTAGCAAAGAAGTGGTACGTCAGAACTGACCTCGCAGTACACTTCTCCAACCTCTCCCTTGCACCATCTACGTGGATGGGCGCTTTCGAGAAGAGGACCGCTTTCGGAACAATGAAAGCCGAACAAATCCTCCCCTTCTTCCGTGCCGCTTTCAAGCGGGATCCGCTCCTTCATATCACGAACGACACCATCGAGCAGGATAAGAAGACGGGCCCTAGAAGCAAGTGGGGCGCGACGCCGACATCCGTGGCCCTCGAGCATATCGTCTCCTCCATAACAATCCGTATCATGCCCCGCCAAACGACCGGAGGCGTGGATAACCCTCTTATACAGCTCTACTGCGAGTCCGCGACGAACCACCCGCGTGACTGGGTTATCTGGCGTGACGCCGTCCGAAACCAGCCCTACAGCACGGAGAACGGTGCTAAGGCAGCGCTCATCCTCGCAAAGTTCAAGTGTCTCCTCTGCCACTCCGCGGACCACCCAGTCGGACTATGCGACCTCCCATCAGTCCCGGGGTGGAACGGACCCACCGCCGAACAATGCGCGAACAGGAAACAGAGCGAGTCACACCCAGACAACGACGCGCGAGGGTATAGAGGTCGAGGAGGCCATAGGGGAGGCAGGGGTGGCGGGAGAGGACGCGGCAGCGGACGTCCCCCGAATGTGACCACGGATGGTGCGTCTTCGTCCAGGACGTACAACGCCCCAAACACAGCACTCCCCCGCGAGGCCGGTGAGGGATGGCGTCACTAGGAGAGGCGCGGAAGGAACGCGAGCAACACCCAAACTGACCGCAATCTAATAAGCTGAGCTATAACCGTCTGAACCCCTAAAAACGCGCACCACTTCTTGTAATTACAATACCTTCTTGACGAACAAACGAAGCGCACGATATGCTCGAAACACCATAAGAAAATGACACGTGTGTAAGTAATCGCTACCAGCTCAAACGGTAAAGTATACAGAGTAGGACAAGCTGGAAACCGTTTACATGAGTGAACTAACCACATGGCGGCGTCGGTGCCCAAATCTACTGACCGTACGCGGGACAGGAAAGCCCGCGCCGCCAGAAATTTTGGTCCATTATAGCGAGGGTACTTCTAGACTTACCCGGCCTTAGTCTGGCGAAGCACTAGCACCGCGCGACGTGCATGTCCCCTGAGGAAGCCCAGGAGCGGCCCCCTCCGCCTGCAAATCGTTGTAGTGGGCGGCGTGATGAACAACGGTCAATACTCTTAACACAACACAAACACCACCGGACGATCACATGGCAAACGGCAACCCTCTCTGCCATCGGAGAGACTCACCCACGTCCCCTGCCCATGAGAGAGCCAATGACCTGATGGTAGAACTCGGAGACAGGGCGACCGCGAGCGACGGGCCTGCCCCCGACGCAAGCGGCCGGATACCCCAGCCTGCACGACAACAACCGCCAGATACCAATGACAACCACATGCCTAGAGCTACCCGAACACAGCCGCAGAATAAAGGGAGAAAGACTAAAGCAGCGATCAACATCGGCTCACTGAACGTATGTGGTCAAGGTAATCTGTCCGGGACCACGGGAAACAAATGGAATGAAGTAAACCAAACCCTAAGAGAAAAGCGTATCGGGATCCTGGCTCTCCAGGAAACACATCTCAATGACGAACAAATAGGCGGAATACACGCCCTATACGGACGACGGATCAAGCTGCTTAACAGTGCGGCACCGAAGCAGCCCAAGGGGTCGCCTTCGCCCTCAACAGAGAGCTAGTGGACACCAGCGACGCCACGACCAAGGAACTCATCCCAGGAAGAGCCCTCCTGCTAAGCACCAAGTGGCACGCGGACAGACGACTAACCCTCCTCAACGTATACGCCCCTAACAATAACGCTGAGAACGCGTCCTTCTGGGATAAACTTACCGAGATGGTCGAAGCGGGGACATGCCCCCGCGTAGACATCCTCCTGGGCGACTTCAACATCGTCGAAGAGGCAATCGACAGACTTCCCGCGAGACCTGACAACGCCGCTGCAATACAAGCCCTTAAAACCCTCATACGCAACCTCTCCCTAGTCGACGGATGGAGGACAGCGGAACCCAAGACGAAAGACTTCACGTTCCCGCAGCGAGGCGGAGCCTCGAGGTCAAGGCTGGATCGAATATACGTCTCAGACGACCTCCTAACCCGCTCACTCGCCTGGGACATTCTACACACGGGCATTCAGACTGACCACCGGCTCGTCACGGCTAAGCTCACGGCAGCAAACGCACCCTATATAGGGAAAGGGAGATGGTGCCTCCCGGCCCATATGCTGGATGACGAAGCCTTCATAACTGACGTAATAAGTGAGGGCGAACGCAGACTGAAAGAGGCACACTCCCACTCAGGACCCCAGAGAACAGATACCTCCAACCCACAGTTACTGTTCAAAAGTTTCAAAGACGCTGCGAGGAGCCTAGCGCGGGAGAGACTACGCACAAAAATTCCTAAGCTAGAAGCAGCAATGAGCAGACTGAAACAGGCGGCAACAGACCTAAGCGCAAATGACGACTTCCAATCAAACGATCAGAAACAATGCGAGGTCAATATAATACAAGACAAGATACTTAGCTTAGAGAGGAAAAGACACCGCCATGTACAAGCTACCACCGCAGCACGATACATCCTGAATGCAGAGCGCCCGAGCAAGTACTGGTCAGCCGTCAATAAGGAGCGCAAGCCCCGTGATCTCTTCTACTCCTTGAAGATTCCGACCTCAAACCCCCCGGCGTTCGAGAACAGATCGGATAAAATGGCAGAGATGGCGAGGGACTACCACGACTCCATACAGATGGATGAAATAGAGGAGGATGATACAGCCCCCGGAGGCGCCTGGGACGACGAGGTAACAGAATCCCTCGACACAGTCCGTGTAAGGCTACCCAGAGATGGAGCTGAGGAACTCACGATGAGGAGGTCCAGAATAGAAATCATAGATGCACTAAGGAAGGCCGGAACCGGGAAAGCCCCAGGCCTAGACGGGCTATCATACGAATTCTGGATCAGACTCAATGAGAAATGGGAGCGAAGCACAAGACGCTCAACTCACAGATTCGACTGCCTGGACTTCCTAGCCCTCCTCTATGAGGACATAGATACCTATGGCGTCAGCAAAGAAGCGGGTTTCGCTGAAGGATGGATGTGCCCCATTTACAAGAAGAAGGACCGCCGGGAAATCCAAAATTACAGACCTATCACACTCCTGAACGCAGACTACAAAGTATACACCCGGATCACCGCAATGCGAATGGGAAGATGGGCAATGACCGTAATACACCCCGACCAAGCAGGCTTCGTCCCCGGCCGCCGAATCACAGACCAAACGCAACTATGCCGAGTGATGGTCGACTACGCCGAAGCGGTCGAAGAGAATGGCGTAATCGTAGCCCTTGACCAAGAGAAGGCCTATGACAAGATAAGACACGAATACCTGTGGAAAGTAATGGAACGAATGGGCTTCCCACCAAAGCTTATAGATAGAATCAAGTCACTCTACAGGGCGGCCACAACCAGAGTCATCATAAACGGCGAAATGAGCACCCCCTTCAGAGTATCCCGAGGAGTCCGGCAGGGAGACCCACTCTCCTGCCTCCTGTTCGACCTAGCAATTGAGCCCTTAGCCTGTGCCTTGAGACAGTCACAACTGAGGGGGTTCCACATACCGGGAATGGCAGAGCGCCTCCTTGCAAACCTCTTCGCCGACGACACCTCAACCTTCCTCTCTGAGTTTGACAACTGGGAGAGTCTATGGGCCATACTGAGGAAGTGGTGTAGGGCGTCAGGCGCACGCTTCAACGACGACAAAACGGAAGTCATCCCGATAGGCACAGAGGCCTACAGAACGAACGTCATCACGCACCGCAAGATAAACCCGAGAACTGAAGATGACCAGATCCCACACCGAATACACATAGCAGATGAGGGAGAGCCGGTGCGAATACTCGGGGCCTGGATCGGGAACAAAGTCAACAATATAACAGTATGGACGCCGACCCTCCAGAAGATCGAGAAGTTCCTCACCAGATGGGGGAAATGCCGCCCCTCGCTAATGGGTAAGAAACACATCGTACAGATGGGGCCGGCTGGCATGACGCAGTACCTGACAACCGTACAAGGAATGCCCAAGGAAGTCGAGGAAGAGATAATCAGCATGATCAGACGCTTCATCTGGGATGATGGCGTACCGCGAATCTCGATGGACACCCTAGCAAAACCAACCGAAGAAGGCGGCATAGGCCTCCTAGACGTAAAAGCGCGGAATGAAGCGATCGACCTAATGTGGATCAGCAGGTACCTCAACCTCACCACGGACCGCCCCAAATGGGCCTTCGCGGTGGATGTTCTCCTAAGCATGAACGTAACAAAGGATGCAGGAGCAATACAGAAAGACCAACAGATCAACGCCTTCCTACAGTCCTGGAATCCGTCAATAAGAGGTGGCTCGAGGCTCCCCAAGTACCTATGCCGGATGATGGCAACAGCAAAGAAATACCAGGTAAGCCTCGAAGCAATCAAGCCGGACCAGCAGGTAAAGAAAGCCCTCCCGATCTGGTACCACCTGGGCGCAACGAAACACCTCAGACGTCTCAATAACTCCAAGATGAGCAAATGCCTCCTCAAAACCCACAAAGTCATACGCGTCGCGGACCTTGTCCACCTCATCAACCGGCCATGCTACGTCCGAGCCACTGCCATGTCCAACGACTTCGTACCTCCCAACTGCGAATGCGACAGGTGCGAAAGAGACGCGGCACGAGGATGCAGACACCCACTGTGATGCTGCAAAGCTGCAGCCGCCCTCATGAATCAGCTGCACCAGAAATGGAACCCAACCAAGGAAACGACACCAGACGGCCTCTCCCTGACGAAGAGAAGGATGGCGGCAAACACAGAGGCCCTCCAGAGAAACGGAGGCGATGTCCTATTCGACCCGTCCCTGACTGCAAGAGGCCCCCTAGATGAGATATTCCGCGTCTTCGTGGACAGCCAGACCCATGATAAACCGCCCGCAATCCGCGAGCGAACAGGGAGAATTGTGAATGAGGAAAAAGTCACGGCATACGTCCTTGGTAGACTGAAGAAAGCACACCTCCCGAGCCAAGAAGCCAACCGACAACAGCAGAACGCGGGCTTCATAATGTACGAGGACAGGGAAACGGAGAGCATATGGGTCACCACACCGGAAGACCTCCCAACGTCGACGAATACGAGAGGCGAAGCCCTCGCTGCCCTGAAGGTGGTCCAAGATGCTCCCAAAGACGCACCCCTCAGGATCATCTGCAGCTCCAGACGCCTCATCACCGACCTGACAGTGCGACTCTCGCGCTGGGAGGATAAGGGGTGGATAGGAATTGCAGACGCACAGCTCCTACGAACCCTAGTAAACCACCTACGACAGCGCTGTGCACCAACCATACTGAGCACGCCCGAAAGCCCACAGGAACAACAGAGGGCACAGCGCGCAACCGACCTCGCAGCAGAACAACTCCGAACCGGACACCCCAATCAAGTGCCAATGGCGACGAACCCGTCCTTCAACCTATCTGGGGCCAAGATGTCCTCCTTAACCCAATCTACGGCCTACAGAGGCATACGCCTGGCAAAGAGACCCCAAAATAGACGAGGAACCGAGAGACGAATCAAAGACGTACTCAAGCACCTAGTCGATGCAGGAACCCCCAACACGTCCGAGGCAGCGATCTGGAGAAGCCTCCGCAACAAGGACCTACACAAGAAGACAACGGACTTCCTGTGGAAATCACTCCACGGAACACACAGGATCGGAGACTTCTGGGACAACATACCGGGATACGAGGACAGAGGAAGATGTGCAATATGCAACGTACTGGAGACCATGGAACACATCCTAGTAAACTGTAAAGCGAAAGGCAGAGCCGAGGTATGGACACTCACGAAAGCCCTCTGGAAAAGGAAGAAGCAACCGTGGAAACAACCCAAGATGGAGGACATCCTCGCATCCGGAATGGGCCTGTACCCGACCCGAGGCGGATCTAAAAGAAGAGAACACCTATCAAGACTATGGCGTATCATAATCCCAGAGGTAGCGTACCTAATATGGAAACTGAGATGCGAACGAGTGATCGCCCATGCAGAGGACGACGATTGGCAACACGCCAGCCGCGCAATCACCTAGAAGTGGTACGCAACTGTCAACAGAAGACTACTCCTAGACCTAATGACGACGAACAAGAAATTCGGTCACCTCGCAAAAAACAGACGCACGGTGGGAGCCACCTGGACCGGAGTGATCGGCGACGAACTCGGTATGCCGGAAGACTGGACGACAGTCCCCTGGGTTTTAGTGGGTATTGACCCAGGAATCTGCGTTAACGTGGATCCTGGATAGCGCTCGAGCCCCACACTGACTGACCAAGTCGTGCGTAAAAGCATTTTCACCCTGGAACACTGGCAGGTACAATCGCCTGCCCAACGGCTGGGCTTAGGGGCTGACCGATCGTCAGTTGCCGAGGCCCGAGATAAGCTATCCAAAAAAAAAAAAAAATGTCCATTGCCATGTGCCCACTGAAGTTCTCAAAACCTCATGGTTTATTTAAAGCGCTTACTGTCAAGTTGCCCCGTGGCTGAGTTGGTTACAGCGTCCGACTGTTATTTGACTGTTTGCATATTACATCGGAAGGTCGTGAGTTCGAGCCTCATCGGGGCAGACTGCTTTTTGTTAGATCCCGACGGCTCGAGTACACCGTCCGCTTATCGTACGTACTCCGTCGACGAAAGCTCAGAGCATGACAAGACTTCTATATGAAGCACGAACGTCATTTACATGACAGCGTGGGCCCGTATAACGCACATTTCTTGCCACCTCCAATCTTCCTCAGGCCCTATTGAGCGACGAGTGCTCTTCAAGTTCTCATCCGTACGCGTTTAGGTACATTCCTCCACACAGCGACGCGATACAATTGGCCCTCTTGCCGCTATTGCAGCGGGTACATTGCGCGTACTCTAAAACTTACGTGCATGTATCTCTCTCACATGACGACGCACACCCATCATCAGCTGCTATCCAACTCGGTACCTGTTGCCTGCGGTGACCGACTGTGGCGCCTGCAGCCAGTTGGTCACTTGGTGTGCCGCTTCGCCATCCCGAGTACTACCTCACGGGGCCAGTGAGACGCCACGACGCGACCCCGCATTCCGTTTGGTAGTCCAAACACCGTCGATCACTTGGGCAGGTTCTATCTGCAAGAACATTTGCGCTTGCGAGGGCATTTGTCGGTGGGTTACCTATGACGGTCTGTATCCCAGCACCTGACCTCTCTTCTCAGCCAGTTGGGTCAACGGGCATGGAGGATAAGAAGGTGAAAGGGTGGGCTTACCGCCCTCGCTGACTACTGCGACAATCTGGCTCGCCTACTCTCAGCAGCCCAGGCGTATCGCTCTTCGCAACGATGATAAACCTACCAACAAAGACGGGCGTTGACGGACTTACGGGCACTGCCCTCATCGGCGTCCTCACATCTGTCTGCAGCACTGGCTTCCTCCTCTTCGGTTACGACCTCGGTGTCATGTCCGGTGTGGTCATTTCCAGCTATTGGCTAGAGCAGATGGGCAACCCCTCCACAATTATGATGAGCACCATCACCGCCCTCTACGACGTCGGTGCGGTCATAGGCGGCATCGCCGCTGCGTGCACGACGGAGCCTCTGGGGAGGAAACGCACGCTCATCCTCGGCACGACTATCCTGCTCGTCGGCGTGATACTCATGGGCTCGTCCTACGAACGGATCCAAATGATGTTCGCACGTGTGGTCACAGGCATTGGTGAGTACGATAACGCACCAGCAATCGCGTGTTTTCGCGTCTTCTTCTAATGCTGACTCGGGCTTCGCGACAGGAATTGGGTATATAACGTCCGGTAAGCCCGTCCTTCGTTTCCACTTGGCGCGCCGGGATACGCTGACCGTCCTTCTCTTCGTGCGCGCATAGTGACCCCAGTATACCAGAGCGAAATCACTCCGCCTGAGCATAGAGGATGGCAGCTGTGCTGTCAGCTGACGTCCATGATTGGAGGGATCGTGCTCACCTACTGGGTGAACTATGCCTTCTACTTCTACTCTGGTCCGATACAGTGGCGGTTCCCCCTACTCTTCCAGGGCATCTTCGCCATATACGTGATATTCCTGACGATGTTTATGCCCGAGACGCCGCGGTGGCTGATCAGACACGACCCGACGCCCGAGCGCGGAATTGAGGTCCTCGCCAAGTTACGAGGACTGCCGAAGGACCACCCGGTGGTGCTGAAAGAGGCACAGGAGATTATCGAAGCGATCGAGATCGAGTGCGACGAAGAAGGGACCTGGACGGACCTATTCAAAGGTCACGGTATCTCGGCGGACAAGAGGCTCTACCTCGCGCTCGGTATTCAGTTCATGCAGCAGATGACAGGTTGCGTGATGTTCTTTCGCTATCATTGGGCTAGACTGTTCAAACTTTGTGGACAGGGATCAACATCGTTACGTACTATGCGCCGACACTCTTCGAGGTCAGCCTTGGCATGTCGCAAGAGCGAGCGCTCTTCTTCGGATGCTGGCTCCAGGTGTGGTACATGATTGCATCCTTCGTCACGGTGAGCATTGTCGAGGCATCGTTCGACGGACATTCGGTTTGATTTTTGTGCACGTCAGTGGTACACAATCGACCGCGTGGGGCGGCGGAAGCTCTGGATCAGCATGGCCCTAGGGCAGATGATCGTGCTTGTTCTCGAGGCAATCTGCGTCGCAGTGGATAATCCAAGCTCGAACATCGCCGCGGTGTTCTTCGTATTCTTGTACGAGACATGCTTTACCTGGGGTACGTGCTGCACTTCTTCTTTCACAATCGGACGCTCAAACTCGCGTGAACGTAAACAGGATGGATGGCGACCGTGTGGGTATACCCCGCGGAGATCCTCCCTCTCAAGATCCGCGCGAAGGGTGCTGCGCTCGCCACCGCCTCCGACTTCCTCGGGAATTTCCTCGTAAGTGCTCCCACCTTGCTCGAGACCGAACGCCACTCACGTGTTCGCGCACCCAGGTTGTCGAGATCACCCCGCCCGCGCTGCAGAACATTGGCTGGCGGACGTATGTCATCTTCGCCGCGCTGAACCTCGTCAACGCGAGCCTCGTCTGGGCGTTCTACCCCGAGACCGCTGGGCAGACGCTCGAGTCAATCGACATGCTATTCCGCGAGTACGGGCTCGAGAAAGAAGAGGCAAAGCAAGGGAATGGCAGCCAGGACGGTGACGTGCATGCGGAGACGAGGCGCGGATGGACTAGTGCCTTGCAGTGGTCGGTCGTCCCGCGCGCGGACGCTGCGGTGCAGCGGGTCAGGAGGGAGAAGAGGGTGGCTTCCAGCGTCGACGCTGCCGAAAGTGGGCATCGAATCGAGCCGGATGCGAGGGAACAAAGCATGACGGAAAGCGTGGAGAAGAAGAGCGCGGAGGAGCGTGTTGAGAGGGTGGTACTCTGAGGCCCAGATCGCAAGCCCTCTTCTTCAGCTGCGCAAAGAGAGTAGCCTTTGAGTGCATCGTGTTGATCGAGGTACGAATACAGGAAGTCTGGTACATACAGTTGTAGAATAGAATTCATGGCGCCCGGTTGACAGACGTGACACTGCACTGAAGCCTGGAAGTCCGCGCCTTTGTCCTCAGTAGTGGCAGTATGCATGCACGCGGACACGTCCTGTCCCCGTACTGGTACGCGTGCGACCTTCGCATTGAATCTTGGGAAGTTGAACTTTGGGCGCGGTGGACATGCTGTTGCGTGCGCCCGATGTCGTCCAATTTTGGTCGTGCCTCGCGACCTGTGAGAAGCTTGACGAGCCCCGCGGGTTCCTCTCATCCCTAGGCTTCTCATGGCGTGGGCGCCGCCGCTGGAGAAGTAGAACCCCGAGTCCAGCCATACCGGACGGAGTTGCCCTATTGAGAGTAGAGCGCTCTGCGTATGAGTCGCTGGCAACGTACATGTTCCGCAAGAACCACTGACTAGTAGAACGCATGACATACAGGAGAGCACGAGAGTAGAGATAGTGATATTAGTACAATCACGATCGAACAGAACATCGAACGCAAGGACGCAGCACGGATGGCCGCCCAGAGTAACGGGTGACAGAGAAGTCACCGCCGTTGGCAATCTTCATGCTTGGTGTAATACATGTTTTGAACACGGTTGCGATTTGTCTCGACCTGGAACAGAACAATGTGGGTGGTTCAGCGCCCGACGGGCGTGGAAAGGACGGCATCGAGGATGACGCACCGCAGGGCAGCTGCAGTTCGAGTCCTTGGGGTGGACGTGTGCTGAACTCGTTTTGCAGTATGGGGAATTGCAATCAAATCGCTCTCCCGAGTGGTATCGCCCATGAAAGTGCTGGAGTCCCAACAATTATGTCAGAGGCCTGAGAACAAGGGGGGTCACGATGACTATATTCACCTGACATCCACGGTAGTAGTCACCTATGCTGGTTCACAACAGTTAGCGAATGGTCCGTGGACATGGTTACATGCCACGAAGGACGCTTACAATTCATACTCGCACATATCGCCCGGATGCTCGAGGGGTTGAGGTCAGGTGTGAGGGAAGGAGCTCGGTGGACGTTTGTGTGCAGACTCAAGAGGTGGTTCAATGTCAGTGAGTTGTGTTCAGACGCACCATATATTTTGAACGACCAAGAACGAGCGCGCCACTGACAATGGCACTTTCTTCCTGACAAATTGGAGAAGCAACGCACTAGATCTCTCCTAAAGAGATGACCATTCAGATCTCATACAGTATCGGACTTACGGTATCAGCTGCGAACGAAGCTTTCCGCACTGCAATTGTTCGGGATCTTCTCGCGTGCACCCCTGAAAGAGTAGGTCGAAGGGAGAGGCACAACGCCGAGACAACTAAAGGGCGGTGGAGGAGCGATCAGAGAGTTATCGCACCATGTCGTTTGCCTCACCTGTTCCTCATGCCATCCTTATCCTTCGCCCAGGCTTCGCGATCGAACCCCTTCCACGCTGGACACGTGTTCAGTTCGGATCATGGCAAACACGCACATCAGGTGGAGGGAGACGCTGCTGACATTCGGTGCATGCTTTCGGAGTCTCCCTTAGACACAGGAAGATCTGTGGGCGAAGAAGTCCATGGCAGTGTATCTCCGTCAGCACCGAGGATCCTCTGGCGGACGTAAAGGTGCAGAAGTAGGTTGCGACCGTGGAAACGAGTGAGCGGACTTGACGGCCATAGAAGGTAGTGTTTCGTCGCTGGACAATACGTAGCAAGCACCGCAACTTGACGTGACCACACATTGCGCGTTGTTCGTTTGCAAGGGACCCTTGATAGAACGACACTTGTGAGCATGCCCCGTGCTCTCAGGCCTGAGATGTGAAGTATTGACGTGATGTCGTCACGAATCAACACGACACGTCTTGATAGCGAAGGGAACATTGAGCTGTCGCGCCTGCAATGTGGTACATCCCGAAGTATTTGTAGGGTTCGGTGCACGAAGGCAGCGGTGTACTGCGATCACCCGGCGCCGAAAGCTTCTGTCCACCGTTGCTACTGAATGCATCCCTGACAGGGACGTCCGACAACGTGCTCATCTGAAGGCTTCATGACATATCCGTGGACGCTAGAACCGCAAAGGAAGGAGTATTCAGTGCGCCAAGAGGCAGGCGAAAACATGCTGCGAGATTAGTGTATTACGCACCGTAGCCCGGAATGCTGGGCCAGGGTGCAAGGCCGAAGTACCATCTCGACGCTACCGCTGGTGTAGCCTTGTGCCGTGCCACATCGTCTGTGCTTATCACATGGAACAGCGGGAGTGCGGTATATCAACTGAGCAGACTATCGTGGGCCAAGCGTGTGAGCTACAAAAGCCCATAGAACGGCCATAACGAAGCTGTTAATTGTTATCAGTGCAACCCGCCGCCGGGATCCTATGGGATCTAAAGCTGCCCACCTTCATTTCCCTATCGTCCACATACTACAGCAATCGCCAGAGCCTGCGTGATTGTGGCTGTAGGGTGTCTAGTTGAAATGGTACGCTGAGTCACTGCCGTGATGATCGTGGGCTTGGGCTCTGTACAGTCGTTAGTAAGTACTGATTATGCGGCACTTGTGGTATACGTTATCGATCGCCGGGGTGGTGCTGCGGGCTTCATGTCGTCAACATGTTCGTACTTACTGCCGTACTAGTGCCGAAAGGTACCGTGCGTTTCAGGCGTCATGCAATGATGCTGCAAATACACGGGCTACTTTCATCCAGCGCGATCCATGGGCAGTCTTCTCAATACGTAAGTAACGCTCTGAGTAAGGGAGCTTTCCGCCGACCTATCCACGGGTGTCGAGCATCATGTCAACGCTGAAGAAGTCAGGGTACGTCTGTATCACGTTCGATCCCTTGCTTTCTGTGGCCACCGATCCCATGCATCATCGCTGCAGGGAATGAGCCACCATGTAGTGACTAAATTGTATCATGAAGCCCCCCGGACATACCTGAGACTTCTGAGCTCTCATGCGTCTATTCATGCATGGCAGTGCGCCCAAATGACGCGCCTGCGAGGAACATCGCTGATGCTGTCTCGCGGAGTCAAGCCTGAACGTTCTACATGTTGCATGGATATGTCTGTATTCACAAAATGACTGTTAGCAGTAGCCGTGAATTACAAACCCGCTCAAAATCTGCAGACAAACCTCCGACTATGAACGGAATGTTGGTCAGCAAATTCCACGTAAACTTGAGATCGCAGCGTACGCCTTCGTTTGTGGTTACGATTGTTCCGCATTGCATGTCGGCGGCAAGTCGCTAGGGTGCGACTTTCACGTATCGACACAGTCCAATGACCGCTGGTAGCTGTCTCAGCGTAGCTAGCGAGCAGGGCGATGAGGACTTACATGATGATTCTCAGCAGCCCAGGGTCCGTCATCCATCAAACACTTCGCGTTAGCGCCATTATTATATACAGTACGACGCCACGTTCCACATCGCATTCCCAGTACCGCTCACCGTGACAGGCGGCGCTAGATGCATCGGAGGGAGGCTTGGCTCAGGCAGGGAGCATTGCTCTGAACTTGACATTCGGGTTTGTACTGTACCAGCAACCGGAGGTATGTGTGCCGCTGAGACGGATGTAATGATCGTCGCACGATGTGATACTGTATCCGGCTTCAAATGCGTCATAGTCCACAAGGGGTGCTGCGACCAATGTTTCTGAGCGACCGTCGATCCGTTGTTTGTTCCCTTGATCGTTGCCCGCAATCTTAACGAAAGACGCTGCATTACGACTAGGCTAGATTCTGCAGTGAGATTTGAATTGTTGGCTGTCAATGGTAGGGCCTAGAATCAGCCATCTCAACTCACATTACTGATTCGAACATCGCAGGATGCCTCGGACGTGCTTTCTTGATCCTCGACGGTGGGAGCAAACAGGAGCTAACTGTGTATGTTTCCAACTTTGACAAGAAACGAGAACTTACGACTGCACGGCGCACGCTGGGGACGGTCACGTGTTTTACCTGTAGATGACAGCACATGGGCGCCTAATCAGTGTCTGTTCGAACCTTGTTCCGTCTCCATGCTTACTTTCAACCGCCCGAGGTGATAGTTAGGTTATCAGGACCCAAGTCTGGCAAGTGCACCGGCAACGGCATATCCATCTTGGCTCGTGTTATGGCTCGGTGTCTGTCCACTGTATTGCTCGGCTTCGTAGTGAGAAACCGCGACTCGGGATGCTATGGCGCCGATGGACTACCGGGACAATAAGGCATACGTCGCTCCGCCCGAGTTCGGAGGTACCGGTTAAGGGCAGCACATGTACGGCGATTTCTGTTCTCGCGCCATGTTTTTTTCTCGGTGATGTACCGTTTCAGTCACAACCATGCCAGCGCAGACAAAGAGGAAACCGGAATTCACATCATGACTGTGTATAGCGCACGTTTGGTCGGCGAAATCGGGCATCCGAATGTCAGGATCTCAGCATTCGTGCGGCTGCCTGATCCTGTGGATCAATGAGACATTTCAAATCGAAGGAAGAGCCAAAACGCCTACCTATCCTGCCAAGGTGCGCGGGATCGTGGCGTCTGCCTCGTGCTAATGTCGACATGTAATGCAGATCAGGACTCAATAGGTTCGTTGCCCTCGACGTATCGCGATTGCGCCCTGTATCGGGCGGTTTGTCGAGACGTGAGACTGTGAGAGCTGTGAGGGCCTGACACCGAGAAGTTGGACCAGTGCTTCGAACAGAAACAACAAAAATGTGTCAGCCCAATACACTTCTGCCGACTGCCGAGGGGACCAACATACCTTCGCAATGTCTGGGCGCAATTGCCTGAAGCAATCGTCGACGGGCGACCCGAATGCTCACGCGGGGGTCTGCTAGCGTCTTGATACATCGCTGCCTTTATATAACACAGACAGGATCAGCATCTCGCAGCCTGTACCTCCGAGGCGGCCCTCCTGCAATGGATCCCATACTGTTCCTGTTTGGCATTCTCTTCGTCGTCCTGGTTTGGCTGTGGATGTCTGGATATCGAACACCTACAACTTCGCGCCTCCCTCCAGGGCCGAAACCGGTTCCCTTCTTGGGAAACGTCCATCAGCTTCCTTCAGTCTCCCAGCAGACAAGGTTCAGGGAATGGGGGGCTCAGTATGGTGAGTAGTAGCTCGGTTGTTGATGCTCAGAAGGACACTGAACTGATTTATGTCCATCCAGGCGATATCGTCTACCTGCGCCTTTTTCGGACATCAGCAATCATCATAAACTCTCTAGAGGTTGCGCAAGACTTACTGGACAAGAGAAGCGCAAAGTACTCGCATCGGCCGCGCTTCATCTTGTTACAGGATCTGTGAGGGACACTCCACCCCGATGCCAATTACCTGCTGACGGGATTATTCGCCCCAGGATGGGATGGGATGTGCTGACGCACTTCTCATATGGGGAACGCTTCCGAAGACATCGCAGATGGATTGCAAGCGCCTTTCAGGACAAACAGGCTCTCTTGAGCTACCGCCCGATCCAACGGAGAGAAATCTCCGTGCTTCTGTCCGGGCTGCTCGAGACGCCGGAGCAGTTCATGCCTCATATCCGAAGGTCCGTACCCAGCTTCGCACGTTCTGCGTGACCTCATGGGGCTGTAGATACGCTGCAGCGTTAATCATGGAGATCGCCTATGGCCATCGCGTTGAATCCGTAGATGATGAGTACATTCACATCGCAGAGTGCGCCGGCAAAGAGACAGTGGAATCCGGGAATGCCGGGTCGATGCTTGTCGACTTTTTCCCGACTTGTGAGTAGTTCTTTTGGTGACCTTCACTTGAGCCTGTAGACGTTGTTCCCGTTTGTAGTGCAATATCTGCCCATATGGTTCCCTGGCGCCGGATTCAAGCGGAAGGCCGCTGAGGTCAAGAAAGTAGTACAGAAGATGTTCGACATGCCGTTTGAGATGGTGCGAAATGCCATGGTGAGTAGTCCAGGCTAATTAGTCGTGAGCTTCATTCTCATGAGCGCCGCAGGCGTCCGGCACAGCGTCTCCATGTTTCACAGCGTCTCTCCTGGACGAAGTCCTTCGGCAAGGATCCCTCAGCAAGGAATATGAGGACGACATCAAGTCTGCTGCCGGAGTGCTCTATGGAGGTAGGATCTGCGTTGTACAATATATGCGAATCTCACCTGCTTCATCACTAGCGGCAACGGACACGGTAATTCTGCTCTGCTCTGTACATACTAGGCGCGTGAAAATGCTGAAGGCCACCTCAGACAGTAGTCATCCTGTCGACTTTCATTCTGGCTATGCTGTTGCACCCCGAAGTCTGTCAGAAGGCACAAGCAGAGATAGACCGTACGGTCGGGACCGAAAGACTGCCAGACTTTGACGATAGAGAAGCGCTGCCTTACTTGGAGTGTGTCATTCGCGAGGTCTTCCGGTGAGGCTTCCGGCTCACATAGCGATCGCCGACCTGACCATATTTGTCAGATGGAATTGCCCTGTGCCGCTAGGTACGTTCCGTCGAAACATCACGTTTCCGTCTGCATAAGCATAAGCAATCTTGCGTAGGTATACCTCATCGAACGATACAACCCGACGAGTACCGGGGTTACAACATCCCTGCGGACTCGATGGTGATCGCGAATATATGGTACGTCCACATCGACCGTAACAATGCGCCGCATAATGATCGCAACTTCGCAGGGCGATGACACGAGACGAGGCATCATATCCACAACCAGAGGTATTCCGGCCGGAGCGCTTTCTTGAGATGGATCATCAGGCGCTGCAGTTGCTCGACCCTCGCAATATCGCGTTCGGCTTTGGTAGACGGTGAGTTGAGCCCCCTCGTATGAGTCCATCGGCGCTTCGATGGAATTCTCATTACATGTGCATACGACGCGTCAGTGTCTGTCCAGGGCAACAGTTCGCAGACAGCAGTATATGGCTCGCGGTAGCTCATCTCGTCGCCACCGTCAACATCACCAAAGTGACAGGCAAGGACGGCAAACCCCTCACGCCTGCTGCGGAGTTTGTACCAGGATTCGTGAGGTGAACTTTCGGCTGAACAGTGACGGATGTGGATTGTACTGACCCACACTTAGCCATCCTAAGGACTTCACGTGCATCATCACTCCGAGGTCGGGGAAAGTCGTCCAATTGGTATCGGATCTGAGGGACATGAGTGCCTAATATGGGCTCGACACCCGCTCATTGTATTTGCAACTACTCTATTGATATACGGTGCTTACTCGTACGTCTTATGCATCTGTGTTTCTTCATCATTTCCTCTCACTGTGTACAGAGCTGTGTAGAACAACCTACCTCACTCATGATCGAGTGAACGTTCAATGAAATTTGGACAAGGTATTTGTCGAATGCCGTCAGACACTTCTCGCATTGCAATTTGACTGGACATGACGTGCGCTGAGGCTTTGACGCACGGCCATACCCTGCGCATAGTGCGTCGGATTCGCGATAGACTCTCCACGCCTCGTTCACGTTGTGAGACTCATCTACGAAAAAGAATGCATGCCAACAGACCGGAGTTACATAGGGTACATAAGTGGGAGCGTAACGGGCTCGAACTGGTAGGGAAGACGCCGATTGCAGAGATGGCGCTCTGTAAAGCTGCATGCGTGGTCCATCAGAGTTAGACGTAATTAGCAGGACGGCGTGTACGACGCGTTCAATTGCATCCGGCATCAGCGCTACGGTCTCGAGGCTCATCTAGATAACACCTAACGAACAACGGACTGCCGTTCTCGCTCGTCCAGGAGGTGGCGGTGGCGTAGGTGGCTGATGCCACCGGTACCCAGTGCCAGTGTCCATGGAATCTGGATCCACTGCAGCCGAGTCGTGGTGCCATTGCTTCGCGATCCCTGCGATGTGAACGGACTCTAACTCAAGGCAAATGCACTCGATTAATACGGTGGCCTTCTAGGCATATACAGGCACGTCTGCGCTCGATGTGCGCTCGACTTGTATGAATGACCGCTGTCCAGCCCCGGGGTTCCTCTACTGAATAGATGGTGTCAGAGAGCGCTTACCTTGTAGAATATAAGTTGAGTTACTGTTCGCAGCACACAGATGCATCGGGTCTGGGATCCTCATAATAACCCCCGCTCCTCACGGCCAGTAGGAGAGAACACCCGATTTTCGCAGACAAAGACGCTGATGCGAGCTAACCAAGGACTGGCAAAGCTACAAGGAGCTCGGGCATCTCGGGATCCGTACGTTGCTTCTAAAAATTCGTACCGTCTGCGGCGCACAATGACGAGGTCGCTGAAAATCATTGCTGGAGTTCACTGACAGGCATAAGCTGTCTCAAACTGATTGTAGAAGTCGCATGCAGTGATGCACGGTCGTGTCCGAGTCACGGTACTACTTCTAGAGATACACAAGTACACCGCGATCACCCCTTTGTTCTCTTCTCATCTACGGGCACGTAGTATCGTGCTGTAAAGGCCCATCCCTAGTGATATGGATGTCCGCGTGCGATCCTTGGGGCAGAATGGGTATACTAGCCGTCAGTAGCGTGACGCTACTAGTAGTCGCTGTACGGTCTCAGGCTGTGAACCACGCCGTATTCATTCGAGTCTAAATCTCTGCAGTGCTCACCATTCAGCAAGTACGTGGATGTTAAAAAGCATCGAGCGCAGTGAAGGTCGTTACGAGACTGCGACGTACTGGAATTACCTTCAGGTTGCGATAGCAAGGTTTCTGCAGGGTCGGAATCCAGGCGTGCGAATTTCCACCTTGTTGTGATCTGCTTGGCACCTACCGAAAACATCATGATGTTTTCAGCAGGTGCCACAAGCTGATTGAAGTCGCCTGCGATGTCAATGACTGGATTTTACCCCAGTCATAGCTATCGCAGGGTCCACAGCTGGCGCATCCGCCATTCCAGTATGAAGGTTACTGCGAGGGGTGTACTAGTAGGACCGGTCACGGTGGCGGTAACCCTACGCTAGGGTCCCTAATTAGCAAAACCGTCTTCGCCACCGCAGGCGCCTAGGCGTTGTCGTTCAACGTTCAACGTTCAACATCCGTGTGTTCATTCGATCCGCTCGAACTTGAATGCTGGAGATCCTGACACTTGTATTAGGTCGATGTATGCGGCATCAAAACTGTATGACCGTACTCGTGGCTTGTCACTGAAGGGCATCGCAGCGGCACCCGACTCGGACAAAGGGCCGAACGCTGTCACGACGAGTTCGATTGCGAAGCACGTACACGATTTGCCTGTCGACGTCGCGGTGGAAATTGGGACGGCAGGATAGCGCTGAGTGTGGCAGGTGCGAGCGGCGCAGGAGCTGAAGCGCTGACGAAGATGACGAAGACACAGACTGAGGCCTGACTGAAGCGTGAGTAACATAGGCAATTAATGTCACTGGGGCTACATTTTATATACTTACATACTGACGTTTCATCGCGCATCCCTGATGTGTTTTAGTTGCGTAGGGGTGTGTGGCGTTGTGAACATTGCACAGTGTGCAGCCGTGAAGATTCGCGAGCGAGGGAAGGCTTCAAGGCGGTCTCAGCAAAGTCTAGGTTGGTTATATGGCTTGTGATCCTACGGCGGCCGCTATCTCTGGCTTCATCACGAGCGCAACCACGCGTACGGCTTTGACGGGCTCCAAACTCTCTGAATAACGCAGATGAGCGGTCGATTTGTGAGGACGTATGCAAGCCAAGAGACGCCGCAATGTCATCAGGGAGCACATCCGCCGTGTCTACGTCTACGGGACGCCGACGTGAAGGCCTCGCGTGCACGCCGGTGAGATACACGGGTTCCTTATCTATGGTTGTGTCGCGTCTGGCATCACGACTTCGAGAATCCGCTTCAACGATGTATATGTACTACCGGTGGGGTTGCTTATCGCCGCGATACGGTATCATGTCCAACAAGCTATCCAGCATCGCCAACGGTTCAAAAGCCGAGCTTGTGTGCTTCCATGAGTGGTCGTCGAGGGCTTCTCTCACAGACCCGGATCTCCTAGAACGATGTCTAGCATAGGTGTCTCGGAATTCAGGCCACTGCTAGGTGAGCCTCGTGTTGAAATGGCACCGCATATAGCTGGCGGCAAACGACTTACTATGTCTACAGATCAAAGCGTTGGCTATGGCGTCGTCGTTGGTATGTGGTGTCTTCGATTCATCACAGCGATGTAGCCTCACTTTACGGAAGGCGTTGGATTCTTCTTCGCCGCGCTTATGCTTGTCTTGACGGCCCTGCAAGCTAAGTTCTCCAAGTTCTCACCCACTTCGTCTGAGGAATTCTCGGTCAGTCCCACAGTTATCGAGCTACGCGATCTGTCGTTTGACACCAGGTTGGATCTAGAGCGCCTCGAGAAGCGTCAAGGTAAAGACACCTTATTCGTGCGCAGGAGCGAAGTTGGCTGACCATAGCAAAAGCCAGGACTTGTGTGTTGTGGAATGTACGCCGGGAAGACACTCTTGACTGATCTGGCCTGTTTGACATTGTACGCATAGAGTCAGTGCATGGACATGGAGCGCAACCTTGCTGCAGTCAAGCACAGCGGCCTATACCTTCGGTACGTCAAAGTAGTAATAGTATGCCGCGAAGCAGTCGCTGACGGACGCTCATTAGGTGTCAGCGGGCCATGGTACTGTCATCAGACATGTCAGATGGCTCCGGATTCTGACGTGAACGTCCGTAGGTGGTACGGGGTCGGAGGCACTATCCAACTCGCCTTCTTCGCCATGGTGGCGGCGAAGGTGAAGATGAACGCAAACGGCGCACACACGTTTCTGGAGGTACGCACGGGCATCTGCGACGACTGACCTTTGTACTCATTTGCTACACAGATCGCAAAGATACGGTTCGGAACGGGCGTCCACTTATTGTTCACGTTCTACGCGTTCCTCTGCATCCTCGTTGTTTGCGGTTCTCTTCTGCGTATGTGACTGACACGATGATTACGTTTCCATCGCCTCATACTGATCCTTGATCGACAGTGGGCGGGGCGGCGACTGTGAATGCCTTGACAGGTATGAACGTCATTGCAGCATGTTTCCTGCTCCCGATTGGAATCGCCGTCTACGTGATTTTCGGTGGCCTTCGTGCGACATTCATGTGCGACTGGGCTCACACCATCATCCTGTTCATCATCATCTACCTCTTCCAAGGCCACGTTTAGTATGTCATCGGTTGACTAGTGTACCGATGAGTCCTGACCACGAAGTTCAGTGGGACGTCGCCAGATACAGGAAGCATCGGCGCTCTGTACGACCTGCTTGTGCAGGCGGGTGTCGACAATCCAGTCGACGGGAATCAAGGAGGGAGCTACTTGACGATGAAGTCAAACCAAGGGATGGTATTCGGCGCGGCGACGATCCTGTCAGGATTTGCTGGGGTATTCTGCGACCAAGGTACGCAAATCTCTCGCGGTTTGTCGTGTTGCGATTGACACTTCGTTCCTGTAGGGTATTGGCAACGTGTATGTGTAGACCTCGTGATGTGTTGCAAGCTACTGACATTTTGACCAGGCTATCGCGAGTGCGCCGGAGTCAACGACGAAAGCATACGTCAGTCTACCGATCCCTCGCCCGAGTGTGTCTGATGTTTTGTGCATAGATGCTTGGCGGCTTGTCGTGGTTCGCCGTACCTTGGGCATTCGCGTCATGCCTCGGCTTGGCTGCGCGCGCGCTGCAGAATAATGTGCGTGTCATGTCATTTCCTGTCACCGAGGCTCAACTGATGGCCACCGCATGAGTAGCCGAAATTCCCTACCTACCCTAACCCACTGTCAGCAGAGCAGACGAGTGCAGGTCTTGCGGCGCCTGCTGCTGCTGCAGTGGTGATGGGGAAAGGCGGCGCGATAGCAATATTATTGGTCGTGTTGTGAGTTGAAAATTCCGTCTTCATTCTGTCTGGCGGCTGATCGGAGTCGTGTAGCATGGCCGTGACGTCTGCCATCAGCGCAGAACTGATTGGTGTGTCTAGTCTTTTGTACGTTCGATTTTCTGTGATTTCCCCTCTGGCACATCGCTGAAATACCTTATCGGTAGCTCCTATGAGTAAGTTGTCATGTGTCGAGAGTTCCCGTTCCCGCGTAGCTGAATTCGATGTCGCAGCATCTATCGCACCTACTTCCGACCGAATGCAACCAGTGCAGAGATTGTCCGCGTTTCTCACTACTTCATCTGCCTATGGGCCGTGTGGGCCGGTGCATGGGCTACAATAGTGAGTCTAGCCCTTCTATGTCGGGAGTGCATATACTGACGTACAGCAAATATTAAGCTCAACGCGGCAACGATCGACCTCGGATGGGTAAGTGCATCATTGGCCGTTCAACTGTACACTACTGACCATGTACTCATTGACTGTAGCTCTTCTACGTGCAGTCAGTATATCACCTCCTTCAGCTCGTGTCGTCACTGAGCTTATGCAACGTCCAGGGGTGTCGTCCTCAGTCCAGCCGTGATACCGATCGCTTTGACAGTGACGTGGTCGAAGCTCTCGCGAGCTGCCGTTTTCAGCGGGTCAATTGTTGGAGCGATCCTCGGTATGCTTGCTTGGATGATAGGCTGCTGGAAGATATATGGTACATATGTCGGCCCGCTCGGTGGTCTGGCTGATCTCATGTTTCGCATTACACCGGACATAGGGGAGATAAACGTGGCCAACCTCGCTGAGCCCTACTCGGCCGTCTGCAGCGGACTCACTGGTCTACTATTCTCTGGACTCATCACTGTGTTTGTATCGCTTGCGAGTAGGTCTTACGCGAGCCTACTACCCGTTGCGTCGCTGAGGCTTTTGCCTAGAACCTGCGAATTACGACTTCGCCGACACAAGGGCCATCGCCGTATATGAGGACGTGGAAGGAGATGGTTCAATATCTGACAAAAGTGTGGACGACAACATCAAACCAGATAAAAACCCGTACGATGAGAAGCAATCAGCTGTGGTTGCGGAGGCTAGGCCAGTCGGTGCAGCGCCCCATCAGCCTCGGCTTGCAGCGAGTAGGGAAGAGCTTAAACGAGTGTTCAAGCGCGCTGCGTGGTACTCGCTAGCCCTCACTCTCATAGTGGCGATCATTGGTCATTATTTTTGTCATCGTTCGTTGTGCTGTTTGACTCACGGTTTCCTCTAGTGCCCTTACCGATGTTCTTCTCCCATTACATCTTCAGCAAGGCATTCTACAAGTTTTGGGTCGCGTGTACGATGTAAGTTGTGCAAGATCTCTCGATGATGGCCACAAGCTGACGCAAATGACTCCCGCACAATAAACATAGTATTTGGGTTGGTATGAGTGGCGTTTTCTGCATCATACTACCTATTTGGGAGTCCCGAAAGGAGATCCAGCTCATTAGCGTTGGTGTATTGAGTCTGATGTTGCGCAGGAAATCTCAGGCGGGAGATGTGTAACGTAGACTTGCAGGAGTTGCTGGTTGTAATCCTCAAGACATGTCGTTGGTGTCATGAACAAGTACTATGTCCTGCCACAGCTCTAGATGTGTCCGCGCTACCGGAATGAACACGTCACATGTTCAAAGTAAACCATTTGTAGTCGCTAAAGTACTTCCCTATAGACATCGTTGTGGTGCACCGTATACATCAAACATGCCAGGTGTATCTATAATGTAGTGCCTGGTATGAGTACTTAAGTTACATTGATTCGACAATGACTACATGATGGTCGTTGCCACCTCATGCTCTGGTCTCTACAGACCAACAAGTGTCTATAGAATATGTCCTTCGATAGCTCAGTTGGAAGAGCGCGAGACTGTAATAGGGTACATTTCATCTTGAGGTCGCTGGTTCGATCCCGGCTCGAAGGAAATGTTTTGTTTTTGAGGAGCGGTGCTGCGCTCCCTTCAATCGAACGGGAAGATCCACATCATGTCGCCGTGTTGGTCTCAATTGAAGCTATCGGCTGATCTAGTAAATCACTTTTACTTATGAGAAGCAGACAAGAACTTTACCTATACTCGACTGACCGAGTACACCGCCAAATTCTTGTGGCCCGACCCGAGCGTTAGATGATAACCTGCCGCTAGCCGCCGTGGTCGAGTCACGCTGTCACTTTCGTAAGGTGATGCTCAGCTGAGATCGATAGGCCGACCGTAGCATGCCTCCCAACCTGAATGTAATGTTAATATAATGTGAACGAGAGATTATAGATGTCGTGACGCATGTGCGAGTATCGTGCCTTGCGTAGGAACATAGGACGTGATCGTCGGGTTGAGCGTTGATCGACTGGTGAGACTGGCATAGTATTATCACAATATCAAGAACGGAGCTCCCTGACATGAACATTCAGACGTCGTGAGGGGGATGATATCGTTACAGCGCATGGAGCAGTGTACTACGAAGAAGCTACTTCGCCGCCTTGTTCCGAGCCCGGGTCTCTGCGGCTTTGACCTTAGCTTCCGCTCGTTTCGCTGGACCACTGATACGGAGGGAGGCCGAGATTTCGCGGTGCTTGGCCACACGATCCTCGACATAGTACTTGGGTGCAGTGAGGTCTCGAGGAAGAGTCTGCCGAAGGAGAGCTGCATTATGCAGTGCATGCATATTCAGGATGTAACGCTCGGTCTTCGCGTGAGTCCAGACGTTACGCGTTCGCTTCGTCTCGCGGCCTTCCTGAATGACGGGCGTAGTGGTGGTGGCTGAGCAGCCAGCAGTACAGCAGTCATGTTGAGCATTGAAGATGTAGAGTACATCCTATGATTTTCATTGTCGCCGGTGATACAACGACTATCAGCATCAATCCTTCAGAGATCTATAGGTCAGACGTACCTTGGGCTGCAATTCATCTACCGCGTCGTCTGCCGGTGTTAGAACCGGCATGTTGTAGTGTTTATCATTGCAATCTGATATTATATATCGTCGGACGAGCACTCTCGCGCTACCTTCTGACGTTGCAGCCGTGAACTCGCCTGGTGCCGCGATCTCAAGGATACGGCCAGCGGCAACACCGGTTGCAGTCTGCGAGATTGATATGGGAGTGAAAATCAGTAGACGGACAGTATAATCGCTCATCGGACGTACGGCAGCTGCGTCCGCCGCCGCCTGAGTGCGGTAGAATACCCAAGACCCACGCTTGCAGACATCCCGTGATTGCGAGATCAGGTATTTGCAGCGGATCCAACCTGACTTCTCCTCGTAGAAGCTGCGAGCACCGGCATTCTGACGCACAAATTTGACCGCGCCACTTTCATCATCCTGCACATCCGACTCTCGAAATCTCGGCATGGCTTGGTTTGTCTGACTTTCGAATTTGACAGTTCCTATGAGTCCGAGTGAGGAATTGATCTCAATCAGAGTCTAGAGAGCTTTAGTCACTCACCTTGCCGTAGGATCATTGGGTCAACCCAACCGAGGCAACGCTGGAGTGCCGGAGCGGTCTGAAGGAATTCGCGCACCGATGCGCTGGCTTGAATAGGGTTGCCGCCCGCATCCTTCCACCAACCGCCGCTGACGATGTGCTTGAAGCATTCCAGATCTGCCAAGGCGTGCGCGATGTCCTTGCTCGGTGCTTGATGGTTGGACAATACGCTGCAGAACCGGAAGATTGAGTTCCAGCACTCGAAAATTTCGGTGGAGTAGAGAACCGCAGGGCCGAATTTGCGCACATCCGCGAGTATATGATCGAGTAGGTGGCACTTTGCCTTCACGATAATGCGCCCGGGGTCGATGATAGCCCAGATATCGAGGACATTGGCTATCAGGACTTCTAGGTCAGCCTGTCAAATATCCCAATATCATGCGCGGCGCGCCGCTGTCAGTGGATATCATGCAGAAGTAAAGGCACATGCTGTACGTACCACATACTGATCCATGTCACTGATTTCTCCCACCCATATCAGCGCACCAAGCTCTCCCGTCGCCTTCCAGAGGTCAAAGATCAAGGGATCACATAGTCCTCCATGAAGATGGAACACGCCGAGTTGTTGTAGCGCCTTGAAGTGCTTGCCAATGAGTGAGTTTTTGTACTGCAGCATGTAGTCGGCGCGCAGAGAAATGATTGACAGGCCATCAATCGATGATGACTGCAGCCTTTGCGCAAAGAGCTCTTCGCGCTTCTTGTCCCACTCGCGAGTTGTTGAGTGCCAAAGGTACTTGTCGTGGCCAAGAAGGTATGTATGAAGGATCTCAATGGGTGTATCTTCATGCACATTCAGCCCTGGTATACCCAGAAGAACGTTGTAGTGATCCCCGGGTCGTACTTCCGCACGCAAGGCTGTGTTGAAGTAAGGTTTGGACAGCGGTAAGCCAATCTACTTCTGGTGTCCGGGTCGGAGAGAAAATTACGAAACCACTCACGAGAGTTCTCAGGCAACGCAGCGAAGCTGTCCGGAGGCTGTTGCACAAGCCAATCATGTATCTCTTCCTGTATCTCGTCAGTAATTGTCTCCTTCATCTTCTTCCGTGCTTCCCCCTTCAATCGCCGCGCATCTGACATCCGCGCGTCCCGCTCCTTCGCGTCACCATAAAACCGACGCTTTTGCGTTTGCTGCGCTCTCGCCAGTACAACATCGATCCAGTACTGCGCCGTCTTGTCCTTGACTCCCGACTTCGTCTGCAGCTCCTCGACGGCCTCTCTCTTTCCGCGGCAAGCCTCCCTGCATCAGGAAAACCTGAATTCCCTAACTTTGGCTATGTTATTTCAAATTAGCCATACCTCTCTAATCCCATTCTTATGAGTGATCATCTGTGCTAATTCAAATAAAATTCACTAATGAGTATACAGTTTGGTGGTGTTATTGTGATTAGCCATACTCTTTGGCCAATACTTGAGGATTGTCAACACATGTAGAGTTAAATTTGACTACTGTACAACAACAAAGCTATGACGGTCAAGGTGCCTATCAACATGGAAGGTAGGGGATTCTTCTAGAACATTACTAGTGGTCCAATCATGGGGTGCAACTGGCCCAAATGAAGGGAAAAGCAGTACAGTACGCCTGATGTTTTTCACAGGAATAATACTTGCAAGGCGCTCACCATTCTGTACCTCGCGCTTTACCTTGTACATCCCATGGACAGGGTTTGGAGCATTGGCAAAATCAGTGAACCACTCAACATATGCCAAATGCTTGGGAGATTGGTGCTCCAGAGGAAATATTGTGGTGTGTGCTGTCTTTGGTGTGTGCTGTCTTTGAGAGCACAAACATCACACGCACTTGAGCCACACAATAACCTGTGTAGAAAATCAGAAGGTGCTCAGGAATACATGTAGGACTTACCTTTGACACCTGAGTAGCCTCCTTCATCAGTGTTGACAAGCACTGTGTCAAACCGCGCAGGTATCTCCAAGCCATGCTTGTTCTTCCAGGAGGGCTTTGCATGAGCCACATCCCAGGAATCAGACATAGGCTGGAAATGTTCTGCATCACCAAGCCAGAAGTGGGCCTTGTGGTGGACACCAACAGAGTGGAAAGGGAGCCATATGTTCCTCGCCTCCTCCTCAAGCTGCCTGCGGGTCTGAATGTGTGGATATCTGATCTGTGCCACATACCGCCCCATAGCAGCAAGGAAATATGTGGCACCATAGTCATTGACCAGTTCGCGGATGCTGACTGATGCAACAGATGGATGCTTGGTCATGGAGAGATGGATGGTGGGCTGAGGAGGCTGAAGCACAGGATTGGGGAGGGAAGGGGTAGTAGCTCCAGCAAGGCGCCAGGCAACAAACCGTTCATGCTGCATGATCTTCTCCTTGCGCTCCAGCCAACGCGTCATCTGACGGAACTCGTCCTTGTGATTTGTCGCACGGTAAGCCTGCTTTGCAAAGTCGATGTGAAGGCGCTCGGTGTACTGGGTGTCAAAATTGTCAGAGGTCCCAAGGTACTCGATTGCACGGCGCCAATGCTTTGAGACCCAGTGCAGTTTGGGTAGGTTGAAGTTGGAGCGGATGCCCAGGTCAATGAAGATGTCCTTGTTCGCATGGAAGCGACTCAGAGCATCATCCATCAAGTCCAGGGTCTTGGAAGTGTGAGCAGGGTACCCAGCAAGGTAGAGGAAGTCGAGGATGGCGCGAACAGTGCGAACAAGCCGGACAGGGGAGAGGCCACCAGGAAGAGGGAGATCAATGATGAGGCCAAGGAGGATGCAACAGATGTCCTCCCGCTCTTGGCCAGAGAGATGCGAGAGCGTTGTGATGCCATTGAGGAAGAAGCGGGCTCCATGGTTCTGAGGCATCCGGCGGCAGCGAGCATCAATCTCAGCAGCCCCGTAGGCTAGAATGACCCATGCAATGATATGCATGATCAAGCCCTGAAGCAGCTGATGAAGGATGTCGGGGGTGATAGCAAGGAAGATATCGCAGTAAGGAAGATCCTGCCACCAGGGCTTATAGATGGGTTTGATCCCTGCCTCGCGACATGCACGCCGGAACTCGTCAGGTGGTCCATCAGCCAGAGCAAGGGCATCTAGGATGCGCCTGATGTTACGGATTGGGTACTGGGTATCCGAGCCATCACCAAGCTCATTTGGGGGAACTTCGCAGGTAGCGCATTCCCCCGTCTTTGCACCAGTAGTGAGCGTCTGCTCCTGGTAGTCAGCAGAGAAGGCTGCCACCAGGGGATGAGTATGGCGGACAGCACCATCCGCACTGCTCATCTCCACACCCTCAATCCCTGCATCCTTGAGAGGGTGGAGGATACGGCGCACACAAGCATGGTAAACGTTGGCAACAACACGGCGACGAGCAGCCTTGTTCATGATATGCGACATGCGAGAAGCGGGGAGATAAGCAAGGAGGACCCACGCGCGCTGCGATGGCTTTCGCCGGATGTGTTTGGGGATGTTGCCAATGGTCATGTACAACGGGTACGCGACCTTGTTGCGGAACAACGTGACCTGCGTCTTGTCGGATGAGAGAATGACGGGAATGATTGTTGCGCCTGGATGCGAGCGTTCAAGGTCCACCTATAACAAAACATCAGTACATGTAGTCGGCGTGAAGACTGTATCAAACCTGAGTAGCCCACCACCACTTTCCTGTATGCATGTCATGGTATAGACGGATAGTCTTACGGGCATCTACCCAGTGTCGTTCCGGGACAAAGACAAGGTATTGGGCAAACTCAGCATCACCAAACAGCGCCCGGATGCACTCAATGACGTCGCGGAAGTAGACCTCGAAGGCTTCGCCCGAGACTATGATCTCACGGCGTTGAAACCTTGGACGACCAGGGATGTGCTCATCGATGAGCTTGTTCAGCTCGATGGTGTTGCGGTATGATAGCCCAAGGGCCTCGGGTACCTACAAATTTATGAGGACTTATACTTTGTTGAGCTCGTGACACGTACACCTTCGATCTTCAACAGCTCCGTGAACGCGTTAGAGCCGGGCCCTCGAAGCTTCGCCCAGCGAGCAAGAGCCCAGTCGATCCGATTTTGGAAGGGCGCCCATGGATTACGGCCACTGAACGTCCGCGCGTACTGGTGGTACCCGGCTGGCTGGGCATCGCGGTTGGGAACAGGCGCACCAGCCCTGTTGCTAGGAAAGGACTCCACCACGGAAGGGTGCCGCAGAGCCTCCTCCATGTCGTGGCGTACCTCGGATGAGATGGGCTGAGGCATGCCAGCCTCTGCATCGGATCCCTGCACGTCATCGTCGTCGGGGCGTGCAAGCGTGTCAGGCGGGAGCTCGTCATGTACAGGGAGCTCAGGCTCCCATCGATCCTCCTCTAAGTCAATCACTTCGGCATCATCGTCATCCGAGCTATCTTCTGCGGTTGTGCAGAGATATTAGCTCGTAAATCTGTTGGAGAGACTGTGACGCACCATCGGCATTCCATACACCCATATTCCCGTTGCCGTCTCCTATCCAGTCGAAGTCCGCTTCGACATAGTCGTCGCCGAAGAAATCGCCGGCAAATGCGATTGGCTCGTCTTCCTCCATGTCATGCGCTCCTCCAGCATCGGGCTGGTCAACCTGCATGCCATCCTCAGGGGCCTCTTCACTCGAGCCCTCAGCAGATGAGTCATGAGGCAAAAAGCCCTTGATCTCTTCGTAGATCTGCGCACAGGCAGGATTTTTCGTGAGCTCAAGGTGTCGTTCATAGCCGGCGAGCGTGAACTCCTTGTCGCAGCCCTGGCAGCGCACCATCCTAATGAAATTTAAGAGTCAGCCAGACTATAGATTACCTGAAAATGAGCGACTTACCTTAACCGTGGTCGATGATGGTGACGGTCAGTCGGAAGAAGCGCGCCACCGCGCGACGCTCCGACTTCGCACGGGGCGCTTGCGGCCCTTCGCCACAACGTCGCTGTCTACCGCGGCTAGTGGATTGCAGGGTTAACCCCTGGGTGTCCGGGGGCTTACCCGTACCCGCGAGGGTCAGCTACCCGCCCAGCGGGTACGGGTCGTCCGCGGGTTGGCGCGGGTGCAGGTACTGGCGACGGGTCAAGCGTGCGAGGAGGCGAGTGACGGTGTGTGAGCGTGCGAGGATGCGTGCAATCGCACGGGCAAGAAGGTAGCGCGGGGACCTGTGCGTTGCCCTCCTTGGATGAAGTCTACGGTGACCATCAATCCCTGTATCCGCTGGACTCCCAGCATCTCATTAAGGTGCTACTCACAGCTTTGGCTGGCGGCCTCATCAAGTTGTGATGCGACGCCCCGCGCCGCGCATGTATCGCCGGATTGTCGCGACTGTCAGGTGCGCGCTCCTCGCCCTAATGACGCTGCCGACCATCCCGAACGTGTATGCCGGGCTCCTTGATGAGTCAGTCAGTATGGGCGCAGTGATCCACCGGAAGGCCAGAGCGTCCGGACGCACAAATCATGCCGGTCGCCGTGCGTGTCGTGGGCGTGGGTGGTGTGGGAGCCGGGCAGCTGCGAGATTCGTGGAAGAGTCGCCTTGACGGCTGCGAGACGGTGGGGCTTGACGCGTCGAGGGCGGTCCTTGGAGCGAGAACACGACGCAACGGAGAGGAAGGGGGTACTCACCTACCCCTCTGCTCAGCACTGCCGACCTGCTCTACCTCCCCCTCGCCCCGACCCGTACCCGCCGCCGTTTGCTCGCGCTCAACCTTGCGCGCGCGTTGCATCCATTCGTCGGCCGCGCTTGCATGCCGGGCATTGGCCCTGCATGCTCGTGGTCAGCGTGTGTCTCGGCGCTGTTTCGCTCGTGTTTGTGGCGGAAACGCAGTCTCGCGCTGGTTCTTCGCGCGTCGCATCACTTGTCAACGGTCGTTCTCCGCGTTGAGCACAGGAGCGGCGTTTGCATCAGCAAGGGGTGGGCGGCAGCGAGCTTGCGCTGCCTTGCCGTCGATTTGATGCGGGGCTGGACGCGTCGAGTGGCTGTCCGGGCGCAGGAGAGGTGGAGGGGGAGGATTGACACATGCGTGCGCGCGACACGAGGATGGGGATGGGGCGACGCGACGGTTGGTGGACGCGGACGCGGACCGCCCGCGCAGAGCGCTGCGCAGGCGCTAACAACGGACGTGGGGTGCGAAGTGCGGGCGACCGTCGAGGACGCGGCGAGGCGAGGCGGGCAGCGTTGGTGTGACGGGACGGCGGCGGGTGCGTGCTGGCGAGCGGCGGCACGTTTGTGCTGGTGTTGGTGGTGGCGGTGGGGCGGGTGGGAGGACGGCAGCGGTGAGGTGGCAGCAAAAGGGGTTGACGCGACGAGCGCGGTAGACGCGTCGGACGCGAGCGGCGGGAGAGGGATCGGCACGACGCGCAATGGGTGCCGGCGGGCGGGCGACGCGGGGGCGACGCGGGTGGGGGCGACGCGGGTGGGGGCGATGCGGGCGGGGGCGACACGGGCGGGTGCTCTGCTGGTCTGCACGCCGCACGCGCCCCCGCTCCATCCCCGCGGCCAGTGCGGCGGCGAAGATGTGCAGCGCCGTCGCGCTCTGCAGCATGGCGCGCGGCGAGGGCGTGGCGCTTGAAGGCGGGGGAGTGCGCGGGCCAGGGGGCAGGGCCCGGGCTGGCAAACTGCTTGTGCCGGTGGGGCGACTGCCCAGGGCGTGGGGATGCAGCGGGGGCGTGGGCGATGGGGGCAGGCTGGAAAGGCTGCGGGCCCTGCGTTCAGGATTTCTCTCCTTTGACGTGGGGCCTTGCCGCGGGGTGCGCAGAGTGAGAGTCGTAGAGTCGTGCGCTCGACGTGTTCGGGCGCTCGGGCGATGATGCGGTTCCCACGGTCGGCCGGCCAAGTGAGTCGCATCTGCAATGCACTACTACCGCCACGTTGTCGACTTCCCTAATACCTATCACCTATCCTATCTCCCGCTAAGTTCCCCGTCTCAGCATCTCAGAGTCTCTCTTCCTATTCTCGCTTTATCATAATATGACTCGGTACTCGGACTTCTCGCCTCCGGGTTCGCCGTCATGGTCTCAAGCTCCTGACAAAAGGTCCCTGAAGCGAACTGGCGGTGCGCATGGATCTGATGAAGATATGGTTAGCAGGTCATTGCGTAAGTCATGCATTACTTATTGCTGCGTATAGTATAACTTATTGTCGTGTAGCCCCACGACGCGCTCGGGCCAAGGCTATGGATGATCAAGGTATTGGTGATTCTAAGTGTCTGACTACGAGACTTACCTGTGCTCATCTGACAGTGTGGATGCAAGACGCGCCCAAGAGCAAGAGAAAGCGGATACAGGCAGTTTCGCCAGCTCCAGACGCAGTCGACCCGGAGACTGAAGCATTTGTAGCTAAGAAGGCGAAGGCGGATAAATGTGCGTTATGTTCAGTGACGCGCTCATTCATCTCTAATGTATGTCACTTAGCGGACGTTCAAGCACGATCCGCCAAGTCCACCGCTAAGTCAAGCACTGCGTCCCACGTATCTTCAGCGACGCGCGTGCAAGTGGTGCCTCGTCTCTCGCGCACAGCTTACGAAGGTTCAGACGGCGAAGCCGCGCCGAGTCGTAACGCCGCCACGTACCGCGACAGCCGCACATCGTCAATCACGGGACGTTCAGTTCCTCGTCTCTCTCGTGCAGCGTACCTCAACAACTTGGACGACGAGCCACCGCGCATGATGTCGAACCGTGCAGGTAAGCAATTAAAGTAACGAATGTTTGCATACATCATTAACTTCGAGATTCCCGCAGCCTCACAGCAGTCTTCGTCACTTGGTCAATGCATGGACCCGGCCGCGCGAAAATGGTCACAACATGCCGTTCAACAACAAAAGTCGCGCCGCACATCTGCCGCACTCTACTCCAGTGATGAAGAGCTCATCATTCCTGGTTTCGGCGCCGGTGACGCAGAGGCTGAGGGAGAGGACGCTGAGGATGTCGGCGAGGCTGAGGAACGTGACGAGTGGGACCAGCTATCTCCACGTCAGCTGGAGGAGGCATTCGCCCAAGAGGTGCGTTGTATATACTGCACTCTTAGGTGCTGCTAACTTCTCAATGACAGAGGCCTGTCTGGGCGGAAACGCAGCGCTCTCGCGGCAGCGCTCAGGTCTCGTCCTCGCCGCCGCAACCACCCTCGCCACCACGGCCAAACTCGCCGGATGTCCCGGTCAATCGGCACGGGTCCGCCTCCTCAAACAACGGTGATAAGGTTTGTATCTCAACCTCGATTTGTTTTTGGCAATCACTCACTCTATTCATTGTGTTAGTCTCGGCGCTCGCGGCCCCAAGCTCTCGACGACCGACCTGGCTCAGCGCATGTCAGGAGGGGCTCGCGTGATCCGGGGCGAGTTAGTGCGTACGGTACGTCCGACGATGACTCGCGTGAGGTCCGCGCAGATCGCTCCAGTGCCGGCGATCGCACTCGCCGCGGCAGTGTCGACAGCCGCGAGGACAAGGTCGGTTACTGTCGCTCGATCACGGTTCTCTGTGCTGATCATTGTATCGCCAGCGTGCCAGGCGTGATGCGCAGCCCGCACGTAGCGGGAGGACTGATCATGCAGCGGCACGCCAGAGCTTGAAGAGCCGGGCTCAGCTCGCATACGAACAGGAGGTGAGTTGTATCTTTATTTGTCACTGGGTGTGGATGGTGAGCGTCTCTACTAGCAACCGTCTTGGCAGCCTTCCGATGCAGAGGACTCAGGGCATGAGGTGCGCCGTGGATCCTCGCAAACATCTCACAGCCGGAGTCAGTCACGCTCGGAAGTCCACCCTCGACAACGTTGGACGTCGGACACAGAAGACGAAGACGTCGATTGTCGTGACGGTTCAGTGCAATGGCCAGCATGCACGAGGATCGTGTTACCGCAAGGCCGTGAGGCCTTCCAACTCACAGCGCAGAGTCCCGACATCCAGACTCTGTTGCGCAAGTCTATCAAGACCGTTGAATACCACCTCGCCTTTGTTCACGCCTTCCCTGAACCGAAATTGAAGACGGAGTTCGTGCGTCAGCAACTCCTGAAATGTGCGAAGGACCTAGGCCTCCGAGAAGTTGCGCGCCGCATCAGCCGTGATGTGAAGTATGTAGACATGTTTGTGACGGGTAGGCAATACTATGCCTGCCCTAGTAGATTAGATTATGAACTGTCTAGTGTAGATTAGATTAGATCGTCTGTACTTAGCCATCCTCCTTCCATATTGGGAAGTAATCTATTCTTACACCTGAACTACCACATCGTCTGTGTGCGAACCCCGCGCCATCCGAGTACGTTCAGTCCTTCTCGGCCTGCGCTCCTCGCCACGCCTAGGACCAATCCTAGACAAGGCTCCTCGCCTGTGTCCGGGACTCCCCCTCGACACGGCTCCTCGCCCTCGTCTAGGACACGCCCTCGGCCTGGCTCCTCGCCCGACCTAGGACACACCACGCCACTGCTAGGCTCCTCGCCCGGCTACGACTATAGCGGGAGCTCCTCGCCTCGCTAACGACACCAAGACCTCACGACATTCTCCCCGGTCGCGCCGCGACCACCAAACGTCAGGTTCACGGGCAGCCCGGCCCCCCAATCAAGGGTTCCGAGCCCACGAACTCTTACAATGTTGGCTTCCGTCGTGAGTCCTTTAAATGCAGCTTTACTGTGACATTTCACCACAGCCTCCTTGTTTACAGCCGAACCAGCGCATCAGCAACGTCCGCGGTGTGTTTCGACAGATCATATCGACGCAAATCGTGGTCAATTATGGTTTGGATTGCGGTGATCCCGATCGTACAATGCGCCGTGTTCAAATGCTGCTACGTGACCATCAGTACATCTTCCCCGGTGACATAGAGGTATGTCTCCTATTGTCTGATGGTGCAGTACTAATGCCCTCGCAGCGGCAGCTCGATTGTTCGAAGCCATATGAGCACCCACTCATCGTCGAAGCCATCAGTACAGGCTTCTTCAAGCATCGGACTTCAGTTGGTAATGCCCATCAAGCTGAACTGGTCTCCAGCCTCCCTGACGAGTATCCGGATGAGCTGGAGCTCCCTGGCTGTATGGTTGCGGCAGCGGCAACTTGTGTTTGTAGCCCTCCTTGCTTGTAAATTTGTTGTTTGCTCATGTGTTCTTCAGGTGTATGCCTCCCTACGTGAGTGGGAGTCGGGCTATCATGCCAGTATCAAGTATAGTGCCACGTCATACGCCAACGTGTTCGATGAGCACATGGAGATCCTAGGAACAATTCGTAAGGATAAGCCTCATAACTATCACCAGATAATGTCAAGGCTGTTGAAGCTTGTTCGGTAAGTGCAACCTTCATGCAGCATTTTCCATACTGACGTACTACTAGTAATGGGAAGAGTCAGTCTCATGATACATCTGTTAGCAATACCTTACGTTTGATCAAATTCTCGTAATTGCTGTTTCTGCTATGCTGTTCTGTGCACATTTCCGCTGTCTGGTACTTTCATTCTGCTCATGCTGTTATGTGATAGTCTGTCATTCCTTAGTACATATAGTCCATGCAATAGAGCCCTTTAATCCTGTACTGAATGATGTGATGTGTATGCTCTAAGTGATTGTACTGAGAGCTTATTCTGATTGATGAGAGCTATCATAGGCATGTTTGACATGAACTTACATCTCAAATAGCCTGGCTTATGAGTCATATGTACAGGATTATGGACAGTTTAGACAGGATTAGCAAGAATTAGGGCAAATTAGTTTTGGGGTTGAGGAAAGTTCACTAACAGCTAATGTCACTAATTAGATCTATTTTGTCATAAGTTTGTCTCATCTGTTGTTATGAGATCTCATTAGGGAATTCTGGTTTTCCTGATGTGAGTTGCAACTTGATGGCACTAATGGTCTCGCCCACGGTTCGAGCTTCACCAGCCTGCATATCATATCAATCATTGCCAAAGGACAGCTTCATTTGTGTGAGTAGACGTACCGAGAACAATGACTCATAACCGTCTTCAGATTCCTTTTTCTCTGCCGTGCCGCCAATTTTGCACCGCCTACAGAAGTAATTCCCTTTCAATCCGATGTGCGAACACGTCTCCGACTGCTGAGGGTTATCCGCTGGCTTGACATGCGGTCGGACTTGGAACAGAATATCTTGCTTCAGTGCGCAATCATATGCCTCAATCCATCTATCATGGCCTCTGCGCAGAATCCACGTGCCGGTGAGTAATTCCCTTCGTGATACGCAGTGACGGTGGCTGACACGTACATGTCATTATCAAGCGCACAGAACTGCTCTGAAGAACTCGCGTGTTGTGACGTCGAATGAAAGCGCACAAAAAACTCTTGTTGGAGCTTCTCGTGTGGTAGGTTCAGATTTGCCAGATATATGTTCGTGTGCGGATTATATTGCTTGCTTGTATTCCCAGAGACATCGTCACTCCAGCATGAGGCGTAGAGGGTGAACATCGGCCTCCCTTGGGCGATATCCCGTTTGGGATGACTGATCGTCGCCCATTTGGGGACGGTTTCTGTAGCAGAGGGGTATCTATGATTCGCCTTTTAATCTGTTGTTGATAATTACTTACCATCGTACTTGATAGTATATCCACGACCCTGTAAGTCCCGATAATTGGCAACCAGCTGCTTCGCGCACACCCGAATGACTGCAGGATCACGCAGGCCATATTGTTTTGACTAGAGCAATGCCAGTTAGCCATGATCACCTCCAACGCACTTGGCGGAAGCGGAACATACAGCGGCATCATAGGCGAGTTCGATCCCATCTGCGGACACTTCCTCGTTCTCAATCATCCAACGTAGGAGCAGAAGGAACCGCCCGTCATAGCACTCAACAACTTCACGGATGTAGAAGTGCTTCTGCGCCCATGCAGGCCGCTCCCAGTTGGCCCACATCAAGGGAAACAAATCAAGTTTTGAGGTGTCAATGACGGTAGGCAGGGCTTTCTCTGCACCAAGTATGTCGCTGATCTTTGTCTGTACAGACGGATAGAGCTTCATGTGTGCGCGGACAAGGGGATTGCTCCAGTCCTAGACCAAATATGAGCTCGTTTTGCCGGTGAGCACTCAAGCAAGGATATGAGAAACTTACAAGCCGGAAGGTCGAGGATGCTCCGTTCGCATACACCTCATTTCCTTGCGACGACACATGGTGCGTCGTTTTCACGCCAATATCCTTGGTTAACTGTGTCTGCAGGTTCCGAAGCTCGCGGAAACCTGGTACGTCCGGAGTACCACATTGCTTCATTACCCATAGGATGAGCTGCAGGTGATCATCAGACAGTCGCAGTCGCGGCAAACTGTCGAGGAGATCAACCATGAACATCTGCACGGAACATGACCGTGAGTGTTATATCATACTGGATTACTGGCACGGCAGACTATTGCTTACTGTCTTTGTTGTATACGGAAACCAATCATTGCTCCCTTCCATATGTCCAAGGATCGACTCTTGGGGTTCTTGGGTCCCCAAAGTTGGCTCCGTGTTACCCGGAAGAGTCGACTCGGGCATATCAAGGCCTATGACGAAATCCACATCGCTGGTGAGCACCTTCCAAACTCATCTTCGTGCATGTTCTACTGCGAACTCACCCATCATTTCCATCGCTGCTATCACAGATGGGATCGTTGAATCAGCGTCAAGAGCTTCACGTTCTGAGTCATTGTGATGGTCTTCGGTACCCGCAATCTGCGAAAAGTCGATAAAAGGGAGAATAGATGGGTCTTTTAACTGTTCCTTCAATGCTCCCAGATGATGCTGATCGTTGCTCCCAGAACCGGCCGAGAATAGGAGTTCATTATTGTCGGAACCAATGTATCCGTGATCTGTCTCTTCTAGGTCTGCAAACAACGCATTGTTCTGACCTTTGTCCGCCTCGTCCATATTGATATCGCCGTCAGGATCACTTCACAACAATTGCGGTGGCTGCAGCAGCTGGGCTGGCCTTGGTGGGCTTGGGACCGATGCTGATGGTCCTGCCCCGCTACTTTGGTGAGCATCGCTTTGAATACCCAGAGCACGTATTGCAGCCTGATGTTTATGGCGTGTCTTGTGCCGCCCGATCCCGTCCTTCTGCAGTGTTACTTCCCGGTTGGTGTGTTTCGTACATAGCAGACAGCGCACTCGCGACTTATCCCCTGGTACAGTCTCATAACCTTCAAGTTGAATTGTCAGTGCATGATCTAATATGACCACAGCTTCTCTTTTATATTTACCATCACTATGCAGACGTGTGGATGGCGTGCGCGGCATTCCCAGAGACGGCGCGACACTCTGCAGTGCTCAGAGTTACAGCCAGAACATGAGTCTCCACGTGATGAGACATCTTGCCGGCGTACACAGGACACGCATTGACTCCTTCCTCACTCCCAGATCAGCGCTCTGAACCCGGAGCTCACGCTCATTCCAGTATCAGACTCCCATTTTATTTCCTCCTCTCTCTTTCCTGACGGCATGCCTAACACCGACTCGGACAAGGACTCTCTCCTTGATATTGACAATTCCAACGACCAGGATGTACCCACGTCATCAACCTCGCCAGAGTCAAGCAATGCTGATATAGGACAGCTGGCGACGGGGAGAAGTCCTGATGAGGGAGATGATGACCGTCATACGCCCGGTGTAGGCCGCTCCGAGTCAGATGGTTCACCAGCAGCTGTTGCGGGCACGAAGCGGCGTGCTGAGGGTGATCTTGCGCAATGCGCTGACATGCTCGCACGACACTTCAAGCTACCAAAGTCCCAACACAACGAGCTTGTTGAAGTCGCTTCCGTGAGTCCTTACTACTGTTTGCTGGGTTTAGAATCCTCGTCCGCTCAGTATGGATTCGCTCCGCCATCATGTCCTTGCGATATTATGGACTTTTGTCATAGATGTCCAACCGGGAACACATGCTCTACAACTCGGCGCAGATGGCAGTTGTTCAAGATATGCTCACGCAGATTCAGCCTGCCCAAGCACAATGGAAGATTCCAGACACACTTTGGGTGCGTGTACGCTTCCCATAAATATTTCCTCAGCCGCCGTGAGATATGTAACACATCACTGACATACTCATTCACGTATAACAGAGAAAGATTGACTTGTATTCGTACGCCATCATTGTCTCCCCTAATCTCGACTTCTACCTTGGAGAGGGCGAGGTCACGCAACGCCTTTTGGTATGCAGTCAGCCCACTTCATGTGCAACGATGTTGATAGCGCTCGGCATAACAGGGAATCCTTGCAAACAATCCGTCATGGGGCTTCACATCAGCATCAGGATTTCGTGCAATTCCTCTGACGGCCCCTGTCAGGGGCTTCATAAGCGCTCAGAACGCTTCAGATCGCATCAGAACGGCTCATCCAGCCAGCCCTCAAGATCTCGACTTTTTGCGAATTGTTGTTGTCAGATAGAATCATCAGACAGCGTCAGACACTCTCAGAGAGTCTCAGAGCAGTCCGAATCTGCGTCAGCATGTCAGATACACCAGAGGATATATATTACACAAATATATTTTGGGCCAATTAATCACTGTCTACACTAGCTACTAGTACGGTACACTTGCGCGAGCTATTGTCCGGTCCATGCGCGTAGCTGCACACCGCAAGCTCAAACTCACCGACTGTGCATTTGCTGGTCGGCGTGTACAGCTTGTCGCCCTTGCGTCTCCTCGCGCTTGCGTCCGCCGGGCTCAACTTGCGCCGACCACCCACCTGCGAGGATGTGTGATTGCTCCGCGCTCCTCGCAGTCAACGGGGCCCCACTCACTCGACGAGTGAGAACTGCTGCGCCGGCGTGCGCGTTCACTGATGCGAAGACGGCTGAAAAGCTCGCCGCGCGACACTCGAAGAACAAGGCCACGCGCACGCTCGACGCGAGCCACTGCCTGCTCCTGCGGTCTCGCCGTGTTTGCGTGGACAAGCCTGGATATGCACGCACCGAGAACCCGAGCACGAGCTCCAGGTTGCTACCCTTGCAGCCCAAGTCAGACAGGCGCGCCGAGGCACCCGAAGGAGACGCATCGCGCAGCGAGCACGAATGACCGCAGAGATTCTCGCGGGTGGAGCTACCAAACGTCAGGGATGGGCTAAGTGCCCCTTTGTCGTCTGGGTGCTCAGTGGCACAACTCCTTCTCGACGTGTGGTCCTCCTTAGCGGGCTAGGTCACGCCGGGCTTGAGCATGCGTGTCGGCGTGTGCCGCATCGTAACTGTGTGCAGCAAGTTTGTGTTGGCCATGCCGGTGCGCGGCATGTTCAGGCTTTCCAGTGCATACTTACCAACTTGTATCGGCAAGTCTGTGCCACCCGTTTTCACCGCGCTCGTGCTTTCTCGCACATACGCGCACAGGGGCCATCTCCCTCATGTTGGTCTCTGTCAGGTTGTCCTGGATGGGATATGCTTGTTCGGTTTATCTGCGGGTCAAGTGGACAAGTGAGGTACACTCACTGAAGTTGCTGTCCCGCTGGCCACCCATTCTCTACATATCTCTGGCGGTGCTCTCGGCGCGTCGCTGGAGCTCTTTGCGGCTGCTGAGCCACGCGATCGTGGGGCGCGCGACCGGTCGCTTTGCGTGCTGACGTGTCTTGCGGACAGGCTCATGCGTACATCATCGAGGTAGGCGGCAAGAGGACACGCAAAGTGAATGCAAGAGACGGCGATGAGGATGTTGAGGTCGAGGGTGGGCGTGTGGTGCAGTGCGGTGAGAGCGAGCGCGCGTCAGTTGCGTGACGTGGCTGAGGCGCTTAGCACTTCAACCGCGCCTCTGAGTCGTGACTCATGATCACTGCTTCAACTTGCTCACCAACGCGCACTACGACATTACCCGTTCGCGTACCCTACCATGGCTACTCTCACTGCCACTGCGCAGGTCGTCCTCTCGAACGCCCCCGCGCGGCCCAGAGCTCTGGCAAGCACAGGCCCAGCTCTCGGCGGGAAGCTGCGCACTATACTCGTGCCCAAGCCGTATGTCATCCCTTCGCCACCTAGCGATGCATCGTTCTAAACACGCATATCAATCCGGAAGAAGCACGAGCACTCCGAGGTTGCGCGCTGGACGAGAACGAGACGTCCGGCGATGCAAGGCAGGCCCACATCTGCCAGCGCTGCGACTCAGGCAGCTCAGTGCGGACCGTTTTGCCTCGAACGCGGACGAACAGTCAAGAGAGCGTCCGTATGATCAAGCTCAAGGCTGAAACATTGGCTATCCCGAGGGCAAGCCTAAGTCTGAAGGCGAGTCCTACCGTACCAGTGCCCCCGCTAGTCAAGTTGTTGAGCGAGCCACCCCGCGCTACTCTGTCTCGCCCCGATTGCGCGAGCGCGCTTGCAAACATCGCGAGGACAGCGAGTGCGCTGCGACGCACTACATACCACAACAAGGCCGGCGATGACGAGGTCAATACAGTGAGTTTCCCGTCCGACATTGCGTCGATCCCTGTGGCTCGGGTGCGTACCGGGATGGACAAGACGCGGCTCTCTGTCGCCCAGCATCAGTAACCACCCTTCGCCGCCAACAAGCCAGGGAAGAGTCTGAAGCACACGAAGTTGTGCCGTGGCCTGCTCGTGGAGAAGGACTATGTTCACCTTGATCGGCTCTGTAAGACGTCTGTGTCTGTCAAGGTGTATGAGGCTCAGGTGGGCGCCGCGTTCAGCGAGATCCGGCGGGCGAAGGAGGCGCACCGCGAGCTCCTCGACGACGAGGACGAAGAGATCGTCCAGAAGGTCGTCCGGGACGCGGTCGCGGACCCGGACGTCGCTGCTGAGGCCGAGGCACTGAGGCGCTCTCCGAGAGGACGCATCGTCATGGACGACCTCGAGGAGATCCTGGACGTGTTCTAAGAGGACTCGCGGCCGTGGCTCGGCGCCGAGCGAGCTCCGTTGGTCCTGCCGTTTGCGCGCTGGGATGCCCACGAGCGCTTTGACGTGACCGTGAAGCCTATACAAATACAGCACGATGTGGGACGTCGAATTCGAGTGCGTCACCCTCTCCTCACCTCCCGCCGTTCCCGCTGAACATCTGCAGGGACACCAGTGCCTGACAAGGCCTTCTGGTCGTCACTGACGCAAAACCCACACCGGTATACCACCACGCTTACCCATGCTCGACATCGACCTCGACCTCGACCTCGAGTGGCGCACGATCGACACGCGCGCGCGCACTCTCCAGAGCGAGCCTGAGTACGCGGTGCAGTACGAGGGCACGGCGCTGCCTGGCACATAGATTCTCGCGCAGATGGAGCGCGCCAGGGGCATCTATACGCAGCCGGTGTGGACCTTCCTCCAGCCAGACTGACCTGACGTACAGACATATATATTATGATGAATGTAGCTGTCTAAATACGTTGCATTTGCACCGAGTTACATGCAGGAGAGGTTTTCTGACGAAATGTGATCTCTGCTGTCTGATGTCCTATGCTATCTGATACTGTCTGGTACTATCTGAGGCTCACTGAGCTGTTCTGATGAATTTCAATATCTGAAGTGTCCTGACGCCTCTGAAGGCCGGCTCTCAGACACAAATACTGTCAGAGATTGCACGGTTTCCTGATGAGATGTCCGGAACGATGAGTACAGGTTCGGCAAAGTCAGGTTGCGAGCACAGGGCCGACTCACCGATCGTCGGGCGGCACTCAAGTCAAGTGTAAGTTGTTCTCAATTGCACTAGTGGAGCACAGGAAACTCGCTGACACTCGCTGCAGATCTTGTTGTCCCTCGGTCAAGAATTGCTTGTGAAAATTGTCGGTGAGAAAGCACTAGAAACCGAGAAGGGGTCGTCGAAGCGGAAGCCAGCTCTATTGAATATCCTTGACCTGTGTGCGGAGATTTCGCACATGTATAAGGCCCACGCAGTCCGTGTCACCATATTCATGTGTGCTCGTGTTGCATTTCTTGTACGCATTCTCTCCTTCATTGTTATACAGTCCCTCGTCTCATTGAACACAATCTCTTACAGTGTCATCAACTACGCATCACGCTCGCGAAGGATGGTCTCGAGAACAACTTCTGGGGCGATGTTGACAAGAAGCTTGATGAGATTCGTACTGTGCACGCCACCAAGGAAGCACGTTCAAGGTATGTCGTTTTGCCGGGTGCGAACATTTGTGTGATGCAAGCTCACACCTTTCATAGGGTTTTCAAAAAAGCACTTGAGGCGGACCAGAAGCTTTTCGGCTCTGCTGACTTGCATGACGCTACTCATGCAGTCCCAACATCCGAGCAGATCATCGGAGACAACGCCGCCGACGGTAAAGGCACCACTTCCGTGCAAGCTACTCCCGCTTCTGTTTTTGGTTGATTCTCACTCTTGTCTGTTCACTTGCTTTGTCGTCATCCTGCTATAGATTTGACTCGAATCATTGCTCTTTAATTTTGCTTTGCCAGTCGCTCTACGTCCATAATCAACATTCGTTCATTGTTCGGTAGTATAGCTTCGATTAATGCCCCTCGTATCGTAGTTGAATCGTGATCATGGTAATCAAATGACTGTCCCGTGTGTATCCCACTCAGCTGTGGTGCTCATAAGCAAGTGGTATCCTTGAAATGTCGGAAGAGGCTATATGGCGTGCAGGGACAATCATTATGATGTGCCCATCCTCATCTGCGAAGGACACTGGGCGGAGGTTGGTGTCGAGCCGTCAATACATGACCGGAGAGGTCCAAGTAATGCTACAAACTGGAGATACAAGTAAGGCTTTCGGAAATGCAGTCCGTCGCATTTCGATCGCCTATGGATTGCCATAAATAGACCCGATGCTCAGCTCCGCACCCAAGCTGACCGTCAGAGGCTCCTGAGGGGACCTTGGATAATACTTGATTTCTGTCTTACCGCGGGCTGATCGGGACCACCCCCAACCTGACGCAGACGCCGGCGTGACCCAACACATTTAGGGTCAGCGTCAGCTCCCGAAAATTGGGCGGTGTAGCCGACCGGACAGGACGACCAAGATCTCGGATTTAAACACAACTACCAGTGTGATACATTGATGCGTTACTGATTGAATATAGCCCATTCATTTGGCTAGCAACGCAAGCAACATGAGCCCACTCACGGGGAAAAGTCCTTATCCATGTAATGCCAATTCACTTCGAACCGGCCGACAGACAGATCCTCCCCAAGGCTTTGAAACAGTGACGGACTCAGATCTATGATACCGTCAATCAGCTCTGTGTCTCACCCTAGACTTGGAGACCAACCAATGTCATATTGTGCGCAACCCTCGCATTCATCACGGACATGTCCGTATTGTGTTTGACCATTGGAGGGGTTGGTGATTTGAATCCACTGTTGACATTCCACTAGTAGTCAAGGTACAAACAATACCAACTGACTCCGGCGCACCGTACCAGATCACAATTACTGCCATCGCCATAGATGAGATGTGAGATGGCTACGATGGGATCGCTATCGCTGTCGTTGTATCCACAAGCCCCCGTGCCGGTCTCGTAATACGTCGCCTGAACAAGTAACAATTGTATAAGCACTGGCAGTTAGCGACACAACAGAGCCTAACATACGTCGCCTTGGAAGTCGTCTCGCTTGATAAGAGCCTTCAGAGGTAGCGCGGATGCAACCAACACGGCGAAGAGTTGCAGGACACAGACTGCGAATGCAGCAGAGAACATATTGGTGAATGAGTATGAGTATATTCTTCAAGGCACAGCCAGTTAGTAACGAGTGTGTGGTAGGGTCGGAAGGAGCGACTGGGGATGTCAGGACTTACCAGACATTCGGAACACTGCTTTTGAAGGGCTGCACATGCCGGGGAACATCGCATCCAGGAATTGACCGAATAGCACAGTGTCATACTTCTCCCGAAGAACGGATGAGTCGCCGCCGGTGGCAACTGGACTCGTATAGCATCATATCTGCCCACATTTGACACACAAAATAGGACTGTCCACCGCGGCGCAAGGCACGTTCGTTGATGTGCAACAGGCAATAGTTCGCCGTTGTAAGCTTTTCCCGTGGGACATCCTTCAGATAACGCGTCGGCACCGGCTCCCGTGTTAGTAACAAGTACTCAAGTATGTGCCATCGCATCATACTATGTACCGATTCATACAAAGCATAGGTCAACATACTGAAGACCTACCGCAACCTCTCCGAGCTGAACAGTGCGTCCTACAGACACCAATTATCCAAGCCTTGCGTGATGGGATATACTAAGATCGCAAACTCACCATTCAAGTGGATGGCGGAACCGAACCCTTCGTATCATACTTGGGGCTTGGGGCTCGAACGATGGTCCAATGGCTAAACTGGGATTGGCGCTCCGAGACCGCACAAGGCCGCGAGTCGCTTCGCATGCGACGACAGCGGAGACTACGCCGCAGGCCAGCGCGGTCCGTTGTCGGAGGGAATGCGCGCGTGGCGGCGAACCAACACACACACAAATACGTCTCCTGGAGCAGCCATTTGATGGAGTCAGTCTGCGATGGGCATTCGGGCTGGAGAAGGGACGGCGGGCGATGTTCAAGTTCTGTAGAGGGTAGTGGGGCCACCTAAATAGAGATGAATACTTATTTTCGCGTCTCGACTACTCGACGTGCTCGACTTGAGGTGCACGCGCGACCGCCGCGTCGCTCGTCCGTGCCAAATCTTGAAGTGCGCGCGAAGCGAGGGGATGAGATTCACTACGAGCCGAATTGATGGGGAGAGCGGGCGACGCGGCCCTCTATAAATACGGAGCAGTCACAGAAGTGCGAGAGAGGTAAGGAACTAAGGAGGAGCAGCAGACAGAGGAGACCCCGTAGCAAGTTCGAAAGGAAGCGTGATGAGTGAAAGACGAGCGATCACTGACAGATCGGGAAGGAGTGATACCGAATGAGGAAGGTACAACACCCGCCCGGGTGACGACGTTCGTTGATTCCCTTCCGGCTTCGGGCGGCGGACCATGGTCTCGGTGCTGGGCTGACAGCGGCGGAGCGTTGCTAACGACGTTCGCGACATGGGCCCCCGACAGGTGCGGCACTCTGCTCGACGCTGCTCGACGTCGCCCGGCGTCTGTGACTTCGCCCTACGGTCGGTCCTCCGCCTCCGCCTTCCGGTTCCTCGCGAGCGCGCCGGTAGAGTCGATGGTACAGTAGATTGATGTTTGTATCGTAGGTAACGTCTGCATGCGAAATGATATAAGCTAACACTGCCAAGAGAGAGAATAGCAGTAAAACCGTGACGCTACGCGTCGATCTAGACCTCGGCCGGATTTCTCCTCCACACCGGTAGAGTCGGTGGTACAGTAGATTAAGGGTTGTATTGTAGATAATAAGTATTGTCTGTATGCGGAATGATATAAGGTAACGCAGCTGAGAGACTCTGAGAGAGAGAAGACAAATAAAAACACGACGCTACGCGTCGGCGCTCCAGCCTTCAGCCGGATTTCCCTTCCACACCGTCTCGATGGAGGTTAGCATCCAGCGACCTCCATGGACGATCTACGTATGAAAAAGTTCCTGTGAAGGTTGCAGAACAACAGATGATGAACTTGACACACCAGCTAAAGTGCGCAGAGCGAAACATGCAAGATGTGACCTGGCTGGAAGAGTCGGCGAAGAGACCAAGCATGGCTTCGAAAGAGGCCGTACAATTAGCTTCAGGGAGGATAGTATACAAGTGCATGAGATACAATGCAGCTACGGCGACAACAAATGCAAATCAGATAGCACGACGACTGCACAGCATAGATAGACTCGTCAGAACAGGCAAACACAAGATGTGCCGGACTTCCGTTGATACACTATGACCCACGTCATCGAGAGGCTTTCGCGAGCTGTTTTTCGGCTGCCTGAAACTCCTCTTGCCAGGCAGCCCACCATTCCGGGTCCTCCCCCTTCCGTTGGCGGCAAGCATCACAGTAGATATAGTATGCCGTGCTTGTCACCCCATAGCCCAGCACAAGACTGGATGGACCACGAGCTGAGCGTCAGAAAGCGTAGGGACGAGCACAGAACGAATTACTCACAACTCAGGCAGCTCGTCTCCAATGGCATCGATGTCTCCCGGGGGGAGGCAGTCCTCGCAGAAGGCTTGCGGGCATGTCCTGCATCTAGTAGACAGATCATGAGGCTAATCCGTATGACTAGCTATGAGCAGCGAGACAGACCTGAACAGCATACCGCCTGAGTCCGCGGTACTTCGTTGACAGTCCGTGCACGTGTGCTGTGCACAAGAGACCAAGGTCTGCCTCTCCATCTGCCTCTTGCTGTAACCGTGACATTCCGCGTGGAATACTACCGTGTGTGAGTCGCGAAGAGGGACGTGGACGTATAAACATGAGATTCACCTCGTGGGCAATAGTTGCAAACGAAGAGATCGCCCCCGTCGCGGCAAAATATACACCAATCTTGGGTTTCAAACTTCTTTCTTCCCCGCTTCACGACGGCTTTGGGCGGTGCAGCCGAGGACTTCGGGCTCATGTCAGGCAAGCCATTTAGGCGAGCGTAAGGATATGCAGCATACCATTGGGACCTCAGGGCCTATATGTTCTGCGATCATCTCCATCCCATCAACCTTGACGATGCGATTGTGGTGAGCCCGCTTTTGTATGTCCTGCCACTCCGCGGCGATATCGGCATTGGACGGGTGTTTTGACTGCTGCACAATTCTGCCCTCAAAGAGCCTGCTCTGAACGCGGACAATACCCGCCAATAGCTTACGCTCTTCTTCCTCTGCATCCTGCACTACTTTCTCGTCCACCTCGCTTGTGGGAGCTCCTTCCGACACCGCCGCCCGCGCGTCATCACGCTCCCTCGATGCCTCCAGGATTGTCTGTATGTTCGTGTGAAGGAGTTGCGAGAAACTCATCGCACCAGTGCTGTCCTTCAGAGCGCTGCTCCCCTTGCGAAGGATGCTCAATAGCTCGCCCGTCTTCATCTGTGGAGTCTCGGTATCATTGGTCGGGTTGTCAGTGCCCATGACCTTCAATGAAAGGAAGAGCTTCCGTCGGATGCGGTCAAGCATCTGGTCTTCGACGCTCCCCCTACAAATCAACCTCAACACGCGTACGCGCTTCGTCTGTCCGATCCGGTGGGCACGTGCGATCGCTTGCAAGTCGTTCTGCGGGTTCCAGTCGGAATCCACAAGGACGACTGTTGTCGCCTTTGTCAGATTAATCCCGAGCCCGCCCGCTTTCGTTGATATGAGGAAGACCTGGTATGGCGAGTTATCCTGCTGGAATAGTTTGATGTCGAGAGTCCGACGGGCACGGGTGGTCGAGCCATCGAGACGAGCATACCGGATCCCGCGCAAAGCCAGGAAGTCCTCCAGTAGGTCGAGCATACCCGTCCACTGCGTGAAGAGCAAAACGCGCTCACCCTTCGGGAGGATGTCCGCGAATAGCTTGTCGAGGAGGACAAGTTTCGAGGACGAGGCGATCAGGTGTTCGCCGATGGTGTAGTTCTCGGGCTCTGCGTTTGGCAGAAGGTATGGGTGGTCACAGACTTTCCGCAGCTGCATCAACAAGTTCATCAGTCTCCGCCATTCTATTCAATGCGTCAGAATTATGTCTTTGCATGGAGGACACGACACATACTATCTTTCTGGGTAGAGCCACCGCGCATGATCTCCTCTACGAGGTGCTCCTGCACCTCCCTCCTGCCCGCGTTATCCGGATCATCATCGAGTTTACCATCGAAGATATCTTTCAGGTCCAACGTGTCCATCCGCGTCAGCAGTCTGTAGGTCCAGAAACGTTGCGCTTCCGTCATCGGCAAGAAGATCGTCAGCTCTTCGCGCGGCGGGACGTTGATCTCGACCGTCGCCTTGGTCCGGCGGAGCATGACAGTTGCAAGCAACTTCTCCGCTGCCTTGAGGAACGGGATGGAGTACTGTCCAGCACTGAGATCGAAGGCTTGCTTGAACAGGCGCTCCGAGGCCTGCGTAAAGACAGTGGGGTAGAGCCAGTGCAGAATGCTCCACAGCTCGAAGAGATTATTTTGCACCGGCGTGCCGGTCAGAACTGAGTTTCAACTATCAGTTTTCCCTGGCATATCCATCACACTTATGGACTCACTGAGACGATACAGGGCACCAATGCCCTGTAGTCTACCGGACACATTGGTATCTGCATTCTTGATCCTGTGTCCTTCATCCAGGACACAATACATCCACCGACGAGACTTGAACCAGTTGTTCTCTGCAACGTACGAGTCGTACGTCGTCACCATCACGTCGAACTTGAGCTCACTCGAGCGAATGCCGTCCTTCAGCCGATTGCGCCCGTTCTTTTGGCCGTGGAAACGGAGGACCTTGAGGGCCGGAGTCCACCGCTCGGCCTCCTGCGGAACGTCGCTGCTGTCAGTGCCTGCGGCCCACGACGAGCGACATACTCACGGCGAGCCATGATGGAAGGACGGAAAGCGGGCAGATCACGAGATGTGGCTCCTGTTGTCCTAGTTGGTCGCTTGAGCGGTCTTTCGGACTGACGTCGTACAGCTACTCACTTTTCGTGTTCTCCTTGATATATGCAAACAGCGATAGCGTCTGAGGCGAGAGGTTGAGTTTTGAGAGCGCTATCTCAGAATCGGACATACCTGCAATGTTTTTCCTAGGCCCATCCTGGTCACGCAGACTCGTCAGAAAAGTGTATGACTCCTGGCATCGGCACTTACTCGTCACCCAGTATGCAATTCATGCCTGCAGACCCTTGCAATCAGCCTGTATGGATATAATAGCTCTACGCTGACCTCTCACCATTCCTGTACATCCAAACCAAGAACGACAGCCCGTGAAGCTAAACGCCGCATGAGTGTTCGACGAGACGAAATGGGCGTACAACTTGAATATCCACCTGATAATCCTTCATTTGGCCTTGCACAAGGCGGGGTTGGTCTTCGAGCTCGTGTAATGGGATAAAGGAGTGATTGTCTCTCGCTTCCTCTAGTTGCTTCTCGATAGTGTCGAATACACCAGTGTTCGGTGGCAGCAGAGGTAGGAAGAGGTCGCGAAGGCGGTGGAGGAACCGTTTCCTCGACAAGTCAATCGAGTCGCGTGCTTCATGTACTACCGCGGTATGCTTCGCCATCATCAGCGTCACCAGTAGACGGACATGCTATGGCCGATGGACGTACAGCTTTCTGCTCCTCCCGTTTTGACCGCTTTTGGGAGGTCGCGGGTTTCTCGTCCGTGACCACATCAGATATAGACCTCTTCTTGTTCGCGATGGTAGTTTGACTCAGAGTTTTGATAGAAGAAGACGACACACTCGTCTCGATCGCGGTTCCGAGTTCTGACGCTGACGCGATGTCTTCATATTCAGATAGCATCGTCGGCGTGCTCGCTATCTCTGAGTAGTCATCCATGGCTGCTAGGGTGTCCGCCATGATGTAGTCGACCGCAGACGATGATGTTCCCAGAACAGATTTGGCAGCAGGTCGTAAGTATCGCGTCCGCGACTTCAACTTACTTGTCCGCGACGCGCCGTGTCGCGTAACGACCTGCCCTAAACACGACGCGTCGAGCGCTTAGTTCCGCCAACGCCCGTGGCCACACGTCAGCCTGAGTACCACCTACTCATAATCATCGTATTGTGCTCATCACATATCACTGAGTCAGCTAGCGAGACTCACTGTTGAAACGATATGCATAGAGCGGAGGCGTATCTGCTGAAACGTGAGGTACGTTGTGCGACCTCAGGTGGACTGCCGCGTTCAGGACCAGGTCAGTATTGCATTGTAACTTTCACGTAAAGCTCACTTACGATCGAATTATAGAACCTCCATGCAACTAGTACATGTGACAGAGACGACAGTCCAGAATGTACGGCATGACCGTGCACACCTCAAGAACCGCATCTTACTCGGAGTTGACGTTACCTAGCATATATGCTAGCTAATCACTCATAGGCTTGCAAGTTGCAACGTCTTGCAAAGAGACTTCTGAGAAGAGGGTGAGTGATTTGCGAGCTCAAGAGCATCTGGGGCTGTCATACGTGCAATTTCGCTGCTGAATCATGCGACAGGCTAGGGTACACCCACGCAAGTCCGCTTCGACGACCCAGAACCGCGCATGCTTTCATCTTCGCCCTAAATCCATAAACCCTCCGTTTGCCGGCGGACGATTTCGTGGCAAAAGCTGAACGTTGAACGCGCACCAGGTCCAAGCTTGAGCCTCGCTTACGTCAGGCTGATGTTAGTGCTCGACAGGCCAGATGTGCTGGTCATGGGGATTTGGGTGCGTCTTTTGCTTCCACTACTCTGGCAGGACTGAATCCTGAACAGGTATTACCCGCCGAACCAGTATCTGTGGGACACGCACGTCCTGTCGAATTGGACCTTCGAGACAGAGTTCTCGAGGGTGTGGATTTACATAGCACGGAAGCATACGTGCCATGGCTGTGCGGTCGCGCACCCTGTTCGGCGACACGCTTTCGAAGAACGAACATATCTCCCTCGAGCAAGCTTAACTGCGGTATGATTGACCCCGGAACAAGTACTGTGTATAAGTGGAACTCACCGGTATTCCTCCGGGTGATTGAATAATGGATAGATATAGCCCATTGGATCAGACGTGTCTGTCCACACGCTATGGGACGTGCGGCAAACGGAGGCTATCAGAACGTTCCTGTCACTATCATTGTCAGCATCGACGGGTGCAGTAAGTGCGTTCAATTCTGGAGACACCTTGGCCCGCTGTATTGAATGGGCGTGGACGCCGACATGCATTATCTTTTCTACCTGCTTCTGATTCATATTTCAGATAAGGTCGCGGCTGAGAGCTCCAATGCAAGGTCAGAGTGATTGCTCACTGCTTTGTGCTCACCTCGGCGCGTCGCACCGAATGACGAGCGTCGGTGAACGATAGCACATGGCGAGTGCGGGGGAAATTTAGCGTGCTGATGCGATAATGTGGACCATCAATCGGCCCATGGGGACGTAGGCCGCGGGGAGACCGATGAGCCGCTTTGAGCCGTCGTCGCCGCCGGCGCCGCCTCCGCCACTGTGGTTCGGGCATTAATCGGCGTCGACCTTCCTATGCGCATGCACAGTACTGCAGTCTGAGTGGATGCGAACGAACGGTACGTATCGCCACCTGTGGTCCTCGAGGACGCGATAGAAACAAGAGAAGCTAACGAAAGCCCCCGCGAGGCACGACAGATGTACGCCCGCGACGGCCGGGAATCATGGGACGCCTGCAAAAGGGTCGAGCGCATCATGCCTGGCGGGTTTAGGAGGCTGATTGCCTCCCCCATAGGCCGGCAGCTACGGCGACGTTTCATTCCTGTCACACCTTTTTAGTATGTAGTATGCTCGGCGTGACGGTACCGAGGCGGGCTAGGCTAACATCACCAGATGACAGTGCGTACCGAGTGCGTACCGACCGCCTTGCCTTATTCGGGAGGAACGAAGATCAACGCGACGAGGGATCTCGAGGGACGGCGAACACGGGCGCAATGGTGAGTCCGACCACTGCTATTGCGGGCGTGGGCCCTTGTATGCCGTCGCCCGCCCGCTCAGCGTCCCGTCGACGGACGGGATTTGGAGGCGTGGGGGAGGATTACGTGCAGAGACGCGGGGAGGAGGTCAGCTGACGGACACGCGGTGTGATGGAGGTGAGATCGCGATCTGGGTGTGCTGCTTGCCACCGCGACACGCCCATGGGCCAATCCCGGCACGATGTCCCAAAATTCGCGTCAAGAAATCGAAGGAGAGGCCGCCGGGCGCTGGGAATGCCGCAGACCTGGAACACATGCGGCGAACGTACGCCATAAAAGTCCACCCACGCACCGAGCAATTCCCGAGCAACCCTCAGCCTCCCAACTCCAGTCTGAGCGGGCCCGGCAGCTACGATGGCCGTCCTCCTCAGTGCACGGCTCGCGGCCCTCGCGGCTTTCCTCGTCGTCGCTGTCTCGGGTCAGTCCCCTGTCGCCATCTCTAGCGCCGTCGCATCCTCTGCTATAGCATCCTCAGCAGCCGCCTCTTCTGCGGCAGCATCCAGCGTTGCTATCTCATCCGTCGCGGTGTCCTCTGCGGCAGCTGCCTCCAGTGCTGCGTCCTCCGCTGCGGTCTCCAGTGCCGCATCGTCTGCAGCTGCATCGAGTGCCGTGTCAAGCGCAGCAGCGACCAGTGTCGTGTCTTCCGCTGCTGCGGCCTCCTCAAGCGGTGATGTCGGTGAAGTCTCTGGCGTGTCGTACACCGTACAGGATACGTACACCATCTACGGCATTCCCGCCCCGACCGACCCTGCGTCTGTCGCAACGTCGCCCACGGCGGGCGGCGAACCGCCCTACTGGACTGGTCTTGGCACTGAAGTCGGTGCGTGGCATGTGCAACACGCGTTTCTCTGCGATGTAACTTACAAACTGATGACGTCAACGTGCAGGCTGGCAGACGCTCTCCATCTCGTCGTACGCGTTCACGTCCTACCCGATCGCGTCCTCAACACCTGTGCCGCCGGTATTCCCTGCGCTCTCCCCGTTGTACCCACCCGCGGTCGACAATGCCGGCCCGCAGATTATCCCCGATTTCTCCGCCGCATGGGACGCCGCTTTCGCGCGCGCACAGGCATTTGTGAGCACACTCACGCTCGAGCAGAAGGTCAACGTCAGCACGGGTATCGGCTGGGAGAAGGGTCTCTGTGTCGGCAACATCGGCCAGGTGGGTGACTGGCCCGGACTTTGCTTGGAGGACTCGCCGCTCGGCATACGCTACACGGATTTCAACACGGTCTTCCCGGCTGGTATCTCGACTGCAGCGACATGGAACCGCACGGCAATACGTATCCGTGGCCAGCAGATGGGTGAGGAGTTCCGCGGAAAGGGCGCCCATGTGCAGCTTGGTCCTATGATGAACATGGGGTGCGTCCTGCGATCTCTTGAGCTAGCCTGACAGAGTGTTGACCGACATGCTATGCAGCCGTGTTGCGCAGGGCGGTCGTAACTGGGAGGGATTCGGCACGGATGCCTTCCTGAGCGGCGAGGCGGCGTACGAAACTACACTTGGTATCCAATCCGCGGGTGTACAGGCGTGCGCGAAGCATTACATCGACTATGAGCAGGAGTATAAGCGCACACAGGAGTCTTCGAACGTCGACGATCGCACGAACCATGAGATCTACCTCAAGCCCTTCTTGCGCGCGGTTATGGCTGGCACGGCCAGCGTCATGTGCAGCTACAGTGCGTCTATCCTGCTGTTTCAGTTGAGACACCGTTTCTCACGACTTTGCGTGGGCAGACATGATCAACGATACCTACGCTTGCGAGAACGACAGGACGCTGAACCAGCTGCTCAAGAGTGAGCTTGGCTTCCGCGGGTACATTATGTCAGACTGGGGAGGACAGATGAGCACTCTGAGTGCGATGGCTGGTCTTGACGTGCGTCTGGTCCACTGCTCCGCTGCCAGGATCGAACTAACAATCACGCCTTCTTTCCCATGTATATCTCTCGGTCTACATCCGCCGGATCGACGTTGATCGACACTTGGATCGACACTGGCCGATCCTGCCACTCCTGCGCACATTGCCGCGACACCCGTGTGGATCGTCGTGGCACTTTGGCATGTTGACGTCCTCAGATGTCGATGCCGGGAGACATCACGCTGGGCTCCGGCAACTCGTACTGGGGCCCGAATCTGACTGCATTCGTCGAGAACAGCACGATCCCTCTGTCTCGTGTAGATGACATGGCCACACGTATCCTCACAAGTTACTACCTCCTCGGCCAGGACGAGAACTACCCGAATGGTACGTGCTTCTGTTCCTGTGAGCTACGGGATAAGCCTCATATTGCCCATAGTGTCATTCAATGCGTTCAACCCGTACGACACTGAGCACAACCTAAATGTCGACGTCCAGGCGGATCACTACCAGATTGTGCGCGAGATTGGCGCACAGGGCGCAGTCCTTCTGAAGAACACGAACAACGCGCTTCCTCTCAATGCACCGCGCAGCCTCCTCGTCGTCGGCTCCGACGCGGGAAACAACCCAATGGGCCCGAACGGGTGCACGGATCGTGGCTGCGACGAGGGTGTTCTGGGCATTGGCTGGGGCTCCGGGAGTGCGAACTTCCCGTACTTGATCTCGCCGTACGATGTGCTGCAGGAACAAGCGCGCATAGACGGGACGTCCATCTCGAACTGGTACCTCGACTGGAACACGGACGGCGTCGCCGCGATCGCGAACCTGTCGGACGTCGCGCTCGTGTTCGTGAATTCGGACTCGGGTGAGGGATACATCACTGTCGACGGAAACCTGGGAGATCGCAACAACCTGTCGCTCTGGCACAACGCGGATAACTTGATCAATGCGGTCGCGTCTCAGAACCCGAACACGATCGTCATCGCGCACTCGGTGGGCCCGTCCATCATTGAGCCGTGGGTTGAGAACCCGAATGTCACTGCCGTACGTTGCTTCAACTTCCTTGGCCATAAACTGTGCCTGACATTGTTGTAGATCGTCTGGGCAGGTGTCCCTGGCCAAGAGGCCGGCAACTCCATCGTCGACGTCCTCTACGGCGCGTACAACCCGTCTGGGCGTCTCCCCTACACTATCGCGAAGCGAGCTGAGGACTATGGCGTCTTCCTCGTGCTCGGTGGCGAGGGCGACACGCTCCTGAGCATCCCGTACGACGAGGGTCTTTTCTACGACTACCGGCGCTTCGACCAATACAACATCACGCCGCGGTACGAGTTCGGCTTTGGGCTGTCGTACACGACGTTCGAGTACTCAAGCCTCGCGCTGGGCATCGTCCCGCAGTACGACCCGACCTCCTGGGACCTCGAGGCCGCGTGGGCTGAGGGCGCGCCGACGCCGCAGGGCGAGGGCTCGTCCACCGCGTTGTGGCTGCACCGGCCGTTCCTGAGCGTGGAGTTCGACCTAGAGAACACAGGCGCCCTTGCAGGCACGGAGATCCCGCAGGTGTACGTGCACTTCCCTGCTGGCAGCGGCGAGCCGCCGAGCCTGCTCAAGGGCTTCGACACGGTGTACTTGGAGCCGGGCGAGCTGCAGTCGGTCTATATCACGATTAGCAGGTACGAGCTGAGCATTTGGAACGTGGAGGCGCAGGGCTGGCAGAAGCCGAGTGGCACGTTCACGCTGAGCGTCGGTGCGAGCTCGCGCGACTTCCGCTTGAACGGCGCGATCCCAATTTGAGGTGATGATAGAGGGACGTGTATGTATGTGTTGTGCTGTAAAATGGGTACTCTGAACTGGTGCCCGATGGACCCTCTGGACTGGACTTACAAACTGACGAGACACTAATGGCCGTGTGGCACTGCTCCCTCATCTTCTTGTGGTAGACGGCGTAGACAACGATGGACTTTGTTACATTCTTTGTCGCATACACATACGTTGTCGTCGTACACATTGCAATGCATCATGATTGTTGTACTTCGCTACTTACCCCTTTGGTGGCAGACTTGCCCGGCGATCTTCAAAGCATTCAAGTTGTGCGGGAGCTGTCGCCGCGATGGACTGCTTTTGCCGGCGAGTGCAGCAGCGCACTACAGTATGACACAGTATGTAATAAGTCGATCCCGCCGTCACTTGCGCGCGGTGATGCTGGCGCGGCCCGGAAACCCCGGCTACTCCGGGTCAAGCATGAACTCAGAATTGTGCAGCGTCGTGCTTCAGCGACGAGAACATGTACTTCAACACCATGTGTCCTTCGGAGCCTGTAAGTGATATAGTGGGATCTAATTTCATGACCATTGCAGGATCTGCCTGTGATATAATAATATCCTCTACAGTATCATAAAGAACTTGGACGCGGTGTCCCCGTTTGAACACGTGAGCGTGTATCCCCAGGGGGCCCGAGCGCCGCCCCGGGCCGCAGGTGCGAGGGTCCCCTCCACCTTCCAACTCAAACTCACCGTCGAAACATCGAGTTCGTGAGCCGTGCAAGGCATGGGCTTTTGCCTGTGTAAGTTATTACAGTAACAAGGCTTGAATAAGGCAGTTTATTGTGCATGAGGGCCCGCGCGCAATCAAATTTTCGAATCATGAGCATGTAGGCTTCGTAAGGAGAGGTTCGGGCGGTCAACCGGTCATGAACGTTTGAACGATCGTCAGAAGAGGTTGAATCACGGCCGCTCTCAGCGGCTATCAGCCCGGCCGACCTTCATGTGCTGTTTGGCAATAGTGGGTCCAATGTACTAGCCGCCGCGTAAGAGACGACCGGGATCACCGAGTCATGAGGGATGGGCTTATTTACCGTGCGATTGCCAGTGGGGCTTGCACTCAGCCAGCCCCAGTACGGTCTTCTAGCTCTCCCACACCGACGTGAATCCCGCGTACCATGTCAGCGAGTCCAGATGCACAGCGGAGGGTGTGGATGATCACCGGTGAGTGTCCTGCACCAAGAGATGTCGCTGTCCATCAACCACGTCTGTCACCATGATCAATTGGGGGTATCACGCTTGGTATTACGCCCGCAGCCTGGTTTTGAGTCACCAGAAGATGCGTTCCTGACGACCCCTCTGCAGGGACCACTTCGGGATTCGGGAAACGACTTGTACCAATGGTCCTCGAGCGCGGCGACTATGTTATCGCCACGGCGCGAGATATCGCCAAAGTCAATTTCTCACTTTCCGAAACGGACCGTGCGCGTCTTCACGTCGTTCAAGTGGACCTGATAGACCCACCTGAAAAGATACAGAGTGTCGTCTCGGAGGCACTTGCAGTGTGGGGTCGTATAGATGTATTGATCAACAATGCCGGATGGGCACCCAAGTCACTCCTGGAGGAAGCGAGGTAGGCTTTGCGTGATGGCGCAATGCGTAACACATGGCATGCTGACGACGTCACGGTATTGCTTGTAGTCCGTCCTATACTCAAACGCTCTTCCAGACGAACGTGTTTGGGGTGCTCAATCTAACCAATGCTGTGTTGCCCCAAATGCGCTCGCGCCGTACAGGAACGGTGGTTTTCCTCGGAAGTCGGTCCGTCTGGAAAGCGGATACCATCGTGAGTGCGAACAATTACATGTAGCACAATGATACTCACGGTGAGATCAAAGCTGACGGGACATTACCTTGCAAGCAAGGCCACAATTCATGGTCAGTGAATGACATCGCACAATGATGCTGCATGACATTAACCATCAAACGTGTAGCATTCGCGGAGACGTACGCTGCAGAACTCGCGCCATTCGATGTCCGCGTCATCCTCGCAGTACCTGGTGGCTTCCGCACCGAGAACATCCACACCGCGCCTTTGTTTAGCGAGAATCACATTCCCGAGTATGACGAGCTACGACAGGGCGAGTTTGCCAAGTTCTGGGAGCGCTGGTCAGCAGCTCCCGGATGTCCGTCGAAGATCATGGCTCTCCTCGTAGACGTCGTCACTGGCGAGGGGAAAGCTGCGGGTAGAAAGACCCCGCTATACTTGGTACTCGGAAAACCTACCTATGCAGCTGCACAGGCTTTCCAGAAACGCCTGACGGAAGAAATGGACGCCTGGAGAGACGTGGCGGAGGATTTGGATCTGGAGCCTGAGGTCACTGAGGGGAGTGATCAGGGTGTACTGTCAGCTTAACAAGCGGTGTATAGTACGTACATAGTGCCACGATTCTACTCGGAACTTTCTCTCGCGTATATGCTCACCAGGTATATGGATACCGTTAATGTTGGTACTGCCAGCACGGTGCACCCACGTGACGGTTTCACTCCGAGATTTGCAGTGGATACTAGACAGTGGAGGAGGAGGAGTAGGAGGAGATGATCCATTTATCTACCGACCAAGGTTGCACGCGCGATGCATCGGTGTCTTGCAGTGACAGTGACAGTGACAGTGCTCAGTCCAGTCCATTGCTGCGCATGGTAGTACAGAGTTGATATGCTAGAGTATTGGCTATACCAAATAATCTCGATGTACAAATCCAAGAGTGGCCCTACTAGTAGGTAAAAACACACAACGATAGTACCGTAATCACACGATTAGACAATAGCACCTTTGGGATCGTGAGCGCATTGTGAACTTGTCTAAACTCTTACGGGCTCCATCCCTTAGCCATAAAGTGCCACTCAACACCGTTGATAACGCCCTGAGAGAGCGGAGCACCCAGGGACTCGAAGAGAGAGGGGCTCAGATCTGCAGCAGAGAGCTCGTCAGCGCAATGTACGTATTGAAGCAAACATCCCACTGACCGATGTCGTACTGGCCGCAGCCCTCACATTCGTCGACGGTCTTGGCGTACTGGCTGGTGCCCGTGGCCGGGTTAGTGATCTGCATATACTGTAGACGTCGTGCATCAGTCCACGAGTCAATCTAGCTATGCAGGACGAATGAGGTGTTACCTGGAAGCAGTTTCCGCCGCTGCCGTAGATGAGGTGAGAAATGGCGACGACGGGGTCGTTGTTACCGTCGGTCTCGCCGCAGGCCCCGAGGCCTGGGTAGTAATACGTGGCCTGTCAGAGACGGTGAGCCGCCATTATGACCGATAGCGTAGAGGGTCCACTACCTTTCCGGTATGGGTGACACGCTTCTCGAGAACTTCAATCTCGCCGCCGTCGATGGGCGTGGCGGTGACGATAGAGGTGAGGGTACCGAGGAAAACAGCGAGCATAGCGAAGCGGGACATTTTGAACGAGGCTGTTGCAAGTGCTGGAAGGCGCTGAAAAGCTGTATGAGAGGGCAGATGAACTAAGGAGGATAAGAGAAAGCAGTCAGGTTTTATGTTCCCCCAGTGACTCCTAGACGCAGGGTTCAACTGGCCAGCTAGGTCGCAAGTCCTGGGACTGAGTGGTTTTCGTCTAGCGAACTTCATGCAGCCACATGTTCCTCCCGACACAATGTGAGGCTCAGCAAGTCGCACTGAATGGAAGCATGATTCCCGCCCAAGCACTGAAACACTGAGTTCGCGCATTGAATGAGGGGTGTCCGGGAAGAGCGTCTCAACATTGAGTCTTGCGAGAGCCACCGAAACGTTTTCAGACCTATTTCCCTCGGAGGAAACATTTTGAGAATCAGTTGGGAGGCACTCTCTAGAGTTGTGAAACCTACCGGAAAGTCGTCAGAGCGGTGGAGACAATTTATCAAGCTATAGTGCTCAACAGCCTCCACAGTACATGCAGTACTTGCACCGATGAGACCTGTGCTCCTTGAACTGCAGCATACGCACGCTTTCGACCTGGGTACGAACGTGCAAGGAACCCAGCCAGACATCCTCCAGGAAGACAAGTCCTGCTGACTGAAGAATGGCCACGCTTTACTTCGCCATCTAATCTTGTCAAAATTGGGAATACGCACGTTTGAGCAAGTGTTTCGCACTTGAATGAGTACATCCTATCAACGTGGTATCCCGCAGATTGGGAAATTTACGGGCCCCGCGGCCACAGGGTAGTTTGGGATCTGTATGAGAGAACCGGTGAACCGGTACATCTACTCAATGGCACTGGATGTAGCAACTGTCTTGGACGCATTCTACATTGACGATTCAGAATGGAAGTCCCAACCGCAAAATCAGCGCGTCGATCATGTCGCCGAGCAGATGTGCGCCGCCGCGATCACATGAAACTACAGGAGAAAGCAGCGAAAGGCGCGCTCACCATATAATGCCACTTGCGCTCCTCCCAGGCTATCCGACTGTGCCGGACTCATCACGCATTGAGCGCGGACTCGCGCGCGGTCACCACACGGAGGTGCGGGATGGTACACTGTCGAGGCCTCCGTAATTCAGTGGTTTGACAATTGTAGTATTGGCGTCACGGACATGATTTCGGAATTGGTTGGCGGCTCGCTCGTGAAAGATATCTCCGTTTTTCCGGGCCGTGATAGTAGAACTTGAGAGGGCTACGAGGGCTACAATGTCCGAGAAACACCATGAGGAGGTCGAACGAACTGAGCTTCCAGGGGCGTCACTCACCAGAAGTGATAATATGTCTGTAAAAATCGGAGCAATCGGAGGTGGAACCGTTCTAGTTGCTTCTGGATTCATGTTGGGCAGAGTAAAAGCCTGCGGCACACATTTGGTGACAACGATGAGGGCTCTTGAGACACACAGACGGGTGTGACGGATACAACCACTTCTAATCCTGGTGGACTACATGAGAGTATAGTAAGACAGAACAATCGACGAACGTGGATGAAAATTGGCACCATATGGGGGATAGTGGTCTGTGTCAGCGCTAGGGGAAAGGCCGCCGGGAGTCCATTATTCGACGAGACTCGGCCAATGACACCGTATCGAGCGGCCCATTGCGCAACGCTGTACGAGGGACGGTCCAGTAAGCCACTGCGGGACCGAGAACTCAGCTGCGTCTACGTACAATTGACGAGGCGTTGATGCGCGTTAGATCGGCGATCGGTGCAATGGGCTCGATCAATGTTGCTCTTGAAACGCAATTGCTCATTGGCCTGTCATAGCCTCTTCGCACTTGCATTGAGAAATTGAATGGATGCTTGTGCGCGTATCTCCAAAGCAGAGCGTCCAATATGGGCGCCCTCAGGCTACAGCCTGGGAAGAATGGATTTGCGGTGCTGCAAAACACCTGGTTTGACCACGTTCGTCGAGATTCTGCACGCCCGACTAGGTAATCATGGCAGCACATGGTCGCTGCGAAACAAGCTAAAGCTCTGTAAAAGGCATTCATTGGTCATGTCCCATTTGTTCAGAACGAGAACAGGTGCTGAGTAGTATGGCATCCCATACTTGCCATCCGAGGCGGCGCTGCCCTTTCTAGCTTTCTTTGCACCTGAATCAGAGTCGGTGTTTGAAAGCTGTTGACTTACTCAACAAACTGTCTGGAGCGGCAACCGTATGAAACATTTGATGACTAGCTCTGTGGCGCGAGAGGTACATCTCGACTGAGTGCTGCCATGAACACCCGAAGCACCAGTCTTTACTGAGTTCTATATCTCTGAATTGGTTCAATGGCGCGGAGAACTCACCGGTCACTCAGAATTAAACCGTGCGCGTCCGACAGTGAAACACCGTACGTGCGTCAGTAGTTGTGGTGTTGAAGACGCGCACGAAGTATGTTTTCGATAATGGAGGGGTTGTTGTGCTAGATTTAGTGTGGCGGCGGCGGCCTACATCGAGAGCTTCTTCGACTCAGCGAGTACATCGCGCTCCATGGCCGACTGAGGACTCGGAGGCCATACTTTGGCAGCGCATTTTTTCATACCGATGTCTCCCTCGGTCATAAGTCTTGAGTTTGGGAGCATTACGAGTGCAGAGGTCACCAAACGGCGATCCTGAGTCCTGTGTAAATACCTGTTGTGCGTTTCGACATGCCGCTACAGGTCATAATGCGGACGTACCAGAGTAGCCATCCGAATCACAGCATTTCAGACATGACACCTGTGGCTATTCACGGGTTTGCAGGGACTCATGATGATGGGAAGCAGCTGTAAGACTGGCTCTGTTCAAGTCGAAGCGGTTCGGCTGCTACCGTGACATGACGCCACCGTGACGGTTCGAACTTCGCCGTTGACAGATTAGGCAAGTGTACTGGTACACGCGCCTGCAGACCTTCAGCTTCCCTTCATCTTCTGCCTTGAACACACTCGTCCTGCACGCGGCGTGCGGAGGTCGACCCGAAACAATTGTTCAAGAATTAGAGAACGCAAGCGCGCCGGCATAGCGGCAGTTCACTAGGCACTGGCTGAAGCTTATGTACAACAACCTGTACATGCTGCATCAAATCGGTAACGATACATTCATCGTGACTTGGTAAAGCCACTCACTGGGCACTAGAGCGTTGAGCTTGCCTTCCACGTCTTCCTCCACCCAGCTGATTTCTTGTTCCTGAACTCAATCATGATACAACGAGGACCCAGACCGCACAGACGTGCACGGAGAACGCATCTCCGCAAGACTCGGAGAATCCATCTCTGGGCAGAGGCCAACGGAGATGCAGATCTCCACATGGTCGCCGAGTCTCTTCAAGTTTGGTCTCCATGGCTCCGTACAGGACCATATGGATCGATCGGAGAAAGACATGATTCCTGATGCGGCAGGGTAATTCGCGAGCAACATCATCATGCACTATCTGGGACGGTAACCACATTCATCTCGCCCAAAAACGGACAGTCCACACTCATAATATTTCCCCACTCAAAAGAGCATACCAACGCGTCCTGCGAGCGGATTGTTGAGCGGATGTTGTGTCAGCAATTGAGGTCCCAGCCTGTGCGCTGCCGTGGTGAGCTAGCCACCCATGATGCATGACCGGGAGGCATCGAAAGGGTCACTAACTCCGAACAGTTTCATGCAAAGGCGCACGTTCTGTTCGGTTCGTACGGCGCCGGTTGCACGCTGAACAGGGTGGGCGGAGTGGGTGGGTCTGGCCATGCCGCCCACATGGACAACCTGCGAAAGCAATGTCAGTGAGTACTACCAGACTTGGTCCTTGAGCGAGGGTACTTGATAGAACATATAAAAAGGCCTGCGTGGAGGACGGGGCTCCTTACGAGTTCCATTCGCCACAGCACAACGTCTCTTCAAGCACTCTTCAGTAGCATTCAGTACCAATGGCCCCCTTCGCTATGCTCGCCGTTTTCCTCGGTGCCCTCACCGCTATCGTCACCGCCACGCCCATGGACGGCGGCGAGATTGAAGTTCTCGAGAAGCGTGTCACCCACACCGGAAAGGTAGTGGACCCTCTACGCTATCGGTCATGATGGCGGCTCACCGTCTCTGACAGGCCACGTACTACTACCCAGGCCTCGGGGCCTGCGGCGAGACCGACGGCAACGACGACCCCGTCGTCGCCATTTCTCACCTCATCTACGGCAGCGGAGGAAATTGCTTCCAGGTGCCACTTCATTCGTCCTGCATAGCTAGATTGACTCGTGGACTGATGCACGACGTCTACAGTATATGCAGATCACTAACCCGGCCACGGGCACCAGCCAGTACGCCAAGACCGTCGACGAATGTGAGGGCTGCGGCCAGTACGATATCGGTCAGTGGGATGTTTACTTGAATACCTACATTGCGCTGACGAGCTCTCCGCTGCAGATCTGAGCCCCTCTCTCTTCAAGTCCCTGGGTGCTCCGCTCTCTCAGGGCGTTATCAACGGTGTTGAGTGGCACTTTATGGCTAAGGGATGGAGCCCGTGAGAGTCTAGAGACGATGACGCTTTAGAATCCAAGAATCGATAAGTTACTTGGGTGATACGTTGTGACCGCGAATGACCAAGTAATTTATGGGAATGCTCTGCGATCGAAGGTCCTCAGACGGGGCAGGAAGGACATACCGCAATCCCGTTAGCCTAGGGCAAAATCGCGTTACGCAGGCTGAGGGCTTGAGGTCTATCGAAGACGCAGTAGATGTTACAATCTTGATGTCTAGTCGCTTTATATCGTCCAAAGCCAGGCGACAGCAAACGCCTCCGCAGCCCAAGTTGGCGCATTGGCAGCAATTATGTCGTATTCCTTCAGACAATGGCATGTAGCGGGACGAAGTGATAACAAGGCAATCCAGCCCTTCATATGTTGCTCACGGTAAATGCTGTTACAGTTCCTTCTATATCATACAAGTCTTCTGTCTGTCATCGCGCGCACAATGCATCCTGTTCCAGCAGCCTCCGTCAACTGTGGATGAGAGTTAGTCCCTAATCACGGCTTGAAATCGTCATGCCGTACCTTTTCATGCCAGCCGAGCAACACACTTCCGCTGACGTCTCCCCAGCCAGGCATCGCCATGCCCTTGTACAGGTACTTCATCAAGGTATCCTGGGCGTCTGGTGAGAGTGCACGGACGATGTTGGGGATCTCCGTCGCCTTGGTGCTATTGAGTATCGATACAACGGTCTGCAGCGTAAGGTTCTACGATCATAGTTAGCATTTGAACATCGCAACGACAGTTGATGCTGATCACCTTCGCTTCGTCGACGTTCGGACCGTATGGCGCACCCTCAAGGGCGGTTGTCAGAGCTCCTGCAGTATCCCCTCTAGCCAAAGGTCATCAGCATCGCAAACTGGAGTTAATCATGATAAACACACCTTGCCAGAGACTGCCGCACTGTTGCTGCCTTCTGCTTCGCGTCGCTCACGACCTGCGAGGGGTCGCGCTCATCGGGCTCATACAGCTCGCTCTCCAGAAGCACATCCTCATCGTACTGGTCAATGTCAATCTTCCGGAAGCTGCCATCCATCTTAGTTGGTGAAGTAGTAGTCGCCTTCAGCGCCGTTGAGCTGCAAGCTAGCCGTTCCAGTCGGTGTCAACAGTCGCGACCTGCACACCGCACTCGCAGCCGCAGGGCACAGTAGGCGCTCATGTAGGTTCCCATATCGGGGTACTTCACGTGACACGTGGTCTGACGCGCAATGATCAATATCGATCAATCCCCGCTGCGTGCCAATTGCCAAACCGTGACTTCACTGCAAGAGCCTTCAATATTCAGTCCAAACTTGTTCCCCCATTTGTCGATCTCTATAGCACGCGTAGGTGATGAATCTGCCAAAGAAATGCAGGATTACTCATATGGTACATGTCTCAGTATAATCTGCCGATGCGTTCCGAAGCTCCGACTCGGAAATGATACTTCGAAGTCGGCCATGTATTGGTAACAAGCGAATGTCCCAACTCACACAAGCAACGGTCGTTAATTCCAGCTCGTATTGCGAGTATCGCGGATATACCGCGGCGGTCGAACAATAGAATGGCACAAGCGTTCTACAGCCAGGCCCTACAAGAGATCGTCGAAGCCATACATGATTCAACATCCCATATGTTACCTACAAAGACAGTTCGAACGGAATCATGCTATCTTACATACCCCTTTCAGGTCCGCTGTCCATCATCATCTGCCTATACAAATACAACATAAACACATAAGTTATAGCGAATACCATCCAAGCATGCTCACAGACGTCTACGTCCGGGGTGGTACCGAGGGCAACATTGGACCACCCGTCTGCACTTGGCCATCTGCCTGTGCTTTCAGCAGCGTGCCGAACCCAACGGCAAGGGAGCCAAGTGCATGAGCGGTACTGCTTGCCAAGAAGGCACCGCCCACGCCCGCCGAGATGGCAGGCAGAGCGGGCAGAGATCCAACAGTGATGAGCACGGCGGACAATGCGCTCATTGCTTTAGGATGTTCGGTTGTGAGCGACTCGAGCGCCTGACAGGCGTTCACGAGCCACACTGGGGCATGCGTGATAGTCGTAGGTACTGAAATCAACGTCAGTCAGTCAAGGGCGTGGTATCGTGGAGTGAGCTGCGCACCATCACCTGTCATATCATCCGGAGTCATTGGCGGTGTCGAGACAGGAGTGTTCTTCGACGACGGGCTCTTGGACGAAAACACGGAAGACGCGATGGACGATACGCTCTCGATGGAGCTCATCGTAGCGGAACGCTTTGGTGTCGGAAGCGAACTACGAGTTACTACCTCAGACGTCGACTTGGACTTCTTAGGTTGGGGCTTCGGTGGAGGCGTGGGCGGGGTAGGGCTCGCCGCCTCGGCCTCTTTCGAGTCATCCCCTTTGCCTACGATCCACCAAAGTCCCGACGGCCTGCTCTTGACAGCGATAGCCTCCTTCTTCTCAGTATCGATGTCCCCTGTGCATATCATCAGTACAATCCTTTTTGCAAGGGCATTGCTACAGCTACGTACATCCCATATTGCGCATGGCAGTCTTGAAGGACTTCCAGTTCCACTTATACTTTCCGCCGTGCATGTTCTTCATGACGAGCTTGACTTCGTCAAGGCGCTTGCGCGCCTTCTCTCCCAAGTAGTGCTGCCCGACCTTGTGCCAATAGTCCTTCGGGACTTTGCGTTCGATGCATCCCGCCTTGATCTGGGCCAGCCAGTCGTTGACGGGGGGATCCTTCCTGGGATTGCCGAGGAAACGCGGGGCATCGCTCCAGGACACGAAAACGGGTGCGAGGTCGAAGGGTTTGATCTTGAATGCGTCAAGCACCGACATCGTCGAGACGAGAATGCCTTAACAGAGGGTGAAGGGTCCTGGTAGCGAGGTATCCTGCGATAGAGTAAGCACCCGCTTTAAAGCACCCAAGCAATGTAAATGCCGACCTCGTTGCTTCGGTGCATCTCCCTTGCGGGTGTATCACAGGATCTCGAACCGGCAACTTGGGGACCAGATGATCGTCTGCTCTCGAGAACATGGACGCGCAGTGTTGCAGATCCGGAACCGACAATGAGCAGCGTGCCGAACAAACCCTAGTGGCATGCTGTGCACCTCGTTGCGCACACGCGTTCGATTTCATTATCCACATACACGCCCCGCAGCATAGCTGTCACCTCTCCGTATGAGCTGCGTATGAGTATCAGCTAGCTGGGCGGGTGTCAATAGGCGGTTCCAGACATTCATGTACCTAGCCGCACCATGTTGTCGACGAGAACGTCTTTGCCTCAGTACCTAGATCATCAGATGAGGGCCGATAAGAGAAACAAACAACGCTCTATTGCAAGTAGAAGGGAGTGCCGCCGGCGATGATCAACCTGCGACGAAACGAGTTGGTGACACTGAAGGCGCAAGACATCCTGTGGCATGTATGGGTGTCTGATAAGCTGAACGTAGTCTTGCCAGGACGTGTTTTGCAACGACGATCTTCAGACAGCTCGGTGAGACTGATTGATAGCCATCCTGTGCGTCAAATCAGCGATTTAAGCCTTGAGCATTGTCGGTCCGATCATGTTGCGGTATCTCCTCACCATAAGTAAACGTCCCCGAAACCTTCTCTCAAAATGAGTATAAAAGGGTGGTGTTCATCTTCGTCGGTGAACATCGCTCATCACGGCCTAACCACAATTCCGGAGCTTATCCAAATGAGATGCTCCACCCATCAAGCTGACAATGCTGAACAGGACCTGACCTTCTACCTCGACGCGGAGTGCTCTGTTACAAGGCGCGTGAAGCCCTGCGATCATACAACGGTCTCTCACTATGTAGCCCAACAGGTGGCCTCAGTGTCGGCTGTAATTCAAGTTGAGCGATGAAAGACATACCAGATTTGCGATGGTGATCCGGCGTGGCGAGAGGGCCCTCCGTAGTGTTTCCGGCCTTCGGATATCGCCGCCCTGCTTGATTTGCTATATAACTTGTGACGACAGTGGTGATTGCCCATCTATCGCTCGCGCTCAAGGAAAGGTGCGTCTACAGTGGGCAAGCAATGTATTGCACATCTGACACTCTATAATTGCCAATTAGCAAACATGGCCAACCCTTCAGCACAAATGAAAGAAGGAACGATCCCTTTTACCTATCAGGGGGAGACATTCGATACGCACTATAAGGTCTTTGGCGAATTGGCCAACCGCTCACGTCCACCACTTCTCGTCCTGCACGGAGGACCTGGGCTGACTCATGATTACTTGTTGCCCCTCTCCGATCTTGCGCTCGTCGGCATCCCAGTCATTCTCTACGACCAAATCGGTAACGGAGCGTCCACTCACCTGAGACAGAAGGCCACAGAATTCTGGACAATCGACCTGTTCGTCGCCGAACTCGTCAACCTAGTCAAGAAGCTCGACATCGAGAAGTCCTACGACATTCTTGGGCATTCGTGGGGAGGCGTGCTGGGAGCGGAGTATGAAATCCGCGAGCAACCGAAGGGCTTGCGACACCTCGTTCTGAGCAACGCCCTGGCGGCGGCGGAGATCCGGTCACGGTCCGTTGCGCAACTTGCACAGGCAATTTCAAGAGAGGTTCAGGAGGGACTGGCCGTTAGGATGAAGGACCCGCAGAGATACTACGCTGCCTTAAAGGCCCTGCACGCTAAGCATGGGTGCACGGTGCAGCCGACGCCCCCAGAAGTCGTTCGGTCTTTCGATCGCATCTTCGCGGAGGACGGCGATCCGACAGTGTCAATGACATCGTATGTACTGCTGTACCGACGTTCAAAGCCTTTGGGTGCTCACTGTGTACCAGGATTTTGAAAGACTGGACAATCATCGATCGCCTGCACAGAGTACTGGCTCCAACTCTGGTCATCAACGGGCGCAAGGATTTCATGCAGGACTTCGTAGTGGCGCCCTTTTTCGAGAAAATCAACAAAGTGAAGTGGATCACTTTCGAGCAGTCGAGTCACTGTCCGTTCTGGGAGGAGCGACAAAGATATATGGAGGTCATCGACGATTTCCTGAAGTTGTGAGAAGGTTAGTTAGGCGAAATGACAACTGCGAATATTACTCACGTCTATGTGCAACTGCAAGGGCTTGATGTTACGCGAAGTTAGGATGAGAATGATTCCCATTACCATGTAATCAGACCTGCTCTTCCATCTCGCCTGATTCGCACGAATCATAGTTGCATAAGGAATTTGTGGTCTAACAAGGCATACGGAAACTGTCAAGGGTGTGCCATATCATGTCACTGGTGTCGAGCTCTAAACGGAAATGCATCGACAAATTCTAGGATCTCATACCAATCTCGTTCTGTTGGATCATATGTTCTCCCCGCGACTGCGTGCCTCTGCGAGGCTCAACTCTATCGCCAAGCGCAAATCTTCGTCTTCATCCTCAGCATCCTCAGTGAGCGGCGTAAACTCCGGTGATCCTGAGCTCCTGCTTGTCTGTCGAGCGAAACCGGCAGAGATGAGCGACGGCCCCGCGGAGGACGAGCGGTTGGGTGGTGAATTCTTGCGCGCAACAAGCAGTGGGGAGGAAGTCGCCGAGGCTGGTGTGGGCGACGGCGCCGACGAAACCGACTGCAGAGACATCGGGGTCGTCCATGCGTTACGAAGAGACTCTGCACTACTAGGGCCGGACCGACGCATAGCACTCGGACTCGCAGGTGTACTGGGCACGGACACACCCGTAGAAGACGGCGTACGACTAACGGGCGGAAAGTGGTCCAGATCCGTCGTTGATGGCACAGAGACGCTAGTCTGTGTATTGAATGAGGACGACAGGGACCCGTTGAGAGGGATGTGAGTGAAGCCCGCTTCCATCGGCTCCGGGTGCATGCGAGGCGATACTTGAATCTTGTGGTTAGACTGCAACGGGACCGTGCGGGGCAGTGTGCGCCCATTGATGACGATACTGCCATTCGAGTGCGATTGCGAAGAGAACGAGGACGTGCGTGATGTCATCGCGGGCGACGGTGCGTGTTCGATGAACGCCGAAGGTCCGGACACGGGAGTTTGCAGATCGTCGAAGTCGGCCATGAAGACACCGTCATCCTCGGTTGTGGATAGGGCACGCCTTAGCCACCGATCTTCCTCCTCATCCCTGCTGAGCATGAGAACATACTCCACAGCCTCAACCTCATTCAACCCCATGTGCGCGAGGGTTGACTGCTGTTCCCTCTCCCGTCCGAACGTACGACGCGTATGCGATTGCTCTTCGTCTAGATCGCGGCGTGACTCCGCGATGTCGCGGTACATCTCGATTTGCTCTGCGTAGACATGTAAGTTGATGGACGACGACAAGGTACACAGATTACACTCACGTTGCCACTTGGCCAGCCCCGAATTCCGGGAGGCTTTGGCTTGCTTCCCCTTTGCGTGCGCCTTGTCGTGCTTGCCCACCGGGCCGGCTTGCCATGCCATGACCCTGCTTCCGACCGACGCAAGGAGCACCGTGCGCTCCAGGACGATCTGGCTGACACCATCCCACTCGCCACCAACAGCAGGACGGGCACCGGGTGACGAGAAGGTCCTGACATGCGTGAGCGACAGCGAGTCCCAGACCTTAATCGTCCCGCGAGAAGAACCAGATGTTAGCACAATAGTGTTCCACGCAAGCGCAGTGACCGCGCCGTCTTCGTGTGCATCGAGCTTGCGGAGAGGGGCGATGCTCGTCTTGCTTGTCGAGGTGGAGCCGTCCCAATCGAAGATACTGATGCATCCCAGCTGGTCACCGACGAGTACGAAGCTAGTCTCGCTTTCCTGGGTAGCGAATACTGGTTTGACCACGGTGACTGAGCCGGCTGAGCCATCACCGAGGGCGAAACGTTCAACGTCGGATGTAGTTATGTCGACATCAATCCGGTACAGATAAGGATCGTGTTTGTAGGCGACCAGAAGACCGACTTCACCATCGCGTGGGGCCGAGACATGGATATCCAGGAGCTCGCGGAGGGGCACGAAACCGGCCGGTGTCTGCGTAGCATTGAACGCGGGGAACGGCGCTATCGTCAATTCGGTCGGACAATGATCGAGCACTTCTCGCTCTCCGATCAGGACGGGGCGCAACCCGGACCACACGATGATCTTGTTGCTCTCCATGGCTGCGACCACCATCCCGCGGGTGACATCCACGACAAGCTTCGCACACACATCCCTCTCGAGACCGTCCTTCTTGATCGACGTCCAGACGCACTTCATCTGCTTCACGTCCCAGAGCTTCACTTGGCCGTGCGCATCGCCCGTGGCGAAAGCGCTCGGACCTTCCTGGCCGGCTTCCGTATTGCCCCATGCAAGCGCACACACGGCCGCCTCATGGCACTCCTCCAACTTGCAACGTGCGTGCTTGGCCGCCGACGGACGGTTCCCGTCCATGGCGCGCACCGCCGTCGTCACCGCGACCTCGCCGTTGCGGAACCCCCACAGCACCTTCGCCGTGCGCCCCTCGGATGCGAGCGCAATCGCCGTGACATGCGGCGAGAATTCGAGATTCGGATTCCCATGCCCCAGCCCGTTGGCGGTCCCGCTTGCGTCGAGATAGCCGCGAAGGACCTTGCCCGTGAGCGGGTACGAGCGTGCGACAATCCCGTACTGGAGTGAGGCGGTGAGCAGCGTCGTGTTCGGCATCAAGTGCATGGACACGACGTCCGAGTGGTGGGGCACATGTGTAACCGGCTGGTTGCGGGATCGTTCCCAACGCCTGCAACAACGAGATGAGCGACATGTCAAGACTTCTCCACAGTACAATTCATTGAGTAAATTACGACCCCTGACGACAGGCGGAGGGGCCACATTCCGGGCTGACATTCTGGCCCGAATGCATCAGGGGCGCTGGGTCCGGATGGTCCAGAGCACAACATCGATGTCTGGACAATTCTGAACGCAAATGGCGTTCCCAGACGGTCTCGAGCGCTGCAGCTTGTAGTCTGTCGCGCCCTAAGCAGAGCTGTGTAGCTCACACTCGGTAGTCGACACTGCTTCATCCGGATGATGAGCCAACCCGGGACGCTAAGGTCCGGGGATCATTCGTGCCTTGGCCAGCGCGACCTGTCCCGTCGTCCGGACACTATTAGGTATGCGGCCCTCATACTTCGACATCCCGTCCTGGTGTACATTTGGCGTTTGCACCCCTTGGAACAGAATGACGTAGGCTTCTGGGCAGGTTCCGCGAAAGAGCAGCTACGATACCCTCTGACGTGTGGGGAGTCTCTCCGTTCGCCAGTAACCGGCTCCCATCCACGGCGGAACATTCTAGCTGCTCAGCCAGGCAGTCCGAGTGAGACGTGGCGATGTACAATGGGCAGGACACGATGCGATTGAGGCCTTGCCTCCCGCTCACCACGCTGGAAGGGCGTGGCCGGCAAGTTGAATGACGTACCGTCTCAGATTGTACCTCAGGACAAATTCGCGCCTCCAGGTGCCCTCTTCGCGACGTAGCATCAGGCTCTTCCGCTCGCCATCATCGCGGAGATCGCTCTCGGGAGAGATTCCGAGGAACTGGTAGACGTACGCGCGCCGCCAGGTGTTGTCGTCCTTTACGTGGGCGTGCAGCTGTCTGTTCGTTCCGGAGAGCGCAAAGAGCGAGTCAGGGTCAAGGAAAGCGGTGATGTGCGTGAGTGATTCCGAAGGAAAGCGCAGCAGGATGCTTTCGCCATGGCTGAGAGAGCGATGTTTTCCATGTTGACCAGAAGTTCGCGGGTGAGCGTGCGGTAGATTCAATCGAGCTGCGTTCTTGTGAGGAGCTTCGATGGGCCTACTGGGCATAAAACTTGGTTGCGAGCTGATGAACGAGGCGTCGCAGACGGTTGTCTGCGATGGTGATGGTCGGTGGCGAAGATGGAGGGCAGTCGCTTGGCGCTCGCCCCTCTCCGACGTCAGGCGACATCGATGTCCTCGACTGGCCTAAGCACTCCCGATATGTCGGTCTCTGCGCATCGACCTGGCAAAGCATAATGAAACTATAGTACTATGCGAAAGGCCGCATATAATTGATCTTATATCCAAGGACGAGCAAGAGCTTCGAAGCTGCAGCCTAACGTGCCTAGCAATGCTGCAAACAAAAAAACCGTATTGTATGCGAACAACACCGAGTGTCTCATGTACAGTAGCCACAGTGGAGATGGCAACGCTGATTTCTTGGGTATTGAAAATGGGCTGCGTTGCATAATGCATATTAACTGAATACACGAGCGAGACTCCTCATAACTACGTGCAGGTATGTATAGCGACGTGTTATGACGGTACAATAAGTGAAGCGTCCTGGTGCAATGTGCAGACGTGCTTAATGAGGGAGGCTGATGGGGTTGGCCTCGTCACTGATGACCTGGTCAACTTTCGTGACCCTACGATCCTCGGGGCCATCGCCTTCCTCCACACTACAGTATGATGAATGTCAGTCACTTGCGCATACGTAGAGATCTCGAGGACGTACACGACATTCAAAGACGAGTTGACTGTGCTGGATGTCGAGGCCCCGCCGACCTTGATCCTCTCATAAATAGTCGCCCTGTAGTAGACACCGACGGTGCCGGCCTGTTGTATGTCTCAATTACGCCGAACGACAACAGCTGACAGTGTATCTACTCACTGACTCGGGCTCCTTCTTGTTGGCAGGTACCTCCACCGCGCCGAGGAAAGAGACAGTAGCAGACTGCTCGAGGGCCCGCTCACCCTGGAACAGCCCCTGGTACTGCGCACGGCTGAGCCGTTTGCCGTTCACGGTGATCTCCGGGTCCTCGTCGATAAAGGCGTCGAACGCAGCGCTGAAATCGCTTGGAGTGGATGCCTTATAGATGGCCGAGATGCTCTCCTCCACCCAGTCGGTGAGCGGGATGACGACGGGGCCAGGACCAAGAGTAATGTTAGCCATTGTGCGAGTAGTGGTGGTCAGTACGGGAGTACGGTTGACTGGACGATGGATGATGGAGAGTCTGAGAGGGTTGAGGTGCTTGTTATATATCCTTGCGAGGCTGCGGAGGCGGTCCAGGACGTGACAGAAAGGCTAGTACCATGCTCCGCCCGTGGCGACAGGGCGGGCGGTAAGACGGAATGCCATCATACTATGGGATATGCGAGCTGGAAGACGTGATGGGCACCACCGCCTGACACAGTCAACGTAATGGTGACTTGGCCGGCCGTGGCTGTAGATGGATTGACAGACAAGGGAGATCGTATTTGTCAATGCGTCCGACCTGTGAGCAATCAAAAATCGAGACTACCTCAAGGCTATGCTGGCGAGTCCTGTGGCGACGTGTCACGATGGACGAACGTTGCTGCCAATCCTCGTTTCACAGGCACGCCCGGTGGGCGGACGGTTCACATACGGGCAGCGCGCCGATGTCAAGGCAGCGGCAAATGCAACCTGGTGACAACAGTATCAGTCGTGATGGACAGATGAGTTGAAATGGAGGTGTAAGCTGACCGTGTCGGCTCCGCTGAGACTACAGACTATAGCAGACAGACAACCTGGGTAGTAATGAATAACCTCAGAAGACTCACACTCGGTGACAGAGAGCGCGATGACGGTACCTATGACGCCCTACGGCGTAGTGCCAGTCGAGGCCCCCTAACAAACTGTCAAATGCGTAGGCAACAGATGCTTTTTGTGGCCAGTCTTACCTGCAGCGCTCTCGGCGCTCCGAGAGCGTTACGGATGTTGAGTTGTCAGAGCGAGCGCTCCGCTGGGGACTAGCTACCACTACGCTGTTCTCAACTTCTCAAAATTCCGCGGGGTATTCCTGACTCAGCAAAGAGAAGAGTTAGTCGTGAACGGCAGCAGGACTTTTCGAAAGCAAAGGACTTGCCGCGGTCTTTCTCGCAGCACAACCCGTGACGCGACCGTCTTTGGGCCTCAGGGCTACATGGGCAAGGTTCGACGAGGCGCAGTCACGGCGCTCAATTATCTGCCAGTGTCACCGCCACAGAACTACGAGCAAGCGGCGCAGGACGAAGTGACTGAGCACATGCTGGGCCGCGTAGTGACCGTAAGTTGGAGCCAAGCATGGCGTGTCTTTGAGTCGGGACAGGCGGGCACCTCCGAATTGATATGGAGCTCCTGTATGACGCTCTTGACCCGCCAAATTCTGAAGCCCAGAGTGCAGCAGCTTCATTGCACACCTAAAAATTAGTGTAGTCAGCGAGCGCTACGTTGAAGTCGAGACTATCCTACTCTAGGGGTCTGAAAGACAGCTACAGGCGATGTTCACGAGCAATGCATTGAGCAACGCACGACAACCTAGCTCGAGGTGAGGCCACATGTGTTTTGACGACGGGTGCACTGTATTGATAAATCAGCATGGCGAGAACATGTCTGCATAAACCAAATCACGCACGTCGAAGGAGGGCGAACTCATAAGTCCGTCAGCCTGAGCCAAGTCTGGAATAGTTCTGTCATTCGCGGCCCAAACACATGAAGGCGACTTGCACAGGGCAACTAGTTCAGCAACGTTCTTCGATGCCCAACGTGGCCGCCGGCCCCACGCCACGGTCACCATACTCGGAACCGTTGCGGTGGGGCTGGGGACGATGTTGAGGGAAATGTCCAAGGTCGCGGAGGGTGTGTGTTATGTGAAATATTGGATTTTCAGGCAGATCGGTCTCTAGGATAACTCTGGAGAAGGACTCGGACGCCGGGCACCAGTAGCTCTCTGAACGCAGTGTGAGCTGAGTAGCTTGACTGTCAATCTGTGAGGAATCGACTAGCCTTGTCAATACGGTGAACACTACGTAGCAGCTCCGGTAGGTCGAAGGCTCATTGAACCTCGCTCTGCCAGTGCGGAACCGTCAGATGCACATCCTATATTGCAAGCGACGATTAGTACAGACCATTATCCTGGATGTAGACGCAACTTCCTCGTTCGCGGCCTGAGCGCGTCAACACCGTAAATCCTGGGTCGTGGATGGACCGGACCTGCTTTCCCGCCTTAGGAATTGGCATAGAAATCCATTCGGCTTGTTCACCTTCAAGGAGGTTGGCGGGGACTCCGTTTCACTGGTTTCCATATCAGGAATTCAACGCCCGGGATTTGCCGTGGCGAATATCCTCAGCCACCGTGCACGGACTGAGTGTCGTGCAAACGTTCACCCATCCCCGTCGTCATTGCCGTGCCCTCTTCCTGTGATATCTTGTCTCAGAAGTCCTTGCGCGAAAGATTACACACACGCGTCTCGGCGTAACCCCACGCCACTGGAAACGCGTTCAATTGCCCAACCCGTCTTCTCTCCTACCACATTCATCATGGACGCCCAAAAGCCTGCGGCCAAGTATGTGGCATGCTGCATGTAACGCATTTCATTCCTGACCTCTGTGACTGTTTTCGTGTCTTTCAGGAAGCGCAAGCTCACGGATAGGAACCTCCCGAACGCATTCCTCCAGACACCAGAGTTCTCCGTGGACTCCCAGATGTACCGCGACCTCCTCGACATGGAACGTCGGTTGGACTGGACAATGACGCGAAAGCGCGTAGAGGTGCAGGACGCTCTCCAACGTATTGCGCCCGTACGTACTCGATGGGCTATGAACCTTAACGATAGCTAACCGGACGTGTCCAGACAACGCGCACGCTCCGCATATTCCTCAGTCACACTGTGTCTGGACAGCCGTGGCAACAAGGCGCAGAGGGAGAAGCGAAGGTGAACCCGGAGACTGGCGAGGGCATCCCGGCGTGGCAGTTCAGGATTGATGGGCGGTTGCTCGAGGTGCGTTCTCCTGTCCGGGATGGCCATCATCACTTCTTGAGTGTCGTCCAGATCCCGAACCACAGAGCAAAAGACCGGGTACCCCCGCGAAAGCTCTCTGCCCTGGTCAAGCAAATGGTCGTCGAGCTCGACCGAGACATGAACCTGTACCCGGAGGGCAATGTCGTCGAGGTGAGCTGCCCCCCATGTTCGTGCATGTCGTGATGTCGCTCAACATAGGCCAGTGGGTGCGGGGAGCCAACCAACCTGCGATGGATGGATTCACAATCCGACGAAAAGGGGACACGCCCACCAAGATCCGGATAATACTGCACCTCGAGCAACAGCCGGAGCAGTACAAGGTACACCCAGAACTAGGGACTCTTCTGGGCGTGAAAGAAGACAGTCGAGTCGGCGTTGTGCAGGCGCTGTGGAACTACATCAAGGTTGAGGGGCTTCAAGACAAAGTTGATCGTCGCATGGTCCGAGCAGACGCACATCTCCGACCGGTAGGTTGCTTCTCACGACTGTTACCATATTGTTGGGATATGTGCGCGCAGACGAATGGCATCGCGTCCCTCAACTGGCCTTGTTTCTACGCGACCTGCACACTGCCGGTGGACCTCATCATGGAGGTACTCAGATGCGGAGACTGACCCGTTTCGCCTGCGCACATTGATGCCTAGCAATATGTAATCAACGCAATACCAAGATGCTTTGCTGATACATAGCCTCTCAGATATTTGGCGCAGAGTCTGTCATGTTCCAGCAACTGCCAGAACTCGTCAACCGATACCTCCTCCCGCCGGACCCTATCATCCTCCATTACACTCTCAACCCGGCAATCCCCCCGCCAGAGAAACCGGGCGCGTGGGACGCCGAGGTGAAGCTGGATGACTCTGGTCTGAAGAGCCGGATGAGCCACGCCGTCGTGCAGATGGCCGCCGAGACCGCTCGCGAGCTCGCTAAGCTTGACGACGAGGTACGCTGACCCGCGGTCTTTACTTCGTTCTTGACCTCACTCGGCCCTCCCAGATTGCCATGCACGTTCAATCACTCAACAACGCGCACCTCAAGCGCACATTCCTCCGCGCCTTCGCCGAGGACCCGCAGCAGTTCATCCAGACGTGGCTCGCCTCGCAGTCGCGCGACCTCGAGACGATGCTGGCGAGCGGCCCAAGCGACGGTGCGACGGTGCGGCAGGAAGACCTACGGCGTAGCGAGTTCTTCCGCCTGCCGTGGGTCGAGGAGGCGGTGGCGGTGCAGGAGGGTCTGCGCCTCGCTGCGAGGGCGGGGATGTGATGAAATGCGTCGGGTACAATCCTTTGACCTGGAGACTTCATCGCTGTCGTTCTATTGTAAGTACGGTGTAATTATGTATCACCTTCGTGTTGCTCCTATCATCGAACTTTGCTAGCCTTTTTAGACAAGCAACATTGCACCGCTGTACTGAAGTGAGATCTGCCTTACGCGAGGCAGCGCGACTTGTGGTCGAATCGAGTGGAATCCACTTGCTGCACCTTACGTCTATACCACCACCAGATCGACTGACTTGGACACGGGCCTACATAGTACACCGCTTCCTGAGACCTGTCAGAGTGCTCAACTTCCGACGCGCAGTCCGTGAGGCTCGAGAGTGAGGTTGGTCCCTGAGCCGGTACAGACGCCTGTCGGTCGCATTTAATTCCTTTGACCTCATCGCGTTCTAAACTCATCTCGGAGTAACCGTCTATTACTACCGTCTTCCTCCTCCTGTGTGTCAGAACTCTTCTACATCTCTCTCAAATAAATACATACCCTTTCCAACTGAAATGGGTACCTGAGATGGTGAGCGCGGAGGATTCGCCGAGTGTTGAGTTGCGAATTAGGCAGGCGGAGGCTTCCCGATACATCTAGGCTTCTAGCCCGTTGCCGGTTTCCCTGACGAAATGGTCCAATTTCGATGATAAGGATGATCTCGGATATTCAATGGCGCCATGCGGTAGTGTGGGGCGAGACTGCTTGAACCCGACCACCATCGTCCTCGAAACCGAGTTCTCTACGCGCGTCCCGGCGACTACTCGTGAGTATCTGTGAAGTGACACGTCGAACAGGATTCTGCGTGGACCACCATGGCGGGCAAGCAGGTAAGAGCATGCGTGTTACGGCGCGGAGAGCAGCACTGAGTTCGTGACGATATGCAGCTCGGTAAGCTGCGACAGGTGCGGTGTTATTGAGAAGGGCTACTGGACGGCCATCCTGACGGACACGTCGTTAGTGGGCGGGCGAGGTCATCTCGTCGCGCGACAAGACGGCAGTGACTGAAGAGTTCCGCGAGCTCGAGCATGACATTGAGTTGCGGAGGCAGGGACTATGGAGGTGAGTGGTAGCCCCGGGCCTGCTGCGACGACCTGTTATTGGTCATGGTTCGAGGACTAACTGTGGTATCATGCCCAGACTCCATATAGCCTCTGAAGATTATCATGACATCCTCAACAAGAAGAAGGAGTGCGAAGCCCTTGATGAGGCGGAGAAACTGCTACCCGTCGATGCGCTGGGCATAGTCATGATCAAGCATGGGGAGGAATTTGGCGACGAGTCTGCCTTCGGTATGTCTTTCTGCGGTGCCTCATGAAGGATCCCGATCGATTATAGATCAACACAGGTACCTCGCTCATGAGCATGGGGCGTGCGCTGTGCAAGGTAGCCACGTTGCAAGAGACGTTCGCCATGACTTTCGAAGATACCTTCCTCGCGTCCGTCTTCCGTATGGAAGACGAGATCAAGGAGTACCAGGCCCAGAGGAAGAAGCTCGAAAGTAGGCGGTGCGTCAACAGTGCAATCCATTGAACCTTGCCACGATTTACCTTACCACGTGCTTGTCAGGCTGAGCTACGATGCGGCTATTAGCAAGCTGGAGCGGATGAAGAGTAACAAGAAGGAGAAGGAGAAGGACCGAAAGGATGCGGAAGACGAGCTGGCCAATGCAAAGTCGCGCTAGTACGTCATTCTTGATCAGTGGTCGGTACAGTATCTCATGTTTCTTTCCACAGTGAGGAGACAGCAGAAGACGTCCGCGCGCGGATGTATGCTATTCAAGAGAACGAAGTGCTCCAACTCCGGGAGCTAACCTCCTTCGTCCACCTGAAAGTCAATTTTGTCGAGCAGTACCTCGAGGTGCTACGCGATGTCAAGGCCAACTGGGTAGACGAGTGCGTCTTCATGCTCTGTCTATAATCGTGTGCGAGGTTTGATTCATCCTCCAGAGCGACTGTCAAACACCTAGAGTTATCTCGTCCCAGAGGGCCAATGCACATGTTCACACGCGAGACGGAGGTCAAGCCCGAGGTATCGCGCTTCGGATCCATGCGCTCGAACAAATCTCGGTCGAAACGATCTGCTGTGTCTGATGAGTCTTCATCAGACGGAGAGTCTTCTGAGGAAGAGGCACAGCCTAGGAGGCGGTCGCGTGGCCTCTCTTTCTCAAGCAAGAAGTCAGATGTAGGCAGCAGGCCTCCTTCCCGCCCTCCTTCGCGGCCACAATCCCGGGCAGAGCGCAAACGCACGGACAGTACTGTAGGCGCAAGTGACAAGGAGAAGGACAAAGACAAGGACAAAGAGAAAGTGGAGAAGTCGTCTCGCAAGCTCAGTGTCGCTGGCTGGGCGTCTTCAGCGGTGAGCGTGGTCGGGTCAGTCGCGAGCCGGGGAAAGAAGGACAAGGACAAGGATAACTTCGCCACCCTGCGCGACAACGATGGCGGCGGAGACGATAGCGACGCCTCCGATGGCGCGTCAAGCGCTGTGTCACATTCCTCGCGCAAGTCCAAGCACCGCAAAGGGAAGAGTTCAGGCTCCATCACCAGCACCTCTCCTGTTGAACGCCGCTTGTCGATGCGGAAAGCGAGCGGCAAAAGGGTCGTCGTCGCACTGCATGACTTCGCAGCTGGGTCGACGGATGAGCTCAGCTTCCATGCGGGCGACCAAATTGCCGTCGTGAACGAGGTGCTAGATGGCTGGTGGATGGGTGAGCTCGCTGGAAAACGCGGGCTCTTCCCGACGACCTACACGGAAGTCCTCTCGCCCACCCCATCCGCGCCTCCATTGCCGCGCCGTCCGCCAGCCATGACACGCGGCACTGGTGCGAGTGCGCCCCCTGTACTCTCGGGCGTTGGCGAGCACGGACGCAAACGGTCTACGTCTAGTCGTGCGTATGAAATGAGCAGCTCGGACGAAGAGCATCCATTTGGCGACCATAATATCGCTGCGAGCCGAAGTCCCCTATTTGGCCAGTTCACAGGAGATACCGCCCCCGGCGACGCGGAAGAGGACGAGAAGGAGCGGCTCATTGGCCGCCCGCCGTCATTTGACGGTGAGCACGCCGCGACACCGTCCAGCAGCCGGCCTCCGCTCTCACGGCGTACCACGGACCAAGGGCTCAGCTCGTCGCCGGCGACGAAGAAGCCACCCCCGCCGCCCCCGCCGCGGCGGCACGGGGGTTCAATGCACGGCAGTCCGGTGCCCCCGCCTATACCAAACCGGCCGCTGCATACGAAATCGTCGCAGTCGAGTTCGAGCTCGTTCTTAGCGGTGGCTGCCGCGCCCACGAAGAATGAGGACGATCTGACGCATTCGCCATTTGATAGCCCCGGAGACGCGTGGTGATTGTCGGCATACGGAGGCATTATCTGTCGGACTGGATATCGGACTCATCGGACTCAATGATACAGTATATAACGTAGCAGGTGGTGTTGTGTAGGATACCCTCTTGTGACCAATGCTAGTAGGAATACACTTCGAGCATTGATATCAATTACGTAGACATACAGCCTCTCAAGACAAACGAGAAGCACTCTCGACTCCCTTCGTAGGTACACGCATCACGAAGTTGTCCCGCAAATACACCTTCGTCAACGCCAGATATAGACTTTGTCTGTCGTCTTCTCCGAGCGGCACGGTAAGGTCCACATGGAAGTCATGCCACACGTAGACGCAGCGTGCGAGCATGGCGGCAACGACCCACGTCCCGTAGCGTAGGTTCCACCAAGCACCGACGGCGAGGACGGCGAGAAAGATGACGACGTGCTGGTGCGCGCACTCGGCCCAGTATCCGAATCGATGCGGGCCTCGCTCGTGCGAGACATAGCCGGTTTTGAAAGCGACCAGGTTCAGATGCTGAGGTGAGAGGAGGATTGCCCCGCCCACGGCGATGCACCAGGGCAGGAAAAAGAGAACCTTTGTTGCTATGGTGAGCACCCGCTTCGGCGTCCAGGGTTCTGTGCCGAGCGCGAGCAACTTCGGCTCTTGTGCGTGGAGGCTCGCCAGCAGATACTCTGACGACGTCTCGAGCTCAGTATTGTCCAGTGTGTCGTCGTGCGATGAGGTATCATAGCGTTCTGGGCTGTCGGGATGCGTTGCTTTAGGATCCGCCTGTATACAAATGAGCCCTAAGCCTCATAAAAGGGTCTTGAACCTACACAATTGGATTGTCTCCGTCGACGCACGGGAGAGCTGACAGCTACGGCTGCAACTTCGTCGACCAACTCTGGTCCGTACTTCTGCCGAGGGGTCGCGAAGAGGTCCTCCATACTCGCGGAGAATGCCTGCGAGAAGATATCCTTGGTACTTGTCGGCCTCGTATCATCATCGCTGGGAGTGCATAAGCCGGAAGGGGGTATCGAATCTGACCCGCTGCTACCAGACAGGGATGGCTGTGTAACATGAGACTGTGAGACTCGGAGTGATGCAGCTGCTTGAAAACCCCGAAAACTTACTATCTGTGACAGCGTAGGCACTGGTAGCCGATGCATGGTCGTCAAAGTGGTAGCAGTACACTACAGAACGGTGCCGTTCAACTGCCCCGGCGGAAGCAAAATTTGACGAACAGCCTGGTACGTTACCGGTCAGCCGCCAAGATTCGAATCTGAGCGACGCTCGTCTGGCTTGAGACAGCACCTATTGATACAGGCTGATGGATACCGTGAGCATAGTCAATCTTGGACGATGCTCGCATACCGTGAGGGTAAGTTGATTGTGGAGGCGTGTGTACAATGCGTAACTCATGTGGCCGACCGGTCATGCATGCATGAGTCTACTTACGTGGGCGCTTCCGGCTAGGAACTTGGACGAAACAGACGCCCGTGGATATTGACCGCTTCAAGTTTTGGTCGACGTCTGACTCACGATAGGACGACAGCGCGCGAGCCGAGTCAGCCTAGTATAACCTTAGACACTCGACTAAAAGGCCCGCACAGTGAACACAATGTTGAATTGAACAGATGTCATGTCAATTGGGTTATACAGAGACTATGGGCGAGGGTCAAGTTATCGTCACGCCGTAGTACCCAGAGCCGGCGGCAGCCTGGGGTCTGCCACAGTAGTAGTGCCAGTGCCAGCCCCGGCGGTATCCTCCAACAAAACATGACACAAAAATTTCCGTCAGATACCTAATCAATTCCATGAGCTGCTGGTCTGAAAGTCCGCAGTTAGTCGCAAGATACTACTGACCATTGTGGATGACCTTTGCGGGCTGTGGTTGTGGTCCGGCTTTAGAGTACCCGCTCGGCAGTCAAGACCTCGCTCAGAATGGATGCCTTCGTCCCATCTTCAGGTTTATGAGTGACGCTGAATGAATCGATACATGAATCGATACATCGGCATTGAATTCCGAAAGACTGATGTCTGAATTCTAACTCACATGGCATTCAGCGAGGAGGTAATGATATTCGTCATACGCCCCGCTCCTACCAGAGCATTCTCGTAGATGGTAGCCTTGTAGAAAACACCGACACTGCCGGTCTGTAAGAGCGGCCCGTCAGTACACCTCAGTTAAAGTGCGCAAAAACTACACATCGATACCTCGTTTAAGTCGACAGACTTGCCCTGCACTTGCACCGCGTTGGAGAAAGTTAAGGTGGCAGAGTGCTCGACGAGCTTCTGCTCTTGCACTTGTCGCTTATACTCGACGCGAGTAAGGCGCGCACCGTTCACGTAGATCTGGGCATCTTGGTGGAGTAGAACATCGAAGGCTTCATTAAACGCTGCCTCGGTGGTGGCCTGGTATAGCGCCGATATTCTATCCTGGATCCAGGTAGTAAGGGGGAGGGGCTCAGCGGGGCTAATGCCGTGGTTGGATGACATCGTAGTAGTTGAATCAGGGTAATTCGTCGGTATCGAGTGAGGCTTGTAGTGGGCTGATATAGCGACACATATTCTTGCGACATATAAATGCCTGCGCGGCGTCTTCGAAGACATCCGGAGGAGCACATCCAATACAAATGATAGTTTGATGTCGGAGGGAAACACCGCGAGCGAAAGTTCTCCTCGCCGTCTGTGCGAAACCATGGCCGAGCGCTGGTTTTGGTGAGCGCGGCCAGGAAAGTATCGCTCTGCGTTTCTTCTAGCCCCCACGCTGGGAGACTGGTACTCCTGGGACATTCCCACTGCAGAAGCACCACCGAAAACGAGGCCGAGGAATGTTTCCAGGGTAGCGAATCGTCACCTTGCCTGCAACTTGAAGTGAGAACTGCTGAGTGCCACCTACCTGCTACCTCGTGCTGCACACGGCACTCGCCGCAGACGATTGTCCTCGCGTAACAATGGGCCTAGAGTATTGGTTCCTGGCATGTTTGCGGGTCCGGCCCGTAGAACAAGGACAACGCGGGCGTGGCAAGCGACGGGCGGCGCACGTCACTTGTCGAACAGTGATCCAGCGGCCGATGTGACAGAAGCGGTCAACGGCTCGCCTTCCATCCGCCCAGTTGCAGTGCGTGGCCACCGGGAGTATCACAATCGAAATGCCGCACCTTCGTGAAGAAGCGAACAACCTAAACAGTCGGACGAACGCATCAATCACCACCTATTGAATAGTATCGGCGGCGTAGCTGTCTTTCGTAGGACCTGGTCATCGCAGCCACTCCGTGGAGATCGAACGGACTGTGGGACCGAACACACCTGTGTAGATTTTCCTGAGAGACAACATAGCGCCGGACGGTGAAGGGTCAGACCAAACCATATGCGACCAGCGAGAAGCCTGATTGACTCTGAGATACGAGAAGCTGGATTCATACCAAACGCCACGTACCTCCCCTGGTGATCCATGCGAAAGATTCGGATCAGGAATATCCCATTCATGGCGAGGGGCGAGGAAGGCAAGGTCGAGTACTCGACGTGAGAACCTTCAGCGACGTGGCAGTAGCATTCAAATCGCATTACCACGCCGCATACAACGCCAATGAGCCACTCCGAGTCAGCATTGATCAGCTCCCAAAATCTTAGCGTACGATGAGACGTAGAGCGGGAGACGAGTGGTTTGGCACTGGCAGACAGACTTAACGTTCGAGAAAATTCCCAAACGACGTGAGGCTTGATATCTCTGAGCAGTAGCCCAAACCATTTGGCCCATGGCAGTGTGGGAGTTAGCCAGAGGGACCTTCATGAATGACGGTGGTTCTCTCATATCAATGAGAGGTGACCCGCCTGAGAGTAGTAGGAGAAAACGCTATCAGCGCCGTCACGGTCGTTCCCACTAGCACGACTCACATATGGTCAGCGGCAACAAAGTTTCCGCCCTGGTCATGTCAATGTATCATCGACCCACAATTCTGACTCCATATTCGAGGCCTCGAGACTTCACTTCAAGTCCGACGTCGAGTGATCTTTCCTTCGGAAGCCATGCTGCCCACGAATGTTCACATGATTTGCCTATTCGTTCAGAAATGGCGATGACCAGCTATACACCAGTCACAGTTAGAGAGAGCCTTTCTTATTAATGAAAAACGAGAGAACGTACCTCGGGTGCTATCGAGGACTCTCAGAGTCCGGAAGTAGGGTCACGCTCAGTCAAGTCCTGCGGAGGGCGCGACGAATAGTATTGACGTCACAAAGCCTGCTACAGTCGGACAGATCAGCTAGTGTAACAATATGCAGTTGGTGTGAGTGTTAAGTACGCAGATTCCTTGGCCGCGTCCAGTCAGCGCCGATGATTGTCATTCGCAACTTGAATGTACTGGATTTTCACGGAATTGAACTGCTGCGTTGGCCCAGGGTGCTTACATAGCTCTACGACGCATCTCGTCCAGTTCCGACTCAATGTTCCATATCGGTTTGGAACTGTGTTTTCTAGTCCGCAGGAAACTCTGTCCGACTCGGCTAGTAGAGCACTAGGAGACTGGAGTGGTCCACTGCCACAAGTGCATTCGGGAGCCTGAGGTTCCTATGTATCGGTCATTTCGCTGTGCACAGCAGACAGAGAAAACTCGGTCAAAAGTAATTATTCAGAATATAAACGTCACTACCCACTTCGCAGCCAGATTTTGGATGCCGATGGCGTATGTCGCAAGCTCAGGCCGAACTGAGACAGAGTTGACAACCGAGTCGGTGGGTTACAGTTCGCGGGCTCAGCGCGACTTTGCCAAGACGCGTCCGAGTCTAAAAAGAGTGAGCAAGGCCAAATTCATATCAATTAGTAAGGGTACGCAAGAGCAGCAACTACCTTCCGCAATCAATGGCGGTAAACGTTCGGACGTCGTGCGAGGTGGCTCGGAGGCTCTCGGAGTCGGAGGATATATTATATTCGCCGCGGCATATCCCGGGCGTTGATTTCCCGTTTTGGAAACCCAAACGGATCCCTCCTTCTCATCATCCTCCTCCTCCTCTTGGCTCAGCAGGGAGTTCAGCAGCTCCGTGAAAGTACGGCGTGGGAGTACGGCGTCTTGTAGAAACGGTCTTCAATCAAACAAAGCCTGTCTGTTCTTTGCGTATGCGTACACTAGCCAGCCATCTCTTGCATTCTGCATGCCGCTCAGGCTTCCGTAGGTTTTCGACAGCTCCGACTCATCTGCCTATCCCAGTCTTGTACTTGGACAAGAGCATCATAGCGGTGAACAAACCAAAGGGATTCTTGTGTCAGTATGATAAGACGGGAAAGCAGGTGAGCCTCTCCAATGAATATACTATATCCCTTCGCTGACATGGCCAGGCCGGGGACGAGCAAGTCGCGTCTACACTCAGCATCATGGTCTGTATGCCCATGCACGGCGGGGACAGCACCTCACGACTTCTCTCTAGAGCGAGGTTCAACGAGCTTTCAACCTTCCGTACCTCCCATATGTCGTTCACCGCCTTGACAGGGCAAGTTAATGCCCTAGATTAACAGGTCTGCATGGAGCTCATTTGGCACGTTCAGGAAACTACGGGGGCCCTACTTTATGCTACTACGTCTAGGCAAGCAGCTACCATCTCGCTTCAGTTCAGCCAGCGCACTATACGGAAGACATACCTAGCAATAGTGCGCGGCGGTGCAGACCGCTTTCCTCAACGAACTGGAGTGATTGAGGGGATCATGCAGAAGCTGAGAGGGCCAGGGGGACTGATCACGACTCGACCTTGCTCAGACCCTACACTCATTCGCAGGAAAGCGGAGGTGATGTCTGAGTGGGAGCTGCTTGCTACTTCGGTGAGTGCGGCTTCATACTGTTACAATCGATTCTCATTGTTTGTGTTCGACAAGCCGGTGGCACCTCTCAGTCTTGTCGCGGTGCGACCGCGGACTGGTTTCATGCATCAGATTCGTGTGCATATGGCGGAGGTCCTTGACGGTATTGTGTGACGCATACTGAAGGTCCGCTTCGTTCTGACACGATCACCGTCGCAGTTCCCATTCTTGGAGACGTCAGATACACCGGCACCCATACCGCCGGACTAGATCCCTCTATCACAAGCGTGATGTCCGTTCCGGAGGACGATCTCTTCCTACATGCCGCAGAGATATCATTCTTCGTAGGTGTCCCGCTCGTCTTCACCTGACTCATGTTCATACCTCGGCGTCATGCAGCGTTATAGTCGATCCCACAAACGAGCCATGTTGAGCATATGCGCACCTCTGCCCGAGTCGTGGATACAATTTTGCAGGGAGTTTGAGATACCGCTTCCCGACCGATATGTCAAAGGGGGTCTGTCTGTCGATGGTAAGCGATGGTCGCTCCTCATATTAGCCTGTACTTAAGTATTAACTAGGCGCTCCAGTGCAAGGACCACATCCTACCTTGGAACATCTGGGTGGGCGGTGGATGCCTTCGCCAGATTGGCAATCGGATGCCGCTTCCCCTGCATCGCCGTGATTGTTGCCGCCTAATGCTACTCATGAGGGTGCTTCCAGCCTGCATTAGTCAGACGACGCTCGCAACATCCAAGGCGATCACATTAGACCAAACCATGATGCAGACAATACAGACGCAATATTATTTGTGCGCCCAGCGCACTGCTTCGTAACGTTCATTCCAAAGACCGATCCACCTGATATCCCAAGCCTCATAGCACTTCTCTACTTATCATCCGCCGCGGCCAGAGCCCTCTCCCTCAGCATCGTCCCCAGCCCAACCGCAACAGCCCCAAGCGCGGTGGCCGTGGTGCCGGCGGCCACGGAGGGCAGCGCTGGTATGGAGCCCACGGTGATCAAGACCGCGGCGAGAATGGACATGGTGCTCGTCGTGTCCGGCGTGAGTGCGAAGATGGCCTCCGAGGCGGCGAGCAGCCACACTGGGACTTGTGCTGTGAGCGTGGTGGGCGGCGGGGGTGGCGGGTCCTTGAGGCGCAGGGTTGTGGCCAAGCGCGTGACGAGAGACTCGGAGGGCGCTGCCACCTTGGGCGGCGCTGCCGCGGTCGGCTGGGCCTTCAGCAGCTTGGAGCCAGTCTGTTTCGGGGCCTGCTTCTGGGACGTCGAGGATGGAGCACTGACGGTCGGGGTGCTGGTGCTGGACTTCTGCGTGATCCTCGCGATGAAGCCGGGCACGGGGAGAGGCTCTTTGGTCTTGACCTTGCTGCCTTTGTCACCGCCACGGCCGATGATCCACCAAGAGCCGGTAGACTTCCGCTGGACTTTGACAGCCTCCGTCTTCTTACGATCAACGTTCCCTTTTTGTAGACAGAACTGGTCATCGGCGCTGATACCAACCAAGTGCCGCGCAGCAGCTTACCTGCGATGTTCTTGAGGGCAACACCGAAGGTATGCCACTTCCAGCCCCACGAGTGGCCAAACGCGCATCGCATAACTTGCTCCACCTCTTCGACGCGTTTGCGCGCGTCGTCGCTCATGTAGTGCCGGGCGACTTCGTGCCATAGCTTCTGCGGTATACCCTTCGCAACGCAGGCCTCCGCGACTTTGACGAGCCAGGTGTCGACCGGGAGGTCTTTCTTGGGCTTGCCTAGGAAACGCGGTGGCGCTGTTTCCGCCGGCCACGACGCGAGGAGCGCCGGGAGCGAGGACGCCTGTGGCTCGGAGGTAAATCGAGATTTGATAGTGGAGAGCATAAGTTATTGGACGCGCCGAGCTTCCAGCCGCGCAAAGAGTGTTGAACAAGTCGTGAAGTGTGAGAGAAAGAAAGTCAAGAGCCACGATGCGGGGAAAGTTGCTGAGGTTTACTACGCGAGTTCAGTTGCCTTTGTTTATTTCGAATTCCCGTGGCCACAGATGTGGCTGCAGGGCCCGCGCGCCTTCCTTTTACGTACTTCCCTTTGTGCCGGCGTTTCAAAGGTCGCTATGCTGATCGCTCAGCGCACTGTAATATGCCCGTCTAAGAGGCTTTCTAGTTATCAATGTACATCGTGCGGTATGTTGCTCCCGAGTAATGTGTCTTGATTATCTGTGGAACTCGCAGAGCGTCATGCTATAACGGCCCGGCTACTCAGCCGGGTAGGCTTAGGGAATTGAAGTCGGTCAATTGAGTCTCAGAAGTGTGATTCTCGTCCGTTTCTCATTGTAGATGCGCAGAGACAGATGCAACGTTGTGCATCCCGTCTACTCACCAGTGATAGACTCCTCAATGTCATGCGACGCTGATATGTACTAAGAAGCTTGGGAGGACATCCGAGCCTGGTTGAGCGCTTCGCGCGACGCGCCTCAGCCACTTCGCGTCTCGCGGCCGTCGCCCACACAACGCCCAATACCTCGACCGCCCTCCTCCCCTCAAGAAGGTCGTGTTTAGAGTCTGCCTAGGGGAGACTACCCAATACCTTGCTCAAACGGCCTTGGCGACCTCACCTTTGGCATCTACGCGTCGAAATTAGCCCAGAGAACATCTCAGAAAGGCCACATCGAAGGTCAACCGCGCCCAAGACCGCAGGACCCGCAGGCAACATACATAACCGACGCACGGGTGCCAGCTGACTATCGCGTGTTGGGAGCTAGGGAGAGGGTGCTAAGTGTTTGCTTGAGCCAGAGGGGAAGCCGATTGTACAGTGAGTCTTCGAGTGTGTGTTGTCCTTCTGTCACGAGAACTGGCGCTTCGTCCACGCGTGTCAACGAAGCCTGTACGGTCTATCGTGGCGTCGTCGGACGACTGTCATAAGTCCTAGTCAACGATCACCGGCACCATTTGCTATAGACCCTAGTGAGTAGTGATTTGAGGCTTGGTTACTCCACGCTGAGTCGTTAGCTTGAAGCTCACATCAACCGCTCAGCGCAATGGACGCGAAGCACGACGACCATAATCGAGATTCCCCAACTCCCTCATATGAAAAACACAATTCAGGCCAAGAGAAGAATGTAGTTCCGATCTCCATCAAGGTCGCTGATCCTCCCTTCAACAATAGATACGGTGACGCAGACCTAGTCCTTCAATCCGCAGACGCAGTCAAATTCTTCGTCCACAAAGTTATCCTAAGGATGTCGTCGGAGTTCTTCGCAGATATGCTTTCGCTGCCACAGCCACGTCCATCCACTCCACAAGCCTTGTCCTCTGGTTGTTTGGGTGAGATCAATGCTCTCCCCGTCATCCCTGTCTCAGAAGACGCTTGGATCCTGCATGCTCTATTGCGCATGTGCTATCCGCCGGTGGTCAGCAAGCCGACATTTCTCATGATCTGGCAGCTCTCTCCCATTCTCGCCGCGGCGCAGAAATATCAATTTTCGGAGGTAACAACAACGCTGGCAGATCAGCTCAGGGCTTTTAGCGCTTCTCAGCCGCTTCAAACCTTCGCTGAAGCTTATCACAGAGGCTTGGACGATGTAGCGAGGGTCGCCGCTGCAACTTTCTGCCGCCCATCGTTCTTGACATTCGGCGCTGGTTACGTATCAGTTCCAGACATGGACACGTATGTCCCAGAGATGGACACTGTCCTTGCCTCATGGTACTTCCGACTGTTGGAGTACCACAACGATGTCGCGCAAATAGCTCGGAAGAACAGAAGATTCCGGGAACAACTGCAAGTGATGTCCGCCCCGGAGCACGTTACATTCTGCGCGCCCAATAAGATCGGAACGCAGTGCGCGCTTGCAAGGACCTACGACCTCGTTCCTAGGAAAGTACTTGCGCACCCCTTCGCGGACATAGGGCATGCAGACACCGTCGTCTGTTCTTCAGACGGGGTGGAGTTCCACGTCAATCATGCTTTTCTCAGATGGTCTTCCCATACGCTGACGGAGATGCTCTCCGCGGCCTCTGGGGGGGAGACACCCGAGCCACAAGATATTTCCGTGGGCAATGCCTCGCACGACACCACCCTCCGCCTACCCGAGGATGGTGAGACGCTGGCCTTACTGCTCCAGCTGTGCTACCCCATGCCCGACCCCGAAATCACAGGCGGATCGCACGAGGACCGCCTGTGCGTTGCATACCGCCTTCTTGAAGCAGCCTCGAAATACCGAGTCGCACGAGCGTTGGACTTCGCCAAGCAAATGATATGTACCATCGGCCTGGTGGATCGCCCACTGTCGGTGTACTTCGTGGCGTCTGTTTACAACTGGGCGGACGTCATGAAGCAGGCTGCCTGTCGTGCCATATACGAGGCGTCCGATGTATACATCCCGGAGATGGAGATAGCGTCGTCTGCGGCCTACCGCAGATTGCTCGTCTACCGCCAAAAGTGCCGCGACCTCATCCTTGCTCGGTACCCAAGTCGTAGCCCCGGCTTGTTCTCGAATTCGAAGGCTGTGGTCCGCGCCCCATATTGGAGCAAGAGCAGTTGGTTGAGCGAGCCCGGCGACTACGAGCTGTGGCTAGTCATGCACCTTCGCATGAACGAGAAGATTGCTGCTGGACGTGAGTCTAGCTCGGACGCAGCGAAGTCGGACGCACCTCCCCTCGATGACAGCAAACCGGCCGATCCACGCCGGCCGAGTGTAGCAGAGATCATGCAGGCAGCAGAGGCACTGGCACAGGTATGGAGACCCGGACGTCATCGCGAGTGTCCTTCGCTTACCCTGGTACAGGTCGAATTCTAAGACTACGACGAGTTTCGGTTCAGAGTGACTGGATAGGTGCGTCACAGTGCCATACCTATGTGCGTGACTAATGCGGACCTTCAGAATGAAGACTCAGAGACGTGCAGACTCATATGTGACATGTGGATCAGGTTTACACGAAATCGGATATAGTTACCAGAAAGCCCATTGAATGATGAAAACTATGATACACAGAGCACACAGACTACCGCCCAGGAGGAATACAGGTTACGTTTGATACACGGATGACGATGATGACCTTGAGGGGAAACCGAGTAATTGACCATTCAAAAGGGTTGTTCAGCGAGCACCTCGCCGACCTTGATGACGAGCTCGTCACGACTCTTCAGCTCCGCAGGGAAGTATGCCTTCGCGCCACCAACGCCCTTCGTCCATACTGTCTGCGCGATGCGCATGTACGCCTCCCGGTTGTCACCCGGCCGAAGCGTGCACACAAAATCGCGCTTCTTGTCGTACACGAGCATCAGTCCGTCCTGCATCGTCGGCGCTCTGCCCGTATACGGCACCTGCACCTTGATGACCATCGCCTTCGGCTGCCCGGGCTTCATGTGCGGCTTATGTGACATGCGGTTGTGCGAGCTGGGGTGCGGGGCGGCTGGGATACCCAGGCTTTGGCGCGTGACGTCAGCGGTAGGCAGGAGCATGCCAAGGTCGCTGTACGATGGGCGGACGGTCACGGATGTCGCCGCGTTAAACGGCGTGCACGTCTGCTTGTGCTCCCGCCAGTGTGCCCCTGAAAGAGAGCATGAGACCTTCGTCACCATTATGGTCACATCTGCATCCAGGGTGTACTTACTCTGACATTCGGGCGAGCAGTACTTCACTGCGTGGCACTTGCTGCAGATCTTGAGCGCGCCGTTCGTCTTGCCGCACTTTGCGCATGACTTCCCGTCCAGAGGCAGCTGTTCGCCGGTCCGCTTCCTCATCCACTTCATCACCGCCGCTGTGACAGTAGGACCCGTGTTCACGAACATGCTCTGGCCCGTCGTCCCGTCCGCGTCGGGCTTCGCCAGGTCGGCGCCGAACTCCATCAACAGCTCCACCATCCGCGGGTCACCGATCTGGAAGGCGGCCATGATGGGCACCTCGCCATAGCGGTTTTGGTAGTTGACGTCCGCGCCGTTCTCGAGGAGCACGCGCGCGAGCGCGACCGTGGGGCCATATGTGTTCTGTGTTGCGTGGTGGAGCGCGGTGAGACCCACGATGTCGCATGAGTCCACAGGGGCGCCGCTGTTGAGAAGGTACTTGAGCGTCGCGGCGTGGTCTGCCCCGGGGCATTGAGCTGCGCCGCGCTGAGCCCCTGCGATGACCAAGGTGCAATAACCGAACTTGTATGGCGTCTCGGTGCCGGTGAGATCAGGTGCTCGCCCGTTTTCGACGGCCTACAGTAGACTGATTCAGTGTTTCTGCGATGACGCCTCATACTCTCCGAAAATTGTTCTCGCCCATCCCTTCGAGTTTCTCAGCATCAAAGCTTGATTGTCTTACTCACCTGTCGGACTGCGGTAGTCTGGCCTGAAAAGCAATCCAGCGCGAACCGCCTGTACATATTGGGGTCCTGGCCAACGGTGCCTGAAGTGTAGTGTTGGGATTTGAACTCGGAGGGTAGTGTATATGGAGACTCACCTGCTCTGTAAAGATCGCGCAGCGTCTGCCCGCCCTCGTCGTTCTTGATATAACCACTCGTACGATCGAGAATGGCGAACATCCGCGGATGGGCCTTCAGGCCGCCGCTTCCATCTGCACGGCGCTCAGCATCGGACGCAAAGAGCCTGACACCCTCGTCGCGACGCATGTTGCAAAAACTGATACGTAGGACACAGGGAGCGCGGAGAATACAGAGGTATTTCAAGCCGGACCTCAGCGGATCTTTAGGGACTCAGGTTCGACCTGCGACGGTTGGGCGAACGACCTCCCGACGGTTCGGCTCGGCGGAGGAGGATTGGGACGTCGACAAGCTCGAGGATGAGGATGAGTCAGAGGACGACTTCACTCCGAAGACGAACAATAAGTACTTTGTGAACTTATGACGAATACAGTAAGTAAGTATATGGGTTGGTTTTGATTTTGAAAATGGGAGGTAAATCCTCCGTTGGGCGCCGCGCTTAGTCAGCATTGGCCTCACTGCCTCCTCCGACTCGGACGGACGACCGACCGACGTTCAACGTTCAACGTACCACATTGGTGGAAGAACACAGGCTGAACAATATCTTGGGGACTTGGAACGACTGTCATCACAAATCGCCCTCGCAGGTGCATCGTCTGGAACCTCTGAGACAAAACCCCAAGTCCACGAGTCTGCATCCCATTGTTCTTCAGGCTGTCAATCAGTTGCCTTCGTTACTGTCATGATCCCAAGTCGCCTACTGGACGAGTGCTCTCGAGCACTGAATACTGTCTTGTTGCTAGGGAATTAGGGCCGGCGCTGGGACAGTACTTATCAGGCACCCGCAGTGCCACTGTTGCCTTTCTCTCCACGAAATTCCCTCACTCGCGCTGTCCACCACCTCTTAGCTGCTTGCTGAACATCAAGGTCAGTTCTTTCTCTAGTACGAACAGAACTGACTCGTAGCATCACAGGTACAGACACGATGGCTACTACGGCCTTGGTGACTGCGTCGCCCCAGGCTGGCCCCACTACTGACAGCTCTGCCACACCGTTCAAGTCGCCACCGAAGCAGGCTTCATACACCGCGAATTTTCCGTTCAACAACGCCCACAGAGATGCGGACGCTATTCTGCAGACCGCAGACATGGCGAAATTTTACATCCATCGAGCAGTGCTGCGTATCGCGTCGTCCTTCTTCGCGGACATGCTCTCATTGCCTCAGCCCGCGTCGTCGGACTCTGACTCTCACAACGAGTCTGCCCTTCCCGTCATTCACATCTCGGAGAACGCGGACACCATTGACCGTCTGCTGCGCATATGCTACCCTGTCGCGAAGCCATGTTTCTTTGGTGTTGCGTTTCTCAGCCCTATCCTTGGAGCCGCAATCAAGTATCAGATGACTGAAGCAATAGCCGTGTTGACGAAGGAGTTGCTATCCTCTTGTGACTCTGATCCTCTGCAGGTGTTTGCAGTGGCGTGCAGGCACAACCTCGAAGGCGCTGTCCTGCAAGCGGCAGCGGCATTCTGTGTGTTGAAGCAGGAGCAAAGACCCTGCCCAGCAACAGGGCGGTATCGCGTCCCTCGACCCATCGCCGAGTACACGGAGCTGATGGATACCGTGTCGGCGTCGGCATATTACCAGCTGCTTCAATTCCACACGAAACGCGCGTCCGCTACTTCTGTTTTCGCTGTTCCGACACCTAAATTCTGTTTGCCTTTGGCGCCGAACCGACCGTCGATCCCTAGCGGAAATCAGGAACAGGCCCCTGCTCCCTTCGACGACACAAACCACGGGGATACTGTCCTCTACTCTTCTGACGGCGTCAAGTTCTACGTTCATCGTAATTTCCTAGCATTTGCATCCCCCGTCCTACGCGAACGGCTTGCGCTACCGCCGGATGCCGCTCGCTCGACCTGCGAACATCGGGTCAGCATCGCGGAGCACGGGTCTATCCTGGCGCTTTTGCTGCCTCTGTGCTACCCCATGGCAGACCCCGCCATGCCAACGAGGTCCTCGCACGACGATCGTATCCACGATGCTTGCTCGCTTCTCGACGCAGCGCGCAAGTACAAGGTCACGAGGGCAGAGGAGTTCGCAAAGCGGATGTGCATCATCGCCGCGGAGTCGTTCCCGCTGCGGCTGTACCTCATCGCCTCGCACTACGGCTGGGACAACATGATCGAGCAGTTCGCCCTTCGCGCGGTCTACGAGCTCGCCGACTCGGACGCCCACGTACCGGAAATGGACGTCGTGTCCGCAGGGCCGTACCGCCGCATCCTCGTCTACCGCCAGAAGTGCCGGAACGTCATCCTCTCGAAGTGGCATGGCGGCAACGCTCCCCAGGCCCAATATTGGAGTCAGGAGCCGTGGGTTGCGAGCACTGGCGAGGCTTAGTTCTGGATGACGCTGCATCAGCGTGCCCAGGAACAGGCCGCTCGTGACCCTCCCGCGAGCCTGAATGTGGAGAGCGTCTTGCCCTCGTCGACGAGCCAGGAAGCTCCAGCAGCGGTACCGGGTGTGTTCGGCCAAGTTGGACCACCTGTGTTTGTTGTCGGTGGCGGGTCTGCATTTGGCAGATCATTGCCCGCTGACGCAAAGAAGGACACTGGCGCGGCTAAGGATGCTGTCACTGTCAGTAAGCGGTCATTGTCGCTGAGACAACAGACGATCTTGAAGATAGCGGAGGAGCTTGTAAAGGTGTGTATCCTTGTCCTGTTTCTTCAGCGCGCATTCCTGAGCTGTCTACAGGTCAAGCTCGGGTGATCGGATCCCAAATTTCAGGGACGGCATCCAGTGGCGCTCTCAATGGTCGCGTATGCACGCAGGCAGCAGCACGGTATCGATTTTGTAGCGGTATGTGCCGGACTAGCCAAGTATTGTATTCGAGTTGTATGTACGATATTCAGACACTGCTGTAGCATCATTCTATGCTCGGGATGTTCACCTCATGGTTGTGAGCCTTCAGGTTAATGTCCGGTTTTAGCAGCAATACGTACCCGTAGATGGGCGATTGTTGGTGTTGCATTTGCATACTGGGTGGCCGTTTCTTGTCATATGACATGCTTCTTCTCTGACGCTGAATCAGACCCTTGCGAAGCAGGCCTCGAGGATCGATGTCGGTGTAGGATCGAAGCCACGCAGACGCACCGGGGTCTTCCGCATGTTATCGAACTCGCAAACCCACCCACCCCTTCCTTCATCCCTCGCTCAAGATACTTAACAGCGCAGTGAGTTCCTCAAGTATACTAGCTTCGATATCCGATCGAGGGCTGATCCTTTTCAACAGTCTAGCTCTATGTCAATCCCGAGTACGCCTGTTGACCCAGACGCGTCAGCGACTCACTCTGAATCACTATCCACGGAGTCAAGCCTGGCCATAGCGAACGGCGACGGACCTGCGACAACCGAAAACGTCGAGGTCAAGACCGCCGATACACCCTTCAACAACCCGTACGGCGATGCAGACGTGATCCTTCGATCCTCGGACGCGGTCGATTTCTACGCACACAAGGCCATCCTCCGCATCTCGTCGACGTTCTTCGCCACCATGTTTTCATTGCCACAGCGGGCCGGGACCCGCACCAGCCTTCCGCTCCATTGTTACCGAGCGAGGAAGATACGCTTCAACGTTGAACAATGGCGAAGGTGCATTCTCCATGTAGGAGATCTGACGGCCAACACGCTCGTGAAGTTGCAGTTGGCAGTTCAGTTAAGACTCGGGCGCTTACAAAGCGCCGACCGGAGACGCCCGGGTGGTAGGACCGACGCCACTACGTACTGGTACTTATCATACTACCGTTACGTACGATTGTGCTGGGCTTCGACCACGCTGTATACATGCCAGTGCCTTCTCATGACATTCAATAACACGCTTTCTGTGGCCGGCTTGCACCCATTTGCCACGGGGATCGATATTGCAGTCTGAGTGTACTTACTATATTCACGCTTCATACTGGCCGCTGTTACGTCAACGTTTGTTTTCCCTTATTTTCACTTGAGCATTGTGCTATCCTAGCATGGGCCCAACCCCATGACGCTACGGTTCCAGTCTTCGGACTCCTTCGCTGTTTGCTCCGGCCCAACCCGGAGCAGTTCACGTGATCTCTGACTCAGTATGACTCGTCCCTTACTCATACTTGACTCATTATTTATGACTTGATCCCTGACTCGTCATGACTCACTCCCCTGCGCTCCTATTGGCTAGGTAGTTGTGACTCGTTCAGGACCTGCCCTGAACTCCCCATGTATATAAGACCTGTGTACAGTAGCGGTCGAACCTTAGTTCGACCTGGTTATCTATTGAAGCTTCACCAGCTCCTTGGATATCAGAAACTCCCCGCTCGACCTGCTAGACGGACTTAGCAGCGTCTTCGACCATTCTCCCCATCCAAGGACGATTAGAACCTAAGGTCCCTACGTTTAGGGTTAGGTTGAGAGCTAGTGCTCTAGGTGTCACGCTTTGCGTAACATAAGGTCGAACTGATCTTTACGCTCCGCCTGCTCAGGCGCAGAGCCCACACATCTTCACACACGCTTCCGGAGTGCCCCTCCGTCTAGGGGACTCCCCATCCACCACGGACTACCGAGTTGAGATCGAACCCGTTACCTACGGGCTCCCAACCCTACCGAACCTCTGGTGGAACGACGACCTTCGCCTCTTCGAGTATCAGAACGACACCGGTGAGCACAGACCTGTGCTTGTGCAAGAACCAGAACGAGAAGGAGAGAAGCGCATTTGGGCCTTCTTCCACGACACTGTTCCCCTCGAAGAGCAACAGAAACAGACCCGCGCCTACCTAGACACCAAAGGAAAGGCTGCCGAACGGATCAGGAAGATCCAAGACGAACGACCGAAGCCGGCGACTCCAGCGGCTATCTGACGAGAACTCTCGAAGCACGAAGCTACTTCCCCCGCAGTAGGAACTAGCCCCCTGGTACACGTTGTACCCGAAGTAGGCACATCTAGCCTCACCCAGTATTCCTCGAACCTCGCTACAGGTGTCGAGAAGAAGCCTCTCGAACCGGAACTCGAGACGCAGTCGAACGAACCCGAACCCGAACCCGAATCCGAATCAGAACCCGAACCCGAATCAGACGACGCAATGTCTACCACCCGCACGAACACGGCTACTAAGCTTGAGGTCCCCGCACCTGACAAGTTCAAGGGACAAGCTACCGATGCGAAACCGTTTATCCGACGTCTCGAAATGTACTACAGCGCGACAGGCAATGCCGATGCCAACGATCAACGGAAGATCGCTTACGCTCTCCTCCTCATCGACGACAACAGCGATGCTTTCTACTGGAAGAAGTTACACATGGACGGAGAAGCTGATGCCCAAGAAGAGGGCAAGCATGCGTTTGAGTCTTGGAAAGACTTCAAGGAGGCCTTCTTGAAGGCGTTCCCCGTTTATGCCGAAGGAGACAGAGACTCGATAATGCTTACGACTCTAAAGCAAGGAAAGACTCCCACCCCTGCCTTCATCCCCAAATTCCGATCCATCGCGTCCAGGACCGACCTCTCTGACAAGACCCTCTCCGGGTTCTTCAAGAGGGCAATCCGCCGTGATCTCCTTGACAAGGCAATGAATATGGAACCACCCACGACCCTGCAAGGGTGGTTTGACCTTGTCCTCCGACTCGACTCCCGCCAGATCTACAATACCAATTACTACGAGGGAGGGAACAGCGGGGGTAACAACCACCGCTCCTCCTACCCCTCTGGACGAGGCAGCGGACGATTGGACGAACCTATGGAGATCGATGCCATGGATCAGAGGGAACGGCAACGTCACCAGGAACTGGGCCTTTGCTTCGGATGCCACAAACCCGGACATCTCCTCAGGAACTGTCCCGAGAAGAGACTGAACCCGAAGTTCACCCAGTGCAACCGAACTTCCCCACGCCGTGTGCCCGCCTCCTCTACCCACGTGCGAGAAGTTACTCCCGCCTATGTACGAGAAGTCTTCCAGGAACTCCCGCTCGAAGAACGCGCTCCGCTCTTTGAGCAAATGTCGAAGGATTTTTGAGTGGGTCTGAGTCATCGATGCGCCCAGACCCCACCTATGCACTCCACATATCCCATGTAGTAACAGGAATCACGCAATTCAAAGCCCTTTACTTTCCTCTCATGGTGATCGGAGTGCATCAAGACATCGAAACGGAAGCTCTCATCGACAGCGGCGCAATGGCCACGTACATCCACCCTCGCCTTGTCATCAAACTACGCCTACCCTCAGTACCCCTTGTCAGACCCATCCCGGTCTTCAACGTAGACGATACTCCCAACAAGAAGGGAACCATATCGCACGCCGTCGCCCTTCGCTACCGATGGAAGGGAACAACCAAGCTTGTTAAGGCGTACGTTGCCGAGATCGGAAGACAGGATCTCATTCTAGGCCATGAATGGCTCCAGAAGGAGAACCCCATCATCGACTGGAAGACAGGCGAGCTCGAGTTTGAAGACCAGACGTACTGGGCCAAACGCGAGCAGAACGAACAGCTTAGCAAGGCGGAAATCCTACGAACTGTCAAAGTGGAGCTACCTCCCGCTCCCGTCTATCGGATCCGCCGACAAGTTGAGGAACCACCCGATCGGGACTGCAGCCCCGAAGAACCCCGCGAACCAACCCCACCTCGACGAGTGACCGTCGAGGATGTTCCCGAAGAAGAACACGAGCGAGCTGTTGATGCTCCTCAGAAGGAAGTTGTAGCGGAGACTTCTCTCTTGGACGAGCCAATTGAGGAACTCCCCAACTTCCCCCCTATGAACCCACACCCTGAACCGCTCGAAAGCGAGGAAGATTATGAAGCACGACTCCGGTCCATGACCGAAGATCTGGACCCTGACGAATTCCTGGCATCGTATGCCCCTGGTGCAAACTACTTGGCAACACTCGCTTTCGTTGAAACACCATTGACGCAGGAACACGAGGACACCCCAGAGCCCCTGCCGTCCAGGCATGCTATCAATCGGATGATACGAACCGGCACCGGCGCACTAATCCCTACGGCATTTTCAATCGGACGAACCACCACTGCCACTGAGCTAGCGCTCTCTGAGTGGGTTGGAAAGAAGCAGAAGACGGTCGAGGAAATCGTTCCTCCCTATCTGCACGACTTCCTCCCGGTATTCGACAAAGTAACGGCATCTCGACTCCCAGAGCACACCGAGTACGACCACGAGATCAACCTGAAACCGGGGTTTTCGGAGATGAAGACCCAGGTTTACCCTCTCAGTCATGCTCAACGCGAGGAACTTGACAAGTTCTTGAAAGAGAACGAGTCAAAAGGTTACATACGACCCTCCAACTCTCCGATCGCCAGTCCTTTCTTCTTCGTTGGAAAGAAAGATGGAACATGGAGACCCTGTCAGGACTACCGAAAGCTTAACGAGAATACGGTCAAAGACCGCTACCCCCTCCCCCTGATCTCGGACCTCATGGACAAGTTTAAAGGCGCAAAGATCTTCACCAAGATGGATCTGCGCGCCGGATATAACAATGTCCGAATCAAGGAGGGCGATGAGTGGAAGGCAGCTTTCGCGGTTCCCGGATCCAACCAGGGTCCGCCACGACTATACGAACCCACGGTCATGTTTTTCGGTCTATGCAACTCGCCCTCGACATTCCAACGGATGATGAACTCCATCTTCGAAGACATGCTAGCCGAAGGCTGGCTAGTCATCTACATGGATGACATCCTGATCTACTCTGCGGACACTACGACACACCATGAACGGACTCGACGAGTCCTCCAGCACCTCAAGGACCACGACCTCTATCTCAAACCCGAGAAATGCCACTTCGACGTCACTGAAGTAGAATTCCTGGGAATGATAATCCGACCGGACACCATTGCCATGGACCCCGTGAAAGTGAGCGGAATCGCTGACTGGCCCGTACCCGAATCAGTCAAGCAAGTCCGCTCCTTTGTTGGATTTGCGAATTTCTACCGACGGTTCATCCTCCACTTTTCTGAGCGTGCACGACCCCTAGTGGACCTCACAAAGAAGGACGTACGATGGCATTGGGACGAGGAGCAACAACTCGCCTTTGAGGATCTGAAGCACGAGTTTACGCGTGCTCCCACCTTGGTCATGCCAGATGAAACCAGGCCATTTGCTCTCGAATGCGACGCCTCGAAGTTTGCTACCGGCGGTGTCCTGCTACAGAGTGATGCAAACGGAGACTTGCACCCCTGTGGCTTCATCTCCCAGTCCTTGAACCCCGCCGAACGGAACTACGAGATCTACGACCGTGAACTCCTCAGCATCATACGCGGTCTGGAGACCTGGAAACACTATTTCCTAGGTAGCCCGCACAAGCTCCAAATCCGCTCTGACCACCGTAACTTGACCTACTGGCGCACCGTGCAGAAGCTCAATCGACGACAAGCACGATGGTCGTTGTTCCTCAGCGAATTTGACTATGAACTGGCACACGTCCCTGGAACGCAAATGACCATCGCCGACCTTCTATCCCGACGCAGTGACCATGATACCGGGGCTGATGACAACGACGACATCGTAATGTTAGCCCCCCAGCTCTTCGTGCGAGCCATCAACGCGGACCTCCTCGATCGTCTACGAGACTGCCATGAAAAAGAACCCATGGTAAAGGAGGCCTTCGATGCTCTCCTTGGCAAAGGACCTGCACCCGCGAAGACCTCGCTTACGGATTGGCAGATGGACGGAGACCTGGTATGGTATCAATCACGAGTGTATGTTCCTCCGGATGCGGGACTCCGACGGAACGTGGTACACTTGTACCACGAGCTCCCCTCCGCAGGTCACCCGGGCATCCACAAGACGACCACCCTCGTGCAACGCGACTTCTGGTGGCCTGGAATGGGACAATTCATCGCACGATACGTCAAGGGATGTGGAATCTGTCAGCAGATGAAACCGAACACGCATCCCACTGTGACTCCACTCATTCCAATCCCGCCGCAACACCCTGCCACACCGTTCTCATGCCAAACAATGGACTTCATCACTGCACTCCCCGAGACTCCCCGCGGACATAATGCTATTTATGTCGTGGTGGACCACGACTCTACGAAGGGGGTAATTTTCATCCCATGCACAGACCAGGTGGATGCCGAAACAACCGCCAAGATGAACCACGACCACGTGTACCGACGCTTCGGACTTGCACGCAAGTTCATCTCCGATCGTGGCCCTCAGTTTGCATCCAAGGTCATGGGAGAACTCTGCCGCCTGACCGGAATTGAACGCGCACTGTCCACGGCGTACCACCCCCAGACTGATGGCCAGACGGAACGAGCCAACCAGGAACTCGAGATATTCCTCCGAATCTTCTGCGCGAACAATCCTGAAACATGGGACGAGATGCTCCCTGACGCCGAGTTTGCGCACAACTCCCGACCTCATTCCGCCATCAAGATGTCGCCATTCTACGCAATGATGGGATATGAACCCCGAGGAATCCCCCACATCACCGAAGTTGCTGACTCCCCGACCACGGAAGAACGACTCAAGCGGCTACAGAAAGCCCGAGAAGAAGCCGCATTCGCACTAGAAGCTGCGCAACGAGTCATTGAGAAGAGAATCAAGGACCGCACACCTGCTTTCAAGAAGGATCAGCAGGTATGGCTCGACACGCGGCACCTCCGCCTCCCCTACGCCACGAGGAAACTAGCTCCTAAGAAGGAAGGTCCTTTCAAGATCACCGAGGTCATGGGAAGAGCGACGTATCGCCTCCAACTGCCTCCGCAATGGCGAATCCACCCTGTATTCCACGCCGGTCTCCTATCCCCGTACAATGAGACCGAGGAACACGGCCCGACCTATACAGAACCTCCCCCGGACGAAGTAGACGGAGAAAACTCATGGGAATTTGAAGCTATCCTTGGTCACAAGGGCACGGCAAGCCGACGCCGGTACCTCGTGAAGTGGAAAGGGTACCCTCCCAGTGAGAACTCGTGGGAACCCGAAGACGTCTTCCTGGGCACAGGGGAAGAGACCCTCGATGAGTACAAACGCGCGCACCATCTCCGACTCCTCTACGAGTATAAAGAGAAGAGCCGTCTTGGAGTGGTGAGACTCGGACCCCAAGACGACAACGCTTGCGACTGCTGAGTCGAGCTCTATGCCCTCCACCGCTGCCTACGACGACCTTTCTCTCAAGGCTTACTACGACGCGTGGGTCATCACCCAGCTCCCCTATCTCGGCCTGAACCGCAAGCAACGTCTCCCACTTGACCCCCGTTACCACCTCTGTGACAAATGCCGATTCCGAGTGCGCACCGAAGGACACGAACTACGATGCCGCCCCACTCCTCGGCCTCCACGCAAGGCAACCCCCTCCTTCCGACCCGCGACTCGACCTCCCTCTTCGAAACCATCCTTCGTACGAAACCACTTCCACCAGGGACACTCAACTGGCCCCTCGCCTCCCAGGTCCTCTGCGCACCCGGGGCCCTCCTCACGCAACTTGAGCGTGATGGTTTCATCAACGACGACCCCAATGTCGTTCTCGATGCAATGGACACACTGACTGACCTCTATGAGGCAGCGGCGGACGTTTGGGTCCAGCAGGACCTCCTCGAGGACGCCATCCATCTCTTCATATCCCGACGAGATGCCTCCGCGCGACGACTCCTCCGACGTTTCAAGGAGCTCGAAGACTACTCCGCGGTCAAACAAGCCGCTCGCCACCTGATCCCCATCAACGATATCACCTACTCTCGCGACTTCATTGTAACCCCCACTTTCCCGAATGTCGACGCATGCGACCTTGCTCGCATGATCACCAACTACTCCCCGTGCATCGTCTGCCAGGGCACCGATGCTGATTACCACCGAACCATCGACTGCTCTCACTACCGCTGCCCTCGATGCAATCGTCGCCAGCCGGGACATACTGAGGCCCTCTGTTCAGCTTCTGAAGCTGAAGCACCCACGTTCCCGCCGGACCTGCGATCCCTGAACGACCTGATGCGTGGAGGTATCTTCACGCAGTCCGTCGCCCACCGCTGGCTGATGGAAGCCAACCATATCTACTCCGCGCTCAGTGGTCTCATCACCTCCCGACCAACCGAATTCCTCCCTCCTACCCTACGCGGCAAACGGATCGGATTCGAGCAGGCCAATAGGTGGTATGTGGTCCGGAATGGTCGCATCGACGGCATCTTTGTCAGCCTTACCCGTGCCACGGTCCTGGCCATGCACGTTGAGGCAGCAATGATCTCTGTATATGAATCCCGCGAAGAGGCCCGTCGAGCCGGCGACTCTATGCATGACGAGGACCATCCTTTCCTCGACGAAACCTACCTGATCGGCGCCCGTCCTCCTCGTAGCGAACGACGTGCAAATACCGGAGTCCGACCCCCGACCCCTCATCCTCGACCATACCTCGGCGGAATCCTTACCTCGCCTGGACTCACGGACGTGGACCTGGATTCCCCGGTCGACGATGACGGCAGAAGAAACCTCGTCATCCAGACGTTGGAGCCCTCCTTCGGCCTTTTGGAGGAAAACGACGAGAATGTGCCTGTCCGGTCGATCCCGACGCGTGAGGCCCCGCCTCGCCCCCCTCACCTAATTCGCCCTGAGCCGGTACGTCAACCCCTGGCGGACTTCACTCAGGACCTGGAACAGGTCCCTATCCGCCAACTCGCTACCACTCCTACGTCATCCTTCCAACCCTCACCCACGATCGCCTCACCGGTATCGGGCACGTTTGAGCTCCAGCATACCGATACTGGAGAAGTCGACGCCGTCATCCACCGTCATCGTGACGGGTCCACCACCATTCAGAATGCTCCGCTGCCGCCGCCTTATTCTTAGAAGATCGACGAGGTCGTCGACCCTAGGAAGGGGCTTATGTTACGTCAACGTTTGTTTTCCCTTATTTTCACTTGAGCATTGTGCTATCCTAGCATGGGCCCAACCCCATGACGCTACGGTTCCAGTCTTCGGACTCCTTCGCTGTTTGCTCCGGCCCAACCCGGAGCAGTTCACGTGATCTCTGACTCAGTATGACTCGTCCCTTACTCATACTTGACTCATTATTTATGACTTGATCCCTGACTCGTCATGACTCACTCCCCTGCGCTCCTATTGGCTAGGTAGTTGTGACTCGTTCAGGACCTGCCCTGAACTCCCCATGTATATAAGACCTGTGTACAGTAGCGGTCGAACCTTAGTTCGACCTGGTTATCTATTGAAGCTTCACCAGCTCCTTGGATATCAGAAACTCCCCGCTCGACCTGCTAGACGGACTTAGCAGCGTCTTCGACCATTCTCCCCATCCAAGGACGATTAGAACCTAAGGTCCCTACGTTTAGGGTTAGGTTGAGAGCTAGTGCTCTAGGTGTCACGCTTCGCGTAACAGCCGCACGCTCAGAGTTACTACAGGCTTCAAAATCAGGTTCAGCTAGAACTCTCCACTGTGCTTGACTGTCCTCAACCCAGTATTTGCGAAGGTGCGTTGTATTGATGTACTATCTACCGCATGCTAATCGACCGACGTCGACCGACGTGGTTCTAGAATCCAAACTTCCGCTCTACGTTGTCAGAAAATGGCAGCCCAACCTGATACACTACCATCCTCAGATACTACAGACACAGGAACACAATCTTTTGGTACCACAACAGCGCCGTCGCACAAGGAGTCGCAGGACGTAGATCAAGCGGAACATCATTCTACCCTGTCCAACCTCACCATGACCAAGATGGCTGTCGCACCGTTCGACAACTCTCATGGAGATTCAGATGTCGTCCTCCGGTCTGCGGACGAGGTGGATTTCTATGTGCACCGAAACATCTTGCGGATTGCATCCGCGTTCTTTGCAGATATGTTCTCCTTGCCGCAACCTATACATCCCTCTTCGCCGGATGTTGCTAACGACCCTATTCCTGTCATCCCTGTCTCGGAGAACAGCCAAAAACTCGAGGCTCTCCTGCGCATGTGCTATCCGGTCGAGAAGTCGAGGATCAGCAGCGTACAGGACGTCTCACCACTCCTAGAAGGTGCGCTGAAGTACCAGATGCGGGAGGCAACAGCGGCTTTGACCAAGAAACTGGCCGCTTTCTGCAACAATCGACCTCTCGACGTGTACGCTGAAGTGTGTAGGAGGGACCTGAGGAAGGTCGCAAAGCAGGCCGCTGATGCATTTGCTGCGCCCCTCGTCGCCGTCACCAAGGTGCCGCGCGACGAGCCTGCTTTCGCAATCGATGACTTCACGCCGCACATGGAGTCGATCTCGGCGGCGGCGTACTTTCACTTGTTGGAGTATCACAGCGGCGGGGGGGCAAGCAAGTCGATGACTCTCTCGTTTGTCTCGTCTCGTGCATCTGCAAGTGCGTCATGTTGTTCATGTTCCGTATCCCGCGTTAACGCGTGCCATAGACAGAGATGATACCTTATCGTCGCGTTCAAAACCCTCGCATCCTTTCGATGACCTTGCCCGCGCAGACACGATTGTCCGCTCTTCAGACGGTGTCGACTTCTACGTACTCCGGTATCTCGTCGGCTTCTCCTCTCCGATGTTGGCATCAATTCTCTCCGGAGAAATCAGCCCAGGTCCCAGCACGTCCCCGATCACCCAAACGCAAACCCGCATGCTGGACTTCCCAGAAAACAGCCATACCCTAGACGCACCCTGCTACTCTTGTGCAGAGACTATGCGCTTGACGTCGTGAATGGGACGGCCCTCCAAGACGCGGACACAATAACGCGGTATACGTCTTTCCAAGCCCTAGGCTCCACGGTCATCGACTACGTCCTTGCATCAGCGCAGCTGACAAGGTCCCAGTCTCCTCGCGTCCGTATGCGAGTACTCCCCCACTGGGCTGAGTGGTCGGACCATGCTGCCCTAGGCCTGACTGTGAGCCAGGTGCCCGTGCAGATTAGCTTTCCGGAAACAGCGGACGTCTCGCGTCCTCACGCGGCACCTCCCAACCCTGTGGGGACACCCATAACGCCAAGCCCTCTCGACGACCTCCTTCGCCGGACAATTGAGAGCAGGCAGTCCCTTCCTGCCGCCCTGCAGTCTCTATACGGGGCCGCTCAGTGCACCTCCAGATCTGCCCCTAGCATGTACACGGATGGATCGGCATCGCGGGACTTGGGAAAGCTCTACGGCCCGTTTACAAGGGCGGGGTCGGGGGTATACTGGGGACGTGGCTCAGCTAAGAACCGCGCAGTCCTCGCTCCTTCACCGCCGACAAACAACAGGGCTGAGCTGTACGCGATACTCCTTGCTATCTGTGAGACCGACCCCTGCTTGTCCCTCCGTATCTACACCGACTCTGACTATGCCATCCGGGCTATATGTCATTGGGCGCCCGGCTATGCAGCGGCTGGGTGGGCGTGCCGCAACGCAGACATCCTACGCAATATTGTGGATGTTATTCGTGAGCGCCATGCTCCTATAGCGTTCCACTGGGTGAAAGGGCACGCAAACAACGTCAGTAACGAGGCAGCAGACGAGCTGGCGCGCATAGGATGCGCACAGGCGGGGCCTCTCGCCCCGTTTGAGCTCATGCACCTCACAGGCCCCCCTCCGTCCGAGCATGGGCTATCAAGCATGTCCTGCCCGACAACCAGCAAGGTCCACACGGACCTCCCGGAGCATACGGCGCCGCGTAAGCTTAATGCTGTGGCTGCCGTGAGAGTGAGGGGGCTGCCCGGCAACGAGGATCTCACCCCCGAAAGTAGGAACCTCATGCGCTTGCGGGAGGCATACCTCGACGAGCTGCTGACGACGGCGAGGCCGGATGCATCGTTCTGGAGGGCGTTCCGAGGCTTGATAGACCCGGCCCCGCGACCCTCGAGGGTAACGGCGTCGCAGCTGCGCGACGCCTTCGTGCCCCGTATGAACCCGCCTGATGTCCTGCCAGGCTCCTTCGATGCCACCCGCTATGCTGTCAACAACGCGTGGCTGCGTAGCCTGCCCAGTCGAACAGCGATTCCCGAGGGACAGCAGCCCTATGTCCGGGCCTGGTCGGTGAATGAGGTTGCTGAGGCTAAGGCACACATTCGAAAGCACGCTCGACGGTCAGCGAAGGGGGATGATGCGGTCTCGTACGACAATATCTTGGCGATGGACAATGAGGCTCTGCGGGAGCTCTTCCAGCAGAGCATCAATACCTTGGATGTCCCATCAACCTGGTTGACGACGATCCTATCGGGGATCGCCAAGCGGGGCAAGGACGCTGCAGATCCGGCGAACTACCGGGCAATCGGGCTTGAGAGCTGCCTGCTGAAGATGCTCACATTAATGGTCGAGCGTCGTATACGCGGATGGGCTGAGGCTGGCGGACAAATTCCCCCCTCACAGAACGGATTTCGGACTGGATGCCGCACCAACAACAACGCGTTTGTTCTCCGGGCGGCAATTGAGAAGGCGCGGAGGCTTGGGAAGCCACTCTATGTGGCCTTTGTGGACCTCTCAAACGCGTTCCCGTCTGTCGACCAGCCGAGTCTATGGGCAAAGCTTCACGAGGCCGGGTTCTCAGGTCCGCTGTTTGATTGGCTACGCATGCTCTATGCCCGGCTACGCTACGTGATCCGGCATGACGGGGACATCTCAGACCCCTTCCTTGCGGCGGCGGGCATTCTCATTGGCGACCCGGCCTCACCCATCCTTTGGATCCTGTTCCTCGCGGATCTAGTCATCTCGGAACACGAGGACGATGTCTCCCTCGGCGGCATACGTGTGTCTCACCTAGAGCAGGCGGACGACATAGTCCTGTTCTCCACGTCGGCGCGGGCACTGCAGCGCAAGCTGGATGACCTGGCTTTGTGGTGCGGTCTCAACTTCGCAGTAATCAATGTGTCCAAGACGCAGCTCATGATCTTTGGGCCGCTCCCGCCTATGACACCCTATCTCGTCATCAACGGGAGACGCATTGCCCTTGTCGACCGCTACACCTACGTGGGCATCATTTTCCTATCAACAGCTCGTGACATCTTCGAAGCGCACCTCGAGCATAGGATATCAGTCGCGCGTAAGACAGCCAATGCATGCCTGTCAGTGGAATCCTATGTCGACACGCTGCCCCCCTGGGCGAGCATCACACTGTATCAGACTCACGTCGACTGCCACCTCATCTCAGGATGCGAGGTCACCATTGACGTGCGCCTCGCGGCCCATGCTACGCTGGCCTCGCTCCAGCAAACCTACCTGCGCCGGGTTCTTGGCGTCAACCCACGATCGCCATGCGTCGTGCTGTATACTGAAACCGGCCTATGGCCCATTAGATACCGGCGGCTCTCGCTGGTGCTGCGGTATCTCCTCTATGTGGTAACCCAGCGCCCGCTGCTGCCTTTGGCCGCCCTAGCTGAGTCTCGCCTACTGGCTATGGCTGGCAATGCCTCATGGCTAGGAGACCTCCACTACGCCCTGCAACAGCTGCCAGTCCCGGTTGCCTTCCCGATGGTTGAAGCTCTGTCCCCAGATCTCGTCAAGGCATGCGCCCAGAAGCTGACTGAGTCGATGAGCACGCACCTACGTAACGACGTCATGACTGGGCATCGCCTCAGCATACTCCAAGCGCGTGGAGCGCGACGAGGCGTGTTTGCTCGGAGGGATTACCTTGCGCTCCCGGCGAAGGCGCAGCGATACGCACTCGCGCGCCTCATGGCGTCGGATCACCCTTTTGCGGTCGAACTGCTCAGGCGCCGCTCCCCACCGGTCCCGAGACATTGGCGGATCTGCCGTTTCTGCAGAGCGCGCAATAACGTCGAGGACGAGGTGCATGTGCTACTCGAGTGCAAGGCCGATGTCCTGCGAACCCGTCGCACCAAGTTCTTGAGGGATGTAGACAACGCACTGCGCGCGGAACACTCCGCTATAGCCTCATCCGAGCCCGCAGTCCTCCTTGCAACCCTCCTTGGTCACAAATGCACGATGGCGATTACGGCGGCTTACGTCCTCGAGGTATTCGGATGCTGTGACACCGTCCCAGTACTGGTGGTCTCCTCAGTGGAGCAATACCACTCATACCCCATGCGGTGAAACAAGGTTAGTGTCGCCCCCGCGTGAGACTACACCACCGCAGTTGATGACTCAACGCCCATGCACTCACAGGTGCACCTCTACTCTGCAATTCATGCGTCTGCTCGGTCACTACCATGTCGAACGCCCACTGCGTTTTGCGTGAGAGCGGACGGTAGTAGCACTACGCCAAGTCAATCACCTGGCCCGGGGTGAGTTATGTCGGTGTGCAGGAGAACCGCAACCGACGCCTGGAGGTTTTTTGAATTTTTCCTCCCAGGTTTTAACCTCGGGACCCGCCCGGCTGGCGGCCAGTGGGCCGGGGTGTGAGATCGACGTAGCATTGTACTCACGCCGTGTTATTGCTCGAATAGTGTACGATATTGTAGAATAGAGGGGGCCGCTTGGGTTGGATCCTGTCATGAAAGTAGTGAACGTTGTCGGATGTCACGTGTAGTAGATACGCGTACATTGCGGCTAAATGGACCCATCTCCTCCTCCTCCTCCTCCTAGCACTCCTCTTCCAGCTCTGCTACCCTATGCCCGACCCCGCAATCCAGGAGGGGTCAGACGACGAGAAGCTGCACGACGTCTACCAGCTTCTGGAGGCAGCGAAGAAGTATGAGGTTGCGCGGGCAGTGGAGTTCGCGAAGCGACAGTGTGTCGCCTCGATCGCTGCATGCCCTGTACGGCTGTATCTTGCCGCGTTGCATAACGGGTGGGAGGACGCAATGAAAGAAGCTGCGTGGCGCTCCGTGTACGAGGTATCGGACAAGTACGTGCCCGAGATGGCGACGGTGCCTGCGACGATCTACCGCCGGCTGCTCGTCTATCGTCAGAAATGCCGACAGATCATTAACGCTCGTCGAGATATCAGCAAATTATCAGCGCCGAATGAAAAGGATGCGTCCGATGACTCGTACTGGGGCAAGGACAGCTGGTTGGGGGGACCGGGGGAGTCGGAGGCCCGCTTTTGGTTGAACATCCATAGGTTCGTTCAGGAAGAGGCAGTGGCAGGACGGCAGCTTAACCTGCAGCCGGATGTGGTCTTCCCGATATCTATCCGAGCTCCGAGCGACAACACAGGTTACGAAGTGGTGACCACGACGCCAAAGCACAGTCGCGGTCGCGGTGACTTTCTCTCCAGTCGCGTGTACAGCTATCAGGTGCCAGTCCCGACTCCAAACCCTTGGATTGCCAATAGGCAGACAGCGATAGACATCGCAAAGGCACTCGCCAAGGTATCTGCCGTCAGGAACGCACTCTGGTCAAATCCTCACATTGCTTATTACAGGTCGAGCTATGACGAAAATGCATACATTGGCAGCACAACCGACGCTATAGTCATCTCCTGACAGCCAGTCGATTATGCTTTCTCCATGGCACATGCCGATGACTGCAGGAGCTGTAGACACCCTGATCAGTGCGGGAAGTTGCGAGACGGCCAGCTGCATAGCTAAGCTTATATGGATCACATCGACTGACGACGACGATCGAACAGTGATTGCTTCTGTTGACTGAGATTCAGATTGTTCTGTCGCTCAGTATGTAGTACACGTATCGACGAAGCCAATGGTTCGGCATCTCCTCCCCTGAATAGGCACGAGGCAGCAACCTTATTGATTCCTTGACACGCAGGAGAACGAAGAGATGCTCAAACTCAAAAGGACGCGACTCATGTCAGTGAATGATCCGAGCAACTCCATTGGGAATAACATAAGCTCAGTCGGGCACGGTTCTGAGAGCCTCGAGGATCGATGTCGATTTGGAAGCTCTGAAGCACTGTAGCCGTTTGATAAGAACCCGTTGCCTCGTCTCTGAGGCTTCAAGTCTCTTCCTAGCCCGAACCCCGGTGAGTACAAATGCATTACATGCATTATTGTCAGTCGATGACATTTGGAACTACGTACAAACAGGAACAGTCAGTAGTCATCATGTCAAGTCCTGCGAACAGTACAGTTCCGCCGACGCCCGCTCCGTCTTCGCCCAACCTCCCACCCTCTGACTCCTGGGGCAACGATCCTCGCGAGGATGGGCACGGGGAGACCGCGCCGTATCCTTTCGACAACATGTACAAGGACGCGGACGTCGTGCTGCAGGCCTCGGATGGTACGCGCTTCTACGTGCATAAATCGACCCTGCGCGTCGCGTCGAAGTTCTTCTCCAGTATGTTCTCCTTACCGCAACCTCCGTTCGAACCGAGCTCTATCGCAGGATCGAGTGGTGCTCGCGAGGAGATACCGAGCATCCCGGTCACGGAGGATAGCGCAACTCTCGAGCGACTGCTGCGCATGTGCTACCCGATCGACAGTCCTGATGATTCCGACTCTAGCATACAGGCAGTGGCTCCGATCCTTGGTGCGGCCTTGAAGTATCAGATGCCAATGGTCGCCAAGTTGATGGCCAAGTCATTGCTGAACCACTGCACATTCGATCCTCTTGGCGTCTTTGCTGTCGCATACAAATTGGACTTGCAAAAATACGAAGCAAGAGCAGTTCACGAATTTACCAAGTGGTGTACGCGCACGAAGCCCACTCATTCAAGCAAAGGACCCGGTCGCAACGCGGCGGGGATCCCTGATATCACATCATCGCGGGCTCATTCGCTCGGAGAGTACTCCTCAGAGTTGAATTCTCTCCCTGCATCGGTTTATTACCGTCTTCTGGAGTATCACACCACTACGACAGTGACTAGCTCACTGCAGAACGCAGAGGCCGCTGTGAAGCATATCTGTTCTCGCTCTCACAACTTCCCGGAAATCCTCCACGAGGCCGACGTGCTTGTAGGACGACTCGCTCATCCATTCCGCGACACCACTCGTGCAGATACTATTGTTCACTCATCAGACAACTTCGAATTCCACCTCAGTCGTAACCTGCTCAGTTTCGCATCACCAGTGTTCGCCAGATTGTTCCCTGTTTCCTCTACCGCCACCGCGTCCGACTCGTTGGGGGCATCTCAGACCGGTTCCGCAGTTCAGACGCCGCATCGTTTCCCCGAAGACGGTCTCACACTATCGAGACTTTTCCAGCTGTCTTACCCAATGCCCGACCCCGAGCTCAGTGGAGATGGCTCGCCGGATGTCGAACGGAGAAGTGCTCTCTCCCTGTTGGAAGCCGCAAAGAAATACGAAGTGGCGCGGGCGCTTTCGTTTGCCAAGCAAACCTGTGTCCAAGCTGCACGAGCATCTCCCGTGCAACTGTATCTGCTTGCGATGCAGTACAACTGGAACGATGTCGCTCAAGAGGCTGCCATGCGGGCGGTTTACGAGACGTCCGACAAGTACGTGCCAGAATTGGAGACCGCGTCTACTGCAGCGTACCGTCGCCTACTGGTGTACCGCCAGAAGTGTCGGGATGTCATCTTGAATGGAGGACAGAGCGAATCTCCATGGCAGGGGACCCCCAGCACGCCCCCACGTTCGGCGTACTGGAGTAAGTCGAGCTGGCTGCATTCCCCAGCTGAGGCGAAGTTCTGGCTCGCCTTTCACCACCGCGTCAGCAGCAATACAGTCACTGCGGAAAACGTAGTCATGTGGCCCATGGACGTCGAAGAGTACCTTCCCACTTCAGTACTACTGGAACGCACTGGTATGGATTATCCTCGGCGGGGTGGATCAAGTACACTGGCACCGCCGACCTGTCCAGCAACCACGGAACCGGGCGACGGAAGACAAGTCGAGCTCGAAAGGATAGGCGGAGCATTAGTGAAGGTGCGAGCGTGTCTGAGATAGGTCATGGCGAATGCGTCTCAATCATACATGCGTTTTTTGGCAGATCGTCTTATGATCTCAAGAGCAGAGCGTGATTCTCGTGCTTGGCACAGTATGCGAGTGCGTAGTCCCAGTCCATGGCACTGAACTTGCGGCAGGGCTGACGGATCACGATACTGGTCTGCTAGGAACAGCCATGTGGGCCTGACCGAACGACCAGAGACATATATGTTTGTGCTCACAACCTGTATCGTTGACACAGATCGAAAATTCGAGTTTATCCAAGTCGGACTCGACTTGGCGACATTCTGCTGAGACCGTTGACCTGAGCTGCCGCCGCCGCTGAGGCTCCTTTTACAGGCCTCAGGCCACGGCCTTTGCACACGCTCCTCAAGGTCATCGTTGTGTTCCTCGTCGCGTCCCACCTCGCGTTCCAATCACCAAGTTCCGTGTCACATTCCTCGTAGGCTCTGCTCGCATATATCGCTCTACTATGGACACTCGAATCGTATATGGAGCGCAATTGTGGGCCGCCGGCTAGTCATCTAGCTGACGAGCAGTGCCGCCGGCTCCCCGGATGCCAGTACCGAGAGTCTCCGAGACCACTTTACTTATGAGCGGATGATATGAGCTGCCTCGAAGTTTTCGTCGACCGCGGACAAGGCGCTTAGTACTCTTTCAACACGGCAACTAGCGGCAACTCGACACTTGTCTGTCGAGCTCTCACAAGCGGTTTCACTGATATATTCACCGTTCAAATCTAGGTTCTGAATGCATGCAACATTGAGCGAACACGCCGCTGAGGGAGCATGTAGTTAGCACGAACTACCTATAATTGGATGCTAAGTATGAGCCCGATATGAGCCCGAGGCAATCGGGGATAGGTGGCGGGTGCAGACCCGCTCGGAAACACGTGTTATTGGGATGCTCTCCCGGTCCCCCAGGATGGCCTTGCGCGAAACATATAATCTCGCTCGTCGCCGCTGCTCATGGCCTTGTTTTGTCCTCGTGGCCACCATAGCGGGGCTAGTCAACCAGGATAGTCTGCGAAGTAGTCAACAACGTGCCAGCTTGTCTCGCAACTAGCGGCTGAAGACCCTGATTATCGCCGCCTCGGAAGATCCCAACCGACACACGGTACGTGCGGTACTTACTGTATTAGTGCGTCTACTGCACCGAACGCGGCTTACCACCAACACTCACCATGCTATCTAGCCGGAGAAGCCACCCGTCCGCCAGACATATAACGGCCATGTTTTGGGACGGCCTTTTCAAGGACACCGTCATGGACGCGGTCCGAAGCCTCGCTCGTCTCCCCACCTTCCGCGTCTCCGTCGGGTCTCTGAGCTTCAGCCTCCTCAAATACGTTGCAGTGCTGCTGTTCTTGGTGAATGCTCGCTCGTGGCCGTTAACATGGCATTGTGAGTCTCACGTCTCGTTGCGCACCGCTCCCGCTGACCCGTGCTTCGCCGTAAAGTCAGAGTGTTCCGGCCCGTCATGTCCCTGCGTCTGCGGTGGTACATGCTGCAACTGCGACTCTTGCTCAAGCCCAAGCAGGTCAAGCGGAGGGAGAAGGCGAAGTGGTTGCAGGAGTTGTGCCCGGTCGGTCAGGACCCGCTCGAGTTTGTGCACACGTGGAAGGGTTGGGCTTGTGAGTGTATGCCTCCTGGATACCGCTCTCACCAACCTCATGGTCTGCTCCGTAGCACCGGACGACTCCGACTTCAATCTCCACCTCAGCAACTCGTGTTATGCCAAGGTGCGCGTCCCCTGCATGCTGCCTTGTCTGTCAGGGACTAAGTACCTGCCAGAACCTTGATTGCGCCCGTCTAGAGGCGGCACTGAAGTACTTCCCAACGCTCTGCCGCGCGGGCGGCTGGATAGCACTCGGTGGTACGTCTCCCTCCGTGTCTACGAATCCTGCACACTCACGCCGAGACCGGCACCCAGCGACGCACTTCAACTTCCTGCGCGAAATCCCGATCCTCGCTCCGTACGAGATCCGCATGCGGATCGCCGGCTGGGACAGCAAATGGGTGTACATCGTCGCGCGGTACGTCACGCACCCGCGCAGCAAGAAGTCCAAGGACGCCAAGGCGCTCCCCGGGGGCAAGCCCTCGGGGTCCCCCGACACGACCGGCAACGCGCACACGGGCGGCGCGCCCTACCCCGTCCTGCACACGCCCGCAGACCCGCTCGACGCGGAGAGCAAGTCCGGGGTCGCCACGCCGACGCACGCCGAGGCGCTGGCGCGCGCAAGCATGGTGCACGTCGAGCCGGACGGGGCGACGCTCAACTGCGTCGTCGTGAACGCGCTCTGCTTCAAGACCGGCCGCATCACGATCCCGCCCGCGCTCGTGCTCGCCGTCGAGGGCTTCGTCGCGCCGCCGTCCGCCGGTGCCGATGCTGAGCAGTTCTCGCTGAGCAACCCGCCGCCGTTCTGGGGCGAGGTGCAGAAGCTGATAGGGGAGGAGCCGACGGACCTGCGGAGGCTGCAGAAGTTCTATGCGGGTGGGTGGCGCGAGGTCCCCGAGGGCGAGCGGTGGTGGGAGAAGGCGGTGGAGGGCCTCGAGGAGCGGAGGAAGGCGGGGATGGAGGTTGTGGGCGCGCTGAGGAGTGGGATGGAGGGCGTGCGGAGCTTGTGAGCGTGGCGGTGTGGGCGGTGGCTTCTCGTTAGAGTGAGTTGGCACTTGACTATAGCATAGACTTCTGTGATACGTTCGTTGGTTTAGAATGCCGCAGGCCCTTAGACACAGATGCATACAGTCTGTCTGTAACGTATTCGTAATATTTCGTGCTATCATGACAACTTACTGGAGACGGGTTCGTAATGTGAGGCAAGAACATGATTCTTATTCTCGGTGACGCAGCAACAAATCATCCGGGCAAAAAGACCAGCGCAAGGCCAACGGCTTACTCATGACACTTGGTTCGATGAACGCGGGGGTGGCGGCGCATTACAATTTGACCTGTGTTGGCGTTAGTGAAACAGACAGCAGTGGGAGGGCAAGCCGTATTATAAGCCTGCATAGACGCGACGAGGACACACCTTCGCCAGCGCGCTTGCTACAGCCATGATCGAGGTTCCGGACCGCAGGTAGCGCGATGCATTCTCCACTTCAATGTCGGCGGAGGGGGATAGCCCGTGGGGTGTCGTGTTCCGCCAAACCTGTTGGTGAATGGCCTTCCAGAAGTTCTCCTCCTTTGAACCGTCCAACCATGGCTCTTGAATACACCAGTACGTGGAGAACCCGCTGTCGTGGCCCATACTAGATACTATGTGGTGCTTGAGGATGATGTCCCTGCACTTCTGCCGATAGAGGAGCAGCCGACGGTACGTAGCCGCGGTCGCGTTCGCCATCTCCGGCGTGCGTTCGAGTGGGCCATCGGACGATTCGTACACCGAATGCCACGCTGCCTCCTTCATCACGTCTTCCCAGTCGTACTTGGAAGCAATGAAGTAAACCCGGTCGGGCACGATATCGATCTCCGCAACGCAACGTCGCTTCGCGTATTCCACTGCCCTAGTGACCTCGTACTTCTTCGCGGAGTCATATAGACGACACGCATCATTTAGAACGTCATCGGCGAGTGTACGTTTCATCTCGGGGTCGGGGATAGGATAACAGAGCTGAAGCAGGACTGCCAGCGTGCGACCGTCCTCAGGGAGTTGTAGCAGGGGCAAGTACCTTGGACTCGCGGAGGCTGAGTTGTCTTCCGAGTCAGCGTTCGCATCCTGCTTCTCCCGGAGCATCCTCCCAATGACGGGAGACGAGAAGCTGATGAATTTGCGAAGTACATAGAAGGCCATGCCATCCGAGGAACGGATGACCATGTTTGTTTGAGCAGGATCCTTGAAAGGGTGCGAGGGCATTGAGGGCGGAGGTCCGGACATGGCAGTGTCCGCGCCATCTATCATGTGAAAACCATACATGTACTGTGAGTTCGGCGTGACACGCAAAGTAGCACATCAAACTCACCCTTAGCCCTCTCTGCCGAATTCTGGAATATATTGTCGGGGTGGCCTCCACCACTGTGACAGTCCAGCAGGCGATAGTACAGAGAGGCCGGGATATTGTCCATCGCAGGCACGAAATCGTCGATCTGATGGTCAGAGATGCGCGACTGTGCCATGCCGACGTACTGAGCAGCTGAGAAGGCTCTTGCTGCATGCTTTGCGACTTCCTCCAGGCCTCTACTGTACGCTTCCGCGAAGACATCCAAGGGACGACTTGGGCAAAGGGCCATCAACTCTCTCGTAAGGGCCGTCGTTGCCTCCCGCATCTGATACTTCAGCGCTCCTTCGAGAAGTGGGGAGATACCCTGGACAGTGGCGAATCTACCAGTAGGCTTTTCGACAGGGTAGCACATACGCAGGAGATTGTCGAGATCGTGCCAATTCTCCGACACGGATATGACAGGGAGCGGGCGAGTAGAGTCGCTGCAGGCATCTGTCGATAGTATGTCGCCGTCCGAAGGCTCGGACGAAGCCTGGAGCGGTTGCGGCAAGGAGAACATGTCCGCAAAGAACGCGGACGCGAATCGTAAGATGTTCTTGTGGACATAGAAGTCCGCTCCGTCCGCAGACCGTAGGATGACATCGGCGTCTCCGTAGAAGTTGTCGAACGGCGCAGTGGCGATCATGATAGCAATGTCGGGCAAAGATCCTGGGCCACCTTCACCCTCCGCACGTTCAGCAGACGACTCAGCTACTAGCGTCTCGGGTGGGGTTACAATCGCTTCTGTCGCCATATGCATGTCACTAGGACTCGACCTTATGATTCTGGATATCCATGGTTTAGCTTTTAGTGGACTGTGAGAGAGCCCATGCACTCCGACGCACCAAGTTCGTGAATCGAGCTACTCAGGCTGAGGGGTCGTCAGGGCTTGTGCACTGGGTGCTGCTGGGGATGATAGAGCAAATCTAAGTAGGTCGCACGTATCGATCCAAGCAGCCGGTGTATGATGATCATGCCCATGCTTCGTTGTCCCCGTGACATCATGCCAGTAGTATTTGAACTACTCATGCTGTTTCGCGACACACAAGCAATCTAGCACTGGTACAATGCACATTACCGACATAAAAATTGTGATGTCGGATCACTTACGCACAGCGAGTACTTGCTTGAGTGGCAAGGTGGACGCCCTTTGGGCGGCCCTCGAGCAGACCATCGGAACCATCTATCATGGCACCTCAATCCGGCGACCTGTGCGCCGCTGTACTACTAGTGGTAGCCCGCCTCAACTCAAACACGCATGGTCCTCCCATATTGCATTCAATTGGTGTGTGAGCGACAGTGCGCTACTGTCAATATTACGCTTGTGTACGAGGACCACTGGCAGCCACTAGTACAAAATCTTCACAATTGAATCTGCACCGTGACCATACGGCCCACGGACGTTGATCAGAGGAAGTCGGTTTCAGATGTGTTACACAGTGACGCTTACCTTCATAAGTTCCCCTGCGATTCTTCTGAGCTCTTGTTGCCTCGCATGTTCGTGATTTGTCTCGGCATTGTCGGGTGCGTTAGTTGATCCTGAGCTACCTCGAGCAGCACGGACGGTATCGCCAATCATGATAGAGCTCGGAAGAAAAGCCTCGATATTTATGGGTTCCAGAGATTCACTATCAGTGGATTTCGAGTCCTCATAGTCGACGACATGCTGATGAAAGGCTTGCCAAAACAATGCTTCGTCAGGGAAGCGCAACCAGTCGAACCTGCTCCAATAAGTCGAACATCTGGGACGGGCTTCCAACTTGAAGGAGGCAAGCATCTATGTGGATGTACAAGATACTCAGATCACAGCGGTATCTGTGCAGGCTTTGCTATGAGCACATACAACTCGAAGCAAGGATTCATGCGACGTTCGCACCTTGATTAAATCGTCGACTGCAAGCATGATATCTCGGTGGGTGCATTTCACGAACGTGATACCGAGCCTAGTCGCAGTCGTACCATCGCGAGGATCATCGGCTGCACAGATGGTCGGGTCGACCTCCTCTGGATCGGAATCAGCGGTCTGCGCCGATAATTCCCGTTCGAGGGCTTGTTTGTGGAGGGCTCGCCATAATGCGGACTCCTCAGGGTTCGTCCACTGGGTTCCCTCGACGTCGCTCCAATACGATGCCCCCGGTCCCTTAGGGGATGATGCACGAGAGGACAGTATGAGGTTACGGCATCTCTGCCGGTAGACCAGCAGACGACGATACGGTGCTGCCGGCAGCTCTTCCATCTCCTCCGCATACTTCTCCGGCGGACCCGTTCCGTACACGGCGAACATGGCCGCCAGCCTAACGACGTCCTTCCAGCCGTGTTTCGTCGCGACGAGGTAGATGCGGAGTGGCTCCTCCTCCGCAGCCCGTACGCACGCCTGCTTCGCAAACGAGATGGCACGCTGGACCTTGTACTTCAGTGCCGCGTCCAGCAGAGCGCACACCTTCGACACCTTCTCGTGGATCGATGGTCCACTCACTTCTGGGTCGGGCATCGGGTAGCACAGCCGTAGTAGAGTGGAGAGCGTCTCGCCGGTTTCAGGCAGCTCGAGACGGCGCAGATATTCCCCGCCGACTACCGCTTGGTCACCGTCCAAAGCGCTCGGGACAGCAGCAGAGAGCATTTCGGCCATGACTGGTGATGCGAAGCGAACGAAGTGGACATTGGCATAAAGGTCGGTGCCATCCGAGGCTCGTACCTGGACCACTTCTTTGACTAGAGAATCCTTGTTGCCCTCAAGCGTGAAGAGCTGGTCCCGCACAAGAGGACTTGCATGACGCCGGCTGCGTCGAGTTGGCCATACAAGTCGCGGTTCCGAGTCGCGGGGTGGACTCCAGCGCTGGGATGCCATACAAGACATGAGATCGGAATAGCCTGTACGCGCGTTACGCCCCGTTGTCAATCTCTGGTAGGCCTTAAGCAGGTTGTAGTACGACGACGCTGGCATCGTGAGCATCGCCGGGGTGATTCCATCGATGCGATGGAGTTGCCGCCAATGCATATCGATGTTTTCCCCGTACTCCGCTTGAGTTGGACAGCTAGCCAGGAATGCAGAGCTGGCAACCTCTTCTGCACGGTCTAGCTTGAACGAACTTGCAACGGCGTATGCGTCAAGAACCTGGCTCTGCATGTGGCATAGAAGCACGAACGACTTCTCCACCGCGAGGGTGACAGACGGCAGTTGGTATTTCTCCGCTGCGTGCAGAAGCGGTATTGCGTCCACCGCTTTGGTGATCGCAGGGTGATGGACGGGATAAAGGATGCGTAGCACATGGTTGAGGACTCGACTGTCTTCAGTCACTGGGATGACCGGCAACCCGGGGCCTGCAAGGTCCGCCTGAGGGAGAGATAGCATAGTCGCGAAAAAGGTGGAAGCGATGCGCAGTGTCGACTTGTGGACGTAGAAGTCGATGCCGTCCGACGATCGCAGCACAACGTCCGCGTCACCAGAGGCATTGTCGAAGGGAGGCAGAGCAATGTTCCCTTCGGCGACTGCTTTCTCCTTCTCCACGGAAGCCATATAGAGGGATCGGAACCCCTCCGGTGTCAGGCCTCTGGACTTTGAGTCCATATGGTCGAGTCAATAGTTCCGCAGTCAATCGTCTGCGCTGTTCTGCCATTCAAGTTGTCAGCCACTCCAGAGCTCCGAGGAACGAAGTTCACCGAGAGACCTACAGCTATTATCGCAGTCACACAGCTACCAAAGCACGCAGTCACGACGCACCGAGAGGCGAGGGACTGAGAATCAGAGGTGGGACGCGTTTTGTACGGCCGCAACGAGACTGACGCTGGCCCACCGCGATCGGAGTGGGGCTTCGGCGACACTCCCAAGATCACGCGAAGACCACAATGGAAGGTCTAGTCCATTGTCTCGTAAATGTGGATAACAGCAGGCCGTTTCCCGCCAGAAGGAACAGTATGGACCTGAATTTACGTACGTTATGATGTTCCTGGTCGGACACGTCAACCCTAACTATACTAGGAACTCATGATTGACAGAAGTACACATGTTCTGTCAACGCACCGCTGATTTTAATCCTCGTTCTTCAGGATGATAGCAGAACCAGTACTGTCGCCAGTTGCAGTCGGTGAGTACTTGAGTGTTTGTGCCATGATCGCGATGTCGGCGTTCTGCTTTGCACTCTTCCGAGCAGTCGCGCCTCTGGAGACTACACCGACAGTCCCGAGCAACGTCAGGAAAGTTCAGGAGACGGGCTTAGCACTGCACGGATACGAGGACTGCAACATAAACATCATGCCAATTTATAGCCTGACTCTATCCTAGTAGTTGAGGTGGCCACGACCGGAGTCACTGACAGGCAGCGCATATTCAGCCTGCTCGTCCTTATCAGCTATATTCCGCCTGCTTTGATCTGTATATCTATGCCTTGTTTTTATCTGTGAATTGCAGTATCAGTGAGTCAATCAGGCAACCACGGAAGAGCTTCGTTGGTGAAGTGACTTGAAGTTGGCCGCGACGTCGCGCGGACTCGGAGCGATCAGCCACCGGACACGTGATGTGGTGGTTCGTTGCAGTTCGAACTTAGACTCGATATCCAGTGGCCAGAAAGTCGGAACCACGGGGACATTCGTCCTGGGGACGAGGGACGCGAGACGCGAGACGTCACAGTAAGTCACAGCGCACCGTGAGTGGCCGTGCGCCATCATCGCTTTACCTCCCACTTTGACCACCTTTGACATTGACATTATTGAGGGCCAGAAATACAATTCACCGGTCAGCTAGGTGTCTAGATATACATATCGACTGACTTACTGACTGAGATTTACGAAGGCATCACGGAGGCCAGGCATAGTGGCGCGCTACGTGACGGAGATGATTATGTAAGCATACCACAGGCACTACTCATAGGCTCTTGTATGTAGTTATCTTGAACGACACCCATTGTTTTGAAACCGTGAGGCTAGATTAGATGGTGTAATTACTCAATACTTCCTGAAATACTTAGTAGCCCCTGTTACTCAAGTAAGCAAGTCAGTCAGTCAGTCAGTGTGACAGCGTCCCGCGGGACGTCCCGCAGAGCGTCCCCGGGACGCATCCCCGGGACGTATGTCCCAGTCGTTCAGACGTTCTCCCAGTGGCGTTAGAGTGCACGTGCTCGCAGAGAGGCGGAGTTTGAAAGGCAAGCGGACTTCGAAATGAACGGCTGGTCACGAGCCTAGTTCGAACTATGATTCGTCCCGGCCCCTCTCACCCGGTGATCTATGAGTCTCTCTTTCTCCTTACAGTAATCGAGCTGTACCGAAGATTGAGGTTACAGCCAACACCACTACATGCATGTATGATGTCTACTCAACTTCTATGCACTGCGCAGGATTTCTGATCTCGTTGATTTGAAAATCACGGACTCATTAGTATGATACATGTTGTCACATCGCCTTCAATGAGCATCGGTATATCAAGAGGCAAGTCCAGTCGACGGTCAACCTAAGTATGTCATGATCAGAGATATTCCCTGATTATTGGATGTCCGTATGCTTGATAAGGTATGATCTGTACAATGATGCGTATTGTCGCTGCTCACATCACACGAGCATGAGCCACGACGAGCGCGCGAGTACTCAAAGGTGGACCTGAATGGTGGATGCAAATTTGGTCAATACCCTCCAATTGCGCTCACTATACCACTCACAGATGCCAGCTTCTGCCCTAACTTAATCATCCTCCGGTGAATGTGATGCACGGTAACATCTGGTCTCGTAGCGTCACCGTGACGAGCTCTGTGGCCCTTCAGTAGTAAGGATGATGGTACGATCTCTTGCAATGCATGAACATTGGTGAGCCCTCCTTTCTTGCGCGCGAGCTGGTGGAATGTTATCCAGAATCTTTGCTCGCTGAACAAGTCGAACTCCAGTAGTCCGTCTAGGTCCCAGTACGGTGCAGATGTAAGAACATGGTGTTCCGTGTCTTTGCTGAAAGACACGTATGTGTAGTACGCAATTGTGATATCGCGGCATTGTTGGCGGTAGACGAGAAGACGGCGGTACGCTGCCGCGGGTACCGTCTCCATCTCGGGCACGTATACCTCTCCTCTGTTGTATACTGCGTGCACGGCCGCTAATTCTGCAACGTCCTGCCACCCATACTTTGTTGCTATGAAGAAAACGCGTTCGGGCCAATAGTCGATGGCCTCGATGCAAACACGCTTTGCGAAGAGCGCAGCGCGCTGCACCTCGTATTTCAGCGCGGCCTGCAAGAGGCGGCATGCCTTTGATAACTTCCCGTCGTCCATGCTCCATTTGATCTCCGGATCAGGCATCGGGTAACATAGGGAGAGTAGATTTGTGAGTGTTTCCCCGTCCTCGGGCAGGTCAATGTGACAAGTGATTTCAACGTCGCCCTGGCAAAACCCAGAAGTATCCGAACTTCGGGACTCGTGAAGCAAGCTAGCCAATACCGATGACGCGATCCCGATGAGCAGAGAGTTCACGTAGAGCTCTGTGCCATCGGACGATCGTATGACTGTATCCGTGATGGAGGAATCTCGAATGAAGGAAGATCGGGGGGACTCAAACTCTTTCGATGTGGATTGATGTCCGAAGTGTCTGTTTGAGGTGCAGGATTTCGTGGCACGAGAAATCGGCGAGCAGAAGTTGAAGTTTTCCTCCACGCGTTGTTTCTCGACGTATGACTGAAAGGGCGTCTTTCCAAACATAGGATATTCGCGAGGAGCATCGAGCACTGCCCTTTGGTAACACTGCAACAAGTGGAAGTACGAGGACGAAGGTATGTCATTCATCGCTGGTGTATATTCGTCGATACGATGCAGTGGCTGTGCCGCGTCCGTGCCAACAGGTGGAGATGGAAAAGCACAGAATGCTTCTGCCGCACATTCCGCTAGTTGCTCGAGGTGAAATATGCACGCGAGTGCATAGACGTCGAGTGTGTGCTCATGACAGAGAGCGGCGAGTGCTGTTTGTATGGCGGAGGTGACCAAGGGCATCTGGTACTTGTCTGCGCCTTGCAAGAGCGGGACGGCGTCCTCCACTGTTGTGATAGCGGGGATGTTCGCGGGATATACTACGCGAAGCAGGTAGTCGAGAATCTGGCTGCTCTCGGTGACCTCGATGATCGGTAACGGTGCTTCACTCTCCTCCACGTCTACGGCTGGATCAGAGGCGGAAGGCTGCGGCAGCGAGAACATGCTAGCGAAGAACGCCGATGACATTCGCAGAGTCGATTTATGAAGATAGAATGTGACATTATCTGACGAACGCAGCGCAACATCCGCATCGCCATGAGGGTTGTCGAATGGAATCGGTGCGATTTCTTCAGTATCATCCGGATCGCCTGACACCCTTTGGACGCTCAACATCGCAACTTCTGTGAGCAACGGAGCAGTCGTCGAGAATTTCGGAATTGATGATGTCACGCTCTTCATATCGGATGGAGGTGTGTCAATATCTGCGGTTTTCGCGAGCTCTCTGTCAGTACATTCCAACAGTGGACCACTCTCTGAACTCACTTCGTTGGTTGATGCGTCAGGAAGGCAAATGAGCACGTCCCGGGAGTCGCGGCGAAGAGGTGAGGAGTAGGGAGAAAGTCAGAGACAACTCACTTGACGAGTTGTATATCGAGCGAGCCTCGAGGCGCACAACATCAAACTCAAATGCTCATGAGGCTCTTATCGGGCGGAACACTAGGTACAACGCACTGCGTATGGTAACGTTAACCCAATCGTATGACCACATACGCTGAGAAATCTCGCACAAGACGATGCCCACCAACGTGCCATGACGACTCTTAAAGAGTAGGACGCAATGCAAATACATAGTCAGACATGTCGATGTAATACTGATACACAGTGAGCGAGAATGATCATCCATTTCCATTGGGTTCAATGCAGTAGGGGACTCGAACACGACATGAGATGCGTTAAGGGTATGGAGGTGTGGTGGTGTATAGTACAATGTCCAGTAGATGCTACAACCTGCTACGCTGCGAATCCGGAGTCCCTTCACTTAGAAGTCGGTTCGACACCATCCGTCGTGAAGCGCAGCCGCGCGAGAAGCACAGCGTCCCATTTCCCGCCACGCCCAACAGGCGACACCTTGTTCGCACTCACGTCCAGCTGGTTCCCGTCTGGCTCATCATACACCGGCCCGCCGATCACCGACGAGGACAAATCCGTTGTGATGTCAAAGTGTCCCCATGCTTGGCCAGACCGGGGTGAGGAATAGACATTGAAGTTCAGCGTGCCATCCGGATGACTGTGGCTGACGTAGAGCGAATAGTCTTGAGCCTCCAACGTCCCAATCACTACATCTATCTGTAAGCGGCGAGATAGACGATCGCAGGGAGTTACTTACCTAAAAAGATGTCCTCGCGACCGATGCAGTGTTCATCCCCGTACTCCCGAAGGATCGCGTCTACGTTCGCCTTGAACCACCGTTTCGGCGCCTCTAGATTCTCCATGTAGCGATAGGCAGTCGACTCCGTGAACATATGAGCCGTTTTGTGACCCGCACGCAGCGGCGACGAATACCGCCGGCTCACAGTCGTCGGCGGCTGGTTGCTCCTCGAGGTCAGCCACGACTGGATCATGTCCATCCCGCGCTGAGCGACGTTCCTCTTGTCAGACTTCTGCGTCCCCGTGGTGACACGCCCGTAGCCTTCGATGGATGCCATGTCAGCCGTGCGACCACCGGACGACTCCAGCGGCTTGAAGGCATTGAAAAGCGTGATGAATTTGCCCTCAGGCTTAGATAGGTATCCGACCGAGCCGAGTGGAACCTGGGTGGGAGTCCACAAGGGGAGCGACACTACGATACCATCAGCATTGGAGATCAGAACTGATGATGATTGTACATACGTGAAGGGTGGAACTCGTGCTGAAGGAGCATGCGATACCGGCGCTCGTTGCGGAACTCCGCAGTGCGCTCGTCGAAGGGCGGAGGCGACTGATATCCAGGAGGGTCGAGCATGACAGCAGAGTCGGAATGCGAGTCGTCGGTGTCTGACATGCCCAACGAAGAGCGGCGACTCAGGTCCGGTGACGGCAACAACTTCTCGACATAACTCGGTGCGGGCTCTGAGGGAATAGGCGATGTCCCGAGAGCTGTCTGATACGAAGTGTCGTCGTCGGAGAGTGAATTGCCCTCAATGAATGTTGCCGTCGTGTCGGCTGTAAAGGTGGGTGGGAATGAGTCAACGTACAATCTTGCGGTTCATCAGATCAGGTACTTACGAGGAAGTGGCGGTAACGGAATGGGATGCATATCGGGAGACTTGCGCTCGTCAGCTAGCTCGTGGTGCGGCGGACGCGGAGTGTCATTGACATCGCCACCCACTCGCTGGCGGAGCTGCTGAATGTCTTGGACGACCTTAGCAAAGGACGGACGTCCAGAAGGTTCACGCCTCCAGCATGCTTGCATGATCTCTGCCAGGAGCGTAGTCCACTTCTGGTTGATGAGAGGGATCTCCGGACGCATGTTCTCTCCTACCAGTGTACGTTCAGCAGGGTCAAGCAACTAGAATGAATACAACGTACTGAGCACAAAGTGGCGGACAGCATCGTCGTCAGCCAATGGCCACGGCAGACCCCCTTTTGTCAGGATCTCAATGCAGCAAAACGCAAACGCGTAAACGTCAATCTGCTGCGTCAGCTCGCTCTGGCCGGCCATTAGCTCAGGCGCTTGCCACCGCAGGGTACCGTGCGGCGTAGGCGTCCCGCTTAGACGGTATACCTCGCTCTTGATCTCGCTCTGGCCAAAGTCGGAGATGACACAGCACCCACGGTCGTCCACCAGAACGTTAGCGCCCTATAAGGATCTCAGTACGATACGCGGACATAGCTGACAGCGATCGAATGCACCTTCAGATCACCGTGAAGAACATCCTTGCTGTGCAGGTATGCCATGCCCTTCGCAATTTGGTGGATCATCTTGAGCAGGTCCACAGAGTCGAGGCTCGGCAGGCCCTTCAGGTACGAGACGAGGCTTCCGTTCTTCATGTACGGGCTCACGAAGAACCATGGCGGCTCGCTTGAGGTCGAAGACGCACCCAGGAGCTCGAGCACGTTCGGATGCGACAGCGACTTCCAGATGTTCACCTACCCCATGCACGTTAGACAATGTCGGCGTTACTGTCATGTAAATTACCTCATGGATGAAGAGCTGTCGCGGCGTCGTCTCCGCGAGCACCTTGATAGCAACCGTGCGGTCCCTCCAAGTGCCCTTGTAGACATCCGAGAAGTAACCAATCCCGATCTTCTGCTCCCTGTCGACCTCGTAGCGCGTGATCGTCCAGCTCGGCAGCGATACCTCCGCCGTGCTGAGCCTCCGCAGAGCGTCGATTCCTGTCTCGATGAACTCCCGGTCGAGCGTGTCCTTCGGCGTGCGCTTATGACTCGAGCTCCGGTCGCTCGCCGTCTTCCTACTCTCCACGCTCGCGACAGTCGCGGACCGGCTTAGGGTAGCGCCCTCGCCGCCGGCACCCGGATGCGTGACCGCCGTCGAGCTGATCGACGCCACCAACACCGTGTCCTCCGAGTCCGCCGCGGCGCTCTCGCGCTCGACCTCGCTTTCCAGCGCGCGCTGCAGCGCCTTGATCGCCTCCGGCATCTCGTCGCGGCCGACCTGCAGGATACGGATCATCTCGACGTCGCTGTTCGCCTGGAGCACGGTGCGCATGAGCTGCCGAAGGTCCGCCGTGTCTTGCGCGAGGTCGTGCTCGTTCTGGCGGAGCGTGACCGCGTTGAGCGTCGTGCGGATCTGCTCGGGGCTCGCGTGCAAGAGCTGCTCGAAGGACGCGATCGGCGTGACGTCGGCGACGTGCAGCTCGTCTGTGCCCGCGAGCTGCAGCGTGTTGGGCTGCGGGGCGGGGAGCACACGCGGCTGCTCGCGCCGGCCGTGCAGTTCATCCAAGAGCGCAGCGGTGTCGATCTGCCTCTGCTGCTCTGCCCGCAATACCTGCTTAAGGATACGGATCTGAATTGACAACTAGAGAGGCGCTGTGAGAGATGACTTAGGGTATTGCGAGACGGTGACGACATACACTGAACATGCCGAGCGCATCGTTGAGCGCACTGTCGCAAACAGAAATGTGACGCTGAATCTCATCGCGCTTGAGGTAGCGCTTGATGAACGGACGGTGGTTCTGCTTCTGCAGAAAGCGGTGCACCTCTGTGAATGATCTGAAGCGAATCAGCCAAATAGGTCGGGTGACGTAAGTGGCGCAACGAACTCGACAAGGCGCTGGATCGGGTAGAGCAATTCCTCGCCGACTTGGTCGCCCGCCTCCGCAATTTCTTCCCGGACTGAGAATAGAATAGTCGCGCAGCGCTCCGTCAAGCGCAGACACGCCATCCTGTTCACCTGTGCAGAGTGTCAACCTGCCGCGTCAGTTTCAGACAATGTATGGGCGCTTACGTCGACCATCTGCAGTGCCTCCCAGATGTCGAGAAGCGCAGTCGCCGCTACTCGGAGGCCTGGTAGTGGCGCGAACTCGAGCAGCTCCGAACTGATGACAAGCGCCTCGTGGCCAACGTCTTCGGCGACTCCGAGCACATTCACGACAGCCTCGGAGACACGCTGTACGACATCAGCGATGCGGACACAGAGCGGACGTAAGACGGGCTCACCTTGCGTGTTCGCTCCCATCCCTCCGCTTGCTCTGGCGGGATCGACTTCGTGCGCTTCTCGACATCAGACCAGGGCCTCGCATCCACCTCCCGTGAATTCCACCAGCCCTGCGGTACTCCATTGGGCGGCGTCTGCGATCGACGGGAGCGCACTCGCCAGGTGAAGATGGAGTCGCGCAGCGGGCTGATTGACCGGCCCCGGCCAGTGGAGGAGGATCGACTGCGAGTCGCGGGTTGCGCTCCGTGGACTCCGAGTGAAGAGAAAGACGATGTCGCGGACTGGGCGTACGGCAGCGGGTTGGAGGCGACGCGCGCGACTGGAACCGAGCCGCTCGCATGGTCTGGTCGGATGGTGGACGTCGACAGGCCCCGCCGACGCGAACCTGGGATGTGGTTGTGCGGAGGCGAATGCGACGACGCAGGCTCGTCATCTCCGAGATCGATGGTAGGCACACCGGGGAGAGGGACCTCCTTTGCGAGCGGGGATGAATGAAGAGGCGACCGGGTAGGAGTCGAGCGGACCATCTCCGGCGCCGACTGCGGGTGATTTCTCCCGGTCGAGGGCTTTGGACGACTATCCATGGTGCGATGGCTAGGGATGGGTACGAGGGACGGGTGAGTGTCCGATGGCGTACTTCAGGCCGTCGCGGTGGTCGTCCAGACGGGGAGCTCTGTGGGCACAGTGGTCACCAGCACCGCCAAACCACGTCGCAGGCGTTGCGGCCTTATATCCGAGCAATGGGGAGTTGGAGACGTGCGTGCGGAATTGGCTCCTCCGCCGACACGGGTCTTAGACGCCGTGGACTCAGCGGCCCCGCTTTCGTCAGGTTGCACCGCACACTTCCGCGTCAGATATCCCTGGGTTTAATGCAGAAAATAGGGGAAGGAGAGTCGTGGACGTGGCTGCAGAGTGCAGGATCTGAAAACGGCTGGCAGATGCGCTGAGGGAGCTCCACGTGCTTGGAGCACCGTAGTGGCAACCGTTGTGTGGTTCGAAGTCGACACAGCGTGGTTCCCAAACACGACATAAGGGTACGTTTCAAGTCACTCCCTCGCAATCTGTCTTCCTGCGACGCAAGTTGGCAGACAGTTTTTCACGCCGTTCCTTGATATGACTGCAAGCTGACTGCAAGTACCAGTGTTTCGTGGACTGGTATATCGATTATTGGTGGCTCACTGTCCAAATCAGGCAACCACCCGCCCCATCTGTTGATCTCGCCCGGTAACCCAGTCGGCGAATTTCCTGCACCGCTTATCCCGCTCGGGCTCGTCCGACATCCTCGGTTGCGCCAATAATACTTACGCACCAGTTGTGCACCGACGGGCGGGATCGACGGTCGGATTGGAAAGCGGAACCAAACAGACGGATCACGCTCTCTCGGACCCTCCTAGCTCAATGCGTAGCCGCAGTGACTCGTTTGTGAACCTTGGAATGGACTTGCCGGCGGCATGTCTGCATTCCCTAGTGCCCGACAATATGGCACCCGCAGTTCTGGTGATTTGTCGGGCATTGCGGGCGTGCTCTCGTGTTCAAGCTTCAAGCAGCAGTCGGCTTGACAGCGGGGCCGCAGAGAGACATTTTTAGGGGTGATGCGGCCCGCCGATCAATCTGACGAACATGATCGAGCGGTTCTGAGGTAGCAATGCCTGAACAGGCTTGAACAGGTCGCTCATACATCAGAAGGTCAGCAATGGAGCACTCACTCGAGTACCAATGGAACTGATACTAGTAGGACTTCGCAAAACGCAGGTAAGCCTTCGAAAACGCGTTCGATGCGACATGCCATTGCGAACCAGAGGCCCATGCTCCCGCAAATGACAGTCTGATGAACATGCGTACAACTCCGGTAACGGCCAGTTGGACCGCTGACCGCGGATTGCCAGACCCCTATCCCGGCATTCACCGATTTGGGTTCTGCCCGCTGCGCACCCTCCATGTCGAAGCCGAGCCCTCTCCACCCCTCCGAGTCGGCTGTCTCGGGCTGGCACTGGGAAGCTCAAAGTCCACGCGAGCCTTGCAAAGACAAAAGCAAAGAACAATCAGACCTTCAGTTCGACGAAAGAAAAACCCACGGCAGCCCGCCTTCCATTGTGTATGATTGTGATAGATGTGAGTGGGCGATATCTGGTTCCTTCGCTGAAAACCTGTGATGATGGCTCACTCGCTGATTACTTGTGAGGTGGGCCCCGCGCTGCCCGTCGCTCAAATCTTCATGAGTTCACGGAGGTTCACGGCCCCGGGAACGACGGAGTGAGGCGGGTGAACAAGATGACCGGCGGGCTGAGTCGCCGGATCCGGGCCCTTGCGAGATTGGAATCGGCGATCGGATCTCCTACATTTAGATGACCGGCCGTCCGGACAGTCTGAACCGATTCCAATGAGTTCCGTTGTTGCGTACGTTGCGTATTGAACTTGTCTGGGGACACCTTAGACTCTGATTGTGATAGCAGACCTATCTTGAACTTATGCGTACGTATACAGGGTGATACAGGAATCCGCCCTGCGACTCGTGAGACTAAGGACTTGTCCCGGTCCGGAGATTGCCTCCCGATGTGGCACCGTAGTGGTACGCGTCCAGTACTAGTACGCCGCGTCTCAGTCTGTACCTACTCAGCATTGTGGCCCCGGGGGTCTGGCAGTCATACTACACCGCAGCAGAGTGCTACGTGTCATCCTCACGCTGTCAAACGCGGTGTTCAGTACGTACATTCCAAAACTAGAGCAGATGTGTTCGACTAAAGTTGACATCCAGATCTTAGTGGACAGAGGCAACATGACACAACTCACCTCACTGAACGAGGACGTGCTCGATGCGATCATCTCCCGCCTCCGTTTTCGTGACGCTCTCAGCCTCTCGGAAACATGCCGCAACCTCCATCCCATATCCGTCGGTAATGCCATCTCTGACGTCTACCTCACCCATCCTGGGCAACTCGAGCGATTCTGCATCTACATGCTCGCCGATGCGCAGAACCGCTTGCTGCGCCTACGGCGACTCGAGATTGTTGCGCAGGCGCTCGGGATCATCCCAAGTGGTGAAGAGACTTGGGAGAGCCCTATGATACCCATTGAAAAGCTGGCGGATGCGCTAGAGGGCGCCTCGAATCTGGAGAAACTGGACATCGAGTGCGTGCAGCCCTTGCTTGAAGCCATGCCGCGCCTACCCTCTATCCTACTCCGACTTCGCGGAATGAAAGAACTAGCGCTGCGCCACGTACCGTTCGCGGCGGCGAAAGATCTACTTCCTACTCGCTCGACTCATCTCCGGATGCTAATTCTCACCGAGGCAAGCTTCACTTCTGCGTCACCAACTATCCTGAAGCACCTCGCCTCCTTCCCTCAGCTCACGCGACTCGAGTGTTCGACGCTGTACGTTTCGGATTTCGAGCACCCCGTCACACTGCCGTCTATCACACATCTTGTTATCGGCCAGTGGGGGCACGACATTCCGTTGGCGAGCATCGCCAATACTTTCCCTGGCGTACGCCGCTTGCACGTCAAGTCCATTATATGGGATCTGAGCATGATTGACGACGTACGCTGGCATGCTGGTGAAAGCATCGCGACTGGATGCTGGAACCATCTGGATGAGCTGTGTGGCACTGCGGAGGCCCTAGGTGGCTATATAACCTGTCCCGTCAGGATGTTCCGCCGGCTAGCCTCTCGTGCTGAATTCTTGTATGAATTAGAAGAGGGGACAGCCGCGATACGCAGGACAGCCCCTGTCTGCATCTCTCTCTACACGTTCACAGACTCTCCTTGGCATGTCTGGAAACGGCTCGGAGAAAACACTCCTCGGTTGAGGTTCCTTGACATTCACGTGTCCGATGCTGGGATTGGGACATCTATGGACACCTGGATGGTGAGCTCATGAACTCTACCGTAATGACTATGACTGCACTAAGCACTACATGTTTGTAGGAGAACGTACCTCCTGCCCTACAGTCACTCCGCATCGTCTGCATGCGTCTCCAGATCACAGACATCTGTCACGCAATGCCTGCAGGCCTCAGTAGTAGCGATATGCTGGACCTGGAACAAGACGTCATAAACACACTCCCAAATCTGCTCGCTAGATACATCGCGTCGCTGCAATACCTGGGCATCGGTATCGGTGACAAAAGGTACGACATGTACACGCGATCGTGGTCATTCGTCGGGAAGACGTCGTGGTGGCGGGTCTCGCGTGACGGGCAGGAAGATAATGTTCGGATGGAACCTATATCTGCTGATATTGGCGAGCGCGTCATTGCGTATATCGATTCGGCAGAGTTCGAGGCTACCATGCAGTTCGACGGTACGTACTCATGATCTATACAATCGGACGCGATAATGACATCGCACACACTCAATACGCGACTGAACCAGATGCGCGTTTCCGATCCAAATAGTTACGGATACATCCCAGTTTTGGTGGCTTAATGTGCTGCTTCGTCGGATATTGCTTTTTTAGGCCGATCAAACACGCTCCGTAGCTCGAAGTAACGAAGTGTTCCGTGGCTTGTCGCGAGGCTGCGACGAGTACGATTCGATATTCGTAGTTGAGGAGTTCGACACAGGTTTCAGAGTCACATGAGAGTAGGCTCATAGCGCATACATTATATTGGTACACAATATCGCATACGAGGTCAAACCATAACATGTTTGTACATCGGGAGCTGGGAGTCGCTGTACGAATCCAGTCTGCGGGCCGCTCAATGGAAGCGAACGGGGTTGGGCTCGCTGATGATGACCTGGTCGACGCCGGTGACCCTGTGTCCCTCCAGGTTGCCGCCGTCCTTCACACTGCAATACAGGACGTTTCAGCTTACTTGATCGCACGAAGGAGACCCATACGTACACGACGTTGAGGGACGAGTTGACAGTGCGAGACTCCCGATCGGCGCCGAAGACGAGCCTCTCGTAGACGATCGCCTTGTAGTAGACACCGACATGCCCGGCCTATATTCCGAGTAAGAATGCAGTATCCAACGGCGTCGAGAAATGCTCACCGACTGGTGCTCCTTCTTGTTGGCCGGAACCTCCACCGCGCCGAGGAAAGAGACGGTGGCAGACGACTCGAGGGCGCGCTCACCCTGGAACAGCTCCTTGTACTGGTCACGGTTGAGCTGCTTGCCGTTCACGGTGATGTGCGCGTGCTCGTCGACGAACTCATCGAACGCGGTGCTGAATTCCCTCTGGTTGGGCGCCTTGTAGATAGCAGAGATGCGGTTCTCCACCCATTCGGTGAGCGGGATGACGATGGGGCCGTGGCCGAGAGAGACGTTAGCCATTGTGCAAGTGTTGGTAGATGCGAGTGGGTTTGGTTAGCCGTTGAGTGCTGGGGTATTCGAGAGTGCTGACCTGCTATTTATATATACTGTGAGCTTGCTGAGGCGGTTCAGGGCTTCACAGGAAGGGTAGGACCGTGCTCCGCCCGGCGGTGGCAGGGCGGGCGGTCAAACGCAACACAATGCACCGTGAACTGCACGGGTCGGGCAACATGACAAACATCATAACATAACGCGCCCAACTAACGGCCACTTGACCCGGTTTACCTGCAGAGGGTATGGGCGATATATGTCAACGCGCCTGAGGACTGACTCTAGGCTATGCTAACGTGCTCTGTGGTGGCATAGCGCAATTGACGGACCTTGTTACATCCCAATAGCACAGGCGCGCCCAGTCCACCGACTATACGCATGCAGGCGGCGCGCCGACTCGGCGGCAAATGTAACCTAGTGACAAGAGCATCATCGCATGGTGGACAAAGCTTTTGGAATGGAGACATGGCCTGACCTTTCTGGCCCCGCAGGATGTGCACGAATGAGGGTGTAGTGGCACAGCCGGCGCACATTGATGGACAGGTATGACGAACGACGCTGCACAGGTGACGGCCTGCGGCGCGGTCCGTACACAGACATTCCCGCCTCCTAGTCAGCCCTCCAACGGAACGCTGTCAGATGTGTTAGCCAGTGCTTCTTCTGACCTGCAACGCTCCCAGCGCTCCGAGAGTAGTACGGAAGTCGAGTTGACAATGTGAGCGCTCCACCGTCATCCCATATTTTCAAAAGTCCGCGTCGGGTTCTCGACGAAGCGAAGAGAATGGAGGCAGTCGCCATCGACCTCGAGAGATGACGATATGAGCATCAGCGCCCCGGTCTGCGTCGTGGCACACCTTCGCTGAGTCATGAGACGGCAGCACAATGGCACATGTACATGGTCGAAGATTTTGATGAGGCGCACTCATGGCGCTCGAGTTCCTGTTAGTATTCAGTACATACATACCCATGGTCGAAGCTGGTACAGCATGTATCGAATTTTTCTATAAATACTGTGAGGCCTACTTCGGTTTGTCGGGTTCCTCCGCAAAGAAAGATATCTAGCAAGCCAATGGTCAGCCACACCCTCAGTCCGGGCAGCAAGATAGTATCACTCACTTTCTGAAACGCCTTCTGTATCCCTTGTTCAAGGATTCCCAACAAGATGTCTTCGTCCGAAGTGGTTGTTCTGTGACGGGTCTGTTTGCCGCCAGTGTCGTGAACTTGTGACGAGAGCAGCACACGGATGCAGCTCCTAGCACCGGGCCACCCGTGCTCGAGAATGTTTTCCATGATATCCAACGCCAATCGATCCCTGTCGTTCGTAACCTCAGAACATCGACCCCAGTACAGCTGTGCCCGGCCAGCTCCACCATGGCGGGTGCGCGTACTTAGTTGGGCCAACACAGCCGCTCTCCGTTTCTCGCGAAAGAGGAGAAACCGACGGTAAGCACGGGCGGATACGTTCGCCATCTCCGGGACGTATGTGTCTCGTTTGATGTAGGATGCTCGAATTGCGGCCTGCTCCGCTTCGCGTTCCCATCCGAAACGCATCATGGCGAAGTACACTCGGAGGGGTGCCGTATCCATGTGGCCCATCCATCTGCGCTTCATGATTTCGATGACCCGAGGCAGAGCGTACTCGACGGCTGCCTCCGTCACGACACCCAGAAGATCCATGTCGTTGAACTCCAGCTCTGGTAGAGGGTACATAAGCCGGAGGAGAATGAAGACGATCATGCAATCTTCATTGAGCTCGTAGACTGGCAAATCGGCATAGGAAGGGTCTGTGATCGGTCGGCGATGCTCGAAGAATGTGGGTGCCGCCAAGGAGATAATGTAGCGGTTCACATAAAAGGGCATCAGAGTTACATCCGTCGACCGAATGACCATGTCTGCACAAGGATGTGCGTTGAAGACCGCCTTATCATCCTTTGCTCCTGCGCAGAGGTCGAATTTCTTCTCCCCCAGGCGCCGCCGCCGACGGTCTTCATGAGACGGATCCCGAAGCATCCGCGACGCAGACTGACCCACTCCGGCAGGGACATGCTCTTGGCCGCAGAACTCGAGGAGCTCGTACATGTGTCTCGACGTCATCCTATCCATCTCGCTGACGTAGCCAGTCGCAACTCCTTGAGCGCGGCAACGCACTGCAGCAGCGTTTGCAATGTCCTCAAGATCCAGCTCGCACGCCAGAGCATACACTCCGAGTGGTGAGGTTTCAAAGAGGGATAATCGTTTCCGCAGGATCGGTATGATCTCCTCCATCTCGTACTTGATCGCGGCGATCAACACGAGCCGGATTTCATCGACAGTCCTCAGCTCCGGGTCCGCGATGGGATAGCAGAAGCGCAGGAGACGATCCAAGGTCTCCGAGTCCTCCGTGATCTGAACCAGAGAAAGCCCAGATACGGGGTCCATATCTTCCGTCGGTGGTTGAGTCGGTTGAGGCACAGATAGCATGGCGTCGAAGACGTCCGATGCCAGGATCAGTACCTGCTTGTGGAGATAGAACTTGACGCCATCCGACGAACGCAATATGAGGTCAGCGTTGGCCTTGTTGAACGGGGGCCTTGCGATGCCCTCGGATTCACTCATAGAGCAAAGTTGTGCAACTAGCCTGTCATCAGACAACCAAGTTCGCAGAGGGTTCACTCGACAATAACATGCCACGCGAGTATGTCAAAGCAATGGTACGTGGAGGATCAAGTTGTCTGAGAAGCTGTGGAAAGATTTGGCGCGTGGTGCCACCTGCAGCAAGCATCCCAAGCTCGTAAAGGCACATGACTCAAAAAGCGCACAACGACTTCCAAAGTAGACTGCCCTGGTCACAGCGCCGAGTCGCAGACCGAAACTCCTCGTCGTTCATTGCCAGGAAGAATTGATGCTGCATTGGATAATCTAGGTTCAAAATATGACCTTCATAACTCGATCTGCATAGCAAACTCATGAGTTGACGTGCACACGGATTGGCGCGAAGTTCCTCACCCCCTGTAAGACCTTCCGAACCGCTTCCTCAAGAGAAGCCACCGTAGTGAGAAACTGCTCGCCCGGGTGTGCCGCAGTAATGATCATATCCGGCTCAAGCGAAGCGACCACCGCATGCATGCAACCCGCGCCCGCCGCTCTCTGTACCATCTCGAGCACATCGAGCGCGAACGCGTCCCGGAAATTCGAGTACTCGGCACCCGTCTTGCTCCAGTACAGCTGCTTTGACCTCGACGGCTTCTTCTCCTGGCGGTGATGCGGCTGAATGAGCGGGAGCGTCAAGCGCGAGACGGCCTCGCGGCAGCGGTAGCGGTACACGAGGAACCGTCGGTACGCGGACGCAGAGACAGCCTCCATCTCTGGCACGTACGCGTCTGTCTTTTCGCAGCATGCACGACGCGCAGCCTCGCGCGCCTCCTTGTCCCATCCGTGCCGCGTCGCGATGAGGTAGGCTCGTAGGGGTGATGTGTCGAGGTACTCAGCCCATAGCCGCTTGAGTGTCTGGATGACACGCACCATCCCGTACCTGGCGGCAGCGTCCGTGACCGCAGCCAGGGTGCGGAGGTCAGAAATTGTCGGTTCAGGGAGCGGGTAGATGAGCTGGAGGAGAATTGAGAGCACAGAGGCGACTTCATCCACCCGAATAGATACAGCGGCTGAAGTGGATGGTGATGTTGACACAGGACGTGAGTCCAGGAGAGTAGCTGAGGCCATGGCAAGGATGTTGCGGTGCACAGAAAACTCCACATCGTCAGCGGAGCGGATAGTCATGTCCGCGATCGCGTGAGGACCGCCGAACTCGGTGACAAAATTTGAAACCACAGAGCTGCTGTCAGACGAAGCCGAATCAGGGATAGGACTTCTGCAGAACGTCAAGGAAGGCGAGTTCAGGGACAACCCTGCGTTGATGGAGGGCGGTCTCCGCGCCCCGTAGTAGAGTAGTCGGTAGTATTGAGCCGCGGTTATCCGGTCCAGCTCAGGTGCATATTCCGTCGTGAGCTCTCGTACACGCACCGTGGCCGCGGCTTGGTGAGCGAGGTCCTCGAGGTCTAGCTCACATGCAACGACGTAGACCGGGAGAGGCGAGTCCATGCAGAGCGACTTCACCTTGTCCTTCATCAACGCTATCGCCTCCTCCATCTGATACTTCACCGCCGCGGCTAAGACGGGTTTGATGTCGTCCAGCGAGCAGAGCTTCGGGTCTGCGACCGGATAGCAGAGCCGGAGCAGTCGGTCCAAGGTTTGCGAGTCTTCTGACACATGGACGAGAGGGAGACCCGTCTCAGTGTGGACGTCGCGCGGGTCTGAGACGTTGGGCTGTGGTATGGACAGCATGCTCTCGAAGACGTCGGAGGCCATGCACAGGATCTGGGCGTGGACAAGGAAATCTATGTCGTCGAGAGTGCACAACACGACATCGGCGCTGCTCTTGTCGAATGGGGGACCTGCCGTTGTACGGGATCCGGGCGGAGAGTTGTCCGAAGCCATACGGCGTGTCTCTGGGCAATCATTCACTACCACTCCGTTAAAAGGATATGATAAGCCGACATACCTCGGCAAGGAAATCGGTATGTCGACGAATCCTTCGCGCTGTCCTTGTATTGGAGGTTCCAAGGAGACTCGCACAGTGGTCGGAACACCTGTAAGGACAGTCACCCAAATGTAACGACAGCGCGACTTCGGGTGTGTTGGACTCGGGGCTAGGACAGCCGCGTAGGATGGGAAGGGGCAAATTGGGGACAAGACTGCGGACAGGAACGCGGAGGGCGGCATGGCCACCCCAGCTATGTACTTATGTTATAAATGATCGCCCTGCTGAATACCGAGGCCGCGTCGCTGTCGCCGTCACTGTCAGTGTCAGTCCGACAACCGCGGCGTCCTGTTCCCGCCACTATCCGAGTCCGTGAGAACACTGCGGTCAGACAGGTTATTTTTTCATTTGAACCAATTACTTACTCCGTACCTACGTATACTGTGCTTCACCAGATTTGGCTGAGTCCGTCTAAAGCCATGCCTTCTTGAAAAGAAAATAGATGCGACATATTCTTGAGGTCTTTCCGGCTGGTATTGTTGCACGTGACCGCGACTGATGGCCTCGCGGCGGGTCCCTCCCGGTCGGCCAGGGGCCTCAACCTTGCCTCAGAAGAGTCCGTCTTCGTCAGTCGTGTCTAGTATTGGCTGGATCTCTGGCCTATGTACCAGGATCAATGCTCGCTTCTACGAGTGCTCTCACACTGAACGACATACTCGACCTCGACAGCAGTGCGCAGCCGGCAACGCGCGAGGACGCGACGAGCTCCGACTCATTGGAGGAAGACGAAGATGGATATGAAGATCCAGAGACCAGCGACGATGAGGAGGAATCGGAGGAGAGCGATGGTGACAGGAGGGAACATGCAGAATATGAGGAACAACAGACAGGCGGTTTCAATGCCGAAGCAGCGATTGAGGGTGATTTTGAGTGAGTACCTGGTCTTTTGCACGCGTTTGCCGCCATTGAAGCCTATGTAGTCGCCTTGTACAAGGCATACGACAGTCTGGCGGTGCAAATACAGGCCTCTTGACGAAGATGTGGGACTTCAACATGGAGGAGAAGGAAGCCGAGTTCCGCGACGACCTACGCGAAGCGTCCGGTGTTGGCCGCGGTCGCAAAGGGAAGAAGGTGAGCGCAAACAGATGTCCTTGTGTCCTTCGGTATTCATGCGTGTTTGAAGCGTGGGCGGAGAGCGGGCCCTGTGCTATCTCAGCAAGTGCGAGCATTGATTGGTGAAGGCAACCAAGCATACGTGGATGGCGACATTCAGGAGACGCTGCGCATCATGCAAGAGGTCATACGTATTGAACCTCGCGCGGCGCAGGCCTGGTCCGTCCTTGCGCAGTGCTACGCGGACATGAACGAGCCGCAAAAGGCGTTGCAGTTGCGCATCATGGCAGCGCACCTTACGCACGACGCAGAGGAGTGGGAACGTCTGGCAAAGCAGTCCGTGTACGTCACTTTATTCGCCTTGTATGCGCCAGGTTTTCATCGTCGAATAATAGTGAACTCGTTTACAACCAACAAGCGCTCTACTGCTACGGCAAAGTCTACAGTCTGGATCCTTCCAATCTGAATGCTTTGTGGGACCGCGCGACCTTAGCCAAGGAGATTGGCGAATTGAAGACGGTACTATCAGCAGGTTCCTTTACCTTCTCAAGCGCTGACCTATGTACGTAGGCTCGAAATACCTTCCTCGCAATTCTCAAGCGTCTCCCACACAACCTCACCGTCCTCGACGAGCTCCGCCCCATTCTCATCGAACTCTCCGATCTGGCCCTTTGCGCTGTCCTCTTCTCTGAAGCCTTCAATCACTACCACGCAGCCTTCCCGACGGGCATGGGGCTCGACCCTGATAGCGGGCAAGACGTGCCCGGCGGCGGATTCGGGATGATGCATATCCTCGTCCTCGCAGACCTGCACAACTCGTTGGGTCAGTATGACAAGGCGGTCGAGGCTATACGGAAGGGGTGCCGGTGGCTTCAGGGCCGAGTGCAGCAGAAGTTTTGGGACGTGTGCGAGGATGACAGGGAATATTACGTGGGCGCGGAGAGTGTGCGGGGTGGGGAGGGAGAGCTTCAACCGGGTGGGTATCCACTGGATGTGAATGCGAGACATCGATTGGCGGTCGCGCGCATCAAGATGGGCGACATCGAAGAAGGCAAGGTACGCAAGAGCACGGCCATATGATGTGGACAAGCCTGACTGAGCGATTCCAGAAACACGCAGACATCATCCTAGCGCAGGATGTCCTGGAGTATGCACCGCTCTTCACGGAGATCGCGGATGCGTATTTTGAGCGTGAGATGTACGCGGAGGCGCGATACATCTACGAAATCCTCGGAGGGGACGCTGGGGTACGCATCTTCCGATATGCATAGGCGCGTGACTGATATCAGTCGTCGGTCATGTTAGACAAGCAGCATGTATGTTCTCCTGCAAGCTGCGGCATGTCGCCGAATGGTCGGAGATATCAGGGAGGCAGCGGAAGTCTACGAACATGGTGCGGTCGTCTGACAGGATCACTGCACGATATTGACCTCCACCCAAGTTATAGTCGCGGATCCTACGCACAACGAAGCAAAGATGAAACTCGCGGAGATCTACGAGATTCTCAACGAGCCGCGAAAGGCTCTAGAACTAGTCTTTCAAGGTGAGTTGACCATCCCGTCACACGCGCGATTTCCCTGACGTCACCATCGCGACCTAGTCATGGACTCTCGCAGGAGACGCCCACGCCAAGGCACCGCAGATGACGGCACAGAGGACGCGAACACAACTTCGCTCTTCGAAGAGAGGGCCCGTTTCAAAGGCAAATCGGCCGCTGCGAAAGCGAACAAACTCAGCGCGGCACAGCTCCGAGAGTTGGAGGCGCAGAAAGAGCGCGAGGTCGACCAGAGTTTCCGCAGAGTCAAGGAGCTTTGGCCGCGCATGCTGGCTGGCGAGGAGGAAGCGGAACGGGAGTGGTTGGTAGAGGCTGAGAAGCTGATTGAGTCGTTCAGAGAGACAAGGAACTTGTTTCAGACGAGTCGAGTGAGTTCGTTTGGGTCTTGATCCGAAGAATTTGCGCTGACGCTGGTTTTTTATTTATTTATTAGCACCAAGGCTTCCGTGGAATGTTCCCCAGGAGCTCTAGGAGGCAAACAGCCGAAGCGAGCGAGGAAAACATGGCATCTCGTCTACAGCTTGAGCTAGGTGTGTATAAGGAAAGTGTCAGTTGTCGTGCGTCGCTAACTCTATGCCAGGTCGCGACACGATTGCGCGGAAATCCAAGGGCGATGGCCTCAATTCCGGCGGTGTCGATGCGTTCCGCACAGTGTCTTTTGACGAGTGGCTGCGGCTGTTCCTCCACGTACGTGCAGCGTTCCCTGCAATGTCTGAACAGGTTCATCCAGACATCCCCCAGTACACTTTTCTGCTCACGAGGCGCGGCCAGTACAACTTGGCTCAAGAAGTTCTACGTCACATCCTGTATTCGAGCGCTTATCAGAGTCGACTCGCTCAAGACTCCATTCGATTGGCGTTGATCAGTGAGTGCAACCCGCGTCTTGGTCAAACATCTTCCACTGAAGCTGTGTACAGCTTGTGCCATTCATGTTGGGCAGTTCCCCACGGCCGTGGAACAGTCACGGAAGCTGATCAATGCCTATCAGTTCAATAACGAGCCTCTCAGGGTTCTCCTAGCATCTCTCGGAAGTGGTTTGCGTGCCACTGACGCATTCCTCGCATCGACGCTGTCTAAACATCTCCTGCGGGAGATCAAGCTGGCTGACGCGGCAGTAAAGAAACCAGATGCCGTTAGGTGGAACAGCACGCTGCGGCGATACGGACTCGGCTCGGGCAAGAGTGGGGACGGAGACGATGTCGATGAGGAAGAAGACGTGCCGAGGGAAGGATCCACGGTGCCAGCTGAGAAGGCCGGCTTACCCACCAAGGGAAACCCCGTTAATGTCGCCGTGTACGGGCAAATATGCCTCGCCGCCAAGAGTTACCAGAGTGCCCTGTGTAGGTCGCTTCATAGGTCGCCGGTGCTCCCATCCGCTGACGTACTGCCTATCAGTTTATCTTCTGCATGCTTATGATTACTGCCCAGACGATCCTCTCATATGCTTGTGCTTAGCCATTGCATCGTTTGGACGTGCAATGCAACGACAAGCCGATAATAGGAACCATCTCGTAACTCAGGTAGGACTGAGCTCCTCGTGCTCCACTCCCCTCGCCGATCGTGACACATAGGGCATGGCTTTTCTGTCCCGGTATCGCACTATTCGCGGAACTCACTCAGAAGACGTCGATGAGGTAGAGTTCAACTTCGGCCGCGCCTTCCAACAGCTGGGTAAAGTCCCAACTTTGATTCGTTCGGGTCTTATGCTTAAGTGTCTCCGGCAGGGCTGCACTCTTTAGCCGTACGGCACTACGAACGCGTTTTAGCGTCGGTCGAACAGAAGTTCGCTGAAGATTATCAGGTAAGTTATCATGCTGCTCCGGATCTCAGACGATCGGTGACTGTTGTACTAGGATTGCGGTTTGGCGCGTGAAGCAGCGTATAATTTGTCTCTGATTTACGTGACAACTGGCGCCACGTCTTTAGCGGAGAAATTGTACCGGCGATGGCTTTCACTCTGAATGCCTTGTGAACCAGTACTGTATCCATAGCAGCAATGTAGCGGTAGCACATCTTAACCCTATTCAGACCGGTGAGTCTACGACACACAGAATGGTGACAACGTCCCTCTTGTAGTCACACGTCTGCTTCTTCGGTGAGTCCTCTCAGGCTTTATATAGACCTACTCAAGAACCTATACCACAGTCCGGGCTGAATTTCTTAGGAAGAGCGAATTCGATGTCTTGCGACGATAGCCTCGCGCGCAGCTCCTTTCGACAAGTCGTTCAAAGGGCGTGCACAATATAGAACCTTGATGAGGTATCTCCGACTATTAGGTTGAGAGCTATACATCATTTTAACTTCGATAGCTCGATGTGTCAAACCACCTTTGTGTTTGCTCTTACAGACTACGCGTTCTTCTTGATGGAACTACCTGTAATCTTCCTCGGTATGTCTATCTTTAACGATTGGACCTTAGCGTTAAGGTACTGAATGGCCCTGGACGTTGTTAGAGCCTTGTAGCGGACGGGCCTACTCTCTTCTCGCCGCCCGACACGTCGTGAACCAGGCATTGCACAACGGATCAGAATTTGCTATCCGGACGTTACGGTGTCTTGTAGATAATAAGGTAAACTCTGTTCCTTATCACGCCGAACTCTTCATCTGCCGTAGGCCCTTCGCGCTCATGACTTTGGCCAGGGACATATGCGTCGCCGCGCCGAAACTGTCTGTGACTTGCACATGGTGTAGACTGAACGGTGAGCCGGTTTTCCTGTAATATGCATCACTTATTGTGACGTGTTGCACATGCCACTAGCTCCGAAGAAGTTCTTTGTCTTGAGTCATAGAGGTCAACTCATGGTCTGCAGGACCGTCTGATCCGAGAGATGCTAGTCATTAAGCTCCTCGTGTTCGTAATTGCTCTTGACTTTCTACTAGACAAGGTTTCACTCCGAGTGCTTCACTCCTATGAACGGCGAACCAAAGGCGGCCTTATGCACACTTCGGTACCTGAACCGAAGTTCTGTTCCCTGTTTGCCTCCTCCAGTACCTCGGTACGTACGCGGGTAAGCTCCTCTCGTCATCTGTCTCCGCTATGTACTCGACTTTCTCAGCTGGTACAAACGCAGGTCTGGGCTGAGATGGCGCGCCTCTCACCTTTCCGAGTCTATCACTGCGTCGGCAGGGCGGACGTGAGTCCCATGACGTCTTCCAGACGCCCATGTCGCTTCGCTTCTCTACCAGCGGCAGAAGCACTCTGCACCTCCTGCGTGCGCGCCTTCCACGCAGGTGAGCGTGGATACCGAATGCTGTCGCCCGTGCTCGCCGCTAACTCGAGTCGTCTCGCTGGGAGTCGCTGGGTATACGGCCTTTCGCTTCCCCGTCCTGGCAGGCAATAATGATCACCAGCTGCTCACGGAGCGGCGTCACTACTCGGTTGTGACGCACCGGACCGCCGGTGAGTGCAATTTTCAGACCTAATCTGATGGTTCGTCCTAGGTGAGCCCAAATGTCACGGTCATCAACATATGTTGCACTTCGAATCCACTACTCATCACTGGCGGCCGGATCACAGACGTTCCAGTGTCGGCATTGCAGTCCATGACTTTCGGCGGCGGCACTGCTGCAGCATGCGCCGTGTTACCCTCTCTAGGAATACAAAATCCGTGCCATTGCATCATGACAAGACTGCCACAGGGAAGGAACGACCCGGGGCGAATGACCGCGGACGGAGCATGCACGCGCCCGGACGTAGGAAAGCCGCTCTTGCGGTAGAAGTAGCGCAAAGACTCGTAGGTCATTTGCAATGGCAACAATGCTACCGCCGTCAGCTGCGCCCTCTTACGGCACGCCATCTGTGGGTTATGTGGCTCTGCTGTCCTTCGCTCAGCCCTTCGTCTGGGGGGCGGGGGGCCTGTGGACAAGGATTGTGGAGACATGGAGGCCGAGAAGTCTCGCATGATGTTTATTTTCTCGAATTGCACCGCGGTCCGCACTCCACAATATGCATGCGCTGCGTCGAACTGAATCCCAGGTTAGCTCCTGTGATTCCTGCGATCGGACGCTTTGTTGACTGGGGACTAGTAGACAAGGTGAGAAGATGGGAAATGGTGACGGTTTTGGAGTCAGCACCACCTGAAGTTTCCATCGACGCTCCTTAATAGCTGAACGTGGACACATAGACGGGCTCACGCCTAACTCATGTTACTCAGGGCTGTCAAAAGAAGGGGACCAGGTTTCATTGTTTTGGACAGAAGTGTACCAGGCGAGTGCAAGGTAACGTGGGTAATTGCATTCAAGGCATGCGAAGGGAATCGAAAGGTGAATGGCCGAACGTGGTTGGTTGCCCTTGTGTATTGCCCGTAGTGACAACCGCGGCTTGATACTTGACTCGCGCATCCGGTCAACAACCACTTGTCCAACGACAAACAAGAACATGTTCGTGTCTTTTCCGAGAAACACGGCCAAAGTGACGAATGGACATTTGCTGTCGCCGCAGCGAACGAGCATCGGAGATCAGCATGACATCAACAGCGCCCACTGTTGATCTAGACATACAGTACGAGCCCATAATGGCGCGCTTTGGGCCGATCTCCGTACTCGTCACCGGGAAGTCTTGCCACGCTTGCTTCTGGGCAAAGCCACGACGGCTTTCCGGCTGCCCTTGCAGGTGAAGCCAGCGGTGGTCCCGCCTGAGCCGATCCGGAGAAGCACGAGGTCGTGAACCCTATCACAGCCATCTCTTCTATTGACGTACCATGTACGGGGACTGCCCGCCTTGCATCTCTCACTAATCACTCTATTTTGGTAGGCTATCTCGTGTTTGTACGTCCGGCGAGTTCCATCGAAGGCAGCGAACGCACGGCGTCTCGGAGTACGCTAGGCTTTGGCATGGTTTAGCGCAGCCTCGACTTGTGTGCAGATCAGTGGACCATCCCAATGGAGTCACTGGGCCAACGTCCGAGCCGGCCATGGCGGTAAAGTCTCGTTTCACGTCCGAGACTGGCGTTCCTCTCGGAGTCGTAACGAATACTGTCAGACACGAAGACAGCATTCACTCGCAACGCCGCCCAACCTGGGAATGGACACGGCTCGAGACTGCGACATGCGGACAACACGTTCTGGGACACGTCTGCTGGGGACGACGAGGCACGGGCGGACGAGGTGATTGGGCATTGCAGCGCGGCCACGCAAAATGCCAATCTTCTAGAGCGGGTTCTCACATCTCGCAGCGGTATGCTGTAAGGGCTGATGGAGACGTCATGTGTAACCTTAAAGCGAACGCTGAAGCCGACGGAGTGGTAGCCTCCCGAGATTCTCCCAGGCCGCTGCGTCATCCGGGGCTCTGCAGCGTTCGTGAGTCTTCCACAGGCACTCGCTACAGGATTGGGTCGTCGCCTTCCTGGCCAAGCCCCGCGCATCCTCATGTCTTCCATATCCAGTCTTGTCTGCCTCCGGTATGTCAAACTTGCCATCGCGAGGGTGAGTTACATTACCACATGAACCCTATTATCATCGTGTTCACCCACCAAATAGCACCACGCCGTAACAACACCGGCCACATAGGTATATAGTCCCAGCGGGAGAACGCCTAGTCTTGAACCAGCCAGGCACTCCCACCGTCAGTCTCTATACTGCTTCCCCTGACACTCCACCCGAGCCGCATAGCCTTCCGCCTCTACGTGCTTCCGTCCCTGTCCTCGGTTCCGGCGTCCAACTCAAGTACCTCTACCAACTGCGACGAGCGTCAGACAGGATCAAGTCACTGCATGTCTCCATCAGTGCCATCAAACGCAGCAGTTCCCTCAGGCCACGCAACCATCCCCGCTCTCCGTGAGCTGTCACATATGCACCGTCCGACTTGCAGCCATCTCACCGCTCTAGGCAGATTTGCGAGACGCACGAGATGCCCACATCGTCTTCGAGGCAGTCAGGCTCAACATCCTGCCTCTCATCACCAGACGACTCACGGCTGCTGAGCGCGACCAGCTATCGTCTGGTAACGTGTTTGTCTGGGAAGAGGCAGAGCACAAGCAAGGTGAGCTGCTAGCACCGTTGACCTACAGCGGGTCGCCAACCCTGTGACATACAGGCGGGCTGGAGAGGTGGACGGATGGAAGGAGATGGTGCGGCGATGTTCCCACTTGCCACATCGGTCCCGACTGACCCCAGGCGGCGGTCCTCAGGTCTCAGAGCCGGATGCGCGGAGATTATCTCTTTTACGAAGAGAAGATAGAGACCACGCCCGAGGAGAAGGCAGCCAAGGCTGCACGTCGGTAGGTAACTCGTGTTCACTAAACCACGTTCACGCCTATCATTGCTGGCCAGGGCGCGTCGGACGCTAGACCCGTTCAGCCACCAGCCAGTCCCTACGCGGCAGGATCGCCCCTCCAAGCCAGATGGCTTGACGAAGCAGACGTACTCGACCCACGTCTATGCGCATGCTAATGAGCCGAGGAAGTGGCATGTTGTTGCATATTTCTGTGTTAGTTCCCGTCCTTGCCATCCGCTTCATCCGGCCTGACACCAACCGGCTTTTGCAGGGCGACGACTACCAACATCTTCCAGTAGTCGAGGACTACGACTTTCTCAGGAAGATTCGCATACCAGACGGTGTATTCTCGTCTCCGCGTGGCAACCCGGCCAAGATTGCTCGCGCGCTGACAGTCCCCGACGAACGTTCCCGCAACGACGGCAATTGGTCCAAGGGCTCCTCCTGGTCGCATGCAGCAACCTCGGGAAGCGGCGCGCTCTCGCCAATCGAGCGACCAGAGTCTTCCTCGTCCTCCTCGTCTTCATCGACCAACCTGAGCACGTCAAGCGATACCACTGTCTTCCACGAGGGCAACATGCTGCCACGTCTCTCGAATGTAATCCCCATCCATCCCCTTAGCCCCGCAATCTCTCATACCCACTCCCAATCGTCTCAATCATCTAGTTATGCTGCGCTTACGACCGAGGATCGCCGTGCTTTGAGTAGCTTTCGTATTGTGTTATGATTATTCTCGAGTTATTTGCTGTTCGGGCCCCTCAGTGCCCCCTTGTAGACTCGGCGTTTTCTTCGGTCGGGTGTATCTTGGTGTATCTCTTGGACACTAGCGTTGTATGAATGGCTTGTTGCACGTCCTGACGTAGCCATGGGTCTGAGCATGAGAGGTAGAGAGCAGCGCGACTCTAACCCGGTTCTAAGTTAGAAGGAACAATGACGACGACTCGGGACCGGCGGGACGGATCGATCTGCCATACTCCGGGTCTGCATCGCATTTGCTCAGCATCACTTTTTCTCCACCAGGCTATCGGTCGTCTTTAATTGACCGTAACCGCTGCCGCGGGATGGCGAGCTGTGGAGTCGCCGACGCGATGGCGACGTGGTTGGGCGATCCTCAACTCAACCTACCGTATGGTGCGATCATATCCAGCTGTGCTCTTGATACTGATCACTCGCAGATGTGCTCTCACGAACAAGTTGCTGTCGAGAGACTAATTCAGTCTTGCTCATCACTGGAATCTTCTGGAGTTATGACGCACCGCGAGATCGCCTGTACCCTGAGTCGGTGCGCAAGACATGAGGTTCTAGTCTCCGAAGGGCGAACACGAGTCCCTGCTGGGTTCCGCGTTCCCAGCGCTTTGGCGGGCGCGAAGATAGATCTATAAGCCTAGACCAAACGGCGAAGCAGAGCTAGATCGGGAGGTACATTAAGTGAGCGGCTGACTTCCGAGATTCGTCCAGTCAACCTCTTCTCTTCTTTCAGTCCGCCAGTCTCGGCCTGTTCCTGAGATGTCAGATAAGTGTCGCATGGTGGGCCGCCCGTGAGGACAATGCCATGGTTGGTCCATGGTTCCCATATGGCGTACAACCTGCTGCTGTCAGCGCGTGTTACGATTGAGTTAGGTAGCACTCACGGAGATCATCTGTTGCCGATTGAGAGGCATCCCAACCATGACGCTCTTCCTGCAGGCACGCATGGCGAACATGGCCCTCGCCTTCGAGCATCTAACCATCTGACCCGCCGGCCGGTCTTGCATAAGATGTAGTAATTCCTCGAGATCTGACCGAGCATGTGAGCGATACGATATCACCATAGAGAAGGCTCTGACCTTTCATATCAAACACGGTGCTCTTGCTGGTAGGCTGGGCTACCAAATGTAGTCGATGGCCCTCACCAGGGATGGCGTCTTCATCTACTTTGATTTCAAATCCGTTCCGCCGCAAGATGTCGATATTCTCAGTAGCGAGGAGCGCGTCAGCCGCAGCGAATTCTAGAGGCTGTGGTCTTTGGGGAACGTGCATAATTGATCATTAGCTCAAGTAGCGCCAGCAACGTATCTTAGAAGCGAATGTGCTCACCGAAATAGCCTTTGAGATTCGATCTTTGTTGTCTCTTGCAACGTCTCAAAGTTATACTTCTCGTCAGCGGCATGTTGGTCAATGATGAACAAATCGTCCAGGACCTCGTCTACAATTGGCTTGATGGACGACGATGTACGCTTTCTTCGGCGTCCAATTATAAACCCAAGATTGAATTGACCCACAACCTCCATGGACCCGAAATCCGACTTGTCAATCACTCGCGAGAGAGTCTCCGCTGCCTTGGCGTCGTCCTGCACATTAGAGATGCCAGCGTCTCTCGTTGCGCCAGAAGCGGAAGGCCTTGTTAATTCGGTTGGCAGAGCCAGTGCGCGTCGGCGCCATACGTCTGTTATCCGAGGTACGTCGCAGCTGAGCAGAGCTTCTTCGCCCTCTGCCGTTCGCAGCACCTCTGGTCGATAGGCGGAGGGCGAAGATGATGTGGATATATCCGGCGTGATGGCGGCATAGGGATCTGCGGAATCCCCATTGCTGTCTGTGAGATCGATGACCTCATCCTGCGTCGCATCCGTTTCACCTGGCCTGCGCAATGGGCAACTTTCTTCAGGCAACTCGTTTCCACCAGGCGACCTCATGTCCTGATAGGGGGAAGAGCGGCTATCCATGTCGACATCTTGCTGGTCGCCTGCAACCACTGAGGAATATTGGATTTCAAGTTCAGCTTCGCGGTGCATCGAAGCTTCGGAAGCGTCTTCATCTTCATCCATGGACTCGTCCACAATCTGACTACCAATGCGCGCGAAGTCTCGCAACGTCGACCGGAGTTCTTGCCTTGCGGAGAGACCCTCTCCGACGACCTCGAGTGCAGGAGTCTTCCGACGTCTTTTCGGCGGCGCTGGCTCCTCGTCTGCGCTTTGTCGGAGATTCCACGATGCACCTTGCGTACTCAGAACCATCTGCACGCTCCGTGAACCTCCTGCTGCAGAGAGCAGGTCGTTTTGCTCCGCGAAGCAGCGCTTCGCATGCCGGTCATACGAAAGAGGAGAATTCGAATCAGCTTCATCCGCCTCATCCGCCGGCTGGGCAATGGCTGCCGGGGGTACCTGGCTCGCGGATGGTGAGCCTGACTCTGCGAACGCGGGCTGCATTTGGCTCAATGACAATGACGAGTGCTGATCTTCGCCGCTATCTTGCACCTCAGGATGGGCGATAGAATCTTCGTCGAGGACGACACGAGGCCCCTCAGCACTGCCGCGCCGCGGGGCCTTGCTGACCAGGAGATGGGAAGATTCTGCGGAAGCTTCTCGGTCCTCAGGGTCCATGGGCTCTTCTGGAGCAGACACGCGGGAGACCAAAGTTGCATCAACTTCGCTGGCTCGTGCACTGGCAGCCTCATTGGCCGCTGCTTCCAAACCCACAGCCGTTTCTCCCATAACCTGATTGCCGACAAGAAGGTTTGGCCGGCCGAAGACGTCGGGTTGAACATCCTCAACAGCGTGTGCGCTCATTGGTGACGGCGGAGGGTTTGATATGGGTGAAGAACGTCCCGAGTCATCTGGGACGTCCTCATCCAGGAAGAGGGGCGTCTGTGTGTCCGGTACAATGGACGCCCTTGGATTGCTTTCCTTTGCTGGTGCTTGCGAGGCGCCAGAAGCACGGATGTCATAGGTCGCACGAGAGGGCGCGAACTTCTGCTCTAGCGCGACCTGCAGATGCGTAGGCAAGGGAAGCAATGATCACGAGCGAGACGGGCCCTCGGTTAGCAGAGACATTACTCATGTCTAGTGGGAAACGGCATACCTTGAGAGCCTCTATGAGATTCTTTTCGCTGTGGAGTAAGATTGTCCGTTTGTCGGGACTGACATTGACGTCCAATGAATCTGATCGATATCGCAAGCGCAGTCAGCACGCGCGATATGAATAAAGTGAATGCATCTCGTGACATAAGGTAGATGAACGCCTCGAACCAACAAGGCAATTATACACAGTAGAGGATAACGATACGCCGGACAGATCGGGGGATGGACGCACCGGTGGGAAGGATGAAGTCCGCCACGATAAACGGCGCCTGGTTCGCATTGAACGTCCGATAAACTTCGTTGAACGCCTTCTGTACCTACGTCATGGAACATTCGCGTGAGTGGACAGGCTTGGCCAGACACGATCACCTGTACCTTGGATGGGTTATACGGGCGCCCGTTCACGAAGAAGAATTGCCGGTCCGTGCCGCTCCGACCACATCCCACAGCGAACTTCGAAATCTGCCCGCGCACGCGGACTTCATTCGAATGGCTATATTGAATGGCGAGCGTCATGGCAGCGCATGGTCAATAAGGGTAGGCACAGCTGGGAAGCGGACCCACGTATCCCCATCAACGATGCCTCGCCGCCTCAGCACTGCACGTTCGGCTTCGACGGGAAACACGATGTCAAGTTCGACTAAATTCTCAAGGGCCTTGGGACCCCAGAGGGCAGATATGGACGCTCGCGTCGAGGGACTTCCATCAGTCCGCATTTGGACCGATTTCTTCCTGTAATACAACCAATATAATCAAGACCAATGAGGCTCCGCAGAGAAATGGCCTCACCCTCCAGCAGCCTGGTGTGTGACAGTCAAACGCACGCCCCTGTTCTCGTGCGCGCATGGGACCAGGGCATACGCGGACAGGAGTGCCAACGCCTTGCCAAACTCGCGTTTTGCGTTTCGCTCGAGTTCCCTGCGACGTACCGGGAGCGGCTTGAACAGCCCCGAAACAGTGACAGTTGTGCCGCGCTAACGGAGCAATTATGAGCGTCGCACATCCAATGCACTCCGTTTGCTGCAGCAGCCACGAAGACGAGTAACAGAACGATGAGTACCTGCCTCGCAACCTTCCCTTTGTGACCAACTAGCCTGCCAGTGGAGTCGAACTCGAGTATAGTACCCATGGGTGCCTCGGCGGCAGTGCAAGTGGTCACTATTACATGTTCTGAGAGCGCACATAAAGACGACAGGGCCTCTCCGCGGAAGCCAAATGTGGAGACCGATGTCAAGTCAGCGAAAGAGGAAAGTTTGGACGTATGATGCTTCAGAGCTATATGGTGTCTTCAGCTACGACTGCCGCTGCAAATTGACGAACTCACCTATGGCGTCATAGTCTTCAGGGGCAATACCACTTCCGTTGTCAATCACTTCAAAGCTAGCCACACCATGATCCTTGAAACGAACCTCTAGGAACGACTGTGTGAGTGGATGCACGCATTGTACGCTGAAAGGACGCATACCGAGGGAGGTCGCACCCGCGTCTAGGCTGTTTTCAACAAGCTCTTTCACAGCAGTCTGCAGGTCGATCACCACTTGACCAGAAGAGATCTTATGGACTGCACCACCGTCGAGAGCCTTGATCTTGCTGCGAGCTGCGCGTTCGACTTCAGCCGTCATGGGGGCTTCCTGATCACCGGGTTGGGTGGTAACGCCTACGTGGACAACTTCTGTGGACCGAGGCTTAGATGTGGGCTGGAAGTCAAAGTTGTCGTCGTGAGACCCGCGAGGGTCCCTGTTTGACTTGGTTAGTGCTCCGAAAGTTCTCTACGCGTCATGCGCTGATCCCACGGCTACGCCAGATGGCAGGCAGTACGACCAGCAACAAGAAGTGCTCGCAAAAGATGTGAACCAATGAGTCAAGAGGGTGGCTTTCTATTGTAGTTTGAGACCACCAATTCAATTCAATTCAAGAGAGAATACAATCGTGAGCTTACAGAACACAGACGGTTGTATAGTTTGGCACTGGCAGCTGATACGTGGCCGATCCGCGAGCAACGCAGCGTGAAAAGAACTAGATAGTACAACCAGTAGAGTTCCGAGTTTGCTGACACGGAAGACTGGACTGAGCAGCGGGTACCAACGGAGGAAGAGCAGGTACTTCGATGTTCAAGCTTCAAGAGAAAGACACGCGTCGCGTAACCGTAACGCCGTCCAATCCGCGACACGTCACGCCCACGTGATCGTGACCAGGTATCTGCACCGTTGTTGACGACTCTGTCCAGCATTTACGCCGTTGCACTAGTACTCATAGGCAGCCTTCAACAACTTCAAGCTTCAGCTTCAGCAGCCAGCCAGGTCTGTGCTATCGTCCCTCCTAAAGCATATGATAGTGCACGAAATGTACTGAACTAACATGGAACACGCGGGGCTGTCGAGCAGTGCGTCCTACTCAGTACCTCACCGCGTATTGAGGTCAGTCTGAGTCTGCTCAAGCTTGCCGTCTTCGCAAATCTGCCACTCACCGCTGTACGCTGCTTCCATATGTAGATGCTCGTATACCCCCTGTGGAGCCCGAAAAATCGGAAGCTGCACCGGATCATCTGTTAAGGTCATTGCAGCACTGTAGCGAAGAGGCTGCTGAGGATGGCAACAAGCTCTGCTTCTACGGTGCCATATACGCCTCCTTATGCATGCCCTCTAATTTGCATCATGACGTGACCTCTATCTGCTTTCTTAATCATTGCTGCATCTCCCCCGACGCTCTCAGCATTGGTACCGCCTCATCTAGGACACGTACAACGTCATCAAGCCCGTGCAGCGCATCGTCATAGAGAGGAACACCGACCACAATTACGATACCTTCGCTCAGCATACTCGCGCTGTCCACGCCACGCCCGTAATCAATATCGTTCAGTCGGACGGCATCCTTGACCAGCTGAAGGGACGGCTAGTGGGCCGTCCCATGCCTCTGCACGCTCCCATGGTCAGTGCGGGGTTCACACCCTCATTGTAGAGTCACGCGCAACCGAACGCGACTCGTTTGTCCGTGATACCGCCCGATTCAACGAGGAGTACGTGGCCGAGGTTGGCCAACGGCACCATGACAGCCTAGTCTCTGCGTCGTAGAACATCCTTGGTGAGTCCATGAGCTCGACTTCTAACAATAGAGATGCTCAAATTAGCGAATCATTCCTGCCCATTCAAACGTGGACTACACCTCGGTCCCGGCGGGATTGCATGCCAGCAACGCGCGAATAAACGGTGCAGTGTGCACGGAGTAAGGACAGTCTATCAATATCCAATGCACCGCTAAGCCACCCGTTGTCTTCATGAATAGCTCGGGCCTCGCATGTTACATGCTTTCTGGGCGCGTAAACATACACGACTATTTCATTTGCGTTGCCACAACGCCTTGCCTCAAGGCTTCCTGACGTCAGTTGACCGACCTCTGCCCACTTCGACTGATGGCGTTATCGTGTTGCGAACCTTGTCAAAGTCCGTGGCCCGTTCTCGATGCCGTCAAAGACAACGGCGAAGCACTGTTTGCTATGGCTTCCGCATCGCCCGCCGCACGCAGGACGACCTCGAACCCGCCTCATGTGAAGAAGTGTTACCGATACAACAGGGCTGTACTCCGTATGGGCGTTGCGTTGTATAGGCTGCGTGCGGTGATAGAAGTCGCCCTTGTCACTTACAGTACGCAGGTTGGCACGTTTCTGCATGCCGTCATTGTACCCAGCACAGCCGGCAGGCATTGTGCGCGCACTATAAGAGGTTACAAGGTTTCCTCTGCCACTCCACTCATTCTTTCATTCTCGATACTCGCAGTCTTCCACAATTGTCACGATGCCTTTCGGAATCGGCAGCATCAATGCTATCCGTACACTTTTCTATGTCCTATTAGTGCGTCTGACACCCATCTGACTCTGAGCGCCTTGTCTCTGACGCTGACATCCATAGTTCATGTTCTCCGCCGTCATGATTGGCTTGACGGCTGCACGACTCGAATACACGACCCATCTCCCGCCATATGACCCGCTCAACCACGGTGTCAGCTTCTACGACCCAATCGTGGCCGAGCTGCTCGCCTCGGCATGCCTAACCCTTTTGTGGTCGCTCTTCGCGTGAGTACCAAGAACTTCCTCGTCTACCAAGATGGCTGACAACAGAGCGCCGCATCAGACTGCACATCCTCTGGCCAGGCCGAATGTTCGAGTACGGCGTCTTCTCGAGCTTCCTCGGCGAGATGGTCGGGCTCTTCATTCTCTTCGTCCTCTGGCTCGTCGGCGCCGCCATCTCCTCCGTACGTCCCCCACCTTCGTCTTGCCTCCCCGCTGACTCTGAGCTTGCCACGCGCAGACGTTCTGGGCCCAGCTCGGCTGGTGCCACGAGTATCGGACATGCCGCATCCTCACGGCGCTCGTGGCCTTCGCATGGATCGGCTGGGCTACGATCCTCTTCCTGCTGTTCATCACCATTCTCTTCGCCGTCCTTAACCGTGCGCTCTTCTGGCAGATGCATGGGCGCTACGACCCGCGCGCGAGCACCTTCAACAAGGGCCGTGCTTGAGCGTCGAGGCCATAGACATGTGCGATTGGAACTGGAGGTATGGTGTTCTGTGTTCCATCACGAGCGCACACGAGTTAGACACGATTGCAAGGATTCGGTGCGACGGGCGAGTGTTTTCTACTTTGTGCTTCCATAAATGTTTGTAGAGTATCTAGGACCATATATAATTCCGATCACAGGATGTTCACCAAGTGTCCATTGTTCTCGAGGAGAAGCACATCGCACTCAACAACCTGAAGGCGGATCTCGTCTGCACAAACACGCGGTTGTCCAACATCGGCGGCGATGAAGAGCCGCAAGGTCGCGTGTGGCGCGGACTCGGTACTAACAGGGTTGTATTTTTGGTTTGTTTGTGAGGTTTGCGCCAAATTACAAGCCGTTCACAACGAAAGACGCCCAGCAGCGATATGGCGCCAATTTCGCGCAGGGGGAGGAGGAGGAGGAGGAGGAGGAGGAGTTCAGCCACGGCCGCAGGCGCACAAACGATCCTCGGTGTCTTGACAGCGTGGAGGACTGGGCCGGTGGTCTCGTACAAGCAGTTAAAAATTCTACTGTTATGATTACATCCCGCCCGCCCACAGCTGACCCAATCATACCGGCATTGCCCCACACTGTATCTCATCCAACGCAATCCTGATTGTTTCCTCTTCGAAAGGGTCGAGCTGCACTTGATCCGCTAGCCACTTCGCGCCGTCGTCCCACGAAGCCAGAGCGCGGAGGCGTTCCACGTTTTTGATTCCTGCGGCCTTGAACGGAGAAGCCAGGCCTTCGAGAGGCGGAGTCAGGGAACGAAGGAATTGGAGGACAGGGGCGAAGGCGTCGGGTTGCTGGGGTGGGTGTACTTGTGCTTGACGGCGGGCAGCGTCGCGGCCTCTCGTGTTCGGACGTGGTGCCGGAGAGGATTCAGGGGAATGATCGAGTCTCTGAAACGTACGGTAGAATGAGCTGAGATCAGATGAGGGAAGTTATCGGCATACGCTGCGTTCGCCTTGTCTTGCGTCGGGAGACCGTGCTCTCTGGTTGTCTCGTCCTGTTGGATCACATTCAGGTCGACTGCGATCGTCCACGTCACCTTCATCTTCACCAGTACCCTGAAGTTTCTTTGGTATTCTTCCCCGGCCGCCACTTGAATAAAGTCGCATCCAGAGAACCGTGTAGACGCACATGGGCCATGCATTTTCATACTGGTCCGCTTTGTTCCACCTTCGTCGTATCTAGGTCACGAAGGGGGTACAGTAAACATGATTCATCAAGCATTTTGTAGTCACACGATGCATCTCACCTGTGCATAATGTTTCGCTACTGCAGTGTCGTCCTGTCTGCACAGAGATTTGCGGAGATCGAAGTGAGCCATCATTGAGGTGTGCATCAATGCCTGACACAGAGGACTTGTCAATGTCTCAATCCGGGAGTGGTTGAGTATTCCGTCTGCTCACGCGGAACTTAGCAAATTCCTCTGCAGATATTTGCATCTTGGATTGAAGGCTGCGATCACCTTTCAAGAGAGCTGTGATCTTGTGCTTCGGGTCGGGGACTTGCCCTGTATGTGCGGTGGGAGGTCAACACATAGATCGAGCGCACAAAATTTGAAGCTCTGACGCACCATGACGGACTTGAACCTCCCTGGGCATTGGAGGTGTTTACTGAGAAACTGCAAGTTGCGTGAAGGCCAGCGGGCGGACGGAGGCAGCATTCATCCTGTGTCTTATAAGCCTGAGACTCCACATTCACCGCAGTCTTTGGATTCCCGCGAGTTCCCCGCTGTGCCAAAAGTATCTTCACTGAGTCAAGGTTCGATGTGGCATTGCTCCAGCGCCGCGGCCAAATTCGCCGAGTGTACGGGACGATAATTGGTCAGGTTAGTGTCTTCGTTCAGGGAATTCATGGGCATTGGCATACGACTAGTGACCGTGTTTCATCGTGCTATCACGAGCATGAGGTTCCTAGCCAATTTCAAGCCGGCTCTGTACAAGAATACAGAACACGTTAGTAGCTCGATAATGATTAAAGAGGGTTGCTATTTTTGTCGAAATGTTTACTAGGATCGCAGACTCGAGGTCGCTGAGAAATCATCGGCGACACGATCGACGATGGGGTAGCGCGCATGTTGATCGCGTCGCCTCCTCCCGCGTGCCCGTGCTCGACGCGGGCGATGGCGTGGACGAGGCGTTGGGCAGCGACGGGGCGGGGACGGGCCGGCAGGGGCCCAGGCCAGAAGAGGCGGGCGCCTAGGGAGGGACTGCGGTGCGTGCCTGGCAGCGGCAGCCACTTTCCCCGCAAACGCTCTTCGACCGCTCTCGTCGTCGTCGCACTCGTCGCCGCTGTCGTCGTCGTCGTCGCCATCGTCGCCCCTCAGCCCGCGCAGGCCGGGCCCCCACTCGTTGTGTATTTCTATTGCTCACTGGCACACCAGTATGCCCTTCCCATTAACCGTCTGCCAGCGGCACCCCCGCTACGCCATCTTCCTCGTCGTCCTCCTCTTCGGCTCCTTCCTCCTCCTCTCGCCCAGCGATACCTTCTCGCCGAACAGATACCACCAGTCGCGCGTCACTGCGCGCGACCACACGCTCCCCGCGCGCATAGAGCACGCCGAGGAGATGTACGGACGTACGCTCGACCGCCGGCAGGCCATGATCAAGAAGTTTGGGCCCAATCCGAGCCAGGTCGTCATGTACGTTGCGCAAATATCTCTACATTACAACTGGTCCTCTGAGCATGCAATGGTGCAGGTTCCCTCCAGACCGTGAGCCATGGCCGGCATATACTGTCTGTAAGTACCCGCTATCATTCTCCCTTGGCGATACGGCGGCCCCGTAGTGCGCAGAGTCGGATGCAGGCTTTTCGCATTGCCGGGAGGCCCCAAGCTCGCAATACCAACACTCCGTTCGGGCTCTACACGTCTCTGGTCGATACGCGCCCTCTCGCGACCTTCCCGGACAGTTACACTCCCCCCTGCGCACGACGTACTCTATCATCTCTTCATGAGAGCTCAAACGTCCAGGTCACGCTCCCCTGCACTGTCTCACCCGCTGTTTCGCAAGCACGTCCCATACTGGCGCCGGTCCCTGGTCCTCATGACCCTCCGATCTTCCTCCAGGAGAGCGTCTACGAGCACCTCTGGGATCAGTCCCTTCTACTCTCCTTATTAACGCGCCATTATGCGGTCGCAACGCGTCCAGCCGCGAAATGTTCTGGCGACTTTGCAGCGCCGTCGTACGCCCGCCTCCGACTTGAGCTCCGGCTGTTTTACCCGCTTATAGGTGCGAGTGGTGGATTGGCCAGACAACACTGCGCTCTGGTGGTCCGCCGCCCCAGCACGCATTCACCCCGCGGTCGGGCGAACGGCTGCGAACGGGTCCCCGACGGAGCCGAGGTCGTTGGAACCTTGTCCTGCTTCGCCGTCTCACGCTCTCGGAGCCGTCGATTACCTTCCTCAGGGCTGCTTGTGCAGGAGGAGTGCTCCTTCGCAGATAATGGAAGAGCTGACCGTCGGTACTACCGTGCGGGTTGAGCTCTAGGTAGTATCCTGTGGGCCGCGGCTGCAATTTCGGTACTCCTGGAGTCTGCGCAGCGCCGTCGCATGTACGCCTTCACTGTCCTCATTCACAGTGCGATATTCCGCTTTGGTCGTTCGTCACAGAAGTCGGCTCGTCAGCTTCGCAGTGGGATAGAAGGCTCCGGCGAAGCCGAGGTTGTTTCGACCTTGTTCTGCTTCGCCATTTCCCGCTCTCTAGCCTCAGAATATCTTCCCTCACTGTGTTTCATGTCCTGCAAGGTGCATATAAACGTATGACGCTGACCTGCCTTTCCTGCAGGGGACTTCTTCCCACCTGTCTTCAACTGTCCGCATGAGCTTGAGCGGATAGGTGCATTGGGCGACGGCGGAAAGTGGATATGCGGACTGTCGCGCGTCGCAGAGAAGCAAGACTGTGTCATCTACTCCTTCGGTACGCGTCCTCCCCCTTCTTTTGACATCACATTCACCCCTTGCAGGTCTCGACTGGGACTCGACGTTTGAGGGCGAGCTCCTGCAGCGGACGTCACACTGCAAGATATACGGGTACGACTTCACCGCGCGGGGATTCGGGCACGGCGTCCCCCGCGCGCTCAAGGGCCGCACGCACTTTGCGCGGCTCGGACTCGGCGCGGAGGACTCGCACGGGCCCGCGGACGAGCCCAAGATGTGGACGCTGCGCAGCCTCATGGCCGCGAACGGTCACGACCACATCGACGTGCTCCACATTGACATCGAGGGGTGGGAGTTTGAAGTCCTCCGCGCGATGGTCGTCGACTTTGCTGGGCTCGGTTCGGTGGGCGAGGCAGCGGGCGAGGCGGGGGAGACGCAGCAGGAGCGCGGCGCGCTGCCGTTTGGGCAGCTGCTGATCGAGTTCCATGTGTGGCACCAGAAGTTCCAGGAGTTCCTTGCGTTCTGGGAGATGCTTGAAGGTGTCGGGCTGAGGCCGTTCATGTCGGAGGTGCGTCCTTCCTCTCTCTCCGCATGCAGGGGGGCCATCTGACGCGACCGCGGCGCGCCCCAGGTAAACCTCGTCTACGCAAACTACAACCGCCAGAGCGGCGTCGAGCTCGCGCAGTACTCGTTCCTCAACATCCGGGGCGACAACGTCTTCACCTCGGACAAGGCGCTCGCGCCCACCGCCGCGCAGGACGGGTCCGCGCTCGACGCGGAGCCGGATCTGCCAGGGGAGCCCGACGTGCGCACGATGCGCCACGCCGCCGTCGCGGCGGGCGCACTCGACGTGCGGAGACGGTGAGCGGGCGGCGTCCGTAGCGTCTCATAGGCCGACTCCCTGTACTCCCTTGTATAACTCGAAAATCCCTATAGGCATCCTCTATGAGCGCGTGAGCGCCGCAGTGCTGCCGGGGCTCGTGCGCTCGCCGTTGCGACCTCACGCGCATCGACGGATATACCAAAAACCGTCTTTCGCGTCTGCCTTTCACTTTGCTCGCTCCTTCCGACCGGGTCACATCCGGTCTTACCGCTAAATTCACCCCACCCACGGCTGCACACTACGGTGACATATGAGTAGCTGTACTCGCCCGGACACAGCGCGTTCGTGCTCCCCGCCAGTGCTTGCAAACATGTATTAGTGTATGTATCACTTATCGACTACTCGACTCGGGCATACTTCGGCGTCGGCTGTGTGCAGAACGCAGCGATGATGGTCTGGGTCAGCGGGAGAAGTCGAGCACAAGGGCTGGGTATTTCTTCCGCGGGCCGTCCCGCGCATTGTAGCTATATTGCAGTCCGAGCGATGAGCTTATCGCAAGTCTGCTCCCGCGATCGCCAGGCCCGCCTCCTCGAAAGCAACTCGAAAGCCTCCCAAAGCCATCCCGGGTGCATCGTTGCTGATCAGAACGCGGATCGGCGTGAGTGCGTCCGCCGTCGTGGTACTAACTATCAGATTTGAACTACGTGCGGTTAGCTTAGCCATGAATCGGATCCCACCACCGAAACCGCCTCCTACGGAGATCTACAATGGTCTACACTCCCTATGGGCCAAGACTGGCATGACTGCGAACGAGTTCAGGGAGTTCACGGTATGTCATGGGTGTTGTATCTGTCATATCGCGCAAACTTACATGCCGACATCATAGAACTTGGTTGAGAACACCAGTGACAAGTACTTGAGTCCGCGTGGATCCATAATTAACCAAGGTAGGCAGATGCTCACAAAGCACTATGCTGAGGTGGGTGTCATTGGTTCACTGGTGTGATGTCTTTGTTCCATTGACCATCCACTCAGGTTGCGAAGTTATGGCATCACGAGGACAAGTACAAGGATGACTGGCCCGTCCGCCTCTATACAAAACTATATTTGGCCTCAGATGATGTATGTATACAGATGGTTTTGATCCCTGCCGGACGAGGTGCTGATTATGTGGTTCCGGCATCGTTAGTGGCGCACAAGGCCAGAGAAAGTGAGTGTATGCCTACTATAGGTTTCTTCCTGGCAGCCTCACCCACGAGAACACAGATGTCTACTAAGAAGAGACGTAAATCCCGTGCTCCCAGCATATACAACCGTTCACCAAGTCCTGTGGTTAGTTCTCAGCATCTCACAGCACCTCATAAGATCCTCACGCTATCTTTGACTGCACAGCAAAGCCCGCCCCCTCAGCGCGGCCGGAGACCCAGCCCAGGTAAGCATCGCACATCTCTCACGTACTCATATTGCCTACTATGTCTTACCAAGTCCCAGCGCCAGCCACTCGCCGGCGCCGTGCAGTCTCTTACGTGGGCGAACCCGTGCAGGCAGCCCCTCAGGCTCGTCGGCCTGCACCCGAGCGCCGTGCAGCCTCCCGCCCGCCGGCGGAGCGCCAGGCCCGCCCGTTCACGCGCGCTGTATCTCGCGCGTCCGCACGCCCCGTACCTGCCGCAGCGGCGTCGCTACACCCGGGCCCTGCAGTATCACGCGCAGGGTCGCCCGACATCGTCGTACGACCCCCGGCCCAGCCAGCAGCACCACGCGCCGGGCCACGCGTAGCGGTGTTGCGGCCGCGGGACAGGGATCTCGTGGCGGGGGCCGCCGCCGTACATGCGTTCTTCAGCATGGAACCCCCGTTTTTGTCCGTGGAGACCGTCGACGACCTGATCGAGCTCGGCGTGGTTAACATGGACCGCTTGAGAGACCTCGCAAGCCTCTCGGACCGGAGCATGTGGATCAATCGGTATGTCGAGCTGAGCAGACTCGAGTACTGGATTTTGAAGAGGAAGTTGGACAAGCTGGCCCCGGGGCTGTAGCCTGTACGGGGTTTGTGTTACTAATTCCCTCGTTCTACTAGTGTTGAATTGTTATACAACTATAGCTTGACGGTGTTGAGAGATCGGTTGACGTGCTATGATACATTCGTGACCAGCTGCATTGGCAGTTGACTCACCAGATATTGCAGGCTGCACCGGCTGGCGCGAGCAGCCGCGTGCACTCCCCGCTCCGCAGACCAACACGCTCCAGCTCGGGGGCACAGAGGAGCTGCACGTCGTCGACGTCACGCCGATCGCGTCCGACATCGGTGACCCGCACTGTCACTCTGAGGGGAGGATGCTGGCCCGGTGCGCCGGCGGACATACCGAACTTCGAGTCGCGTTGGCTACAACTTGAAGGTATATGACACTTATACGACGTACTGACGGTACCGTCAGTGATCGCACCAAATAGTAAACTGCTGTGTCACAAGCTGCTCTCGGCGGGGCAGACATAAGGCAAGTCTCACATCACTGTGAGCTTTCGAGTCGCGACGTCGATGACGACTCTATTCACTAGGTTGGCAATTCGCCGCGGACATAGCGAAAGTTTCGCAACCTATGGCACAACAGTCGCGTCTACTAGACGGCGGAGCGCTCACAGACGACTCGACATCCGTACTGCTCTCGGGGCGCCGAGAGCGTTGCAGGTCAAATGAAGCACTGGCGTACGCATGTAACAGCGTTTCTCCGGAGAATGGCTACTAGGAGGCAGGGATGTCTATGTAAGAACCACGCCGCAGGGTGTCATCTGTGCAGCGTCGTTCGCCATCCCTGTCAAACAATGCGCATCGACGGTGCCACCTCACCCACACTCGTACGCGATTTGCGGGGCTGGAAAGGTCAGGTTATGTCTCCATTTCAACGAAGCTGTTCACCATGTGCTGACACTCTTGCCACTAGGTTACATTTGTCGCTGAGTTGGCGTCGGCGCGCCGCCCGACGCGACGCGTCGAGATTTACACGCGCGTTTCGGAGATGAACATGCTTATGTAACTCCGCCTAAGGGCTGCTACGGTATGGGGCCCACATTTTGAAGCAGACTAGTGCCACCCGACACCTTACCACCGGCGACGGCTATCGCGTCCACTGCAGAACTGGATCCCATGAACACGGAGATTGGGCTTCATTCTGGCCCCTCGGGGACGAATGCTGACCCCCCGCTCCATGCCATGTTCGAGTGTGACCTGCGAACTGCCTGGCCCGACGCCGCAAGCACCTCGACCTCTCAAGCCCGACAGACCCGTGCAGATCAGGAAGGCCTGTGAGGTTGTTGGCTACCACCCTAGTGCGAGGCTTGTTCCCCTTCAGTGCATTAACGTTGGGCGCGCGGCCTTCGCTCAGTGGTGCTGGCGCAACCTCACGACCTTCTTGGGGCCCAGCGCAGCCATGCCTGGCTGGGCATTGGTATCAACAGAACACCAGGCAACAACGACTCGGACACTGAAGCCACCAGTCACTGGAGCTGGTCATGGCAACTTAGGTGCAGTTGGATACGAGCGGCGGGCGTGATAGGACTCGGAGAGCGTAGTGCGTACATTACCGTGATACCTTTGCGCTCATTGAATGACTCTGGCCTCGCTGCCCTTCGTCCCAAGCCGTCGTTCACAGTGCAGGTTCAAAACGCGCAGAACAGTGTACGACCCCGCGCGACACAAGGCACACGCGCGCCGACTCCTCACGAAAATACCAGCTGTTCTCGCTGGGCATGACAATGTCGCCTCGCCCGTTCTGTCGTCAACCAGGGAGTGGCGCGGTGAACATGCACTGTCCCCTTCCTGCACGACCCTTCAGGCTTGCCCGGCGACCGTGGTCGCAAGCGTGTCGCACGACTCGCAACTCCCGATGGCTCCGGTGCTCTTGACTTGTCGTCGCCCGCCCTCTCGCCAGTGCCCTGTCCTCCAAGTGACGCTCCCGACTCGTCATCGAGGCCGGCTCGGGGCCTCGCGGAGGCTCGCGCGGGGCTGCCAAACACCTGGTCTGGATAGTCACAGAAGGCGGGCGTGTGCGGACTGCAGTGGCCCTGCAGCTGCGAGCTTGTCGTGCCCCGAATCGCTCCCATCCCTCCGAGGCTCGAGCTTGTCGCTCCTGGGAGCACTGCTGCGGTTCCGACGCGCCGTCGCCCGCCCTCTCGTCGGCGCGCATGCCCCGCGAGCGACGCTCACGGCTCACCATCATCCCATTCGCGGTCGCGCGTGGCTTTGCCGAGGAGAGCGCGTGGCTGCCGGTCCCCCCAACAGGCTCGTTGCGGAGGGCGGGTTTGCAGGCCTGCATGCTCGCCCTCATCCCCCGCCTCCGCGGCCGCCCAGCGAGCAGCACCTCAGCTCGCTGGTCCGAGCCTTGCCAGACAGCGCTCGCCGGCCCGGCGATGATTTCGCTTCCCAACAACTGTGCGATGCTCAGAGAGGGCCTCGCCAGCTGTGATGCGCGAGAGATGGGTGAGATGGGGTACTGCTTCAAGGCAGCCACGTCGTGATGGTGAAGAGCACCATGGGCGCGTGAGGTTATCGGAGTGTCCCTGTCTTACGGGGCGATGCATGTAGTAGTTCGAACAAGAACCATAATCTCATTTTGGACACGGATTCAGGCTAAGCATATACTGTATGAATAAATAAGACTTCGCGTTGAAATCCCTCTGCCTTGTAGCTCGCGCAGCTGGCTTATGTAAGTCCAGCTGTATACAGCTGTGTAGCTCGCTGTACACACTCGTTCTCGCTGTGGCTGGCACACTAGCCACACGACAACATACGTGGGCCCGTCCACCTGTAGGCTGGTACACATAGCGGTTGCAAGCGTGTCACACCTCGGTCGTCCACATCTTTTCACATCAGCCGCCCATCTCAGTCACAGGTGGACCAGAATTGGCGGTGTAGGGGACGCCGGTGCGGAGTCTCGCGGCCCGGTGCGCCGGCGGGCGTACCAAAGGTCCAAACAGCGTGTCGTCGCGCTCCTCTGCGCCAGACTGCTCGATCGTACAGCCGATCGTGCGCAATTGCGATCCCGGACGCGCAACGCCGGCAAGATGACTACTAGTGGGTGATTCCCTGTGATTCCAGGTCCGAAAGCTCAGGAGATCTGCACTGATCAATCCAGTGGGACCGCGGCGAAACGTCCGACCAATTCCAAGGCCGCGGCCGATGCCTAAGGTCGGCCGGAAGGCCACAGTTCAAAATCAGTGATACGGCCATGGTACGGCCGCTACCGAGGCCCGATCTGCTTACGTAAGCCACTCTGGCCGAGTGTTGCATGGCCTCGTCTGTGCTCTCCCTTAAATTAGCTCATCCCCCATGTACTCTGAGACAATTAAGAGACATCATTGAGTGCATTATCGGCTTTCCAATGGATCTTGGGTGCTCTGTGGTATGGATTGTCTGTCTCGGCGTGCTGGAACTCCGTAAGCGCCCCAGACTCACGGTCACACCTGCCTAGATTGGACAGGCGGCGGACATCGGTTGCACTTAAGTTCTTTTCATCCGCAGCGATGTGAGTTATCCAACCATTTTCTGCGAGTCAACCAGATAAGTTTCAAAGCATTGCGCCCAATCGCCCCCGTGCGCAATGAAGACGTCGTCCACCGCCAAGTGTGACCGTTACCCGACGGCGCTTACCGAGGTTCCGACTCTTCCGGCTCAAATTTGAGATATGGACTCCCCACAATATATTCAGAAGCTACAATTCAACCCGATACAGATCAAGAATAGTCTGTAGCACTCAACAGAACATGAATTTAGTGAGGAGAGGCACGAATCGGAACGAGACTTTCGGCCAGACCAGCTTACGTAAGCAGAACGGGCCTCGGCAGCAGCCACCTCAAACGGAAATCGAACTGTGGCCTTCCGGCGTACCATACGATGCCCTCCAACATCTACAAGGGCGATGACTCGTTGTGGGCCAAATCGCAGATGTCCGCAAACGAGTTCACGACTTTCCGGGTATGTAGCATGTAGACTTGTGGCGTTCCATATAATGACTGACTGACCTGTCGCAACATAGAATCTTGTCGAGTATTCTGCCAAGCAATACCTAGATGTCACGAAATATTCGTCATCCCAGGACGAGGAGATGTTGCAGGTGCACATCACCGAGGTAAGTCTGCGGCATTCCTTTATTGGATCAGTGGGCTGACTTATTGATTTGCTTGAACTTAGGTTACCAGAGAGTGGGCCCACGAGGGGTGGTTTGAAGATGATTGGATTATTATAGAGTACACGCGCATATGGTTACACTTACAAGTGGTGAGTGCAAGTGATTTCTGCACGTGCTTGCTGAGTCTCTGACAAGGTGAGGAAACTCCAATCTGAATCAGCACTCGGACAAGAAACAGAACAACGCTCGTGTTCATCGCAAGGAACACCGTGACCATCGCAAGGTAAGCTACATATCATTGGCACACAACTGCCATAACAGCCATACAGCTGACACTGCCTACAGAGCACTGCGAAAATCAGCCCACCCGGGCCACCGTCACATCACCGTGGACTAAAGAGCGGCCGGCGGGCTATCCCAGGTAGTATTATGCCCACCGAGTCATTTGTCACATTAGCTAATTGTTGGTATCCTGCGTAGTAGCACCAGCTGCTCGCGCCGGGCCCTCTACGTCGAACCCCAACTCGCCCGCGACACAGCCCAGTGAGCCCCGCGTCATGCAGCTGACTCACCGCCGCGCAGGTTCTCCCCTCCGCAATCGCACGCCTGCACCCCGCCCGCCTTCCGTACTCCCTCCGAGTTCTGCAGCCCGTGACGTGCCCCGTCTCGGTTGCGCGCCGCGCGCCCCCGGCGGGCCCGCCGCGGCACCAGCACCCGCCCGCGTCCCCCAGGCCCAGGCCCAGGCCCAAGCCCTCCCCTTCCTCCGCGTCCTAGTCCCTCCCGCCGCGGCCCCTGCCGCCCCCGGCGCCCCCGCCGCGGCCGCGCTTGTGCGCGCGTTCTTCCTGAGCACGGCTCCCTGCGTGCCTGCCGCGGTCGTCGACGACCTCGTCGAGCTCGGGCTCCACAACATGGAGCGCGTGCGCCACTTCGCCATGCTCCCGGACCGGAATGTGTGGCTGAACAGGTATCTAGTACTCGATCGTTTCGAGTTTTGGGCGATCAAGGGTGTCCTGGATCGCCTGGCTGCCAGCATGAGAGTCGGCTGCGAGGGCCAGCCTGATGGTAATATTGAAGAAATTGAGTGGAGGATTTAGTGAGATCGTACTGGTGGATTTGTTGTGCTGATGGGGCTATGTGTATATGAGTCTGAATTGCAGTCTTACTCGCTGTCTGTCCATGTACCGCTTTCGTGTTCTGTCGCTGTCTCTTTAGGAAAGTCAGATATATTCAATGTATTGTAATGTCGGTGTAAACTAAAACATGTTGTACAAGACACAATCGTGAATCTATGTTATCACCGGCCACACCTGCATACTACAATCAAACGGAGACACAGCAGGATACGGTCTGATGTGAAGGCAGTCAGACACTGATACATCATCGCCGAACGTACTAACGAGGCCTATGCCGATCACAGCTCGCGATACGCAGGCAAGCTCGATTAGGAGCGGAGGTGCGTTGGCAATGTCTTACAGAACCAGGACACTAACGGCGAGTGCACAGGGAGTCTTGAGGACCAATTCCTGATTGGTCCTCCTGCCCAGTGCGGTATGTCGTCGTCCAGCAGACCGCCTGGAGCCCATGAGCGTGGACAGCTCTGCGGCCTGCCGGACGAGCGACGTGGAGCCGCGACGCAGGGCCATGCGCGTACCCAATGACAAGCCGTCATGGATAGTCAACGACACGACACGTTGTACCGTGAGCAGGATCGCCGCCACGTCTTCGACGCGTTGTAGCGAGCACAACGGAACCTGACGATGAGGCCGCTAAGCGAAAGTACGTTGATGACGTCCCACCTGCGAGTCACCATTGCGGACCACTAACGACGGACACGCCGGAGAGGCGAGCTGACGCGCCCAATCACACACAGTCCTCTGACCAGAACCGTGCAGCCCGCCAGCCAAACGTCCATGATCGACTGTCTGCGCTGTTATGGGCTTGGCTGCTGCGCGACCCAAGTGCGCAGAGCCCACCGGACGAGCGACGTGTCGCGATCTGGTTTAGGCACGGGCAGTGGTGCGCACGATCATCTTCGTTACGGCCCGCCGCAACTCATCACTGCCCGACAGACCCGTGCATGCCCAGGAGCAGGCTCACTGTCCAATCGACAGTGCGCGCGCTGCCCTCCTGGAGCTTCGACGCGCAGGGAGACGCACGCCCGCGTCGTAGGACAAGCGGTGTGGGAGAAGGCCACTGTCCTGTATATGGGCAGCTTCGCGGTGGGGCGGTCTCTGCTCGGTTGTGCCCCCGATGCGCGCAGTGCGCCGCCGTCGCTGGCACAGAACGGTACGGCGCGTTGCGTGTGTACCGACGTTCACTCACCTCCACTCCCAGAGACATCCATCTCGCGAGAGACGTGTGGTATCGCCCGCGTCCAGGCGATGTTCTCTCGCGCCCAGCGCCGCTGTGTGCAAGACGCGGATGGCTCGCCCGCCGTCACACCGAGGCACAGCCTTGCTCGTGCTCCGCAAGCCCCCCAAGTCGACGGTTGTCCGTCTCCCGCCGGCCCCCGTCGTGCTGCCTGCCCAGACACGTCGATAGCCGTCCAGCACGTCGGGCGCAGGGTCCACCGTTCTCGTCGCGCGGCTCTGGCCGTGCCGGCCATGGCCTGAGTCGTCATGGACGACGGCGAGCTGGTCGAGCACGGCACTCCTGAGGACCTCTTCGCGCGCCCAGACAGCCGCTTTGCACGGCTCGCCGCCAGCCAGGGCATCGTCCGCAAGCAGCTCCAATGATCAGGATCCTATTCCTCGTCCAGTCCAGTCAGGTGCCGCGGAGGATGCTACGTACACACGATACCGTCTTTCATGAATGCGAAACGCGGGAGTTAATCAAGAATTAAGGGGCGGGCGGCGGAACGAAGGTGCCCGTAGCCGAGTCTGGTGGTATGTGGGTAGTAAGTAGCGCTGTAAGTCTAGACGAGTCCGTGCGCGTGTCAGAGCATGAGAGCGATGATGAGCGTGAACCATGGTACATATAGTACAACAAGTCGACTCCCGCCGCCGAGCGAGGGCCGTCGCTGAGCTGGCCGTCACCGCGACGGGAGGAAGACCCAGCCGAGGTCCCGCACGTCGTCCCCTGCGTCGCTGAAGAACCGGTCCGTCTCGTAGAGCCAGTGTGTGAGGCCGACGATGCAGTCGCGCATGCCCTGGACGTAGCGGCGCACGTCTGTGTCGACGCACGGCCCGAACGAGGGCAGCTGCGCGAGCAGGAGCCGTTCGTTCTCGAGGAAGGCGCCGACGGTCTTCTTGACGAGCGCGCCGGCGGCGTGCACGGCGCTCTGCAGGGTCAGGCGCCGCTCGGCCATGAGCACGAGGACGAGGTTGTGCTTGTCGTTCGTCGCCTGCTTGCTCGCGACCGAGGCGATGTCCTGCGGCGCATGAGCGAACGGGCACCATTACACGGGGAACAGAGACGTACTATGGACCACGCCATAACATCATACGCGTTCCTCCGCAGTTGTCTGAGGATGGGGTCTTCGTACACCTCGTCAGGGACGTGTAGTCCGACGGCATACTCGATCATGTCCAGGAGGATCTTGGCGCACGAGGATTCCTGGCGGAGGGGGATATACGACTCCAAGTCAGGGACCACAGCGCGTTCGTTGTCCGTCTGGACGAGTACCCGGGCGCCAAGGAAGGCCTGGAGGTGCCGCCGGAATCGTGGCTGCCATGACTTCTGCCGATCCCGGGGGAGCTTTGCGCAGACTCTGCGGAATGGCAGCATCAGTATGGAGTGAGCACGCCGAGGTCAGAACTTAAGGGGCACCCCGCGGCCAGACGATCGATCGCTCCTCCATACAACTCGCAACGCAGACTCCCACTGCCATCCGCTCTCGGATTCTACAGCGTTGGCATACACTCGTGCTCGAACGTGCCCGCGACAAAATATGATTGTCGTAGATCCATCTAGCCAACACCAGCAAACTGACGAGGTGCCATTTTAGCTGGGAATATGTCTGGTAGCACTGTTCCTCTCATGAAGGAGCACTCCTCCCATGATTGCGGTTTTCGATGGACAACGCGATATTGCACAAACCAGGGGCCGGAACTGTTGAACTTGAATGAGAGATCGGAGCACGTACTGGTCGATGAATCTCTCGTCTCCTGCCGCATTTGGCTTGTCCAGCCAATGTACCACGACTATCAGGACTTGTGCGATGAACTGCAGCTGCGCGACATCGCATGTCGGATAGCAGAGCGAGGCGAGGAGGCCGGGCTGCAGACCGGCGACCGCTTGGCGTTCTTCGTGGTCCAGATACGGGCACTGCGCGGCCCACTTCTTGGAAGCGATGGTGACCGGGCGACAATGTCGGTTCGTCCCGAGCTCGAAGGACGCGCAGATGAAACGAGGTGCGGAAGCTGTAGGTTGGACGAAGGCATGGACAGGAGCGGCCTGAGGATTGGTGGACGCGGTCTGCGCGATGCCGCGGCTGGCTATTGTTCGGGGCACTGATCAGGAAGAGGACTCGGAGGCAGGCGGGCGTGTCGCTCGCCCCGTCATGGTGGCCGCCATTCAGGACGACCTGCGCCGCGAGTCTTGATGATCGACCCGCCGTGGTCTTGGGTAACGCTTGCGATTGCGATGGGCTTCACGTCGGGCGACGACGTTGCCCGCGAGCAAGGGACATGGTTGGGGAGGGCGAGAGACGCATTGAGGAACGCGACAACCGCCAGGGAGGCTTCCCTCCTCGACGGCCGCGCGCGCAGCGGTGAGGGCAATGGGCATCGCATACGTCGTAGCAGCCCCTCTTCTCACCGACCTCGGCGTCCGACGATTGACCGACCTTGGTTCTGATGCTTAAGTATGCTAACGGTGTTCGATACCGTCGTACTCACTGAACGTTTGATGCGCGATGAGGGCGAGGATCTGCTTGCAGCGCTGCATCCTCGGAGATTCGCGACTGAGGATAACAGCGTTCTTCGAATATGTCGGGCTGAGCCTTGTGCACCTTGATGTCGACGAAGAAGCAGGGATGGAGGTGCGCCGGACGTAAATGGTACTAGTAGTGGAGGAGACAAGGAGGAGAGCGGCGAGGCCCTAGGCGCCCATCCAATGGCCGTCTTCGCGGAGAGTTATCGATCAGCTTGACTCAACCCCGCGTGCACGGACCGAGCACCGCTCAACGGGTTGACTACATATCGTGTGCGGTCATGTATATATACGCATCCGGCGGCCCATCTGCAAGTGCGAGTACTTGCGACTGGCGACGACGCTGGTATACGCAGCGGCACTGCAACTAGCCTAGTACTGTGACACTGACAGTAGCTCTCATGATCGCCAAGCCACGCCCTACTCCCTTGAGCGTGTTCACCGGCCCATGCGCCCTCTGGCCCCAAACAAAGATGTCAATGAATCAATTTACGGTGTTCCGGGTATGCTCATCTGATAGTATTCTCCGTTGGTTCACGACCGGCTCACTAGCATGTCATGCATGTCATGGTCTGGCTTGGAATGTCTGCAGAACCTCGTCGAGAACACGGCAGACACATACCTTGATGTCACCAAGCGCCGTCAATTCCAAGACGATCAGATGCTGAAAATGCACTATGCCGAGGTATGCCTGTGCAAGGCTCCTTGTGATGTTTGTTGACCCATTGATTGTCCTGCAGGTTGCAAGGCTATGGACATATAAAGGCCTATTTGAAGAAGACTGGCCGATCCAGAGGTACACATACCTGTATTTGAAGATGACTGCAACGGTGAGCACATAGACACTCACAATGCAGTGCAACTAATCTGATTGAATCACCGGTCAATTCCTGCTGTGCTGGTATAGAGCCACCAGAAAAAGATCGCTTACAAGAAGAGAGTAAGCACATATGACATTCTCTGCCGCCGTAGTAAGGATTCAGCTCATGCACGAACAACCAACAGAAGCGGCAGAACTTGACAACTTATGCCCCCAAGCAGACAGCCGCTGCGCGTCGAAGTTTCTACCGCAAAGCCAAGGCCGCAGTCGCCAGAACACCCGCTCGTGCCGTGCCTGTCCCACCTGGCAAACCCAGACCCAGACCCGAACCCAAATCCAAGCATCTCGCCCAATCAGCCTCCTCCTCCTCTTCCTCCTCCTCCTCCTCCTCCTCCTCCTCCTCCTCCTCCTCCTCCTCTTCCTCCTCTTCCTCCTCCTCCTCCTCCTCATCCCGCATCGTCGCCTCCTCATCCCGCACGGTCACCGCCCCTCAGACCCGCACACCCAGGGAGCGCCGGGCCCACGCCCGCGCCCACATCACCTCCGCACTCCCACCACCCGCCCCCGCCCCCGCCGTCCCCGCCGTGCCCGCCATCCCCGCGCCCGCCCAATTCATCCCTGTGCCCGCGCCCGCGCCCGCCCAAACCATCCCCGTGCCCACCCCCACCCAGGGGCCCACAACCGCGCCCACGCCTACCTCAGACGCCAGCGCCGTGCGCGCCTTCCTCCAGAGCCCGACCCCGGCGGGCCCGCCCCTGCCCGCCTCGATCATCGACGCCCTGATCCAGTTCGGGGCCCACAGCATGGAGCGCCTGCGCTACGTCGCGGCGCTCCCGGACCGCAACATCGTGCTGGACCGGCATCTCAGCCTCAGCTGGTCGGAGTACTTGGTGTTGACGGACATGTTGGATGAGCTCGCTGCGGGAGTCTGAGACGGTGCGGCCTGACAGTGTGAGGCTGCTGGTATATGGTACTGCTGTTGTTTGTTACATTTGTTCCCGTGTTTTCGTGCTTTCAAGTACTAGACATTCGTCGTTCCCGAAGCCTTGTCAATCCAAACAGACATGTACATTATCCCGCCTGCCGTTACAATATACGCCAAATGTACAACACATTACATTCCTACACTAATTCCCAAAAGTCCGCGAGCACAACAGTCGAGACGTCAACACCAGACACCTCAGCGCACCCACTCAGACCTCAGACCTCCCCCGCCTTCATCTTCTTCCCCTCCTGCACCTTCTCGACGCCCTTCTTCCCCTCCAGCTTGCCCATCACGACCTTCGCCTCGCCCTTCATCTTCTCCATAAAGCTCGCCTTCTTCACCTTCTCCCCGCCCTCCGCGCGCGCGCCCACGCCTTCCCCGCCCTCGGCGTTCCCCTCCTTCGTCGCGTCGCCCTTCGTCGCGTCGCCCTTCGTCGCCTCGGTGTTGTTTTGGGCCGCCGACGCGTCCGCGGGGGCCGGGTGGAGCGCCGCGGGGTGGTAGTCCGTATCGTAGCCCTCGCCCTGCTAGACACCGCATCAGTACCCATGATCACGCGAGGACGAACGCAATAAGAGGGGGATGTTCAAACGCGGACGTTGGCCCACCTCCTGCTCGGGCGTCTCGACGATGCCGGGCCTCCGCCCGATGTCGACGCCCTCCCCATCCGTGTAGCCCGAGTCCACGCCGACACCGACGCCCCGCCACTGCGCGTCCGGCGCGCCCAGCGGGTGCACGCGGGGCTTCAAGTTGACCTCGCGGAGGTTCATCTGTGTCTCCTTGCCCCCCTCCTGCTCCTGCTCCTCCGGATCCGGATCCCCTCGCTGATCCTTCGAGGGCGCGTCCACGTCCGCACCGTACGCGCAAGCAGACCCACCACTCACCTTCTTCTGCGCCGCCTCGCGCTGCTCCGGCTTCTGCGTGCCCCTCGAGCGTTCCCTCGCCTCGCGCTCCGCCTGGTCCATCTCCGCCAGCTTATCGCCCTTCCCGCCCTCCGCCGTCGTCGATCCCGTTGCACCGCGCTCGTCAGGAAGGACCGCAACGCCCTCCTCGCCGCCCGCGCCCACAAGCGCGCCCACGCCGCCCGCAGCGTCCCGCCCCGCGCGCCGCCCGCCCAGCCCGCGGCTCTCGTTGCCCGCCTCCTCGCCGGGGCGCGGCACGCTCGGGTGCGCGCTGTAGTCGCGCGGGACGGCGCCCGTCGCGGCCGACGTCGCGGCGGTCGAGCCCGCGGGCCCGCCGCTCTCCGCGGGGAGCACCGCGACGTCCGGTTCGCGCTGGAGCCCCGGCAGCGCGCCCGCGCCGTCCTGGTGCGTGTACGGCGCCTGGCCCGTGGCCTCCTGCGAGGGGAGCGAGTCGCGGAGGGTCACGGAGGTGTCTTGCGGGTGCGAGTGCGGTGTGCCGGAGGGCGCGAGCGCGGTGAAGGCCGTCGTCGCGGGGACTGTGGACCCTGCGAGAGGCGAGATGGCGGAGCTTTGTTGGGAGGCGGGGGAGAGGACGTCGGGGGGTGCGGTGGAGGGGTAGGTGTTCGTTGGGTAGATCGCTGAGACGAGGATGAGGTGAACATCGAGGATTCTGTGCGCATATAGACGAAGGACTTACCGGAATCGCCCTTGATGCTGCGCTCGTCGGGAAGCTTCGTTACGGCTGTTTCCCGGACGCTACCTGGGAGGGCACCAGCGCCTCCGACGTGCTCCTGCGGGAGTGCACCGGTAGTCTCGGTGCTCGGTAACGAGGCCTCGTGGGGTTGGTCTGCAGCGGATGCGCGCACAGTCGAGCCGCCAACGACGGCCGCGTTTGCTGTTCATTCACAAGTTAGACAGTGTTCCCCATCGGAATGACGTCATACAACGTACACAAGTAGGATGACGCTGTCTGCGTCGCCTGAGACGCAGCGGCGGCAGCGCGCTGAGCCGCCTGAGCCGCAGTCTCCTGCGCTACAGGCAGATACTGCTGCGCGGTGGTGGTGACGGTGTTCACGGCGTTCTTCGCGGCCTCAGTGATGCCCTGAGTATTGATGGCACCGCGAGTGTCGCTGGGGTAGGCTCCAGGGATTTCGAGCCCGGGAGTAGTGACCGAGCTCGTCGTCCCCACTACGCCGGGTGGGGTGAACGAGTTCGCGGCGGGGGCGGGGTCGTCGCGGGCGAAGGCAGCGGTGGTGGTGGACTGTGCCCACTCGTGGGCGGGGGTGCCGGTTTCGGCGTTGAGAGTCGGAGGAAGTCCAGACATGTTGTGATTGTTCGTGAAGGTCGTCAGAAAGTACTAGGTATGAGAGTGCGGAGGAGAAGTGAGCGCGGCTGGAGGCGTATTTGAGTGGTCGCGGGTGCGGGGCAGGCGAGGAGCGGACTGACGCACCTGTCGCCACCGCGCGTCGGAGCCCCAGCTGCGCGCTCCATGATGCCAGTTCGTCATTTGCCTTTCCGAGCACACGCGCCACGGCAATATCCAGTCAGCTGCCAAACGACGGTACGACGACTCGAACCACGTACGCTCCTTGGACGCTGCCACCACGAATGCAAGTTACCAGCGACGTCTGGACTGGACTAGTGTGTACGTTAGAAGGACCGTGGCGGTGAGTAGCACTGTGGCGTCGATACGAGTCTGATGTCATGAGGTGTAAGTAGTCGACGTCATTGTCTCAACTGATGACCACTTAGTATAGCGAATATATGTCGGGCCATTGAAACTACACGTATGCGCTCGGAGTGACAATGACTTACAGCACGGCGAGTGGGTTGCGAAGAAGTGACGATTGCCCGACAAATTTGTCCTTGACGCGTCGGTACGGGTCACGTGAATGCATACGAGGCGCCGCGGCGTTGTTCAACTTGTTCATGAATCTGATCATGGCATTGACACCGACCGCAACTCATATGTAATTCATTGTCAACGATTCAGCTTTCAGACAGCCTGGGCACAGTACATAGATATCCTGCAAGGCAATTGATTGCACGCGCGTTATGGCTGCGTTCCGTACACCCGCCGCACGCACTCAGAGTCATGGGTCGCTACAACACCCGTGGGCCGTGGCAGTGACGGACTCCGACTGTCGAACTCCTCTCGTCAAATTCGCTCACGATAAGTACTTCGATGGTACTGGACTTGCCGCAGCTCGACGATGACGTTCGGCTCTGGTGAGCGCCTTCATGGAAGGTGCGTACATACGGTTTTGTGGCGTAAAGGGACTTCTAATATCGAACGTCTCCTCAACCTGAAACAAATACAGCCTCCACGAAGTTCAGTAGAAGGCGCCCAATCTCTGCTCTGCGTTGAATCACTATATCGAAGAAGCTCAGAACAGGACAAGGGCATGCCCTTCTCGCTACCCTCGCAGGCCTAGTACACCATGAGTCTCATTGTTCGCTCGCCTGTACAGGTATGGCTACTAAGCAGGGCAGAGATCGGTCACCCATGTCTTGTGGAAAATGGAATCGTTCGACTCTAGGCAACGACATGAGAACCTCATGTTGCCTGGGGCCTGGGCGGCTCGTTTCGTGGACAAGCAGCACTGTCTCGTGGTCGCGAATGTACACAAAATGGTTTAGTACCTCCCGTTGGCGCATCAGGATCACGGCGAGGCAAGTTGGATGCCGGCATATGTCATTGTCGGAAGCGCGAGGATATGTGGGTAGATCTCCCGACCCGCTCTTATATCGATAGGCCACAGATGGGGACGCGCACCCTCATCCCTCGACAACATCCCACTCGTCTTGAGTCGACCTACGAAAGGCTCTGTCAACATACATCATATCCAAGCCCGAGAAAATCATGCCGAGTCCCAATAGTAAGCCTCATCCTCGACTTACTTCAATCCAAGGAGTCTCCCACTGACGATCTGTCTTCGCAGGACGCATATGGAAGCCGCGGGCGATGCCCAGCACCCTCTACACCGGCTCGCGTTCCTACATCAACATGATGCACATAACGCTCGCCGAATTCGACAACTTCCGAGTGAGCCATGGCACCTGACCCGTCTCGGTACCTGCGCTCCTGACGAACGTCTGCGCATTCGTCAGGCCATAGTGCACCGCTCGATCAGGAAGTACCTGGACCTGTCGAAGACGTTCATGGCGCAGGATGCGCGTCATCTAGAGCGACATTACACGGAGGTACGTCCGTGAACTGTCGCGCCAGTCACTCAGCCCACAGCGCTCCCTGAGCCAGGTCGCACGGAAATGGAAGGCGGCAGAGAAGTACGAGGACGCGTGGCCTGTCCGTGCATACACCGCGTATCGGGTATCTGAATACAGGAAGCAGCAGGCGGCGAAGCAACGGCAGGATGATGACGATGAAAACGAGCAACCAGGGGTATGTAGTACCTCCACTCTGGTTTTGCGGAAGACTTGACGGCTGATGTCAATTGCCAGGCCGGGAACACGCAAGACAGAGACTACCGACCCCCGCGGCATGAAGCGGCGACACGCGCTCACAAGCCCAGAAAGCTCGCCCAGCTGCCTGAATCTTCGTCCCCCGAGCCGAGCGACGAAGAAGAGGCTGTCCAAAAAGTCGATCCTCGGGTACGTCCGCCGCCCCAACACCCTGACCATGTACTCAACCTCCGTCGTCAGAGTCAGAGCGCGATACGAACGCCTCCCAGACCCACGCCTTCCGCCAAAAAGCCGATCCTCGGACTCACCCAGCCCCCAACGCCCGTACTTTCTGAGCCTCAGCCGCAGCCCCGCCGACTCGGAAGCGTGTCCCGCGCGCCGACGCACAGGCCCGCGCCACCGCCGCACAGTCAACAGGCGCCCAACCAGCCTCAGCCCCGCCGAAGCGTGTCCCGCGCGCCGACACACAGGCCCGCGCTACCGCCGCCGCACGGTCAACAGGCGCGGAACAACGACGGGTTCGCCCCTGTCCTGCGCTTCCTGCGCTCGCTGACTCCGTCGCTCGAGCACCTCGCCGTGCAGCTCAGGGCGGCGGGCATCAAGGACGCGGAGCGGCTGCGCATCGTCGCGTCGTGGGAGAAGCGGCGGAAGAAGTGGCTCGTGGACAAGCTCCGGATGAGCCCGTTCGAGGAGGAGGTTCTGAGGATCGGGCTGGACGAGGTGCGGCGTGGGGTGAGGATTATGTGAGGGTGGGCGGTGTGCGAGCGAGCTTAGTTTGGTGAGCCGGGACAATATATTATATGACTGTTAGTGGTTGTCCCCTCTGAAACTATATCGATTCGATTGTGTAGTGTCCGATCGCCTGAATGTACGTCGCTGTGTACCCGCCGGTGAGCAAGCCCTGTTACTTATTAGGCTGCCTGGATGTGCGCACTTGGCTCTGAGATGACACGGTGAGTCTGATTTCACTCAAATCGATCACTGAAGGGCAAAGAGGCCCACACAGGTCGCGTGTCGCATGGTCGCGACATGTCTCGACGCGTCCGACGCGCGACGACGCTGCGCGCCCCGGACTGAAAGAATCTGCCATACTATGCACAGTAGCGTGGCCATCAACTCGTCTCACTGCGAGTCGAGTCGAGTGTCTTGGCATTGCTTGCTGCACACAGGTCGGTCCTCCGTCGCGAGCGCGCGATATGTGAACTACGCATCCATTGTGGTTGAAGGACCACTCGAGAGGCTCGGGTAGTGGAGAACACTGTATAAGTACAGTGTCTTCGGATGTGGCCCGCTTCGGGGATGCGACGCATCTCACCGAGGACCAACTCGGATGCCCGCCTCGGTCATTCAGAAGTTGTACTGGCAAGTCGACCGGAACGTTCAATTCTCATTCATGCTCGCGCTTTGTGGCCCCGTGCAAAGCCCACATCGTACTTCAAGCGTCCATGCAGTCACAGGGTAGTAGTAACCCCACACAGCGTTGGTGACCGCGAAACTTCGTCCCAGTAAAGGACTGTCCTAGTGAAACCGGAACCATGTACTTTATAGTCAACGAATATACCACCATAACTATGATACATGCACCTCCACGCACAGTCGACGCAGTCCATCACTGGCCGCACCAATATATACACTGGTTATAGCGACCTGATAGCCACCATGGTTGCGAGACCAAGCTTCGTTCCATACCGGACGTGTACGAATCCCGGACCCGTGACCTGGGATAGTTTGTAAGCGCCCGCGTGGTACCACATCGCAGGACAATCCTGTTTGCCACCATCCTTGTCACTGCTTCGCTCGCTATCAACGTTCAACATCCGCACCATAAGCCGCGATTAACGCACCTCCCATACGCTACTACCTCCGACGACCATAGTCACTCTACAACGGCTATCGACGTCCGAGATGAGCACATCAAACCAAACACGCCCGACAAGCGGGGGCGAAGACAAAGGCCCCGACGCGCCACTGGAAATCTGGGACTCACCGAGGAGCTCTGGAATGTATCGATGTGACGACATTCTCACAGGTGTGGTGCGCCTGAGAACAGAACATGAAACGGCAGCGATGCCACCCCAGGTCAGTGGATGGAGCCATGTAACCGTTGCACGATCTGTTCTCACCTGTTGTTGTCCAGTCGAAAATGACCGAGGAAGACATCTTCGGGACACGTCTACGCACAGTCCAGGACGCGCTCTCTATGGTGTCAGATGAGCGACCTACGCCTCTGGAGGTACTCAACGAAATGGGCAAGCTTGAGCTTCAATTCCCCGAGAAGATCGTCGCCATGGAGGTCGATCTTGAGAAGATGGTGCTCGCGATGGAGGTGAGCCGTCAGGGAGTTGCTCCATCGTAAGACACTGACTGAGGGCATGCCACGGCAGATATTTGACAGCATGGACGCAATCTCGACGCTGCGCGCACACTACCGTGCAGACTCCGGTGGTACAGCGAGTACGATGAGTCTAGAAAGCATCCCAGGATGGGATAGCCAACAGCCGACCGTGCGACTGGTCAAACGGTCTGGTCACCCGAGTGCGTCCCCAACGTCGGCATCGGAAGCCAGTGGGTCCTCGCTGTGAATTATCGACAGCCTCATTGAGCGGGACAGCGTACGGCGTAGGGTATGTCTTCGTGAGCACGTCTGTCATGTAGTAGGCACTGACGGCGACACCCTGAGTAGTGTGGAGCATCCGCTGAGAGCGGTGTGCATTGGGAGGAGAGAGGCAGGAGTGAGGGATAATGCAAGCACTGTTTAGATCATATATTGAAAGGAGAGCGCGGGTGTGACATGGACGACGTACAATGCTGTATTATCAGGGAGTTACTGCCGCATTCTTTGTTGCTATGCCACGGGCTCTTCGAATCGAGCGTGAGCGTGTCGCTACCAGTAGGTCCAGGAAGCCTCTCAATACTTCATACACATGCATAAAATTACCCATTATCGCGGTGCAAGAAGAGATTTCTCGACGCACATTTGACGCATTTTCCCAATCTTTCCGCTGCCACAGACGCATTCAATGCACGTGACCAGTAAACCGGATTTAAGCGCCCACACGCTACCACGCGAACCGTGTTGAAGCGACATTCTGCTCTTCTACACGCACAATCGTCCTCTCATCGTCCATCATACTGCAGAAAGTAGAATCACAGCACCTTTTCTGCGTCGGTAACAGCTCTGCAGTACTTCGGATCCACTGCTCGCGTCCTGCATCGCACCATTATCGCTGTCCTTGTCTAGTCGCCGATTCGTTTCGAGTGAGCCTTGCCCTAGTATCTTCGCGTCATTGCTGATCATACGATCGCACAACGCTGCTAGGATGATCGCAAGTAACGGACTATACTTTGCAAGCCCCGAGCAAAACATCTGGGACGTCAACCTGCCGAACAACTGGGCCCTGCGGCAGCCCGACTACCCATCGACGTATCAGGGCCAGGCTCCTTACAGCGAGTACGCAGACTGGAGATTCAACAATGAAACGGCAGCAATTCCACGCCAGGTCAGTGACATGGATATAGAGCCATTACATTGTTCAATCTCACCTGGTGCCGTCAACCAGCCAACCATGCAGAAGCATGTCATCTGCAGCGGCGATCTGAAGCCTTCTGGAGGACCGTTCCCTGGTGGTGGAAATGATTGGAATGCCTATGGTCGTCCGGAGGGACATGGCGGGGTAAGCTCGTCGGGCGATGCAAGATCGTTGCATCGGTACTCACTGATGGCACGTCGATAATAGGTCAGCGCAGATGAGGGTCCCATAGTCCGGCGCGCCTGGTTCGATGTCCAGTGCGGCTGGGTCGATGACGAGATTGAGGACACGTCAACTACGCTCGATGAAGCGGAGTTCCTCCTTGAACGCACCCTACGGAGGCCTGAGGGAAGCAGGCGGCAGATCGACAGTCTCGGGGAACACTCCGGGGGCACCCAGAGTTACTCTACGATCGATACCCTCCCACCGCACTTTGACTGCTGTGCGAACGCGCGTGCGAGGGCCTGGCAGAAAGTCCTGATTGCCCTTGGTAGGCACCAGGACAAGGCGACGAGGCCGGTGACTGTTCGTCGTGGCTTCTAAGCCGCATCCACCTTGACGATGGTACGTTTCAAGTCTCTCTACACAGTATCGTCGTTGACGCATCGTCGTACATGCAGCTCTTGCGCTGGAGTTCAACGAGCCGTCGGCCAGTCTAATCACAGCCGAGAGGAATTGATAGGAATGAAGGCCTATGGAGGATGATGAAAAGGATAAATCGTCAGCGTAGTATGATGGATGTCGCTGTAACATATGAAATTCTCACCGTATACTTTTTCCCTTCTACCAATCATTCACGGGGGACACTACGGTCGCCCGCGACTAGCCCACAGCACAAAGGGCGTGTATAGCATCCCCTCTTTTGGCCCGCGCGATGAGCAGAGTCACGTCCGAGCTGCACACTCCAATTCTGAGGGAGAGCACTGATGTGATTCATTCCATACGCTCCGCGTCCGACTATGAGAGCCACGGTTGGATATGCAGACGCGACGCGTTGTGGTCCCGTGACCCGTACAACGCGTATAGGCGCTGGCATGCCATCAAACATACCGCCCACGCGGCAAGCCCATTGTCCTCTACGCACTCCATCGACGCTCATCAGCCTACACGAACCATATAAACCATATCATCTACCTTGCGGAAGCAACAATAGTGTCTTGCAGCATCTTGTCGCGTCACACGCAGTGTATGTGCAATTCGATGATGACCATAACGTCGCCACCCCGGTAAGTGGCAACACGTCGAACGTGACCGTCATCTCGACAGGTTTTTCCGTTTCGTCGTTGACTATGGTATAGCAGCTCACCTTCGGGGATCGTCGCACGAAACGGCCTATACTTTCGGTGCCCGGAGGAGGATATATGGAGACTGGAAGCACCTAGCAACTGGGCGGTTCAGGCGACACACCTGAGAGCAGAAAATGATACGGCAGTGATGCCAGGCCAGGTCAGTGACATGGAAGTGAAGCCGTAGCATGTTCTGGTCTCACCTCTCTGCGAAGCAATTTGCTACCACGACTGGTGGCGTTGCGACAGAAGCTGTTTTGAGACGAACCTCTCATTGCGTGATGATGGGCCACTTCGTGAGTCTTCAGAGTCACCATCCCAGAGGAAATATACTCACGAATGTTACCCTGATAGCAGACCACTGGAGGCGAGGGACCCATCGTGGGCGATGGGATGGCAGATCTAGACGGTCCCTGGAACAACAAGGGGGTTAGCAAAACATCGTCAAGCATCGGAGAGGCACAATGTACGGCGAGGGGGACGGTAATAGAGTTCACAGCCGATGGCGCATGGAATGAGGACGAAATCGTCGAGACATCGACCACCGTCGACGAAGCCGAACTGGTCGGCGGGCGTTCCTTCCGAAGGGACGTGGGGAGTGGTAGACAGGCTGTCCACCAGCGCACGAGCTCTGGGAGCACTCAGAGCTCGGCGAGCCTCGAGACCCGTCCAGGAGGGGACCACCAAGTCACGAGTGGACCTAGCATGACATGGTCTCGAGTTGTCGCCACCATGGACCTCCGACACAACAGGGACTGGAACTACTGGAAGGCATGCTCATCTGGTTGGCCGACGTTCTGACACAGGTGTGTCATATCCGCGCAGCTTCCGCCATTGTCGCGCCCAACGAAAGCCGAGGCCCTGCAGTTCGGGTTGTCGGAGGCGATGAGATATGATACAATGGAATACCGATGTAGGGATTGAACGAAATGACTCACTGGAGAGGGGCTTGGTTGGCGATTATGGTTGTACTTGAAGCTCCTTTATCGTATTGTTTATTGAGATCGACCGTGACACCATGCGTGGGCATACCCATGAACCAATCTTGCAAGAGGACTTTCACGCAACGCGAAAGACAAACATATTGAAACCTGTGCAATTATCAGACCAGCCCCATTTTAATAAGCTCCCGTTTCACGCCATAGGAGACCCGGATAGCCAGACGCGACGCGTCGTGATCCCGTGATCACCGCGTCGAGTGTGGCTATCGCGTAGGCGCCCACAAGTACAAGTCGAGGCGTCCCTCTTGCGTTCGTTCGTGTCGCTGCTCCCACACCGCGAACCGCGAGCAAGAGCTTGAACAGAGAAGACCTGCACTGCTTCTGCCTAAAGTGTGCGGTATCATCCTCAGAAACCTATGTCTCTCCGACGTACGTTCATTGTGGCATAGGTGCGCGACCTCGTCTGTTCGTGTTGCACTCGCTCCAGAGCTCACATTGCAACTCATCAACAGACGGTTGTGTTCATGGGTGTCCCTTCGTGTAACAACTGAATGTTGTTAGCTCTGAGGACACCGCTTGACGCGGGCGATCGAAGTGCAGTCCCTTTGTGCATCTACCGGCCATACATTTGTATGATCGATGTACGATTGTAAGTCAACGTTACAGTGATCACGGAAATGCTATTGGGCTGACCTGTACTTTGTAAGCGTATATCCATCGCACGACAATCGAATGCTGCGCGCGCAGGCTGCCGATGGGTAGGCCTGTAGTGGCAGCCAATCTGGCCACTCGGGGAGGCCGGGTTCTTGAATGTGTCAAACAACCGCAGCTACCGTGCTGCACATTTCGGTAAGCCTGCAATGCGTGGTATAGAAAGAGAGATACTGACCGGGGCATGAAGAAGCAACGATACTACGCGCGTTACCAGCCGATGACGTCGCGAGCGGCTCACTACTCGTCGAGTATGATGCGATGTAACTCAAGCAGGCGACCACTAGGTATAGAATGATGGGAGACGCTGCCATAGCTGGCGGAATAGTCGTGTGGGCGACCAGGTGGACCTAGGTAAGCTAGACGTTCTGTGAGGGCCGAATTTAACGTGGTCACTCCAACTGCGACGTCGAGGATATGGGACGCAGAATCGGGGATCTGACTTGCATTCTCCGAGAGAGCGCTTTGATCCAGGTAACGAATCAGACAATGCATATCGTTGGACACCTGGTGCACGCACATACCCCTGTCATCCCTCGCTCTCATCCGCCTTCATCCTCTCATCTCTCGGCCATCGGCTCACTTGACAAGACCGGAGGGGCAAAATTGTCCACGGATTTGGGCCCGATGTGGACGGCGTGCAATGCGAGTGACCATACGCCCAACGAGTCCGTTGCTACTCGTTCGCTGGGAGCCGGCAGCGGGGTGGGCGTCCGTGGGAGACAGGATAAAACAGGAGCGATCCAGCGCGAGCAAGTGACCTATATTTTCAGCACGAGGAAGACGAGATTTTCGAGAGCATATTCCACGCTGCTGGGCACCTCTACTTGGAGGCGACCTTGGGGGGACGAGGTCTTGCAGGCGAACGCCGTAGACGCCCGAAAAGGACGCGTGTCGCGTGACCTCGACGCGTCGAGACGCGTTGGGGGCGTGCCCCGAAAATCAAGAAATCTGCGCGCATCGATTCGAGGTCAACGCAAACTTTCGGTCGAGACCCCCGGACCCAGAAGACATACCTTACATCAATGAACTGCAGGGTAGTACACCTACCGTCAAAACCTTACGGTATGTCTCATGGACTATGAGCAATATCGCCTGCAAATGAGTCTATGCAGTCATGGGGTAGTGGTAACCTGGGTCGTTGCCATGGGCGTCCAGTTTTGTGCATACTGCATGACGTCGACCCGCCCCGAGTTCGATTCTCGGTGGCTGCACAATAACATATTTTTGGCGGCCTTTTCGTTTGGTTCACTTGTAGCTGACTCCGAACGAACCCAAACTTGCTTGCCCTCATACAAGGATGCGTATGTGTACCTAGTTACTAGGAAGTTCGGACCACATCGCGATGTATATGGAATCTGCGTCACTCCACACGCATTTCTACGCGAGACATGGTGACACATGCATATATCCTCTCCATCGCTACATTCTACCAATAATACATCCAATCAAGGATACACTTTCTATCATGCATTCTATGCTCTCTAGCAGGGCACGTCTAAGTATAGATGGGTCCCGCACAGCAGGACCATGATTGAAGTCTGCGCCTCTCAGTCGCAGAACGTGATGGCGAGGTTGACCTAGACATCACAATGCAGTCGATCAGAGGCAATTCGGATCGTAAAGGGTAGGAAACTCACGTCGTCGGCCGAGCAGCCAACCTGGACGACGTTGTCGTCCGAGTTGTGGAACGCGTTGTTACAGTTTTCCGAGGAACCTTTGCACGCAGGAAGCATCGTCAAGTCAGCGCTCGCTCTCGACCCGAGTATCGACACGACGAGGGAACTCACAATCGGTACCGGTGCCGTCGCACCCGTTCCAGTATCCGAAGCCACTCGTCACCGAGAACTCATGCCTACAATATCGCGAACCGAACGTCAGCTTCACTCACGGGCGCACTCGGTGAACGCCATACGCACGGAGAGATGAGCGAGATGTCGGCGCTGCTCCAGCCGTTCGTGAGTGTGACCTCGACGAGCGTGCACTGCTCGCCGTTGTCGCCGCAGCCGCCGGCCTGCAGGTACCTACACGCGCGGCATCGGCGAATGAGTATGCGGAGCCTGTGCGAATATCTCTGGGAGGACTTACGCGATGGCACCGTCGAGCGCGCCGTCGCTCGTGTAGTCCTCGCCTTGGGAGAGGACTTCGCCGCTCTGGCTCCGCAGGATGGGCTGAGCGTGTGTCAGTCCACTTGGGCTTGGCACTTAGAGCTGCATACTAACCGTGCCGTACCCACAGCTGATCGAACGGGCCGAGGTCAGCAAGGGTAGGTACAGGTGACAACGGTGTGACTCACTTGTTGTAGAAGTTGACCGTGTGGGTCTCCGCGGCGACGAGCGCGAGCGCGGAGAGAGCGGAGACGACAGCAGCGAACATCTTGGTCGACATGGCGGAACGAGCGCGTCAGAGATTGAGGAGTTGAAGGAAGGTGGCGAGTCTCGCAAAGCGATGTGCGAGAGGGTACCAGTAAGGACAGCTGGGTGAGAGGGAGAGTTAGCTGAAGGCAAGGCCGCTCGACCAGGACCGCCCGACCCCTTTATACCTCGCCCGTATTCAGTGTTCCATTATGCCGGCAGGCTAGACGCCAGTCTAGATGAAACAAGCAATAGGCTTTGGGAAAACGAGGGTGGCAGGCACGAGGCGACGACGGGTCCCGCGTGCGTGTGGCTTTCGATCGTGCTGCCTGCAAGGCTCGGGTTCGGAGGCGACTCGCCTCCCGGAACGAGCGAGGACCCTCTTCTCCGGTGGCGCATTGCGCGGCACCTTAGGCCTTAACACCACACAGATGCCATGGGTACTTTACTCGCGCCTTACGTGTCCAGAACGCGAGAACGCCGTGGTGCAGTCTGCTTGTGTGTGCGTGCGTCCCCGCACGGCGCGGATATTGAACGGAAGATTTTCCAGGACCATGGGTGGATTGGTGGAGAGCGGAGGGGCACCCTGTTCCTTGAATGAGGCGCTTTCTCAGCCGAAAATGAGTCTTTGAGTAATAACTGACATGACGCACCACAGCGCAGAGTTGAAGCGGAGGAACGAGACGGTCTGGACCGCGACGCGTCTGGCGGGTGGTCTGCGCACCATATCCGGCGCTCAAGAAGGCTGAATGTTTTCTCAGAGCTCACCTCCGTACGCCCATGGTCATTATAGCGACCAACATGCCTGTTGGGTGCTGTGATACACGTAATTAGCGTGGCTGCAGTTGCATGAGCAAGCTCAAGCTCAAGGACCGCAACGTGCGTGGTGAATAGTGCGGAAGGTGCCATGTATTACCTGGCAATAGTAGCGGAGAAGCGGTATACAAAAGTGAGTGGAGGAACGTTCTTGCATGCAGGTGCTGAGCGTCGAAGGCCGAGATGCACGAGGCTCGCGAACCGCACCCTCTTTCTCGGAGGTCTCGACAGGGCGCGGCGGCGGCCGAGCGCCGATCGATCGCCGCCGGAGCGGAGGCCAGCGAGCCGACTGCAGTCCGGATTTGGTCCGGATCCTGGCAACGCATAAGTACCTCTTGAAGTTACATTCGGTAAGTTACAGTCACAGTACAAGTTTTTCCATCACCCAGCCCACCTACAATGAGTGAGCACGCTTCAGCCGAAATAATGCTGAGCTCGCCTCCATCACCAGACTTCCCGTACGGTTTGCGACAGAAGCTAGTACTACAAGTGACAGGCTAACTGACTCCTCTCCCCTCGACCATCAACATCGACGGTCGTCGATTTTGATTCTCCCCTACGAGACGGTATCCGAGACATGGCAGCCACCGTGCAGGACATGATCATGCTCTTGGGCGACTCGATCACCCAAGGTGGATGGGAGCCGCACGGGTTCGCGCAACAACTCGCATGTAAGTGGTCCTCCGCGTCGACCGCGTCTCGCGCATTCTCTCACGAGCATGCGCGTGCAGACGTGTACAACAGGAAGCTGGACGTGATCAACCGCGGCATGTCCGGGTACAACACGGAATGGATCATCCCCGTGCTCGAACAAGTGACGCGTTCCTTCCTCCTGCTTACCTTCCGAGTCACCAAGCTCACGCCCACACGTACTAGTGCTTCGCAAAGAAGAACGAGCGCACGAACCTCCCCAACATCCGCCTGCTCACGATATGGCTCGGTGCGAATGATGCCGCCCAGCTCCCGACGCGGCAGCATGTCCCGCTCGACAAGTACCGCGCAAACCTGCGCACGCTCGTGCGCACCGTGACGTCCCCGGACTCGCCGCGCTACTCCCCCGAGGCGCGTGTGTTGCTGCTTACGCCCCCGCCCATGAGCGAGACCATGTGGGCGCGGCGCCAGGCGGCGAAGGTGCCCCCGCGCATGCTCGATCGCAAGTTCGACGTGACGAAGGCGTATGCGGAGGCGGTAAGGGAGGTCGCGGGTGAGCTTGGAGTGCATGTCGTGGATGTGTGGACGGCGATCTGGGAGAGGGCGGATGAGAAGGAGGAGCGGCTGGCGGAGTATTTGTCAGATGGGCTGCATTTGACCGAGAACGGGTACAAGGTGCGTGGAGCCTCCTTCGTACCGTGATTATGAATGAGGAGATTGACGTGAGTTCTGTAGGTCGTATTCGAGATTCTCATGAAGGCTATCACAACGCACTTCCCCGAGATGGATCCTGACAAACTGCAGCCCGTGTTCTCCTAGTAAGAACCGGCCTCTCCTGCGCGTGCCAGGCGCCGAGCTAAGCTTTATCTACAGCTTCGACCAGATAGATGACGACGATCCACGCTCGTCACTGCAGAGGCGAGATGCTTTTGGGATTTAAAGCACTTACTTACAGCGGCTTTCAGGTAGCGTGACGCTGTTGAGCAATGGTATAGATTAATAGAAGGATAGATGCATGTCAGAGGTCGATCTGCATTGTATTAACGACTCGATCTCTAGTAGGACTGATCCATCGGGGACTATCAAACTCAAGCGTCGGAATGGCTCGATCAGAGTCAATGTAAACAACCGTACTTGACTATGCCACATCGCTGAGAACCCGCCCCCGCCTCGATAGTTAGAGGCGCTGTGGGTGCCTCAGCTCGCGTAGCTCTGCTACCCCAACTTGAAGTTGAAGTACCGCCAACGATGGCGGGGCTACCCTTGCTCGCTTAGAACCGCAAAAAGACGGGTGAGGGCTATGAACCACCGCGGCGTATATAGAGGTCGGGATGCCCAACTTGCGTGTGGCTAGAATGTGATAAATGGTGCAGGCCAGGGGACGGGCCACGCCGCCGCTTCAAGTTGGATTGTCGATGCACGTCGGTGCTTTCTGTAATACGTACTAGATAAACTCCAGTACTTACAGCCTTCCAGTCGGCACGGGGTTATCCTCACAAGCTTGAATGCTCGCGCATACAGCTGCAGACTATAGTAAGAGCACTTACGATACCTTCGAGCAGCCTTCTAGCATCACAAGCGTTTCAAAGCTCACACAGGAAATGGAGTTCACAACTGATCAAGTCTCGTTACTGGAATCCACGTCAAGGATACAATGGGTGCCATACAATTCCTAAACAACCCCTCCATCGGACCGCTCACCACCAGGAGTCGAGCAGCTCGCGCGGGCGCGAGGGGCCCGGCTTGGGCTTAGGCGGCTGAGGCTTCTTGTGCGGGTCCTTCTGGCGGTACTTGGGCGGGCCGTTAGGGTCCTTCTCCGAGTACTTGGGCTTCTTGCCGTTGTTCGGGTCGTGCTTGTGGTAGTTGGGTGGGTCGGTGCGCGCAAACACGCCAGCATCCTCGACCTCGCGCGCCCACATCTCCTCAAGGTCCTCCCGCGCCCAAAGCTCGTCGTCGAACTCCCGCTCCCACAGGCCGTCTACCTCCGCCAGGTCGCGCGGACGCGAGGGGCCCGGCTTGGGCTTAGGCGGCTGGGGCTTCTTGTGCGGATCCTTCTGGCGGTACTTGGGTGGGCCGTTAGGGTCCTTCTCCGAGTACTTGGGCTTCTTGCCGTTGTTCGGGTCGTGCTTGTGGTAGTTGGGCGGGTCGGTGCGCGTGAACAGCGCATCCTCGAGCGCCGCAAGGTCGCGCGGGCGCGAGGGACCCGGCTTGGGCTTAGGCGGCTGAGGCTTCTTGTGCGGATCCTTCTGACGGTACTTGGGTGGGCCGTTGGGGTCCTTCTCCGAGTACTTGGGCTTCTTGCCGTTGTTCGGGTCGTGCTTGTGGTAGTTGGGAGGATCGGTCCGCGCACTGAGCACGTCCGCGACCGCCCGGGCGAGAAGGCTCGTCGCCTCGTCGAAGTCGGAGCGAGCGACGAGGTCAGCGACCTCAGCGTCGAAGGCACGGGCCTCGAAGCTGCCAGTCCTACGAAAACAAGGTCAGACCCGGGTTGAGCGAGCACCATACGGAAAGGCACGTACGAGTCGGAAGCGACTGGCGCGGCGAACGCGAGCGGCGTCATCGACGCGACAGCGCAAAGCAAAGAGACGGCTGTTCCGAAGCGCATGATGTATGGCTGTTATCTGCAGTGATGGACGGCGTGGGGCGTAAAGAACGAGGTCGAAGAGTCGTAAAATAAAACAAACAAGGCTGCAGAGCGAAGCGATCAATGAACGAGGTAAGAAATACGAGGATCGGCGAATACTCACCAGCCAGTACCCGTTTGTGAAGTTGAGCCCGAGAAAGAGAAGTGAGCTGGGGAACCAGAGCAGCGAAGGGGGCCCTTTTTATCCTTATTCCCAGCGCCTTCTACGCGCGCCCGCCAGCCCATGGTGGCCTATGGTGGCCTATGGTGGCCGCTTGGCGACGTCCCAAGCACGCAGGCTGCAGTGCAGCGCATGGCCAACTCGAGCGAGCCTCTGAACCGCTGTCGTAAAGCTGTCAAACAGCTGTCAAAGGAGAGGAGCATCAGCGCAAAAACAGGCCACCCGCATCTGAAAAGTCGACGAATTGCAAATATCCGTCGGGAATGATCGATCTTAAGGGTGCGGGCGGCTCGGCGTTCTATTGGACCGGGTTACGAGGGCTCTCGAGGCGGCGGGATTGATGGCAATCGTAATATTCTGAAAATGCGAGTGTAATTATCCGCGGTCGGCTTGCGGCCGGCTTGTGGCTAACCGTGGAAATATTCATGTACGAGATAATCGCCCAATTAGTCAGTCAATTACATCGCACTCGTCACCGCACACTCGTTATGATTGGATCCAAATCCCCGAGATATTCGTACACAATGCATCACATCGAACCTTCTTGTCTCAATTTCTCGACCCAAACCAAATCAGTGCTCAAGCGTCTTCATCCACAAGCCCTTGCCCCCACCCACTGAGTCAAATTACGATTATTTAGTGCAATCAGTATGTGTAAAGTCCAATTTGAAGGTCACACATACCTGCCATACCGAACAATATTGAGACCCAGGCGTTCGAAACGCGAATTGTGCTCATCGGAAGCCTTGAGATCCCGAATGAACGCCATGAGAGTCTGACTCCGTGGGCGGTATGCTTCCCGAGTAAAGTCCCGGCTCTTGCGACTACCTAGGCCTTCGAACTCCTCCAGACTGGCAATCGCTGCAGTGCCAGCAAGAGCAATCAATGCATCTGGGGTGCCGTTGCTAAAGAGATGTCGGTGGGTGGAATACAGTCCACCAGGGCGCTGAAAGACGACTGAATCGAGAATATGTTGGACGAGGTTGTCCTTCTCGAAAGCCCCAATTACTGTGCCACCCTTGAATGTATATTCAGTAAATGTTGAGCTATATCAGTGAATTTCGCACCTGTGTGTCCATGATATGCAGGAGCTCTGTTTCCTTCACAGAAGATGACAGGAGCTTGCCTACAAAATGTGCCCGGTCATCGCGGAGTTGCTTCGCAACATCGTCCAGTTGTGCAGTGTCAATCGCATAGGTATCCTCGCTCGCATCGAAGTCGATATTGTAATGTCGTAGGCCAGGAACGAGGACGGGGAGAAGTGTGATTGCAGCTTGTTTGAACTGGCCGCGTAAAGTTGCAATGACTTCTTTACCCTACCAAAAGATGTGATATGAGGTCAGCCACCATTAATAAACAATGATGACTCACCGCTTTGATCAGTTTCGAGTTATTCCATGCAGAAAACCGTTTCTTGTCAGGTCCTATAGTTGCTTTGTCCAGCTCTTGCGCATGCAGCTGAGCAAGCACAGCAGATATCTTGTTGCTGACCTGCGTAGAGTCTGGGAATGGAATAGTGAGTGCTATGTACTCCTCGAGCAGACGCTTCGCAGCCTGCGAGTATGCCAGATGGCAAGCCTTTATGTCCTCTGAACTAAGGTCCTGCAACATCGGCTGGGCTGGTGCTGCTTGAAGACTCTGCATCAAGCCACTATACATGGCCTCCCACTCAGCCGGAGGACCATGTGAGCCTCCATGAAACAGTGAGTACTGGTTAACAAACATAGAGTGAACTGTCAAAATAAAGACTTACTTGTTGATGGTACACGGGTAGGCCGTGACCGCTCCCGATGCGTCAGCACGATATTTGAACTGAGCGGTCTTGTCTGCACAACACGCGGTGCCCCTCCTAGAAGTTCTGGCGGGATAGGACGAAAGGGGCGCAGTGACGATGATGACGACTGACGGCTGCGCATACCTGGAATGCCGCTGACGTTTCCAGACATAGTGGAAGGAGCTGGATAGGGCTGCGCCATGATACTAGTACTCGGCGGGCCGCTGCCCGCAGAAGCTCTGAGCGGGTAACGCTCTGGGCCAATGTTTGACAGGCCCACAGTCGTAAAACCCTCAGGCTGATCAGGACGCACTGTCACAGATCCAGGCACCGGGTAGGGAATACTATACGGCCCGCCGGGATGCGGGGCGTCTTGAACTTGAAAGGACGTGCCAGTGGACGCTTGAGAACTTCCCGAGGCCTGCTGAGCCTCAAATACACCGGTCTGCACAGACTGGATCCCACCCCCTGTAGTAACAGATCCGATCAAATATAATGAGACCTACAGCATGGATGTACGTACCGTAGACCTGCACTGAAGAGGACTGTCCATCACCGATGTAGTACTGACTAGCGCTGGCACCAGCTCCTGGATCCATCTCGTGTGTGTAGTATGACGGCATACTGGTCTGGTAAGACTCAGATGCAAGCGGATTGTACGACTCAGGCTGCTGATTGAACACCTGAGCGGAGTCCTGAGTCTCGGGCTCCGGGAAAGCGTAGTGATGGCCATCTTCAGTGTAATCCTAGGATAGACGTCATGTAGTGACCATCTGCATTACCAAATCACTTGTAGAACGTACCTCGTGTTGTGTCCAATCGCTGTGAGTCACGAATGCCGCTGATACAGACGGTTGTTCTGACCTGATGTCGATCTGCGAGCCTTGTGGCATTGCAGACGGATTGAGGTCTGCGGCACGATATTCGCGCACATTCTAGCAGTCAACGATCAGTACGATCTCACCTTGCGCTGTCTCATTGAACGCACCTTTGGCTGTGCGGGCCTTACCGCAGCCCTTCCTCGACCAAGGTTCTGTGAGCCGGCCTGATTTCCTTGCCCGCGGTGGCTCACTATGAAGACATGAAGACACTTATGTGTCTCGTTGAGCAAGGCACTCAGGCGGATGACTTACTGATTGGGCTGGCCGGGTTAATCGTTGGTCGTTGTCGCAGTTAGAGCAGCACACACGATCTCAAATTAACCCGATGGGAACAATGTGACCTATATCTGGTGTACGAAGTACTAATACATGCTCGAAATTCATACAACAATCGACGCGATAAAAAGGAGCAATGGACGAAGAGGCAGGTATCGGTAGATAGTAAAGATACAGACTTGGAGACATACTCAGGCTGCAGCCACCGATCTCGGGACTCTGGAACATGTCCAAGTCAGTCCAGGTTCTCAGGCAAGCTACATCTGACGTTCAGTTCAAGCTGTGAACAGAGTACTAGTTGATGACGTACCTTACACCTTGACAGCCCTGGTCATTGAGACGGCGGTGTCCGAGCTCGCTAGGCCGAAGCTCTCGCCGCTCGTATTGCCGATGCCCTCGTCAGCGTTGTTCTCGTCGCCATCGTCCTCCTCGTCACTGTCGTCCTCATCACCATCTTCCTCGTCATCCTCCTCGTCCTCGTTGCTATCATCGCCGCCATCCGACGAGTTGCGACCTTCGTCCGGCGAGCTTCCCTCGCTGTGCAAGAATGTATCGATGCTGATTTCGCGATGCTGCGCGTGGGACTCGAGCTGGGAGATGTGGGTATCGACAAGTTGGATGCAGTGATCATGGGACTGGATGAGCGACCGAAGCAAGAGGATCTGTTGTTCCTTCTCGCTGATCTGCACTTCCATAGTGTCCCGCTCCTTGACGCGGGCCTTGCGCGACATCCGCTTTGCCTTGATCATGTGGGCAAGTGCATCGTCGGGGAGATCAGCGAGTATGCTTGGTTGGATGGGCTCAGCCTTAAGCATAGCGGTCAGAAAAATCCCGACGTCACAGTATTGAACGTCCATACCTGAGGTGCTAGAGCCAAAGGAAAGTTCCGAGCAACGCCTTCTAAGATACTTGTCGAGCCAATTGTGTCGACATACTTCGCCGTGGAAGGTGTCGTGGGGTAGGGACTGTACCGGATCCTGGCAATCTTCTGGTCATGCACGAGCCTTCGGTAGTCATCCGCACGCCGGCGGTGGTGACGGTCCATATTCGGACTGCCAGGGGACTCTGTCCTGTAAGATGGCAGACCCGGCTTAGCCTGTTGCTGAGCTTGGACTTGCTGTGAGGACGCCATATGAGAGAAATGAGGATGGGCGAAGGATGGCGGCAAGAGGCTGTTCTCGTTCACGGAGCCTGAGAGTCGGTCACTGCCTGCAGATCACGTGACAGATCATGTCGTTTACTCTCTAAGTCCTGTTTACCTCGAGTCCTTGACGCGATCAAGACGATGGATGCTAGTCTGCACAAAAATCCCTACAGCAACGGATTTGACATTCTATGTGCAGACTGCGGGTCTCATTTTCCTTCCTATGACTCTCTCGTTACGCACATCAGCTTCACACATCCATCTTCGGCAACACAGGAACTAGCATGCAAGTCTGGCGAAGGCGACACAAGTGATCGACACCCCCAATGTGCCCACCGGTTTGAGGGCGAGACACTCCCAACGGTGTTTGATGCTTTTGAGAATGATAAACACGCTCAGAAACGTCGCACCACTGGCAATCCAGCCTATCCTTTTCTTGACCTTGTGGAGGTCGAATTGGCGCGGTGGTTGAACGAACGACTAACGTCCACGCAAATTGATGAATTCCTGAAGTTGAAATGGGTATGCCATATTGCTACTCCATACAAGGTCATATTTTCTAACATCGATCCAGGTTCGCCGCCATCCGCCGTCGTTTCAAACGTGCCATACCCTACGTTCCTGGATTGAGGAGCTCCCGTCCGGCCCAGTATGGCGTACAGCTGAGATTACTCTGGAGGGATACAACCCAGCCCCACGCAATGGCAATCCACTGCTAATATACCGAGATGGGCTCGAATGTCTGGAGTATCTGTACGGACTCCCAATATTCGCTCCGTTCTGCGCTCCCGAACCATACGGCATACACACGGCCTATGGCCAGCGAGTCATAACCGATTTCAATACCGCTTGTCAGGCATGGAATTTGCAGGTACGCCACCGCCGCGGCTAGCACAGCCAGTCAACTCACTGACAAGATTGACGGTCGGGACATTCGACCATCTCCTATAGAACAAGCTTCCACGCGGTGCGACAGTCCTTCCCATACAATTTGGGGGCGACAAGATTGAAGTGACGAACGGTACTGGCGACATCGAGATGCACCCCCTCCTCATGACCCTGGCAGCCATCCCTAGCGCAATGCGTTCCAAGCTCTCCAATAACGCGTGGATATGCATCGCGTACCTACCCGTGGCGAAGTTCGATGTGCATCGGGACTACAACAGTGTCCTCGCCAATCGTGTGCTCCATGAGGCCATGGACATCATCACGCGCTCGCTCAAGGACGCTATGAGGGACGGGAAGGAAATGGCTGACGGGTACGGCAACGTACGTTTGGTCTTTCCCCCAATTGTGGCATTTTCGGGCGATCTTCCCGAGCAGCTATCCATGGCTGCAGTTGCTGCCTCCGTCTCCCCCGTCACTCTCGCCACCACGGCATCCTTTGGTGAAGGTCACCAGCATCCACCACGGACAAAAGCGCACACGCTCGACCTCATCCATCAAGTTTCGCAGAAGGTCGATCCCTGGAAACTTCACGACTTCTTGCGTGAGTGTGGCAAGGTCGGCCTCAATGGCGTTCACAAACCTTGGTGGCGCGATTATCCCCTTACTGACCCCCATTTCCTGTGTCAACCCGACATCCTTCACTCGGACTTCAAGTTCTTCTGGGATCACGTCCACAAGGCATGCCAGATCCACGTCGGTTCCCAAGAACTTGATCGCCGCTTCAATGCGCGACACAAGCGGATTGGGTATGCTGGTCTGCGACGAGTCTCTGAGGTGAAGCAGATGACGGGACGTATGTACCGAGAGATCATGCGGACAACCGTTGTCGCTATTGCAGGCGCTGTCTCACCTGGATTCATGCTTGCAATACGATCGCTCATGGAGTTCCTCCTCATAGCTCAAAGTCCCCGACATACACCCACTTCCCTGGCGCGAATGACGACTCTCCTACGCACCTTTCACGAGAACAAACACGCGATCATGGATGCTGGTGGGCGCGGTTCGTTAGATCACTGGCACATCCCGAAACTCGAGCTGTTATCCACCTGGGTACCTGCTATCCTCTCGCATGGTGCACTCCCCCAGTGGAGCTGTGACGCGATTGAGCACCTCATCCGTACCGAAGCCAAGAAACCGTTTGCGATGTTTACGAATCATCGACGGAGCGATTTCGGGACGCAGTGTGCACGTCACCTAGACCGCCTGGAGAAGCTACGTCTATTCGAACTCTACTCCCTTTTCACAACGCATGGCATAGACCTCCATAACCTACACCCTACTAGCGAAGCTGGTATGAACGACGTCGAATTCAATGATGCGTCGGCTGTTGGTGCAGCGCGTACCTGGGTAGCTAACTCGTTGCCTGGCGCTGAGCGCAGCATTCGCGGTCCACGACTATCGCGCAATCTCTTCGCCACAGGGTCCCTCAGACCAGAAGACTCGAACGTTGCTTTTCATCTCACCAAGAAGCCGACCGCAACATACAGAGTCGACGAGATAGCACGGATTTATCAGCTTCCTGACTTCCACGCCGCTCTCGTTGACTACGTCCGAGGCTTCGACCTGGACAGCCGATGCGGAGACGACCATTGGTCGAACCATTCCCATGGAGCAGGATTTGATGAAGTGCGTGTGTGGGACACATACAGGATCCAGGTGTTGTCCATTTATGACGACGCCGTTCGCCTGGATCCCGAGACACTGCGTGCAGTACCACCAAACGAGACGTACCGTTACGGGATGTGTGACGCAGTCCTCATTGATAGCGTGAAGGCGAATGGAGAATTGCGGGAGGATGGTGAGTAAATCATTTTTATTGTTCGTACAATTGCAAATTGAATCTCTAGGATCCCTCATTGCTCAAGTCCGCGTCGTGTTCGAACCGGTTCCTCGCAAAGGCAACATCAAGTTACCTCCACACCTGCAGGTGCCACTAGTGTACATTCAAGATTTCGCCTTCAACGACCTAAACGAACACGGGCATCCCTGCAAGGCTGCTGGGATTGAGATGTACAAGCTGCGACGACGACTGTATGCAGATGCAGGAGGGGTTGCCCAGCGCGCAGGCGAGGTCATCCCGTTGACAAATGTAGTGCGGCCTGTCGATATTGCACCTGCTCATGGCCAGATTATGCTCGATACAGTCACGGAATTCACTGCACTCGAGGTGCCGACCCACTTCTGGCTGAATGATCTATGGGACAAGGAACTGTACGAGACATTTGTATCAGGTTACGAATAGCTAGTGCACCGGAATAGATATCCATACATGTCAGTGTAGCAGTGCGGTCTGTACTAGTTGCAATCCAAATTACCTCGCGCTGTACACCGCAGAATTGATAATGTAGAAGCTGAGGCATGGACCAGCCTCGCAGTGTAAGTCTGTAATCCGAGTGAAGTGACTGGGTGTCACGGAGCGTGACAAGTGAGTCTGTGGCCTTAGCCCACATCCTGCTCTCAGCTCCAGCGATTAAGCAATAAAATTTGGAGGGTACGTTCTTTGCATATAAAACAGACATTCTGCGTACAGAAACATCTTCGGCAATGCGCTCTCCTGCGAGGAGTTGAATAATATTGCTGCAGTTGCGCGCCACCGCCCGGCGCTTACGCGCCCGCGCGAGGGCGTGACTGCTACTCACCTGTCAGTGGCGACCTCCATCTCTAGCTCATCCACAACTCACATCTCACTGCCTTGCACTCTTGGCTCGGGTCTGCGGGACACTGCATCACGTACTTGTTCTGCAACAGTGCGTGAACGTTGTCTGCGCGGCACGTCAATGTAGTTACCGCAGACCTTCCACTGGGCCGACTCCACCTCCAGACGACAAGCATGAGGGCTACATGCTACCAAAAGGATTACATCACGGAGCAAGCCAAGATTGACAAAAAGCGGAAAGAGGGTGAACTTTACCAACGGTACGAGGGGGCCAAACCAAAGGATGATCACGACTGACATCGACTAGTGGGAGACTGCACAGACAAAGCACAGTACGTTCAAGGCAGGTGAAAGTTTCCCCGATGTGCTCGTACCAAGAAGAGCTATTGCAAGCGATCAAGGAGCACCAGGTCCTTATTGTCGTCGCCAAAACTGGGTTAGGTAAGACCACACAGCTCCCTCAGTATTTCCACCGCATACGGCCTGAAAGTCGATCGCCTGACTCGGAGGAGACGGGGACGAAGGTAGGATACAAGGTCGGGCACTCTGCCCGGTTCGAAGACTGCACGAGTAATGATACGGTGCTCGACGGCATGCCACTGCGCGAGTTCTTGATGGAGCCGTATCTGGCGGGTTACTCTGTGCTGATCATTGACGAGTCGCAAGAGTGCATGCTGAGTACGGACATCCTCTTTGCTCTTGTCAAGGTGCGTCGTATGACTCGTTGCTCACGTTTCGCAGGTGCTGACGAAGAACGCAATACATATTGCTAGGTTTAGGCTAGAACTACGCTTGTTGATATCAAGCGCGACTATGGATGCTGCGAAGTTCAGCGGGTACTTCGACAAAGCACCTGTTTTCGATGGTGTGTGTTCCATTGATCCTTTCCGTCAGGTCGTGACTAAGGTCTGCCTTCAGTACCCGGCCGACGATATACAGTCGACATTCACTACACCCCGCAGCCAGAGGCGAATTCCAGAGGCGAATTACTTGCACGCAGCCATCACGACAGTCTTCCAGATCCACACTACACAACCTCGCGGCGACATCCTCGTATTATTCACCAGACAGGACGAGATCGAGGCTGCACAGGAGAACTTGCAGGAAACTTCTCGCGCTCTAGGGAACAAGATCGCTGAGCTCATCGTCTGCCCCATCTACGCGAACCTGCTGAGCGACATGCAGGCCAACATCTTCGAGCCGACGCCCGAGGGTGCACGCAAGGTCGTGCTTGCGACGAACATCGCCGAGACGTCCATCACGATCGACGGCGTCGTGTTCGTCATCGACCCAGGCTTCGTCAAGAAATCGTACAACCCACGCACGGGCATGTCCTCACTCGTCGTCGTGCCCTGTTCGTGCGCGTCGGCCAACCAGCGCGCGGGTCGTGCGGGGTGAGTAGGGCCTGGGAAGGCGTTCCGGCTGTACACTAAGTGGGCGTACACGAACGAGCTGGTAGAGAATACCGTGCCAGAGTTTCAGCAGACGTACCTGGGAACAATCACTCCTACGGACATTCCTGTATCGCACTACTACCCACCGCCCTCTTTCCAGGCAGCGATAACGTATTCAGGTTCTCGTGTCCACTTACACCCTCCAGTCATCTTCGCCTGATGCCTCCTCGTCTCATGCAACGTCTCGTTAAACTGATTATCTCACATTGTACCTCTATACGAAGTTGCCTGGTAATACAATTTGACAATGAATGTTTTCTCAACGGCCAGTAATCAGTCGCGCCTCAGCTGTTTAGCGCGGGAGCCACATTCTCGCGGGGCGGGTTTCCTGGTATCGATAAGTTTGTGATTTTCGTGACTGTTAATTCCTGCCATGTCTGTAACTGTAGCCATTATCCCTGCGAGCGTCGCAGATCTGTGATCTGACCTTTCGCTTTCCTAGAAAGGTTAGCTGCCTATGATCGGCGCGCTGTCAAGAGCCCATAAGCGGGGCGCACGAAAGTTGCTGACAACAGTCTGCAGACAGCTGATAGCGTTTCAAAAATCTGGATGCCATGACGTTCAAGTTGACACTGACATTTGCCATCAGAGCTCTGTCGATCGATGTCGTACTGATTTGATGCACGCGCATGGAACGGGGACATCGTGGTGTCGTGCAGTGCGCTTGTATTAGTAAGTATGTGCCTGCGTCCTATGTACCTTGGGAGACCACCGTGACTGAGGCTGAAGTCCCGCGCAGCGGACTGGGTGACAAGGCGTATCCAGCGCGGTGGGCCGAAAGTAGAGGAGAAGGAGGAGAAGGGGGGGTCCATTTAGCCACGCAGCACGCGCGATCGACGCGGTGTCATAGCTTGCGATGACAGCGGAAGGCGTCCGGGTTGGACGCCGGACCGTGACGGAGATGAGACGCATCACGTCAAGCAGCGCGCTAGCGTGCCCCAAGCGTGCCCTCAACAGCTGAATGACACTGCATCCAGACTTAAGTGCAGTGCAGATTGAGTGCAGATATATATGTTGTTCAATGAATCAGGACGTATCCTGAGATACCACCTACATAATCGTGCATCTAAGTGAGTATGTTGCGGCCATATAGTCATACCCGGATACGTGTTCTAAGTACCAAGGGGCCTTGAGGAAGAGCTCGAGGAAAAAGGAAGGAAAGTGAAACTTTAACACGATGCAGCCACCGAGAATCGAACTCGGGGCGGGTCGAGTCACTGTGTGGCAACGACCCAGGTTACCACTACCCCATGACTGCATAGACCCTTCTGTACGCGGTATTGCTCAATGTTCTTGAAAGAGACGCGTAAATTTGACGGTAATTGTACTACCCTGCTCTTCATCGATGGATGGTTTGTGTGTCTTCTGGGTCCGGGGGTCTCGACCGAACGTTTAGGTTGTCCTCGAATCGACGCGGGCAAATTTTCGGGGCGCGCCACCGACGCGTCTTGGTCACGCGACACGCGTCCTTTTCGGGCGTCTACGGCCTTCGCTTGCAGACCTCATTCCCCCCAAGGTCGCCTCCAAGTAGAGGTGCCCAGCAGCGTGGAGTCTACTCTCGGAATTTCCTGAACTTGTCTTCCTCGCACTGAAAATATTGGTCACTTGCTCGCGCTGAATTTTCCGCTCCTGTTTTGTCCAGTTTCCCGCGGACGCCCACCCCGCCGCCGGTTCCCAGCGAACGAGTAGCAACAGACTCGTTGGGCGTATGGTCGCTTGTAGTGCACGCCGTCCACATCGGGCCCTGATACGTTGGCTATTTTGCCTCTCCAGTCTTGTCAAGTAACCCGATGGCCGAGAGATGAGAGGATGAAGGCGGATGCGAGCGAGGGATGACAGGGGTACGTGCGTGCACCAGGCGTCCAACAATATGCATTACCTGATCTGTTGCTTGGACTGCAGTGTTCTCTCGGAGAACGAGAGACAGGTTTCCAGTTTCTGCGTCCCGTGGTCTCGACGCTGCAGTTCGAGTTATCGCGTCACATCGGGCCCTTGCAGACCGTCTTGCTTACCGAGGTCCGCCTAGTTGTCTACACGGCCATCCAGCAGGCCATGGTAGCGTCGTCCCCATGACTTCTTGAAGTGGTCGCCGACTTGCATCATGATTAACGAGTAGGCAACCGCTCGCGACATCATTCAACGCGCACAGTATCGCTGCTTCCTTATGCCCCGGTTAGTCTCTGTTTCTATACCACGCATTGTAGGCTTACCGAGATGTGCAGTGCAGTAGCTGCAGTTGCTTGGCACAATCAACGATTCGGCCTCCCGAGTGGCTAGTTTGATCGCCAACGGAGAGCGGCCTACCCATTGGCCGTTTATATGCGCAGAGTTCGCTTCTCGTGCGATAGAGCTACGTGTTCTGAGTACAGGTCAGCTCAATAGCATTTCCGTGACCACTGCAGCGCTGACTTACAATCGCACGTTGATCCTCCGACTGTATGGCTTGCAGATGCGCGACGAGATTACACTTACGGTCAGTGAAACGTCACAAAGAGACAACCATCAAAAAACCGTCTGTTGATGAGTTGTGAAGTGAGCTCTGGAGCGAGGGCAACACGAACGCGAGGTCGCGCACCTACGCCACAATGAACGTACGTCGGAATGCTGCACTAGGTATAGGCTTCTGAGGGTGTAAACTCACTTTTAGGAAGAGGTAGCGCAGAGCCTTTCAAAACAATCCCTTGCTGGCGGTTCGCGATATGGAAGCAGCGACATGAACGGACGCAAATGGAACGCATCGACTTGTACTTGTGGGCGTCTACGCGATAGCCACGCTCGACGCGGTGATCACGGGATCACGACGCGTCGCGCCTGCCTGCGCCCGCCTCATCTTGTCGAGTGGGACGCATAGTCAGTATTATCTGATTGGCTCTCTCGGTCAACTGAAGGAAATGATGCTCTAGGCTTTCAGTGCACGGTTTTCGAGCGCAGCTACCGTGTAGCTTTGACGTCCGGCCGGCGTTACATGGTTCTGGTCGTGTGCTTCCGAGCGGGAATCAAGAACAGCGCGATACTAGCTCCCTATATTACAGCATTACACAATTCTACAAACGACATCTCGGTTTATTATGGTTGATTCTTCTTTCGCTTCGGTTTTGCATTGTGCCACGCGCCGCGCCGGAGACGACCCTGCTTCCCTGTTATGGTCGGCAACGGAGACTAGCTTCCCTGCGAAGCAGGCCGCCGGGTCTTGTACCAGAGCAAGTCAAATCGCAAACGTACGTGAGTTTGAATTGATTTGCAGGTATGGTAACTGACGTACCTTTTAGAAGTGCAGTGGTTACAGAGGTACTCGCAGGTCTAGCAGACGCTGGCTTCCACCCTCTGTTGTGACGTTTATCGAGAGTCGCGAGAAGTCGGTCCATGTCTTCGTACGCGGACGGGCTACATCTTCGCTCCCTTCCTGGACAATCTCGAGGCTCGCGGTACTCTCGGTACTCTCAGAGTCTGTGTGTCGGTGCGGCGCAGGACGCCCAGATCCCACAGCCCTCTGGAATGCACGCCCATATACATAATCCGCTCCGCCGACACCGGCCGACGTCTGGAGGATCTCGTCCTCGATCGACACGTACGTGGCCCTCCGTGGGGAGCTTTCCATGGAAGTCTCCGGTTTATTGACCGTCGTTCCACGCGCAACTGCCCGATAATCCTTTAATCGGCCCTGTGGCCGCGGATGCAATTTTGCATCCGCTACGCCCCTATCGAAATACCGCTAGTGAGTATTGTTTCCCTCGCATTTGGTCCTAGGATTTATCTCTCGATTACTCACCCCCCATAGGCTAATCCCGTCTCCGTATGTGGTTGCTTATGAATGAAAGGTGAGATCAGGTCGTGTTATGGCTCAATGTCTGTGTCACTCACATGGCACGGAATATTCGCCGAAATATTGTCTGGTCTCAGGTACATTGCCTGAATAAAAACGCTTCCGCTGGTCGTCATGCAAGAGCGCGTTGGTGGTACGTGCCAATTGCTTGGTGTATCTGTTCTCCAGATGTTCTGGTCCATACGCCGACAGTACAGTCCATTCCGTGCCACCATGGAAGATGACGTGCTGTGATGGCATGATCAGCGACAAAGCGGCGACGGCAGCCTAGAGGATAGTCGTCGCACCAGAGTGGCCACCTTCCAGTCATTGTCCCTAACCGCGACTTCACTGCGTATGGAGTCACAGGACGCTGGCAAAGACCGATGTTTCTTGGGAGAAAGTGCGTGGGACGTGTTTCCCTGGCTTGGTACAGGGTGATGAGCGTGGATGGTGGGCGCAGGGGATGAGAACGTTTGTCGCGAGCGTGGATGGGTTGGTGCCGCACCAGCGCTTACACGCGCAGAACTGGTCACGGGATCACGACGCGTCTGCACATCCGGCCTGCATTACCCAGCGATGGGTGTATGGCGTATACAATGGGATATATATTCAGATCCGCTAAAGTGTGCATAGTGACTTGCTGATTTTAGAACGTAGACACGACTCTGCTCGTCGCACAGCCCAGATAATGCACTGCTAACTGTCGTCTTTGCCTCGAGGGCTGGTTGCCCATGGACGAACAGTGAGCATGATGTTACGTGCGTCAGATATTGGATTCAAGGGAAAACATGGTGAGAGGCTTCTATACTACATTCATGTACATTATTCGAGTACCGTGCTGACCATCCTTCCACCTCATAGGCTCGCATTTGCTCCACCTGTTACACGACTGACTGCCAGTGCTGATTGACTCGAGCACGAGGATTGGTAGCAGCTGCACAGATAGAATGCATCAGCCAGGATGTTATAGGGATTCGTAAACTGAAGACGTGCCGTCGTCAAGATTCCAGCCACCGCCTAAAACCCACGACGAATAGTCGCCGGCCTGGTCGCCTTGTCCTGGTGCCTACCAAGGGCAATCAGGACTTTCTTCCAGGCCCTCGCGCGCGCGTTTGCACAACAGTCAAAGTGCGGTGGGAGGGTATCGATCGTATAGTAGCTCTGGGTGCCCCCGGAGCTCTCCAAGAGACTGTCGATCTGCCGCCTGCTTCCCTCAGGCCTCCGTAGGGTGCGTTCAAGGAGGAACTCCGCTTCATCGAGCGTAGTCGACGTGTCCTCAATCTCGTCATCGACCCAGCCGCACTGGACATCGAACCAGGCGCGCCGGGCTATGGGACCCCCATCTGCGCTGACCTATTATCGATGTGCCATCAGTAAGTACCGATGCAACGATCTTGCATCGCCCGACGAGCTTACCCCGCTATGTCCCTCCGGACGATCATAGGCATTCCAATCATTTCCACCACCAGGGAACGGTCCTCCAGAAGGCTTAAGATCGCCGCTGCAGATGACATGCTTAGGCATGGTTGGCTGGTTGACAGCACCAGGTGAGATCGAACAACGTAATGGCTCTATATCCATGTCACTGACCTGGCGTGGAATTGCTGCCGTTAAATTGTTCGATCTCCAGTCTGCGTACTCGCTGTAAGGAGCCTGGCCCTGGTGCGTCGATGGGTAGTCAGGCTGGCGCAGGGCCCAGTTGTTCGGTAGGTTGATGTCCCAGATGTTTTGCTCTGGGCTTGCAAAGTATAGTCCGTTACTTGCGATCATCCTAGCAGCGTTGTGCGATCGTATGATCAGCAATGGCGCGAAGATGCTAGAGCAAGGCTCACTCGAAACGAATCGGCGACTAGACAAGGACAGCGATAATGGTGCGATGCAGGACGCGAGCAGTGGATCCGAAGTACTGCAGAGCTGTTACCGACGCAGAAAAGGTGCTGTGATTCTACTTTCTGCAGTATGATGGACGATGAGAGGACGATTGTGCGTGTAGAAGAGCAGAATGTCGCTTCAACACGGTTCGCGTGGTAGCGTGTGGGCGCTTAAATCCGGTTTACTGGTCACGTGCATTGAATGCGTCTGTGGCAGCGGAAAGATTGGGAAAATGCGTCAAATGTGCGTCGAGAAATCTCTTCTTGCACCGCGATAATGGGTAATTTTATGCATGTGTATGAAGTATTGAGAGGCTTCCTGGACCTACTGGTAGCGACACGCTCACGCTCGATTCGAAGAGCCCGTGGCATAGCAACAAAGAATGCGGCAGTAACTCCCTGATAATACAGCATTGTACGTCGTCCATGTCACACCCGCGCTCTCCTTCTAATCTATGATCTAAACAGTGCTTGCATTATCCCTCACTCCCGCCTCTCTCCTCCCAATGCACACCGCTCTCAGCGGATACTCAGGATGTCGCCGTCAGTGCCTACTACATGACAGACGTGCTCACGAAGACATACCCTACGCCGTACGCTGTCCCGCTCAATGAGGCTGTCGATAATTCACAGCGAGGACCCGCTGGCTTCCGATGCCGACGTTGGGGACGCACTCGGGTGACCAGACCGTTTGACCAGTCGCACGGTCGGCTGTTGGCTATCCCATCCTGGGATGCTTTCTAGACTCGTCGTACTCGCTGTACCACCGGAGTCTGCGCGGTAGTGTGCGGGAAGCTTTGAAAAGGTGTCCTTGCCGTCGAACGTCTGTCGTGTTAGGCTCTCGGTCAACTTCTTGCTACGCGACAACCCGCTGGTAGCTCACCTCCAATGCGAATACCATCCGGTCGAAATTTACCTCCATCATGACGATCTGCTCGGGAACTTCAAGCTCGAGCTTGCCCATCTCATCAAGGGCCTCCAGTGGCGAAGGCCGGTCGTCTGATACGACAGCAAGTGCGTCCTGGATTGCACGTAGGCGTGTCCCAAAGATGTCTTCTTCGGTCCCGGTCGACTGGATTGCAATGGGTGAGAACAGATCGTGTAACGGTGACATGGCTGCATCCACTGACCTGGGGTGGCGTTGCTGCCGTTACTGTTTCTGTTCTCAGGTGTACCACACCCGTGAGAAGGTCATCGCACTTGTAGCTCCTCGGTAGGCTCCAGATTCCCAGTGGCGCGTTCGGGTCTTTGTCTTCGCCCCCGTTCGTCGGGCATGTTTGATTTGACGTGCTCATCTCGGACATGGTTAGACGTTCAACTGCGACTACGGTCGTCGGAGTTAGTACCGTATGTGAGGTACATTGCTTGCTGCTGGTTCCTTAAGTTGATAGTACGCGAAGTAGTGAGAAGGATGGAATTGATCGATTAGGCGGCCCAGAGCCACAGCAGGCGATACGGTACGAGCGTCTACGCGTCTACGCGTCCGTTGTGCCGATCACGGGACCAAGACGCGTCTGAGGCGCGGCACTCCTTACTCAAGTTGTAAGTAGACGATCTCCATGGCGTGACAGGAGCGCAGGGTATTATTTCTACATCTCATGACCTGTTTTGGCAGGATTGGTCTCGACGCGCTTTGATTCAGATATCAATATTATAATAGGTCATACTTGGTACATAGTATGCACTCGTAGCCTAAAGTAAGGTTGAATTCGAATAAAATGGAGCGATCCGAGCCCTAAGCATTCTGAGATGTCCGTTTACTGTGCCTAAAGAGAATCGGGTCTCAAAGAGGATACTTTTGCGGGATAGTACTCTAACAGAGCGCGTGAGGCTGATATAGAATAAGCGCCCAATGTAACATGCGCTCATGGCCCTTAAGCGCCAGCCGGCAGTCGCGTCCAACCGCGACATATTCCAGCCTTGTTCTCGCCTCTCAGCTCACATATCTCTGCGAGCGGACCGATTCCTGGAAAGCCGTTCCAGTAACGCTTGGATACCGCCAACAAAGTGAGCACATCTCTGACACAGATGGCGGTGTTCGCTCAGCCTTCAGCGCTCACAGATCGCGACTTTCACGGTGACCACGTACGTTCATCCCTGTCCATCCTCCCTACCTCTTGCCTCAAATCACAATCATCAGACAGAACGGTCACAATCTGGATGTTTCACGGCAGCTTAAGCATACGGCCGTGAACGGGCACAATGCTCCCAACACCGCTGATCCCGCTTCCTCCTGAATCAGCAACCCAGCCACCAGTCGCTGCCTCGGAGTCGTCGCAGGACGACCTCTTTGCAACCCTCTTCTCACCGCCAACCCCTCATGCGTCGCCCGCTCCCCCCATCAAGGAGAATGATATGTCTGTGCCGCGCCCTGCCGCTCATTCCCGCACACAATCGACAAGCTCTGATTTTGGCGCCTTCGTCTCCGTATCCGCAACGGATGCCCCGCTAGGCTCGGGAGGGTCTAAAGACGGCTTCTCACCCATCGACGGTATGAACGCCGACTTCTTCGATCGCTTCGCGGAGGAGGCCAGGACGGCGAACGCGAAGAGCAAGCACGATGTGTTGGACGAGCTGCTGAAGGCGGAGAATGACCCATTCTACTTCCTGATGTCGTCAGGCAACGGTGAGTATGCCAACAACACGAGTCAGCATGCGACTCCCGTACCCTCTCCGTTACCCACCGGGCGATCCACGCCGCAGCCGCCGTCCGAAGTCTCCATCCTGGATCTCCCACCTGATGCGCCAATACCCGTTACCACGCCATCACCTTCCACTCCCATAAATTTCAACGACGGTGCACGTCAATCTCGTTCACCACATCGAAATGACAAACGATCTGAGTTGCACCTTTCGCCCCCACATCCCTCCGGCCCTATCCGGTCGCCCTCGCTGCCCCCCACACCCTCACGCCCCGCCCCTCCCGAGACACAAACGCAGCGCGCACAAGGTCAATCCTTTTTCTCCCCTCCTTCCTATGGCCCCGCGCGCTGGGTGTCCTCCTTACTTTCCAACACCGTTCGCACTGGGCGGACGCGCTCCACAGACGAAACGTCCGCCTTGAGCGGCTCCGCCTCCGCGCCGCACACGCCGGGGCACGCGGCCACGCTCCCCACGAACCTGCTCTCCGCCGTCGCGCAGTCCGCCGTGCTCGACTCGGCGATCACACACGGGACGCCCTTCGCCGCAGCGCCGTTCGTGCCCGCGAGCGGCGCGCCGGGGTTCGACGGCGACAGGAGGTGGGACAAGGGCTTCTCAAATGAATACGAGAGGAGCAGCTCGGAGCGCAAGAGCGTGCGCCTGGTCGGGCGGAAGGAGATGACGAGCCCGGTGTTGACCACTGAGCTTGCGGATATGGTGCGTGTCTTTCTGGCGTGTCGTGTGGGTGTATTTGCAACTAACACGGCTGTGTTGCGTTGGAAGCTTCGGCCGTACTTCCCCGCGCTGGCGAGGCTTCCGAGGTCGTGGAACCTCCTGTACAGCTTGGACCAGCACGGGATCTCGTTGAACACGTTGTATAGGCGGTGCGAGAACCATATGGGCGGTGCGCTCGTGGTGATGCGCGATTCGGGCGATGCGGTGTTCGGGGTTTGGATGGGCCAAGGCGTTCACCTGAGCAAGGGCGCGTACTACGGCAGCGGCGAGTCGTACGTCGATCTGTGTGTGAGTGAGCGGACGAGGGCTGACCGTTACGTCGCTAGGTTTCTCTGGAAGCTGCTGCCAGGCAAGCGACTGCGGATATACAAGTGGACGGGCAAGAACGACTACGTCGCGCTCTGCGAGCCGGAGTACCTCTCGTTCGGGGGCGGGTGCGTCCCACTTCGATCTTCATTTACCTACGCGCTGACGTTGGCGCTTGTTTTGATGCTGCAGGGACGGCCACTACGGCTTGTACCTCGACGACACGCTGAACGACGGTTCGTCCGCGCGATGTCTGACGTTCGAGAACGAGCCTCTTTGTTCGGAGGGCCCGAGGCAGGGGGAGAACGTCCGGTTCGAATGCGTCGGGCTGGAGGTGTGGGGCGTGGGATGAACACGGCGGGAAGGGTGTGGCATGAGGCCTGGAGAGGCGTGCCGAAACGCATGGTGGACTGTAGCTTGGATGTCGTGCACTACTGATTGTTGTCCCGCATATACACTGCAACGTTTCTAGACTGTATTTGCATACCACGCATGTTTGTACTGTATTTATCGATACGAACGCCTACGCTTTGTTCTGTTCGTCGAATCATGGACTTGAATGGACCGTTGGCATGCCACTGATCCTGTAGCCTCGTCTTAGGCGGACAATCGGAGCATTAAGCACGCTGATTGCATTCTTCTACGGTACTAGTACTACATAGACGAGCGAGGATCGACCTATACGGGCCATGCTGTCTGTATGTCTGTCCATCCTTTGTCTGCTTTCGTTCTGCTGTGCACGTCGCTGTGCTGGGCCACTCAACGTGGTCAAAGCGAGTATGCTCCGCTTTGGCCTTGTGGCCGGACACGCCGTACGTATATGAACCGCACGTCTCGCGACTCTCATCTCTACCCATACCCTGTAACTCTGCTTCTATCTGTGCGAACACCTCTTTCAACCGACCTCAACTATGGGAGCGCAAAGTACGCAAACGACGAAACACCTGGACAAGAGCGGACAGGCAAGCTCGTCGACTACAGGGTACCCACGGTACAGAGGCCCGGCACAAGTCGCCTGCATGCCGATGCCACAAGGCACGTCAACCGCCAATCCCCAGATGCGTCATCGGGAAGTCGAGAAACGGGGCGCGAAAGGAGAAACGACCATGAAAATGGATCCGGTCAGTACCCTCAACACGAGCCATTTCTGATGTGCCACTCACCCAAGTCCTGAATGTGACGCTAGTACGCCTACGGAGAACAGACACGCTACCTTGCTGTCCGGGATGCACTCGCGCTCATAAAGTCGGATTCGGATCCAGTGTCGATGTACGAGGTCCAGATGGAGAGGAGGAAGCTGGAGCGGGAGGTAAGGGCAGAAAGAGATCTGGACGCAGATCGACTTTAGCCAGTGCCCCGCTGCTGACCGCCGTGACCGGTGGCAGTCTCGTTCAGTAGCACTGGGTCAAGGACCTGCTGCTTCTGTGATGGTCTATGCATTATGAATATCTGTATGATTATGTCACAATTTTCACCGCTCGAAAGCTTTGGAAAACCTGGGAGTGCGAGCGAGAGAACATGCTGCTGTGAAACTGGGTAATCAATATCACAGCGGGAGAGCTATCCCAATTCTCTTGCTCGCCACACCACCTGTAGTGGGAAAGCTTCTCTGTGTGCAACGCTGCATCCGGTGTAACACCGTATTGTGGTCTGTGACCACCTCAGAGGATACAATACACGCTGACGACGCGCCTTGATCCCGTGATAGACATCCTCACCAAAAGTGCCGCGCACTGTGGCTCCAGGCTCGGGCGTTCAAACGTTCACCGGCACCTCCGTAAGTCTTGTCTCTTCTCCAAACGCCCTCGCACTGTCGACACATATTTTGAAGCAACAGACTTGCGAAGAGCTTTTCAAGCTACCTACCTCGTACCTCTAGCTTGTACCTCCAGCGATTTTCTACTACGGCTTCAAGTATTCGACGCAGTGACACGTTCAACTTGTTGCTACCGGCATCACGACGCCACTTGCCATTAAGTAAGTCTCCGCACGGTTGTCTCACTAGTATCAGTGCGTCACTAACCATGTTTAACAGCATGGCACTCACGATACTGGCGGTGAACGGGTCATTCTTGCAACGTCCAGAAGACAACATTTGGAGGGTCGGGCTCCCGAGCAATTGGCCTACAGCCACACGGAACACCAAAGTTGCGACGCACCGACGCTCGTTCTACCAGCCAACGCACTGGAGCAGAAACCATTACGGCCGTCTGTCATTCCAAGTGAGGTCAGTGATATGGACTCATAGCCAGGATGTAATCTCACCTTAGCTCGTGGAGTAGTCGAATACAGAACCCGCATCGACCACCGCCAATATTGGGGCTATGACTCCACTTCGAATGCGCCTGCCACAATAGCAAGATGTCTCTGTCTCGTATGCTACGCACGTCGCTCACCAGTGCCTTGATCAGCCCGTAGGTCAATGTTACCCGAGAAGACCTGGGTGGGTGTCATATCCACCTCGATCGACGCCATGCCGGAGACCGGAAGTGTCCGTAGCGGTCGTACGGATAGTCGGCCCACCATCGATGGTAGGTTGCAGCCCAGGCGCCTTCTCGATGCATGACTTCTCAAGACTGGAATATGTATATCTTGCAGTCTTCTCCGATGACGAAGGCGACGACGACTGAGGAATGCGGTTAGGATACGTATATGCGACTTGTGCCGAACACAAAGACGACAATGAGAATTAGATAATAATCGCACCACTATGAGTCTGTCCAGTAGTATTGAACCAGGCCTTCCTGTTCGATCGACTCCCAGAAAGCGAGAATTGTTTGCATGAGCGCGCTGTTCCAGTCCAGTGAGATCTTGAATGGGGTAGGTCTCGTGACTGGTTCCACAGGCGGTAGACGCGCATACAAGTACCGCGCGCAGGCACCTGGCACCCTGCCCTCGTCAACATAATCTTCTTCTTTGTGCCGTCGTACTGCACTCATCTGAGTGCAGACAGAGATCCGCAGTGTATCACTGCCGTTACGCGTACATAGCTTCCTGAAACACCGCATCGTTCCGTCGCATCACACTGCGCAATTGTGGCCATTGTTCGACTCGTCTACACCCTGCCACTTGTGGTCGAGTAAGTCCTCGACGCGCCTTTCCTTGTGCATTGGCTTCACCGCTGATCCACGGCATCATAGTATGGCTCGCGACAGGCTGTCAATGAATGGAACACACCTTCACGGGCCCAAGGACGATATCTGGCGATTTGACCTACCCAGTAGCAGGCCCCCACCACAGCTCTTCAATGCAGTACCGCATGAGAGCTTTTCCAACCAGGCTTCTTTCCTGAAACCAAATCAAATAACGGCATCGACGCCACCTCAGGTCAGTGACAGAGCATAACACCGTTATGTGATTAGGTCTCACCGTTGCAAACTGTAGCACGCGACCGAAGGCATCGTGCATAGCCGACCCAATGCCACCCGTATCACCATCACCAATCCCCAAATGGACAATACCACTGGCAAGGCGATGAGCATGGTAAGCGTGGACAGTACCGAGGCCCACATATCACGAGAATGAACGTTCACTAACGGTACGCTTATAGCAACCGACTACAGGCGAAGCGACCATAACCCTTGTGGACGACGCCTCTGAAGCCTACGTCTGGATTAAACCCGAGATAATTCAGAACTCAACTACAATTGACGAAGGGAAACCTGCGTTCCGAGGCACCCTTCGTAGGGTGACAAATGGCCTTTCGTGTGATGCGGACGAGGTCCTGGGAAAATCGGCCGCTGTCAACGGGATCAGGACTACCCTCCAGAGGGCACCAGGGGCTGGGCGACCGACAACCCACCAGCGCGTACCTTCGGGGAGCACGGAATCCTCAGCGAGTCTTGAGAGTCTCCACAAGGGCGATGTCCAAACCGGGGACGTGCGCGCCAGGCCCAGGACCTGGGCAAATGTCGTGGCCACCCTGGATCAACGTCATGGCGGGAAGTGGAAGCGACCGCCTGTCTGGGGTGAGCCGAAGCTGAACACCACCGGATGGCCGGTGTACTAGCGGTGGTACGTCGCAATCAGCATGTTCACCCGCATGTGAACCTAACGGACGCGGTCTTCGTGCGACTCGCAGATACCATGTGCTCGAGTCGGACGAGCCGTGACGAAGCGGTGTTATGGGTTGTCGGGCGCGGCTGAGCGTCCACAATGCAAGGACGGTTTAAGATCCATTCTGGGAAGTGCAGGACACTCAGCGTTCCATCAAAGCGATGTATGATATTGTTTGGAGGGCCCTTGATATATATTCCTGCTAAGTACGACGCGTGAGCGCGAACGTGATATTGCACGTCTATATTGTCGCACCTACTCGATGTATTGACAAACCGGCTTCAGTACAGCTCAGGGCAATAGGACTGCAGCCATAGCATCATTTTGGTATGCTGCGATTTGCAGAGTTGCGTGTTGTACGATTTTGTGCAATGGTGAGCGCAAGGGCATCCCAGCGCCTGCCATGTCACGTCAAGGCGGGCCAAGCGATTGAACAGCAATCGCCCGGCTCGCCTCTCAGAAGACTCGATGATGCGCTGCCGTATCTGCGCGTCCAAACAATAGCACGCCCGGAGCGAGCAGATCCTAATTGTCCCTAGGGATGGCCGTATCGCCACGGCCGCGAACCGGGGTGCGTGGACGCGACGCGCGGTGATCCCGTGACCGTTCAACGGTGCGTAGACGCGCACTAGAACAAGGCCCCCGAGTGGCAGTCCTTCCTGTCGTCAATCCTTGGTCGCGAAGGGTGTTTGAAGGTACGTTTCGCGCACGATACATACTATTTAAGCTGACAAAGGCGTCATCAACTCAAATCCAGCGACATGAGGTTGTAGGAACGGTGATAGGTGTCTTGCAGTTGGTATGGCGTCCTTTTACTCTAGCTCGTCTTGTCGTGCTGATCGTTTACTGCTCATGCTATCAGGCCCAATAACGACTTCGCGGAGACAGTGCATCGCTAACTTACGGGATGTACATGGTTGTGCGAGCATTCCTGTGGAGAGCTTGTCTCTCTCGGGCAGTTCAATAGCGGAAGATTGCTGGTTACCTGTAAGGCACAAGTTCAGCTATGCACCAATGTAGAGAGGATGTCGCGAGCGACTTCCACGTATCGGTTCGTCCTGTGGATGCTCCTGATCCACCGTGTCTGAGGGATTGGAGAAACTCACCCGGACGCGCTATATATAGCTCGTGTGGATGTGCTGCAGGTTTGTATCATCGAACGGAAGGTACTATCCGCTTGAACCATGATGTAAAACCGCAGAACCACGCTTTTTACAGGCAACGGTGCAACGCTGCCCGTGCAAGTAGAGGAGTGTTTTGGGGATGGCGATGACCTATCTTGATGAGTAAGTTCGCCAGCCCTGACATGCGTTCACGCGACGATCTGACCTATGGTGTTAGGATCAACAGGGTTATGACTTTGATGACAATGAAGATATTGCTCATGAGGCCACTCACCTCAGGCGATCCGTCAAAAATCAACGCACATGCGACACAGGCACTGACTCTCGGCTTTCAGTGTCCCGCCACCGATCTGCTCCCTCCGACATAGGCCCGTACGAAGCGAAGAGCTAGTCGGCTATTGAGAGTAAGGAGTAGCCGCAACACAGAGCCAACGACACTTGAAGCTTGAAGCCATGGATTGACCAGTGATGTGGTACCATAACGCGTGTATCGGATGAATCCAGTTTGTGTTGATTTCCCTTCGGATTCTCAGCTGACTGGTTCCCGAGGTACCATGCCCTCTCTCGCGCGATCATTTTTACATGGTCCAGCGAAGGGCAACCGCCCCTGTGCAACCTGTCGGTAGCGGGTACAACCGGAGGAGCGCCATGGAGAGCACAGGGCAAGAGCGCCGGTCTACTTGGCCGAGTTACTCAAGTCGACAAGAGGGGGAAAGATAGCGCAAGAGAGATGCAGGAGAGCATCGTGCGTGGCTGCAAGTGGTCCCCTTGCCTCGAGTCCGTCACTCGCCAGGGCTACGGCGGCGCACTATGACTGTTTTGCTAGCGGAGCGGGAATAGGCGCCTCAAGCGAACGCGGGTCCCGTGATTGTGACGCGTCAAGACGCATCGCGTCTCTACCGAGTCTACGGCTGGGTCTTTGAGCTACCATCGCTACGGAAGTGTGTGGGGTTTCATAATCTGATGTAGCTAACACTGTATATACTCCTTTGGCCGTAACAGACGCTATACAGGAAAGGTACGTTTACGCTGAGCCGTCGTACTGGGCGAGCACTTGTTTGATACGGCTCTGGAAGCTCTCAGCTCGACCGCACGCATAAGAAGACTTGGCATATCGTAGCCATCCTTCATCAACGCCACGGCTGGAATTTGGAAGCCACCGAGATTAGGTATGGATGGTCATGGCATCAACGATGGTATGTTGCAGCCTGCGCACCTTCTCGCCGCATGCTGACGAAATATGTTGTGACTTTGTATATTTTCCGCTTATCGCGTGAGCAAAGTTCGTGTGACGATGCCGACGGAGATCAAGCAAAATGCGTCCAGAGTTGCGGACTGAAAAATGTGTCACCATGAGCTAGTACTACGTAACGGCAATGATGACGAGAATGGAAAGGGAACCGCACCACTTGTCGAATGCATCAAGTTGTATTATGCCAATGACTTCTGTACGTTTGACCTCGAGGAGCGCAAACTTGTCGTGAAAGCGCATTGTCTCAGCGATATGTTGCAGTATACTACACCAAAGTGGCAGAGCCCAGATCGATCTTCTGGAAGCATCCTCGGGTTCTTGACGGGACCCCGTGACCGATCCAACGGACGTGTAGGCGCCCGTTCCGCACTGCAATCCTGCGTTCGTCTCTGCGACCTTTGTCTTCCCTGTCAACGCCATCGCTACATCGCCACTCATCTGAGCGGGAAGTGCTTGAGACACTCATCTGAATCACCTCTCAAAACATCCACGAGGCTACGCAGCCTCCCATTGCGTGTCAAGTAGTGCGATCTTCGCTCCTGTTGTTGCATCGTTAGTTACATCGCCGTACGTTTCTACGCGATTGTCCTCCTACCGGCGTGTCGTTGCTGACTATACCATCATAGTATGATGTTCAGCATCTTGACAGCAAACGGATCATATGTGCGCAGCCCAGTGGAGGATATATGGAATCCATGGGTAGCAAGCAATTGGAGTGCGACACAAGGCCCAAGGGCGACTACCTACCAGCGCGATTTCAATGAGGCGATCGACCTGAAACCCGAACACATTACGGCAACAATTCCATGCCAGGTCAGTGGCACAGACATAGAGCCATAATATGATTGGGTCTCACCTTTCTCTTGCACATAGTCCACCCTTGAAGACATCTTCTACACCCGCTCATTCGCTGTTTGTGATGCTCTTACGCAACCGAGCGTATGTCGTGGGCGGATCTGAAGACCGAAATGATTAAGCTGGACCGTCAAGTTCCAGCAGACACAGAGCTAGAAGGGGCTTATGACGTCGTGAAGCTGATTGGTATAGTGAGTTCAGGCAGCATCGGAGCTCGTGCATCACATTCGATAAGACTTACTGATATTTGACCCTCAGCTCGAACTCGAGGGCGAGTCCCCTTCAATGGCGCACCCAGAGGGCTCAACCACGCCGAACACCTGCGCACGAGTCGAAGGCTGCGTCAGTGAAGCAGAGGCCCTTCAAATTTGTGTGAATGACGAGTTGGTGTGGAGGGACGAGGAAATCGTGGAAACGTCCACGACTATCGAAGAACAAGAAGCCACGATCGGAGAGCTTCTACGCAGGCCAGTCATAGACACTGGACGGCAGATGGGTCATTGGCGTACAGACTCTGGGAGCACCCAGAGCTCGGCCAGCATCGAGACGGTACCGGATGAGCACTATGGAGCGGCAAGCCTTCGCGCGAGAGCCTGGGCTAACGTCGTGAGCACCCTGAATCGGAACGTAGATCGACGTAAGAAGCTGGCAACTGTCAGCAACGAAGCGTAGACAGACTACGTAACGCACCAAGGGTATGTCATAGTCTGCACGTTGTCCAGCTGTCCAGCGTTCTGACCAACTTGTCGTTGGGTACTGTGATAGACGACGAGACCGAGGAAGAGCCTGACACATCCATGGTGGCAAGTGAATGGGCATGGAACAATAGAAGGCCGAATTGGAGGGATTAATGAGGCGAAACTCCGAGTGAGCCGTTCGAACGATGCATAACGTTGTACTATACCGAGCTCGATGTCGAGAATTTATGCAAGAGCCCGATTATGATGACGAACCTGATAAACAATACGTTCAGCTTCTCCTTCAACCAAGCGAGGACTTGATTTGAAGATGCATATACAGTCCTTACGAATATCGTCCGTCGCGAGAAACAAGAAGCCAAGTACCATGTAAGCACGGCAGCCATACACAGTGAGACAGTAGACTGCGCGTCGAACGGACCTAAGACCAGAAAATGAGACGGCAACAACGCCAAGCCAGGTGAGTGACATGAACATGGAGCCGTCACACGATCTAGTCTCACCTTCAACTGAAAAGCGACCATACACGGGGACGGCGATGACCCTATGGGAGACTAACTATGGGCAACACGGTGAGTAACGGGGAGACAGGATCCAAACTTAATATACATACAATACGAGAGCAATGATACTCACCAATTATACTTCGATAGGGGTATATGCATTGCGAGGATACAACCGCGGCCACAAGGCCGCTTGAAGGGTACCGGCCACTTGCGCGTGGAACGAGGAGGAGATCGTCGAGACATCCACCGTGGTCGATAACAGGCAGACTTTCATGAAAAGCTCCACACGGAGGGACATGTACGTGTCGATCGAGGACGAGATCCTCGAGACATCGGCCAGTGTCGACGGAGCGGGTGACGTACGTGGGCATACATTCCAGAAGGCTGTGGGATCTGGGCGTCCGGCACCGCACCGACACACAGACTCTGAGAGTACCCAGAGCACCGCGAGCCTCGAGACTGTCCAGGAAGGGAGCGAAGATGTAGCCCGTCCGCGTGCGAAGACATGGTCCGACCTCGTCGCGACTATCGATAAACGTCACAGCAGAGGGTGGAAGCCAGCGTCTGCTAGACCTGCGAGTCCCTCTGTGGCCGCTACACTGGTAACGGTACGTCAGTTACCATACCCGCAAGTCAATTCAGACTCACGTACGTTTGCGATTTGACTTGGTCTGGTACAAGACCCGACGGCTAGCGAAGCAGGGTCGTCTCCGGCGCGGCGCGTGGCACAATGCAAATCAAAGCGAAAGAAGAATCGACCATGATAAACCGAGATGTCGTGTAAAGAATTGTGTAATGCTGTAATATAGGGAGCTAGTATCGGGCTGTTCTTGATTCCCGCTCGGAAGCACACGACCAGAACCATGTAATGCCGGCCGGACGTTAAAGCTACACGGTAGCTGCGCTCGGGAACCGTGCATTGAAAGCCCAGAGATCATTTCCTTCTGTGAACCGAGAGAACCAGTCAGATAATACTGACTATCCGTCCCACTCGACAAGATGAGGCCGGCGCAGGCAAGCGCGACGCGTCGTGATCCCGTGATCACCGCGCCGAGCGTGGCTATCGCGTAGGCGCCCACAAGTACAAGTCGATGCGTTCCATTTGCGTCCGTTCATGTCGTTGCTTCCACATCGCGAACCGCCAGCAAGGGATTGTTTTGAAAGGCTCTGCGCTACCTCTTCCTAAAAGTGAGTTTACACCCTCAGAAGCCTATACCTAGTGCAGCATTCCGACGTACGTTCATTGTGGCGTAGGTGCGCGACCTCGCGTTCGTGTTGCCCTCGCTCCAGAGCTCACTTCACAACTCATCAACAGACGGGTTTTTGATGGTTGTCTCTTTGTGACGTTTCACTGAACGTTGATACATTTGAGGACACCGCTTGACGGACGATCGAAGTGTGATCTCGTCGCGCATCTGCAAGCCATACAGTCGGAGGATCAACGTGCGATTGTAAGTCAGCGCTGCAGTGGTCACGGAAATGCTATTGAGCTGACCGGTACTCAGAACGCGTAGCTCTATCGCACGAGAAGCGAACTCTGCGCATATAAACGGCCAATGGGTAGGCCGCTCTCCGTTGGCGATCAAACTAGCCACTCGGGAGGCCGAATCGTTGATTGTGCCAAGCAACTGCAGCTACTGCACTGCACATCTCGGTAAGCCTACAATGCGTGGTATAGAAACAGAGACTAACCGGGGCATAAGGAAGCAGCGATACTGTGCGCGTTGAATGATGTCGCGAGCGGTTGCCTACTCGTTAATCATGATGCAAGTCGGCGACCACTTCAAGAAGTCATGGGGACGACGCTACCATGGCCTGCTGGATGGCCGTGTAGACAACTAGGCGGACCTCGGTAAGCAAGACGGTCTGCAAGGGCCCGATGTGACGCGATAACTCGAACTGCAGCGTCGAGACCACGGGACGCAGAAACTGGAAACCTGTCTCTCGTTCTCCGAGAGAACACTGCAGTCCAAGCAACAGATCAGGTAATGCATATTGTTGGACGCCTGGTGCACGCACGTACCCCTGTCATCCCTCGCTCGCATCCGCCTTCATCCTCTCATCTCTCGGCCATCGTGTTACTTGACAAGACTGGAGAGGCAAAATAGCCAACGTATCAGGGCCCGATGTGGACGGCGTGCACTACAAGCGACCATACGCCCAACGAGTCTGTTGCTACTCGTTCGCTGGGAACCGGCAGCGGGGTGGGCGTCCGCGGGAAACTGGACAAAACAGGGGCGGAAAATTCAGCGCGAGCAAGTGACCAATATTTTCAGTGCGAGGAAGACAAGTTCAGGAAATTCCGAGAGTAGACTCCACGCTGCTGGGCACCTCTACTTGAAGGCGACCTTGGGGGGAATGAGGTCTGCAAGCGAAGGCCGTAGACGCCCGAAAAGGACGCGTGTCGCGTGACTAAGACGCGTCGGTGGCGCGCCCCGAAAATCTGCCCGCGTCGATTCGAGGACAACCTAAACGTTCGGTCGAGACCCTCGGACCCACAAGACACACGAACCATCCATCGATAAAGAGCAGGGTAGTACAATTACCGTCAAAATTACGTGTCTCTTTCAAGAACATTGAGCAATACCGCGTACAGAAGGGTCTATGCAGTCATGGGGTAGTGGTAACCTGGGTCGTTGCCACACAGTGACTCGACCCGCCCCGAGTCCGTCACTCGCCAGGGCCACGGCGGCGCACTACGGTTTTGCTAGCGGAGCGGGAATAGGCGCCCCAAGCGAACGCGGGTCCCGTGAATGTGACGCGTCAAGACGCATCGCGTCTCTACGGCTGGGTCTTTGAGCTACCATCGCTACGGAAGTGTGTGGGGTTTCATAATCTGATGTAGCTAGGCCTGGATATATTTTTGCCCCTTTGGCCGTAACAGCCTACGCTATACTAGGAGAGGTACGTTTACGCTGAGCCATCGTACTGGGCGAGTACTTGTTTGATACGGCTCTGGAAGCTCTCAGCTCGACCGCATGCATAAGAGGACTTGTGATATCGTAGCCATCCTTGATCAACGCCACGGCTGGGATTTAGAGGCCACCGATATCAGGTATGGTTGGTCATGGCATCAACGATGGTACGTTGCAGCCCGCGCGCCTTCTCGCCGCGTGCTGTCGAGATGTGTTGTTACTTTGTATATTTTCCGCCTCTCGTGTGAGCAAAGTTCGTGTGACGATGCCGACGGAGATCAAGCAAAAGGCGTCCAGAATTGCGGACTGAAAAATGTGTCACCATGAGACTGCGTAACGGCAATGATGACGAGAATGAAAAGGGAACCGCACCACTTGTCGAATGTATGTAGTTGTATTATGCCAATGGTTTCTGCACGTTTGACCACGAGGAGCGCAAACTTGTCGTGAAAGCGCATTGTCTCAGCGATATGTTGCATTATACTACACCAAAGTGGCAGAGCCCAGATCGATCTTCTGGAAGCATCCTCGGGTTCTCGACCCCGTGACCGATACAACGGACGTGTAGGCGCCCGTCCCGCACTGCAATCCTGCGTTCGTCTCTGCGACCTTTGTCTTCCCTGTCAACGCCGTCGCCACATCGCCACTCGTCTGAGCGAGAAGAGCTTAAGACACTCATCTGAATCACCTCTCAAAACATTCACGAGGCTACGCAGCCTCCCATTGCGTGTCAACTTGAAGTAGTGCGATCTTCGCTCCTGTTGTTGCATCGTTAGTTACATCGCCGTATGTTTCTACGCGATTGTCCTCCCACCGGCGCGTCATTGCTGACTGTACCATCATAGTATGATGTTTACCATCTTGACAGCAAACGGATCATATGTGCGCAGCCCAGTGGAGGATATATGGAATCCATGGGTACCAAGCAACTGGAGTGTGACACAAGGCCCAAGGGCGACTACCTACCAGGGCGATTCCAATGAGGCGATCAACCTGAGAACCAATCAAAATACGGCCGTGATTCCATGCCAGGTCAGTAACACAGACATACAGCCATAGTTTGATTGGATCTCACCTTCCCAAATACCAGTCTACTCTAGAAGACGTCTTCTACACGCGCCTATTCGCCGTCTGTGATGCTCTCACATTGATGCCGAACGAGGGCTTGTCATGGACGGACTTGAAGGCAGAGTTGATGAAGCTGGACCATCAAGTCCCTGCGGATACGGCGTTGGAGGGAGCCTATGATGTTGTAAAGTTAGCTGGCATAGTGAGTTCGGGCAGCATCAAAGCCCGTGAATTACCTTCAATAACATCTACTAATCATGCGCCTACAGCTTGAGCTCGAGGGCGAGGCTACCTCCATGGCGTATCCGAAGGGGGTAGAGGCGCCAGACACTTGCGCACGGATCAAAGACTGTGTTAATGAAGCGGAGGCCATTCCGATCGCTATGAATGACGATTTCACGTGGAGGGACGACGAGATCGTGGAAACATCCACGACTATCGAAGAGGCAGAATCCGCGATCGGAGGCCCTCTACGCAGGGCAGCCGTAGACTTCGAGAGGCAGATGGGTCACCGGCGGACAGACTCTGGGAGCACCCAGAGCTCAGCCAGTATCGAGACACTACCCGATGGGTACTATGGAGCGGCAAGCCTTCGCGCGAGAGCCTGGGCCAACGTCGTGAGCACCCTGGGTCGGCGGAGGAAGCTGGTACCTGTCAGCCACGAAGCGTAGACAGGCCAAGTAACGCACCAGGGTATGTCATAGTCTGCACGTTGTCCAGCTGTCCAGCGTTCTGATCACTGATCAATTTGTCTTCGGGTACCGTGGTAGACAACGAAACCACGGAAGAGCCTGATACGTCGATGGTCGCAAGCGAATGGGCATGGAACAATGGAAGGCCGAATTGGAGGGATGAATGAGGCGAAACGAGTCCGAGTGAGCCGTTCAAACGATGCATAACGGTGTACTATACCGAGCTCGATGTCATAAATCTCTGCAAGAGCCCGATTATGATGACGAACCTGGTAAACAATACGTTCAGCTTCTCTCTACTCAAAACACACTGCGGCGCGAGCTTGTAAGGCATGCCGCAGTGACAAGTCGAGCGAGCCACAGATCTCGTGACTATAGACGCGCATATAGTACCGCGCACGGCCACTTCTCGATGCAATAACCTTACCCTTTGTGCCACCATCTGCACTCACTGAGGGGCAGAGGCACATATTGCGTCGCTACCACCACCCACACGAGACCTTTCTTGCACTTGACGACATCTTGTCGCGTCACACGCTGTGTAGCTGTTGCCGTTGTTCGACTTGTCCTCACCCAGCCACTCATGGTCAAGTTAGTCCTCGACGCGACTTTGCTTGCACAGTCGTTCCATCTCTGATATGCAGCATCATAGGAGGGCTTATTACGGATTGAAAATGAAATGGGACGCACTTCTACAAGCTCGAAGACGATATTTGGCGACTCGACCGACCCGGTAACTGGCCCACACGGCAGTACGTCAGTTCGACAAGGTACCAGGGCTATTCAATCCAGGCTAGGATCCTGAAACCAGAAGACATAACGGCAGGGGTACCGTGTCAGGTTAGTGACGCAGACATGAAGCCGTTATGCAATCTGGCCTCACCTTCTTGCAATCCAGTCGGTGACTGAAGGCACCTGCCAGCCCCAGCCCACGACCACCCACACCACTTTGATCAATACGGAGTTCGCCGGGGGCGACACTTGCACAGAAATCATGGTGAGTACAATAATATCAAAGCAAGCGCCGCCGGAAGACTCACTGATAGCGCATCAATAGCAGCCGATTGCAGGTGAAGCAGCCGCCAGCGCCGTCCCCTTCACCGACGCACTTGCCAGTCATATCTGGGACAACAACGAGATGTTTGAAAGATCAGCTCCAACAGGCGAGGCAGAGCTTGTAAAACCGGAGGCTCACCTCGAAAAGTGACGCATGGCTTCACGTCAAACACGGACGAGATCCTGGAGAAGACGACTGTCAATGAAGTAGCGTCCGTGGCTAGGAGTACCTTCCCCAGGGCCCCCGGAACTGGGCGGCCGGTGACCCATCAACGGGCGGACTCGAGGAGCACGCAGACCTCCGCAAGTGTCGAGAGCCTGCACAGGCGTGAGTTCCAAGCTGTGGACGCGTGCAGCAGGACCGTGACCTGGGCAAATGTCGTGGCTACTGTGGATCAACGGCATAGCAGGGGATGGAAGCGGCCGCCGGTCTGGGGTGAGCCGGAGGTGAACACCACCGGATGGCTGGTGTACTAGTGGTGGTACGGCGCGATCTGCACGTCTACGTGTTCACTTCTGATGAATGTGTCCTTGTGCGACTCGCAGACCCTGGCTCGGGCCCGATGAGCCGTGGCGAAGCGGTAGATTGGGTTGTTGCGCGCCGCGGTCGAGCGTCGCCCAATGCAAGGCCAGTTTGGAACCAATTACGAGCAAGGGATAGGACGTTCCGCGTGCCGCCGAAATGATGTATGATATCGTACGACTGAGGGCGCGAGCGTGTCGCAGTATCGGTTCGCTTTTCTGCAGGATGAGAGATTTTGCGATCGCATGATTTCATGGAGCGATGAGCGCGAGAACATCCCAGCACCTGCTATCTCATGCCGAGGCGGGTCAGGCGATTGAACAACATCGCCGGGCTCGCCAACACTCGACGATGCGCAGCCATGTTATACGCGCATTGAAACAACAACACGCTCACCGCAGACAAATCCCATTCGTCCCTAGGATTGGCTGATTCGCCCACGGCCACGGGCCGGGGTGCGTGGACGCGACGCGACACGCGGTGATCCCGTGACCGTTCAACAGCACGGAGGTGACGCCCACGAGAATAAGAGGTCTTTGGGTTGCGAACGGCATACGATGGTACGTATCACATACTATTGATGTTGCTGAGCTGTCAACTGTATCATCAACGCAGACTCAGCGATACAGAGCTGTTGAAACAGCGCTAGATGTCTTACAATTGGTGTGGCGTCGGTCCCCTCTAGCCCGTCTTGTCGCGTGGTTCGTCTGTTGTTGTCTTCGCGCGTTCAGGTCCTTTGTTTTGACTCCTCACAGAGACAGTGCACCGCTATCTGACGAATGTCCATCGTCATGCGACCATCTTGTCCTTTCAGGGCGTTCAAGTGCGGAAGACCGCAGGTTCCCTGCGAGCCAAGTACCGCATAGGGAGCAGATCGTGAGCGACTTACATATTCCTGGTACTGCGGTTAATATGCATTGACTTGTTGAGTTGGTGCATTAGGAGGAACTCACCCAGACGCGCTATAGCTGGTTGAGATCTGATGCAAATGCGTATGATCGCACATGTGCAATGAGCAGCTCAAGTCGTGAAGGCAGAATACAGAGCTACGCTTCAGGCAAGCAAAGGTGCGACGCCCATCGCGCAGACGGTAGACAAGGAGGAGGACATGACGATAGTCGTTTCACGTTGGTGGGTAGGTTCGGCAGCCTTGAGTTGTTGTGATGTGGCGTCCTGACCTATAGTGCTAGAATTGTCGGATCAACAACAAGGATACATTCGCGTACGGAGGTCGCTCACCTCAGCAGATTCACCAGCTGCTGGATCTGAGCCAGAGGCGTCGAAGGTGCGTACGCTCGGCCGTCAGTGCCCCGCCGCTGACCTTTGCCCTGTCGCAGTCGGTCCATACATCGGTCTTGCCTGAGGCTACACCAAGCTCGTCAACGATGAGGGTGAAGAAGAGCCGCGTCGCAGGGTCAAGGAGTCGCAGCCATAGATCGACGAACGATAGGGCACGCGTGTATCGGATGGATCCAATATATGCTTATTTACCATGGTTTTCTCAGTTGAACAGTGCTGCTCAGGGGCTCGATGGCGTCCTGCACGCAATTTTTTGCAAAGCCCAGGGAAAGGTACGTGGTCACCATCCTGTGTCATCTGTGGGCAGCGAGGCCAGCCGAAGGTGCACCATAGCGAGCGCGAGGCAAGAGTGGACTACCTAGCCGAGTCAATCCAGGCTATGCGACCATGGAGAGAAGCACAAGGGAGGTTCAGCAGTGCAATGCGCGTAGTTGCCAGTGGGCCCTTTGTCGCGACGACCTTTCTGTCATCGAGCACGAACGACGGTTTTTGCTGGCGAAGCGCGAACAAGCGCCCGAGTTGGACGCGTGTCCCGTGATTGCGACGCGTCAAGACGGCGGACGCGCCGTTCTCAGTCTTTCGAGTACGGCTACTGAATGCTGCCAGACCCCAAGCTGACCCCACCAGCTGTCACATTTGGTGCAGCATGTCAAACATTCTTCTGGTTGCAGCCAACCCTTTCCTACTAGATGATGCCATTTGTGCCGTACCGATGTTGTAGCGACTCGGAGTACTCGTCATGAAATCGCAAACAGAGTTCGTATGGATATCATACACACCGGAAGGTAATAGAGAGTGTCTACCTAAGGATGGCAGCTAAGTATATAGTCAGATTGAGCGTGAGCAAGACGAGAAGCCTTAGCCCAAGCCACAACCCGGCAGATCCCGTGGCTAGAAACAGAAAGTAAGCGCCCCAGTGGTACCATAAAACGGGACGCATTCTACGTACCATGTACCTTTCTTCTCGTTGAACACTCGACGATAGACCCAAAAAGCGCCAAAATAGAGCAACGAGGTAAGTGGCAATACCTACGCCAGCCAGTTCTAGGCTTAGACCGCCTCTTCTTTGCATATCGTACTTCTTCAGTGGTGGCAGTTGTTGTTCTCTCGTAGTCGCCGCTCGAGTAAGTACTGACGTGATACTGCTGCAGTTCCCCTTCATAGGATAATAATAAAGAACAGAGCCTTCGTTTAGCATGCACGCATCAGACCTGCCGCGACCTGCAAGCAGGCGTGAAGGCAAGAACTCGGGAGTGGCACCAGAAAGCCGCACAGCGATTGCAGACAAGTGCAACGGCTCTACATCCGGTGCGGCGCACCTGAGAACAGAACAAAAAACGGCAGAGATGCCCCAACAGGTCAGTGGCTGCAGACATGAAGCCGTTAATTGGTCTGTTCTCACCTGAGATCGCATACCAGCGCGAAACGACCGCGCAAGACACATTCGACACGCGTTTCCGTGCCATACAAGACGCACTGTGGATCCTTTCTGATGCTCGACCGTCACCCATTGAGGTCTTGGACGAGATGGGGAGACTCGAAGGCGGGATTCCAGAGAAGATTGGCCGATATGAGATCGATCCTGACATGATGGATGAGGTGAGTGTCAGCCCTCAACTCAGCATGATGCAGCGACACTTACAGTGATGACGCCCACGACAGATCGATGACGGTCAGTGCATGTTCTGTACGCAGCCAATATGTAGCCAAACTCTGACCGGCTACCACTCGACAGCTGCAGACATCCTCGAAGCCTCGAGCACTGCTGTTGACGCTGAACGTTCGGGGGCTCATCGCCGAGAAGGCTCTGGCAGTACGACAAGCTCCGCGGGCGTGGTCAGTATTCTAGAATGGGACGGGGTGCGACCTACCGTGCGACTCGTCAAGAATGTCAGTCGCCCGGTATCGCCCACTCCTGTGATTCGGCCATGGTCTCGTTGAGAGGGTCGAAATGTTGCACGTGGTAAGCCGCATGTAACGCATGTGTAGGCGGTACCGAGTATTGACGACGATAAGTTCGAAGGTTTGTAGGCATCCTGGGGGTGAGCGCGGAAGGCGGGGACCGAGAGGAGGGGTGGTCCGCGGCGAGAGTAAACGGCACAATGCAAGCAGGATTGGAAACGACGTTAGAAAGGGAAGGGCAACGTCACACGCGTGTGATGAACACTATATTCAATGCGAAGGCTCTCTGCCACATCCCTTAAATACTGATTCTCGCACGAGTGTGACCGTAGTAACTCACCAATTTCATCAGCAATTCTCGACTGTTGGATGCCTACTTGCGCCGTGCCGTTGTTGTACCGAGCGAGGACTTAATTTGAAACTGCATATACAGTCCATACGAAGATCGTTCACTGCGAGAAACAAGAAGCCAGGTACCACGCCAGCACGGCAGCCATACACAGTGAGAAAGTAGACTGTGCGTCGAACTTGGGCAAGCCAAAGGCCAAGCGGCCCAAACCACGATCCAATATCTAGAAACAGGAAGTAAGCGCCCGAACGGCACCATAAAACGAGACACATTCCGTGTACCGTACCTTTCTTCTCGTTTACACACGCGGAGATAGACCTCCTAAAGCACCGAGAAACGAGGCATATAGCAGCGCCTACATCCCTTTCTTGACACTTCACACACTTCAACTGGTTGGAGCCCGCCGGTGACCGATTGCCTGTTGTTGATACCTCGGAGTCGCCGCTTGAGTAAGTCTTGACGCGATTCTACTACGATGCCCTCAGACACGCTATACGAGAGACGTTATTCCTTTGTTTAGAATGCACGCATCAGACCAATTGCAACCTACAAGTCGGTGTGAAGCCACACTCTCAGGAGCGGCACCGGGAAGCTGCGACTTGGCACAAAGCCATGAACAGATCACATCCGAGTCCAATGGCTCTTTCATCGGTGCAACGCACCTGAAAACAGACAACGTAACGGCAAAGATGCCACATCAGGTCAGTAGATGTAGACAAAGAACCGTTACATGGGTCTGTTCTCACCTTGAATCGCACAGCAGTGCGTGACAACACCACGAGACATCTTCGAGACGCGCTGGCGTGCAATACAAGACGCGCTTTCTCTCTTTTCGGATGATTGTCCATCGGTCGTCGATGTGTCAGATGAAATGGAGAAGCTCGAGGCCGAGTTTGCGGACGGTGTTGGACGAACGGAGATCAATATGTACATCATGCATAAGGTGAGCGTGGAAGACTGTATAAGGATGATGCGATGATGCTTACAGTGTTCCCGCTGGCGACAGATTAACGACGGTCAGTTCATGCCCTTTGAACGGTAAAGGGCTTGCCCGGTTCTGGAGGACTATTGCTCCACAGCCGCTGATCTACTTGAGGTGTCAAGTACCGCCGTAGGCAACGAGTGCAACGCTCATCGCCGTGCGAACTCTGGCAACACGACAAGCTCGGCGAGCTCAGAGAGCACGGTCAACATCCCAGGATGGGATGGACAGCAGCCTACCGTGCGGCTTGTGAAACCCGCTGATCGTTCAGCACCGCCCACTCCTATGATTCGATCTTGGTCTCGTTGAGGGGTGCGAAATGTCGCCCGTGGTAGGCAATGTCATGGTAAGCAATGTCCAATGCGTGCTTAGGCGGTAATCAGTACTGATGACCATGAATGCGAACGTCCGTAGGCATCTTGGGGTGAGCGTACAAGGCGAGGGGCGAGGGTGATCCACGGCGAGAGCAAGTGGCACAATGCAAGCCCTATATGGATACGATGTCAGAAATGGAAGCGTAGTGTGACGCAATGGATGTACAATGTAGTTCCATGAAGATTCTCTGCCGTATTTCTTGATACGAGTTCTCGTGCGGGTGTGGCCGTACGTGTGCCGATATTTGAGTTCGTGTCGTCGATCTTCAATATTCATACCTACGAACCTATTGAGGCGCACTTGGAGGAGCCTCGTCGCCGCGAAACTGGGAAAGAGGCTCGTGTCCCAGACGCGTCCTGATCCCGTGACTAGTCCAACTGCGTCCGCCGCGCCGTTCTACTCTTCGACACCTACCATCGCACCATCAGCGTCCATCAGGAGGCAGAGGGTAGAAAGCGAGCACATCTGCCATACATACCACATCTGCAATTGTACACAGCCTCTAGTCGCGTCCTACGTTGCACTGTTGCCGCAGCTCCTTGCCCATTCGTCACTCAGCTTTGTGTAAGTCCCGACGCGGTTTGACCTTTGCTTGCCGCGAACCGACTAATACCGTCAGTTTCAGTTAATTTACGATGAGCAGCAGATCAAATGAATCACGATTCACAAGCCCGCTTGAGGGCGCATACCTGGGAGAAGCACTGGGTGGCTGCAATGAGCCGCAGAACCCTGCTGCAGCTGTGCACGAGCATGGCGGCTTCCCCTCGAGTGTTCCGCACCTGAGCACAAACCACGTAACGGCAGAGATGCCCCAGCAGGTCAGTGGATGCAGACTCGAGCCGTTACATGATCTGTTCTCACCTGATGTCGTACAGCAGCCCTTGTGGATGCAGCTGGACTCATTCAGGACGATTTATCATACGGTCCAAGACGCGCTTTCCCTAGTTTTGGGCGAACGTCCTGCACCGATCGACATACTGGACGAAATGCACAAGATTGAGACCGAGTTTCCTCCAATCGCCCAGTTCATGACGTCCGACATTATCTGCTGGCGTATGCCCAGGTGAGCTCGCGGTCGTCAATGTGCGTTGAAACAGACAAACCGATACTGACCGGGGGGTATATCACAACAGAGCGACAACGGTGGGTATGTCCTGCCGGAGGACTTGACGACGACAACCCTGCCATCAACCGAAACCATCCGGCTCGTGAACACAGCTACGACGTCAAGCAGTAGCGTCGGTACAGCGGGGAATGGTGCTCACAACCGTGCAACCTCCGGTAGCACTACGACCGGGAGCTTGGAGAGCGTCTCAGATTGGGACGGCCAACAAATGACCGTGCGGTTGGTCAAGCACTCTCATCACCCCGGATCGTCGCGGAGGGTGGCATCTGACGCCAGCGGGTCGTCGTGAGTCGTCGATGGTTCGTTGGTGCGGAATACATGCACCATGGGGTAAGTTGTATCGCATGCGTCCGTTGCATAGTGGGTATTGACGGTAACGCCTGGACCAACGTGCAGGGCAAGCACTACGAGCGGGATCCATCGAGGCAGAGTGGCATAAACAAGGGCTGTACGGAGGAAATATCAGGAAGGGAGCGGCGGGTCTGATGTGGACGGTGTATAATGGTGTACTATGTAGGACTTACTGCCGTGACCTTTGTCCCAACTTCTCTGAGAGTGTGCCGTAAGCGCGAAAGTTTCTAGAGTCTAGGTCCGGTAAACCGCTATGATGCGATTTGCGTTCATTTGAGATTCCAAGATTACAACACCATAACAGACGTGAATATATATCCCATTGAATACGCCATACCTCCATCGCTGAGCAATGCGAGGCCGGATGTGCAGGCGCGTCGTGATCCCGTGACCAGTTCGACGCGCGTAAGCGCTGGTGTGGCGCCAACCATCCGCGCTCGCGACAAGCGTTCTGCGCGCACCGTTCACACTCACCACCCTGTACCAAACCGGAGGATAACGTTCAAAGCGCTTTCTCCGAAGGCTCTCCGAAGGAGCATCGGTGTTCAACAGCTTCCTGTGACCTCATACGCAGTGAAGTCGCGGTTGGACAGTGGCTGGAAGGTGGCCACTCCGGTACGTCGACTATCCTCTAGGCTGCCGTCACCGCTTTGTCGCTGATCATGCGATCACAGCACGTCACCTGTCATGGTGGCACAGAATGGACTGTACTTTCGGCGTCCGGACCAGAACATTTGGAGACCAGACGCACCGAGCAATTGGCATGTACCACCGCGCTGGAGCGCGACGATCAACGAAAGCTACTATGCTCACGCGATGAACCTGAGACCAGAAAAAGTTACGGCAGCAATGCCAAGCCAGGTGAGTGACATGAATATGGAGCCATAACCTGATCGAGTCTCACCTTTCACTGTAAAGCAATCGCACACGGAGCCGGCATCGACCTATGGGAGAGTGACTGTGGGTAGCACGGTGAGTAACGGGGAGATGTGATCCAGATATAACATGCCTAGATCACGAGAGCAACAATACTCACCAACAGTATTTTGATAGGGGTATATGCGTTGCGAGGTTACATCTGCTGCCACAAGGCCGCTTGAAGGGGTACCGGCCACTTGCGCGTGGAACGACGAGGAGATCGTCGAGACATCCACCGTGGTTGATGAAGCGGAGGATTTGAGGAGAACATCCCTGCGGAGGGCTGTGTATACGTCAAGCGAGGACGAGATCCTCCAGACGTCGGCCGGTGTCGGCGAAGCGGATTATGTATATGGGCATACATTCCAGAGGGCTGTGGGATCTGGGCGTCCGGCGCCGCACCGACACACAGACTCTGAGAATACCCAGAGCACCGCGAGCCTCGAGACTGTCCAGGAAGGGAGCGAAGACATAGCCCGTCCGCGTGCGAAGACATGGTCCGACCTCGTCGCAACTCTCGACAAACGTCACAGCAGAGGGTGGAAACCAGCGTCTGCTAGACCTGCGAATCCCTCTGTGGCCGCTCACTGGTAACGGTACGTCAGTTACCATACCCACAAGTTAATTTAAACTCACGTACGTTGCGATTTGACTTGGTCTAATACAAGACCCAGCGGCCAGCGAAGCAGGGTCGTCTCCGGCGCGGGGCGTGGCATGACGCAAAGCCAAAGCGGAAGAAGAACCAACGAAAATAAACGGAGAGGTCATTTGGGGAATTGTGTGATGCTGTAATATAGAGAGCTTGTATCGCACTGTTCTTGATTCCCGCTCGCAAGCGCACGACCAGAAGTGTGTTCGGTCAGATCCCGCCGGATATCAAAGCTACCCTGTAGCTGCGCTCGGAACCACGTCCGTGCGCATAAAGCCCAGAGTGTCAGTCGAGTCCGTTGAGTGACAGAACCGGTCCGATAATATCACTATTCGTCCTACTCGACAGGACGAGCATCGAGGCCAGCGCAGGCATTGCGACGCGTCGTGATCCCGTGACCGCCGCGCCGCGCGTGGGCATCGCGTAGACGCCGACGAGAATAAGAGGCTCCGCACTTGCGTTCGTCCTTGTCGCTGTCCCCTCGTCACAATGAGCTGGACACGGCCACGATGGTACGTTTCTAGCTTTGTTTCATCTACAGAATGCGTCATCATCATCCTCAATTGACTTCTGAGACGACAACTTGACTTACGATCGTTGTGGCGTTAAGTGCTGTTTCATTGATCGTCTTAACCTCGGTTCAAAGGCCAGACGTCCGCCAGACAAGACCAGTGCACGTTACAAATCCTAGGTTATGCATCCTCGTCCATCCACCATCGATCAGGATTCGACCGATGACGCAGACACAAGGCTTGTCGCTGATTCTCAACTCTCTGAAACGAAGAGTCGGCAGAGAGGTAGGTCGGCGTTGTTGTATTCGCGGCGACAAGCGCCATTTGCCGACTCAAGTAATAGATCTGCATCCGTCCCACAAACGATGTGGTTCCGCGTATGCAAGCGGCGAAGGGGCGACCCACTCCTCGGCGGCGGTGTATTCGACGGTTGGCGTAGATCTCAGTCAAGGAAAGCATCCCGCACACACACGAAGGGTGTACCCTGAAGTAGGTTCATTATGCATTGTCAAACGTTGTTTGAGAGGATTTACCAGGATACGAAGACGTACGTCAGACAGAGCGCAGTGTTCGTCGGCTGAGGACTGCTGCGAGCGGCTCAGCCCTCGATCTACGTCGAAGTTGACCCAGTGCGGAGGAACGTTGCGCACAACATTTCCGGATGGACGGATACCGAGGCGTCAAGGACCATCTCAGTGAACAGGATGGTCGTCGCGAGCGCGAGAAGGACTAACGTCGATGTACTGACTAGGCTTGCAGCGTTGGGCATGTTCAGTGCAGGAGCCCGGCAGTTCACTTCCCCTAGTGCTGATGATTTCAGTCTGTGTGCAGCGTATGAGATGACTGCAGGAGCGGACCTCGGTGTGCACACGTACCCCTGGTGTTCCTCTACATCATCTACCCTCATCCTCGCATCTCCAGGCCATTGGCTCGACTGAAAACCCCAGGGAAGCGAGTTCGTCTACGAAATAAAGCATGATGGCAAGCATATACATCGCGAATGACGGTGCTGGGGATGTCTCGCGACTCGTTCACACTGCATCGAGAGAAGGGTCGAGGTCCGCAAGAACCAGTGTCGGACGAAGATAACTAGACAAGTTGAAAGCAGCGGCCGCTGCCAATGATTTGGGAAACCCAGCCGACGCGAGTCAAAGCAAGAACATAATTCTGAGACCTTGAGGCGAACCTGGGGGACGATTGGGGACGATGGCCTTTGCAAGCGAAGGTCGGCTTAGACGCCCGAAAAGGAACGCGTGTCGCGTGACTACGACGCGTCGGTCATGACGCGCCTCGGACGACGAAAGTCTGCACACGTCGATAACAAGGTCAGATAAATGGCTGCTCATTATCCAAACCCTCAAGATACCACGATATGCTGAGTTGACCAAAGAGCGATTCCAACAGGCAAGGTCCCCTGACGCATTGGCTGTATACCATACTGGTTTAGGTCAAATGCACATCCCAAAAACGCCTACTGTACGTACAAATGTCATCCTCAGACGCCGATATTGAAAGGTGGTGATTAGCCCCCATGCAGGAGACGCCCAGCTCCCTCACCATGTTTTTCGCCTTCACGACGAGCTATCGGAAAAGTAGGGAAGCAAACAGAGAAAGCGACACCCCGCCAGCTGAACCCTTGTTTTACACGACATCCTCGCACCCATTGACGGATCCTCGTACTACGCAACTTCGCAGCTATGCGATCGCCACAGACGTCTACGTAAAGGCGGCCCCGGAGGACGCTGGGGATCATGCGGGAGAGACATGGGTCGTGGACAAGCAGCCGACTTCCCCTCTCGCCAGAGGGCACATCGCCACTCTGCGGACCCCCGACCACATGGTCGGCTCGGGACGCGTATCCAAAGTCGTGGCCTTCACCCGCCACTGGGTGATACTACGCCTTGCAAGCGGCCGAGACGGAAGGCACATCAGGGTCCCAATTCCATGGGTACACCTAGGCACTTACGATAGCTTCGTTTATATGTCTCTCTACAACACCCTCTCACCCTTCCCGGAACCCCACGGCACATATAGGGATCGCCCCTCCTTCGCCAATACCGCGGAGAACCCGTACGAATTCGATCTCAATGTGGCCCCCCTGGAGTTGGAACGGCTACGGAACAGGATGGTCAAAGACCCGAGAGTGGTGTACCTCCTGGAGTAGGTACCTATTACTGGAGGTGATTGCTGAGTGTGATACTAATGGCGCATTGCATAGGTCCGTAGAAAACGTAGCTGCCATAGCGGGAAGTTGAGATGCGTCCTTCACGGTACGTGTTGATGCTTCGCTGCTCCCGATGAAGACCTCCGTCTGAGTGTGGACATGCCACGTCGTTTGTCTAGGGCTCTGTCGGCATCTGTGATCATATGTTCCTCGCCCCATCTCAGCTGCAAGCTGCTGCATATCATGATGCGCTCACCTTGTCACTTCTATGACGCGGTAATCCACGCGCATGACCGCGTCGGGCAATCAATTAATCATGAGTCAAGTCATGGGTGCTTTCGACCCTATCGTACATGTAGAATTTCGAGAACATGCCTCACTACTTACAATTGAATCCAGGCGATTGCACGTCATACAGCCGGGCGCAATCGACCCTATACAATTCATGATGTTCATGTATGTACAGAATATGAAACAGTGCGTCAGCTACAAATCACTGCCCTACGTGCACCGTTACATGTACACGAGCGACCACAGTGGGTCGCACCGATATCTACGTCGAGGCCAACCTCACGTTTGTTCTGATTGCTACCTCATTGCAAACGGCTGACAGGATTTTGATGTCGGAATTTTCTGCGGTAGAGTTGTCCCTGACGTCGACTTCTGGTGGTTAATGCTGCTCAACACGGTTGTCAACAACCTGAGGACCGTGGCAAACGAATGAGTCAATGATATGATTGACGAGACGTCGTCCTCAGTTGCTAATCGGGGGAAACCCTGGTACAGCGACATCGTGCGGGCAGAACATGTTGCCTTCCGCACCAGATTACGCGACACCGACCTCCATGATGCGTCTATGGAGGGCGACGTGGGATGATGATTCAGAGCGTGCGCGGGGGACATTAACATGAGTTGCTCCACTCCGGTGGGATAGCGAGGACCACTCGAGGGATGAGCACGAATCTCGTGGTAGAGGTAGTACGCCACAGAATGCATGACATCGGCCGCGGACATTTATTGACTTTTAGTCTCGCCTGTTATTCTCCTTCAGAGTAGTAGCCTTGGCTTCGTGAAGGGCGAGTGCATCGTCACGGTGACACGTCCACGCGCCAACTGTTCTTCCCAAAATCGCGCGGTTATAGGCTTCTTCATGTCATGTCTCAATAATTTCTGCTGACTTCCCTGGTGAAAAAGCATCGTCCTGCTGTGGTCGTTCCCAACATACTGAAGTGCGAACGGGCGATGAGCGTCTAAACCACGTGATTAGAGTAGATGCGACTGAGACGTTGAACGACGATTTAGACGCCGAGACGGACGCCTCGTTCCGCATTTGCAGTCGCCTCTGTCGCCCTCATCTCTTCATCGACAGCCATCAAGCGACGATTTCTAGTACGAGAGAACTCTATCAGTTCGCATGAAGCTATGGCTAACCACTTGCGTAGGAGGAACGCACCGTATCTACACCGTGGGTCGCTCCTGAGGTGTCGTAGTTCTCTCGCTGACGTCTCTCTGATATGCAGGCATAGACGAGGACATGGCCTACTACCCTACACGAGCATCTCGACAGGTGGTGAGCTCAAGAGAGCAGATCTTCCAAGGTGCCCAGACACGGCAACACGCAATCATTCCGCAGCAAGTCCTGCTGAGAAACGAATCAAATATGACAGAGTATCAGCGCGCGATGGTTAGTTGTGCCGACTACGAGTCATAATCAATCCGTTTCTCACCTCATCAATTTCCAGCCGCTTTCCAGTGTTGCGTTTCATCCCGGCATATGGGATGCACTCGACCTGATCGATGGACGGTGGCCGGGGCCGCAGAAGATGATCGCGGAGACGAATGCCTTTGAAAGGGAGGTTGAGGCGAGAGAACGTCTTGAAAAGGAAGCGAAGACGTACACATACGATGGCTTCGTGAGTATACAAAGACCATGTGCCACTCCGGACAGGAGACTGATGGACTGGCAGTGGCACTTCGGCGGCGCGACGATGCCTCCCACAGAGACTATGGCGCAAGCTTCCGCGAGGACCGACGCGCCGGGACCATCTGACCAATACAATATCGAGGCACCTCCTGTCGTGGTGTCGACAGGTGCGACGTACGACAACACGAACACTGCGGACGACTGGGTAGATGGAGATATTGTCGAGACGTCGACGACTCTCGACGAGCAGGAGGCGTTGTCTTCGCCGACAACCTCGTCTTCGAGCGCAGAAAACTCGGAGATGTGGAGGGTGCTCGAGCGGGAGCACGAAGAGGCGTTCCGCGCCAGCCTGCGACAGCTGGCTGCGTGCAACGCTTTGAGCGAGCTGCGACGCGCGACCCTCGCGGAGTACTCGTCCTCCGAGGGCGAGCTGGCGTCCCCGTACTGAAGCCCGATCGGTAAGTCACTTGATTGCAGTGCGATAGTACGGTCCAAGTGCTGATACGCTCGCGTTCCATGTAGGCACATACGGAGGGGACTTGAGTAGGTGTGGATCTGGTCGAGGCATTCGCCATAATGCCATAAAACATAGACCAAGGCCAGAAGTCGGGGTGGAACGGGATCAGACGAGGGTTGCTAATCAGGAAAATGGATTGTGGGATTTGTTGTATATACGCAGCTGTCTTCATGCGACGATGAGAATTGGCCAGTGGGCGGGATTGTGAGAAGCGCCACGACGTCTGGGTCACAGTGAGACGGCTGCACAAAGGAAACAACGTCGCCCGCAGTGGCTTGAGATTTCATACGCTGCCAGTATATAATTCTAGCACCCACCCAAGTCGCTAGCCTGCCAGGCTGCAATTCGCGAGCAACAGACCAACGGGGACGGTACAGCGCGTCTGTGTCATGTGACCTGGACAATGGGACTCTTCGTTCTACAGTGAGTAGGCGCCCGGACCAACGACTTGTTTCACAGTTGCAGTCGCCTTTGTCGCTCCTGTCTCTTCATCGAGAGTCATCAGACGCCACTTTCTAGTACGGAAGGATACTCTCAGCTTGCGTCAAACCATGCCAAACTACTCGAGTGGACTAAACGCACCATACTTGCACCGTGAGTTCCCTGGTAATCGTCTTGAGTTGTCGTCTTTCCCTTGCTGATCTCTCTTTGTCGCGCAGACCAAGGCGAGACAGCTGGGTATCTCGCACAAGCATCTCCTCAGCAGAGCCCGGAGTGGCAGCCAGTCTTCAGTGGATCACAGACACAGCAAATCCCATCCATCCAGCAGCAGGACATGCTGAGCAACGAAACGAATATGACAGAATATCAGCACGCGATGGTCAGTAATGCCGGCTATACATCATAATCATTCCATTGCTCACCTCATCTGCTCCTGCTAGCCTTTCAGCGCCGCGTTCTACCCTGGAATACAAGCTGCGCTTGACCTCATCGACCCCGAACCGCGCGGGCTGCAGGAATTTATCGCAGAGGTCCAATCATTTAGGAGGGAGGCTGAGACGAGGGAAAGGCTGGCGAGAGATGAAGAGGACCATGCAGAGAATGTATTTGTGAGTCGATACAACGCCATGCATGGACGGGCATGGGAAACTGACGTACCGCCAGTGGTACTTCGGGTGTACAACGGCATGGACGCCAACGTACACTACGAGGCAAGCCCTTGATAGGCCCGACGTCCCGGCTCCAACTTCGGGATACAATGTTGCGACGGCCTTTCCCGTGTTGCCAGCAAGCGCAACACGCGAGATCGTGAACATTCCCGAAGGCTGGATTGACGACGATATCGTCGAGACGTCGACAACGCTCGACGAGCAAGAGGTTTCGTCCGATGTGTCTTCGGCATCGAGCGCCCAGACCTCGGAGATGTGGAGGGTGCTCGAGCAGGAGCAGGAAGAGGCGTTCCACGCCAGCCTGCGACAGCTGACTGCGTGCAACGCGTTGAGCGAGTTGCGACGCGAGACCCTCGCTGAGCACGCGTCCTCTGAGGGCGAGCTGGTGTCCCCGTACTGAAGCCCAATCGGTACGTCGATTTTCATTCTAGATGCGTCTTCAACGTTGACGAGCCTGCATCCGATCTAGACAGATACGTATGGGGCCTTGAACGGGCGCATGTCCAGTTCAATGAGGCAATGCTAGACAATGCAGGCCGAAGGCGGGAAGTAGGGCGGCGCGGGTGAAACCGGATGGGGATAATCGGGATATGGGTACCAGTCTGTGAAGTTGGAATGTAAACACTGCTTAGCTGGAGAATTCTCTCTTTTACTTGAATGCGACGATGAGGACTGACCTGCCAGACTCGACATCTTTTTCGGGTACGACTGCAGGACGCGTACTTCTGCTTCGGCGAGCTGGGGAGACACAAGCCCCGTGGCAATGTCGCGCCCCACAACCCTCATGCATTCAATCAACCGTGCAAGGCCAGCCGCCTCGCTGGTCACTAGCATACTGGGCGGTAGGTATAACAGACCGACGCGTCCTGATCACGTGACCAGCGCGGTCGCGTTCCGACTGCGTGTAGGCGCGCAGACATACCAGAGCCTTGCAGCTTGCAATCATCGTCCCCGCTAGTCCTTCATCATCAGACACTATCGGAGCCAAAAGTCACGCGTGAGAAGACTTCATCTATGGGAAAGAGGCCTCACATATGGAGCGCAACGCTGATCGAGAACCCCGCAAGACCGTTCGCAGTTGTGGCGTTTGGGTAAGTTCGCTTGTTAGTGTTGTGGCCATTCTCTGACGTTCTTTCTTGGGCATATGGTGAATTGTGTATGACTAAAGGACCTGATCATAGATCGTACGCGCCACTAGCTGCGGGTTTGCCGGGGTCAAACGCGACGTAGAAGACATCTTGCGTAGAGTGTCAAATTGTCGCCACTCCGGAATCAAGAGTGCCATAGATGGCCCTGCTCATTCATAAACCCGAGCAACTGCAAATGAGAAGGTTACGAATCGTAGGCGGGGAATGGAGGTCAGTTACACTAGCTATCAATCGGAATGACTGGACTTCTCACCTTAGTCAGTTGGTACGGCTCGTCAGATAGTTTTGACAGCTCGGAATCAAGGACGCCTTGGACGTTGTATCCGGGAGGCCTCCTACGTCCGTCACGGCCATGGCGAAGATGACCGCCTTGGCAGAGGACGTCCAGATACGAGAGGAACCGGCTAGATCGGCGCCTTCGGGCTCTGGAGCTGGGTATAATCCTGCCTGCGCGAACTGTACAAGGGACAAGACTGGGCAAGTACGGGAAGGCGACACTTGTCATGCGAGGCCAGCACTGGTGAACAACGCGGCGCAGTACCAACGGGACAACACTGATGTAGTGAGGGGATCCGCTACGCCGCTTGACGAGCGGGGATGCTTTCAAGCAGCCCCACTAGTGCAAGCTCGTATCCGAGGGTGTCCAACGCATCGAGCTGATGGGGCGCGGTAGGTGAGAGCGAGAGGGATCCTGCTATGTCCCGAGATATATGACGCACTGCGACGCTGTGAGCAACCTCGATCGCAGCGTATATCGCAAGCACGCACCGTCCTCTTCGGCCTCATGAAATCCTGATCGACCCGCTTCTACGTCCTGCGCCTGGTATGTATCGCTACCGATGCTTCCGATGACTGACTTCTTCGCGCAGATGGGGTGCGATGGAGGATAGACTCCGCAACATTCTGGGTGATGCGGGGCAGCGTCGAATAGCGGCGCGAGCATGTTCGCCGGGGAGGACATAGAAATCCGGGCACATCGTCGTATGAGCTAGCGACCTGATGGTTGGCCGTTTTTCTTTTTCTTTTTCTTTTTCCTGCCCACCGTGCTTTCCGCGGGTTCTGACCAGATCGTGACTACCAGGAAACGCCAAGGCACGAGGTTTACATGACTGGAGCGTGCGAGTGGCAAGGGGTAGTGGCCACAGGAGACAGAGGATTCAGGACGTCTCGCCTGTGCGCTGTGATCATGATGGTGGCCGTCCAACGGCAGGACTCAACGGTGACCTACCCGATTAGGCGCCCGTCTCACACGCGTGCCACTGCCACTGGACGCGCGTCGCCGACGCGTCTGCACTCTACACTGTACGCGTTTCTCAATACATCAGTACTTTCCTCGGGGACACATCTCATGGTCAAATGCATTAATTAGCGTAGTACTATTGCTACCAGTCTGGCGAAGAACGTTGTAACCAGCTTGTTGTGCTGCAGCGTTTTTTTACGCTGCACCCTTAAAGTTAGATGTGCCACCGCGGAGTCCGGACAATGGATGCAGTCGACCTCTTGAGTCAGTGCCACTGCAGCTTTGCTGTCTCCTCGACAATGGACGAAAGAAATGGGGCTGGACTTAGCCCGCTCGTCTATAAGAGAGTTGGCATCGTACCTCGCCTCCCGACCGCTCCACTTCACCCATCTGCGCTCTGCATTCCGGAATTGACCATCATCCACCGTTCCCTGCATGCGACAACGGACACGATACCTTGCACGCTCGACTGCTCTGTCCCCAATGGCGGAGCGACGCATTTTGAGAGACGATGACCTGAAGACCATAATTGACATGACGCGAACACATAGCGGGTGAGCCATGCTAGTCGCACACCATCTCAAGTATGATCCTCACCTTCGTCAGAGCATCCGCAGAGATGCGACACCGACACCTGCATCTGAGTTGTTCCCCAAAAAGCTGCACGCGACCCTGGCTACGTATGTGGCTAAACCGCGCGCCGGGCACGACGGTGAGCCTCTTCATGGTGCAGGCTGCTTGTTGTATTGATTGCGTTTCGACGTTGCGACTATTTGAAAGGCACATATTCAGTAGTGTACGCACTCTCAGCGTCCGAGACCACATACTGTGTAGGTTGGCCCACGTTCACTAGAGACGCAACGGATGACACATTGTCTCTAGTGTTAACCTTGACGAGCGGAACGACTATTGGGGTTAGTCAGTGGCGCACCTCGATACTCGCCTTGTGCTAACTCGCACAGCAGAAGAAGAGGTACTTGAGTCATCCCACATGTTTCATACCATATTGAAACGCACCGTGGACAGCGACTGATCCGGTGATGATGTCATGTTGCGCTTCCGCGTATTATCGGTCTCTTGGGATCGAGAATTGCGGACGTCAAATTCTCGCCAACAGCATCCCGCCCGCCCTGATGGATACATCCTCGATAATACCACTCTCGACTTCTGTCCGTGGCATAACTGCAAGACGCGTCAGAAGAGCCCGAGCCAGTGGACGGGGAACCATCGCGACTTGATCGAATCTGGAGAACCCGGTCATCAAACATCCAGTGGCAGCATCGAAGTGCCATGACGAACTCTCCCAACTAGTGAATAGGTTCGACTGCTTGAAGCTGACATGCCTGTTAATTATCCGGACCCCCTCCGGAGGAATCGAAGGTGCACGCGTTGTCCAAGCCCTCGGCTAGGAGCATATTCCGGGAACGGCTCGAGCACTTCAGGTTCGAAATGAGCTACGCGGGAGAACGACATCGAGGCCTCAACGGACCATGCGAACTGATCCGCTAGCACCTGGGAACCGTTCAAGTTTTGAGAGCGTTCGGTGGCGTCGTCCCTAACCAATGCGAGTCGTACCTATGTAGGGTGCACCTCCTGTTGACTAGGGACGAGATCACTCAGGCAAGCATGGACAACAATTGACGCTATGGTTTCCTCGCCGTCGAAGACTGTCCATAGCCACAGTCGCGCATAGGGGGGTCCGGAATCTGCGAGCCTAGCGGTGGGCGCCGTACGCGTAGTTATCTCAGACTGCTGGCGTGAGCGTTAACAGACTCCGATCGAGAGGTCACACAAGCACGTACACTTCGCATCCCACCCGTCTCATCGATATCCGCCACGACGCTACTCCGACTTCGTGAAAAATGTCATGTCCTCCTTCGCAGAGTTCCTAGTTTAAAGGCGGAGGATCCGGGGCGGGGGCGCACACTATGACGGGCGTTGTCAACGAACTCGAGGTACTGGACGGAGGGTCTGAATGCGGAAGAGAGGTAGAAACCATCTAGACTGTCGATGACGACTCAGACGCCCGGACGGACGGCTCGTTTCGCATCTGCAGTCGCCTCTGTCGCTCTCATCTCATCTCGACAGCCATCAGGCCACGATTTCTGGTACAAGGGACTCTATTAGCCCGCGTAAAGCTATGGCCAACTACTTGCGTAGGAGAAACGCACCGTATTTGCACCGTGGGTCGCTCCTGAGAGGTGTTGTAGTTCACTCGCTGACGTCTCTCTGTTATGCAGGCATAGATGAGGAAATGGCCGACTACCGCACACGAGCATCTCGACAGGTGGTAACAGCAACACAGCAGATCTTCAGGGATACCCAGACACAGCAGTACGACTTGGCTTGGGGCGATTTGACGAGTACTGCTCCCTTTGTCTCTCTGCTGGGCGCCGTAAGTTCGAGCTTGGAAGACACGCCACATCGACGAAAGCGAAAGCAAAGAACGAGAGGTGCAACTGCAAAGAGGACGGTGGCGGCCTGCTCGATTGTCCGACGTGGCGGTCGTCTCAGAATGGGAGGAGAAAGGAGGACTCAGGAGGAATCATCGATGCCCAGTCAGACGCCCATGACAGACGCGCTCTCGTGATGAACTGCGCGTCGCGACGCGTCCGCGTCCGTCCACACTGCCAGGCGCCACACAGTGTGTATTCCGTTCCTCTCAACATATTCTTGACTAGCAATATCGCACGTTGAGGAAAACGTCAGTACTTCAAAAATCTTCTTCAAATTCCCGCTGAGGCTGTGAAAGGGGACGTGCCACAGGAGCTCACGTTGAACGAACAATGAAACCAAGTCGGCCCGACAGCACCACTTGCCACTCGTCTTTGCAGAGTGTACGACAATGGGCGACAGATTTGGAAATGCGTATTGTCTTCGCCCGTCTATAAGAGGGGACGCTCGGAACGCAACTCTGCCCCAACACCCACCAGCCTCCCACTTCGGCGCTTGACCAATTCTCCTCGCGCTCTGCACAGACGACTCCTGTGGTATGCTGATACACGCGACATTCTCATGCTCAGCGACGAAGCGAGGCACCACACTGCTCGATAATCTGAAGACCATAATTGACATGACACGAACACGTCTTTGGGTGAGCAGCGCGCATCGTCTCGAGTACTATGGTATAACGATACTTCACTTACCTTCATGAAGCTCGATGCAGGGTCTTACATGTTGCCCATCATTGTTTGCGTCCGGCAGACTAACTTTGTACACGAAGGTGCTTCTGCGCCATGTAACGGCACGTTATGGAGCTCCAAGTCTTCGGTGAGGTTATTCGATGTCGCCGACCCAGTCCACAAGCACTCACAAACCGTCCTACGTGCTCAGTTTCGAGCTTGGAATACCCAAAAGGGTCGTCAGAGGAGACATTACCGGGGCGAGCCGCTGCCGGTCAGTTGCGCACCCCGTCATTCTGAAGAAGCGTAAGATTTACGACATACTGCAGTTGAACCTCAAAGCTCCTGCCAGCTCCCGTCCTGTGGGCCGGATACGCGTACGGTGTTATGCCAAGCCGATTGAACTGTGGCACCCTCGCCGTCGCGACACTACCCGCGGCCGGTGCCTCAGCTCAGCGCTCAACACCCAGTGCGAATGCAGCGACTTCGCAACGGATACAGCCGTCCCGCTCCCGGCCGTGCAGCCTCGAGCGCAAGCTTACACCCCGAGAAGCGTGTTGGTACCCGGTTACCGGACATGACGAAAACGCTGGACGCAGGGTGTAGTATTACGACTGCGCTGATTGAGTCCATATGCGTCCGGCTGTCAGCTCGTCAAGGTCGATGAATCACCTCAGGCACATCCCCGCGACTTGCTGATGCCGTGGACGGAACGGACATTGCAGAGCCGACTTCATTCGTTCTCCGGGCCAGTAGACACCATTGCCGCGATGCGCACGCATCTTCTCGACTACGCACAAGACTTCGTATCTGCGCTCAGGCTGTTGCTCAGCATAAACCACTTCGACAGGGTCTACATGGCTGGCTACTCACGACCGGAAAACTTCATTGGCGTTCGCACTCCGTGGACATGCATTAACTCTTCCGGGATGTCCGCTTGGGCCACCGGATCCTTGAAGACCGTAGCAAAGAACACATTGACGCGCGGGCCGGTGCGGGTATGGGCATCGACTGGATGTCCAACCCATTACGCTGGTCTCAAACGTAAGTCATGTGCAACGATGGTGGTTCGTCCAAGGGCCTCAGCCATCTCTCCAGCCGATGGCAGCTCCCGCGCAGGCTGCCCCATACGTGACACGATCACAGATATCTAATATCTTGAGTGCCAGTGAGTCTTCGTAATGCTTTGGTTGTGAAGTCGACCTAACTGGGACGCAATAGCCCCTACGCCCCAGCCCTACATCCTTCACCAGCATTCTCGGAAGTGATTGCCGTTGCGGTAGTGTCCCTGCACCCATCGTCACGGTTCCGGACTCTGGCACCGTAACCGATGCCGATGAACGCCCAACACGTCCCCGAAAAAGGAAACGCTTCGAGGTGCCATCCAACATTGATGCCACGGCTATACGTGACTCACTGAGCCATCGGTCCGTCGCAGCGCGGGACTGCGTTTGCGCACTAAGGAGGGCTCTGTGTGTGGCCGAAGGGAGTATCCTGAACACTAAGCTATCCGGTATGCACGCTCCTCGAGCCTCGCAGTACATGCTCACCGAGGCGCGGACGTTGGTGCGGCCACCTCTGCAACTTTCACCGCCGCCCCGATAGCAGTCCCGGCTAGGGCACAACCAGGGATAGCCATCCTTGACCGTGACATATCCAAGCACCGGTCGCAATGTTGACCCCGTGGATTCTTGTTTCACCCAGTGGCACACCCAGAGAATCGCCTTTTTTGCGGCGTGCAACGCGTTGCCTCGCTGCAAACTGGTTAGCTCCAGCTGAAGGATCCTCGGAAGAGTGTAGGTCCAAGTCGTTCCTTGTCTTGCTACACGCTGATTTCTGATAGGGAACCCATGCCTGCTGCGTAGCTGTTCAAGCTCAAGGGCCACCTCCTCATCACGGGGACGACTTCCTCAGCCACATGCGACTCGTATCCGAGAATGACCTGAACGTGCGGAGTTCAAGTCGAGAGCTCTCGTCGTTGTCACAGACGTGTCGCGTCAGAGAACGTACCATTGCCAACGGGCGCGTTCGCTAGGCAACCTCCCGGCAAAGCGCATGCACAGACCCGGACTTTCAGACCTCATCCTCGGGTGTAAGAGCCCCGCGATCGATCCGCGCAATCCGCGCAGGAAGAAACGACAGCCAGATATGGACGAGATAAAGAGGTTCCTCGTACCGGATTGTCGCCGCCAGCGTCCGTCTGGTAGGACGTACGCTGACGTCGTCAATCCGGTGCGATGAACAACAACGCAGAAGGCTACATACCGACTGAATGTGATCCAAGGCAATGAGGTGAGCGATCCTACGACTTCATTACGTGTATAACCTTCCTTGCTACTTACGATTCTCGTCACCAATCGTCGCTCTCTAATGACACAATCTGGCGTCATAGACGTATGTGATTCTGTGGTGTCGTGGCGAACTGACTGAGTCCAGGCTCGACCTGGTGAACGGCGGTTTCAGACGCGTTTGCAAGATCCTCATACTTCGTATGCACTGTATAATCCAAAGAACTAGCTGTTGTAGGTCGAACGCAAGGCATGGACACAGCCAGAGGCTCGCCCGAGTCGACGTAGCGAGAGACTTGTGTGAGACGGCGGCCGACCGTGACGAGCGTCTTTCCAAATGCGGTTCAGACTCCGATCCCAGGAGCCAATCACGAAAAGGGCGCAGCGCACAAATGCCTCGCGTGCCTTACGCGCAGCGACCTTCGTCAGCCTCCGTCAAGCGCGCCGTCTGCTCACTCCCTCCCTTGTCCTCGACCACCTCGTCGCTGGCCCCCTCGTCCCCGGCGGACTCACCCTCGACGTCGCGTACGGACCTTACCACCCACGTCCGCGTGGTCCGAGCCGAGACAACTTCCCGGTGTTCGCGTCGCGCCCACAACTGCCCTCGATGATCAATTCAACGGTGGGCATTGGGCGCATATAGTCTGTCCTCGAAGCCAGCACCCCACTCGGAGATAAGGACGGCTCATCTGGCGTCCTCGTCCAGATCTATGACAAGCTGCGGCCGCCTCAACGCTTCGACGCTAATGCGACCATTCGCATTGGATGAACTGTGGGATGTCGTGAAGGATTTCTGGTGGCGGCAGGCAGGTCGAGAGTGACGAAGTGTAGTCTGGGTTCGACAGGGTGAGGGATAAAGACGGTGAAGAGGCGACCCAGGTGCGTCTCTCTCCCACTTCACGATCACCTCCTGACCCGTCGAGTGGGAGGATGCCCTCACGAAGCTCGACCGCACGGTGAGCCATTTAACAGCATATACGGTGCACGCCGTCCATCTCGGACCGTCTGCAGTACTCCTCTGGCGCTACTTCGGGGCATATCGAGTGAGAGGGATACCTCATGAAGCTCGATATGCCCTCATCACTCTCATGATGCCGAGTGCTCGTCGTCCTCGGAGGCCCTGAAGAAGTCGGACGCATATACCCTCGACACATTTGGTGGACCCAATCTTACGTTGCTGGTCCATGTGGTGTGGGCAATGTTCCCTATCGTCTCTGGCGGGAGGATCATTAGCAGATCGGCGACTGATGTACGATGCTACTCTCGGACGCTGTGGATACTTGTCCACTCTTGACAACACCTTGACAGCATCTAACTGGCTTATCTTCTCCGTCGACGACTCAATGAACTGTCTCTGCCTGGCTCTACTGGCGTCGCTCTCTGCTACTAGTCTCAACACGGCCAATCCGTCTACCAGCACTTGACTATCACCGGCACTCCTGCACGCACCCTTCCTTATCGCAGGCCCCACATCTGGATCAACGCACTGGATGCTTTCGCGCCCGTCTCTCGCAATTGGGGTCACTTCAACGGGTACTTCGGCTTGTTCTTTGCGCTATTCTGAGGACGGCTTCTCGTCTGTGCCGACCTCCTGCAGTATCCATCGCACTATCGCCACTCCTCTGTCCACTCTAGGCCTCACCATCACTAATGCTCGCGTCAATGTTGTGCTCGCTGCCTGCTGCGGGCCCCCATTACGGCCATCGTTATCCGATTACCTCCTTCCGGGGTGCCTGCTGATGCGTATCGTGCGCTGTAGTAACTCGGGGACGGACCACGGTTTTGACTCGGGAACGGCGTGCTAGTGCTACGTCCCGACCAACGTCGGCAGCGAATGCCATGCTGCTGTTTTGACTACGCGCTCCGCGGTCCGTCGTCCGCGCGCGACTCGAAGGCTCCCTCACACCAACTCAATGCACGACGTGTCCAGCCTACAAGCTATACCTTCTGCAAGTGCCCATACTCCACACGCATGTGCGAAGAGGCGTTCTCTTGCACGCATCGAACCCGTAGGACGCCAAGTTCACTAAAATGGCCGACCCTTCGCTCTGCGACTCCGGCGCCTATCCTAGCGGTTGTTTGTCTCGCTTTGCTTGGATTACGTAAGCGCCTAGCTCGACTTCTCGCTTAACTGCTCCTGCGCCCTTCCTTCCAAGCGACGAGTGTATCGCCCTCTTCCCTCAACGACGATGTGCTGCTGTCGTTCTATCCTGCCCTCCTGCATGTGCTACCTCGTCTGCTTGTGCGCGCTCTTCGCGCCCGTCGCACAGGCGGCGAGCAACGGCATGGACATGTCCATGGACGGCGCGATGGACCTCGCCTCGGGCAACATGCTCACGTATCTGCACTTCACGCCCGGAGACGTGCTGTGGTTCCAGGGATGGGTGCCCGCGAGCGCGGGGGCGATGGTGGGGGCGTGCATCGGGCTGTTCATGCTTGGCTTGGTGGAGAGATGGATCGCCGCGGCGCGGGCGGTCATGCAGGCTCACTGGGCGCACCGGTATGTCCATCCTGCACATTGCTGTCGGCGGGATACTCATCCTGTACAGGGCCCGTGTCGTGCAACTGAATACGGCCAGCGACGCTAGCCTGCCGACGACTACGTCGGACCGAGTCGACGGGAAATCTTCATCGCACTCCCTTACTGTGCCCGTCCTCCCTTCGACAATCCCGCGCACTCTCGGCCTCCGATCCGCTCCTCCGTTTATCCTCAAACACGAGCTCCCGCGGGGCGTCCTGCTCATGGTACAAATTGCGCTGAACTACGCGTTCATGCTCGCGGTGATGTGTGTCCGCCCTCGTCTTCTGCGATCTGGTTACTGACGGTTCGGTTTGTTGCGGCGGCAGGACATTCCAATTGGGCTTCATCTTCTCGCTGATTGTCGGCCTTGGTGTTGGAGAGATGCTCTTCGGGCGGTTTGGGTCCCACACTGTGTTGTGAAAAGCTTCTGGAGCGCGATCAATTACTGTACTATAGCTTCGTTGCCCCTTTGACATGCACGTCTTGCGCTATCTCGTTCTCTATTCCTACTGCTCGTTCTACAGCTGCCTTTGCGCTTCCGGACGTAGATGATCTGCAACATGACTCTCGGATGTATCATAATGACAGCTCTGCCATTCGCCGTGTAGGCGCGTTGCCCGTGTCCGTGATTGACAGACTGAAGCTCGGAGGGTGCCTGCCCGTCAATCGCGAGTTTTCTCGTTGGACGTTCTTCGTCGACTAGGCTAAGGCAGCGACGATCTGCGAGAACCCTCTCCAGTTGCAGATCATGTTCTTCCGCCTTCTGTTGGCGCATCGTTGCCGCTGCGCAGCGCCATAGCAATACATAAGGGCGGGCGCGATTGGACACATGAGCCGAAGACCGGGGCGCGGTGGGGGGTCAATTGCAAACTGATAAGATGGAAGGCGGGAACAGTGTCCCCGATCTGGCAGGTGGAAAGGTTCTTTCACCATACTTTGGCCCGGACAAACACGCTTCAGCCACACTTGTAGCAGTAGCCACCGGACTGGGCAACCCACTGCTCCCCTTCATCACCCGCGTTCTAGGACAACAACAGGGTGCGCAGGGCTGCCATGTCGTCGTACGGGACCCCACCGACTATTCCGTCTGCTCTGCAGCAGTACAAGTGAGTCTTCCCTCGTACAAGAGGTGCTGGGAAACTTTGTCGCTAACAATAGTATTTCTCCCCGCCCAGCTCCTACGTCGAGGACCCGAAATGGCAGAGGAAGTTCTCAGCAATCTGGGCTGCCGTCGCGGGCGTGGCGATCTTGCTCTCGCTCCCGCACTTGATACGGTCGCTGAGGAAGGGCCGGGGCTTGCAAGGTTTATTCGGCGTCTCGGAAAGCATTGCCTCGCAGCACTATGCGACAATCGGCGACGCGGGGGCGAAGCCACGGACGAGGAAACGAATTGTGTATGGTATTCTTGAGACGATCTCAGGGTTCTTCTGGTGGAGCATTCCCGCGGTTGGCCTGAGTCTCGGACAAGGTTTGTTCTCGCCTCGTCGACCTGGGCGCATTCAGTCACTAATAATATCCTCTCGTCCAGTGCTCTTGGTCGCAGGGTACCTTGTGGCAGTGATAGTATGTATAACAACGGATGTGCCTCTGGTAACAAACCCGAACCGAGCAGGTGAGCGCGGATAGACTTCCATACCGGCTTCGAGCTTTATTCACGACGATCCCAGGGTTCCTCGCCCTGGCGCAATTCCCCGTCGTCTACCTCCTCGGCACGAAGAACTCCATACTCTCTCTTCTGCTCGGTCCCGGAAGTGGCTACGAGCGTCTGAACTTCTTGCACCGCTGGGCCGGCCGTGGCATGCTGATCGGCGGCGTGATCCACGGTTCACTCTGGATTCGCAATCACCTGATATTCGGCCTGCCTATTCTCGGCCCGCAGAAGGAGACATCTGGCGTGGCCTGTCTCGGTCTCCTTTGCGGCATTACGCTCTTCTCGTTGAAGCCTGTGCGGTACTACTTTTACCAGCTCTTCTTCCTCTCTCAGTAAGTCGCACGGTCTCCCCGCTCTCGTTCGACGCTGATGAGGGTGCTAGCGTCCTCGGCTACGTCGCATTTACTGTCACGGTCTGCTACCACACGGAGTACGCATGGCCGTGGGTCTACGCCCCGCTTGCGTTCTACGGCCTCGACATGCTCTTGAGGCTGTTGAAGTACCGCATCAAGGATGCGACCCTCGTGCCAATAGACCAGAACATGACTATAGTACGTCATATACCAGCGTCTCAGACAGCAGTGCTCACGGCCTCCTCAGATCCATGTTCACGACTGCACGAAGGGCTGGCAACCCGGCCAACACGTCCGCCTGCGGGTCTTCTTCTCCGGACGCATCTTTGAGTCGCACCCGCTTACCATCATGAACGCGCCGTCGCCCGTCTCGTGCGTACCCTCCCAGACACTCTCGCTCGCAGCGAAAGCGAAGGGAGACTGGACGCGCGCGCTGAACGCCTATGCCATGGAAGAGCAAACGCGCCTCTGTGGCAGCGAGAAGGGCGAGCAGCTCGGGGTCCCCGTACAGGTCATGCTCGACGGCCCGTATGGAGGATGCAGCGTGGACCTGGGGCGGTACGAGAGTGCGATCTTGATCGCAGGGGGCTCCGGAGCGACCTTCACGCTGTCCCTCCTGGACGACATCGTCGCGCGCTGCGTGAAGTTCGGTCGATCGGGGGGCGAGCAGACGCGACGCATCGAGTTCGTTTGGTGCATCCAGTCTTACAGTAAGCCCGCCCACGCACGGGACGCTGGCTACGTACTCACCGCGTCGCTTCACAGGCTGCATAAACTGGCACGCGCAGATGCTCACCGAGCTCGCACACGCTGTCGCCGGCACGTCACTAGACCTCCACATCTCCATCTTCGTGACCTGCCTCTGCAACCCCGACGCCGTCCCCGCCATCCCCAACTCTGACGTCGTCCTCCTCCGGCCCAGCGTCGGCAACCTCCTCCGGCAATTCGTCACTCCACCAACGGAAGAGGAGATCGCTGAGCAGCCGAAGTTGGCTTGGGTCGGCCTGGGCGGCGGAGTCGCCGTCTGTGCTGCCGGTCCGGAGTCGCTCACGACGGAAACGCGGAATGCGGCCGCGAAGCTGAGTCTGACGAGAGGACTGCAGCTTGGCGGTGTGGGGCTGCATACGGAGACATACGCTTTATGATTTTAGCACCTATGAGAGTTCGAGTCGGACTGCTCGTGTATTGTACGACCTTCATCATGGAACATCTGTACGTCAGGAATACGACAATACTGCATTCAATCGCGGCCTACTATGATTACTACTATTTGACGCATATCCGGTGAATTCGTTGACGTCTGTTTGGCATCTCCCACATGCACATCCGCCGTCTTCGCCTTTCCCTTTATATTCGACATTTTACTCATCTGGTGACCTTCCCTTTTCATGATGGTCAGCCTCATGATTTGTTTTAGCAGCTTGCTAGGAACCTACTCCTCCTCTCCGCGTTATTAGGGGCCCGGGCAGCTGTTTGTCGCCCCTAGTATGTGCGCGAAAACAACGACTCGGAGTGACCATTTCTTCCTCCTTCACGTTGAACCGGTTTTCTCATACTCGTACAAGCAACCTCTAAGCAAGCCCTACCAGCTAAGCGGAGCGAAGCGAAGCAGTCCCTTGTAAAATAGTAGAGTTTCGACTTTCATGCGAGAGCACGTGAGACCCCTCGCTAGAGCGCCTCGAGATGTGGCGTACACGGCACCGGTACAGCGTCTAGATATTCCTGCTACCTCCACCAAACCTCCACTGTCATGTTTTTCTCGACATCGACGCGTTTTACGCACGCAATGCGCGCGAGCGTCAGCGCTCAGTAGAATGCTCCTCTTCTTCGGTGACGTTGAACACGCAAGTCGGAGGTTCTGCACGGTGTTCGTGAGACCCCAGACGCTCACAGTCTACAGAGACGGCAGCGATAAACGCCGGTTCATGTTGACCACCGCCCACTGGCATGGGAATGCCCCTCCAGAGAATAACGTGTACTCGGGAGCGCCTCGATATATGGACAAACTTAGTCCGCAGTGAGTACTTGCAGTGAGTACTTTGCTGGCAATTGCCACACTGTTCAATATGGATATTTCAGCGATGTGACGAATCAGCATGCATTCAGCTACCTCTGATGCAGATGAACACTAGATCTTCCAATAATCCAATGCATTCTCTCCCTGCTCGAACAGATAACCGCCCTCCCCGGACACCACTACCATCCTGTTTTCCTTCACAGCAACACGCAGTTCATTCACTGCCGCCCGCGCGAACGACATGTCAGTCGCTCGCCCGCTTTCCACCTCTTCCTTGCAGCTCTGGACGGCTTGACTGATGTCCACGTCGATCGCCGCCAGCAGAGTCTCCAACTCGCTTCCTTCCGTCCACTTTATGCCCTCCGCCGCGTTGACAATCACCGCGAGGATCTTGAGACTCGCGAATCCGAGGCCGGCTCCGTAGAGCGCGCGGACCCGGGAGAGAACTTGGCGCAATTTTTCGGTCGGTGGTGTACTGAGACTGCGCGATGCGTCGGATATGAAGAGACCCTCCGAGGATGGAACGCTCGTCGCCCCGGTCTGTACCAGCCTGCGTCGCGCCAGAGACGCAAGGCCCGATGCCGATGCCGGAGGGCTGGTGGCGAGCATCCCTCGTACGATCGCGCGGAGACTGCAGAACGTCGTCCCATTAGGTGAGCATCGGTGTCCCGCTCTCGTGAATAGGGAACTCACTCTTCTGCGTTGGCATTGGCAATGAACGTATCCATCATGAGGTTCCTGTGTGGGGTAAGCAACAAGATGCTAAGGTTCTGTAAGTCACTCTTATCATAGCGGAAGACTAACACATGACCGAGCACTGAAGATGCCGTGCGAGAGGAGAGGTCAGAGGAAGGCGCCGGCATTCAGGCCCAGACAGTTTGCTCAAGGATGAAGGGAAGATTCCCCGATTCAGCGGTAACCTGTGCTTTATACCGTCAAGGCATGTCCTACAGTCTCCGCGCAGAATTGCTGATGACTTACACGCCTGTACCCCTGAACACGCAATGCGAGTGCCTCATCCTTGGCCGCCACATCAAGGAATGTATCCACGGAAGACCAATCCGAACAAGTCGCATACCGGGCCTTCAGTTCCTGCGAATTTTCGGTGATGCCATCCACTTGCGGTGTACACCGCAGAGACCTCCTGCGTCCTTTGTGCAACACAGCGGAGCATATGGCACGAGGGCCATCGATATTGCGCGCTGCGAGCACACGCAGTGGTCATAGACTCATCGGAGCTCTCGGATCTTAACAACTTTGGTGGGCACCACCCTGATCGTTCTCGCATAGCCATCTACTTAACGAGGTTAATATCATGATCATTGCGGCGACTACCCGTGCACAGTATTCCTGACTCGCGCCGGAACAATGACGACAAGTCAGATTGACAGATGAGATAGAAGCAACCTCTTTCGTTGAGGGTGCTTTGGGATGGCAGCCGGCGCAGCGCCGTGGCCGCTCTTAGTTCGAAGTCGTTGGATGTCCGTAACACGCGCATCGATGGAAGTTCAGCCTTTCACACACTGGACTCTGTACAGGCCACTTGATCCTCTCCTCGTCCTGGTAAGTTCGTCTCAGACCAGTTTAGAGTGAGACATTCTGCACGTTTGACGATGTCTCGGTCATACTGGTCACAACTACGGCACAGAAGCCTTTGGACTCACCATGCATGCACGAGGCTCTAACGGCGGCGCGTAGACTGCACCCACAGCATCAATTTGTCTATGATATGGACAAATGGATTAGAGGCCGTGTATAGCAAATCATCGACGTATGTAATATGCGATCTAAGTTGTACAACAATGATACCGTGAGGAGATGCAGCATGTCCATGTAAGAGACGGGAAGAGATGCAACGATGAAGTCCATTATAATCTGCTATTAGACGGAGTGAAAGAGTTCAAGCGTTGAATAGGTTGCAGTTTCCTCTTGACGTCTCGCAAGATAGTGGTCTTCGGGTGCCAGTCATCGAATGCGTCTCGCAATTGCGCGAATTCCCGTGCGAAGAGGTGAGCGACTCGTTCGTCGGCGATCATATCGCGAAGTGACCATGGAATCTGCAAAATCAATTCGTCATTGACCATTGCTGTACGATAACCACGGTGCGGGCGCACCTCGTAATCATTCTGTTCCTCCACAGCATTGAAAGAGTCTATATTGAGCTCCACGTCCTCTTTATCACCATCTGTGGTCAGAAAGAAGTACTTCACTGCCAAACTATAGTGGTGCATCAATCCTAAATCACTACGAGCGCAGGCTGTAATGAAGACGCACGAGAATGTGGCGAGTTCCTCATACACTGTGGAGTGGCCGATGCCACTCAACGTGCCAGCAGTAGCCTCGGACAGATGTATCAGGAGGCCACCATCAGACAGGCCAGCGTTCAATATACGAATGAGCAGAACGAGCAGATTGGTCAAGAAATCGGAGGAGCTGGACACAAGGCGCTCGTGAGCAATCAAACAACAGATATAGACCGCGTGGACGCACTGGTATGCATCACCGTCGATATACAAAGCGCGCAGAATTCGAGGGTGCGACGCAGCCGTAAATAAGCCAGAATAGATAGGAACAACCTGGTCGTTGAGAGACGCGATGTACACCATCTTAGCCTGGGAGCAGGAGTCTATATCAACTATCCTGTGTATGTGATCTTCACTTACACCATGATCAACAACGTTCTTGAGCGCCTTGGCGTAGTTCTTCGACAAGCGGGATTGGGTATTCTGACAAACGATCAATCAGCGCTGAAATACGGTTCGGTGGGATACGGTACCTGGAACTCGAACAACTCCCGCGCGGAGGCATGTTCGAAATACTACGTTTCACCTGTTATTAGTCCGCCTCACCAGCAAAATGACACTAGACACACCTGAATATATGGCTGCAGGAGCGAGCTCGCCCCCAAATACCTCAACGGCCCAAGGTGGATTCCACAGAGGGCTAGGAAACCAATGCGTTGGGCTTGAGTGACAGATGGAGCAGCGCTTCCCGGGGCGACTGCAGCTGCCGTCCGCTTCAATATGTCCACGCTCCGCGACGTGAGAATATGACCATCGCGAACCAGACGGTCAATCAGATGTGTAGCCACGATGGATCCTTGTGAGTGTGCAGCCACAAGGATGACATCTGCGGCATGGAGATCTTCCATCCAATCCTCGTTTGATAGTAAGTGGTCGTGAACCCTGAAGGATGTGTCCGAAAACACGATGAGGATGCCGTGAGGGTGCCGTTGGCAATCAGACTTACTTCGACACTTTCCGCTCAATGGTCCCGTCTCCTTCCAATGGGACCCTCGTGATCTTCTTGAACTTGAAGCTGTGTTCCTGCTCGAGCTGTTCCAGCGCTTGACAGGTCATGTCGACAAACTTGGAGCTAGAAGATGGCAGCTGCGTAGATGTACGTTAGACAGATACATACAACCACAAACGAGGTGAGAACTCACTCCACCAGCCAACGTCCTAGTCACCGCGCCTGTAGACAGATATCAGCATCCGCAGATCACCAACGACTCGACAACGGACCTGGAGACCACCCGGCCACCCCGATCACGACCACCCTACAGCCCCCGTTGAGCATGTAGAGATTGAGGGTCTCCCCGATGACGTCCAGCGCCTTCGGCAACTCCTTGCCCAAGTGGATGAATTTTGCCTCCCGCTCCCGTTCCTTACCCTTCCCCTTGCCTCCCACCTCATCATCCTTGCTGAACAACACGTCGCTCACGAGTGAGATCGTCTTCGACATCTTCGCAAGCTTCGACTTCCCCTGAGGTTTTGGCGGGACGATCGAGCGCGGTGGTGATAGGAAGGTTTGCTCCCACGTCGGGAGCACCAGGTTCTTGAGAGACGGCGGTCGGGGCGCCATTGCAGAGTGGACACTAGACGCCCTCGATGGCGCTGGGGAGGGAGTCCGTGCAGTGCCTTTCGTATCACTCATCCGTCGATCCACGGCGGAGACGGAGCCAATGGACTTCTTGTGCGCATGTTCACGCCTTGCGGAAGGCGCTGATGCCTTCGACGACGGTGACACTGGCCGCGGCTGCAGTTGGTCCTTGCCCGGTGCGATCACGACGGGTGCAGAAGGCCCTTCCTGTTTGTCTTCCTCCTCATCGTCAACATCCATCACTTCCATACCATTCTCATCCTTCTCCTTCCCATCGTCCGATATGGACTTTGTGAGTAGCGCCTTGGACATGAAGAACGATACCCAGCCGGAACGGCTCGCAGTGATAGACGACTCGATAGGGTTCTGCAACTCTGCCGATGGAGACAAAGCACTGTCCTGGGGTGGCGGTGGATCAGAGGCCACCGCTATCACGGGGATCTCAGTCTTGTCAACCTTGTCATCGGCCTGTTCGTCTCGCGCAAGCGCCTGTTCTTTGACCATCTCGGACTCCGTCTTGACGTGTTCGCTTGAGCCTTCTTCGTCCTTAGTCGCTTCAGGCGCCTGGATTGTAGACGAACCGGCATCCGCAGGGTTGGGAGACATGCTGTACCACGCCCAAGGTGAATACCACACCGAGTTACGGCTCTTCGCGGTCTCTGCAGAGAGTATCGACGCCGGTTTCCGAGCAGGAGCCGATGCGTTCTCGATGTCATCCGTGGTCAAGCTCTTCTGTACCTCAGGCGGTAGCTCCTCGTGCAGAGAGCTCCCTACTGCAGGGGGTGCGGAAGCCGTAGACGCCGTCTTGACCATCTCAGGAGCTGGCGATGTGGGAGTTGTTACTTCCGCTTGAGCATTAGCCTTGACGGTGTCAACCGTGAGAGTGTCTGGCTTCGCAGGCCTGTCCGAAATGGACTGCGCACTGTGACTCCAGCCAACATAATCCCACCAGGATGACGTATGCGCAGGATGATCAGTGACCTCCGGCGTCTTGTCATCAGAAGGTGGCCTCGGTGGCGACGTAGACAGCTGCGGTTCCGGAGAAGACGACTCGGCCACAGGCGACCGCACGGGAGGTGAAGTAGCCGACACTTGAGGGGAAGGTGGTTCAGGATCTGACGCCGTGATTGAGGTCATCATCGCACGCTCGACTTGCGTAGGGATGGGTGTACCAGGTGGTGGCAGCGACTCTTCTGCAGGTGGTGGGGAGTCACTCTTGTCTGTGCAGTAGAGTAAGACACGAATTCCATTGAGCGAAAACATTGTGGGCCCCCTCACCTATGCTGTCGTTATCCTTGCGGTCACCTACATTGGCTGGAGACTGCAGTTGACCTACGGGATAGATCATTAGGCCTACTTTGTGAAGATGTATGTCATAACACGTACTGGCAACATCCTTTGCTCCGTCGTCTTCCGCAGCGACATCGCTTCTCCCGGATGTCGCTCCGTCCAGTTGTGCACCCGCTTCCGCGCTCTTGACAGCCTCCTGTAACGGGACTTTGGGGCGTCCGAGTAGGGGTATGCGTAGCGTGAACCGGCTCGTGGATGGGTTCAGGTCCGAGACCGAGGGCTTGCGCCCCATGGACGGGTCGTCCTGGGGCTGCACCTGCGCGCGCAACATCTCGGCAGGCGGGCTGCCTGTTGTGAGTCTCAGCCGTGGGACTTCCTCGTCGACTGATGTGAGGGAGGGCGACTCGACGATACGAGATGCAGCTATGGCTGGCAGAGTCTGATGCGATCCAGGGGAGGTTGGACTAGACGTCTCCTCGGATATCTGGATAAGTGGCTGAGGGATTGGGACGGACTGTGGTCGTACTGTGCCACTTTCCGTTCCCGGGTCCTTGCGTTTGTCTTCGTTCGAGGAGGATGGACTCGCGCTCGGTTGTTCGGCGGTCATAGTAGGATCAGGCTTCAGTGCGTCCTGTGCAGTCGGTCGGGTTCGGCCGTCCTCGTCTCTAACAGTATCCTTCCCTCGAGCGCGAGACAAGGATCCAAACCACGATGAACGCGTCGACAGCTGCTTCTGCTCATACTCAGCACTTGGGAATGGCACAGCCAGAGTGGACGCCTTGAGCTCTTCTGTGGGTGGTCTGGCTACCAGCGGTGGCGCGTCTGGGGGTACTATGACTGTCTGTATGTCAACCAGGGCGAAGAAAGCCGCGCGGATACTGTATGTGTCACTACAAGCCGGATGGCATAACTCTCAAGCCTGACGCCGTCCACCCAGCGAGCCAGGGTCGCGCACCCTCTCCCCCTTTGGGCTCCCCCGAGCCGGGAGTGCTTGGACGGGAACCCCAAAGTATCGTTCGTGCGAGAACAACAGTGGTTATTGCCTGCCAGACCGTCGCCAACACAGGCCAGCCCATGCCTAGAGACGCTCACATCTTGCCACTTTCATTGGCCCCAACCAGCTACAGCCAGCTACTGCGTATGCCCTGTACGGGCACTCACACTGCTCCAGTCATGACTCCCCACTCTCCGTGGCGGTCCATCCTAGGACATGCCCACCACCACCGCAACGCGTCCTCCATCCGGTTTGTAGTGACGCATACGCTATTATGTGTGATGCTAGTACTCACCTTCGTTAGTCTCTTCCATAAGCTGGTCCTGTGCAGTCTCCTCCTGAGGTGGTGGGATCAGTGCGAGGCTGGGCGGTTGCGCAGCCGCTGATTGAGTTCGCGTTCGTTTACGATCCAAATCGTCCTCGCCCTCCACACTACTCGGTTCTCTTCCTACAGTAGACGTCGACGAGAGACGCTCCCGTTTCTTTGACATTATGCTCGAAGAACTGGAGGTGTCGTCTAGAGCATGGGCAGGTAGCTGATCAATTGCGGAGCGCAGCTTCGAACCTTGCTCGGGCTGCGCGAAGACTAGTGAGATACTAGCTGGTTGTTGGCTCTTAGTTGTTGAGATCGTCCGTCGCCAGCGAGCAGGATGCGTCGAATGTGATGAACGACGACTAGAAGGACTGGATGGGCTCGCGGACATGGAGGTCGATGAAGAGCAACGACCGCGCGATGTTCAGAGACTGACGTATTCGGGATAATTGGGTAACCCATTAACACGTTGTTAGATAAGATTAGATCGGACCGCCAGGCCCACCACTTGTTCTGCCACAACCATTCAAGTTGAGTTTATAGTCAAGTTGAGCAGTAGTAACGAGTAATTATGTGGCCTCATACTGGTACAAAAAGCTTCCAAGTGAGTGTACTCATATAACAAGCCAGCTAATGAAGTATTTACAAGTAATGATAAATCAGAGTCAGCTGCGCCGGCAGTACAGATCCGTCACCTCCGACGCTGACTCCCACAGCTATACCGGGGATATTTCACTCTCACCCGCAGAAGATGGACTCTGTAAGAGCTCAGGGTGGACAGTCGACAAGTGGGTTGCAACATCCTTCTCGCTCCTGTTAAAATTGGGGGGTGCGAAGACGATCGAGTCCATTGGCGCACTACTCGAGTCCCCGCTTGTAGAGGCCGATCGTCTGCTGAGCCCGATACGAATGAAAATGGTATTGAAGATGACCGAGATGAGTGCAGGGATCTGCAAGATATGCGATCAGCGTCGGTGATCAGTCATGGCACGACGTCACAGAAATACACTTACGAAGCTGTTGATGACATACTCAACCTGGAGAGCATGTATAGCCGTCACCAACGCGACAATGAGGATTGCTGTGTAGAGCGCTCCCGACTCGATGATCACAAGCAGGACGGGCCAGAGACTACTATGGCCACGCTTAACGCCGCTCTTCCTCGCGTCGCGTTCAACGGTCCAGATCTTGTATGCAAGGAGAACTACGAGCAGTCAGAGTCCGGCGTGTAGTAGTGGGAGCGGAACGGACGTACCAGTTGCTGACCCGTTTGCTACAAAAGTGAAGATATAAATGAGGAGGCCGCGCTCGCCATTGATGACGCCGCTCGCGAACATGTATAAGATGTACATCATACTTCCTACAATGGGAGGTGTCAGTCGGGTAATAAGCGAATGTTAGTGCGCCCGTTGAACGTACCTAGACCACCTATCCATGCAATGCACGGTAGAACAACGACCCACCAGGTCTGCCAGACGATGTAGCAGCGGTATATCTATGCGGGAACAGCTGAGCTATTGCTGGTTGACACACAAACTCATAAACTCACCACTACCGCATCACCAATAAGTGTCTGGAGACCGTATATCGCATTGTCCGTGAGCGACACAGGCGTGGAGAACGTGGATAGGTATTGCTGCGGACCGAGCTGTCCTTCATCAATGTGGTCAACGAACGCGGTGACGGTAAGGTTGATGTCGATGCAGAGTCGCTGTAAAACCTCTCAGTCATTACTCAGGGATCGAGAACATGGGAACTGACGATAGTCGGCAAAGCCCACAGCAAGAACGCGGTCACGAGCATGAGATAGCTTCCCCGCAGACCACGCTGAACCCCGAGAACCCACACCGTTATGCCGAACATGCAGCATGAGAAGCCTAAGACGGGTGAACGATCCTCAGCTTCCGAGTCACCTCCAGCTTCGAAGCGCAGAAGCTCACCATAAATAATCGATTGTAGAGCGATCGAAGTAATGGGTGTCCTCGCATTTGTGCCTGCGATGTAAACCGGCATGATTGGTACCGTGCGCGCACAGACGAAAGACGGTGAGCAGCAAGCGGCGAAAGCCACGCCGCTATGATGGAGCGATCACATATACTTATGCCTGGGGAGCATCGACAGAGTTTGAGGGATGCGCGTGGATGATGGGGAGCTACGTGACCGACCAGTGCATGCCGAAGCAGCTTCTGATCAACCGGGGCATTCACTCGCCGAAGATATCAGCAACTGAGCCGACCGTGCGATACATCGGGAGGAGCAGCGTGGTGGCGTCCCATGACGCACGTCGCATATGCGCATCCTACATACTGACCGCCACGTCCTGTACGATTGGCGAAATGGTAATGTGCGAGCATGGATCTTGGCTGAGCAGAATAGACTCTCGATGAGCCGTGGCATACATGTCCGTATGTCTGGTGATATACAAACGTTAGAGAGCACAGAAGTTAGGAGTGTGCGGCCAAAAGGAAGATTCGAGACTGGGATGCCAGTGTGCTTTGGAGCATCAAACGAAGCTTGTTGGTAAACGCAGTGCGTACATTATTGACTTCTCACAAGGCCCCATATACGACTGATCTCGCCTGGACCTCGCAATGCCGTCTCAGGCTGGGAGTAGGCTGAGTAAGTACGCATGCTGCCGCGAACAGCACAGGATTGACTTCGATGACCGCGTACGCCTACCTGCCAGGCACTGCGATATTTGTCAGCCGCATTCGCTGCGATGATGGCCCAAGCACGCAGAATGCCCTATACCTTCACACAATTGCGGCGCCGGGTGGGCCAGTGTACACCTGCTGCAGATGTCACGAAATATGGACCCCGCCGCTGTGTGGGGAACAGTGAAAAGACATTCGAAACGCTCTTGTATATATAGAACTCACATTAGGAAATAGACGGTGAGCTCATCTCATCGCAGGAATTGCTACATACGTGTCGTGCCCGTTCGGGACGTAGCCGAGGAACGATATCCGAAACAGCATACCGAGTGGGAGGAGGGGGGAGGATTGGATAGGCTGATACTTTTGCCCCGACGGAGGCCATGGTTAGGCCATAATGATACAACGCAACGATGGCCCAGTGCGCACGAGTGATTGACTCAATCCGAGGTAAACGAGAGCAGCTGGCATCAAGATCTGTCGATGAACAACATGTTCTAGCATCTCGGAAGCAAGGGGAACTTGCCTTAGACAATTTTGGTATGTCAGAGGATTCGGAACTTGAGCCAAAGTGACTTGTGAGCTGTGTCAGATAGGTGCCACAAAGTTTAACTGATGCACGGCCTCAGTCACTTCTAGGAGAGAGACCCATGTCTCATACGACACCTGTCGGTGCCATTAGTAGGTCTCTGAGCAAGAGTTGCAGCTGGTAGGAAGAGGAGGGTAGCCTACTGAGCATTATAGCTACTACTAGTACCAGTATAGTAGCCATCTAGGCTACTTTATATATTTATACGTCGCGTACTGATGGGCGCTAATCAGTAAAGTCTTACTCAGTAAGTACTTCTCACACGTTGAGCTCAGCCGCCGGGGATCCTCGCTTCGGCCGCCGCCTGCACTCAGCACTGTAGTAAGCTAAATATTCCCAGCTGCTAGATGGAGACGCGTGGATGACCTCTGGATAACCTGCTACCCATGACCCATATTCCCCGAGGAAGGCTGTTTGCAGCGTGACTCACCACTGGCTGTACTGTAACAGTGTAACCCTAGAGCTCGTTTTCTCCGAGTCAACTCCCGACATCGTAAGCCGAGCTATTTCACCTCAATATCTACCAGACCTGCCAGTGTCCGAGTCGTAGACGTTGGCACGGTCGGTTCGTTGATGCTTCTCGAAGGACCCCCAGCAGTAGGGAGACATCGAGCGTGAAATTATGTTCTCACTGGACGTTCTCGGAGGTATCCTCGCCGCCGCGTCGCTCGGATATGTGAGTATCTTCTACGTACCAACTGGGTATGACCTGACATGACAGACAGGCCGCTCACTATGCCGTGTTCAAACCGTATGAATCTCTGGCCAGAAACCCGGGATGGCTGGCCACTCTCTTGCTACTCGTGCCAGCGCTGCCCGCAGCCATGCTCCGAGTCCCGACAGGCTCGACTCTGCTAGCCTTGCTGGTAGCGTATTGCACATATTACTCTTCAATTCTGCTTGCTACTGCTGCATACCGCCTGTCGTCAACACATCCCCTAGCGATCTACCCCGGGCCTTTGCTGTGCAGAATGACGAAGTTATGGATGGTGTACCAGGCAAATACCGGGAAATCACACGAATTCATACGGAGTCTACACGCCACATATGGTCCTGTCGTTCGCATCGGTTCGTGACGCGAAATGCTGGATTATCTATGTGACTCACTCTCTTCTAGGTCCCAACGAGCTCTCGGTAGTAGATGTAGATCTGCTACCCCGTATCTTGGGCCCGGAAGGCATGCCCAAAGGACCTCGTATGTATTTGACTCAATTACTCTGATCGCACTCATGCGATTGTACAGTATGGGAGGGTCGTCGGATCTCGGGTAAGAGAGGTGCGGGCGCGAAGAACAACCGCGGGAACCTCATCGGGAACCGCTACAAGGACCGTCACGCAGAAGCTCGCAAGACATGGAACCGCGCATTCGCGCCTGCCGCTATGAAAGACTACGAACCTATTCTCATCCGGAGAGTCGCACAGCTGGTAGACGAGTTGAAGCACAAGGGCACGGCAGCGCCGGTTGACCTGTCACTATGGTTGAGTTACTGCATGTGAGATCCCCAATCATTGCCCAGCACGTCCGACTTACTGAGCTTGAAACGTCAGCTTTGACTTCATGGGCGATATGGTGTGCGTGATCAATTATATCTCTCTCCGAAGTGACCTGACGAAGCGACCCTCAGTTTCGGAGGTGGATTTGAGCTCATGCACGAAGGAGATCGAGACGGCATCTACCGTACAATGGTCGCGGGTCTACAGTGAGTCACTCTGTTCCCGGTTGCCCTTGCAAGCATTGAGATGATCGTACGAAACAGTCTGCCAGCTCTGACACAGCAAGTCCCGTGGGTAGCACCAGCGCTACCGTACGTGCCCTGGATTGGCAAGCATATGAAGGCTCTTGGTCAATTTGCATTTAAATGTATCACCAAACGATTACAGGAGGGTTCCGTCACAAACGATCTCTTCTATCATCTTGTAGGTGTCGTTTTCACGTCGCCCGCGGGAGTCTGCTTATGCCCTCTCAGCTTGACGAGGTGCCAAATCCGGAGAAGCAGACACCGTTCCCGGTCATCATGACCAACGCAGTCACGGCGATGCTTGCAGGGTCTGACACGACCGCAGTTGCCCTGTGCAATGCCTTCTACTGTGTGCTCGCCCATCCGGACGTCTACCAGCGTCTCCGTGGGGAGATCGACGCCGCATTTCTACCCAGCGCCGGCGAGCCCGTCGACGCGGCGAAGCTCGCGAGCCTTGTGTACCTTAACGCCGTAATGTAAGTCGCTTGCATCGCTTCTCGTTCGTCTGCATATGCTCATTAGCAATGCAGTAACGAGACGCTCCGCCTTTACCCGTCTATCCCGACTTCCCTGCAGCGCGCGCCCCAACCTGGCACAGGCACGCACCAGATCAGCCCTACCTTCGTCATCGACGAGCGCACGTCTATCCTCATCCCGCCATACGTCCTTCACAGAGATCCACGCTACTTCTCTCCTGATCCCGACCGGTTCTGGCCCGAGCGCTGGCTCCACAGGGACGATCCTACCGTCGTTACGAACGCGAGCGCGTTCATTCCCTTCTCGAGTGGCGCGCCGAACTGCGTGGGGCGACCCGTCGCCTTACTGTCGATGCGCATGGTGCTCGCGTGGATGGTGCGGAGCTTTGAGATGAGCCTGGCGGAGGGGTATGATGTGAAGCAGTGGGAGAAGGATTTGAAGGACTACTTCGCGTTTCAGAAGGGTGAGCTGCCGGTGGTGTTGCGACCACGTTTCTAGTCTCTGTCGGAATATTGATGGACGCTCCGACGACTGGGGCACAATGGCGGCTTTACATATAATTGCGTTTTCAACGGTTGCGCAACAGAAGGCAGTTAACGGACAACGTCGCAGATGACCCTCCAGGACAATATGATTCTGAACGCATCCTCCTGGTCCCTCCAGGCCCGTCTCTTAAGCTTGAATGCGAGCATATCGTTGATTTCCTGTATACGTAGCATGTCATTGTATAATACAGTCATGTATACACTAAAGTAGCTAAGTCAGTGACGCGTTTAGTTGGATGACTAGAATTCTGTTAGATAGCGAATTGATAGCGAAAGAGTGCATACGCGTCGCGATGGACACTCGATCACGTGGGCGTGTCTACCCTATATCGTGCCGGCGCCTAGTCGCGCCTCAGACGACGTCGACCATCCTGATTCCTCTCCCATTCATCTTAGTGTGTCTTGCAGTGAGTGACAGACCGTCGTCGCGTTCACTTCATTTAAGTTGCTCGAAGCGTTACCACTGCCTCGAAATCCTATCTTTTAATCCCGCGAGATTGTGCGATCAGTGGGCGAAGGTCGATGACGGGGACAGTAGCAAGGGGAGTCGTACTTCCGAGCAAGGATATATCCTCACTCACCGCACTGAGCCTTGAGGTAAACAGACGGGTGCGTCGTGGTTCATCACATTGAATTGACGACGTCAACATACGTCCTACCAGACGGACGCTGCCGGCGACAATCCAATGTGACTGTGACACACGACCGAACTTGAAGGCATCCAGGTGCGTGACTGATATGCACCCCGATTGCGTGAACAGTGCGTATCATCGCTCGCGTGGGCGGGGATGGACCCTCTGGTGTCGATGACAGGTGCAGATGATAGTCGCATTTACCTGGATCGTCGAGTTGGGCTACGAGACGGGTATGGGCTCGGCCTGCGAAGTGGCGGGTGGATCAATTACAGTGTACACTGGCAGATGGTGCACCTAGGGTAGTCGCGAAAGGTCATGTATACCTAACAAGGGATCAACAATGGATGAGACGGCAAGCGACGCGGACGTACTCGCATTCGAAGCAGCTTTTGTTGCGGGCGTTGTGCGACGCTCGCGTTCGTCGTCCGATTGATTCTCGAGGTGCGCGATAGAGTCTCTCCCGGGGTTGTTGTGCTGATTCATGTACACCTGTACTTTCGAGAATGAAAGAAGAGGTGTAATAAAGGCGTCGCTCCGATCTCCGGTCAATATGCCTTGCTGCAAAATATCGACAGCCCGGTCAGTCCTCGATGCATTGACAGGCACTCGATATCGGAGACGACCTACTTGCGTTCGCGCGCAATACACTACCTTAGGCTTGCAGCAAGCGAGTATTCCCTTCGCTTCCCCGCACGTTATGTCGAGAAGGTAAGCCAGGTCTCGCGAACCGCACGATGCTCAGTCGGTGTCAGTTAGAGGCTCATCATCCGCGGTGGGGGGGGGGGGGGGGGGGGGGTCCAGAAGCGCAATCGTGATTTGGCGTCGAGGTTCCAGTGCACATTGCTGTCTATCCAGAAATAATCTGAATATATGATGGTGAGTCAACTGCCTCATACTGAGTGTCATTGCGGTTTGCACTCACAGACGAGCACCATCGCTATCCTCCCTCCAGAGCGCTCGCCGGTGCGTCTCCACCATTCAGGTTATCATCGAGGTGGTCCGCTCACGCCATGCGGGCTCGTGCGTTGGGATCAGATCGGTAAAGCCACACTTCGAAAAGAAACTCCAGGAGCTCGTCGATGGACGTTCCCGCGGTCGGCGTGGTACTTGGATCGTTTAAATTGTCGATGCTGAGCTCAGTAAACCCCTGTGGGAGTCTAGGACGGTGAGTCAGTTAACATAGCACAAGTTCTCATGTCGGAGACTTGACAACTCATGTACTCAGAGGTTCACGTGCTATTTCCCGCATCCGCGGAGCTGTCGACGAGCAAGCGTCTGGTCGATGTCAAATCGTCCTTTGCGCTTGTCGTAACGCGTAGCAGGGCGAACATAGGCAAACTGAGGAAAGTGGACTCGATACGGAGAGCGGTGTCGCGCATAAAGGAGGCTTACCGGTAAAGCCAATGGCTTCGTGCGTGGCCGTTTGACTGATGATATTCTGAAATAGCGCTGCTTGGAGCTTGTACAAAATAAGCTCGGTCGCCGTGCTCGGTCAATGCTGCTCACCGGACTAGCAGGCGCATTCGCGCCATGTCAATTATGGTCTTCAGATCGTAGAATATGATCGAGGCGCGCATTTCCACCAACGTGAGGAACTCGAGCGGACGAGCATCTGGCTGAGAGGTGGTCTGATGGCGCTCGTTGGGGCGAGTGTTGCGTGCGAGACGGCCCCTCTTATATGCGAATGAGAACACTGTTCTACCCCATTCTTGTCATACATTGTCGTTCGCTTCCAAAAGTGAGTGGCCAATGGATCTGATTTTGTCCATTGTCCGTGGGTCCACTCGGGTGGCACCGTGACATCCTCACGCAGGGCATCATGTACAAAGGACGCTCCGCGGGCATGTAGAGGTGGCAAGCGTCTCTGTCCGCCTCTCATGGACATTGGGGAAATAGTTTGAGCAGACGTGTTTATGCTCACTGGCAGTACAGTCATGAAGTCACCGAAAATGACGTGAAAACTCAACATGCGCACCCTCCTTGTCGACATTCAGGACGTCTTATGTGTTGTTGGAGACTGCCTGTGCTACATAGTAGACTAGCAGAACGCGTAGATACCTGCTATTCTGGCATGACCATCCGGTTATAGCGCAGCGAACTGAACAAGGCCCGATCATTCAAAGCTGCAGCCACTTTCATCTCGCCGCTTGCTCCTGGACCATCAAGTCCTTGTCCCCGCACCTCTGTTGCAGCTCTGTTGAATATATTATCATCGAATGCGCCTCAGTCTGGCACACCCTTACCAAATACGCGTTGACAGCACCGACGGCGCGGCCGCCGGACTGAGTGCACAATTGGGAAGCCGGCGGCGACGGGGTCACCTCAGTCGGGACCGTCGGGACCGTCGCCAAAATGGGACACCGACCTCCTCGTTCTCACCCCTCGACGACCTCTTTCTCAGACTACCTGCTTCTCATGTCTAAATCTCTATAACATCGCCAACATTTGTAGAACCTGTGCTACCAGCTTTCTAGCGCTCTCGGAGAGTTCACTGATCCAGCGCTGCCCACCCACTGGCAGGGTCCTGCTTATACATAGGTCCCGCACATCGTGGAAGGCTATCTGAAGCTGGAACTCGGTGTCGAAGCTGTAGCTTCCCCTCTCTGCCAAGGTAGAATCCATGGCGGCTCCGAACTCAGAGCCGAAGACCTCGCTCCCGACACTCCCTTGGGGAGCCTCTGCCCCAGCCTCGCCAAAACGACCATACTCGCCGGAGAGTGCATTGGAAGATGTACCTGGCCTACACTATGCACTGCACCTCTTTCTGGCGTCGCAGATGGTGGAGTCGGAGGAGTACTGCAAAGAGTGTGACCCGAAGGGGTACGTTCGTCCCTGTCAGCATCGGCTTCACTTCATATGGCCATACAGGGAGAACCTATACTTTGCGACGGGCTACGGCCTCATCCAGTGCTTCAAGGGAGTCATGTCCTTCGAAGACGAAGTACGCTCCAGGGTGCCCAGGACGTCCGTGGACTGACCGCCTGCCCCTGTAGGATCTCCTTGCCGCCTTGAACCATGTCAAGCAAGGCAACGCCGTGGCAAATTCACATCGGAAGCGCGCCGCTTCCCTGCCAACGCGACTAGCAGGCCTCGTTCTAGGTTCACTGAACACGTCTGGCGTCGGATGGATCAAGAGCATGACACCGGTCGAGCGCCATGCTGAACTCGTCTACGCGGAGACGCTGTTCGAGAAGGTAAGTACACGGCCTTCCTCTCTCAACACATCCCTCATCCCTACCCGAAAAGGCGATACTCGGCATCGTCTACTCCGGAGACTGGCTCGCCTTCATCAAGGAAGCGTGAGTATACGCCCACCGCACGCACGCCCCCTCTAAACCCTAGCCCTCAGGCTGAACCTCCGTACCACAATCAACATCTACCGCCAGCTCGGCCAGTTCGTCGAGAGCGCAGATGCGGAGGCACGTGCGCGCGGCGACGGGCCTGAGGACACCACCATCGACTCACATTTCCGATCGGGCGTGTGTCTCGGCGTAGGCATGTCGAACGTGATCTTGTCGCTCATGCCGTCCAAGGTGCTCACGGTGATTGAGCTCTTCGGATACACGGGTGATCGCCATACCGGCCTGGCGTATCTGATGAAGCCAGGAGGATGGTCGAAAGACTCCTCGGCGCCGGCTGTGAGCGTTGGTACGGGGCGTTTCTTGAGGTCTGGTCAGACGTGGTCGTCTCATTGTGCGTACAGAGCAGGAAGGCATCCGCCGTCCGATGTGTGACATGGCGCTGCTGCTCTTCCATCTCGTATTTTCGAGCTTCACGTTCGACGGCGTCGACATCACCATGGCGCAGAAGATCCTTGACTATCACCAGACGCGATACCCAGACGGTCAGTGTGCTTCACATTGTCAGAAGAGCGCAGTACTGACTCATTTGCTCGTAGGCGTGTTCTTCCTGTTTGGTCGAGGCCGACTGAGCATCTGCCGCGGGCAGCCCGCACAAGCCATTGAGTACTATCGGCGCGCGGTGGTGGTGCAGGACCAGTACAAGAACATGCACCACATCTCGCACTGGGAAATCGCCGTCGCGCATCTCGCGCTCTGGGACGTCGCTGCCTCGCTCACGAACTGGCGCGCACTCGCGAAGGATGCGACCGTGAGTGATTTGAGTCTGCATCTACGCGTCAGCGTCATCTCAACTGTGCCTTGTCCAGTGGTCGAAGGCAACGTACACATATGGCGCCGCCGTGTGTCTGCTAGAATTGGGCGACGAGAAGCAGAGGGAAGAAGCGGCAAAGCTAATGGAACAAGTGCCGACCCTGCGCCAACGCATCGCGGGCAAGTCGATCCCGCTCGAGGTCAGTACCCGTCTCCCCCCAGGCCTCAGCACGCACCCCAGAAATACTCACGAACCGCCCAGAAACTCGTCGCCCGCAAAGCGCGTAAGTTTCAAGAGCAGAAGGGCCGGCTCGCCTTGGCCGCGCTCGAGTTCGGCTACCTCTTCCTCTGCATCGAGCACGCACCACGGACCGTCATCCTCTCGCACATGCTCCCGCAGACGGACGCGCTCCTCGCTGAGCTGCAGGGCCACCGCGACAGACCCACAGCGTACGATGGGTACTTCTGGGACGATTGGTGTCTCGCGCAGTTCTTGCGCGGCGTGTGTTTGCGGTATGTCGCGTACCCGGTACGTCCTCCACCAGCTTGCGGAAGAAGAAGAGGGGCTTACTTGCGCTCTGCATGCAGGACGCGGATACAGTGCCGGACGACGCCGAGCTCCCCATGTCGCAAGCGGATGCGGAGCGCGATGCCGTGCTCGCGTTCGAGGCGGTCTTCGCGGACGGGGATAAGATCGCGCTCGACCACTACCTGAACTACTTCGCTCGTAAGTCCCGTCCGTCTCGCTCGCGTGTGCGGTCGGTCACACGACGTCAGACTTCGAGTACGGTCGCCTGCTGGCATGCAAGCGCGACAAGGCGGGTGCTAGGGAACATCTGGAGCTCGTCATGTCTGGTACGTCTGTGCAATTTCTCAAGGATGACTCCGTGCTGAGTGACCCACAGGCAAGTCTCTCGAAGGCCCGGGGGTGCATAGAAAGGGAAAGTACAGTATGGAGGTGCGTGCTTCACTGACAGCGCACTCTCGCGTACTGACTCGTATTGCCGTCAGAATGGCTTGCACGTTCGGACACACGCTGCACTTGAGGCTTTAGACCGCAAGGACCGTTTATAAGTGCACTCTGATCTACCATCGCGGTTCGGGCATACATACATGACATGATTGATATACGGCATCTCAGGCTGCACTAGGCTATGGGCATATATACGCTGCGATCCGGACTTTGTCGCTTGTACTAGTCCCTGCTGCTTTTGTTGTTGTAAGAATATAATCTTCCTCCTCCTCCGTCGTTATTAGACGTGAGCCATCGCACAGTATCTCTCTGCCATATCGAACACCGGGTCATGTACCGGCTCATTCTGTGATTCTCACACCTACAATTGACCCGGCCAACTGCAGCGTCTTGAGGCCCACGATGAGACAGTCGGACCAGAATGCCTAGAGATACTAAATAATTGCACAGTAGGCCGTGAATGGCATAGGCCTAACCAGCCATAAATACTAATCGAGAGCACACGTCTTCAGATCTTCAGCAATTGCCCGACTACAGTCAAAGTACGTAGCAAGTCGTCATAGTCATCCAGTGGGTCAACAATAGAGCTGGTGGTTGCCGTGTGCTGAGGGATGCCTCAGTCTCACGGACTCACCATCTTGTCGATGTTGTCCGACACGCTTCTTCCCAACCGCTCATGCAGGTTCGGCTTCTGTATGGGACTACATGTCAGCTATGCCCACCATTTCGGGTCGAGGACCACAACCCACCATTTCGTAAACCTCGGCTTGCGGGCTCTGGGCGTCGACCGACACATACCTGTCCAGCACTACGGCTGTGTCGTGGTCGGTGCCATCCACGTCAATCCCATATCGTAGCCCCTTGCCCTCCGTGTCACCCACCCACCATCCCAGCTTGAACCATGTGCCGCGCAGCCGTTTCTCAAGCGCATCGGTCGACAGTCGTTGAGCCCCTGGCTCCCCCAGTTCGGGGAGGTTCAGCATCTCGCTTCCCGCGAGGAGACTCATCCGCGATGCGATGGAGTAGGGCGGCCGCGGGAGAACACCTGCGGTCCTCAGCGTGACCGAGACCGACACGATGCAGACGAAGATCGCCGCGAGGAGTCCCTCGAGAATGCGCGCCGGCTTGGGCTCGATGAAGATGCGCTGCTGTGGGGCCGCTAGCGCTGCCGACACGGACGTCTCCTTGTCTGCAGGAACGCGCATATAGAAGTCGGCGAGGCGAGCGAAGTACTGAGACCATTGCGACTGTACAGCAGTGATCAGGGTGTTTTTGTCGAGCAGGGTGTTCATGTCGGATGTGTTGGCGGTGATGGCAGAGAAGAGATAGTCGAACGAGCCGCTGTGGAAGAGTTGCCACGGAGCACCGTCGGCAAACGCATCGTCAGCGCTGTTGTTGCGTGTATATGCGGTGTCGACGATAGAGTCCTGCGTGGGTATGCCGCTGAAGATGAGCGGGAGCTGGCTGAACTCGTCAACTGGTGTTACATGCTGCTCTGAGGCTCGGTTGACCGACAAGACACGGTACGCCGCGGAGCTGTCAATGGCAAGCTTCGCTTCCATTGTAGATCTGAGAAAGTTTACAGTGAGTCCATCTTCGCGTACTACCCAGAGGAGCGAGACTCACTGGGTCATCGTATAGTTGCATGACACGAGATTGATGTCGTCGTTGCGGGCGAACAGAAAGAAAATCGTAGAGCAGTTGATCTGTGCGACATCGATACCAGTCCTCCCAGGGATCGGAAAAACAGAGCCTGCATGTCCAGTGTCGTCCAAGGTGACCTCGTAAATGAACCTGGATGGGCTGTGGCCATAGTTGGCTACACATTCAAGCTGAGGTATAATGCCATAAGTCCCCTCACTGGCGTTGCCTCTCTGGACATAAGGCACTGCGGTGCAATTGACGAGGTCGCTGTACAGTACGGGGAGACGGGCGGTCAGGTTGGATTTCGTTGGCAGGAACTGGAAGGCGGAGTCGGCGGCAAGTGCGCCGACAGCGATGTCCGGCGTCGTCCAGTTGGGTGTCTCGAGACCCGCATTGACAATGAGCTCCAGCGGCGGAAGCTCGTAATCGTCGTTCCCCGAGTCGTATCCAGGGATGTCTGGGTTGAGAAAGGGCGCAGTGATATTCGTGGCCATTGTGTCGGCCAGGGCGCTTGCGTTCCAGGCGAACGTGGTGTTGAGATTGACCTGCACATTCGTCACGCGCGTTACCTGGCCTATAGTGAACAGACCAGCAACAGCAATTTTTGCGACGAGTAGAAGGAGCACAGCCAGTGTGCTCACAAGCACCATCGGCTGTCGATGTCGAAGCGCGTGGAAAGGCAACGTAGTGACCGATTGATGGAGTGGGTCGTATGTTAGTCGGTTGCCTGGGTGGGGAGCGCGGTGCAGGAGGACGAAGGGATGGATCGCTCGAACGCCCGCGTCGAACACTTCGATGCCTAGACCAACCAAGAAGAGAACAACTGGTCCAGCGTACGACCACGCATACCTCTGAGCCCATTGCCCGTCATAGTTAACCAGGCCAGTATGACGGGAGCTGAGCTGCACCAGTAGCTCCAGAACCGCGATGATCACAAGGACAAGAACGGCCAAAGTGACTCTCGCCACCGGATAGAGGATGGGTGGTGTCCAATCAAACCGACAGCGCGCTTCCTCATCCCCAGATTGAAGTGATGCCTTTGGCGCAACGAAGTCCTGGATTGTGATGAGAAATGCCGTAGCTGCATTCACTTAAACAGGACTTACCGTCTCATCCGACAAAACTGCGATCTCGCTGTCTCCGCTGGCATTCACTACCAGTTGATACTTCGCGCCGCGTAAATGGTTCCCTAACGCTTCTGTTGTCGCAGAGCTACTTCCCTCTAATCTGCGAGCCAAGTCTTCGCTCTCCGAAAGGATAAGAGCGATGGACGCCAGAGATGAAGGATCACGAGGGAGACAGGTATGTGGCCTCCATGCGAACACGAAAATAGCAATCACCGCTAGAACGCAGAGACAGACTTGGATGGCTCTAATGGAGCCGACTCGGCTGATGAGGCGGGTGTCTGCGACTGCGGCAGTTCCCTGTAGCGAGTCTGATGTGACATTCCTAGGCTGAATGACATTGCGCCAGATGTCGCTGAAGATCTGCTGCGAGCCTCGAGCAATGGTGTTGGCGTCCATGAGTTGCTTTGGCTCTAGAAGGAGGATATGTCGCAGCAGGTGGAACCACGGGCTATAGTTCCCTACTTCTCTGAAGTTCGGCGGTGACGTTGTCCACGGTATGTATGCGAAGGGGTCGTCGTGGTTGGAGAATACCTGTGCTTGAGCGTCCCAAGGCGAACCCGTCACTCCATTGTTGTTGTCGATGATCTGTAGCAGATATTCGCCTCCAGGAAACGTCACAGAAGACGCTGTGCCGACCGCACGTGGAGTATCGTTGAAGGCTGCAGTACCAGCATCAACAGCTACCTGCACATCCATTACCGTATAGCTCGGTATACATCCAACAGCGACCGCAGAAGCGCAGTTGTTTGGAGGGAGTAACTGGGTCGCCAGGAGAATGGCGGGAGTGTTTGATCCGACCGTCCAGTTGAAAACTTTGCCCGTGTACACTGACATTCAAGGCGACGTCAGTATGAATAGATCGTAATACGGTTCAAGACAGAGCTTACGGTAAGGGTTCGCAGTGAATGACCAATTTCCAGGCTCGTCAACAAACACGTCACACGGTATCATTTGGGACACCCCGGCGTATGTGATCGTCACATTCGTACCGTTGTTCGAGAGCGACACGTCTGCTGCTTGGCATGATAGGCTCGTATTGTATCCCTGTGTGGTACCCGACAACACCATTCCCGGTGTGGCATCGCTCAAGTTGAACGGGGAGATCACGTAGTCGTCGGTCATCCAGGACGGAGACGAGAGTTGTAGTACCGTTCGGGCAAGGTAGCGGGTGAGGGACTGGGCAACGTCTGCTGGGCTGTCAAGGGATGCACCGTCATAGGTGCCCGTGCGCTGGAGAGTGACAGGAAGAACACGAGGAGCAGGTTCAAGATCCCATATGCTTGCGGCTACGATCGAGCACACTGCAACGGCAGCTGTCCCCAGGGTGCAGATGAGGATGCCATAGTGTCGCTTGCGGATGGCCGTCGTGATTGCGACGAGTGGGTTGGAGCCGATATAGTCCAGTTGAATGGAGTCACTGGGTGCTGTGGGGCCCGAGCACATCGACGCCCATGGTACGAGTTTCTTGACCTCCAGTTCGTATGCCTGCCATACCCAGCCTACAAAGATGATGAACGCAATAGGAAGGTAAGTGGCCAAATTCTGCAAAGTGGTGGATGGCACCGCGAAACCCGTATGCGAGTCTGACAGCCGGACAAAAGCCTCTAGGCCTCCTACAGCACCCAACAGGACGAGGCCAAACATCAACGATGGACATATCGTCAACATGAACGGATGCCACATGGAACGCAGCTGGGTACCGCCATCTGTAGCAATTAAGCGAGCCCAAGTGGGTGGTCAGTGCAACGATTAAAGGCGGACGAGGGGAACGTTCAACCTATGCTGCTATCAACTTGTCGCCTGCCAAGCTGACCTGGGAGCATCGAGTAAATGGCCACTAAGATCAATGTGGAATGATTGAAATGCACAACGCAGTGGATTCTGGCTACGTACTGCAGGATATTCGAGACCACTTGTAGGCTGGGGGGCGTAGGGAATATGAATGGGATACACACTGGCAGTGTCCAGCAAGCCGTAAGTGCGCACGACTATTCCGGCCAGACCTATTATGTTCTCAGCTTGCGTGGCATAATGATACTGTGCGGTTCGGCGCGTTGAGAGGCGCAACGATGTGACGCGTGTATCAAATCTATGTAGCGGCCGGCAGTCCTTCCCACGTGCTGTCCACTTGATCGATATCGTCGCAGACTCCTCGAGGAGTGAACTGAATCCAGCTTGAATCCAGCCTGAGTCATCCGACACGGAGGAGGTCGTGGCTGACAGTGCCAAGGGCCCATACTGCTCATTTATAGGATGTTTCCACTTCATGGTCGGCTTCGGGGCGTCACTGACCTTCCAAGTCTGCTATGTTATCGTCGTCCGTTGGGCCAAAGTGGTTGCCTTCTGACGAAGCAATAGGCCATGTCGGCGGGATGTCCGCGCACGGCAGTCTGCGTCATGTCAAGGCATCTGAGACGAACAATGTTCCTGTCTCCGAGCAGATCGATATGCTCACCTGTGACAGCTGTTTCCACATTGAATGATCCGGGCCCCTGCGTCTGGAACCGCGCACTTGCCGCGCACTGACAGAGCCTGAGGCGTAGGCGGAGTCGGTAATCCTATCAAGGGCGAAAGTACTGTAGAATTTCGACATCATGTTCAGTGGGTGTGACCTGTGACGCTGAACTAGGTAGGCGCCCCAGTTCAGGACCGGCTGGGACCTGTGACCATAGGGCTAGTTCAGTCCAGAGGTCTGTCCGCGCTGGGGCCTACGTATGTTCACAAACCGTCACTGTGACCATCGGCAAAACCTCAGTCCAGGACCCCCTGCGACCTGTGACTTCTGAACTGAAAGCTCAGTTCAGAGAGGCCCGTGACCTGTGACTGAACTTGATGTCGAAATTCTACAGTACCACAAAAGGGGGCGAGCTAGTCTCAGCCACTGGCCCACAAGCGGGTGGCTGAGGTCGAACGGCAGAGGCTGCGGATCACCAGAAGTCGAAACCCTCCCAGCGACGTCCTCCGAGGCTCCGCCTATGTGTATCTCGTCGAGGAGGGGCATATGTATCGCTGGAAACCAGACGAAAGCCACTGGGATCCATATTCCAGCTGCGGTGCGCACGCGGCGACATCTTGGCGATACCCCTTGCGTATTAAATTTGTTGGTTGCACCGGCTGCTGACACCATTGAGCCAGGTTCACAACCATAATGAGTCAATGACACTGATACAGTGATGCGGCTTGGTGCTGGCTTGGTGACAGCGGGTGCACTTGCAGATCCGCGTGATAGGCGCAGTAGTATTGATTGATAGTCGTGCCTCACTTCAAACTACCGGGACCCACCGGGACTGGACCGTTGAGACTGTCAGTCTGGGTGTGTACCGAGCACCTCGATAACCAACCTAGGAACAATTGTGCGGTCAGCCAAAGCGAGCACTAGTCTCCGTTGCAGACGATAACAGCCGGCAAGCGTCAGCGAGCACGAACATGCGTATTAGACAGGTCCAAATACGTTACAGACAGCACGACGGAAATGCAGATATAGTCCTATGAAAGCAGCTGCATGCATACGAACATATGACGGGGGGATTGTCACCCATGAATACGAAATGGTATAAGTAATGTAAAAGGGAATCTTCAGAATGTTTATGTGCTAGAAACGCGAACTTCAATGATCAGATGCTGGATCCCAGGGTATGTACACGAACTCGAATGCAAGGAACACTGTTGCGTGCGCGAATGCGATGACAAATGCGAATGCGGATATGAGAGCAAAACTAGACTGATGCATACAATACCTACAAAAGATCGGCGTCATACGCGCCGTCCTCCAGCTCGGGGTTCAATTCGAAGCTAGGCATGTCATCGAGATGAAGCTCATGCTCAGGTCGAAGGTTCAAACTGCCGGGCGAGGAAGTGACCATAGAGAAGTCAGCCGTAGTCGGGGAGATGTTCCCCGGCTCCGGTCTCATCTTTTCCTCGCGGCCCTTGATAGGACCGCAGCTCAGCTTTGCCACAACGAGCGTCGGAGAGGCGGGGGACTGAGGTCGACTCGATAAGTCGAGGGAATGATCACGGTCGCCTCTTGCTGAGCCAGCAGCTGAGAAACTATCCTCGTGCATGAGCATGCTCATGTTGCTTGGTGGACCAGGAAACAGTGACGACGAAGTACTCATGCGCTTGCGGGTGTCCAAGTAAGGCTGAAGCTCTGGACGATTGGCCGGCAGGGCAGTGCGGTTAGCCTCCGACACGGGGGACGGATGCGAGGCCTCGGGCGACTCAAAGTCCCGTAACGACGACTGCTTGTGCGGGCTACGGCTTCCAACACGGCTGAGTCGCCCCGCAGCAGCAGATTCATAGCGCGAATGACTGGCCCGAGACCCAACCGGCGCAGAGTGAGGCGGGGCATACTGCATCCCTTGAATCTCCTCCATCGCCTCCGCCAGCTTGAACTCCACGTCCGCGAGCCGGTCTCTGAGCTGAGTGTTCTCCTCCCTAAGCACCTTGGCCGTCCTCTGGCTGTCCGCCAGTGCACTCAGCAACGCACCCGTCTCAACCTGGTGCCGCTCCTGCAGCGACTGAAGCTCGCTGTGTACATGTGCTGATGACGAGGCTGACACCGACGTCGGCGCGGTCGACGCAGCCGAGAACGTCGTGCGGGGCGTCTCCGGGCCGCCAAGCTCCGATACCGTCGCCGTCAGCGTCGGTGTGCGCACAATGCTCCCCCTGCGCGACACGCTCGGGGTCTCGCCGCGCGGCCACGAACCGGCGGAGCCCGCCTCCGAGAACGCCATACGCGAGGGGACGTAGCGTGAGCGCGAGTCATCGATACTGCTCCGCGTGGTGCCGAAGCGCGAGGGCGTGCGCCGGCCGACGCTCGCACTGTCCCGCTCCCGCGCATAGCTCTGGTCGAGCAGCCCCGCCGCGGCAAATGCCTTCGCAGTCTGCGGCCCGAGCCATTCTGTGGCGGTGCGTGAGCTTTGTGGCCGGGGATACTCGCGCCCAGCCAGAGCCGACTGGCCCGCCTCGACGACACTGAGACTGCGCTTGCGGTGGCGATATGGCGTGGCGGACGTGTGCGAACCCTCGTCCAGACTAGGGCGGACGTCAAGGCTCGAGCGCGCGGCGGGTTTTAGGCGGGTAGAGGCGAGCCCCGCGGCGGAGGATGGGCGGGATGATGCGGGAGAAGGTGGAGCATCCTGAGGAAGCCTGGGAGAAGTCCGTGAGGACGGGTGGGAGAAGCTGCTGGGGCTGGTCACGTAGGGACCGAGGCGGGCAGGACTGAGCAGACGGCTGATCGCGGACCTGCGCGGCACACTGATGGGTGACTCGCCTGTGCCAGTGTGCGGTCTGCGAGAGGCGTAGTGGTCAAGTGGCTCGCGCTGCCGGCCCTCCGTAGCTGTAGACGGCCGTTCGGGGCTGTGCGATAGACCACGAGCGGTGTTGGGGACCCCGAGCGGGGGCGAGTCCGAGTGCAGCCGCTGAATAACTGGGCGGTCGGACACCGAGCGGTTCGGCCGCGAGTGCGAAGCCATTGCTGACGGCAGGTTTGGGGCCGCACGCGACTTGGGCATCCGCAAAGGCTCGGACTGTCGGGGTGGAGACGAGCCAGGCGGGGTACGCGAGAACGCGGGGCGACGGGGCGACTCTGACGGGGAGGTAGCGGCGGCAGGCCGCCTCGGTGACGACGGCGCAGGCAGACCGTCTGCGGCAGAATGTCGCGTCGGCTCCGCGCTGGAGCCGACAAGTCGGTTGGGCGACAACAGAGCTGCAAGATCGGGATCGAGCTCGCTCAGGTTGAAGCTCGCGTCGCCGTCGCCAGTGTTCCCACTCTCCGTCAGCAAGTCCCGTTCTGGCTCGGGATCATTATCCTCGACGACCACGCCGTTTAGCCAACCCTGGGTGCGATCGGGCCCCGCACCGCCCATCGCCTGCAGGACCTCGCTGGTCACTTTTGACGTTGAGAGGTCGAGCACGGAGCTGTCTTTCGACGGTGGCGTCGGCGCGAGCTTGTTGCGGGATAGGGCGTGAAGAAGCTTCGGATCGAGTGTGTCTTGCTCGGGGTCAGCCGCATCGTCATCCGAGGAGGGAGAAGTATCGCCCTCTTGTGAGGAGTCGAGGGGCGGGAGGTGTTTTGAGAGGCCCGAGTTCTCGGCCTCGATGATCGTGGAGAGGTCGGTTGGGTTGACCGCGGGCGAAGGTGAAGGGGAGGGGGTGAAGCCTGAAGGAGACTAAGCCATCAACCGCAATGTACTAATCGAAGTACGTACCGCCTGAGTGTTGCGCTTGCAAAGATGATGTCGACGATGTCGACTGCACCGGAGCCCCCAAGTTGGCAGAGCGCGCGAACGATGGCTCCGTAGCTGGTCGCGGGAGCCGCATGTCTTTGGTCGGCAGGGCATTCCGGCGCGAGCGTGGTGGACTCCTGTCCAGCTGTATGCTCTGGCGATGTTCACTGAACCCTGCGGATGGTGTCTTGAGATGCGACGCTGTCGGGCTTGGAAATAGCGCCGGTTGAGATGGCCCCGCTGCTGAAGAGTACCCATCCTGTGAAGAAACTGCGCCGAGTACGAATGACTCGAAGTCCGGCCTCGGTAGGTCGATCTGCAGGACCGGTGTGTCATCATACAATAGCTCCTGGTTTGGGCGAAAGCTGGGGGCCGAGACGCTGCGGTCGCCTCCTATAGAGCGGCGTAGCGACCCAAGCGCGGTCGCAGGAAAGGACGGCTTGGGGGAAGAGACTGGAGGAGTCGGATTAGGGTTCTTCGACGAACCTGATGCGGTAGAGAAGAGGTTGCGAAAGGAGCGGAAGGGTGTGATGCCGCCGGTCGTACTGGACGACGACGAGCTAGGACTAGGGTGCTGTGGACTACCACTCACGGAGAGGTGTCGGGTAGGTGGTACAAGACCCAGCTGTGGGGTCGAAATGGTGCTCGGGACTGCGCTCTGCGATTTGCGAGGCGTAAAGACAGGAATACCGGACTGAGAAGGCCGAGATTGGTGCATTTCCGCGGTTTGAGAGCTCTTCTTTGCCATCAGGGCTCGGTTTCTTTCGTGTAGGAGTTAGCGTCCACTCGATGGGCAGGTCCAGCTCGACCGTTTCCAAGTCACGCAGAAAGCAGGAGGCAAGCTCAAAAGGTCGCAGGCATGGTCAGAGGACGGTGTCCGTGTGCTAGTACAGCTGTATTGATGTGGGCCGACAGGGAGAGGAAGGCCGACGAGGAGGAGGAGGAGGTCCGGGAGGAGGAAGAGGTAAGTAGAGGAAGACAGGTCACGGCGTTTGCTGTTCAGCCGGGTTAAATTGACAGCATGCTACACTCAAGCTATGTGATCGATACCGACATATGTTTGTGTTCGTTTCGCTGACAGACTACACCGAGCAACATACAGGACTACGTACATACATTGTCAGTGGTACTATGAACCACTGCTGTAATGTAGCACGCAAGGCACAAGGGCTGCATACAGGTCCACGTGCTTCAATGGTTTGGCTGACTTGCCAAATATGGATGAGTTCTAAAAATAGAGACGGCTTAACCCCGCATTCATGGGGCTGCTTTAACTTACCGCCCATGGGACCTGGTGCATTGAGGACTGCTTGATTACGACCGCCAACGTCGACGGCACCAAACATCGTTTCGTACGTCGAATCCTGCGCAAGAACACGCTGAAGTGAGGACAGTGAGGACGACGTGCGCTCGCTGTTGACATTGCTTATCTCATGGACCCTCATGACCGCGTGGTTACGTTCATTTCCAGGTCCACCTGCACGCCCACAAACACAACCCACAGACGATCCTCCAACAGTCCTCCTCATTGTCAAGTGAACCTCTCACTCACTCCTGAGCAAGATGTCCCATCATCATGGACATGGTTGCCAACAAGGCTCTGCTACGGTCGACTATCCACAGACTAACTACGGCACGGGTGCGAAATGGATCAAGCACTTGACCCAGGGCCGCTTGGGCACCTTCAATGGCGGACACTATGCGGACGTCAACCTGTCGCAGGTTCTGTACCACCACCGCGTCGATGACTCTGCCTACATCAAGCTCCAGGTGTGGAGCGCGCCGGGGAGGTCGAAGCCGTCATTCGCGGAGGCCATGAAGCAGAAGTTCAAGCCAGCGAAGAAGGGGGACGAGTTTGGACCGTCATGTACGTTCTGTATGTCAAACCACACGCGCTCAGCTACTTATGCACCCTCCAGGGGTAAGTTATACTTCGAGATTTTCTGTCCTGTTACGCGCCTCTTCGCGGACGTATTGTGCCCATGTCAGAAATGTATGAGCCCCCGAGTACAGCGATAGAGGGGCAGCACGCTAATGTGCCCTTTCCTTGCGTGCCTGTGCCCAAACACTATACACTGGCTACATCGGCATGCGGAAGTATACTTCGCTCTATCAGTGTGTCCCCCGACCCCGACCATACAACGGATTTGACTCGCAGCACGACCCTCGCTACCGTGCTTACCTCTCACTTCACACAACGACTTATATTTCCACTGCTTCGATCCTACCGCTTTAAACGCGAACCCTTGATGAATGTACTGATCATTTTGAGTAGACCAACCACTGGTGGAAAGTCTCCGTGACTCTCCCGGCCTATTGGGACCAGTATGAAGTTGTCCAATGTAGGTGCATCAGGCACGTCACATCCACCTGGAGACTGATTGAAATATTCCAGTCGAGTTCGACCCCGACTGTGAGGCAATGATCTTCACGACGGACGGCACACCCCTGCAGGGTATCACAGGTGGATGGGGCGGCGACCGTCGCGTTGAGTTCATCCTCCCGTCCGAGGCGCGCAAGGCCCGGAAGTTCGACTTCGTCATCGAGTCCTCATGCAACGGGATGTTCGGCGTCCCCTGGAACGGCGACACCATCGAGCACCCCGACGTATGTCTCTAGCCGCCTATCTTCTCAGCGTCCTGGTGACTTATTGTGCGCACAACACAGATGAACAGGCGCTTCAGGCTCGCGTCGGCCGACTTGGTCGTGCTGAACCAGGACGCATGGCAACTGCTCTGGGATTTCTCGACGCTGCGCGAGATCTCGGAGTCGCTACCTGGCAACACGTCCCTGCAGAACAAGGCGCTCGTCACCGCCAATGCGATCATGAACACACTCGACAAGGATGACCTCGGGAGCATCGACCGATCACGCAAGCTTGCGGAAGCGGTGTTCGGCGAGGGGTGGGCTGACAAGGGCGACAAGATTTACGAGGAGGGACCAGACGAGGCCTCCATCTGGGGTATCGGTCATTGCCATATCGACACTGCCTGGTGAGTGCACTGGCTCCGAACCACTGAATCATTGATACTCATACACGATAGGCTCTGGCCGTACCAAGTGACGCAACAGAAGGTCGCGCGCTCGTGGTCGACCCAAGTCGACCTCATGGAGCGCTACCCGGAGCACCGCTTCACCTGCTCGCAGGCACAGCAGTACAAGTGGCTCGAGCAGCTGTACCCGCCCCTCTTCGAGCGCGTCAAGGCGCAGGTGCTCGCGGGGCGCTTCCACCTTGTCGGCGGGTCGTGGGTCGAGAACGACTCGAACATGCCGAGCGGCGAGGCGCTCGCGCGGCAGTTCATATTCGGCCAGAGGTACTTTGAGAGCAGGTTTGGCATGAGGTGTGAGACGGCGTGGTTGCCGGACTCGTTCGGCTTGACGGGCGCGCTCCCGCAGCTGATCCGCCAGGCAGGGATGAAGTACTTCTTTACCCAGAAGCTGAGCTGGTGAGTAATGGGATCGCGGCGTATCTGGCAAAAAATTGACGTCGTCGTCGTTCAGGAACAACATGTGAGTATTCGTGCTCTGAGTTCAGTGTAGACATGTTGGTGACGCGGGCTTCAGCAACACATTCCCTCACTCGACGTTCAACTGGGTTGGCATTGACGGAACGCAAGTGCTTTGCCATATGACGCCCGTTGGTCGGTATCAACTTGCTATTGACTGCTGTCACTGGGACTAACTGATATGTGCCTCCGCAAGACACTTACACCGCTCAAGCTACCGTCGGCGACGTCAACAAGGGTGTCACCAACCACAAGGTCTGCATAATGCCGCCGCGCTGCACATGCGCACATCTGCTCACCGACTGCCTGACCACAGAACCTCGAATCCTCTGACATCTCGCTGCTCGTGTTCGGCAACGGTGACGGTGGAGGAGGTCCGCTCGCGAAAATGTTGGAGAACGTAAGGTTGCATCTCCTGAGTGCCATGCCGCTTACTTATTGAAGCAAACTGCAGCTTCGCCGCATTCGTGCAGCAGCAAACAACTCACGCGAGATACCGCCTGTTAACATGGGACACTCGGTTGACGAGTTCTTCGACGTGGTCGCGAAGAAATCGGATGCAGGCAAGGCGTTGCCCAACTGGTAAGCTAAAGACGTCTGGGTGTGTGAGTGGTGGTTGACGTTGTGATACAGGAATGGAGAGTTGTATCTCGAGGTGAGACTGGCATGAATCTTTGGGGGACGATGTGACACCAACTCGTATGTTTGATAGTTCCACAGGGGGACATACACCTCGCATGGTACGTACTACGACGACGTCCTAAGATCTATCTAAATATAGGTATAGGCTCAATCAAGAAGGGCAATCGCAAGTCTGAAGTCTTGTTGCGGGATGTCGAAGTGAGCACATCGCAATACGTGCAGGGCAACATGTCTGAATTCCTGCTTAGTATCTGGCGACGTTGGCCTCGTTGTACAAGTGGCACAACCCTGACTACGTCTATCCTAACGAGAGGATCAATGATTGCTGGGAGAAGGTCTTGCTGAACCAGTGTACGTTTTGCTATTGCTTTCCCAGTGTAGATGTAGCTGATGTGCTCTATCTCAGTCCATGACGGTGAGTCGCGCTCGCTCGCATATGATAAATGCACCTAAAATGTCTTGCTGCAGTACTCCCTGGATCCGCCATGTAAGCGAATCCTTCTGTGTCACTGAATCATAGCTAACTGCGTCGTCAGTGGGATGGTCTACGAGGACGCCGAGAAGCTCTACGCCGAAGTTCGCAAAGAAGGCGCGCAGCTCATCGAAGACGCATGGACGACCCTCTTCCCGACGTCGTACCCGCTGTCCAATGTCGCTGCTTTGAAGAAACGTGGGTCCCTCGTGGGCTTCAATACCACCCATCTGCCCCGCCGCGACGTCGTGAAGGTCCCTCTCGGCGCTGGTGCGGCCAATCTCAAAGCGCAGGTCGTACAGGCCTCGAAGGACGGAAGCTATGGCTATGCGCTGATGGATTGCTCAGAGGGTGGCCCCATAGCGACCCCGACGGGACTCTTCGCGGATTGCATGCCAGTATCTGGTAAGCGGAGTTGGTTGCATCGCTTGTATCTTCCCATTGACTTTCCTCGCGTCAGTCTTTACGAATGGATCGGGCCACTTTGTGCTGCGGAACTCCAGCGTGCAACTGACAATCTCTGAGGGTAGGATTTCCAGCTTGGTCGACGTCGAACTCGGGTATGTAGGCGAAACTCAGGCATTGTCTGCGTGATGTACTGACCAGCGTACCAACCTAGCCGTGAGCTCCTGACACCGGGGCAGACCGGTGGACTGGTGATATTCAACGACAGACCGAACTACTGGGATGCATGGGGTATGTCCGTCAGTACAGTTTGGAGCAGAGAGCTGACTTGTAATATCCTTGGTGGATAGATGTCGAGATACACCATCTTGAGACCGTTCACCCGTTGGAGTTCTCCAATATTTCGGTCGTTGCAGAGGGCCCACTGCGTGCCTCGGTCAAGTCTGAGTTCAAGTACCGCCAGAGTACCATTACCGTCACGGTGAGTAGTACTATCTGGTCTTCCGGGAGCGTCAAGATAAACGTTCCGCTCTAGATCTCCCTCGATGCTATCACTGGTGAGAAACCTTTGTGATTGCTGATTGACCATGAAGCTAATGCTCATTGACAGCGTCAATGAAGAAGGATTCTCGATCACTGTTCATATTCGATGCTGTTGTGGATTGGCATGAGAGGCATGAATTCTTGAAATGTAAGTTCTTTCCTCCTTGATGACGATTATCGGCTCATAGTCAATAGTCGAGCTCCCGCTTAACCTGCACAACGATGTGGCTACCTACGAGACTCAATTTGGACACGTGCAGCGGCCTACTCACAACAATACAACTTGGGATATGGCGAAGTTCGAGGTGTGCGGTCACAAAGTAGGTGCCTCATAAGTTCATCGTGCGCGCACACCTGACGCTGCACTAGTACGCCGATCTCAGCGAATTCGGGTATGGCGTTGCTATCTTGTCCGAGTCGAAGTATGGCTTCTCTTGCCGCGGAAACGTTCTCCGCATCTCGCTTCTCCGGGCAGCCACGGCTCCCGACGAAAACCAGGACCAAGGTAGGCACTATCATCGATCTACATGGAGTCATGCACTGACATGGAGCAGGCATGCACGAGTTCTCGTGGGCCGTCATGCCCCACGTTGGACACTTCTTGGAATCGGATGTTCCGCAAGCTGCGCAGTTGTTCAATTCGCCTTTACCCAGTGAGTAGAAGCTCCAGCATAGGGAGCCTCGCACTTACCTGGCACCAGCGCGCTTCGTGGCGGGCGATGGGACCAAGTCTCCCATGCTTCATGTCGGCCCAGCATTTGCGGTGGAAGGTGCTCGGAACGTCTTCCTTGAGACCGTCAAGCGCGGATTGGACGACAAGTTCGAGTCTAAGGGTGGGGATGTCTCCGTCGTTCTACGGATCTACGAAGCGTTCGGGGGCCATGCCCAAGCGTGGCTGAAGATCGCCAAGCACATTCCTGTGTCGAAGATTTTCGCGACCAATCTGCTTGAGGACCATGAAGCGGAGTTGTCCTTCCTCGATTCTGAAGACCACGCACACCACGCCGTCAAGCTCAATTTCCACGGGTTCGAGGTCAAGACGATCAAGCTTGTTCTGGGCCGGTCTGACATTCAAGCGTGAGCATCTTCTGACCATGTGAAGCATACGGTTCTCGCTCACGATAACGTAGCAGCAGCGAAGGCGCTGATCATTGGATCACAATCGACAAGCCATCCTTCGTGTAAAGTGCTAAGTATGCATGATCATACGCGGTGAAGTCGCCCATCCTACAGCCGATCTATTGGATTGCGGGCGTTCATGTATTTCTTGTAAAACAGAGGACGTTGCTGCCCAGACAGCTGTGTATTCAGATTGATGTGTACTATTGTGCTTTTGGATGTTCTGAGCAAGCAAGCTATGACTACTGAAAATATGCTGGCGGGCTCTGCACCTTGTATTTAATGCTACGTCGCTCGCGGTCACACTACCGATGTTCTGGTATCCCACGGGGTTGTAGCTTACACGAACTACCAGTCATATGCTGGTACTAGAGTACTCACGATCTAGTTGCCATCAAACCTCGAAGTTCAAACTCGCTATCGACAGGCATGCATTCAGGCGTCTTTGTGACAGTGATTTGCGTCGGCCATTCGAGCCCAATGAACAATCGGTCCGTCATAGCACTCAATTACCCTCCATCTGGAATATGCTACTGTATGATACATGGCTGCATCGATCTGGATCCGGACACATTCCCATTTGAATGAACCGTTCTCGTGTGCCGATGCCACTGAGTTGCTTGTTTCCCCTCGGGCAATCGGCAATTACACTTCGGACGTGGCAAACACTCTTTGGACAACTCGTCAGTGTCCTCCATCCATCCCGGAACGCGGGCACTCACTGGACCTGCAACGGGTCGATGCTCTCTGTTGCACTCCCCGTTCGCCCCCGTTCATACAGCCACCCAGAAGGCTTGCCCTTGGCACTCGTATGTTCCACCGCTGCTCCCGCAGGGGCCGCAACTGCCAAGAGCGTATCTGCTTGCGGAGGACTGATAGTGCTTTCTGTCGGACTGATTAAACCATGTGAAGGAGCAGCAGTGGATTCCGTGCGCTGCATGGCGAATGAAAGGTGTAGTGTCGGGAGATCTGATGTGTCCGCAGGCGGCTCAATGATGTCCCGCATGTTCAAGAGGCAGCGAGATATGAGGACCATCGTAACAGGGCTAGTGATGACCAGGTTAATGTTGAAACTCTATGACGTCACTTAGCGACCGACGATGCAAGGTCTGCGATAGTCAACGTACCTTGACGAGCCAGATCACTATGTCCACGATATTGAGTATTAGGATAAAACTGTGACACTGATTCAACTACCGTCCATCGTCAAAGAGGCAAGAGACTTACACAAACAGCATCATGCCTAGGACGAGTAGGGATTATCGATATCGTCGTTCCCAAAATGATCACAGTCGGCTCACCATCTCTGAGCATGAGGATTACAAGCGATGACTTTTGCATTGCTTGTGCGATGAATCTTCTGTGTGATCGGGTGTAGAGCCACATAGACAAGATTACGACGGTGTCGCATGCTATCACACAAGCTCGACTCAGAATGAGTACTGTAAAGAGCTGATTCAGCAGCAGCATAATCACATGGACTTAGTAAGGAACATACACCTGGGGATAATCCTATGTGAGATCAGCTTGCTCGTCGTACATGCTTTGATCGACGTACTTGGACAGCAGGGATACAGGAGACTTCTGTTCTGAGAAGCATTGGTAGGTGCCATCGGCTAGGATCTCTGCACCATAGCGCGAGGTTACGAGGTTGTACTGCACCAAATCAGTGTCAGATCCATTGTGTGACGACAGTGCTTACCACATTCGTGGCACCCGGACAGAGTCCTAGGGCCAAGGTCAACAAGGTGGGGCGCCAGTCACGCCCGCTGACTGCGTAGACACGAAGAGCTCCAAATACTGGAAAAATACATGTTCAGTCGAATCATATCCTGAGGGCTGCGGCACCTACCGCCGGGCATCGAAACAAGTACAACATTCGTGATTGCGGTGACTATCATCAGCCCTCGACACCTGTACACATCCCGACTTTGAGCCCTTATCGTATCAGCATAATCAAGCGTAGTTACCCCTGCAGCGGGTACCGTAGGGTTAATAGGTATTATGATTGAAAGAAGGTACACTTACTGCCTCGGAATATGTAAACGGGACCCAATCTAATGCGACGAAGAGAAGTATCGGGTAGCGTGTGAGAACATACACTGCAGACGACAATGTCAATTTCCAAGTCCAGACGACCTTGACCTCCGTAGCCATGCTAAGCAACCAGTCGTAACCGACCAAGGCTGAGCATATAATGTATCAAAATTCAAGGGTCCCCGGGATATCACTGTACATGGTTTGCTCACCTGTGGTCGCCACGGCACAGTAATTGATAGCATTACTAAGTCAGAGGATCATTTTAGTTCTCCGAGTATGCCAAAAGTCAAAGTCCGGCTCACATCAGGATCAGCTGTTGAATGGCGTATTGTTCGTCTGAGGACTCGGGCATCGTCTCTGGCCCGGGGTAGAACAGCTAGAAGACGGTGGACCAGGAACCAGCAGGTATGTTGGCATGCGGTTTATATCCCTGTATCATCCCTTGCTGCATTGACATGGGGATATAGTGAATGATGATCAGGCATGGGCGGGTCGCGCTGCAAGAGAACATGAGTGTATGGTTAACATAGTTGGGCGCCGCGGCCGGCGAGCGCATCAAGGGTTAAACAAATGGAGAGATCATTGACACGCACCTACTAGCCTAGTATCATAGGAACGGCCCGCATGTGAGTAGGCAGACATGAATGTAGCGGTAGAAGCGTTGAAGTTGAAGATCTTCACAAAGGCCCACCGACCCTCTTGAACGGTCCGAGTCCCATGCACCATGAGCCCAACCATACTAGATGATAACACCAGCATTCCGAGCCATCAGGGTCATCCTGTATTGCGCGCTCTACTAGTAGTGACTGTGTTCATGAACTCCCAGAACTGTGCGCGCTATGAGCGCTTATCACTCGGCGTCGCTCCAGGACCGCGATGCCAATGTCGTGCCTGATTCACCTCCCTTTGAATACGAATTGGTGACTGAAATACTTTCAAAGTTGAAGCAGGGTCTGCGCGGGGCGACGAGGTCCTTATAGACGATGTAGGCGGGGATACACAGGTGCGATGACTGGTAGTCACTGACATGTTGAATCTTCAACGTTTCAACGTTATTAATATCAGCCGGCTGTCTGCTGGCGGCGAGGTGAAGCACTTGACGCACGGGGAAAGCTCAATCCGCTTACATACCGGCTTCATATGTACTAGTAGTACAGTGGCTGTGTAAGTTAGTATGGGCGCCGGTCAGATAGAAAACTCCTGGGGTCATTTGACTGGGGCCGGCCGGTGAATTGCACGGCGGAGAGCTCGAGAGGCGGGGCGGGACCGGATGGGTTGGTAATTCCGGACACAAATGGTCCAGAGGGGAAGCATTGGCAACGGGACGCGGCGCAGTCTGAGAGCACAGCAAGTTCCTCGACACTTACCGTCCAATGTGCTCTGGGTCTTTTTGGCTTCACTAGGCACCGCTGTGATTGCAGTGCTGAGACGAGGTCGAAGTGGACGAGTGCATACTACACAGGCGATTGATCGTCAAACGTCCGAGGCGCTAGTTCTCCTATTGCAGAAGTCGGTCGATGTGTAACACAGCACGAAAACACAATACTCACCTCTCTATCCGTATCTCGCTGATCTCTGCCACATCGATTGTCAGTCTCGACGCTCGGCTGCTCACAAAGCCACTAGCCTTACCAAACTCATAACCTAGTTCCGATGCTTCCGACGAAGATCAATCCCCACACCAGGGCAACGAGGGAAGCTATAGAGAACAGAGCGATGGTTGGGAAGATGACACTGAATGTTTTCTGAAGTGCACAAACCGCTGCATGTGCCCGTCAGCGGTTGGCCGATATGTGGGACCACCGAGACCGACTGCGTGTGCTCCGAGTCAATCAAGCAGTGATCATCTGTTGCGGCAGGGAGTATATTCCGAGTCCAGAGACGATGCGATGCCACGGACTTCTTGGTATTTCTGTGCCGGTTGAACGTCTGAAAATCGAAGTTCCGCGTGCGAACGATAGGCGGTAGCATGTTGGCATGCTGATGTTGACACCACCTGAGCACACCGGTGCCGGGTACTACTGTAGGACTCGTCAAAGGGTTGAGTACTCAATTGCCCGTCGTATACCTCAGGCGATGTTGTAGATTTTGCGAGTCACGAACCTTTAACAGAACTGCTTGGATGCGCCAGGCAGAACCCGACATGTCCATTGCCATAATTGTCAATCCATTACAGTCCCTTAGACTCGACGTCCGAGACGCTGGGCAGGCGGAGAGGCCTTTTGTGCGTGTTTTGCTGTAATACTTGGCCGCATCAGCGATATCATGGGGTAGCGAAGCTTGTGATGTTCGGGGTTGATCTGCACAATACTGAGGCTATAACGAGGAAGAAGGACTTGTTCGTGTCGATGACATTGATCGGCGGAGGTATCCAAGAGGTGGGACTTTGGTCAAACGCCACCGTAACAAGCACAGTGTAAGCGGAGCTTCATTCATTTCTATCCATTGCATTTCGGACTTCCTATTCTCAATGAAGTGAGCTAAGAGACAAGTACTGACTGTCGTCAGTGCGACGCGGGTCGTCAGACAGCGCGACTCTCACTACTTACTGACCTTCTCTGCAGTCGTTACATACGTCGGGCGAAGAATGACCATTCAACTTGAACATATCAAGCCACATACCTCGGCGCAGGACTTCTTCGCACAATACGTCTCACTACGGAAGCCGGTAATCATCGACGGCCTTCCAGACGATCCATCCTTCGCGGCTCAAAAATGGGTACGCTCACCTACGATATTCCATGTTCTGCGACCGCAGCTCACTTCCTTCGGTGAAGACAGTCTTCAGACCTTGATTACCTCTCCTCGAAAGCGGGTGACACCAAGGTGCTCGTCGAGCCCATGCACCCGACCACCCAACAGTTTGGCACGGACGTCCAACGGGTCTCGATGCCGTTCCGCGAGTTCCTTCAGTCGCTCAAGAACGAGAAGGGCCCCTACCACTATCTGACAACGCAGTATTCTGGAGAGGAGTGGGACGCGCTGACCGTGTTCTCGCCGCCGACGGACGCGTTGAGAGACGAGTTCCCTGAGGTCCCGCGGCTCATAGGAAACCTGTATCTGCAGCAGGCGAACCTCTGGTTGGGGAAGTCGAAAGACGGGTCGTCATCAGGACTGGTGCGTGTTCACCTCCACACATATGGCTGTCGTCTTGACTTGAGCTTATCAGCACCACGACTTCCACGACAACTTGTACTGCTTGCTCAAGGGCCGCAAGCGCTTTGTGCTCTTCCCACCCCATGAGCACGAACATCTCTATCCGCACGGAACTGTGCACACACTTCACAAAAACGGCGTCATCGCGTATGATAAGATGCTTCGCGCAGACGGACTGGACTACCGAGTCGCACTCCGCACGCGCATCGCCGTTCTAAAGAAGCAGCTGGACGCAATGGAAGCCAGCGGCGCCAAGACAAAAGGAAAAGGAAAGGCGAAGGCGGCAACGAAGGAGAGGAAGGCCTTGGAGAGGGAGTACCTCAGCTTGCGAGAGGAGCTAGAGGAGCTGGCGGAGGACGAGCAGTATGGGTTCCCGCTCGACGATGACGAGGACGACATAGAGCGTGTCGACGATGGGAGTGACCTCGGTTCGCTCGCTGGAGACTTGGACGGTCAAGACGACTACGAGGCGTTGATGGGGGAGGATGGGTTGGACGGAGACGAACGGTCTATCACTGGCGAAGACCGAAGCGGGGAGGCAGCGGAGGACCCTCCTTCGTTCTCTTGCATTCCAACGGCCTTCCTGCACAAGCAGCTTGACTTGCCGACAACCGCTATCGCCCTGTCTGATTCATCTCCTGCGGACTTCCTCAAGCTCGCGAAAGCGAGCCCACCGTACGTCGTCGAGCTGTCCGCAGGCCAAATGCTGTACCTTCCCGCTTCGTGGTGGCACGAAGTCACGTCCTCGTCGGATGGCGAGGAAGACGTGCACATGGCGTTGAACTGGTGGTTCTACCCGCCGGATGCGGATAGCTTCGAAGAGCCATACGAAGACAAGGCTGTCTGGGAATACCTCCGGGAGAGCAGGCGCAAAGACGGTGTGGCGAGGATCGGGGACCCGGCTGCTGATCCAGGAAAGAGAAAGCGCGATGACGGCAGTGAGCTACCAGTCAAGAAGGCAAAGAAATAGGTATCTCAGGCCCGTTAAACTGTTTGGCTCCTATGTTCTCAAACCGTGTCGAGATGCCTCCTACTGTGTTATAGCTTATGTTTGGAGATTGCTGTGAATGAGCAGGCCGTAACATCGCGGCACTACTCAAATTGACTCCTCAGATTAGTCAGCAGCAAAAGTGACCGAATCAGGCACTCGGTGCGTACGGCGCCCAGACCGAGCTGCTGAAGTCTTCTGTTGACCTTGCTGCTCTGGGCAATTGCGACACATCCTAGTGCAAGCTCAAACGACTAACATGAAGAGGTCGCAGGACCTCTCACCCCTCGCTGCGGAACAGGGGCAATCGTCTGCGTTTCCGGCGCCCAAGAAATTCAAGGCGGCCCCTCGTGTCTCGCATGGCATCAGCGTACCTGCTCCTGAACACCCGACCAGCCCTACGATGGAAAATGGCGACAACGAGTGGACGAGGGTAGAGAAGCGCAAGGCGAAGAAGGCGAAGAGGACGGAGGCGAAGATGGAAGTGTGTGTCCCGACGCGGTTTGAGATGTTGGGCAAGATGCCCGTTACTCAAGGTGCACCCGCCCCGCAGGTCAACCCACCCAGGTTCATGTACTCCAAAGCCGAGATCATACGGAGACGGGAGGCAGTCGGTATCAACGTGCGTCGTGTGCGTCGCGTGCAAGGAGCGTTGGCTGACCTTCCGTGTGCAGGATATCCGGGAGCTGGTCCTGCATCTGTCTGCAGATGCGCCGCCAGCGAGCTGGGTCAGGGTAGAGGTGCGTTGCAACCCGGCTGAAGGCAACCGCCCGATCCTGACATACGTCTCAGAATCCTCGATCTGTGAAGAAAGTTGTGGCGATCCTCGTTCCGGGGATTACCCCAGAGATCATCTCGCTGCCGCCGTTGCCCACGTCGGCGACGGCCAACCCGAACCTCCCTCTTCCTGTTCCTCTCCCTGCTGAAGGCTCGTCATCTGGTCTTCCATTCATTGGACGGACGTTCAGCCATGCGTGTCCTACTCGGGCGCCCGGCGACCAGACGCGGATGCACTCCGTGCTCAACTCGTTCTTCCAAGGTCCTATCACAGGCGAGGAGAAGAAAAAGCGGCTCATCGAGCGTGTCAATTGTGTGTTCACTACCTCATGGATACGCCGAGTTGTCTGACGCAAATCGTGACGGTAGCAGAGCGGGCTTGGGAGAAGACACCGATGCGCTACATCCTGTCCACTGAACTGATGATCGAGAACGACTACCCAGTACCATCATACATAGCTGAAGTCTTCGAGAAATCCCCTGGATGGGTAGAGACACCGCAGGCATCCACCTCACAGTCGCCGGAAACGCAACCGCGGATATATGCTATTGACTGCGAGATGGTAAGCCCGCATCGTAGGAGTAACTTGGCGGTTCTGCTCACGCACCCCCAGTGTGTAACAGAGGATGGGAAGGAGCTCACGCGAGTGTGTATGATCGAATATGACTCCGGCATAGTCGTATACGACCAGCTCGTCAAACCGTCAAAGCCCATACAAGACTATCTGACAAGGTTCGTCCTTCGTAGTTCATGTCTTCCGCTCAACCTCAGACAGTAGCACAGATGGTCAGGGATTACTGCCGAAGCGCTCGACCCGGTGACGACCACCTTCGAGGAGGTACAAACCCACATCCTCAACATCCTGTCCGCAACACCGACACCAGTACTCCTCGGCCACTCACTAGAGTCTGACCTCAAAGCACTCAAAATTTGCCATCCACTGTGCATTGACACCTCCGTCATCTACCACCATCCACGCGGTCGGCCATTCAAGCCTGGATTGGCGTGGCTCACGAAGAAGTGGTGCGGTCGGGAGATCCAGAACAGGGGTGAAGGCGGACACGACCCGGAGGAGGACGCACGAGCGTGTGTAGATTTGCTCAAGAAGAAGCTCGTCAACGGTATGTGCTCTTGGTAGTTTCACGATGCTCGTGGATTCGACGGTGTGTTGCGCAGGTCCGGGCTTCGGCGAGTTCAAGATAGATATGGAGTCCATCTTCGAGCGTATATGCAGGTCCAGATCCGGGACGGTCTCCACGGCCATCATCGACCATGGTAATCCTGCTGCGTGGCATGGCACCAAGGCGACGTCAACCATCGCCTGTCAGACCGACGATGAGGTCCTCGAGGGCTTGTTGGGAGCTGTACCCTCGCATCACTTCACATTCGGACGGCTCACCGCTCTCGCTATGGCACGCGGCTGTACGTACCTGATAGACCAATTCTTGATCACCTCGGCTAACACTGTCTTTGCAGGGATCACACCAAAGACGAGCGCTGACCTGATTCCCGATCCCGACCCAACTCCCGCTACCCCCGTCGACATGGACGTGGTCCTCTCGACGTTGAACAGCCAGCTGGAGAAACTGTACGCCGGGCTTCCGCCCCGGACGGCAGTCGTCATCTTCACGGGCCACTCTGATCCCCGCCGGATGTCCGAGCTGAACGCGCGCAAGAGCACGTTTGAGACGGCGCTGAGGCAAGGGAAGGCCCTCGATGACGTCGGGAAGGAGAATTGGTGGACGACGGTGGACGGGCGGGAGCTCGAAGAGGAGGTGGAGAAGGCGAAGAGGGGGCTGTTGTTCTTGGGTGTAAAGGAGTAGTCTCCGTGAATGCCATGAGAGTACCCTCGAATATGTGCTTTTGTGTATGGCTGTCCTCGCAGCTGAGGCGGTGGTTTCTTTCTGCTCCTGTCACCTAAGTCCCACAGGATGATCAGCTTGTGTCAATTGTGAGGCTGGTAATGAGTACAAATCCCCACTCCCAGCTATGGGCCACGGTCACGACTTTGCACAGTCAGTACAAAGTTCAGCATCACTGGGCGACAAACGACGACACCTGCCTGATATGGACATGCACTGACGTCCATAGTCGCGAGCGGCGGGAGTGGCGACCGACAGGCCTTTGTCCTTGCCGCGCTTCTCTCTCTCTCCCAACCACCCACCCGCTCCTTTCCCCCGTATCATGCTCGCCATTGCTCGGCAATGCCACGCGTAGCCCAGCAAGACGATGTAGACATCATCGAGCTCGACTCCTCGCCCGATCTGCGCCCTCAGACTCGCGCCACCACCTCCAGGCAGGTCAACCGCACGGGCAAGGGCAAGAAACGCGCGCGGCCCATCCCCGCGACAGACATCATCGAGCTCTCGGACTCCGACTTGGACGGAGATGCTGTATCGCTTCCGAGGTCGCGAGGGCGGCGTCCCCAGCCTCCTCCAGCACCGGCCGGGCCAGTGGCCGGTCCATCAAGGGTCGCGCAGATGCCGTTGTTCCTCCCGGACCTCGATGATGCGGTGGAGGTCGATAGGCCGAAGTCTCCATCCGCGAAGAGCACGAACTCTGGTGTGTCTAGTGATATGCGCCGCGGTATGGCCCGGCTACACCTCGACCAGGCCCCGCCGCCCGTAGTTGCACCTGCACAGCCTGTGGCACGACCGCCCGAACCACCAGCCGCACCCGTCATTGTCGGCCCGAACGCGATGGGGGTCGACTTGACGGTCGACGACGGCCCTGCCCGTTTGGACGCCTACGTCGCGCAGGTACTCGAAATTGTGCCGGACGTGCTCCCGGAGCATGTGCGCATGCTGGTTGAGCAGAACGAGCCCACGTACGAGGGCCAGGTCGTCGAACGGATCCTGCACAGTCTTTTCGAGCTCCCCAATTATCCGAAGGCCGACCCGCAGGGCAAAGGCAAGCGCAAGAGGGAGGATGATGACCAGGGGCGTGAAGCGAAGAACGTCAAGGTCGACTATGCGAGTAAAAACAGGCAGCCCCCTGGTCCGATGTACGCGATACAAGCTTTGGTGCGTATTTCTATCATTCAGTATGTGCAGACGGTGGGCGGCTCTGTTAGGCTTGTGGGCAGCGTCGGGGTGGTGGCATAAGCCCTGTGAGTGTGTACGGGGGTGTAACTTAGGTGGCGTAGAGAGTACGTCGATGACCGAGGTTGCTCGAAAACATGCTCTTGTTCAGTAAGAAGCAAAAATTATCGTCATGTGCAGAGGCTGCCCACGTTTATTGTATCAAGACAATCCCACTGAACATGTTTCAAAAGGAACGATTGTACACAGACTTCCCTACTATCCCGGTGGCCCATGTGCGCGCGACATTCCACTCTCACAACTCGCTATATGCGCCGACGTACCTCCGTCTCCACGACGAAGTGAACAGCCCGAACCCGCCTTTCAGGCTCAAGTCTTCTGCTGTGAAGCGTCAGCCGAAGGGCAAGATGAAGCCCCAGGAGGAGCTCGAGGAAGAGGTGGCGTTCATAAAGAACAAGTTCGCGGCTGATCCGAGCAGCGCGGCAGCGCCAGAAGCGACCTCGTCCGCTGCCGCCGCCTCTGTCGAAGTGGACCCTGAAGACGGCGGCATCGAGTGCGGGTGCTGTTTCTCGAGCTATGCCTTCGTACGTACCGCCACAACGTTCCTCGCATGCGGCGCTGACACGCGCACAGGACACGATGATCCAGTGCCCCGACGCGCACCTCTTCTGCAAGGACTGCATGTCCTCGTACGCGGAGGGCCTCCTCGGGGCGCACGACGCGAACATCGTGTGCATGGACCAGACGGGGTGCAAGCTGCTGTTCCCCGCGTCGGAGCTCCGCCGCTTCCTCACGCCGAAGCTCCTCGCGCTGTACGAGCGCGTGAAGCAGCGCAAGGAAATCGAGGCGGCGGGCCTCGAGGGCCTCGAGGAGTGCCCGCATTGTGACTACAAGGTCGTGATCGAGAATGAGCAGGAGAGGCTGTTCAGGTGCCAGAATGAGGAGTGTATGGCGGTTACGTGCCGGCAGTGCAAGAAGCCCGTGAGTGGACTTGCTCAGGTAGCGAGGCAGAGTCTGACGATGCTTCTCTCAGGATCATCTCCCGAAGAGTTGCAAAGGTATAAATACCGGTCCGAAGCTATGTCTGCCATATCGGTTCACTGACGGCGATTGCAGAGGTCGAAGACGACAAGAAGCTTGATGGCCGCCATGCGATCGAAGAGGCCATGAGTAAGTATCTTGATCTATAGGGCTTTGTTTCGTTCCTAACATTGTTCGTAGCCAAAGCACTCATGAGAAACTGCCCGAAGTGTCAGAAAGGTCCGTCATATCCCGTTCGCTTTCGTCTTCAGTGGGCATTAACGCACTACTTTCTGCACAGCGTTCATCAAGGAGCATGGTGTAAGCACGCCTTTGGCTGTTCTCGAATACCCAAAGTCATACTGCCGTTCCAGTGCAACAAGATGATCTGCCCCAATTGCCGCACGATGTCCTGCTACGTCTGTCGCAAGGTCATCCTAGGCTATGAGCACTTCAACAATGTATGCACGTCCAACGCACACAATCCGTTTGTGAAGCTGAAACAATTGATGTTCAGCCTCCTCCCTATAATGGCCGCAAAGATCCCAACAAGTGCGAGCTTTGGGATTCCGTCGAGAAACGCCACAGCGACGAAGTATATGAAAACAGCCGTCTGCACCATGTTCTCCGCTCATGATATGCTCTCGCAGGTCACGGCAGCCGCCAAGAAAGCGACGGAGGAATACAAACGCGCTCATCCCGAGGTCACCGAAGAGGACCTCAAAGTCGACCTCCCACCTGCGCCCGTCGCCGGGCCCTCCAATGCTCCAGTCCCCGGCATGCTTCCACGTGCCGTCCCGCCGCCCCTGCCCTTCGTGTTCTTCGGAAACCAGCCGATCGACCCCGGCCCAGCGTTCTTCATGCCGCCGCCGCCCCCTGCGCCCCCGCACTTCGGCCAGGCCGGAGTCGACGTCGGCGGATTCGTTGGGCTTCCACACGAGATCGCGCGCCAACGACTGATGGAGCAGGAGCGTCTGCTGGTGGAGGTACGGGCGGCGGAGAGGCAGGCTGCGCTGGAGGTGCGGCGGCGGCGGGTGGCGGCGGCGCGGGCTGTGGTGCCGCCTGTGCGGGCTGCGGTGCCGCCTGTGCGGGCTGCGGTGCCGCCTGTGCGGGCTGCGGTGCCGCCTGTACAGGTGGCGGGTGCGCTGTACGGTGCACAGGGGCGACGCGGCGTCGCTCGTCCGATAGCCAATCCTCCTCCTGCCGTCCCGCCCCCGCCGCCGGTCGTTGCTGGGCGCCCGGGCGCGAAGCGGGCGAGGGCACGGAGATGAGCGGGGTGGGTGAGGATGATGTATGTGTCCTTGCGCTATTTTATGGCGGGCCATGGTCCCGGGAGTTGTCAATTTCGCGTTAACGAATCACTAGCCTATCACTGCATATTGTGTATGTCCATGCCGCACATCGTATGGTAATTATGTTCGTCTGTGGTCACGCTGGTGCCAACTCAGGGACAGCTCCCGAGCGCCAGCGGACGTGAGGGTCTGCTGAAACGGAGGGACGAGTACGCCGTTGAGTGAATCGTGCGCCAGGACGGCCCCGCCACTTGTCAACATGTCTGACGGGCTGTATAACGAAGTTCTTTGCGGTCCGGTTGGCAGCGCTGACAGGCCGATCATGATGAACCACGACACATGCCTTTTCTGGACAGCGGCTGAGCTCCACTCGCAGATTGCAGCTGCAGCGCCGCCACCCGACAAGTTGTTCGCGTTGCCTCTCGATGCAAGATCACACAGCTCGCAGCACGGGTGCGTTGCAAGCTGGTGTAGGCCGCCAACTCGATATAGGTGGTTCTGACACTGCTCAGTGCCCATGGCGGACCCGTGGCATGAGTAGCCATACGAGGCCCCGATATGGACATAGAAGCCTCTGCGTCAAGACACGTCCAAATGGCAGATGCGGCTCGTCGTTGGGCTGGCCCCTTCGCAGGCCTTGATTATGCGTCGCTGGCGGGTGGCTAGGGCTGCCTCCCTCCCTCTTCCCCCCGGCGGTCGCAGTCTCAGCTCTGCGCGCGGTCCTAGCACAGCTGTCTGAGTGCGACGCCGGCGCACCGAATAGATATATAGAGTCTCTTCAAAGTCCCTCCTTGTCTCCAGGTCATGCGCCTCACGGCCCCCCTCTACTCGCTTCTCTGTGCGGCAACGGTGTTCGGCGCGTCGTACGAGGACTGGCAACGCCGCTCAATCTACCAGGTGCGATACTGTGATCGTACATTACGAGTGGTGTTCCAACCACACAGCGTCGGTTTTGCACTTCGTTGAGTGTCTCTTGGCTTGGGGTCGAGCGAGCTCGACGGACGCGCAGCCCACAGTGTGAAGCGTCGTCTCTCCCTACATCCTCGGTCCCGGTAGCGCTCTCGTCGGGTTTCGAAGCCCTCTTTGTAGCATGTTCTGAGTCCGAACACCGTAATTAACCCCCGGTGCCATGTCTCCGGTGACGGAGTATGCCTTTCTGGCGAACCGAATAACACTTTGATCCCGATACCGCTTTCAATGTGCTTTTTTGTCGACGAATGCAGGATGTTATTTCTGCTCACACACCACACAGCTTGTGACCGACCGCTTCGCGACCTCCGATGGGTCCTCCCCGGCATGCAACACCTCCGCACGACAGTACTGCAACGGCACCTGGCAGGGCGTCATCTCCAAGCTCGACTACATCCAGAACATGGGCTTCGATGCCATCTGGATCTCGCCCATCGTCGCGAACCTCGCGGGCGACACCGGCGATGGCGCCGCGTACCACGGCTACTGGACGGTCGACCAGACGAGCCTGAACGACCACTTCGGCACGGACGGCGATCTCAAGCTGCTCAGCACGACGCTGCACGAGCACGGCATGTTCCTCATGGTCGACGTCGTCGTCAACCACATGGCCGCCCCGCTCCTGACGGGCACGGCGAACTCCTCCGATCCAAGTGCGCCCGCCCCAGCGGTGAACTACGCCGCGTTCACGCCGTTCAACAACGAGTCCTCGTTCCACCCGTTCTGCTGGATCACGGATGACGCGAACCAGACGGACGTCGAGCAGTGCTGGCTCGGCGACGCCGCGGTGCCCCTCGCGGACGTCGACACGGAGAATCCGGACGTCGTCGCGTTCTTCAACAGCTGGATCGCAGACCTCGTGACGACATACGGCATCGACGGCTTGCGGATCGACACGGTGAAGAATGTAAGGAAAGACTTCTGGCCTGCGTTCGCGCAGAGCGCGGATGTGTGGAGCATCGGGGAAGTATACGACGGGGACGTCGCATACGTCGCGAACTACTCAGGTGCGGCATTTCGTGGCTATCTACTGTGCATTCGTAGGCTTGGGCTGATTGCACTGCAGAGGTCCTCGACGCGGTGCTCGACTACCCGAGCTTCTACCCGCTCACGCGCGGCTTCCAGAACAGCTCGGGCGACCTCACGCAGCTCGCCGCGTCCGTGGGCGACGCGCAGCACGCATACAGGCTGGGCACGTTCATGACCGGCTCGTTCCTCGAGAACCAGGACAACCCGCGCTTCCCGTCGCTCACGACGGACCAATCGGTGCGCGCGCGCGTTGGTGATCATTTCGCAGGGCGACGTGCTGACTGCCAGTGCGATGCCAGCTGATCGTGAACGCGATGACGTGGGTCTTCGTCCAGGACGGGGTGCCGATCTTGTACTATGGCCAGGAGCAGGGGTATGCGGGGGCAGATGACCCCTATAACCGCGAGGCGTAGGTCTCTCAGGCATTTCCCACCTATCCGGGGGCTGAACCTCACGCTCATCCCAGGCTGTGGCTCTCCGGGTACGAAGAGGACAAGCCGCTCGTGGTCCACGTCCGCGCGCTGAACGCCGCGCGCAAGGCCGCGATCGCGTGGGACAACGCTACCTTCCTGGGCACACCTGTGAGTCGAGTCGTGTCCCACCCCGCCTGCCTCGCGCGCTGAACCCAGCGCAGGTGGCGTTCCCCGTGGCCTCCGCGTCCCAGCTTGCGGTGTCGAAGCAGCCGCTCCTCGCGCTCCTCACCAACGCCGGCGCGTCGTCCTCGCCGAGCTGGTCCGTCCCCAGCACGAACTACTCCAAGGGCGACGAGCTCATCGACGTGCTGAGCTGCTCGACGACGAAGGTCGGCGACTCGGGCGCGGTGGCGTGGACGGGGAGCTCGGGCATGCCTGCGGTACGTCGGACACTGTCGGCCGTCGCGAGTCGAGTGTCCGTGTTGACGTTGAAGCTGACATGGGCTGCGGTGTGCAGGTGCTCCTCCCGACGTCGGTGTTCAACGCGAGCTATTGCAATGCGCTCAAGAATGATATCAGTGGCGATACAGGCAGCCCGTGGGTCGCGCAGTCGGCTGGGGAGGAGCTGCGCTTGAGCACGGCTGGCACGCTCGTGGCTGCGTCGCTCACCATTTTGTTTTTCGCTGTGTGGATGGCATGAAGTCCTTCGTGCCAGGCGTACAGGGGTGGATATACCGGCTAGACTTGTGTTGGTTTCTGGGTTGGACTTTGGGGCAATCGGACAGACTATAGTACTAGACTTGCATGAACTTTTCCGAACTGTTGTATATCGAACTGTAGACGTGTGTTGTACACTAAGTAGTCAGCCTCCCGCACCATTGGTGCTGTGTATTGCGATTGAACAGTACTACAGTAACACAGACCAACTTCGATGAGGTTCTTCGCCGGCCCTTGGCGCTCTGGCATGGCCATACCTCCAAAAATGTGCACGTTTCTAGATGTCCGACTACGATTACGTAATCAGGTCCACCCCTGCGTCGGCGTCCAGGGCAGCTTTGTTTTCGGTCTTCCTTCGGTCCACTGAGTTGAAGTGCCATCGTGCTGGGGTCGGGTCATTGTAGTCTGTATATGGCCGCGGGAGGAAGGTTTTGTACAGCGTCCTGCAGCTCCTCAGGCTCCTGCAGGACGCTATAGACCTTCCTCCTGCGGCCCATATACAGACTACCGTTATACATGACCTCCCTCACGCGGGGGCCATTGCAGATCCAGCTAAGTCGTAGCGGTATTACTTGCGCCCTAGTCGCGATGCGTTCAAGATTTGAGTCTCGCAGGTACTGTCGCAAAAGGTGTGTACTCGAGTCATCGCAACAGTTCGCAATCGCCTGGTACTGATGGTGGAATAGAATATATAAGATTGGCCGGAGGATACGCTGAGACACGGTCGATCCCGTTGTACGACGGTCCCTGGGTCGGGATGTCCTCGGTGCACGCCCGATCTCCGAATGGTTGCGCGGCTCAGCATCGAGAGACATTGTTGCGCCAGCGATGGCTCGGAGCCCTTAGCCGCCACTGTCTGTGAGTTCTGGCTAGAGTACCTTGCGCTTGAGATACGAGTAAGTACTGGAGTTAGTTCCCAGATTCAAACTGCAGTCGTCCACTGGCAGGTCACTGGCACTTCGGAGGAGGCTGCCAATGATGTCAATGAAGCGGTGGATATACTGGTGGGTTTTGTTGTTTCTTCCTGCTACTCTTCACACTGCACAACGCCCTCGGGACTCATAGGCAAACGTTCAGGTTGTTGCCGATGCAATCCTTGAAACGTGATGAAACCTCTGGATTCCGAGTCAGCTTTCATACGTTCCTGTGACGGTAATGCCACTTGTTAGCCGTGCGCGTTAGAACCCTGGTATGGTACGGTGGCCCTGCTATTCGCCTAATGCTCACCATTGATGGAACCTGGATGGCACTCAGCAGTGTCCGCCGTGCAGTTTCGAGGCCGTACGCGCCGGCGCTTGAAGCAATGTGGCCTGACACAGTAACTGATCATGATGATGCGCAGGCCGACGGTGAGTTCGGAAGACATTGATGTTCTCTTGCAATTTATAAAGGTGCGGAAAACTGTCTGCCTCTCAATATTCCAGTCACTCATTCCATACATTTTCTCGCACACGCCGTTCAAGTCCAATTATATACCATAATGCACAGCCCTCTTTCTATCGCAGTCATGTCTCTGGCCTTGGCCTCCGCGGCATACGCGCACCCCTTCAAGCGCGCTTTCGGATCCTTCCTTGACAACTTCCCAAGGATCCCTGTCCCAAAGATCCCTGAAAGTACCACGTCAGCCACGACCACGACCTCCTTTCAGGCTGCCCCGCCCCGCCAGACCGTCATGATCAACACTGACTGGAAGTACGACAACGGCAGCACGTCCGTCACGAACCTTACCTGCGGCACGCAGTTCGAGGCGACGGGGAACACGACCTACAGATCCCTCCTCCAATACCCGTACGCAGCCGGCTTCTCGAACGTCACGAGCGGCGAATCCACCGTTTGCGGCGCGTGTTACGTCCTGGAGTGGGCGGGCAACTACGTGGGCGTGCAGATTATTGATGGCGCGGAGGAGTATGGGGGCACGGAGACGTTCACCCTTTCTGGGGAGGCGTACGACTGGTTGCTCTTGAACGAGACGACGTCGCCGGTGGTCACTGGGACTATTGTGGATGGTCCTTTCGCGTGCCCCGAGCACCAAAAGTTCGTGGCGATAAACCCGTGATGGTATGTCTACTTTGACTCGCCAACAGTGCAGGAACTGACATAATTCTCTCCTACAGAACACGGTCGGCCTACGCAAGAGTTTTGGGCGACCTTGCCATAGACGGAGATGAACATGATAACGGACAAATGGACATTTGCACTGATATTTATGCCCAACTCTTTTACTGTCATTACGCCGGAACCACGATGCACGATGCTTACACCTTTTCGCTCTGAAGTGCACTTATTAGCCACCAATGACAAATTAAGGATTGGGTGAGTACAAGACAGAACGAGGGTCCGTCACTCCTCCGGCACGTCCGATTCCTCATATCCCGCTGTGCTTCCTCGTCATCCGACCGCATTGCGTGCCAGTCGCCTACTACTCGCAGTGTCAATGCCCGCCGTGGATGAACAGGAGCCAATCCACATACCAGTCTTGCCCGAAACTCATCTAAGAGAAGTCGCAAGCCTCCGGGCCGTTCAGGATATACGCCGTAACGCTCGGGTCCGAGGTATAGTTCATCGTCAACCACTCGTACGCCTCGTGGGACAGGACGAAACCCTCCGCCGCGGAGTCGACGACCTGGATCTGCGCGAAGTTCCCCGCGTACTCCAGGGTGTAGCAGTGCCCGCAGTCGGTCTTGCTACTGTCGGTGACATTGTCGGAGCCCGCGATGTAGGGGTACTCCGGGAGGGCGCCGAAGGTCGTGAAGTTGCTGAGCGAGGACGCGCAGGCGAGTGTGCTGACGGGCGTGGTTGACACGTCGTATTTGGTGTCGTAGGAAACGGTGACGGCGGGGCCTGGAAGCTGGGCGAATGCCAACGAGCCGGAGAACAGCGCGACAGCGGCGGAGATGAGGGTGTGGTACATGGCTGGAACTTTGGAGGGACTTGGAACACTTTCCTTTTCGTTTGTTGCTGCACCATCCACGACACTACGGGATGTTATATAGCCTGAAAAGTCCAAGCGCCTCGCGCACGAAGGTGGAGAAGCAGCAAACGAGCAACGCGCAGGTGGGCATTCCTCGCCGATATGGTCAATCTACATACCAACGGGCGGTCAGCACGAACAGCTCCGGGATGATCTGTCTGTCAACGGAAGTGACGTAGGCGAACGGACATGAGCGCCGCGTTCTGCTATGCAAGTTTGGGCTTCCTTGTACAAGAGCCCAAGCAGTTGCGGGAAATGGTATCCTCGTTCTAGTACATCCGCAACCGGCGGGCCCGGCTGTGGTCTCGTACCCCTCCGTGTGTACGAGACCAGCGCGGCTGCTGCTAGCTTGTCCCTGAAGTGTACATGGATGTAGCCAGGTTGGCCTCAGTATGCGTGCACCGCGCGCACAGATCCGCAGCCAGAGTCCAGAAGCCCAATCGGTGACTATTAAGAGCACCGTGTACGTATCGTACAGTGCCTCGGTCAAAGAAACGAGAGTGAGACACCGGGCTCACATTCCGACGAGTCCGTCACGTCTTCGGTAATCGACCGTACGGTCTCAGACGGTGACAAGTTCGGGTTGTGCACTGGAGCGTCGTTGGCTAGTCGACTGTACGCAGTAAATTCAAAACCACACACACCGAGCTCCAGCTTGTATGACGTGGAAGTTGCGGCGGAAGCAATACATTGATCGGCATGGCACCCGTCGAAAATCTATGCATCTGCATCTGAGCACAGCGGAGCGTCACAATAACGAACTCATTGCAAACTGCATCACCAACTAGATCGTAACTGAACACGCAGCGTCCCGTAGCAATCCTCACGGAGGCGGTCGAGTGTGTCTATAGCAATGTGTCTAGAGCCTGAGCAATCGTAGTGAGAAAATCTGAGCGCGAATATACTAGGATGTATAGAATGATCGGACATACTCTAGCTTGCCAGCGCATACTTCGCCCCATCGTCCTGCAGGCGTCAATGAGTCCCAATGGGTAACGTACTGCATGGGTCTCGGTTTTTTACCTTCCAATGGTACCGAGAGCCGTGGCTTCGCGCACGGTCATCATTGTTCGAGGCGCGTTGCCTCAATGGGGCGCCAGCTGTCACAGTGAGACATTGATTTGTACAGCGGCATAGCATCATGCTCTATGCCTCCCAAGCACGTGTGTCGCAACTGAATGTCTGAGCGTCGAATGGTTACAGGCGCTACGTCTAAGCCTATGGAAGGGCTCACATGGAGAAAGTCTCAGGGGCGGTTTCCCCACGTCGGCGACGCTTTCGCGAGGGAGCATCACGTATGACCGGAGCCACTCCTCTCTACCTCAGCTAGGAGTTGTTGGTGTGAAAAGACACGGTGGTAGAACGCCTTCTGGGCGTCCCATAGTTTGTTTTGTGCATACGTCTGAGTGGATATAAGGCGATCGCTAAGCTGCGCTACCCTCCAGTCGTTCGAAAATCACTCACTAGGCTCCACGTCTTACGACCGTCGCCACGATGCGTGTCTCTATTCTTTCTTCGTTGACCGCGCTCGCGATCAGCACCTTGGTATTCGCCCAAATCACGCCTCCCATATACGACGAGGTTTCCTTCAGCTCCAAGTACACCGACACGAACGCATCCGTCGACACCCTTACCTGCGGGGACCAGCTTGCCGCCGAGGGATACGCCACCGTCGGTGCTATCCCAGGGAACATTGCCGGGTTCGCCAACATCACCAGCACGGACTCTTCACTCTGCGGGAAGTGCTATGTCCTAGAGTACGCGGGAGCCTTCCTCACCGTTCGCGTCGTGGACACGGCGGGAGACGGATTCGTGGTCACGAAGGGCGCGTACGAGACTTTGACGGGGAACCAAGCACCGATTCCTCCCAGCGTCGATGCGCGAGTTTTGGAGGGCCCTACAAGTTGCTGAAGCACTGAAGCCTACACCATGTAAGGCGAGTCAGGTCTATGTGGCCGTCATCCCTCTTGTATCGCGCTTAGCTTCCGCTTCAAGGCAGACTTCGTACTAAAGGAGGCTGCGGCATGACCTGTATGCTCGATCAGCCAGGAACATCAACAGGAATGCAGGATAGTAGCTCCATAGTACATCGCTCACCTATTGTTAGTATTTGACGGGCAACTTCAATATCTACCACGTAGGCAAAGGCTCAGCCTTATTATCTACACACCAGTGCCAGGTCACGACATACAATCATGATCCTCAGTCCAATGTCGTTCAATATTTCCAATGTTTTCCTTGGTGAAGCGTCAGTGTACTGAGTGTCAGGAGTCGACTGAGAGATGTCGGCTGTGAGCCCAAATCGCAGCACGTTCTGTCGGAGTTCGATCTGAGATAGTGAACTTAGCGACCGTCTGCCGCAAGTAAGCAGTATGTAAAAGCACCTGACCGGTACTCAGAGTTTACACATACCTGGTATCGGACACATCGTCCAGTATAAGTCCTCTGGAAAGCTAAGTCGTCAGTTTCAGCTCAGGTTCGACAACAATCTGGGTTCTCGGGAGACTTGAGATTCCGGGCCTGTCATGACAAGACAAATTGATTTTGAGTCCACCGAAGATTTTGCCGCAAAGACGGCAATGATGCTTGCTGACCTGTCGGACAGGACGGCCTGAAGCACGCAGCGGGACCTCGGTCCATCTACCTATCCCTGGTCCACCAACGTACAGTACGTGTTTCATACGTAATACGCAATGACACTTCCACCGAGTTACACCGATTACCCCTAGTCATCCAGGAGGGCTACCAGCGGTAGTACAGTACCTTGAACTTTCTGTCAAGGATATGCATTAACCTCAGTAAACCTGTCGTCATATGATGCTGTGGCGTCTCACTCGGCGTCGAACGTGGTGCCACTAGCGGCGCCTGCATGGTTCAGCGTTGGTCAACGCCCGCTCTAGCCAGTACATCGCCTGGCAGCTCTGCATTCTCTCTAGACATTGAGTGGACTGATGAGAATGTTATTATGTCAGCATTAGCGGTCGGTGACGCATACTCATCGAAGGACATATAAGCCTCCTCGTGCCAGCGAGGGCTCTCGCCAATCCTGCAAAGTCAGTTGGCACTTATTCGGAACCTCCAGCCGTACCCCGATTCCACTCACAATGCGTTTTTCCATCCTCCCTTCGCTCGTCGCTCTGGCAGCGAGCCCCCTCGCACTCGCTCAAGTATACGTCGTGACCGACAACAGCCAGCAATTCGACAACCCTAGCTCCTCCGTCGACACGCTCGCCTGCGCAGCCTTCCTCCAGGATTACCAGACCATCGGCAACATTCCCGGAAACCTCGCGGGCTTCTCGAACGTCACCAGCGACAAATCGCTCTGCGACCACTGCGTCACTTTGGGTTGGCAGGGCAGGGAGGTCGTTGTGTGGATCGTGGATACGTCGCCGGAGGAAGGCTTCGAGGTTACCGAGGGAGCGTATGAGCAGTTGGTTGGGGGCCCGCTCCTCCCGGGGGTGTACCAGGCGGAGATCGTGTCGGGGCCGCACAGTTGTGTGGCACCGGTACCGGGTAGCGGATGATGCATGACATCCGAGAGTAGGTCTTCTGCATGCTATGTTCCCCCATGCTCTAGCTAATCGTATATTACCCAGGTAGGCCATATGTGTCATGAATGGACTGATACGATCCGCACCTTAGTTTTATCCTCTTGCACGGACGCCTGTGCTGAACACACTTCTTTGGGACGTCCTAATCATAAGCCAATATCCAGTGTTTTGCTTCGCACCTTGATTGCATTTCCTCGCACGATGACATGAGCACAATATGACACTGTGAAATGTCCAACCCACGAGCAGCATCGTGATTCTTTCACTTGCTAAGCCCTACTTGGAATACACCGAGTCAACATCCGACACAATCATACAACGTCACCTATATATTACCACCGGATACCCGTCACCCGCCTCTCATTACCAAAATCCGCATTCATCAATGCCAACTATCGTTCTGGGTGACGCTCCCACTTGGGGGCGTCGTGATCTCGTTGTTCGGGTCGTCCTCCCAAGTGACGTCGCCATTAACCTTCGTGATGTACTTGTACTCGATCGTCGTGCTCGGCGGCAGGTCCACCGTCACTGCCGCAAAGGCACCCGTCAGCGCGAAACCACACACGGAGCAGCGGGACACTCACGGCTCCACGTAGGGTAGTTCGCGGACGACATCAGGAGCGCGTCGTCCGTGGACCAGTTCTCGAGCGCGTCGACGGAGCCGGCGATGTAGAAGTTCTCTGCGAGAGGACGTCAGGCGCGGTCCACACTGAGCGCGGGGAAATGACGCACCCCCGTAAGTGGTGTCGTACGCGATCTCGAACGTGACCGCGACCGTGTCCGAGCTCGACGAGTTCGTGCCGACGAGCTCGCTGCAGTACGTCGTGTTGAACACGCTCGTCGGGAGGAGGATCTGCGTATTTGGGATACATGAGTCTTCGTATTCTCATGCAGACGTAGGGCTGGAGGTATGGTACTCACGACTGGGGCCCCCTCACTCCCGGTGACGCTGACGCTCCCGCCGCTGCCCGCGGTGTACGTCGTGCACGTAAGCACGTCGATCAGCTCCGTGCCCGAGGCGTAGCCAGTGCCCGACGAGACGTCCCACGCCGGCGTGCCGCTCGCGCCGACGTTCGTAAGCAACGCGAGCATGGGGTACTTGGACACCGCGAGTGTGTTGCCGCCGACTGAGGGGAAGGTGACCTGCCGTTCGGGGAGACCTGTGAGCAATGGATGTGATGCGGGAGGAGGAATGGGGACAAACCGCGGTGGAGAGGTAGCTGCTGCTGGCGGCGATGGCGGCTTTGCGGGCGGCGTTGAGGATGCGGACGTGTTGCACGAGCGGTTTGTCCTCTTCGTAGCCAGAGAGCCACAGACTGGAGGAGAAAGAGCAGGATTAGTGCAGGAAGCAATGTGCGGAAAGGAAGGAACGCACGCTTCACGATTGTAGGGGTCGTTGGCGCCAGTATAGCCTTGTTCCTGACCTATGCACCTGAGGTGAGCCTACACGACACGCATATACCCACCTCCAAGACGCCTTGGACGTACCATAGTACAGAATGGGGATCCCATCCGCGATAAACGGCCACGCCATCGCGTTCTTCACCAACTAATCCAAACCATCGCTCAGCACATGCAGCACCGCTACTCGGCACCTAGCGAACACTTACGCCCTGGTCCGTGGTGATGCTCTGGAAGCGCGGGTTATCCTGGTTCTCGAGGAAGGTGCCGACGGTGAAGAGCTTGTTCTCGTACGCGGACTGCGCGGACTGGATGACGTTGACGAGGTTCTGGATCGACCCGCTCGTCGATTCGAACGCGTACGTGAGCTGGTAGTACGTCGGGTAGTCTAGGATTCCGTCAAGAACCTCTGCGCATTCACACAGTGAGAAATGTTCGCTGCATTGGAGAGGCGATCCGAACTCACCGGTATAGGGCGCGACGTAGTTCACGTCCCCGTCGAATACCTCGCCGACGGCGTACACGCCCGCCGCGTTCTGGAAGTCCGGCCAGAAATCCTTCCTGATATGTTTCACCGTATCGATCCTAAACCCGTCCACGCTATAGTTGCTCTGGAGCTGCCCGATCCAGCTGTAAAAGAAGTCGATCACGTCGTCGTTCTCAGTGTTGCAGTCCGCGAGGGGCACGCTGTCGTCGCCGAGCCAGCACTGCTCGACGTTCGTCTGGTTGCTGTAGTCCGTGACCCAGCAGAACGTGTGGAAGTACGACTCCGCGTCGAACGGCGTGAAGGTGGAGTAGTCGGGCGGGAGCGTGTTGGCTGCCATGTGGTTCACGACGACGTCGACCATTAGGTACATGCCGCGGGAGTGCAGCGCGGAGGCGAGGTTGTTCAGGTCGTCTGCCGTACCGAAATGGTCGTTGAGCGCGTTTTGATCCACAGTCCAGTACCTATCGGATCGCAAGGGTGTGAGCCGCCGGAGGAACAGACGTGTTGGAGATGGTACTACCCATGATATGAATAGCCATCGCCTGTGCTGCCTTCGAGGTTTGCAACGATGGGTGAGATCCAGACAGCGTCGAAACCCATGTACTGGATGTAGTCGAGCTCATTGATGATCCCCTGCCAGGTACCGCCGCAGTAAACGCGATCCTCAGTGTCGCACGATGGCGAGGAGCCATCTGAGGTAGCAAATCGGTCTGTAACAAGCTGAGGTGCGAGTGCACTGTCAGTCCAAGTATATTACATAACGGGTAATGCGCGAACATGCCTGGTAGATCGACCTCTGCTGCCATTCGGCCGGAGTCGCAGCGAGCGCCAATGCTGCTAACGCACATGCCGCGAGAACGCGCCCCAACATACCTGCCACGGACATGGGCAGCGAACGGGGGAAGACGAGCGGAAAGGAAGCCTATAGCAAGATGATTTGTATGTACGTCTACATAGGGCTATGCCCTCAGCGACGCTGAATGGAACCAAGAACATACCTGCTTACTATGGACGAGGGCCCAGTGCGCGAGATGTGAGCGAGTTAAGGCCTGCACTTCATATATGCTCGAGCAGGACCAATATTGTGGCGTGTCCTCCGAGTCGTCAGCCGCCGATTGAGACACATGGGAGGCGAACGCACCACATGCACCCAGTCCACCTATCCAGTGTCCGGACTCGGTCACAGGACGAATTCATGACGATGCTGACATGCCTGAGAACGTTCACATAAAACCATGGCTTCTGTTCAGAGTTACCATGGGTCCCAAAGCAACACATCCCGGAGGCTTGCCGTCGTGGTTGGGTTAGCGCATAACGCAATTGCGACGAGGATCATCCATTGATTGATTCATTGAAGTGGAAATTATGGAGAGTTGATAGTCTCCTTTGCAGACCATAGTAATCGCAGTGGCAGTGGATGCCAATGCCATATTAATCTGTCCGAGTCTTGACAGATAGTAGTACGTAGGTGATTGTTCCGTCCGCGATAGCAGAGGAGAAGTTCAGCGCATCGTCGCGAGGGGCATTATCAGGAAGGAGAATTGCTTGTAGTGATAGGGAATTGTTTTGTGCAAGTGCCAGTTTCGAGAGGGCCTATGTAGAGCGGGGGCACAGCGCAAGTTGACCAGATCGGAATCTGGTGCTGCGGGGCACAGGCCTTCGATCGCGGTGGCTGGTCCCGCCGCTGAGTCAGCGTCGGTAACTGCCTTTTTTGTCCAATATCGGCATGCAAAAGTACGCGGCGGATCAAATCTAGATCTGATACACTTGCGCGACCACGGTCGGGATGGCCGGAGTGCTGCTGGCAGCAGCTCGCTCACGACGCGCTCCTCCCTTGAGAATTTGGCAGTCCTTTTGACGAGCACGCTGATCTGCCAAGAAGAGATGTCGATGCAGGGCACCTGCTGAACGGGAACACCGGGATGGCACGCCAGACGGCGAAGTTCCTGGTCGCGCTACTGCCAGCGATCGTCGGTCTGACCCTCCTCCCTCTATCTCGCTACCCCGCCACCGCGACCTTCTGGCGTTCTGCGACTCCGTCCTCCGAACATCCCTTCGTAGATGAGGGCCGCTGGGCCATCACACCCGAGATCGACGCGTATGCGCGGAAGGTCCTCGAGGCGGAAGGCGTCCCCGGGCTCTCGATCGCTGCTGTCCGGCTGTCTGAGGCAGGCGAGGTGCAGACCGACTGGACTGCATGGGGCCGGATGACGGAGGATGGAGAACCGGCGACCGCGGACGTAAGTGTATTCTAGCTGTCTCTCCTTTGGATATATGCACTTACAATCGTTGCACACCAGACGCTGTACAACATAGGCTCGTGTTCCAAGGCGTTCCTTGTCACGGCGCTTGGTCTCCTCATGGAGGACTATGCTCTTGGACGGAATGTCACTGCACTCCCACGCGGGATGGAGCAGTTCAACTGGGAGACGAAGATTCGGGAAATGTTCGACACGCAATCTCCTCTGATATTCGCTGACCCTTGGGCGAGGTCCCAAGCTAGCCTTCTGGATGTGCTATCGCACATGTCGGGAATAGGCAGGTAAGGTACTAGCGCTTGTCTTGTGAACGGTCATCAGCTAAGACGATCGCTTTCCTGCAGCCAAGAATTCGTTTACAGCGACATGGACTCACCTACATCCGTTCTTCAGCGCGTGGAACACCTACGACCTGCTTACGAACTGAGAGAACGATTCTCTTACACTAACATAGTGCGTACATCAGCGATTGTCAATGTTTGTGTTCACCTCAAGATCGTTTTCGCAGTTCTACACCATAACCGCGCACGTCATCGCAACCTACTCTGGCATCTCATACGAGTCGTTTGTCATTGATCGGATCTTTGCGCCGCTCGGGATGACGTCCACCACGTATGCACACGCGGAAGCAATCGCGAATGGACGGCTGAGCCATAGCTTCACCACAACCGGGAGACGCGTGCCCTTCTGGCTCGGGAACAACGCAACAACTGCATGGGCTGGTCCGGCGGGTATAATGTCGAACGTAGTCGACATGGTAAGTCACTTGAGATAATGAACGCTATACATGGGCTAAATTGCGGCTCAGAGCAAATGGCTCGCAACCTTATTGAATGGTGGCATCAAACCAAGGACAAATACCACCATTATCCCGCTGTCTGTGTACGAGGAGATGACGACTGCTCGTGCGGTCGTCTTCGGCGCCCCGCGGCATCCCTATTTGACCATCGAAGGTTACGGGATGGGATGGGAACGCCAGTCGTTCCAGGGACACGACGTACGTCTCGTTTAGGACTGCTCATGATTCAGGATGGGTCGCTGATCAGCGCAAACGCTGCAGGTTGTCAGCCACACCGGACGCATGCCCGCTCACCTGAGCGAGGTGTTCTTCCTTCCTTCAGATAGACTCGGCGTCGTCGCTCTTTCAAATGGGGACCTGCCCCAAGAAGCCTACCACAAGATCGCCATGCGTGTGATCGAAGATGCACTCGCGCTACCGCACATCGCGGACCCAGACGAACAGCCACCCCAGAACGACACGTCAACCCAGGACGAGCCTCACACCGACTCAGAGAACGCGACCGTCGTCCTCTCCGCATCTCTAGCACGATACGCAGGCACGTACGCCAATCCAGCGTACGGGAACTTCACCCTATGCGCGCCGACGACAACCTCAGCGTACTGCGCCCGCGTCCTCGCCGACTTCGCCGCCTGCGATGAGCTGCACCCACACCCCGCGCTCTACGGGGCCTACCCCCGGTTCATATCCTCGCACGTCCGCCTCACACCCAACCCTACCGAGCGCCCCCCACGTTCCGAGGACCTGGTTTGCCGCGAAAGCGTCGACATGTGGGACCTGGAGTTCACGAGCCTCTTCCCACAGGGGTACGGGCGGAACGCGACGCCGTTCGTGCACCGCGTCTTGGGTGGCATGGCTATGGATGTACGGTGCGCGGTGCACGCGGGGGTCGTCGCGGGGTGCGGGATCTTTAATGTGACGAGCGATGCTGAGAGGATGCTGAGGGAGGGGATTGTGAGCGAGGTTGCGGACGTGTGGTTCCGGAGAATCCACTGATGTCTGGAGCGGACGAGGGCGCTCCGATTCGTAGCTGAGGGTTGGCTCGAACGTCTCGGACGCGACTATCGTACGCGTTCTCGGTACCGATTCTCATTCGAGGCCTCGAACCCTTGAGGGAAGGAACTAAGTAGCTCGTTAGATCGCCGAGTAGGTGAGTACGTGACAAAACTCTCGGTGTAGCAAGCTTTGGTGGTTGACATTGTCTTTCATAGCCTAGCATTGGCGACGGCGTCGAATGTGCCGCCGGACCACGAGTACATATGTACATCGTAAGTACTCGACGGCGTATGTCATGAAGCTGCCATGAACCAAACATAGCTCTGCCTTGGCAGATGATGCATATGATTTGAAGGCGCCTATAACCATCTCGCTGTGCCCCGTCAAATTGGAGCACATGTATGCAAGTGATTTTGAAGTCGAGTCTGTATGTTGACCTTCGAGCACACATGACAACTTGGCAGACAATCCCGGTAGAACTCGCGATAGCGAGTGAAGCGTTTACAGCATCGACACGCTCAATGTTGTTCACATCCGACCAGCATCAAGTACTGACTCGCCCGCAGTTGCGTAAGCACTCGCATCAGGATCAAGCCAGCTGCCAGAAGTCTGTTACCTATGACGACGGGGAGGCATCGATGTAATACGATTTCGTCGACCGCGAGCAAACAAGACACACGCTCGTCCTTCTTAATCCGATCAAATGCGTATACGAGCCGCGGCCAAGTATGTACTGCACGCGCTGCAGTTTATGGAAGGAGATAAATCCCGCCGCTCGCCGCTGTTGTGCGATCAACCACATGCAACGACTCCACTACGCCATATGCCTCGATCGGCAGCGCGTACGTGGGAGCTCCCTGCGTGGGTGCGAGGCTGGTATATAAGCATCATGGGCTTGAGATGAATCGGCAGTAGTGACTCGCTCTGGTACCGAGTCTTGTTTCGCTTCAGCATGTTGCTCTCCTTGCTCACCGTCTCTCTCGCGGCGGGCTCCGCTCTCGCTGCTTCCACAGATGATTGGCGGAGGAGGTCCATATACCAGGTAGGGCTTAGCTTCGCGTCTGTATCGCCCGGGGCTAATGGTCTATGTACAGCTCGTGACGGATAGGTTCGCGACGTCGAACGACTCCTCTCCGACCTGTGATACCGATGACCGTGTTTACTGCGGTGGTACCTGGCAGGGTATCGTCAACAAGCTGGACTATATCCAGGGCATGGGTTTCGACGCCATCTGGATCTCACCCATCGTGGCCAACGTCGAGGGCTCGACCGGGGACGGAGAATCCTACCATGGGTGACACATGCTCACCATCTCATTCTGCGAATATCACTGATCCGTTGCTGTGACAGGTACTGGACGGCGGACCAGAATTCGCTCAACAGTCATTTCGGTACAGCCGACGACTTGGTCGCCCTCAGCTCTGCGCTGCATGCCCGCGGGATGTATCTCATGGTCGACGTGGTTGTGAACCACATGGGCGGCACGTCGGTGCCTCCGGACTACTCAACCCTCGCGCCGTTCAACTCGGAGTCGAAATTCCATCCGTTCTGCTGGATCACGGACTACAGTAACCAGACGAACGTCGAGCACTGCTGGCTTGGCGACAACAGCGTTCCGCTTGTGGATGTCAACACCGAGGACGACTCAGTCGTTGACTTCTTCAATAGCTGGATTGCGGGCATAGTGTCAAACTACAGCGTCGATGGGATCCGCATTGATACTGTTAAGCACGTTCGGCAGGACTTCTGGTCTGGCTTCGCTGAAGCCTCTGCTGTGTATACCGTGGGCGAGATCTTTGACGGCGACGTCAACTACGTCAGCCCATATACCAGTGAGTGCAGCAGTCGCTGCTGATAGGCTGGTCATCGAGTGACACGTTTCCCACAGAGGTTCTTGGGGGCGTCTTGGACTATCCGACATGGTACCAACTCACGTCAGCATTCGAGTCGACCAGTGGCTCCCTCTCCAACCTTGTCTCCACGGTTCAGCAGGCACAGTCGTCTTACGCCAATGGCGAGTTCACCGCCGGCTCCTTCCTCGAGAACCAAGACAATCCGCGTTTCCAGTCTATCACCACTGACCAAGGTGTACGTGATCTTCTAGACTAGGCCGTTTTTCGTTGTACTGTTGTACTAATAAGTCGGTCACAGTTGGTCAAGAATGCCATGTCATGGCCCTTCATCCAAGATGGCATTCCTATCCTCTACTACGGCCAGGAGCAGGGATATACCGGTGGAGGTGACCCTGCCAACCGTGAAGCGTACGTTTTCACTGATCATTGTATGGGTTCTTGATGAATGATATCGCCACTGGCATACCGCAGATTGTGGCTGTCGGGATATGTCACCCAAGAAAAGCCTCTTCTGCAGCTTGTCACTTCCCTCAACGCCGCTCGCAAAGCGGCGATCGCGGCGAACAGCAACTACTTGTCGACGGCTGTAGGTCTCCTAACACCCGCTTCCAGAACTATACACTGATACGTACATCTAGCTCACGTTCCCCTCCGTTGAGGGCTCGACGCTTGCGGTGCTAAAGTACCCGATGCTCGCTCTCCTGACAAACGGAGGCAGCAGCTCGACGCCGTCTTGGAGCGTCTCTGGGACGGGCTATGATGCCAATGAGGCCCTCATCGACGTACTGACCTGCACTACATACACGGCGGACGGGTCCGGGGGTGTGAGTATCACTGGGTCTGCGGGAGAGCCAGTAGTAAGTTGTTCGAGGTTCAATTGCAGTCATCCATGTACTGAAGCCATGTCGACTAGATCATCTTGCCTACCATCGCGTTCAACCAAACGTACTGCCAATCCCTCTCGGGCTCTTCCTAAAATCTGCGAAGCGTCGTTCCGAACGTTCCTCCTCGCATCATCCTTCGCTCTGAGATCTACCCTCCCGTCCATTTGTTTACGTCAACAGCTGGACTGAGCTTGAAAACCTTATCTCTAGCTTTGTTGTCGAGACACGCCATCCGAGCTATGGCGGTCTCGTAAATCAGTTGTTTCAGGTGGTGTTGTCTCTTCGGTTCCATGTAAGTTATCACTTTGCGCAACGTAGTCATCGTGTCAATGATGATACCAATGTATATACACTTGTGCGTTCGTGTAATGACGACCATTGAATATTGAAATCTCAAGTTGGCCGTCACGGTGGTGTTACGCTGTGGAACATAGCTAGACCGTCACCCAACGCAGCCCAACGCGCGGACGAGCGGAAGTCGTCCCGCGGCCTATCGCTTCTTCCATTGATGCCCGACCACATCAACGTGAGAAGTGGTTCGTCCCCTAGACAATGTCATACGGTCTTGCATTCTGCACGCGGTCAATGTGCTCGAGCCCGAGGCACCCTCCACCTTGAATACACTCCGCCAAAGTCAATCCAATCGCTTCGCCTTCCGTATATGCTCCATGTAGGTAACCTGCCGAGTGTTTAGCGTCGTCGACGTTCCTGTCATGCGGTACCCCACATACCAAAGTACTTGCGACTCGTCGCCTCACCCGCGAACCACAGCCTCTCATCCACGTTTGCCCGCAGGTTGCCCTGATGCTCACTGAGGAATGCCGCTGGCCAGTTCGAGTACGAGCCACGGAACAGCGGGTCGCTGTGCCAGCGCTGGAAGTAGAAATCGATAGGCTCGGGCACGTCAACCTCGGGGAACATCGTCTCCAGAATGTCCATCACTTCTGATTGGACGTACGAGTCTGGCAAGGACTCGATGCGTTTGGAGAACTCTCCCTAACAGGATATGATACGTATGTCAGCCAAGTTCTCGATAGATGCAAGGCGCCAGGCTCGCGCAGCAAACTCACCGTGACAGTGACCACGAGGATCCCGGAGCCGGGGAGGTAAGACGGATGATCAAGGCTCTGCCAGACCGGGTACCTCCCGCGCTCGTAGTCGGCGTATAGCGCCATCTGCCAGAGCGGACATGACATCGAGAACACGATCTATGGATCGATCGGGTGCATTTGACGTACCTGCGTGTCGAACCAAAACTTCTGTGGGAATTGAAGGAAGATCTTCGTGTAGGTGCCCTGCAGATCCATCGTCACGGACTGTTTCGGGAAGGCAGTGGTGCGTGCTTACCATCGACATGCTGTGGATCGCCTCTTGTTTCCAGGCGGGAAGGGGAGGAACGAACTTGACGTCGTTGTGCTGCAGAACTCCAAGGCTGAACGTACAGAGGGCGTAATCGGCGCGCAGCACACGACCGTCGGTGAGCGTAACCTTCACTTCATGCTTCGCGTTCTCGATGACGTTGACTGTTGAGTTCAGCCGGAGTTGGGATGGCCTCAATATCTCCCTCGCCTCCGCCTGTATCAACATCTTGAAGCCACGTTGGTCCACCGAGAGACGGTTCTCATAAGAGAAACCGCCAGACGCCGGGTCAAACGTGTAGTTGTGTGCCTAAGTTCGGGATGAGCGCTAGCTTGCAAGAGCGGAAATGACGTCCGCCTACGGCCTATGCGGCGAGTCATCCGCGAGGGAAGGCGACTGAGGGAGATATGCACCCATGAGGAGGCTAGCCAGGAGGTCTCTTCTGGACTTGTCCCGAACTCCCAGTCGAATTGGTAGTGTTCAGATGCCATTTGGTATCTCGACTGCGGGTACGAACCCGTGAGCGAGTAGCCACCGCGGGCTGACATGTCGACGAGCCTCTTGGGGACGCGGCCACCTGGAGCGAGACAATTTTCATCATATCAAGTCTCTGTACATCTACCACTACGCACCTGCAGACGCCACCAGTCTCTGGAAATTCTCGATCGAGGCGTCAAAGATGTCACGGAAGTCAAACGCGCCGGAGTCGTCATATGTCGCTGTCTCTCCCAATCAGTACGGTGTCTTACAATACCAGGGAGAATATGAACGCACAAATGCTACCAAAGTCGCTCAAGCGAGTCGTGACGTTGTGCTTCTTCGCCAGGGCCCACATGGGATTCTCAGCCCCATTGCCTGTCTGCGTGCCCTGCACCCAATTCGCACCGAGCTCGACAGTAAACTGCCTATCAGGTGTACCAAAAGCATGGCTCATGAGGCGACCACCGAGTTCGTCCCGCGCCTCCACTATGATAAAGTCATCGATGCCCTGTTCATGGAGGGTGCGCGCCGCGATCACCCCGGCAACGCCTCCCCCAAGAATGAGTACCGTAGCATCTTTCCGCGCTACAGACGCCTCGAGGACCTCCTGGGAGGGTGGAGCCACAGGCAGCCGGGCCGCAGAGGCGACCAATCCGAGGAAAAGGACAGGCAAGGCGAGCGTAGCGCGCAGCATGCTGGGTAGGTTGAGAGGGTGCTACTCTGAGCAGCAGCCTGAGAGGGATACGAGCCCCGGCAGAGTTTATATACACACGATAAGCCAGCGCATGTAGCATACCAGATACAGAGTTTGTACAATGGAGTCTTCGGGGCTTGCATCAACGATGTGTGGTTCTCGGTGACGCGGTGTAACACCGCTGAGCTGAACATATATGGACAATGAAACTCACCGGCAGAACGGTCGCCTGATCATCATCCTCGAAGCTACTGACCTCGCCCAGACGTGTTTTGCGACGAAACATAACACTTCGAAGTATTGCGGGTAGCCAGCACGCAGTGGGAAGCCACCGCTTCGTGGTGCGAAAGGAAGCTGCTCCGTAACCAGCCATGCCGTACCGACGCAGTCTACGTGTAAGACCGTCTCACAGACCGCCTTGCTCCGCAAAGAGAATGGAAATCGCGCCGGCAGGACACACATGAAGCCCTTGACGCTGTCTTCTCCGCCTGGTAGCGCTATGAGCCGGGCGCCTCGAGTACCAAGTACCGAGGTCAAGAGATAAGGACAGTCACTCGGACGGATCTCGAACACACCTGGAATGAGACCTCGGGTATGAGATGTTGCCTTTGAAGAGGCACCGGCCTGGTGAGTGTAGGTTCTCAGCCGTGAGGCGTTCTGTGGACGCCCAATCTTGGACCTTGAATTCCGCGGTCGTGACAGGTCGTACGACGGTACTGGACATCAACAGGAGTATGTCATTGAGTAAGTCCCACAGGAGAAGCTGCGGAGTACTGTACCAAGCGAATGTCATTGCTCCCCACAGGGTTTGGGATAATCACTGCAAGACTCGGATTAGTGGGCCATAACGATGAGAGCCGAGCAGTTCTGCACATCTTCAACAGGCAAAGTCGTCGGGATCAATGCGAAAATGTGCAAAGTCATTATGAATCGCCCCATAGAGTGAATGGTTGTGTTAAAATCAATAGCTCCGAGTCGGACATTCGCCAGGGTCAGCTCATGAGTCTCATCCATTCTTGAACAGGCGCCAACGCCACAAAGTGAGTGTTACAAATACATGTAAATAAGTAGATGTAAATCCCCGCCACCTGCAGGAAGATGATTAGAAACTGATATGACGGCATACGTCCAACCAACGTATGACTCTGCTTAGTTGCTAGTATCGTTCTTCAGTATGACCGTATGGTCTTTTCATCCCTGAACTCAACCAATTCTTTGATCCAAGCTTTCTGCCAGGTTCAGCACATCGGTGAACGGTCACCAAATTGTTGCGCTCGCTTGCCGGTGTCATGCTATGCAGTATGTCAGTGACTCTCAATAGTTTCAGTGCAGCCTATCGCGGTACGCAGAGCAGTATCGAAGGTACTCGTTTCTACCCACAACGTTCCATGTATTTCTCGAATATTGAGTATATATGACGTTGCCTCACCCAGTGACGCAACAGAATATCGCTCGTTTTCCCAAGTTTTCCATGACAATTCCGGACTGTTCGCTCAAGCGCCCGCGAGCGGTCCTCCCCATGCGTATATAAGGGCCCCTCCGCCGCCCGTCCTCCCCAAGCAGAAACACATTCACTTGAGACATCCGTTGGCTACGCTCTACTTCAACTCGCCTATACCCTCTTCTCTTCACGACAACTAACGAACTAGATGGCGCTTTCCACTTTCTTCACAGAGCCATTCTACTCCCTCGCCGACTTTGACCGCCTCTTCGACGAGGCATTCTCTGCGCGCGCTGGGGGCCAGAACAATGGCCGCCAGCTGCAGCAGCAGGATGGGTCTTCGCGTTGGCTCCGTGCAAGGTATGGATGTCTCTCACCATCTTCACCTCCACTCGTATCTGATGCTGATCACGGACGGACAGGATGGACCTGCATGAGGACAACCAGCAGAACCTCGTGACGGCGACGTTCGAGCTGCCCGGGCTCAACAAGGAGAACGTGTCGATCGACGTCCACAACGGGGTCCTGACCGTCTCAGGCGGGTCCACGGTGGAGGACAAGCGCGATGAGAACGGGTACGCCGTCCGCGAGCGGCGGGTCGGCAAGTTCTCGCGCGCGATCCCGCTTCCTCAGGGCATCAAGGTAAGCATTCCTTCCTTTCTCCTCGGTTACCGAGAACCGCCGCTGACCACGAGTCGCTTTCAGGAGGAGAACATCCGAGCATCGATGGAGAACGGCGTGTTGACCGTTACGTTCCCGAAGACGACGCCAGAGATGGCGCCGAAGAAGATCACGATTTCGTAAACGCGCATTACGGATCGCGGGGATTGCATTTGCGAACCTGGAGTACTCGGGTCGGCAGCACTTGTCTGCTGTGATTCGCTTGTAGTATTGCGGGTTCGAGCGTAATACAGACCGATTTCCTCTTGAAACACCTGCTTCCGTGTGTGAGCAGTGAACGTTTGAACAGTGGATTGGCACATGACGTCACTGGTAAATGCAGCTACTTACTACTGGTAGACTCTTGAAGTAGTCGTAGGGCGCACTGTGCGAAGTTGTGATGGTCAGTGCTCATTTCATGAAAGTGACTGGTTCGGCCCAGCTGAATGAGTGATCAGCTTATTACGCAGCCATTTGTTTAGTATCGAAGTCATTATGACACGTCCAGTCACGGTATTCATAGGGTATGTATAATTATCTATGGTTCGTGGGTCGACGACACCGACGACTCCACTGTCAGCAGCGGCACACATAGCAGTGCGATATTAGACTCGCTGCGTCCCTTTTTGCAGTGCGAAAAGCATCCTCGAGTATCCTATACATGCTGCTCCTGCGAGCAATACGACCCAATCCAATCCGAGTCAGTCGAGAATGAGACCGTACACATTCGGGGAACACACCCTGCTGAAGACGATCGGCTTCGCCCAATCGTTGTTCGGCCCTAGCAATGCACCGCTGATGGGTGAGCCAGTAAGCATAGCCAGGGAACAGAAGCAGTAGCCGGAGCCTATCCATATCCTTCAGAGCGGATTCGTGAGCAACGTAGTCAACGGCCAATGTCAAGTGATAGACGCGACACACCCGATTTCGTCCGGGCTACGGGCCGTCGAAGCTAGCGTAGGCGGGACCATTGCGACAACTGAATACATCTGCTCAGTGGTGCAGTAACGTCCATCTACGGAGCGTACGTACAGCCTCCAAAAAATACTCCATAGAGAATAGCGAACACAATGACAGCTCCGGGCGTCGTCGCAGCGAACATGACAAAGACGAGCGCGCCGGTCATCGTCGCAAGGGGGTTGAGCGTGTTGAAGGCCCCGACATTGTCGGAGATGGCGTTCTGGCGTTCGGGATTGTTCGACCAACGACTGAGGCGGCGTTGAGGATTTAAATCTAGCCAGATGTCCAGAGATCAATGACTGGACGGCGCGGACTCGAAGTGAGTGGAAATTACCGTGTAGAATGCGAGCGTCTCGGAGGGTCTAGCGACATGACGCGAGCTAATATCGGCCGGTTATCAATAGGGATCCGGAACGACGAGTTATAGATCGACAAACCATCTTCATATGGCGACGGCATGGATAGTAACTCATCATAGCCAGCGATGTTCTGTATAAGCCATGAAGAGCTCCACAATTGAAACCAGCTACATCCCAGAGCTTGAAGAACCATGATTCGAACACGATACCGGACATATTGTGACACGACTCACCAGCGACTCGGAGCCTATCACGGCTCAACAGTTCGAGGCGGATGTTCATCCAGATAGCCAAAAACATCGGTCGTTTATGGTTCACTGTGCAAGCGTACGGTGAGTATTAAGTTGTCAAGATCATGAGTGTGCTGCTACTCACTGTACTATGTACCCCATCTCGCTGACGGAGGTCCTCTTGGTATTGGACATTTGTTCCACATGCAACGGTGGGAACAAGCCAGTGTTTGGAAAGTCGGCGAACGGGGGGCGCTAGAACATCAGCATGCACACAACTTCCACTGGTACGACGGAAAACATCTTTAGGTTCGAGCTGAACTGTCGTCTGACTATACAGACGTCCACCAGACATGCTATGTGAGGTGGCGAGCGCGTACCGGTCGACACTGTCGTGTCTGTCAAGAGCCTGCGCATCGGGCGGCGTCGGTGCCGCCGGATCGGGGGTATGTGGGTCAAGTGTGGGTCGTGACTCTCGTGTCGTACGACTCGGAGGTGGGAATTACGAACAACAACCGTGAATACCGCGAATAACATGTCACCGCAGCGAATGGCACTTTGTGGTGTATTGCTGAGGATACCGCGACTGATGGGCGGCGCTCGCGCGCTCACGCTTGTCAGTACCTCGGCGATGGAGGTAAGCACCCCGGAGCAGCATAGAGCATACACATCCACAGAGCCATGGACGTAATTTTGATGTTGATCACAGCTTGGCTGCGCTCCGTCCCTACGACGATCGCCGCAAGGTCGGATCCGCTAAGATTTGCAAAGGGAATGCACGGAGTCCGGCAGTGGGGCGTCTCATTTCAGGCTGGACCCACGGCGTATAAGAAGCCATACATACCTCTCGCCAGCCTTGCAGTCTTCCCTACGTGAGCACCCTTGTACAGCTGAGCGAAGATGCCTTCCTACGCGATCATAGGTGGCTCCCGCGGTATTGGGCTGGAGTTCGTTCGCCAGCTGGTACGTGTCTGACACTTGCACAACTGCATAGCAGGAAATTACCGAGCGAGCCCATTTGACGCTTCCTACAGGCACTGAGTGGAGATAACACTGTCTTCGTGACAGTTCGCAACAAGCAGAAGTGCACGCACCTACAGGACACCATAAACAAGCTACCGCACAAGAACGTGCATGTCCTGGAGGCGGATGTAGTTGATAAGCAAGCGATCAAGGTACGTGCTCAAGCCTGTTGGAAGCTCCTCCGCGCTAAGGTGGTCTGGTAGAATGCAGCAGCTGAAGTGAGCAGGATCACGGGCGGCAGCCTGGACGTCCTGATATACAACGCCGCTCGCCTGGAGTTTGAGAATATACTTCGCGGTCTATTGGACTAGTGAGTTCCACGTCGCTCAGACTTGTTCGAGCCAACCAACCAGCGGGATTCGCGTACCGTCGACAGCGATAGCGAGGAGCAGCTTGACGAGGAGTTCGTGCAATCTGTGCGTACCTCATAAGCCGAGCGACCAGGAGCCCACGCTAACCTACCCTCTCAGCTTAAAGTGAACGTCCTGGGGCCCATCCATACCGTTAACACCTTCTTGCCGCTCCTCCGCAAGGGCGCTGTCAAAAAGATCATCATCATAGGCAGTGAAGGCGGCGAGCGCGACTTTGTGCGGCGCGTGCACCTCTCCGAGACGGCTGCGTACGGGATCACGAAGGCCGCAGAAAATATGGTCGCGACCAAGTACGCCGCAGAACTGGAGAGCGAGGGCTTCACTGTCGTTTCCGTGAGCCCGGGCCTCGTGGACGTTTCTAGCACTTACAGTGAGCTCGAGCCGCGTGCGTATACCCCCTTCCCGGATGCATGCGAGCTTGCGGACCTGATAAACTTGAATGCGTATCGCAGCGCCTGAAGGGAGCGTACCAAAGTTCAAAGTAATCGCCAAGAAGTTCTATGACGCTTTCCCGAAGACGAGGTCGTTGACGCCGCGAGAGGCCGTAGAGAGATTGCTGGTATACATCGAGAGCATAGGTCCCGCAGACTCCGGTTCTTTCAAGCCGTCTCTCGAGTTCGATACTAGTACCCAGTAGACAAGCATGCAAGTCAGGGTTGAACGTTGATACTAGTAGAGCGGCCAATTCTATGGATATGTGTCACTTTTGAATGCCATGCTTGTGCGTGGACGGAGCACAAGTGATGACATGTATATGGCGAGCTAGCATAGTATACCAGAAACAGTATACCGTGACGGTCCAGACGCGGCGTCCAAGTTTGATCCAACGCGGCCGCTACAATGGGCGCCTAAGCGATCTTCTCGTGCCATGTCATGTCACTTTACTTTAGACGCCCAGAATAATTCGTGCCCAGCAAGTTGCCAGCAAGCAACGTCGACCCACTCTCCGCCAGTTCGCTCGCTGCTTGTCCTCTGCTCCTCGCTCCGGTGTGCACACCAGCCTCCTTCATCTAGACGGCTAGGGCCAACAGTTAGCAAGGGACGGACTGTGTTTTACGGACGGTGATACCGGGCGGGCTGTGACTGATGACGCACGAGGAAAGGAAACGCTTGATTGTGTTGGTGACGGGTGCAAATGGGTGCGTAGTGATACCTTCGCTGTTCGCTGTTCCCTACATTTACGTGTGGTACATGCAGGGGCATTGGCTTTGGGATTTGCCACCGACTGCTCATCCAACTCTCGCAACGACGCCCACCAGATGCGCAGCCGTCCTTCACGTCGACGCTCTCACCGGGCGAGCCGTCCGTGGTCGAGCCTGCATGCGACTTGACGATCATCATGGCCTGTCGCAGCACCCAGCGCGCAGAAGAGGCCCGACAAAAACTCTACAACCTTCTAGATACCCATCTTAATTCGATACCCCCGAACACGCCCGAACACGAATATGCGACGGACTTCCGGATGAACGTGCGGCTCGAGATACACAGGCTGGACCTGTCCGTTATTCGGAGCGTGCTGGAGTTCTCTCAGGAGGTGTCACAAAAGTGGGTGCGGTGTTGTGCGTATGTCCGCTGTTCTGACCACGCGTATCAGGTACCCGTACATCTCACATATCATATGCAATGCTGGCCTTGCGACGTACAGCCATCTCAACTTCCTTGTCTTCTTCAAACAATGTTACGAGTCCCCACTGAAGGCTGTGAAGCACCCCATGTTCAACGTACAGAAAGCCGGAGTATTGAGCGCAGATAACCTAGGCATGGTCTGGCAATGCAATATCTTCGGCCACTATGTCCTTGTGAGTCCAAACCTTCCGTGTGTAGAGTCTTTCGGTCGCAATGATTCTGTACCGTCTTTCTTCATGAACTGGCTAATAGTAACACACCATTCAGTTCCGCTCCCTGCAGCCACTTCTCTCCGCATGGACCGCCCGAACTCGCTCCGAGCCAGCTCGAGTTCTGTGGATGTCTTCAATCGACGCGATGGCGACCTACGATCCCGACAACGACCCACAACTCACGAAGACCTCGACATCCTACCAAGCATCCAAGGCCCAGCTCGATCTCATGGTATGGGAGCTCAACAAACAGTCAAAGGCGAATGGAAGCGAAGTCATGCACTACATCATCACCCCCGGGATCACTGCGACGAATGTTGCTGCTGCGCTTCTCAGGCCGTATGTCCTGGAGCTGCTGATGATAGCGTTCTTCTACTTCGTGCGTAGCATTTCCTCGCTTCGAGGGTGTCTCCGTGCCAACTCAATTCGCTGCAGTGTCGCTTCATTGGCTCGCCCCATGTACTATTCTCGACCTACAAAGCCTCCGTCGCCGCCGTTCACCTTACTCTCACACCCTCTCGGTATATCCCGTCCACCGCCGACGCACACAGCACAACTTCCGCCAAGACGCAACCTGGCTACGGCGCGACGATGAACAGGAACGCTCAACTGGCGTTCCCGAAGTTCAGCGCCGCCAACGAGCGGTGGGGAAAGGAATACGTTCTCATTGAGCCCGTGACTGTCTGGGAGCAGCACCCGGATGAGGGCGCACGCGCTATGGACAGATGCGAGAGGTTATATCAGGCGTTTGTGGAGAAGGAGAAGGTTGGGATTCAGAATGGGCCGGCCGATGGGGCTAATGGGTGTGTAAACGGGCATGCGTGATGTAAACGATTTGTGCTCGAATGTACTAGACTAGGTAGGGTGCTAGAGTTGTTTTCGCGATGTATATTCACTTCGGGCTGTACCACTTCCCGGTGAGCCTGGATGGAAAGCGTTATGATCAAATGTTGCAGGCGTCAGTAGTACGTTGGGTGTATGACGCCAGTAGTAGAAGCGCTCATCGACATTCCTGGCCCAATCCCTTGCCAATCCCACTGCCATCCCATGTACTTCTAAGTTCTGCTCCTCCTCCCCGGACTCGTTGCACTGACCTCTTCCGTAACGGATCCCGAACTCGGATATCCAGATTCTAGAGCTCTGACCATCTGAAGGCCACCGCAAGTGCACTATCGCCAAGACTGCTGTACCTATCCCGCATACGACCAGGCTTCTCACACCTGAGACCCATCCCGAAATCGCCATGTCCCCATTCGAACCCGACAAATGGATAGAGCAGCTAATGGAGTGCCAGCACCTCTCCGAGCCGGACATGAAGACCCTCTGCGAGCGCGTGCGCTCCATCCTCATGGAGGAGTCGAACATCCAGCCTGTCTCGAGCCCGGTCACGATCTGCGGCGACATCCACGGGCAGTTCTGGGACCTGCTCGAGCTGCTCCGGAAGGGCGGCGACGTCCCCCAGACGAGCTACATCTTCATGGCACGTATGTGTTCCGTCGGGTGCGGCGTGAGGCGAGCTGAGACGTCGGCGGGCGCGACAGGGTGACTTTGTGGATAGGGGGCATTATAGCTTGGAGACGGTGTCGTTGTTGCTTGTGTTGAAGGCAAAGTGAGCGTTCGCCTCGCCGTGCTAGCGATTTGTAGTCCCTGAACGAGTTCGCTCAGGTATCCGGATAAAGTCACACTATTGCGAGGGAACCACGAGAGTAGGCAGATCACACAAGTGTACGGCTTCTACGGTGGGTGTCGCCACAGGATCTTGTGCATCATCTTTGTAAACCCCTCATGGAAGGATAGACGAGTGCCAGCAGAAGTACGGGAGCGCGCTGGTGTGGAAGGCATGTTGTAGCGTTTTTGACTTCCTAAACCTCGCTGCAGTACGTTTTTCTACTATCACACTCAATGATGTGGTCAATTGAGTTCCATTAGATCATCGACGGCGAGACATTGTGTGTACATGGGGGCTTGTCTCCAGACATTCGGACGCTAGATCAAATACGCGTCTTATCGCGGGCGCAAGAGATTCCCCATGAAGGTGCATTCTGTGGTGTGTATTCCTGACTGTATGCGCGTACCTCGGCTGATATGCCTTGAAAGACCTCATGTGGTCAGACCCCGACGAAATAGACAACTGGGCGATCAGCCCGCGGGGTGCAGGTTGGTTGTTCGGGGAGAACGTTACAAGAGAGGTACGTACAACGGCCCGCCTCGCCTCACCGCTTCACTCAGATCCGTGCAGTTCAATCACGTCAACTCGCTCAAGTTAATTGCCCGAGCGCACCAGCTCGTGCAAGAGGGCTACAAGTACTTATTCGACGAGCAGCTCGTCACGGTATGGTCCGCGCCAAACTACTGCTACCGGTGCGGCAACATGGCGTCAATATTGACGATCCGGGAGGACGGGTCGCGGGACTTCACGGTGTATGATGCGGCGGAGGAGAACGAGAGAGACAATGGGATGCGGCAGCAAAGGAAAGCGGTGAGTGATCACGTCGTGTCGGAGTATTTCGATGGATTAAGGTGCTGATGCTGGAATGGACAGGGCGCGATGTCTGCATACTTCGTGTAGTCTTGTATTTGTTCTGGTATTGTATTCATCCCGCAGCTGTATTGACGCCTCACCTTGTGCGGTGCCGACTCGGACAGGGAATTGGAGTTCTGCTACACATACGAGTCCCCTTCGGTGTCCTCAGTAGGTACAGTCTATTCTCCAACTGTGTCCATGACAAGCAACTTGTGTGATTCCCTCGTATCGCACTCCAGAAGGATGAGTCAACTAACGCTGTGAGTGCCATCTTCTACGAGAAGCTTCAGGTCATCTCTTCGGGCTCGGGCGGCCAAGAGCTAGTCACATCGCAGCCGCGCGTGTCCCGACTGGCTCCTAGGTGGACTTCGTCACTGTCCGCGACGGTCATGCTACGACCATCGTTCTCAGGCTGTCAAGGACCCACATTCAGCCCGACGTCACTGTAGGGTACTGGGTAGTCCCCACTGCCGAGCCCACGTTTCCCCGGTCGACGATGTCGCGTCCTCGCGGCACGTCCTCAACTCGAGGGCTTTATCAACTCGAGGAAGTCGTTGTCGTGGTAGGCATTGCGTCGCTCCTGTTGCCTGTTGCCGAATATGCCTACCTACGCTGTTATCGGTGCCACCCGCGGAGTCGGTCTGGAGATCGTTCGCCAGTTGGTATGTACCGTTGAATCGAGATCACCTCATGACTGACAAGTACCGTGCAGGCGGCGAACCCTGACAACACAGTTTTCGCCACGGCGCGGAACGTTGAGAAGTCTCTGCACCTAGCCAAGGTCATACAAGAAGCGCCCGCAAAGAACGTTGTGGCGTTGCAAGCGGATGTCGTGGACCACCGCTCTCTGAAGGTGGGTGCGTGAGTTGATCGATGGCGTTCGGAGGTGCTGAAGATAAGTAGGTTGCGGCGGAGAAGATTGCGCAGGCTACAGGCGGTGCCCTCGACGTTCTCATCCACAATGCTGCCAAGATGGATTACGCGAATGGAAACTTGTACCGCTCTCTGACTGAATAGTACGTGGGCTGTTGTACGATTGGGTGTACTTATTGTTCATCCATGGTAGTGAGAGCATGGACGCTCTGGATGCAGAGTTTATCGAAGCGGTATGTCATCTACTGAAGTGAAGCCCTCCGCTCGCCATGCTCACGCCAGCCCAGTTCAAAGTCAACACCCTCGGAGCCATCCACTCCGTTGACGCCTTCCTCCCCCTCCTTCGCAAAGGGTCCACAAAGAAGATCGTCATCATCAGCACCGACGGAGGCGAGCGAGACGTCGTCTGGAAGACCGGTACGACCATCCTTGCTGCATACTGCGTCACGAAGTCCGCAGAGAACATGGTCATGACCAAGTACGCCGCCGAGCTAGTGGACGAGGGCTTTATCGTCGCTGCGATCAGCCCCGGCGTCGTCGATGTGTCTGGCACTGCAGCTTCTCCACGTATGTCTGCTATCTCGTGGTAGAATGGCGATGTTGCTGACTAGACTAATTGCAATGCAGCGAGTGCGGCTGAGGTGGCTGACCTCAAGCGGGCCATAGACGGGATACGGAAGAAAAAATCGAACCAGATTGAAAAGCCCTCTACACCGGAGCAGTCGGTCAAGAAGGTGCTGGAGGTTGTTTATTCCCTGGGACCACAGGACACAGCGACCTACCGCTCTGTGCAGGGTTAAAGCTGGTTTATCATCGTACTGCTGATGACGACGCGCTGCGCGAATCTCCGCTGTCCGGTGGTTTCTGTACTATAAATGCATTGCAGTCAGACGGAAATGCCATGCGTACGTAGTTCACTGTGAGTGCCAGACAGATACACGAACCCCAGGCTTACACTGCGACAGTGAAGGCTGGGCGCCGCGTACCTGTCACCTGGTTTATCTGCGGCTCTGTGATACGGTACACGGGCACGAATCCACGCGCTCACAGGCTGCGGTTCCTAGCTCTTACACAAATTAAACTGCGGTAGTATCCGCGAGTGGCAAGAAGGTTTCAAGGTTCGACATTACTATCCTGGCTATTCCAATCAACTATAAATAGGTCATATCGAACTCTGGACATGGTTTGAAGGCCCCAGAATCGGCAGGCCCTATGATCTGAATGCGTACTAGAAGCCGCTGGAACCCAACCTGCGGCGTCAGCTGGGTCTGTGTGCTCGGGAAGGCTGCATAGAGTTTCTTCGCGAGGTCGCTGAATCTTGAGACGTCCGATTCGGACACTGCAGCAATGCCCGAGCAAATCAGCGACGGAGATTCTCATAGTGACATGAGCAAGACGTACCCGGCTCGCTGCGGGTTCCAGACGTATCGACGAAGCCCGGGCTCATGGAAACGACGGTGAAGCCCTCGTTCTCAAGCGCGACAGCGTACTTCGTCGCAACCATGTGCTCGGCGGCCTTGGTTATTCCGTATGCGGCAATCTCAGAGAGGTGTACGCGCCGCACGAAGTCGCGCTCGCCGACTTCGCTGCCTATGATGATGATCTTCTTCATGGTGCCTTTGCGAAGCAGAGGCAAGAATGCATTGATGGTGTGGATGGGTCCGAGTACGTTCACTCTCAGCTGGAGGGGAAGTTCAGTTGGCGGTCACTGAATGCATGTTAGGTGCTCACGGATTGCATGAACTCCTCGTCGAGTTGGTCCTCGCTGTCGCTGTTGCAACGTTGTCAGCTTTCTTTCTCGATCACAGGAGTCGGTCCGGAAGGACACACTAGTCTAGCAGACCGCGCAGTAAGTTGTCAAACTCAACGCGAGCTGCGTTGTATATAAAGACGTCGAGGGTGCCGCCTGTGATTCTGGCAGCTTCTGTAGCCGCGGCCTGGTGATCAACGTTAACTCATGCAGAGCCAAAGCGGTAAAAATTGGTTACCTGAATGGCCTGCTTGTCGACTACGTCTGCTTCAAGAATGTGTAGCTTCTTGTGTGGTAGCTGATTAACAATGTCATGAAGCTGCGTAGACTTCTGCTTGCTGCGGACGGTGGTAAGGACGATGTTCTCCCCATCTAGTGCCTATGCAAATGTGCATCCAGCTTCACCCCAGTGTAGTATAAAGGAGAGAAGTGCGTACTAGCTGACGAACAGTTTCTAGTCCGATGCCGCGAGACCCCCCACGACAAGGTAGGAAGGCATAGCTGCTCGCTGGCGAGGGAAGTCAATGAGATTGCGCACACCAGGTTCACGACTAATGTCTCTCAGCGATCCTTTATATTATTACCGGTCACGCCGCCTGCGGGCGGCAAGAGCCCGACATGCGCGACGGCTCCGGGATGTGGTCTCAGGCTTTGCGTTCGTTCTAGCAGATAGCCTCACCGACCTCCGAGTCCGTGTATGTAAGCGCGGAGTACTGTGTCGCCGTCACGTTCTGTTGGCAGTGGCTGTCCTCTGAATCGTGCCAGAGGTCTATCTTCAAGTTGTCCGTCCACGGTCTAGTTTATTATTGACAACAAACCCTATTCAAGCTCGGCGACTTTCAGCCTCGACTTTCGGTAGGAGTTGACAAAGACATACCTTTGACAGAGTAGCGCGTAGACCAATACTACATTATGACGGGCCAGGAGGAGGAGGACTCCTAGGTGGCCATCGTTTGCGATGGGCCACCGTGGCTCAGAGTAAGTGCTGCTTCGATCTTTCGCACGCTGTCAAGGACCCACATTACCTCCTCCCTCCAAATCTGAATAATGCGCCAACCTCGAAGCGATGTCGCGTCCTCTCGGCCCACCTGAGCCCCGATATCTATAAACTCGAAGATGCGACTATCGCAGTTGACGTCGTGTTACCACTGCCTGCCAATCTTGCTGCGATACTGAAGAATGCCTACCTACTACGCCGTCATCGGTGGCTCGCGAGGAGTCGGTCTGGAGATCGTTCGCCAGTTGGTACGTTCAATCAAGTAGACTGTGGGTGATCAGTCATCTCGAGGTTGACAGTCGCTCTGTAGGCGGCGAACCCGAACAACACGGTCTACGTGACAGCGCGAAACGTAGAGAAGTCTGTGCACCTCGTCAAAGTAGTACAGGACGCACCAGCACAGAACGTCGTGCCTCTACAGGTCGATGTCGTCGACCATCGTTCTCTGAAGGTCAGCGTGTTATCATCGTGTTAGATGTATGTGAATACTCAAGGTTCGGCAGGCCGCGGCAGAGCAAGTCGCACAGGCTACAGGCGGCGCTCTCGATGTCCTCATCCACAATGCTGCGAAAATGGATTATGCAAACGGGAATCAGTTCCGCTCGCTGACCGAATAGTAAGTTTTCCATCTGAGTATGCGAAATTTGTTGATCATCGATACCTCACAGCGACAGCATGGATGCTTTGGACGCAGAATTCATTGAAGCGGTACGTTCTTCTTAGGAAACGACGTTCCTCGTCGCGGTACTTACGATTTCCCAGTTCAAAGTGAACACGCTCGGGGCCATTCATTCCATCGACGCCTTCCTCCCCTTGCTTCGCAAAGGCTCGACCAAGAAGATCATCATTATCAGCACCGGGGGCGGCGAGCGCAACATTGTCTGGCAAGCCCGCTTGAACATGACCGCCGCCTACGGCGTCACGAAGTGCGCGGAGAACATGGTCATGACCAAGTACGCTGCCGAGCTGGTGGACGAGGGCTTCGTCGTTGCTGCGATCAGCCCCGGCGTTGTTGATGTCACTGGCACGAACCCTTCTCCGCGTATGTGTGCTGTCGTACCTCTCAAAGTGTCGTCGTAACTAACTCGGGCACCGCAATGCAGCGAGCGCAGAGGAGCTGGCTGACCTGAAGCGGATTACGGACAAGATCGTGAAGAACATACCAAACTATGGAGACAACCCGCTTACACCCGAGCAGTCGGTCAAGAAAGTGCTGGGGATCGTCCACTCGCTGGGACCGCAGGACACGGCAACCTTCCACTCCGTGCGGGGCTGAAGTCTGCGCATCGATGCACCTATGCTGACAGTCCCACGTCTCTCGAATCCCCGCTGAGTCTAGTGACTTCTAGTGCAGATGTATTGATAATACGACGAATTCTGTATCCTTCTGGTCGGACAGCAATGCACGAAGAGGTACAACGTTCTAACTTCGCTATTTCCAACGATCTTCTACTGACTGCTCATGCCAATTCTGGAGACGGCCTGAACGCTCCAGACTCGGCAGGGCCTATGTTTCGGATGTCAGCCAGGATTCGTTGAACGGCCACCTGCGTTGTAAGCAGCGCCTGCGTGGGGAAGGCAGCGAAAGTTCTTCTTGCGATTTCGTTCATCTTCGAGGCGTTCGTTTCAGACACTGCAGCCCAAGCAGGTCAGCATCGAATCTTCTCATGATCCCGTTCAAGCACCACTTACTCAACTCGCTCTTAGTATCAGAGACATCCACAAAGCCCGGGCTCACAGAGACGACAGTAAACCCCTCGTTTTCGAGCGCGACAGCGTACTTCGTCGCTACCATGTGTTCCGCAGCCTTGGTTATCCCGTATGCGGCCATGTCAGAAAGGCGCGCACGCCGCACGAAGTCGCGCTCGCCGCCTTCAGTGCCTACGATTATGATCTTCTTGGCAGTGCCTCTGCGGAGGAGCGGCAAGAACGCGTTCACGGTGTGAATGGATCCTAGTACATTCACCTTCAGCTGGAGCGAGAGTTTAGCCGTCCGTCGCTGATTGAATCTCAGGTACGCACGGATTGCATGAACTCCTCGTCGAGTTGGTCCTCGCTGTCGCTGTTACACCATTGTCAGCTTTCTTTCTCGATGAGAGGAGTCGGCCCGGAAGGACGTACTAGTCTAGTAGACCGCGCAACAAGTTGTCGTACTCGAGGCGAGCCGCATTGTATATCAAGACGTCGAGGCTGCTGCCCGTGATATTGCCAGCTTCAGTTGCCGCGGCCTGGTAATCAACGTGAACACAGGCAGAACGAAAGCGAGCATCCTTGATACCTTGATGGCTTGATGGTCAACTACGTCGGCCTCAAGAATGTGTACGTTGTTGTGCGGTAGCTGATTGACGGTATCATCTAGGTGCGGGGACCTCTGCTTGTTGCGGACGGTTACCAGGACGATATTGTCTCCGTCCAATGCCTACACAGACGGATAGGTGAACTTTTACCTTACATCGTCTATGTCAGAGCGAGACTTACCAGCTGACGAACGAATTCCAGACCGAGCCCGCGAGAACCGCCTATGATAGCGTAGGAAGGCATGCTTGCTCCGGGTTGCTGATGAGTAAGTCAATGTTGCAAGTCGTGCCGGATTGAAGGACTGACCTTGGTATTGTTTTCGACTATGCCGCCAGAGTAAGTCACGACAAGAGCGATGATGTGCCAATTCACGCTTCATCGCCCTCTTTATACAGCCCCCCCCCCCCCCCCCCCCCGCTGATTACATGCAGGCGAGTCAAACTCTTTGCATCATCGTCTCCCGCAATTGTTCCAAATGGGCTTCCGCATCTGTGCGTGAGTCAGCGTTCCCAGTGCGGTTGTGTTCGACGTCCTCTAGTGGGCGTCTAGCTCGTTAAAGGACGATCGACAGTCATCGCTGGCAGCTCCAGTCATATGCATGTCGACAACGAGTTTGTCAATCAAGCACACGCCCATCAAAAGTGTACAGACTTGCAGCAGGCTCCTTTCGTGCTGTTCACCACAGCTATGCCGTACGGGAACGATCGACCACTACGGATGCAATGCGCCTGCACCCACACACATAAGTATAGCCCTCGTAGAACACAGAATGCAGGCAAGTACCGAACCGCAAGCATACAACCCGTATTGCCAGGCGACCTAATAGTAAGTACGTCATTCCTCGCTATCATGACTCATCGAGGCTGACTCCGTCAAAGGGGTCTCGGTGCCAAGCCTACGGGGTGTATGTGGGTCATCCCCGTCGACATAGCCTTCTCGTAGAGTCGTACTGCATGAATAGTTGGCAGGAATCGTAAGTATCCACTTGCCCGTGCCTTGTGCACCGTCGCGTACATCCCTTCTCCAGCCCCTTGATGTTCGCTTCAGGCGCTACAAGGTACATTCATGGTCAGTCTCTTAGGGCGGACCGGGGAAAATACCACAGCGAGACCCTCGTTCTCCAACGCTGTCCGTACTTGGTCACCACCATGTTCTCAACAGCCGTGGTGATTCCGCCGTACGCCGCTGTCTCTGCAAGATGCACACGCCGAACAAAATCGCGCTCACCTCCCTCGCTCCTACAACTGTAAGGTACGGAGTCCACGGATATAACAATCATGAATTCGACGAAGTGAGTCGTGTATCCTGTATTCGCGATGATTAAATCTCATATCACTCACAGTGCGCTGGCGCCGATAATCATATAGCAGTCGAACTAGTCAGTGTACCGACCCTTGTGGCTAGCCGAATGTCTTTCAAAGCCACAGGATAGACTCATTGGACGGGCATGAGCCCTATGATTGGTAAGTAATAGTAGCATCCTTGCAGGACCTCGTCAGGGAATACGCCCCGTGTTGTGTTCGAGTCATGGCAAGTTCGAGTTCTGGCAAGTACTAAGCCTGCCCTCTTCCAGGAGGCAAACACAGCTCATATCAAGAAACGTTGTGGACTATGCCGTGTTTTTGTTATGCCATCAACATACGTAGACGGTTTGACATCCGTTCCCAATGCACCCGCTGAGTGAGAGGACTGCTTGCTGCCAGTCGGGTTTCACCAATTCCCGTTGAATGATTGCTCACCGATGACTTTATTCACACAGATTGCCGGTGCGTACTGTGCCAGAGCGACGCAGAAGCAAGTTGGACTCTGCACGTTCGAATTCGTCGTTCGTACAATGTTCATAGTAACTTACATTCAAAGTCGCTATGATCCCGTGATGCAGGTTCGGGCACACCTCGGGCCCGAGGCGTCGCTGATTGGCTGAGTGGCACGGGTAGGTCTGCTCGTCCACCAGTCTGGGTCATCCACTCGGTCACACTAACCTAGCGGTGCTACACTAGATGACAATCACCGTGGCTTCACCGTCGGGCAGGGGCAGGTCCTCATACACATCCGCCCGGTCGCCATAAACCGAATAAAGCGCACCTCACGCTGTGACACCAGATTTCTCAACCCGCCACCGCTCTGGTTCACCTCGACTCCACGAACGCAATGTCGTCTCAATCAAGCGTGCAGGAAACCCCTACGGTTCATGAAGGATCCGAAATGTCGGAGAAGCGAAGTTCGAGTATGGGCCGTATGGCTGAGCAGAAGGCACCCGAGCATGTCGTCGAAGTCGAGAAAGTGTCCATGGCCGCACAGGAAATTTCAATACCTGACGGTGGAATGCAGGCCTGGTTGTCAGTTCTTGGCGGGTGAGTTCTCAATCGTTACATCATTATGCACACGCTGACTACCTTGACTAGATGGCTTGTGTCTTTCTGCACCTTTGGCTTTGCAAGCTCATTTGGTGTATTCGAAGCCTACTATGTCAACACGGGCACGTCGTCCTCGTCCAACATTAGTTGGATCGGGTCGCTTCAGGTAAATGAACGTGACAGACATAGGCAGCAAGCTTACGACCACACTCAGTTTTTCTTCCTATTTGCTATGGGCCTTCCCGCAGGAAAGCTCTTCGATGAGGGCTACTACCGCTTCGAGCTAGCGTTCGGTTCTTTTCTTGTGGTGTTTTGGTTCGTCCAGTTCCGTGCCCCTTTCTGTGTAACTAGCTGATGCAACCATATATAGCATCATGATGCTGTCACTCGCCGACCCAACCAAGTACTACCAACTCATTTTGGCTCAAGGAATCGGTATCGGAATAGGCTCTGGACTTCTCTTAGTCCCCGCGCTCTCCATTCAGTCTCATCATTGGCGCCGCAAGCGCTCTCTGGCCATGGGGATTGTCCTCAACGGTACGGGCTGCATTCCATACAACCCTTGTCTCGCAGAGATACTGATTGTGTGTTCTAGGCGCGTCTTTCGGGGGCATCATCTATCCAATCATGCTCAACCAGCTTTTCAGCAACGGCGTTGGCTTTGCATGGGGCGTGCGCGCGGCGGGGTTCATGACGCTTGGTCTACTGATTATCGCCAATTGTGTGCTCCGTACGCGTCTGCCGAGCGCGAGGCAGAGGCGGAAGGCTGCCGGCGGGCAGAAATTGTCAAAAATCAAGACACGGAAGATTCTCACCGATCTACCCTATATGTTAATGAACGTTGGCGGATTTTTGGGGCTGTGGGGCGTATTCCTACCTTGTGAGTGCTAGGTTGGCACGTCGGTTTCGAAGGTCAGCTAGTTAACATATGGCACTGATAGACTTTTACCTCCAATTGTGGGTCAATTTGCACGGACTGTCCGAGACGCTCGCATTCTACACGGTAAGTCTGTTTGCCGGGTCATCGAGTTATAAGTACTATCATTCTCACCTCGACATGTCTGTCAGATTGCGATCCTCAATGCCGCCTCAGTCATCGGTCGGACAATTCCACCCGCCATCTCCGACCGTGTCGGGACCCTCAACATGCTCGCGCCGCTCGCGGCAATAACTGGCGCGCTCGTCTTCGTCATGTTCGCTGCGACGACGCCCGGGGGTGTCATCGTGTTCGCCATTTTCTACGGCGCGTTCTCTGGTGGTTGTACGTGGGCTCCTTGAAGAATATTTTGGCTTCATCACTGAGCGAATGCACCTAGTCATCGCAATGCTCCCACCCACGCTGGCCTCGATGGCTCGGAGCCCAGACGAGGTCGGGTATGTGTACTGTTGTTTGATTATCGGTCATACATCCCATTGCTCACTTATCCACTGCGAAGCGTCCGAATAGGTCTTGGCTACTGCTTCTCTTCCCTGGCCATGCTCACTGGGTCACCCATCAGTGGTGCGCTCTTGGGCCCAGAGAACGACTGGGCGAAGCCAATTATCTTCAGCGGTGTACGAGTCTTCTTCAGATGCCCCCGCACTTTCAACTAACGGACTCGGAACGGATTAGGTTGTATTGCTCGCGGGCTCGGCGTGTATAGGATGCTCTAGGATGCTCTTCGCGAGGCGGAAAGGGACACGAGTCTGAATCGGCGAGAACGCGTTTCTACGTGCTGACGTTTCTTCTCATTACTATACTAAATGGCTTTGACGACACAGTTACCTTATCACTTTTACGCATTGTGATGGCATATCGTACAATCATCGTTAATTGAGCACTGATCCTCAGGTTCCTGCAGTGTGCCCCACAGTCGCCTTACAACTGGCAGTGGGCTAGAATGACTACTCAGTGTTCGCACGGATCACAGAGCATTCTCAGAGGAAACCGATCTGTATTACGCTCGAACCCGCAATACTACAAGCGAATCACAGCAGACAAGTGCTGCCGACCCGAGTACTCCAGGTTCGCAAATTGCAACCCCCACGATCCGCAAAGCGCGTTCACGCGATCGTGATCTTCTTCGGCGCCATCTCTGGCGTCGTCTTCGGGAACGTAACGGTCAACACGCCGTTCTCCATCGATGCCCGGATGTTCTCCTCCTGTAAGCCAGAAGTGGTCAACGGTGTTGCTCGGAGACGACATACGGATGAGGAGATGCCCACCTGGATGCCCTGAGGGAGCGCGATCGAGCGCGAGAACTTGCCAACCCGCCGCTCGCGGACGGCGTACCCGTTCTCATCGCGCTTGTCCTCGACCGTGGACCCGCCCGACACGGTCAGGACCCCGTTGTGGACGTCGATCGACACGTTCTCCTTGTTGAGCCCGGGCAGCTCGAACGTCGCCGTCACGAGGTTCTGCTGGTTGTCCTCATGCAGGTCCATCCTGTCCATCCATGGTCAGCATCGGATACGAGTTGAGGCGAGGACAGTGCATACCTTGGACGGAGCCAGCGCGAAGACCCATCCTGCTGCTGCAGCTGGCGGCCGCTGTTCTGGTGCCCAGCGCGCGCAGAGAACGCCTCGTCGAAGAGGCGGTCAAAGTCAGCGAGGGAGTAGAATGGCTCTGTGAAGAAAGTGGAAAGCGCCATCTCGTTCGTTAGTTGTCGTGAAGAGAAGAGGGTATAGGCGAGTTGAAGTAGAGCGTAGCCAATGAAATGCCTTAAGTGAATGTGTTTCTGCTTGGGGAGGACGCGCAACGGAGGGCCCCTTATATACGCATGGGGAGGACCGCTCGCGGGCGCTTGAGCGAACAGTCCGGAACTGTCATGGAAAACATACGACGGTGTGTTGCGTCACTGTAGGGTCGTCACTACGTCACATGAGTTTCTCTCCGTTTCCTCGTTTCTTCGAGCAGCATCTAGCTTCCTCGAACACCATCTCATAGCAGCGATCTGTGCAACGAGCAAAGTGATATGGAAATCTCTCACAACGTTGAAGTTTGCACTCACTCAACGTCTCTCTGGCGAGAGAAATAGAGATGCTATAGATGTATTAGAGAGCACAACAAACACGACAATCGCCACACAACGCCATCACATCTCGCACATCTTTTACCCGAAGTGGATCGGCTTCGAGGACGCCGACATGGCGGCCTCCTTGAACGCCTCGCTGAGGGTCGGGTGCGCATGGCACGTCCTCGCGACGTCCTCCGAGCTCGCGCCATACTCGATCGCGAGCGTCGCCTCCGCGATCATCTCGCCCGCGTTCGGGCCGATGATGTGCACGCCGAGGATGCGGTCCGTCTCCGCCTCCGTGATGAACTTGACCTGGCCCTCCGTGTCGAGGTTCGTCTTCGCGCGCGAGTTCGCCTGGAACGGGAACTTCCCGACCTTGTACTGCACCCCCGCCTTCTTCAGCTCCTGCTCCGTCTTCCCCACCCACGCCACCTCCGGGTGCGTGTACACGACGCTCGGGATCGCGTGGTAGTTCACGTGCCCGTGCCCCGTCTTGATGTATTCCACCGCCGCGATGCCCTCCTCCTCGGCCTTGTGCGCGAGCATGGGCCCAAAGGTGACGTCGCCGATGCACTTCACGCCCGCGACGGACGTGTTGTACTGGTCGTCGATCACGATGCGGCCGCGCGGGTCAACCTCGACACCGATCTTGTCGAGGCCGAGGCCGGCAGTGACGGGGACACGGCCGACCGAGACGAGGACGACATCTGCGTCAACCTGAGGAGAGTGTGAGCAGGGTCTATGCTGAGGACACCGGAAGACTCACGGTTGCCTCCTGGCCGCCCTTGGCACCCTCAGTCTGGATGTAGACCTTCCCATCACGCTTCTCAGCCGAGGTAACCTTGGTATTAAGCATGAACTTGATGCCCTGCTTCCCGAGGATGCGCTGGAATTGCTTGCTGCATGAACCGTGAGACGTGGTTTCGCCGACAGATGGATGAGAACGCACGCAATCTCCTCGTCAATGCCAGCACCACCGATGGCACCCAAGAACTCGACAACCGTGACCTCCGCACCGAGACGACTCCAAACGCTCCCGAGCTCGAGACCGATGACACCACCGCCAATGACAACCATCTTCTTCGGCACCTCCTTGAGGCCAAGGGCACCAGTCGACGAGACGATCTGCTCCTCGTCGATCTCGATGTTGCCGCCGGGGAACGGCGCGACGTCCGAGCCGGTTGCGATGATGACGTTCTTCGCCTCAACCTCGGTCTCGCCGCCGTCGTTCAGCTGGACGCTGATCTTGTTTGGCGAAACGAAGGTGGCCGTGCCCTTCACCCAGTCGACCTTGTTCATTTTGAAGAGGGTCTCGATACCGCGGGTGAGCGAGGTAACCGCGTCATCCTTTGCCTTGAGCATGACGGGGAGGTTCAGCGAGACACCGGAAACTGTGCATACAGTCAGTTCTCGAGACGAGAAGCGGTGCAGGATGTGCATACCATCAATGCCACGCCGTGCGACGTCGTGCTGCGTTTGGTGGTAGATATGCGAGTTGTTGAGCATGGCCTTTGAGGGGATGCAGCCGATATTAAGACATGTGCCGCCGAGTGTTTCGCGCTTCTCAATGCATGCTGTCTGGAACATGAGTGAGCACGAGCCGTGTCCAGGGTCAATGGCTCCGAATTACCTTCAGACCAAGTTGTGCAGCCTTGATGGCCGCGACGTAGCCACCAGGTCCTGCCAGGTCAGCGGTGTCAGCGCGCGCGCTCAAGCAGAGCCGTGCAACTCACCTGAGCCAATGACGACGCAATCATAGGGCTCGGCGGGTGTTGCGAGGCCTCGCGAAGGATTCCAGCGACCGACCGCGGAGCGAGGTACACGTCGAACTACTACCTGCGTGTGTTTGTCAGCGACACACTGAAGGGGGGAGGATGTCCACATACTCGTCTGGAGGCCTGCAGCATGGTGGATGAAAGGGAGGGGATGCGACGCAAGCGTCGAGGAGGAGGAGGTGGGAGGAGGGAGAGTTGCGCGATGAGCTCAGCGGAACGGAGACGGTCGGACAAACGGCCGACTCCTTCCCGTTTTGCTCACCTGCCTTATATAGACGCAGCACCTCCCGCACTGCGAATACGGACCAGTCAGTGATCACTGAACTGACTGTAGCGGCCCAGCTAGCATGGTATGTGACCCTGCCTGCTCAGGACGAGAGTGATGCAGACAGCGACTACAGAACGGCGACCACCTCGAGGAACTCGTCCTCTCCGGCAAGCTCTTCAACCCGCCCTCCCGCTCCTCCTCCCCCGTCCGCTCCCGCTCACCCTCCATCGCCCAATGGCCCACCGACGGCAACGACTACGACTACGACTCTGACACCGAGCGGCGGCGCGCGGTCGAGGGGCGCATCGCCGCCGCCGAGCGCGAGCACGACTCCATCGGCATGGGCCCCGGGCGCACCGGCGTGAAGGGCGTCATCCGCGACCACGCCGAGGCCGCCGCCCTCGCGCGCTCTCGCCGCGCGGAGGAGATCGCGACGCTGAACAGGGCGATGGAGAAGGCGAGCCTCGGCGGGCAGACGTGGGGGGAGGAGGAGCGCGAGCGTGCGGCGGAGCGGGCGCGGCTCGAGGGCAAGGCGGGGCGCGTCGTCGAGGGCCGCGCGCGGGCGGGCAGGTTCGGGCACCTCATGGAGGTCGGCGTCCGCAGCTTTGACCGTGCGCTCGACGAGGACCGCAATACGTGGGTCGCCGTGCACATCTACGACCCGGTGCGCCCTGCCTGCCCTCTCCTGCGCCGCGCGCGTGCTAACGGATCCGCAGAGCTTAGACCGCTGCGCGACACTGGACGAGGCCCTCTCGCGTCTCGCACGCGCATACCCCTCCACCAAGTTCCTCCACGCCCGCGCAGGCGCCATCGGCTTCGCCACCTCGCGGGACACCACATCCTCGCGCTCAACCCACTTCTCGCCCTTCCCCATCACGCGACGGCCGTCCCGCCAGATCCTCGTCCCCGGGCGGTATCCCAACAGAACCGACGACGACGACGACCCGTACGGGGACGCCTCCGACGGGGACGACAGCGAGGGGGACGGCGACGCGGGGTGGGACGACGACAGCGTCGACACGGACGTCCTGCCCACGCTCCTCGTGTACCGCGGAGGCGTGCTCGAGCATACGTGGGTACGGGTGGACTGGGAGGCGCAGGCGGGCGTGGAAGAACTGCTCCGGAGGCGAGTCTGTTCCTGCCCCGCGCTCTTTTGAGTACCTTCTGACGGTGCGGCGTGTGCAGGCATAACATCCTTGGGGGCGCGGACCCGCGTAACAGCGCCGCGCACGCCGACGCGTCGCTCTCCGACGAAGAGGACTTCGACGACGGCGACTTGGTGTTCGGGGGCAGCGAGGATGAGGCGTGATCTGGCGGACAGGCTTTTGCCGCATGATCATGGACTGGAACTAGTATCATCGACGGCGACACGATACATAGCGTCAGGGGGTACAAAGCAAAACGCTGCTCGGTTCAATACGCATATACCTCACCGACCCGCGGGGTCGTACATTGCTGTATCATACACTCATCACAAGTTCACTTTAGGAGGGCGAAGCCAGACGACATTGGGTGGCCAGAGGGTGTAGGTAGCGGAAAGCCAATTCCTGTCAGAAGGAACATGACTTATGCACGCTCGCTTTGCGTTGTTGCCGTAAGTACGTTCACGGTGCATGGGGGCCACCGTGCCAGAAGCACCGAGGCCAGGATCATCCTCAAACCCATCTGCATCATCATCCATCACGCATCACCGCGAAAATGGAGTTCGCGAAGCCATCGGGGTTCGCTGAGATCCACTGATCAACCTGCACCTACCTGCACCCACAAACCACTTGAACTCCGAGACCGCGTGTGCGCACGTATGAATGAACGATCCAAGCGTGGCCAGCTTCTCCCATGCACGCGGGCCATGTTCCCATCGAGCACATCCCCACACACTTGAAAAGTATTCAAATTCGAAAATGCGTGCTAACCAGGCATACGTATAATGTGATGATGAGTCCGACCCGTATCCGAACCACCGCCCTTCCGCCCCGTCCTACACAGTAAGTATCGCGAACCACCAGAGTCGACTCGGACGTCACTCCTCTAACTCGTCCGCTTCGTCCTCGTCCCCGTCCGCGCCGCCGGCACCGACGAGGTCCCCCTCCATCATTCCGACGACCATCTCCATCGCGGCGCGCGATATGCGCTTCGGCATCGCGCCCGGACGGAGGAGTGGGTGGTGCGCGGGGTCGAGCTCGCCCTCCCCATCTTCATACCCATCTCCATCCGCATCCGAAGCCTCCGCCTCCTCCTCCTCAACGCTCTCCGCGCCCTCCCCGTCCCCATCCTCTTCCGACTCGCTCGTCGCCGACCCCCCGTCCGACTCCGACGCCACAAAGTCCTCGTCGTCTTCATCTTCCTCGTCCCCCACCGCCGCCGCCGCCGCGGCGTTCGCACCACTCGGGCCCGCCCCGTCTGTCTGCATGGCCTGCGCCTGCGCCTCTTGCTCCCCGAACAAGTGTCGATACCTCCGCACCCACCGCGCAATGCCCTCGCGCTCCCTCCCCTCCACCATCCCAAAGTCGACCTCCACCACGCTCTCCCCGTCCGTCCCCCGCGCGCGCTCGACCCGCCGCACGACCACCGTGCACGTCCGGCCCGTCGCGCTGAGCGTCCGCACGCCCTCCACCTGGTCCTCGCCCTCCCCGTCCGCGCGCGCCACGTCGCGCAGCGCGAAGAACTCCGGCGGCTTCCCGTCCCACAATATCCCCACGCTCAGGAACCACAGCGTCCCCGCCTTCGCCCCGCGGTACGCCTCCACGCCCGCGACGCCGTCCCCGCCCTCCCCCGCGCCCCCGCCCCCGCCCACCGCGCTGCGGAACACCTCCGTGCTCGGCTCCGTCGGCGGCGCGTGGAAGTGCCCCAGGAACGCGCGGAGCGCAGGCTCGACCGGCGTCGCCTTCGGGTGCACCGTCATCCGCGGCGTCCCGTCCGCGTCGTACGTCGACGTGCCCATCACCCCCGCGGGCACCGCGTCCACGCCGAACGCGACGATCGGCGCCTGCACCCCCGCGCGCTCCCGCCCCCGCGCCTCCGCCCCCGCCTTGCCGGGCGCGACGGGCACGTCGGACGGCATCATCAGCACGGACCAGTGCGGCCGCGGCTTGCCGCGCGTCGGCAGGAGGAACGCGCGGCGGAGCGCGGTGAGCGGGATCGGCGGCGACTCGACTTTGCGCCCGGCGCCCGTGCTGTTGGTGAGCCGCAGCGTGTGCTTGTGGATCGTGATGTCGGCCTTTTTGCGGATCGGCGAGGTGAGCGAGAGTGAGTGCAGCGTGAAGAGCGGTGGGTCGTCGGCGTCACTGGACGCTGGTGTGGGCGGTGTTGACGAGGATGAGGACGCGGTGTTGTTATTGTTGGTAGTCGCGTCCTGTGTGTTGTCTGTTCTGACGCGCTTGGGAGAGGACGGGGAGGGGGCGGTAGATGGGGCGGGGGACACATCTTCACGCCCGCGTTTGTGGTTGACGGAAGGTGGGGAGGGCTTGCGGTGGGTCTTGCGGAGCTGGGCAATGCGCCAGGAAGCCTCGCTCTGTGAGGTGTCCCAGGCACTGCGGATGTCGTCGTCGGCTACGGGTGGGCAGGGCCCGTCGAGGACGAAGCGGAGGAGGGCGTCAACGGCGTGGACAGTCTCGTGGGGGAGGCTGAGGAAGTGCCTGCGGATGGCGGCAGGGGTAGAGGGGACGATGCTGTGCCAGTACTCGAGAACGGAGTCAGGCATGGCGGGCAATTGGCCGAAGGGTATGCGGCCGTAGAATAGGTATCGTTAGTTGGCGCGGGCGCTGGTCGATGGCGGCGTAGATTTTGCGATGGAGGTCAAACTGAGTGGTGCATCAGCATTCGTGTAACTAAAGGATTCAGATGAACCGCAAGGATCTGCGTTGCGAGTTGGGCGGGAGGAAGACTGTGCGTGCAGTCCCTCAAGCCACCCACGATAAGTCTTGCCGTCCCAGATTTAGGTCGGCCTGGACCGCAGAAGGGTCAGGCGCGCAGGGACCCAGTCCTCCGTGCCCGAACCTCCCTCGCTGTGTTCGGGACAGGAGCTTGGAAGCGGCGTGTGTGCAAGAATCATGGCGAGTGTCGCACCACCAGGGACTTCGTGCTCGGCGATGCTGAGGTCGAGCGTGTCTACGGGCCGGTCTGGGTATGTGATCGACTGTCGCCGGTCGCCTCACCATGCTCGTCGCGGCAAACGGACGCGATGGGGCTCGGGTGAACGGCGGCTGGGCGCGGTCGCAACGCGTCGGGGGTCGCGGCAGGCTGATGAACGGGAGTCTCACGATTGACGGACATATCGCGCACAAGCCCGAGGGAACGCCAGGGAGGGACGGAGGACAGAGACTCACTGGTGCAGGGCGTGCGCGGGCGGGAGTGTGCTGGAGCGCTGGGCAGCGGGGGAGGAGTATGGTACACGGCGGGAGGAGACACGGCGGGAGGAGACGACACACAGCGAACACGCGTTCTGGCCCGCGTCTGTGGCGCTCCGTCCCACGTGCCCCCGCCCCCCTCGGCCCGCCCCGCCCGCCGCCTTCTCGTCTTCCGCCCGTCGACGGCGCGTCTCTGCCGGGGTACCGTCACATTGGGTATACACCTTCTGCTGCCTCCCAGCACTTGTCGAACACAAGTGCGCACCGACCTACGTAATGCCTACAGCCTGTCTCCATCGTCCGCCGCCAAGCACACCGCACCCATCCACGGCACTGCCCAACCGTGCATCGTCAGCGGTACACCAACGAGTCGCACTTCCAAGACAATCACTCAATACATCTTCCGTCACGAAGAGCGATGCGCAATGTCCCATATTAATTCAAACCCTAAGCTACACATCTACTGGGGCCAACCGAGCCCCCTCATACACCCTCTACCTCGAAGCCCTCGCTGCGTCGCGATCCGCCTTCGCCTTCGCAACCGCCTCCAGTTCGGCGAACGTGCCGCTCTTGAGGCACATCTGGCGGAAGATCCCGCCGTCCTTTTCGATGAGGTTGAGCGGCGTGTCGAACTCCGCCAGCTCGCCCTTGTCGAGCACGATCAGGCGATCGTAGTCGATGACCGTGCGCAGACGATGCGCGACTGTAGGAAGGTGGCTCAGAACACTCTGCTCATCTAGTGACACGACGTAGACTTACCGGTCAGAAGCATCGAGTCGTTGAACTCCTCTCGGATCGTCGCCTGGATCTTCGCGTCGGTCGCAAAGTCAATGCTGCTCGTCGCCTCATCGAGCACAATGATGGAGCTCCGACGGAGCAACGCCCGAGCCATAGCAATCAGTTGCCTCTGACCCTGCGAAAAGTTCGACCCTCCAGGAGACACCTGCGTCTCGAGCGACACCGTCGTTCTGGCGTCGGTCTCGGTCGGCGTCGTCGAGACCGAAGCGATGGTCCCCTCCCGACCCTCATGGCCCTCGTGAATAGAGGCAGCCCGAGAAGTCGCTCGCGACGTCCGTTGCGATGCTAATTGGCTGTCCGTGATCATCTGCACGCGGTGGAGGACATCAAGACATTCGCTGTCTTCATGATCATCTGTGGACATCGCATAAGTGTCGGCGCATCGGGTATACTTTGCGACTCACGGAATGGATCGAGGTTGTCACGCAGAGTGCCAGAGAACAGCGTGGCGTCCTGGGGGATGAACGTCTGACGGCGAGAATCAGCAGATGCATACCACATCAAGTCGAAGGTACGCACAATCCTCGAACGCAAGTCATACAGGCCAATGGTGGAGATGTCGACCCCATCGATCATGATGCGACCACTCGTCGGGTCAACGAAGCGAAGAATACTCATGGCCAAGGTCGACTTTCCACTGCCAGTCCGACCCAGCAGGCCGACTCGCTCTCCCGCCTTAAGGTTGAAGGAGACGTTCTTGAGGACAGCTGGAAGCTCAGGTGCGTACTTGATGACGAGGTCCTCGACAACGATCATCGAGTCCTTGTTCGGACCCGTAGACGACGGCCAGTAAGCCGGTGGACGGTTGGACTCCACGATGGCTGCTGGCTCTTGAGGAAGATCCAGGTATTCCACGACACGCTCAACGGAGCTGCGAACAATTCAGAGTCAGGACAGCGAGAGCGCACAATCAGCGACCTACTTAAGATCAAGCTCAAGTGCGGTCCAGAACCGGCAGGCCCAGTAGACACTTGTGGTGAAGGCCATAGCCGATGTGATACAAACACCAGCAGTTCCTGCCTCAACATAGCCAGCGAGCGCAAAGAGCGTGGTGACCAAAACGCCAGTCGCGCCGAGCGTGTCAAAGTACAGCAACAGCCACCGGTTGGTCATCCAGAAGGTGTACCACATCTGCGTGGTCAGATCGACCTTCTTGTACAGGTCGTCGAGGAATTTCTGCTCCGCGGAGAACGCGCGGACAGTGACGATACCCTCAAGCAGCTCGTTGAAGTTCGCAAAGATCGGACTCCTCGAATTCGACTCCATGCGACGGATGTCACGGCCAGTGTTCAGATACCCGATGGCGGCGCGACGGTAGAAGAAGCCTAGAATGGAGGCGGGAACAATGAAGAAGGGGAACACCACTCTGTGCATAGACATCAGTGTGCTGTTCGGCAAGTTGTATGGGCATACTCACACGACAGTGATGACAGATGCTGCAAAGTTGGCGAGCGCCGTGTTGACAGCCTGCAGTGAGCTTGCCAAAGAGCCATCGACGGTCTCGATATCCTTGCTGAAGCGGTTCAGCATACGACCTACAGGAGAATGAGACATCTCAGTAAGGGTTTCGGTGTGCCAGCGCACCTTGCGGAGTAACATCATGCCAGCGCATCGATGCTCGCACGACTCTGACCAGTAGTTTACGGAACAGACTACGAGACGCCCTGAGAGCTCCAGTGTACTGAGTGATAACACCAGCAATGTTGACCAGGCCGGCAGAGAGTGAGATGACCGCATAGATGCCGATATAGAAGAAGGGATGCTCTTGCGCTGGCGGCCACTTCTTTTGCATGGTCGAAAGGTACGGCACAGGGTGGTGGCTCTTGTGAGCAAAGCGGATGTTGAAGAGTGTCTCATCCAGTACGGCCTCGTGCTCGGGCGTCGCGAACGAGTTAAAGATGTAGGTCGGAATGATGTCGTTCTTCGGATTGTATGCCTCTCCCCAGATCTAGCGAGGAACGGTCAACTACTGGACAACACATCTGCCGTAACAAACATACTTTGATCCAGACTTTCTCGGAGACACCAAGGACCTGCGCGGTAAACGTAAGCACGAGCAGTCTTACGGACTTGCGGTAGAAAACAGACCTGGGTCAGGATGATCAGTGTGAAGAGGATGACCCACGTCCAGTAGGACCTGTCGCATTATCAGTATGAGAACGATGAGGACGGAAGGACACGGTGCGCACGAGGCTTTCAGGTAAGTGTTGTAGATCGACCACTTCACGCTTCCAGTCTCCCTCTTCTCATCCTCAATCAGCTTCCGCGGCTTCTTGCCCTTCTTGTCGGGCTTCGCATCCTCTTCCTCTTCCTCCGGGGCCTCGGCATCAATCTCCGCGTTGGGCTCCTTCGCCTTCTCTGCGGCTTCTACCTTCTCTTCTTCCTTGTGGGCCTCCACGGATTCATCGTGGGTAATCTCATCAAGTAGGCCGCGTGCACGAAGATCCTTCAGGGTTCCTTGGGTGTCGACCCGACCGTCGAGCATACGAACCAAGTAATGGGCACCAGGGAGCACGAGTTCGACATGGTGAGTCACCAGAATCTGCAAGCCGTCAGACATCGTGCCTGTTTCAGTATGATCGCGGCTTACCACAGTACGGTTGGCGAGGAGAGGGCCACGGAACAGCTTGTCGAAAAGCTGGCGTGCTGTGTGGCTATCCTGCGGGAGCGTGAGCAAAACCTTTCCATGCAATCCAGTGATCATGGCGTACCACAGCGCTGAGTGGGTCATCGAGGAGCACGTATTTTGTAGGCTGCACTACTATGAGTGTTTAACGCCCTCGACATAGTTAAGCGTACTTACCGCATATACCGCGCGAGCCAGCGCAACTCTGAGAGCAAGTTGAGAATCACCACCAGGACGATTTAGAACAAACATTCTCACCTTGCCTTTTGGCCACCCGACAGACTCACGCCACTATATTCCCGAGTTAAGACACTCCGTCTCAAAGTACACTGCGAGTACTCACCGAGCACCGATCTCAGTAGCATCGCCATCCTCGAGGATCTCCAGATCCGGTCTCAATGCACAGCAGTCCACGACCTCGTTGTACCTCTCCTCATCATACGGGTAGCCGAAGAGGATGTTGTCCTTGATCGACTGGTGCCTGAGCCAGGGCGACTGGGCAGCGTACGAGAGCGCGTGCATCAGGCCGTGCTCGTCAACCCTTGACGGGTTCTTGGACAACACGATGCGGCCCTCGAGGCGGGTCATCTCGCCGAGGAGCGCCATCTAGGCAAGACAGTATCGATAAGTCGTCCTGCAGCCACGTACCTCATCGCAACTTACCAGTAGGGCAGTCTTCCCGCTTGCAGTCGGGCCAGTGACGACCGTCAACTGGCCCTCCGGGAACATAACCGTAATATCGCGCAGCTCGAAGCGATGATCCCCACTCCCATTGGTGGTGCTCCCCGTCGTCGACTGGCTATCCACCGCCGTGTCCGCATCGTCCGACGGGCTCGACGGTGTCTGCGATTGCGACCGCGACCTGCGGGGCCACGAGAAGAACTTCCGGCCATTCGCGTCCTTTGCCTTGTCCTTGCCCTTGTCATCTTTCTTCTCCTCGATCTCGTTCCACTTGAACGAGCCGTGGAGGATGCCGAGGCCGTCGTCGTCCTCGGCAGAGGGCGGCTGGCGGCCCTTTTTGAGGCTGGAGACTTGCTCGTCGACTTCCTCTTCATCGAGGTAGGTCGCGATGCGGTCCATCGCCACGCCTGCTTGGAGGATCTGGACGATCCATGCTGGAATAACGTTCAGCGGAGCGCTGGTCACCGCGAGCGTCAGTCATAGGAAACTCAACGGCGTCAATTAAGTCTTACCGAACCATGTTGAACAGAGCAATGGCCTGCTATCCCGTTAGCGCTGCAACTCTCCATATGTGACGCAGCACGTACCGTGAATGCGGTGCCAACAGTCAGCTCATTCCCCCGGATCACATACACGAAGAAGGAAGTGACCGACACAAGGATCGGCGCGCAAATCCAAATGAGTGAGAACATGACCGAGTTGAGGCGTGCCTTGACCATCCACTTCATCTCGACCTCACGCGCGCCCATCGTGCGGTTGATCCACTGCTCCTCCCACGCGAAGAACTTGATAAACTTCATCGCGCCAATAAGCTCGTTCAGCACGCCCATCCGCTTGTCGCGCGCGCTCGACACGCCCTTGTGGATGCGCACCGCGCGCTTGCTCACCAAGCTGTTCAGCGGCCAGCCGACGATGAGCACGACGAAGCCCGCGAACGCGGACAGGCCGAGCAGCTGGTACAGGAACGTCGCGGCGATGACGATCTCGAACGGCGCGCCGTAGATGAAGTACGAGCCAGACACAACCTGCGAAATCCTGTTCGCGTCGCCCGCCATCAGGTTGACGATCTTGCCGATGTCTGCACCCGCCTTGGGGTCGTCGCCCTTGGAGCTCGCCTTCACCTCGGGGCCCTTCGCGCTCTTGCCGGCGTCCTTGTCGACGAGCCCGGAGAAGTCCTTTCGCTTGAGCGCCTTGTCGTAGATCGCGGCCATGAGCTCGGAGCGGATGCGCGTCGCCGCGCGCCGGCCGTACCACAGGTGTTGCACATCCGCCTGCGCCTTGCACAGCGTAGACAGGAACGCGAGCACTGCGTAGATGTACGCGAGCGCGCGCTTTTCGGGGGTGGGGTTCTCGTGCGGGTCGAGCGAGTCGAGGATGCGCTTCAGGAAGAACGGGCTGGCATAATTGAAGACTACGCTGACATATGTTAGAATAAAGTCGAGCATGAGATCTAGCGAGTTCGTCGCCCAGAGGCGGCGCAGGAGCGAGCTCCGCAGCGTGCGGCTGAACTTGATGTAGAGCGGCCGCGCCTGCATCGTCGGGCTGAGCGACCAAACATCTGACTCGCTGAGAGTTGTGCTTGTCCCCTGAGAGGCGTTCAGCTCGCAAACATAAGAGGATAAACGCGAAGCTTACACGCTCAACGAGAGGAAGGATCCACATGAATGACATCCAGCCCCATAGCGTCGTGTAGTCCTCCGGTGATATTGATTGGCCCTGTACCGAGCATCAGTAAAGTATGCCGGCAATGCGTGAGCAGATGTGATGCAGTGGTCCGGCGAAGCGGCAGCAGCAGGCAACAGATTCATGAGACTCTCGCTCATGCGTTCTTAATAGCTCCCTTCGTTGAGGGGGATACACAGGACAGTTCTCCCCCACCACCCGGAGCACCCACTTCGTGCGCCCACACAGTAGGGGGCTCCGCAGTCCCACCGCGCGCTCTGTCGACCTTCTGCCGCCCAATAGGCAGCTTCCAGCAAATTTAGGAGCGATAGACCCCCGGCTCATTGCACGCACAGAGGGCCTGGTTTGGACCCGTCAATGGGCCCCAGTTGAGGTGCTCGAGATGAAACTTTCCACCGCCGTGTTACCATAGGTATGCTCCCCAATGTAGTGTGGCGGGTGTGATCTGCCCCAATACGCGCTTTATCGACATCCTGCCGCCCTGCAGACAGCTTGAGAACTGCTTGACGCTGACAATGTCACTGAAGTCTCGGGCGTCTCGGACACACTGCAGTACGACATAAGGAACACTCACGATCTTATCCTTCTCCACCTTGTCGCTCGGCACGCCCAGCGGCATGTTGAAGACGACCAAAAGCAGGAGCATAATCGCCGCCAGGTTCGCGATATGTCCCGCAAGCACCCACGGCGCAGGGTACGGCCAGCCGCGCACGCTCGAATCGAAGAGCACGCCGCCGAACACGAGAACGCTCATCACGAGCTGGAGCGTGAAAAACACTAGGAGGTCGACGGGCGGGGTCGCGGAGGGCGCGGTGATCGGGCGGACGGCCGCATAGAGCCATGCGAACGCGAGTGCGAGGCCGACGAGAGCATGGTGAACGCCGACCGGGCTGATGGCGAGGCTATAGCACGCGAGGCCGAGCCAGACGAGGGACTCCGTGAGCGCGACGAGCGCAAGGACGAGACCGCGCCAGAGCGGGACATGCGGCGCGTCCGCGCGGGCTGCGCGCTCCGTTTTTTCGTCCGCGGTGAGGGCCTCTGCCTCTGGGAGGGTGAGAAAGTTGCGGAAGGGCCGCTGGACGACGGCGACGGCGTTGCGGACGGTCTGAGGCATGGGGAGTGCGCTGGCGAGGAAGACGGCGACGAAGGCGAGCGGGAGGATGGCGCTCCAGAACTCGCGGATGCACGGGCTCCCGAGGTCGAGCAGGCCGCCGCTAGAGCGGCAGATGTGGATGCCCATCGCGAGCGACGTCGGCGGGGCGGAGGGCAGCGACGTCGAGAGTGAGGTGGACGACGAGGAGGACGGCTCGGAGCGGTCGGGTGAAGACTGGTTCGCGAATGGCGCGTGAGATAAACGCGTCTTATGGGCGCCTATTGCTCTAGAGCGCGTTCTCAAGCGCGTTCGCCTGCTCTCGCCCTTCGTTCCCTCGAGGCAGCAATCCGTGCAATCGCCGCTTCCCCATTATGACAGCATGGAGAAACAAATTTCTCTCTTCAGTCATTTACGTCCGGCGGAGGCATTTGGGGTTTAGCAACGGTGAGTATACCCAACACTGGCCAGGACCACAAGGAACGATCCCGGGAACTCATGACACTGCAGCACACGTTAATGGAAAGAATCGGCTGGCCCGTCGCCCATTGGCAAGGCGTGGCTCGCTAGAAGACACTCATTGAATGACAGAATCGCAGCACGAGTACGCACAAGCGACGTTCAAACGCTCAACGCCTGACGATCGACTTCCAGACATAGTCCCGTCCGCAATCTGAATTACATGGGCCACGAGATCGCTGAGGCGAGCCTCCTGCTAAGACAATGGTCAGTAACACTAATAAGTCGTCTTCAGATCTGACGCCGGATACATGCATGCATCCTCCAAGTGTGCGTTCCGCGTAGACACATTAAGGTTTTAGCTTGTGAATACACCCACAGCTTGCCTTCCGTTGCCATATCGCGGCGATGTCTCAGCACTCTTCACACGTGTCTTCAAAGTGCCATGCCGATGCGAAGAACATACGTTGGTTCACACCGTAAGTCCTTCACTCTGTTGTGTATGTGCGAACGGTGTTCTGCAGTCGAGCACGCCATTATTAGACTTGTATCCGTCTTCACTCTTACGACGCGTGAGCTCCCAGCTACCGTCTCCACGATACCTGGTACTGTGTATTAGATGGTACGTGGGACATGCACTTGCCCGACGATATTGCGTGCAAGAAGCAAGAAGCGGAGGACTACGGTAAGGTCTCTCAGCAGGCAGGTTTACTTACGTCCGGCATCGATATATTCCCGCCGCGCCAAACTCTGTCTATGTTTTACAAAGTCCTCGCAGTGTGGCCTAGCTGCAACTCAGCTTTACAGTGCTGCAGAATATAAAAGGAGCGGGCTAAGTACTAAGTGGGTGCCCCGACGCGTCGCTGGAGGGTGTGACCGCGTCGCGTCGGTGCCGAGACGCGTGCCACCGCCACAAAGCCGCCGGCCGGGGGCGCGCACGAGCAGCAGCTTAGGTAATCACACGCATTTGTGCGTGTGGCGGGCGGCTAGGGCCTGAGCAGAAACGCTAACGATCGCATATGGAGTCCCTCAACCTCAACAACCTCGCAAACTCCCTGCCTCCTTCCAACCTTGCAAAGGCAGAGATGGACCTCACCGACGATTTTAAGGGTCCGTTCATCCTAGCTTTCATTGTACATTGCGTGATGCTGACCCTCGACCCACACAGCGGCCGCACTCAGCCTCACGACGCTCTACCGCTCCTCGAAACGCACATCCAAGCGGGCGTACAACACAGGCTACGCAGCTGCATGCCAGGACATGCTCGTCATGATCCAGCAGGGCGTGTCCGCCGGTGACTCGAGTGACTCCGACGGGCAGGGCATGGCCATCGGGCGCATCATGGACTACATCGAGGCCCGGCTCGAGGCGATCAAGTCGTGCGAGGAAGAGGACGACGAGGACGAGAAGGAGCGCGAGCGCGAGCGGTCCAAACCGGGGACGAGCACTGCCGCCCCTGCGAAGCCGGCGCCTCCGCTGGTGGCGGCGAAGCCCGCTGCTGTGTCCGTCCCGACCCCGACCCCGACACCGAGCGCCGTCTCAGCAAGGTCCAGGGATCTCGTAAGTCTTCTGTATTCTCATGCGCTTACACACACCTACCGTTCACATCTAGGCCCCCCTCGCCCCACCTACACCCTATACCCCATCAACCCTCTCCGCCAACTCGATCGCAGCCTCCTCGCCCTCCCCCCTCCAGCGCGCTAACAAGTCGCGCCTCTACGCCATCGCCACCGCCAAGGACCCGTCCATCCTCTCCGCATCGCCCCCGCCCTTCGCCTTCGACACACCAGCCACCGCCGTACTCTCCCCACCCACCGGCGCGCTCGACATCAGCACAGATGTCTCCGTCGGCTCAAAGCGGCGGCACAACGTGATGATGCTCGACTCGCCTGCGAGCCAGACGGCGACAGAGAGCGGGCCCTCGACACGCCGGAGGACGCGGAGCGCGCGCGGGGCGGCGCTCGCGTCGAATGCGCAGGCCTTGCACATACACGATCAGAACGCCGGGACAGACGCGATGGACATCGAGGAGGACGGTCGGGAGAGGAAGCGCGTCGCGCGACGATAGTCGGCTCGGTGGCACTTCTCGCTTCTCCCCTCTACTAGGTAATCCCGCCCCTCGCGGTAGGGACGGACACGGCCGTGTAGACGGCGTGCGTAGGCGGGTGCATAGGCAACCGCGTATCATTATGGCAAACTGAGACGACCGCGACGACTGCGACTCCATGCGCGTGTAATACATATGTTAGTAGCTTCGTCCTTCACTTCACTTCCCTTCCCTTCCCAACCCAACCCATTAACCAATGACCCCCGATCGACTTACATTGTAGGCTTGTACGTAGGCACAGCAGCATACCAGCAGCATCATACATACGCATCCCTGTATTCACAATCGTTCACTGTTCTCCGCATGACCTTCGCGCTGTGTGTATTCCCCTCACGCATAAACGAGCGTCATCGTGGCTGGTCTCCGGGCCTCGTTCTGTGCGCACCACATTCAAGGTCGTAAAATAAGGTGCTCGTGAAGACGCATCAAAACAAAAAAAAGCAGTTCGCTGAACAAAAGTGACCGACACAGGGGTCGAACCTGCGCAGCTGTATTCTGGGTCCCAAGGAGCGTGTTCGTCCCCGCGGCCGCCCCACGCGCCATGTTGCGCCCCCATTACGTAATCATAGTCAGACGCGATGCCAATTGCTGTTGGCCGATTAGATGGTTTATGTATGGCTATCACTGTCAGGGCTAGAGCTGTTAAATATGCCACGGAGACGATACCGTCACGGTCAACTGGTAGCGATCTATGCCAAGTTCCTAGGATCCTTAGTTCGTCAACCTCTCAGGCGGTTCGACTCTACTTCGGAATCCCGGCGAACGTGGTGTGATAGGGTGTGATGCGTACGCCGTATATGTATATAACTTACCAGCTGGCATATACTAATGCTCAGTGTACACACAGTTGAATCAGGAGCGAGCACCGTACACGCGTGTCAACCATGTCGTACATATGGTTCTTGGTAGCAACTCCGAGTCCGAGGCTGCGCTAGACCTATTTCGCGACAATGGGTGGCCCCTCGGAGCTTGACGGTGCGCCCCTGCTTTGACCGTTTCGTGAACTCGTGCCTTTGATGACGTTATTGTTACCCCTGTGCCGCAGACATACGACCTGTTGTGTGCCACACTTAGCGGATGCCCCTGACCGTCTGCGGTATAAATACCGCCCGTTCTCCCTCCTACTGTGCAAGAAAACCCCCGCCTCGCCTGTGGTCCACTACACGTCATGTCACCGCCTCTCCTCGATCACAGGCTCGCAAGACCTGCGCAGAAGCCGTCCGAGAGAAGAACATCTAACACGAACCAAACGACTAGGAACTGCTGCGAACTGTTCCTGTCCACCCCGCACACCTCGGTCCACGCGTAGCCAGAGCTTCCTCTTCGGCACGGACTCGTTCGACGCTCACGAAGAGCGTCTGTCTGTCGCGGTTACTGGCTCTCTCGCGACCACCCGATTGTGCGAGGCTTGTTCAACAGCCGTTGGTGGTCGCAAATAACAGTGCAGTTCGCGACCAGCCATCGTCCAGGTGTGTACTGTTGGTCAAGTCCTGTTACTCTTCGACTGACCGGGTTTTTGAACGTAGTGGTGAAATCATACGGATTCTGCCTGCGCTGTCTAATGCACATGCTTGACTTCATCAGTCAGTTAACACGTCCGTCCACTGGCCTTGAAGGTAAGCCCCAATGGACTTTGAATCCTCGCTCAACCAATGACGCGCTTTCATCAGCAATTGGCTGATGGTCTAGAATGCTGGGCAGTACCGCGACACCAGACGACGCATGGCTACGAAGTCCACCAACCTACCACGCACTCAACACCAACACTCCGAGGAGGCGGCCATCCTCCCACCTCATTCGGTTCTACTACCTTATACTGCCCTGTGCGGCGGTGCGATCATCAAGGTCCGATATATAAAGTTCTCGGACCCTTGTAAAGCCTGGACAATGATTGATCGTAATTGTGGGCGTAAATCGAGCTCCTTTCCTTCGTAACACCGTCGGTCTGGCCACTGTGTGAACAGTCGAATGCTGGTCTCGTACCCATTCTCACATCGGATGAGTACGAGACCATCGAACGCCCACCTGCGGTGCTACTGGTACGGCATTGTTGCGTTATTTGGCCCTTCACAGCGCGCACCACTTCATCTTACACCTAAGTTGCGTCCGCTCCGTCTGACATGTTCTATCTTGTAGTATTCATATGCCCCCTTCAAGTTGACTCGGGGTTGGAGATGTGACGATGAGAAGCCGAGGTAGTGACATAGACGTAAGCACATTCAATAGCATTCCATGCGGTTGACGCCCCGTGAAATGACTACGTGGGTCTGCTGACCGCACGGATGCATGTGTATCGCTACACGCGTACCGTGGGTACTGTAGGGTCTCCGTTTCAAAGCCCTGATCCATACAGCAGATGATATTTAATCGATCATCGGATCCGCAGAGATTCCCTATCCACCGACGACTGCCACTCGACATTGGTACTCGAAGACAACCCACAAATCGAGGTTCGCTCTTTCTCAAATCCAAGTGTTGCTGCAGTGCGATTGAGACTTTGATCTTCGATAGACCTGCAGGTAACAGCGACGTCACGTCAGCGTTCACGCAACGTACTGGATTGGTGATTATCAAGACCAGCCCTCGGTCGATGATGAACAACTACAGGTTAGAGGCCCAAGGTAGACGATTGGCCGTTGATGTTCTGACTTCAGATCATCATGTCAGCGCGGAGTCGCCCACTATGAATATGGACTTGGTAGTCGGAACAACCGACGCTGGCATCCTCCTGCCCATGGAGATATGGGAACACGTAATTGATCTGATCGCAGAGAAGGTCGAAAGACAGTGGAATCTCCTCAAATGTCCGTGGTGGTTGACGCTGATATCCTGTGCTCTGACCTGCAAGGCCCTATACAATCGGGCGAGGTGGCACCTACGCGGAAACGTCATGCTCCTCACGCAGAGTAACGTGGTCTCGTTCGCGAGGCTGCTTCGCGCCGAACCCTACCTGCGGCCTGTGATGCGCTTCGTCACTATAGCTGGTTCCCCTTCTCGCCGCCATCTGCCCATTCCACACATCGGGACGTTCGCGATCATGCTCGCGCGCTGCCTCCCAAGGATGCAGGCACTCGTGATCACCAATGCGAACTGGACCATAGGCTCCATTCGCCAGCAAGACATCGTCAACCTGGCCGCGTTCCGGTGCATCAACGAGCTGACGCTGCAGGACATTCGCTTCGCTACGGTGTCCCAACTCGGGCAGTTAATCTCCTCCGTACCGCAGTTGCAGATACTGCGTTGCGCCAGAATTAAATGCAATCAAAAAGTATCTCCGCTCGTCTTACCACCACTCCCGTTGAACAGTACGCGACTGCGCATCGGTCACTTGGAGGACACTATGTCCCCCGCTATCCACGACTTCCTTTACCGCATATTAACATCGGCAAACCTACTACGCCTCAGCGTTGGGGCTCACCATCGCGATATATCTTCTAGCTTAATCAAGCTGCAGAGACTGCTTGACGCATGCGCATGGTGCCTTCGAGACCTCCGCCTAACATTGAACATGAAGGGTGTTGTTGACCAGTCTCCGGAGAAGCTATGTAAGTATCACGGTCTTTCGAATCGTATGTGCTCGTCACGACGTATTCACAATCTTGCAGGCGAGCATATCAACCTTAGCCGTTTCAGAAGACTACGTTCTCTGCGGTTCTCGACGTGGTGCTACGTCGACAGCGACTACTCGTGGATCCCACACCTACTCTACACAGTGGTAACATTCATCGTCGATTTGAAAATCATCTTCCACGTGAGCGTGACCAATTGGGAGGAGAGACTCAGTGCCTTGCTCCACCGACTCGAAACGGGTAACGAGCTAGCGGAGCTCGACACCTTCCTCGCTACGCCCCGAATTGATATCAGGCCGGGCAATCCACTAGTACAAGTTCTCCTCGCATTGGAAGGTTCTGGCTCCACTTACAACCCGTGCAAGTCAAGGATTTCTGATGACGAATGGTCGAAGCTCGTGAGAGGGAAGATGCCTCATGCGGATGAATGCGGTATACTGAGGTTTGTTTGCCGTGCCAACAACAACATATATTTTACTCACAATTCTGTTACCGCTTGCCCAGAACGATCATCTACTAGTGCATCGCTCGCTCCCGAGTAACGTACGCGGATTGGTCGCGGTTCAATTGTGCGTTGCACGCGTGCTATCATCTCAGCGCTACGCTCTTCCCACGACTTAGGAGGGCCAAAGCGATTCGAATTGAACGCCACGGCCGTCTCGCAAGTTAGGTGGAGATAGTTAAGCACCTAGAAACGCAATGGAAGGTGTATGAATCTCTGTTTGCTCATGTCCGGCTGCATACTCGCAGTGTGCGGAGTGATTCGATGAATCCCTTTCGGAGGTCACGGGCGCTAAGAGTCTGCCACTGCGATGCGGTCTTCAAAGTGGTTGTCGATTGCTGCAAGTACTTAACATACTTTTTCGGTGAAAAGGGGCTCGCTAAAATCCGAGGGCGTATGTGAATGAGAAGACATAGTACCAAGTCAAAGCTTGTGCCCAGCCACCGGAGCGAGCTGTGGCCGTGACAAGCGTGACCGTGCACTGGTCATGTTTGGTTTTGTTTGTTCTCCTCAGAAACAGTCCCCCTCGGCCATCGTAGGCCTTTCTTTTTGTCCTACCACGCATCTTCATAAAACTCTGAGTATATTATGAGATGTTTCAGCCATGCTCTTGGCCTACAGCCGTAGAGGGCTAGGCAAAGGAGGTTTAAAACATGAACGCGCCGGTGGCAGGGCGCGAGGTTGAGCGCCCTGATAGACGCGGGAAACGGGGCGTGTGGCGCAAATCAACCGCGACCAATCCGCGTAGTATACCCGAGGCCATATCGCCGCACCGAGGCTGAAGAGACTTCACGAATTACTGTATACACTGGGCTACTATAGATTTTCGAACGAGCCATCGGGCTACGTACCCTGCAATGCCCTTAGAATCGAGTCCCCACATCGAGTCCCCACTTCATCGCTGTGGTGCGCGGCCATGTCTACGGTATCGCCTGGCGTGCGCCTCTCATTCTCAGCTTTCACAAGATCAGTTTGGTTTGGATCTTGGCGCGTAGCAGGGCAGCCTCAAGGTTGCGGCTACGTTTAGTTTGTATCGGCTGTCGGCATGCGGCGAAGTACTAGTAGCATTTCTCACCACTGACCAGTGACCACGATAGGTGGCATGAACACTTCGCTTTACACGGCGTGAGTTGTTCAAGGCTCGCTTTGACCATGCGATGAGCTCACCGTTTCCTTATGTGCGCGCCATCAGCGCGTCAAAGCAAAGTACGCCCTTAAAAGGCGTCCCGCCTTGTTTGCTTTGACAGTCTTTGTTCCGGTAGTCGCGTGCATCTGCACGCCTCTGGCCGTGCCTGTGGCCGCCGCCAGGCCACCATGCGATATATAAAGCCGAACCACTTGCTGCTTTGCATATTCGCCCCATTCGACATCTACTTGCTGACCGGCTTCAGATCTACCGAAGATGGACAGGTTCACTTGCACTTGCACTCCGGCCATAAGAATCGCAGAGACCGGACGGTACATCCTTCCTCAGCATCACGCCATTGCGTCCGAACAGCTGGCCGCAAGTTTGCCTGTCGGTGTATATCCGCCGGTACGCTTCGGACGGGATGGTGTCTCCATCAACGCGATTATGCTCGCGGACGATGACATGGCTGCGCTGGCCGATCTCATACCTGACGGTTCGAAGAAGCCACTAGGTGGCTATTACGTCGGGGACATGAACACGATGGAGCTCAAGGTACATGTACGTATCGCATTGCCTGTCGTTGAGTGATTGTCGGAATAGCTGACTATGTCTTGCTTCACGCAGTGGCCTGGTCATTATGATCGTCGAACGCAAGTTGCGGAGACGCTACCGCTTTGCGCACTGGCACGCGTGGCGGGAGTGACGAAACCAGTACCGTATACTAAAGCCCAAATTGCGGCAAATGTAGCCAAGGTCGTGGTGACAGCAATGACGGTGAGCGACACGTCGATTATAAAAGTGACTGCGCACTGAACCGCGTTCTCATCTTCTTTCCAGCATTGCCTCCACCACCGCCCTCACGGGCATGGCTGCTGGTCGGTGAGCGCAGACCAGACACGCGGTCTGACCTGGAGCTCCGTGTACCTTGTGGCCATCCACCACCGCGGCGGTGATACCTACCAACCTGAACTCCATGTTGCTTTGTCCCTGCGTCCTCCTCTCTTCCCGGAACCCAACGTGCGTGCGATTCAAGGGGCGCCGACGGCGTGCTCTTGTGCTCGGGCACTCAAGGACGAAGAGTCGGGGATGTACGTCCTTCCTCAGCGCCCCGCCACTATGAAGCGGTTCATGGGCGAGACATGGCCCGCAGGCACTTTTCCCTCGATCTTCTTTGGACAGAGCGGACCTCTCTCCATCGAGACGCTCACTAGATACTCTGCGGATCAATTGAAGAGGGTACTGCCGAACAGTCTGGATAAGCCGTTCGAGGACTGCTATAAAGACTGGAAGTTGACCAGGATCAAGGTCAAAGTTCATGTACGTATCGGTCTGACAATTTTCTTACCTTTTCTCTGTATCGCTGACTGATCCCCATGATATACAGTGGCCTGATCACGACGACAAAGAGACACATGTCTCGCATGATGTACCACTCGCAGACCACGACGGCAGTCATCATATCAACACCATTCAGCTGGCCATGGAGGTCGCTTCCACCGTACGTGCTGCCATTCATGTGAGTCCTATATCCGATTTCGTGGACGACACAGTGGTTGATTAGACACTTTCTACTGTGCAGAACTGCAACATATATCGTCCCCAACGACATTGCTGTTGGGCTATCGCCCCCACCGACAGGTATGGACTCACCAAGCGGTGCATTTATTTGGTTGCTCTGCACCACGTGGGCGGCATCACGTACCAGCCAGAACTTCATGTCGCACCGTCAGTGCCGCCTTACCAGTTTCCTCCCCCGTTCCCCGTCCCTCCCGAAGAGGTACTGGTGTACCAGGCAGGACCATGGGTAGAGGTAGGTCGCGGTGCAGGGTCGTCGCGGGTACTGCATCCCAAGTTGGGGGTTCAGTCACTATCGAGACCGAAGAATGATCGGGCTACGACGTCTATATCCGGCGCACCCGCCCCATGATATGCAGACATGTATCATTGTCAGCGTGTATGTACCTATAGGCTATGATAGCTTCGTACTAGTTAGTACCTTTGCCACGATTACGATAGTGGTCGCACCTGCGTTGGTTCCAACCGACTTCCTCACTCACTGTTCATACCTTACGCTAGAACTCGGGACTATGTGATTTATCTGAGCCTGGATTTCTTGTCATACAATTCAATCGCCCTCATGCCACTGCATGGGCAGAGCGGACACTGGCACGATCATGTGACATGGTGCTCAGTGAACTCGCGATCGGAGCGGGCGGCTGTCAAGACTCGACACTCGAGAACGACCATGATGCTCAACGCCGGACTCTCGATGCACGCCAGTGCTACCCAACGTTCATGTATCATCTCTTCTGCTTTGAATCTATCTGAGCTGTACCTATTTTAATGAATCCCGACGTACTTGGCAGTTTTCAAGATATTGCCACCAACGTCAACCGCGAGCATTGCCAGTCAGGGCCCAGGCCGAAGCGTACGTCGCGACATCGTTGACCAGGAGCCTGTGCTCAATCTGGTCTACTGGTCTCACTCACACAGGCACGCGAGCCATTGACGCTTGTATGAGTGAGTATATGCTCGTGATCGTCGCAGAACTGTAACCGCTGGCGATGGACGATGAAGGGCGACTCCGAGTCGGAGGATAAGGCGAATCAATGGCTGCTTCTAGTAGGCAAGAAATGGAGCGAGGCCGGACTGGGAGATAATGGGAGGTCGATGCAGTGCAGTAGCGAACACAGGGCGACGTACGTCATCAAAGTCTGGCCCATCTACGAGGCCTGCTGGGCCACTCAGTCATATGTCTGTTCCAGCGCGTCAACCAGTGGCTCACGGCACACTTAATATAGGAAATCAGAGGCCGGACTACACAATTTCAGGTGCATGTCAGACAGGCTTGTTGCTCCGGAGTCCGTACTACGTCAATCGTCTCAGCATCCACACGGATTGAACCTGAACCTTGAAGTCCTCCAGGCTCGACTGTGGAATTTCGCACAACCATTTGACGGGTCCTCAGCTGGCTGCTGCACTGGTGATTTGTGAACACACGGAAAGGCGTGGTATATTGAGGTAGGATACGCACTCCCTATTGATGGTACCGAATCTCCCATTCATGGCCGATGATCTCTCGCGCAGACTCGTTGTCTAGACAACGCAGTGAGTGGCGTGTATCGAAGCATCGAAGCCAGATTGACTGTGTAAGATCTCATTGATCGGTGAGCCACTGGTCGTCGATGTATGCATTAGGAACAGATCGTCAAGTTTCCAAATTAGACTGACTCCGATCCTTTGTTTTGAAGAGGTGAGCACGGCTTGAACCCTAGGCCTGGCGCATCTTACCGATATCTAGGTTCTGTCCTGCGCCACGGCTTGCAGGCGCCTCCACGGCCACTGTTGTGTCAATTGCGTAGCGTACCCCTGACCGCATTTGGTTTGTACGAGGCTCGCTTCGTGCACGCGGCGACGACTCAGCGGGATGTCGCCACGAGTGAGTCAAAGCAAGGTAAGCGTTTGAAACCTATCCTGGCTTCCCGTTTTGACGTCTTTGTTTGCGTAGCCACGCGCCTTTGGTCGTCCTGTGGCCACTAGGCCACAGTACGGTGTATATAACGCAGCCACTTGCTCTTCTGGCACCCATATCCTCGCCTCATTAGCACCCACCCGCTGATTATCTTCCAAATCACTCACGATGAGCACCCCTACTGCATGTTCTTGCACTCCAGCCATCAAGATAGAGGCGACGGGGCGGTACATTCTACCTCAAGCCCTCGCCGTTACACCGCAGCAGCTGGCCACCAGACTGCCATTCGGTACATATTCGTCAGTATACTTTGGGCGAAATGGCGTCTCCATCGACGCGATCATGGCGGCGCGCAATGACATGGCCGTGCTGGCCCACAACATACCTGGCGGCTATGAGAAGCCGCTCAAGTCTTCTCGGGGCAGAGACAAGACCACGATGGAGCTCAGAGTACACGTACGTATAGCGTTGCTCGCCGTCTAGCCATTTCCGAGGTCTCTTACCATGTGTTGCTTGATACAGTGGCCGGACCATGATTATCACACGCAGGCCGCGGATAATTTACCTTTCTCAGCGGCGACTGCGGGATCCTTTACCAGGGCCCAGATTGCGGGAAGTGTGGGCAGAGTTGTGGCTGACGCGATGTCGGTGAGTAATGCGACGAGCATACGGAGGACTTCGCGCTGACCCACGTGCCGTCTCCCGTCTTCCAGCGTTGCTGTCAGTACCGCCCTCGCGAGCACTGCTGCTGGGCGGTAGGCACGGACGACACACACAGCGTGACTTGGCGCTGTGTCTACTTGGTGGCCATCCACCACATCGGCGGCGTCACCTACCAGCCTGAGCTGCATGTTGATATGTCCTTGAAGCCGCCCTTCTTCCCGGCGCTCAGCCAGACGGCTAAACAGGCTCGTCTGGCCGGCATGATTGCGCCAACTTGTTATTGTACTCGGACGGACAAGGACGAGAAGTCTGGGATGTACGTTCTGCCTCAGCGCGTTGCCGTTGTACGGAAAACCATACTCGCCCAGTGGCCTGTAAGGACGTTCCCCTCAGTCGTCTTCGGAAGGAGCAAGCCCCTCCCCATCCTGATGCTTGACGCAAACTCGGCGGACGCGTTGCAGGAGAAAGTACCCAACGCTTTGGAGACGCCATTTGAGAAGTATTACAGTGAGCAATTCACAAACATCAAGATCAAGGTCTACGTGCGTAATTAGTATCATCTAATTCACACTTCTCGGTGGCATCGCTGACCGGGACCTGTGTTGTGTAGTGGCCTGATCATGACTTCCACACGGACACCACAGAAGTTGTATCGCTCATGGCTCAAGGCAGACATATCACCAAGGCTCAGCTCGCAAAGGAGGTCGCTCGCACCGTACGGCTGGCTACAAATGTGAGTCGTGCAGGCGTTTCAGAGTGAACAAAATGCTGAATACAACACAGAGGTGTATTCTACATGGTCCGCAGGATCATTGCTGCTGGGCTGTCCTTCCCAAGGACGATGAGACCGATTTTGCTAATATTTTGCATCGTACCTATCTGGTTGCGTTGCACCACATTGGTGGCGTCTCGTTCCAGCCAGAACTTCATACCGCACCGAGAGCTACACAGAACCTCTAGCCGGCGCCAAGAAACCGGGCCTTGGTGGCTGCTCATGGGGAGCGAATCGAGTCCTCGCAGACTCGGAGGGGAAGCTTTGCCCAGGGAGGGACGGTGTAGCAGTATTCAATATGGCTATGTAACGGGTGTATCATATGTCATAGAACGTCGTGTACATGATGGTTTGCTATTCTCAACTTATATCTGCACTAATCGTATCACTTGTGCCCAACTTGTGCCAGCCGGAAGTTATGATACCAATATCGCAGTTGACGTACCGCTCACGACCACCGACGGCAGTCGCATTACCAAGTCTAAGCTCGCGAAGGATGTCAGTGATATCTTCACCAGGGCCATCTATGTGAGTTGCGTGGACGCTACGTAGCGAGACCTGAGTACTGAGTCTGCTGAAATACCACGCAGCTTGGTTACCAATATTTTCCGTGGCGGCATTGCTGCGCATGCTGAGTTATCGCGTATGTTGTCAGATGAGCCAGCGCTAGGCCTTACCGTGCAGTGTTTCCATCTTGTTGCGCTGCACCACGTTGGCGGAATCTGCACGTTCAACCAGCTATAGCTGCACGTCGCACCGTCAGTCCAGTTCACCTATATCTGGGACACAGAACCCGGTCCTTGGAGGCTGATCGTGATGCATGATGGGAGAACGGAGTTCCGAGTCGCGCCTGAGCATCGGTTGGATTCTGCCTTGACGGAACCGGCCTGAGGAGCGCAAGGGGAAGAGGGTCCGAAGTGCAGTATTGTCCGGAAGTGCTATCGAATGGACGTACCGCCTGTCATTGAACGCCCTGTGTGTAATGATATGTTAATGTCAGCTAATGTCCGCATGCATACTACATGCTACTGTAATATTTGCACTACTGACGAGGCGCGACGTACTAGTACAGTTACTATGATAGGGCTCGGCGAGTATCATACGAGACAGCGCTGCGAATCGCGATCACATGCTCTGGCGCTTGTCTCGGTGTCGACTATGAGTGCCAGTGAGTCAACGCGGTGTCGTGCATACGGTACTTGTTTGTTGCTCTAAGTACCACTGGCACACAACGGAGACGTTTACCACTTCTGGCTGCTGCGCATCTTTTCATGATTGGTTAAGCATCCATACGGTACGACGATATGGCTGTGAAGACTCTGACTGGGCTCACGGAATCGCAACGCTCACCGCACTCAGGCTACACGGTCGATCTATGGAAGTGCGCTCGCCTCCTGACTTCAAATCATCTGGATCGTGTATCCGATAACATAACTTCAACACCTTGGAGATATGTCCTTCCATGACGGGCGGGTACACTTGTTCGCGGTATGTACTACGCGGTTCACCAGTGACGGGCGCAGGCTGTTTTCGCACGAACGCGCAAGGTACACGAAGATTGGCTGCCCAGACTCCACGCTGGTTTCTGCAATGTGTCGGAGGACCTCTATGGAACACCAGTGAGAAACGGGTGTGAAGAGGTGTCGGTGCGACGTACGCGGCATCGCGGATGGGCTATCCTGGTGCGTCATTGTGACCCTGGAATGACCATTGAGTTGATGATATCCGAATTTCGGTGGCCATTGGGTTGCTTCATCTGGCAGAAAACCTGTTTGAGGTCTAGCGTTGAAACGTCGAAACCGATTTCCCGAGTGGCCGAGGAGCGCATGGACGGCACTGGCAGGTGCGCCACATACCCCTATCAGAATTGTATGACCTCGTTGCCCTCTATTGTCCATACGGATTTTCTATGGTCCACGGGCTAGTCAACAGACTAGTACGCGGCTCGAACGCTTGGGGAACGCGCGTTCGATCGTCGATCGCGCTTTGACATACTAATAGGCGCCTCACATTGCCCACATTCAGCACGACGACCTCCTCTGCGGCCACGCGTACTCTGCATTTCCGGCATCGATTTCTCGAAATGCACCGCATATGCTGCACCGTGGTTGGGCTAATCGATGTTTGAGGACTTCGCTGGGACGGCGGTTCAGTTGCGCTGACGACCTCGAAATAGGATTCAACTCGGAGGGAGCGATGTATCTGCAAACGACTTTTGGGTGGGGCAGGGAAAGGCAGAAAATGATGCGAGGATTGCTCAAGAACGGACTGGTTTGCTTGGTGGAACCCCGTCTCCGTACGTTGTCGCGTTCAAGTCTTGCTTGCTGATACCGCTTTGGCAGCACGTCCGGTCCCCGCAAAGATGAAGATACGGCTCAAATCTTGAGCTGCAGATACGCCGTCGACATCCCAGCTCATTCATTGCAGTATTTTCGCCTATCATCCACGCGGTATATGGGGGCACCTCCAAATGCGACTGTGGCGCGCCGTCCCAGTGCTTTCGGTCGACTTGACCCCTGCTCATATCGTTCGTTCGATGGACGTCGGCGTCTTGGTGACGTTGGTCATTGCTCTGCCTCGGCCACGCCGCACTACATAACGCTTTTTGCAGTCCCTTCGCTCCTTCGCGACTCGCTTTGCAACACGAGGCTCCGACCAACGGGCGCCTGCCCGCTCGTCCAAGCGCTAGCGCCCACCCCTCCTGGCTTTTGGATGGCTGTGGTCGACGCGTTCCCATCTTTTGACCTCTTGGAAAACCTTCCACCGCATGGTCCCGGTGTACTTCAATACGCTTTGATGGTCTGGAATCGACTGGAAGATGACTGTGGCGCGCACTCACGGTGGCCGTGATCTGAGCCTACTGGTCACATCCGCAGTTCCGAATCTGGGTCGTCAAAGCGTGGCGCAAGGCCTGAAGGTTATATTATTAGTCTCGTGGCCCTTTTGTAATCCGGGATTTGTGGCGTCGCTTGCCCACGTCCTCCGCTTTAATTGTGACCGGTGAGTACTCTGGTGGGGGGTTGTTTTATAATCCCTGCGGCCACCAGGCCACCATGCGATATATAAAGCCGAACCACTTGCTGCTTTGCATATTCGCCCCATTCGACATCTACTTGCTGACCGGCTTCAGATCTACCGAAGATGGACAGGTTCACTTGCACTTGCACTCCGGCCATAAGAATCGCAGAGACCGGACGGTACATCCTTCCTCAGCATCACGCCATTGCGTCCGAACAGCTGGCCGCAAGTTTGCCTGTCGGTGTATATCCGCCGGTACGCTTCGGACGGGATGGTGTCTCCATCAACGCGATTATGCTCGCGGACGATGACATGGCTGCGCTGGCCGATCTCATACCTGACGGTTCGAAGAAGCCACTAGGTGGCTATTACGTCGGGGACATGAACACGATGGAGCTCAAGGTACATGTACGTATCGCATTGCCTGTCGTTGAGTGATTGTCGGAATAGCTGACTATGTCTTGCTTCACGCAGTGGCCTGGTCATTATGATCGTCGAACGCAAGTTGCGGAGACGCTACCGCTTTGCGCACTGGCACGCGTGGCGGGAGTGACGAAACCAGTACCGTATACTAAAGCCCAAATTGCGGCAAATGTAGCCAAGGTCGTGGTGACAGCAATGACGGTGAGCGACACGTCGATTATAAAAGTGACTGCGCACTGAACCGCGTTCTCATCTTCTTTCCAGCATTGCCTCCACCACCGCCCTCACGGGCATGGCTGCTGGTCGGTGAGCGCAGACCAGACACGCGGTCTGACCTGGAGCTCCGTGTACCTTGTGGCCATCCACCACCGCGGCGGTGATACCTACCAACCTGAACTCCATGTTGCTTTGTCCCTGCGTCCTCCTCTCTTCCCGGAACCCAACGTGCGTGCGATTCAAGGGGCGCCGACGGCGTGCTCTTGTGCTCGGGCACTCAAGGACGAAGAGTCGGGGATGTACGTCCTTCCTCAGCGCCCCGCCACTATGAAGCGGTTCATGGGCGAGACATGGCCCGCAGGCACTTTTCCCTCGATCTTCTTTGGACAGAGCGGACCTCTCTCCATCGAGACGCTCACTAGATACTCTGCGGATCAATTGAAGAGGGTACTGCCGAACAGTCTGGATAAGCCGTTCGAGGACTGCTATAAAGACTGGAAGTTGACCAGGATCAAGGTCAAAGTTCATGTACGTATCGGTCTGACAACTTTCTTACCTTTTCTCTGTATCGCTGACTGATCCCCATGATATACAGTGGCCTGATCACGACGACAAAGAGACACATGTCTCGCATGATGTACCACTGGCAGACCACGACGGCAGTCATCATATCAACACCATTCAGCTGGCCATGGAGGTCGCTTCCACCGTACGTGCTGCCATTCATGTGAGTCCTATATCCGATTTCGTGGACGACACAGTGGTTGATTAGACACTTTCTACTGTGCAGAACTGCAACATATATCGTCCCCAACGTCATTGCTGTTGGGCTATCGCCCCCACCGACAGGTATGGACTCACCAAGCGGTGCATTTATTTGGTTGCTCTGCACCACGTGGGCGGCATCACGTACCAGCCAGAACTTCATGTCGCACCGTCAGTGCCGCCTTACCAGTTTCCTCCCCCGTTCCCCGTCCCTCCCGAAGAGGTACTGGTGTACCAGGCAGGACCATGGGTAGAGGTAGGTCGCGGTGCAGGGTCGTCGCGGGTACTGGATCCCAAGTTGGGGGTTCAGTCACTATCGAGACCGAAGAATGATCGGGCTACGACGTCTATATCCGGCGCACCCGCCCCATGATACGCAGGCATGTATGATTCTCAGCACGTATGTACCTATAGGCTGTAGCTTCTACTAGTACTGGGGCTGCTCATGCGGAGCGAATCGAGACCTGAGTCCTGACAAACTCGGAGGGGAAGCTTTGCCCAGGGAGGGACGGTGTAGCAGTATTCAGTAGGGCTATGTAACGGGTGTATCGTATGTCATAGAACGTCGTGTACATATTATTTTGCTATTCTCAACTCATATCCGCACTCATCGTATCACTTGTGCCAGCCGGAAGTTAGCAGCGCTGCGAATCAGCGCGTCGACGCGATCACATGCTCTGGCGCTTGTACAAGTCTCCGTGATGACGACTTGAGTCAACGCGGTGTTGCGCATACTTGTTCATTCAGCTTCATTGCTCTGCTAGCTGGGCTTCTGTCTGGAACACACCTCTTCATGAACGGATCATAGTTGAATGTACCACGACAGCCGGATCGCTGCGCTACACCACAACACTCACCTCACTGCCCGGCCGACGTATGGAAGTGCGCTCGCCTCCTGACCTCAAGGTACTGGATTACTTATTCGAGAACATATCCTCTGAACGTGAAGATGCGGACTTGCCTGATGCGCTGGGGCCATGGATTGGCAGTACGTACAACGGTTCGCCGGTGATGCACGCTATAGCCTCACGAACTCGCAAGATATGGGGATCCACATCGCCGCAAAGGTTAGTCGCCAGACTCCACAAAGCTGTCTGCGACATATCGGAGGACTTTTACAGAGCAGCAAGAAGCCGGTGAGAAGAGGTGTCGGTGAAACTTAAGCAGATGAGAGTATCCCGGTGCGTTGTTGTGTCCCTGGACCCTGACTTCATCGTTGGTCTCATGGTTCCGTGGTATACCATTGAGCTGCCGCATCTGCAATTGGATACAAAGCGTCTTGAGGCCCACCTGCGGAACGTCTAAAACCGGATCTCCCGAGTCGTGCCATGGCCGAGGAGGGCGTGGACGGCAGGTGGGGTCATACATCACTTTCTGTCCGGTATGATGTTGTCGCCCTCCTTTGTTTTGGGGCTCTCTTTCCTGTGTTCTATGAATGTTCCTACCGACTATGGCTTGAAAGCCTCGGGGAACGTCTTCAATTTGTGTTCGATCGTCGCTGGCGCTGGCGCCTAATCTGCTGCCCCCACATTCAGCACGACTACCGACACGTCCGCACGCACGCCATCTATTTCTCGGGATACACCGCTCATGATTCATATTAATCACCCTACTTGACGTTTGTAGGCTTTGTTCAGACGGCGGTACACATGTGGTAACGACTGGCCTTCAAATCTGGATTCGACTGCGAGGGAGCGATGTATTCATAGATGATTTTGGGATAGGTCCGTGGAAGGGAAAGGGTGCGAGGGTGCTCTGCCATGCGCCGGTTCAGCTCGTGGCGTTTTGTCTCCGTACGTCGCCACATTCGAGTCTTGCGAGCTGATACATCTTTCGCAGCGCGTCCGGACCCGGCAGTGTTAACGTTGTAGCTCGAATTTCCAGCTCTGGATGGGCAATCGACATACCGAGTGTCACCCAATGGGTTGGATCCACTTGTCAAGCCCACCATACGTCGGAGCGCCTCCTGGTTCGACTGTGGCGGCACTGGTCCCGTTGCCCTCCGGCGACTTGTCCTTCGCTCAATCGTTCATTCTACGGATTTCGGCTTCTGGACGACGTTTTTGCCGATTTCCTCCAGCCACGCCGCATACCTCAATTGTCGTACAGCCCTTCGCCACTTCAAACTCGAGGCTCCGAGCAACGGGCGCCTGCCGCTCGTCTGACCACTAGCGCCTACCCCTCCTGGCTCTTGAATGGCTCTAGTCGACACGTTGCAATCTTTGGGCTCTCTGGAAAACCCTGGAGTGCTTGTTCCCAACGTAACTCAACATACTCTGATGGTCTAGAATGGACTGGAAGATGAGTGTGGTGCGCATTCACGGTGGTCGCGATCTGATTATGCTGGCCACACCTACAGTTCCGGATCTGGGCCGCCAAAATGAAGCACGAGGCCCGAAAGCCATATTGTTCTTTTATGTGGCGCTTTTGTGGTCCCGGATTTGTGTCATTACTGAGCCATCCTCCGCAGTAGCAAGTCAATTGTGACCGGTGAGTACTCTGGTAGGGGGCTGTTTTGCTTTGCGCTTAAGAATCGTGGCATCTCGCCACAATCTATAGGAGTGGGATATAAGACGCAGCTTTACTCTAAGGTTGTCGCCCATATGCTACACCGCCGCCACAACCTTGGTCAGCGGTCAGAACCCGATCTCGCGAGTGGTTGTGCAACGACCGAGGAGGTAAGCCAACATGACATCTTGACCGTCCACTGTCCGTAGCTGGGCTTTTCTGTTGCTCGGTGACGGTCTCGCCGTGACTGTGGCTTGAGCGGACAGAACGCTTTGCGTAATGACCGTCGATCCGATCGCGCTTTGACATTGGCGCTCACACATCGAGATTTGAGCTTGACCGCCGCCGCAGTACCGACACGGCTCACGTACTCATCAGCCCTCAGACTCAATACTCTCGTTACAGTACCAAGAATATATGGTGCTACTCGCACGATACGCTCGATCAGTCTGCGACTCGCAGGCAGCACTATGGCGACGAATATCTGGTGTCAAGGCACTCAGGCTCGGTTCGTCGGGAGCCTCGAGGTGTATGTTGCGGCTCCAAATCGGTTCAACACTATGTCTCAGCACATCGCCACACGTTATGAGCGTTCACGCTTTGATATATACTATGGAACAATGACCTGCCTGCTTTGGTACAGTTGCGAGGCACATACAAAGCGTGGTCACGGGTATTGTGGGCCACAGTCGCTTTGAGGCCACCATCGCCCCTTCCCCTATAAAATTCTCGTTACGCTCCCCTATGGCACTTGCTAAGATTCCAAACACCAAGATCTCTGCAAACCTTCCATTCGCCCTCTATACCCCTCATATAGTCTATGCCAGCCCCCACAGCATCGAACAGGCTACGCCACAAGTCATCGACCAAAGTCCTTATGTTTCATTCCCGGGGCTCTGCCAAAAATGCTTCTTGCGGAGTTGTCTTGCAACATGTGTTAGATGCATTTTCAGTCGATTCATCGACACGACTCGAGGACGTGATGCGACATGAACATGAACCGGTGTTCGGACGCCTGCACACGGAGGAAATGACTCTCTGTATTGAGGTCCGTTCGAGTCCTTGTCTTCATACATGTTGCTCAACGAAACACTCGATAGGTCCCAGGAATGGGATCTCAGGGCCGTCGAAAGGTACTCTGGAACGCGGTTGTGGGAGGATGGCATGCGACCGCTGGTCAATTAGCACAGTGTATAGCAGAGGAGGTCGCGGATATTGTGAAGGTATTATCTTGACTCTTGTGTTCTTCGGTATTTTGAACTTACTGTTGGCCTTCGATAAGAGCAACATTCGGATGCCAGAGGTGGAAGATGTGCGTGTCGATCGCCTCGCTCTACACTCTTTGCGGCGGGTTACGCGTGATGCATACCTGGTGGAGATTAATACCCTCTGATATGCTTCACGTGAAACGCGACACTGGGACTAGAGGATGTGCGGCAGTTGCTCTTTCAGTGGCCTGTGGCTGCTCCGAGTGCTGCTGCGAGTGCTCTGGCATCATTCCACCATATCACCTACGATAGTACTTCATATAGTATGTGGACAAGTTTAATAGTTATTTGCTGTGCCGAGTTGTACTCTGTCATGCCTCGTGTTGTTCTCACTTTCAAAAATCGCGGCGACTGGCCGGGCTGTGTTCACTGTTCGACGCGTCAGACCCAAATCACATGATCGCGTTATTAGGCCGTCATGGCGCTCACCAAGCGCGCAGTGCTCACGTGCATGCGGTGCCAAACCCGTTCCATTTGTGCGATCAGCCTATACTTCATCATCATCATATACTTCTGCGGGCAGCGGGAGGGCTTTGTTTGCTGCATTCTCAAGTATACCCCACGCCTTGCCTCAAGGTACGCGACGAGTATCTCTGGCGATGCATTTATCAAGCTGTAACTCATCATCGCTGGTAGTTCTGTCGGTACGCACTTGAAGACAGGCAGGCTTGATCATTCAAATGGAGGACACGATGAAAGATGAGGAGATACGGTCGTCGGACTCGATGAGGCCTACTGGTGGTACGGTGCACTCGCTGTTTCGACTCATGTCAATAGCTCAATTAGGACCCAGTGCCTGAGGTCCATCTTTCGCCGTCGACGTCCCAAGTGATTGTATCCTCCAGTGGCTCCGAATCCCTACAAAACCCGGGGGAGACCAAGAATCAAGACGTACCGAATGCACCCCAATCCAAGCAACCTCCTCGTCCACATATCACGTCATGGCTTCTATCGCCGGACCTTGACCTCCGTTATGTGAGGTACAGGGACCTAGTCCAACGCGCGCGATTACTCTCGCTGGCGAAGAGGCCGCCCGATGCTCCGATCACTCCTCGCAGAGCATTTCATAGCAACGATCGCAAAAAGGTCTGTGAGATGGCGCTCGCGAACCCACACATGTCGCATAAAGAGTTGGCGGATTTATTCAACACTAACAAGACTACGATCACGCGAACGTTGAAGGAGAAGGACAAATGGCTTCGCTCCTCCCAATTCGACGATCTAAAGGTCGCGCGCAACAGGTAAAATCTGCACAAATCGATTCAAGACCTGTTCTCATCTGCTACATACAGACAAATCGCCCATGGTTTTCTAGAATATGACCTACGAAACTGGCTCATGGACTGTGCGCTGAGTAGCACCATTGTAACGGACGATATGATCAAGGACAAGGCTATGACGATTGCTCGGGGATACCACCTTACCGGAGGGAGGAATAAGTTCGTTTGCAGTCGGACTTGGATACGGAGCCTAAAGTCTCGCTATGGCATCGTGAACGGATGCTTCATGGACTACTCGGCTTCCATATCCCGCAAAAGGGACCAGGCTCTCGGGTACTGGCTAGTACAACTACCTCGTCGATCAGTGCCAGAATTGGCTCTGGCGTTCAAGGCCGCGCGGTCCATTCAAAGTGCTCCCACACCGCTTCTCCTCTCTGCCGGTGATACTCTCGAGACCAACTTGTCCGACCAGGAGCGGAAGATCGAGTCTTCTCCTTCTGGCGACGTTCCCCCAATTCCTGCGTCCTCCGCTACGCCTACCGTATCTGCTGCTGAACAGTCGTCCCCTGACATCATACTGGATGTGGATAGCGCGGACCTCCTACCGGTGTCTTCAGTCTCGCGTATTGAAGAGTACGACACAGACATAATGTGTATGCCCGACAATGGTTTGGGGACCTGTCGGACGCTCCCTGATCAGTCCGTATCGACCCCCGATGGACCGCATATGTCGAACACGTTCTTCCCGTCCGACCCAGCATCCGCATCGACCCAGCTCCCCCTCACGGCGCTTGATCCATCCGCTTTCCACTACGATCCGTCCCTGAACCGCATAACGTTCCTAAATCCGGACCGTCTCGAGGATCTTCCTCTCGACCATTTTCTTCCTACCGATGACGTTCCTCTTCTCGATCAAGGTCTTTCTACCGACCAATTCCCTCCTCTCGACCAAATCGTTTCTCCTGCCAGTGGGCCAGGCCTTCCGACCAATCAGTCGCACGCTCTCGGTATATACGGAGACGACCCATTCCTTGCACTCTTGACAGACACAGATTCCATGTCGTCGCTCCTCCCAGATCCATCCGCGGACTGCACATCGCTGTTCTTCCCCGTATCCCATGACAGCGTCGCGCCTGGCTTCGAACCAGCGGGTGCTGACATGACGTCGTTCGTACCCCAACTTATGTTCGACGGCCTCGACGTGTCCACGTTCCACACCATGGATCTCACCGGCAGCGGTCAGGCCGAGTTCAACGCAGCCATGCTCGATTCGTGGTCTGCCATCACCGAGTCGACCATGTAGGGCATGCCCCGGCGGCGATGGCAAAGAGAGCACGATCTGCGTGCTATATACTCTTTTGGTCTACCTCTATCCTCGCCGCATTCACATAGACGTTCCTGCATCGTTCCTGTACCGTGTTGCAGATCGGTTGTGGTCGACTTCCTGGACCATTCATCCCCTTCCTCCTGGATCCCGTGTCATACATTTCTCTGGGGCATTGTATCTCAGTATGACTGCAAGGCCATCGCTCATTTGTTCTGCCTGACTAGCTACGTGCAGTGTTGTATATCAATGTACCCATATTAGTATTTCGCATGCGGCGACTTACTGTCACCTGTAGTTTCGCACCTTCTATCTTTGCTTCTGTACCACATAGTAACTCACTCTCATATTTTCATCCGGTTTGCTCAGTAATCATATTCGCGTTGATGGTATTGTAGGCAATGTTCATTGCGTTGAGAGGGTTCGAGTCCAGTGTAGTACCACGACTGTACGTATACGTACGTACATATATAATATTCATTCCGATTGCGCTTCTCGATAGTGAGTCTAAGTAGTATGTATATGACGATCGTATAGCAGTATCTGGACAGACGAGCCCATACTACCTGGTTCCCTTGACAGAGATGTGTGCCCGAGTTGACTGCGCTGCACGATGATCTGCCACCAGGCCATCTGGAGACCGCCTGTGGCGAAATGCGAGCGGGCACCTGACTCGGAACTCAGTTGGTCGTCCGCTCCGACTTGTGAACGGGCCCTGCGGCAAGCGTCTCGCGGGGGTCGAAGCTTGCTCTGACAGGTGGTTGATACTTTTGTTACTGCGAACTGGTGCGTGTCGCATGAGGACGGTCAGTTGCATACATTAGATGGCTCATTCAACACCGTGTAGTACAGTTGAACGACGCATGTACGAATCATTCAAGCATGCACCGTACTGCCATATGCTGATTGCGCAACTTGTACCCATCAGCATGTCCGTCTTGGATTCCGATACTCCCTCTTTCGATCCCCATATGGTGTCTTGGCAGAAACTAATCAGAATCAGAAGAGCAGAAGCCAAACAAAGACGGCCTCCGGGGGAACCCATCCTCACTCGAAGGCCGTTCTATGCTGCGGACAAAAAGGCGGTCTGCGAGCTATACGTCGCGAATCCCGGTATCACCCACCAGCGGATTGCAGATCAATTCGGGGTACACAAGTCAATGGTCACCAGGGTCCTTGCTAAAAAGGATAAATGGTTGAAATCACAACATCGACCAGGCTTCCGGTTCGCGCGACCTCGGTAGGACACCTTTCTCGACAGAGCGACATGACACTAAGGTTCCCTCAGAGCCATCGGGTTTCGTGAGGTTGAACGCCTTATGGAGGCCTGGCTCGCTACATGCAGAAATAAAAGCATCCTGGTAACAGACAAGATGATCAAGAAGCAGGCGATCTTGTCCGCGGAAGACGAGGGGCTCCGAGGAGAAGACCCTGATCGCTATTTTCACTGCAGCCGCACATGGTTGCGAAGGTTCAAGGAGCGATTCGGTATCATCGATGGTGTAGCCACCCGCGTCGGCTACACGCCAACCGATCTAGCAAGAGAACGCGCCTACGGCCGTTTCCCGTTGGAACCTTTTGCGGAGCATTCATTTGACGTGCTTGTTGAGCTGTTCAAACCCTTAGGCAGTCCCACTCGAGTGGTCGATGGCGCGGAACAAGAGCTGATGGACTATGTTCCTCGGCCGACTTCCCCTTCCTTCGCTACGTCCTCCGACTCTCCGCGTTTGTTCGATAGCCCTTCACCGCTTCATGGCCCTTCTCACACACCGTCGAGACCTAGCGACTCCCCGGTTTACTCACCGGCGACTCTGGGTTCCGTAACATATCCCGAGGCAATTGCCCGCGGCCCATTGGCGGGGGAGCCTTTCCATATTCCCTACGCTCACGGTGGCTATCAGGAATCTTTCCTGAGAGGGTCGAAGGATTAGCCCTAAACAGCCTGAATGCGGACCAGTGTCGATCAAGCGAACGTGTCAACCAAACAGGTTTGTCAGGTATTAGTGACCTGTGCTATGACCTCATTCTGACGGCGCTGCATGCATAGCTACAGAGCTGTGTTCGACCGGTGGTCATCTCACTCGTATCTTTCCCCAGGCTTGCAGCTCCCTTTCATCCCCTTACTGTTACTCCTTATCCCCCCAAATTTCGACTTCATCGTCCCATCTGTGCCTTATTGCCTCAATCGCACCTCCCTCATGCTTCGTTTCAACTATGACCTGCAATAGTGCGTTTCTACTTGCTTCAGCTTGTGTATTATTCGAGACGTCTTGAGTACCTCATTTGCGTACATCGTATTTTCCCATGTACTTGATCCTGGTCCTGATTTTGCTACATAAGGCTCAGCCCGAGCCATGATGCGAGACGTGCTTGTACGATATGCGTGTATGAACAGTGAATGCTGTTTCTGTGTTCATGGGACAGAACCTTGCAGTGCGGTACGTCAAGCTGGACGTATGTACGGCGACGCTTCAGACCCACTTATCTCATAGTCACGCAACTCAATCACTGTCAGCGGCCCGGGGGCGTGCTGCATGGGATCAGTTCAAGCCTGTTCGTGAATGGACTTCCCCTCTCCGCTTAATTTACTCCCCATCATCCATATCGAGGTCAGTAATGATGTACGGAAGCATATACCGTTCCGTATGAATGTTCTCATGGTCAAATAGCACAACTAGGCTCTGCATTCTGCTGAATATGTTGCGCAAGACTACGACATATCTTTGGCAGATACACTCTGCCTGATATGTGTCGCGCTCGGTATAGCCTGCTTTCTAATCAGTTATAAATCCTATCATAGAAGCATATGGACTTTTTCGTCGTCGTGCATAATGGGTCCCGGGTGTAGAAAAGATGCATTCAAGTTGTGTATGCTCGGTGAACTGCTACTATAGAGGTAATAATGATATTTGATCGGTTCGAGATGTATTCCTGTAGTAACTCTTATCTATCTATGCAAGTGAGTATAAGACTGATGTGTGTTGAGCACCGCGGGCCTGAAGCGCCAACATATTGGGGGACGCGTCGCTCGACGCGATGAGAGTCGTGATACTATTGGTCACATGATCGCGTGTGCACGCGCGTCATGTGCGCCCGTTCGGGCCTGCATTATGATGTGCAATGTGCATGAGGCGGTGACAATAATGAGAGCGGGGCGTTCGAAGGCCCTCTTCCTCCTCCTCTCCGCCAGCTTGTGGTACATACGCTCAGGATCGATTTATCCGTATCTACATCTACGGACAGTGCCTGGATGAGCCTACAAACCAGGCTCACGCACATGATTGAGGTGCGACGTTGACTGGACAATGGGGAGAAGACAGAACTTTGACCTCTTTGCGATATAGCAGACAAAACTTCAGAGCAAAGACTCAACGACATAGATAGAGGTGCACAACATTAAGCCTGTATGGAGTTTATCTTCCCTCTCTCCTTGCTTAGTATCTAAATGCACCGCACAAGTATCGATGCCTACTATCGAGGATCCCTTGTCTCTCACCGTTGGCACAGACATGCAGTCTACGGTGACCAGAGATCCCGAGATTCTGCGCGATGTACCATCCAAACGTAAACCGGGCCCCTCGCCGTCTTCTTCGTGGTTGCTGGCGCCTGGTCTCGACCTCGGGCTGTTGAAATACCGCGAACTAATGCGGCGCGAACGCCTCCTCTCTCTCGCGGCCCGACCACCAGATACGCCGATAATGCCAAGAAAGGCGTTTCGTAGTAGTGACAAGAAGAAGGTTTGCGAGATGGCTCTCGCAAATCCATCCATGTCACATCAGGAGCTCGCCGATCTCTTCAATACGAACAAGAGTACGATTACGCGGACGCTCCAACAGAGAAGCAGGTGGCTCCAGTCTGATGAACGCAAGGTTGCTAGGAATCGGTACGCTGCCTTGGTCATCCTTATGTCTTGTTCACTCATATGATTACCTTTACCAGGCTTCCGGTCTACAAGATTTTGGAGCACGTTATCGTGCGCTGGCTCTTGGACTGTGCGAAAAACGGGTCCCTTGTTACGGACGACATGATTAGGGATCGCGCTATGGAGGTTGCGCACCAGAATTATCTCGTTAATACGAGACGGCCTTTCACTTGCAGTAGGACCTGGTTGCGACTTTTCAAATTGCGGTTCGCCAAACTGCTCAACGCGCTCGCTGAACGGTCGGTGACGTTGCCTTCTCAGCAAGGAAAAATGGTCGACGACTCTTGCACCCATTACAGCCCATCCTCTTCGGAGTTGTCGTACCCGCCCGCTTACTTGTCACGTACGAATCTTCCTCCACGCTTCGCAGTTCTTTCGCAAGGATCCACAAGCAACCCAGATTATAATCCAGGCGTTCCTGATGGTCCTATATCAACGGTCGATCATCCGCACCTAGCCACGCCTGCGCTCACCGTAGTATCCGATTTCACCCTTCCTCGTGTCGAACAATGTTCCTCGGATGAAAGTTCAGGCAGACCAGATTTGTCTACACCATCTGGCCTCCTCCTTGAGACCTCCGAATTCTCGGGGCCTCGCCCATCATTGCATACGCCTGGAGGTCCTCCCATACCTGACTGGCTTTGCACGTCGGACCTTCCGTCCACCAGCCACGAGTCCTCGTCCCAGCATATAGCCGTCCTCGAGCAACCTTGGATGACTATCTCTACACCAGCCCCGCACAACGATATCGACCACCATACGCTTGTCGCCAACCTATTTCCAAACGTCGAGTCACAGGCCCCATTCACGTCATCCGTTACTCCCACTCAGATCGCTATGCGCCCCGCCCAACCTGTTAACGCCCTTGCTGGGCCATTGGATCCCAACTGGCTAGCGGTCTTCACCTCTTGTGTCGCTCCGGATCCCGGTTTACCTGGCGACATCTCATTTGACACCTTCGACCCAGCGTCGGATCCCGACTTGTCGAACCACTATACTTCGTCCCTTGCTCCTGCAACGACCATACCCAACCTTTATTCCGTGGACACCTTCGACCCGTTTATCCTGCCCGAAGTATCCGTTGAGCCCCTGCCACCCTACGAGTGGCAGATTCAGAGTGTTCTGGACAGCGAACATGCTGTCGGTAATACATCGTCGTGGTCGACTGCAGTGTCACTTGACCCCAGCAACGGAACCTCGTTTCTGGCATCGGGCTCGACCCACAGCAACGACGTCCCGCAAAGTGACGTGTCCGGTTTTGAATATTGGTTTGCGGGCGACAGGAGCGGTGACGTACTCCTTGATTTTCTCGCACCCTGATTGTGGCAAGGAATTCCCTCGACGCACGTCTTCTAGGTACGCTCGGTACTTCTCTACTGCATCGTGCGAGTAGGGCCGTCTAGAGTTGACTGGCTGACATGTACTAGTGCGTTTCGCGCCACACGCCTCAGCCACTGGCACATCCGAGTCACGTCTCGCGGCCATCGCCTTCATTATATCCGAGTTATGTATACGCCCGTTTTTCATCCTACGACCTCGATGACCACATATCCGGAATTCACGCGTCAAGACGAGTTCCGGATGGTATCAGCAGAGCGGTATCGCCTCCCTTCGCGCGCAAGGCACCACAGAAATCCGTACGAGCTGACAGCAACCGCCTCCGAGGCGAATCGCCCGCGATGTGGCACATGAAGATAACTTAGCACTTTTCGTGCAATTGTATGATATTGGGTGTGGGAGGTAGAGTGGTACTGGTGTATTGGTATTCTCGGTATACGTATGTACATGTGTCTCGGTGCTCATTAATCGCTCATTCCTCGCAGACACTGTGATACCCCAGTGATACTGTAGCGTTGCTTGCAAAGTACTTGTTGATCGTTACGAGCGTTTCTGGTGGTATCTATGTATTGGGCATCTACACGCCTGTAAGTACGCCTGTAGGCTGTAGCAAGATGCGAGTGGGCGCCAGGCGCCTGATCCGATGGGCAACCCGCGCTCCGAGTGCGACTTCGCGCCGAATGGGTAAGTGCCATGAGTATCACTGCACTGCATTGCCAGATGAGTCCTATCATTCACGTCCAAGGCCCGTAGGCCTGTCCTGAACAAATTCTCACTTGAGCCCAGCCGCAGTGTCTGCGTTGTTTCTAAAACGCACCCCGACGCCGTTCAGCCCTCATCCTATCGATTCTGGGCGCAACGATCCTTTGTCTTGATATGGCCACGTCAACTCAACATGTGCGTTTGTTTGCTATGGAGTTCTTGGCTGTTCCTCTCATCATCATGATCCACTGTAATCTAGGTTGTGGGAGACTTTGACGGTTTCGCTACCGGAACGGGGCCGCGACTCTGTGTGTCGGTCCCGACGGTTCAACGAGAGACGTCTTCCGCTGAGGCTCATCGACCAACCTGGACGACTATCAACGAGGCTAAAGCGAAGTATCGCAGACCTGCTCGGTTGCCCTCTCACACCCGGAGACCGTTCTATGCCTCTGACAAGAAGGCTGTCTGCGAGATGCACATCGCAAATCCTAGGATGACGCACCAGCAGATCGCAGACCAGTTTCAAGTCAGTCGGTCCATCATTACCAGGGTCCTGAAAGACAAGGAGAAATGGATGAAGTCCAAGCATGTGGATGGTCCAAAGTTTGCGCGGAACGTGAAACGGTAATACGGTATCGTTGCTGGCTAATATCGTGTTCTCCGCCTGATCTGTCATTCAGGCGACTGAAATTCTGGCCAATCGATCGTGAATTGAAACCTTGGCTGTTGCAATGCAGGAACGAGAAGGTTACCGTCACCGACAAGATGATCATAGATCGAGCCATACTGGTGGCAGAGGATGAGGGTATGAGAGAGGGAGGCCACTCACGCCAGTTTCGTTGCGGTCGGGCCTGGGTGCGCAAGTTCAAAGAGCGGTTTGGCATCATTAACGGAACGGCGACACGTCTTGGCTACACGAAGACTGAACTTGCGAGGGAGAATGCGTTCGGTTCCTTCCCCCTGGACATGCCATTTTGGATCCAAATACCTGACGAGCGCGGGAACTACCCATTACGATCGCCCCCTTGCAAGGGGAAGTACGACGACATGGATTGGGAGATCATCGGTGATTTCGTGCAGTATACCCCGCGTCCAGCGCCCATCGAGTCGACGACGTCCGAGTCGCATGCCCCTCCTGTTTCCCAAACGATCTCGCCGTCCAGCTCGCCTAGCACATCCGCTACGCCAATCGCGACGCCAATATCGCCCTTCGATCCTATGCATCCGTATTGGCGCCGCTCTGGCAGTGACATCGCATGGGGCGATGTTAGTGGGCTTCTTCAAGACGACTGCCAGGACCACACGGAGCCTCTGGGCGATTTTCGCGCCCAGAGCCCTCAAGAGCATGTCGTGCAGCCTTTTGTTGTGGGCGGGCCTTCCCGATCACCGTCGAGACCTGGCCACTCCCCGGCTTACTCACTGGCGACTCCGGGCTCCGTAACATATCCTGAGGCAACTGCACACGACCCATCGGCGGGGGAGCCTTTCCATGTTCCCTACACTTACGGTGGCTATCAGGAATCTTTCCTGAGAGGGTCAAAGGATTAACAATGAACAACCTGACGGCGGTCCAGTGTCGATGAAGCATGCGCGTCGACCAAACAGGTTCGTCAGGTATCATTGACCTGTGCTATGGTTTCATTTTGACGGCGTTGCGTGTATAGCTACGTCAGAGCTGTGTCCCACCGGTGGTCATCTCGCTCGTCTCTTTCCCCGGGCTTTAGTACAACTTCATTTCATCCTCTTACTGCTACCCCGTATCCCCTGTCCAAACGTTCGACTTCATGCTCGTCCGACTATATGTGGACGCGTTCCTACTTGCTACAGGTCGTGTATTACTAGCTTTAGCACCGCATTTGCGTTGTACGCCGTGTTCCTGAGAAGTTGTTCGTGTACTTATATTCGCAGTCCTAGTTCTGCTATATAACGCTCAACCCGAGCCATGCGAGACGTAATTGTAGCATGTGCATGTATGAACAGTATATGTTGTTGCTTTGATAGTGGGCCAGAACCTTGCAATGCGCGGTACGTAGTAAAGGTATGTACCGTTGTAGTACGGCGACGCTTCAGAGCTTCAGATCTTCAGACCCAGTCCATAGTCGCGCAATTTGGTCATTGTCAGCGGCCCGGCCCCCGAGGGCGCGCTGCATGGGATCGGTTCACGCCTGCTCCGAGCTCGTGAATGGACCTCCCCTCCTCGCTTAGTACTCCCTGGTGGAGGCATCTCAGACAACACAGCCCGTCTGCCCTTGCTCACGCATCTCCCACCGCCAACGACGAGCACACACGACCTGTCGCCCGCAACAGCGACGGCTCACACGATCTATACTTACGCCTGACTATCCCACCACCGCTGCTCATCCCGGACCCAGTCGGACGCACCACAAGACGCCAGCCGGCCTGCAGTTGTCCTCCTCTCATCGTCGCTGTGTACTTGACTGAAAGACAACCTAGCTACGTTGTTCCGCTCAAATTCCCTACTGCTACGCGACGTCCATCGACTTCTGATTCGCGCCGACAAGAGTACACCCCGGCGGACGTACAACAGACGACTGAACTTCGGGTCAAATCGCCCATCGACCGGAGCCCTCTGTGCACTGTCTCAGTGTCTGACGAATCCACATACCACCGATAGCTGACGCCTGGCGCCTCGGCCCTCTCCCTCCCCCTCCCCCCGCAGCTTGCGCGCGATGGCGACCCAGCCGCTCACGAACCTCTCCGCGACCGCAACAGCGACCTCAAGTCTATCGTCGGGCAGCTCGAACTCGAGCTCGTCCGGGTCCTCGGATAGCGGGAGCGATGGTATGAACTCCTCCGCAACGCTGTATCGTACGTCTGCTCCTCGCATATCCCCGACGGTGGCGCTGAAATACGTCCGCACGGCGCAGTATACACCTTCCTCGGTGAGCACACCCCCACTGCAGCACTCCCGCTCGATCCGGACTGACTTCCCCGCCAGCGACCCTCGTCCTCCTGCTCTCCGTCTCCGCCGCCATCGTCGTGCGCTCCTACCTCATCCGCCGGCGGCAACGGCAGCTCATCGCCGACGCCATCCGGGACGGCATCATCCCCAACGCGCCCGGGCCCGGCGTGACCCTCGAGCACGCGACGCTGCTCGCGCGGCGGCCCGAGCTCTTCGACGTATACCTCGGGCACGCCCCTGCGGAGCGCGAGAAGGCGGCGGGGAAGGGCAAGGCGAGGGAGAGCACGAGCAGTGCGGGGAGCGTCGGGGGCGGGTGGTGGAACGCTGTCATGGTGAGTCGTAGACCTGTCATCGAGAGGGTGAGGAGTGTTGACGGTCGGTCGGTGAAGCCTGTCGCAGCGAGAGAGGTTAGGACGGCGCCGAACACTGCAGGAAAGACTCAGCCTTCACATGCACAACCGCCCCGACCACCGCCTGTGCTGCCTTCGACTTTCGCACGGCTCCGCCAGCAGCTCCGGGCGATCGTGCCCATGCCCTCCGTAGGGGCCTCCATCCTCCCCGCACCCGCCACATCCGCCGATGCACGACAACCAGAGGTCGTCGAGCTCTCACCCCCGCGCCCCCCGTCGCCAACGCGGAGCAGCGGGCTGCTCGATGTGGCGTTCCTCGTCGCGATGCCCGCGCCGCACCACGAATCGCATCACGTCGAGCAGGAGTTCATCCCATACGTCGAGTTCGGCATCGCGCGGGTGAGCGGGAAGGGCGAGGTCAGGATGGATCAGGAGGAGGCGCCATAACGCACAAAATCATGAGAGGGACCCGGATGGACGTGTATTGCTCGGTTGATCAGTTGTACAAGTATACCTGTATGGATACCTTCGTGTTTCGCCATGTTGTTGTAGAGTATGTTGTCATGGACTTGTGTACTAATAGACTGGATGTACTCATACTCGTGCCGAAGTGTGACCCGCAAATGAAGATTGCATTCAGACTCAGAGGTCGCCACGCAGTATGAATTGGTAGGTTGATTTATTGGTACATACGTACCGGCCTCGGCGACTCGGTACGGGCAGTAGACGGTGAGATCTGGATCTGAGCTGGTCCGGGCGTTGCCGGAAGTGCTCGCCCGCGTAGAAGCGCCGGTGAGCTCACTGCAGCCACGAACGGCCATCCTCTCACTCTCAAATGCTGCGCCTGCTTGCGGTATGTCGTCCTATCATACCCGCGTGTGCACTGCTCTTACAGGGACCTATGTGGCTAGCAACGCAGGGCGGCCCTTGCCACCGCCGCTGCTGCGGTCGCGGTGACCCAGACACCGAAGGACAAGGTGCGCACGAGCAGTCTCGCTGTCTCTACCCCTTGGCTCACGCTGACTTTCGCGCCGGAACAGCTTTCAATATATCCTGAACCAGACCGGGATGTCCTGCTGATCGAGACGCCCTCCGAGCTCGAGAAGCAGATCGGCAAGGTGCGCAGCTCGGTGACCGCGACCTACCTCGACGCCCGGGCACAAGTGCAGGGCGTCGTCTCGCGGTGGATCAGCGTGGAGGAGTCTGTAGAAAGTGCGTCGCACAGCCCGTTTCCTCGCGCCTTGCTCGCTGACAATGGCTGCACGCAGAACGCATCAAGTCCCTCGTCGCCCCCGACGAGCCACTCACACCGGGCATCCTCTACGTCGGCGTCGCGACCCTCACCGGCTCCGTCCTCGCGCGGAACCGCTCCCTCCCCGTGCGGCTCGCCCTCCCGCCCACGCTCCTCCTCCTCTCCCTCCGCCACTTCCTCCCCAAGACGGGCCACAACGTCTCCTCCTACCTCGGGTCCCTCGAGGACACCTACCTCCCCGGCGTCGCGGAGAAGCACGACATCGCCAAGGCGCACAGCGCGATGACCTGGGCGCGCCTCCAGGACGCGAGCGCCGCCGGCCGCGCGCGCCTCGGCGAGAGCGTGCTCCGCGCGGTCGTGAGCCTCGAGCAGGCGACGGGCTTGAAGCTCCAGGACACCCTGGGGTGGAGTAAGGGCGTTGCGCGCGCGGTGGAGGGCCAGGCGCGCGAGGCGGCGGCGGCGGTGCAGCAGAAGGCGGGGGAGGCGGGGGCGGTGGTTGCGCAGAGGGTGGAGGAGGCGAAGGGCGCGGTAGAGCAGAACGTGCACGAGGCGGAGAGGAAGGCGGACGAGCCTCCGAAGAGACTAGTGTAGAGTAGCGCGTATGGATGCTACAGTTGTCCTCAGGGCCTGCTTCCTCCGCGAGAGGTACCTTCCATTGACATGGCTGCTCTCTTCATTCCGCGCGACATAAGTGCTGTCGCGTTCCGGGTAGCCGCCTCGGACTGCTGGGTGGTATTGCCTTTCTCGGAAAACTTACGCTCGTCCCGCCGGGCGCCTGTCTGTCCAGCTCACTTGCACTTGACGCTCATCACCGCCGCACGCGCCGTCTCCTTCACCCCAGACTGACCCAACTCCCGCCGCGCAATATGAGCGCAGTCCTCTCCCTGGCCAGGCCGTCCTCATCGAGCCTCACAACAGCCGTATCCACATCCCAGTCGCGCGCCCTCCAGCAATCCCGGTCGGTCTCCTCCTCGCCTTACGGCCGCACCCACGTCTGGAAGCACCGCCAGCGGGTCCTCCCCAACCCCTTCGCCCCGCACTTCCCGCAGACCGTCTTCCACGTCGACGGGAGCACCTTCACGCACTACACCACCTCGCCGCGCTCCCTGTTCAAGCTCACCAAGGACACCACGAACACCCCGCTCTGGAACGCCACGCGCTTCCTCGGCGAGGCAGAGGAGGAGGACGCCGTCACCGGTCGCCTGGGCAGGTTCAACAGGCGCTTTGAGGGCCTCGGCGGGTCGGGTTCCGCGTGGCTGGAGCAGGCGGATACGGAGGAGGGCGTGGAGGCGTTGAAGAAGATGCAGATCGAGGCGCAGGCGGTCATGGGTACACACAAGCAGGAGAAGGAGGACGTTAAAAAAGGGAAGGGGGGCAAGCGCGGCAAGCGGTAGGCGGGCGGGAGGTATTTGAGGATGCGGATGCGAGTTGCGCGGTGCGTCCGTCGACGTGCTGGAAGGCTACGGGCTGACCATGTTTCACCTTAGAAGTTTCTATCTATCGGTTGTTCTGTCGCTCTACCCACCCTTTGAGGCTCGCAGCAGTGCGGTACTCAATGGCCGTCACACACTAATCGCAGACTACATGCCTCTGCAGCCATTGCCCGTCAATGCTACGTTTCGTTTTCACTAGCCCAACACAGAGTGTCACATATACTGAGCTGTCGTGGTGTCTCAGCATGGCGACGTTGCATGTACGTCCTCGTTCACCCTCCATGATCCTTGACATCGTCTACTCATGACTGAGCTATCCGTTCGCTGACTCCTTGATGCCCTTGGTGAGAGCTTCTTTCGAGTGCACGCCAGCGTAGGTCCAGATCAGACCCATGTTTCTTCTTCTCGACATGCTACTCTACAAGCTGCTCACACGACCCTAACCGCGGGTTATCAAGCGTTCTCCTTCACAGCTTGCCATGCCGGGCGGGAGCTGATGTCCCTCCACCATCTATGGAAAGAACCGTAGTCATGCGCCCGTGGTTCGACATCCTGGGTGGAGTCGGCTCACCTGGACACGTTCGGTCTCGACGAAGTGGTGAGTAGATCGTATCCCATGCTCCCCATGGTGTTCCCGAAAGGTAGATGGAACAGGTCCGCCAATGTGATTTCCTGGGGGAAGTTCGCACAGTGAGAGAGGTGGAGTGAATGGCGAGCCCAAGACGACTCACGTCTCCAGCAAGGTACCGGTGTTTGGACAGGAGGACCTCGTACGCGTCGAGCTTGCTGTTCAACGTCTTCAACAGATCCGCCACGATCGTCTCGTCCGTCATCAACTTCGAATACCTTCATCGCAACCCGAGGGCACACCCAGTTCACGACTCGCTCCACACCCCACGCACAGACCACTCACCTCTTGAAGATCACCTCCCACGAGAGCGCGTTCATATACACATCAAAGTTCCCCAGCTCCACGTTCGCCGCTTGCTCGAACAGCGCCATCCGCTGGGGGTCCTCCGCGGTCGGCATCAAGCCCTTCTGCGCCGGCCCAGCGTACTTCGCGACGAGGTACCGCCCGATCGCGCGGCTCTCGAACAGGACGAACCCGTCGTCGTCGATGTACGGCACCTGCCCGAACGGCTGGTGCGCGAGGTACGCCGCGGCCTTGTGCTCGTCCGTGAGCATGTCCACCTTGACGAGCTCGTATGGCACGCCGAGCTCCTTGAAGATCACGGCGGCGCGCCGTGTGGCATGCGAGGGCGGGAATCCGTAGAGCTTGATCGTCATCGCGCGGCTGGCACTTGTCAGAGTCTTGTCGTTGGCTGGCGGCGTGCAGGTGCAGCTCGACTGGAGGATGCGAGCGATAGGCGGTTCTCATCCCCGTCCTGAGCCTATTTATCCCGCCTGCCATTGCGTGCGAGAAGCCGACCCTTCGCAGAGCATAAGGTTCAAGGGTGCTGCGACGCCACCGTGTCGAGTGATTGGGCCTGGGACATCACCGATTCTCTCAGCCGTGCAGACACGAAACATATGACTTTGCATGGGGAGACTGCCCGCGAAGGTGGCGTTCCCGGAACAGGCGCGATGTCCGACGTGCGATGTTCTGCGGGGGACCGGTCGCTGTAGTAGGCCAGATGGCCCACGGGTGGCGATTTCTTATCCCATGATCTGCACGCATGTCGGTGCTGTCAGGTTCATATCTATGACAGAATGAGAGGCCCGAACGGATCGGTTGGACCCTTCTCTATTGGCGTGAGAGGTGCGGTTTCATTTTGGGATGGGCTGTCTATGGTAGATCGGGGATGATACGACAATATTGTTGCTGACAGTGAGTCACGGAGCGAGTTTCTGCAAGCTTAGGTCGTCGAGTTCACTATGCATGCATGCAGTAGAACAAAACATTTGGGTAGTGCCGTCTGTGCGACGAACGACGCTAACCTGGCTTGCCAATCTTGCTTTATCTATGTGATTGTGACCAGATCATTTTATACTGTGGTGTGTCTACAGGTCCTACTACAGGATGTAGCTAGCATCCTAGCGTTGTCTACATCGCTCGAGAATGTCGAGTCAACTACACAAGACTTTTTCATTGCTGTTTTGTGTGCAGCCGACGAAGCTGTTCATCCGGGGCTCATCAAGCGCCACGAATGCATTGTGAGCACCGAAACCGAAGCTCTCGGTCGTTCTTCCAGAGAGCAGAGACGATGCATCAATGCAATCGGCGCACGAAAACACGAACATCTAGGGTTGCCCGAGCCTTGTTGATTTCCTCTAGCGTTTTTGCCATATGGAAATTGCCGACGCTCCTAGTGTCGCAGTGCGTCTCGAGGTGTCGCCCTTGATCCGACTTGCGCCGCTCGGCGGGCAGCACGCAGCCGTACCCTCGTAGGGGACGAAGGTCGTGGGACGTCCTGAGGGATCACGGGCGTTGGGCCGACATGACGAGGGTATACGGGGCATAGACAAGATTGGGAGACCACGGAACCGCGCAATGAAGGGTCGTGTCGCATGCGTAGAGGATAGACACTGTGTGAAGCATCCCGAGTGGTGTTCCGCGTGGTTCTGTTTCGACGACGCAGTGTACGTTTTTGCCTGGAGTCTCTTCTGACTCGGCTTCTAGGGAAGCACTGCGATGTGGTCGCGCTGTCGTGGTAGCACGCCGGTATGGCGATCCTCCAATGCGGACTGTTCGCCACTGAACGCCGATCCGCTGACGAAATCGAAGATTGCCTCGTACACGCCGATTGGGAGCATTGGTTCGCACCCAAAACCGCCTGCGCTTGCTCGGCTGGCCTTGAATGGGAGACATCGTAACGCCTGCCCCAAAAGCGTTCGAGTGTTTCGGCAGCCTCGGCAGCCCTGAAACGCGACGTAGATGTCAGACGAGGACCGCAAAATGCACACGGGGAGGTCGACTCACATGGACGAGAGCCGCCATTCAGAGTCAATGCGCCTCTCCGTTGCAGATACGACGTGCTCGCCTGGGGGACGCGAAATGTGGAATGACGTCCAACACACAAGGGTGCATGTGACGGCCACTGGGCGGCGGTAAGTGCGCCTGCAGGATGGTCAATTGACTGGTGAAATTCACCTGGTCGTTGAGAATTCCTTCTCGAACTCCCATGCGGAACGGCTGGATGGGTGCCTTGTATCGCTGGGCGCAGATACTGTCGCGCTAGTCGGGGAAGGACACAGTTGCTGGCAATGCTGCGTTGGCGGCCCAGCGGGAGTACCACGGTAGGCCATAGCCAGAGGAGGATGATCGGTCGAAGTCCATGAGAGTGGCGACATTGGGATGTGCGGTTTGGAGGGATTGCACCGAAGAAGGAGGCGTATTTATACCGTAGGAACAATAGGACGGCGTGGCCAGTGATAGGAAAGGGGTAACGCCAGGCGCACCCCTATCGACGAACCTTGTGCCACATATGACCGTGACAGGCCAAAGTTGGGTCAAAGCGACGGGCGTGTCTAGCAACCAGTCCAAGACTAGACAAATTGGATCAGCCGGTGGATGGCGCAATGATGCGTGAACTAGGCCTATACCGGGATACGACGTACTGTCATAGAAGCAGGGAATGCGTCGATGGTGGTTAGTTCGGCTTTCGACCGTTTGAAGTCTGTCTCGCGGCGTTAGCAACTATGCCTACGAGCGATAAGGTATTGTCTAGACGGATGTGCCTAACGAGGAATAGTCAAAATGAATGAATTTAGATTCGAGCGGCATATTGTTGGCAGAGACAGACCCCTGACGCATGATAGTCAGAGACCGTCAGACTAGCCGCACTGACTCGGGGAGGTTGTGGTCGGCGTAGTATAGGTGAATAGCATCACATTTGCAGGTCCCGTTGTAGAATATAAGCAGATGTTCCGCGGGTTTGTTCCTTCGCGTGAGGGGATCCCGGTGAAGGAGAGACTCGCCTCCTCGTCGCGCCGGGTGGCTGTAGATCCATCTCCAGATCCGATCACACCAAATTCGGTCGATCGTCTCTCAGCCACCCCGCTCTCGTCTCCCCACACCCGGCCGGCCGTTCTTGGATTTGTAGAATCTGTACTTGTATATTGGCCATTGGTTGCCAGCCCGCTGGTCAAACAGCCGACATGCAACATGCTGTGGCAGAAGACACTCCCCGCGAAGGCCACGGTGTCGAAGACGAGGATGCTTGGGACGACGACGAGTCCGAGGACGACATCGAGGCAGAGGCCGAAGACATGGCTCGCCGCCTTCAAGAGCAGCTGCGAGCCGACATCGAGCGAGCACAGCAAGAGGCGAGGGCCCAGGCGAATGGTGCTATCCCGCAGGCGAGTCAGACAGTACCTACTCCCAGCGTCGCAGCCACAACATTGCAACAGCCTATTGCTGGGCCATCCACCCCACCTCCCAATGCACACGAAACTATGAGTCTGGAACAACTCGCACATGGGAATGCTCCCGGAACTGCGAGCGAGAGACGGAGTGCCTCTGCCATCCTCACCATGAAAGCCATCCTGGCCTCGGCAGACAAGAATCCACTAGTGCGCTCTACGCTGGCTGCATCTGTAGTCCCTGGCGGTGGCAACCACAATGTACTAGACATCTTCAATCAATGCATCACTTGCAGAAAAGTAACGAAGGACGTTGCAAAGCACCTCGTTGAGGCCGTCATTTCGCTCGCCAAGTCCGAGCTGCTCTTCGCGTCGCTCAGGAACTCGGACGCGCCTGCCATACAGCTCGACAAGGGTAAGCGACGATGGGACGCTGCAGATGGCCCCTCGCACGATGAACCACCGCAAGAGCCTCCAACCAAGCGCGTCGCCCTCGAGCAGCCAGACTTGCGCTACCAGGTCTCCGAAGCGGTCAGGCTCATCACACACGCGCTCTCCCCCATCGCCTCCAGCCCAACACCCATGATCCACCCCCACCTCATCGCCTCCATCCACCTCCAGCTTCACCAGGTCTTCCTCTTCGCAGTGACATCCGCACCCCGCGCAGGCGACCGCGCCACTGCTCTCCAAGAGCTCGCCGGGCTCATCCAAATGCTCGGCGTCCTCAGCGGCATCCAAATCGGCTCCCAATCCTCCGCCTCCGAACCCCAATCCCACACCCCCGGCTGGTCCCAGTCCCCCGGCGCGCCCGACATCGGCACCGCCGTCTACCCCTGCCTCACATGCCCCAAGGTCTTCGCGCGCCTCTTCTCGCTCAAGGCGCACCAACGCGTGCACCTCCTCGTCGAGCGCCCCTTCCGGTGCGACCTCTGCGTCGCAAGCTTCGTCCGCAACCACGACCTCAAGCGCCACGCCCGCCTCCACGAGCGCCGCGCCTACCGATGCGGCGGCTGCGGCAAGGTCTTCAGCAGGCGCGACGCCATCAAACGCCACCAGGATAACCGCCGCGGCGTCGCGCGCGGCCGCACCGGCGACGACGGCGCGCACGGGGCGTTCGCGGGCGTCGCGGAGAGCGTGTGCGCGTACGCGGAGATCGTAGAGGTCGAGGTGGACCGACCCGAGAGCGAGGAGGAGGCCGTGCGCCGCGCGAAGATGTGGGACGGCATCGCAGCGAGCACGATGCAGTTCAACGCGAGCGCGAACGGTGGCGCGCCCCCGATGTATACCAACCACCCGCTCGGCCCGGACGACGGCCCCGAGGAGGGCGAGATGCACCCCGGCGTCGTGCTCGAGGCGCAGGCGATCGTACTCGGCCTCCACCCGATGCTCCATGGCTACGTGACGAAGGTGCTGGGACACGCACCGGTGCTGCAGAATACTGTCCAGCCGCCCTTGGGGCAGCAGCCGACTCCCCAAGCGGCCTTAGCGCAACCACCGCCGGTGTCCGCTGGCCAACCGACCCTGGCGAGCGTCATTGCAAGCGCGAATGCGAATGGCGGATTCGCGATGCCCATGACGGAGACCTCGCAAACGACGACGCAAGCAGATGTGCCTTCTGCATCCTCTGCGCTCTCTAGTGCGCTCTCGTTGTCGGAGGAACAGACACGGCTGCTAGAGCAAGCGATCGCCCAGGCGGCACTGGCTGCACAGGCGCAAGCGGAGGCGGAGGCCGCCCTCGAGGAGGAAGACGAGGGAACCGATGATGAGGATGACGAGGAGGACGGATAACATGCCTACTTTGTGTGTACGGGAGCATCTGAACGAATATTGAATGTACCTCTGAGTGTACTAATTGTGATCTGGATAGACTTGCGTGGGTTTCCCTGTACGTCGTGCCCATGCTATGTGCATCCATCAGCTGGACGGGCCACAAGCGTCGCTATAGTGATGAAAGGACCGAACATGGACAAGCTGAACGATCGGAGATGTGATCTAGCGAGGCTGTGCAGCTGGAACACGTTCTATACTAATACTATTCCCACTAACCACAAAGGAAAGACAAGCATTGTTCAAGCCCTGGTATAAGAGCCTTCCGAGTTGCTTCTTCGCGGACAACGCGACATGTTCCACACCTTTACAGTCCACGACGCCGGCCGGCCGCCACCTGCCACTGGAGAGGACCTCGGGTCGACATGGCTCACCATCGACCTGTCCAAGGGCACCTGCGTCGAACCCCCACAACCCCTCTCCGGTCGGATTCAAGTTCGCCATCCACTGGTGCGGCTCCGTCTCGCCCCTGCAGACGAGCCGGTCGCGCAAGTCCGCGTCGAAGATTTACCTGTGCTCGAGAACAGGAAGAACAGGACATGGATCGTGGCAGCGCGCCCAAGCCGTCAGCTCGGACCTCAGTCCCTGGTCATACTCAGCACAAGCTTGGAATCCAGTGGCGTCGGGCGACTCGCAGCCGTCACGGGCTTTTCGCGACACTGGGTCTGCTTCCGCGTCCAAGGCAGCAAGGAGCCCTGCGGCCTGTGTGTTCCCCTGGTGTGGGCGAAGCTGGGCGCGCTGGAGCGAAACTTCCATGCGACGCGCTATGCTGAACTGCCGCGACTGCCTCGACCGCACCCCGAGTTTGCTGACAACCCGCTCATTACGAATAGCGACGTCTCGCCGTACGAGTTTGAGTCCGACGAGGAGGATGAGCCCGAGGGGGAGGAGGTAGATAGCCTTGCGATCGCGAGTGAGAAGAGAGGGCACATCAACGAGGATCCCTGAAGACTCGGTGGAACATGAGTCTGAAGGCTGGCGAGGAGAGTATCATGCACTGCATGGCGTACGTGTTCCCTGGGCGTGGTGGGCTGAGGCGGGATGGTTGCTGATTTGCGGATATAATATTGTACACAACACCAATTAATAACATGTGGACGAGGGGAGGAGGAGCGCCACAGACGCGTCTCTCCTCCGCCACCACCGCCATGTCGGACGCTCTGCCAGCCATCGGCGCCCACTGCGCCCTCCCGTCCTGCAACCTCAACGACTTCCTCCCCATCCGCTGCCCTTGCGGCCGCCTCTTCTGCAGGGACCATGTCGCCCCCGACAAGCACGCCTGCCCCGTCGCCGCCGACCGCACAGCCGCCCTCGGCGGAGAGCGATCGACGCCTGCGCGCGAGAAGTGCGCCAAGGAGGGGTGTGCGCGGCCGAGCCTGGAGAGCGCAGTCCGCGATGAGGGGAGGGGAGAGGACGCTAGGACGGCCGCGCGGTGTGCGGGATGTGGCGGAGGGTTCTGCGCGTAGTGCGTGTTCGCCAGTGCGGTGGTGTCCCTGCCTCACTGACTCCCTGGGCAGCCACAGAGACCCGTCCTCCCACTCGTGCTCCCCCACGACCCCCGCTCCTCCACCCAAGAACCAGACTGCACGCGACCTCCTCGCTAAGAACTTCCCCACCACTCCCTCCTCCTCCTCCGCGAAACCCGCAGCCCGCGCGAAGAAGCCAGCGAACAAACAGATCGCACTCATGCAGATCCGCCGCCGCGCACAGCCTGCTGACCCAAAGGACGACCGCCCCAGTGTGAACGTCCCCGTCGGCGAGCGCCTGCACGTCGAGCTCGAGCTCGAGGGAGGTCTTCCAGGCGCGCCCAGCACTGGAGGGCAAATCGTGTATTGGTTCAGAAAGGTACGTACGCGCGTCGCACGGTCCTGCGGGCCTGTGTGCCGCGTAACACTGACTGTCTAGCAACGTGTAGAACATCGCTACGGGCAGAGCACTGGATGTGCTCGCAGGAAGAATGGGTGTCAGCACGACAAACGTAGGTGCACGATTCTCCATTTAGTGTCTGTCGCTGACGACGTACGCTCGCTTGCAGCCGTTGCAACTCTCGAAGATCAGTGCAAGTGGTGACACCATCGCGCTACGGAACGACGCGCCTCTCGCCGACCAAGTTGAGGACGCAGACGTCATCCGTTTAGCAAGGCGCACATAGCACATCGAGGCGGGTCTCGGCGTATGCGCTGTTGAGGCACCGGCTACTCGACAAGAGAGACAGGAAACCGCGAACTTGTAGCAGCCGTGTACCTTGAGGGTCGTCTGATACAGACAGGGTACCGGCCAGTTGAGCTATGTTGCGCTCACGTGTTGCTGCCTAGATAATACTACGCCCTCTCATTTGATGTTCTTACAGTGTAAAGCTGCCAGCTCCACACCCACTCGCACAACTCCTACGCAACCTCAAACAACCAATCCATGCGGTCAGCCCAGCTGTGAGCCGACCGCACTTGTTCATGCCCAAGCCCGTCGACGGACCACGGATTACCAAGCATGTATTGAGATAGTCATCAAAGAGCAATATACAATCCTAACGAACATGGTGGCCACCCAGCCCTGCCCCTCACGCCTCCGTCTCTAGCTCCCTAATCAACCGACCAACCCTCTCCGACCTCGGCTGCACCTCGAACGGGAATGGCATCACATGGCTGCGTCGCACGTTAGCACCCGTCTCGCCAGTGGGCAGACTACGTGGGCGTGGATGGCACACACCTGATCATGCCCGACGCGAACTTGGGCTGGAAGCTGACCTCCGCGCCGGTGGCGGGATCGTGCGCCTTGGTGACGTCGAACGCGGCAACGATGCGTGCGGCGGCGAGCCACACGGAGGAATCGCCGAACGCTTGGCCCGGGCACGATCTGCGAACGCGAACGCGCAAACCCAGTCAGTACGGACAATGTCAAGAGGGGTGAATCGCACCGTCGCCCGAATCCGAACGCGAAACCCCGTGGGTCTGGCTCGGGCGTCGAGGAGAGGAACCGCTCGGGCCTGAACGCGTCGGCGTCGGGGTAGCACTCCGGGTCGCGCGTGATCGCCCTGCGAGGGTGTCGTGAGCGGCGTTCGACCCAGAGCAAGGCCAACGTACCAGATGTTCGGCATGACCACAGAGCCTGCTGGGATCGTGTACGAGCGGTATGTGTCCTCCTCTGTCACCAGTCGCGGGATGACTGGCGCAGGCCAAGTGCAGTGAGCCCCACGTCAGACGCTATCGAAGAAGAGAACATACCGAGCGGGACAGGTGGATGCCAACTTCAGCCCAGCGCTTAGCGACGTCGAGGCAGCAAGGTACGGATGTGACGCACCGATAGACCTCCTTCAGCAAAACGTCGAAATACGGCAACGACTGGCGATCCCCGAGCTCGGGCAGCCGCTCTGTGCCGACCACGCTGTCAATCTCTGCTTGCGCCTTCTTGAGCGCCTCAGGGTGCAGGACGATGGCGAGCAGGAAGGCCGTCAGGACGGTTGCTGTCTATGATCAACCCCACACCGTGTGTGAGTGGACATATCTGATCGGATGAAAGCGTGCATTCGCAGGATGCGTACCGTGTCGGTTCCCGCTACGAGCCCACGCACCGGTCAGAAAAAGGACGAATGCAACGCCAAACGTGAGAATGTAGAGGCATACCTCCGTATACAATGTTCGCAGCACCCTTCACATCGGCCTCGTCATACGCCGACATCTTCCCGTCCTTGGCATACTCGTCGAGGAGCGACGTGAGGAAGCACGGCCGTGCGGCTCCTTTCGCCTATGTATAGAGAACGCACATATGAAGTGATTCCAAAGACCGTTTGGAGAAGGCACGTACGATGGAGGCCTGGACGCGTTCGTATGGCACGTCGATCATCACCCGGACGAGCTCGTGGACCTCGGCGACCTTCGTGAGGAAACCCGCGCCAGGAAGCCATGGCGGGAGGTACCTCACTACACATACGCGACCATATCAGCCTCGTGGATGCACCGGAGACGAGGAGGTGGGCGTGCACTCACGGAATGGGAAGAAGTCCACCAGGGAGGCGACGGAGGTGGCCGCTTCGAGAGTGCCTGCGAGTGCGCGCTCCGAGAGGACGACGAACTCGTCGTCGAGCGACGCGACGCTGTGCCCGTAGGCGATCTGCATCATCAGCGCGCCTACATAACTGCACGACGCCCATGTCAGGTTGATGTGAGAGGATCTATGGATTCGCGGCGTAGGCAGGTAGAGATGTACTCACCGCTTGACTCCCGAGAACACCTCCTTGCCGACGTCGCGACTTGCTTTGTCTTGGGTGCTCTGCCACGCGTCAAGTATGCCCGAGAGCAGCCGGACAGACTCGCAGCGCTGGAGGGGTACGTAGGACTCGAGCGCGGATGCCGACTGGAAGGCCGTCTGGAACCACCGGCGCTGGCGCCGCCACTGGTCTCCGTACGGCAGAATGGTGACGTTGTTCGTCATGCCAATCCTGACGTTGAGACGATCACGCAGTCGTTGATAGTCAATTGGTATGAGGGTGAAGCATGGACTCCGCACGAGCGACGTACATTTCGGAGATGAGGACGCTCCGTGGTCTGCCAGAGTACTTGGAGCCGCGTTTATCCAGCAGCTCTTGCATGACCTTGGCCGAGTTGAGCACTACAGCGGGCTTATTGAATATCTCCAGATATATGATATCGCCTGCGAAGGGGCTTCATGAGAAAGCAGTCACGCCCGATGGAAACACAGACATACCATAAGTCTTCTTCCAATCTAAGAATGCGTGCTGCTGGTATCCGAACGGGAGACGGTGCACGCTGCCAATGATGGGGAGGCGCCCCGGGCCCGGGGGAAGAGAACTCTTGCGCGTTGACTGCCATGACTTGTAGAGGAAGAAAGTCAGCAGTCCCAGCAGGACGAGTACCACGACGCTCATTCTGTGCAACCCAGCCTGAGAGTAGTGAGTGGTTCAGGCGAACACCGTGGCCGGCGACTTATGAAACAGGGTGAGAGGCTGTGTTTACGTAGGAGACAATACACGCATCGGATCTCGCTGGCTAACTCGCATACTAGAAGCAAGGTCTCGGCGCGGCGAATCGGGATGAGCGTAGCGCTAGCGCTCCTCGTCCCGTACCAAGCCAATATTCCTCAGACATATAAGACATGAGTAGAAGCATGTATGGGCTACATCGGATCACTACGAACCTACAGGGGACAACTGTACAGCAATGTCTCATATGACTTGAGCAGACATATCCAGGGAAAGAGTTACACGGCATATCGGACAGGTATGTTTCATGGCAAGCCAGCGCCGCAGGCACTTCTCATGAAACCTGGTTGGACCACCGACAGTCAGCTCGTAGAATCCACAAACGGATGAGACCGTCGACTCACGAATGTTGGCACATGGGAGCTAGCGCCGCGAGCTCCTCGTCCTTGAATTGCGACAAACAAATCCCACATTTGTCGACGACCACCCCGAGCAAGGTCAGCTTCAGCTTGACGCGGCCGTCCTTGGTAATGCGACGGCGCTCGACCTCGATCCGACCTACCAATGGTTGTTCGGCGGAAGTGGGGGTCGGAGACAGGGCTGACGGAGCGGCTGCAGGGCCGACGAACTCGGACACTCGCAGTAGATCCTAGATGCACGATGAGTAAAGTCAAGGCGAGGAGCGAAAGTCGCGTACCTCGTAGTTGCGCCCGTCATCTGGCTGGCTGCCGACATCGAGGCGGGCTATGAAGACGTCGAGATCGGTGTAGTTCGACCATTCCGGACGAGGCCTCGAGTCACCCACAACATCATTGGAGGTCGCCGCGGGTGCGGGCAAGGCTTCCACCTCGTTGTCTCTCGTGGTGGACATGTTTGGAGTCATCGGCCTGACGCTGAGCACAGGCGAGCTGGGGGTGGAGGATGTCGGCGGGCGAGGAAGCGGTCGGCCGGGATAGTGGTGCCCCGTAGGCGTCGTCGGTGTAGTCGGTGTGACTGGCAGCGTCGCACTGCCTTGTTGGACAGGCTGAAGAGCCAAGGCGTTGGCCGTGAGCGAAGGCGCTGCGTCGACGTCGGGCGCTACGGTCGTCTGCGGGGCTCGCAACGGCTGCAGGGACAGTGGCGACGGCAGACGAGCGGTGGGTACTGCGCTCGCGCCGGCGACCTCCTGTGTAGTTCCGGGCCTCTGTGACGACGGGTCGGAGGGAGGCGAGACCCCTCGACCGTCGTCGCCCGCACGAGTGTCTGCCAATGTCATGGAGGAGCCCGAGCTGCTCTCACTCAGGCCAGTCACAGACGCGGACGGCTCGATCGACATCCTCGAGGTCGGACAGGGCGCGTCGATCTCGGGGCGTCGGAAGCGGCCGATGAGCGGGCTGCGGTCGCGCGGCGGACGAAGTCTCGGAAGCGGTGGTGGGCCCTCCAGTCGCGTCGGCGAAGACAGGTGCGTCTCCCTCGCCAGGCGCGAAGGCGGATGGGGCCGTGTTGGGGAGACGGGCGCGAGGGGGCGTCCGAGCGCATCGGCGGCCGAAGACGACGATGGGCTTGGTGGCGGGCGTACCTTCTCCGGCGGAAATGGGACGTGCGAGAGGGAAGGCTGTGAAAGGGGGTACGGCGAGACGTATTGGTTACGCCGCGCCGGCCGTGGGGCAGGTGCAAGGGTAGGTGTTGCTCGTTCTTGCGGTGGTCGCTCCCTTGTCTTGGGTTGCTTCTCCTTCTTGGGCGCCGACGTTCCGTCCACCTCAGCCTCGGAAGGAGTGATCTCCTCCCAAGACTGCAAGTCGTCGGCAGACGAGGGAGACCTCGGCTCACCATGGTCTGCTGCATCCCTGTCTTTCTCGCCGCCCCGCTCCCGCCCCCTCTCGTGCTCCCGTGCCTTCTCCTTCCCCTTCATGAACAGCTTCCGCAGCCCCACGCTCTCCTTCCGCTTGACGCTGTTCCCGCTATTGCCAATAGACACCGGAGCGGGCTTGTGCGTGGAGAACGCGCTACTCAGTAGCGTTGCGGTGCTCGCCCAGGGACTGAACCCAGGCGCGTCGATGGTCGACGCGGGCGAAGGCGGTGGGGATGCATCGCGTACAGGGAGACCGAGAGACTGGTGTGCCTTCACGCGGCGGCGTCTCTCGATCGAACACTCGCCGCTGTTGCCTCGAGCACCGGGTTCATCATCCTCGCCACTCTGCACCTCTCCGTCGGCATCTGCAGGGCGCAGCGACCCGCAATGTGAGCACCGTCGCGGGCGCGTCGAGGACGGCGATGTGTTCGTGCTGTGATGGCTGGGAGAGGCGGGTTCGCGGAGGAGGTTGACGGTCGTGCTGGACTCGGCGGCGCGCTGGCGGACGAACTCCCGCTGAACGCGCTGGTGGAGGTTGAGGCCGGTGCTGCGATCGGCTTCCCAGTGCTGCTCGGGTTCGAGGCCGAGCAGCTCGACGCTGGAGTCGTCTGAATCCGAGCCCGGGTCGTCGGACGGGCCAGATACGGCTGACGAAGGTGGGTCGAGAGAGCGCGGGGAGCGGCGGACGGGGACGAGGGCGGGCGAGTAGCGAGAGGGCGAGATGTCGCGGACAAGAGAGGGCGAGTAGCGAGAGGGCGAGATGTCGCGGACAAGAGAGGGCGAGTAGCGAGAGGGCGAGATGTCGCGGACAAGAGAGGGCGAGTAGCGAGAGGGCGAGAGGTCGCGGACAAGAGAGCGCGATTCGGCGGCTGGGGAAGCCGGCGGGCTTGTGTGGGGGGTCGCAGAGTAGGAGGAAGTCGCGTAGGAGGAGTTGGCATAGGTCGAGGACGGGAGGGTGTACGCAGACGGCGATGCTAGGATTGCTTCCTGGAAGGAGGGCGGCGGGTAGTCGGGTACAGGCGTGTCCATCACTGTGCGGGCACGACGTCAGGCTGGTGGGCGCAGTGGCTGCGGGCAGCGAGAGCGATCCTCGGGGACGCATCGCGAGCTGCAGTCGCCTCGGGCGGTCGCACGCGGCGGCCTCCGAGGACGACACTCGCTGCCCGCGCATCGACCAAGAGAGCCACTCACCATCGAGCAGGGGATCGGCGGCAGGCCTCGCGGGCTGCGGGGCGGGCTCCCTGCGCGGGCGGGCATGGGGCGGGCTCGGCGGGCGGATGCGCCTGGAGGCGGACGGGGGGACGGCGGTGGTGAAGCGAGGCTCGTCGTCGGGGTCGGGCTGGCGCTTCTTCTTGGTCCTGGGGCTGCGGATGCGGCCGGCGTTCTGGGGCGGGATGAGGGTGAGCTGGCCGTGGTGGGTGACGATGTGGGTGAGGTAGGGCGCAGTGCGGGCGGCGTCGGGCGTGGCCATGGGCGACGACGGCTGTGAAGAGCGCGGCGGGCGCACGGCGGGCGAGGGCATGGCCGGTGGTGGCGCGGGCGTGGGCGGCGCAGGCGTGGGCGGCGCGAGGCTAGCGTGTGCGCAGCCAGACGGCGTGGGCGGCGCATGGCGGCGGCGCATGGCCGGCGTGGACGGCGCATGGCCAGCGTGGGCGGCGCATGGCCAGCGTGCTCGCCGTCGGCCCCAGCGTCCGCACGCGTCCCCCACGCGCCCGTCACGTGCACACGCGACGCGCTGTTCAACGCGCCCGACGCGTCTCTCTTCCCGCGACACCTCCGCTCGCGATGCCCGCACGCACGAAACCACCCGCAGACATCGACACCATCGCCAGCGCCATACCCAGGGTCTTTGAGCAGGTGCAGGCCACCACCGCCAACCACCAGAAGAACTTCATCGCCCTCTACAAGCTGCACGCCGATGCCGCGACCCACACCCAGTCCGTCCAGAACGCCAGGAGCATCAAGCTCGTCGGCGAGCGCGCCTTCGAAGACTCCGTCCTCGACATGCTCACTCGCGTGCTGCCCGTCAAGAAGGGCGCCAGTGTCGCAGACAGAGTCATCAAGTTTGTCGCAGGCTACATCAAGTTCATCAACGAGAAAGGTACGTGCCGCCCACTGCGGGCAGACCCTCGTCTCACGGCACGTAGCTGCTGAAGAGACGAAGGACAACGGAGACGACGACGAGACGACCGCCTCCAGATTCGGCTCTCGTATCATGCGGTTCCTCCTCTCGGGATGCGTGGCGAAGGACAAGAACGTCCGTTTTCGCGTCCTGCAGTGCGTCGCAGAGATGATAGCACATCTCGGAGAGATCGAGTATGTTCTCCTCCGCCGCCCTCTACACAATTGCTCACCCCGACACCACCAGCGAAGATCTCTACTCCGTCCTGCGCTCGTCCCTCATGGAACGCGCGCGCGACAAAGAGCCCACAATCCGCGTCCAGGCCGTCGCAGCGCTCTCCAAACTCGCCGGGGCCGAGGACATAGCCGAGCTCGACGACGGCGAGCAGAGCATCATGGATCTGCTCATAGACTGCATGAGATACGACCTCTCCCCGTGAGTCTCCTGCGTCCGCCCGCCTCTAAGCACGCTCACTCGACCTAGCGACGTCCGGCGCATGGCACTCCTCAACCTGCCCCTCACCCCGGCGACCCTCGCGCCGATCCTCGCTCGCACGCGCGACACAGACCCCGTCGTCCGCAAGCTCGTCTACTCCCACATCCTCGAGCCACGCACCCTCACCGACGCCGGCGAGGTCGGCCTCACGCATCCGCGCGCTCTCACTATCGCGCAGCGCGAAGCGATCGTGCGCAACGGGCTCGGCGACCGCGAGGACAACGTGCGCGCCGCCGCCGGCCGGCTCATGGCTACGTGGGTGGACGTCGCCCGGGGCGCAGGACTGAGGGTCAAGAAAGAGGAGGAGGGCGGGGAGGGCGTGAGGGGATATGTCGTCGATTTCCTGACGCTGTTTGACCTGGTGGAGGGCAAGATCGCGGAGGACGCGTTGGTCAGCGTGTTCACTGTGCGGGCGGACATCTTCGACAACATTGGGTTTGAAGGTGAGCACATCGCGCCGTGTGCTAGAACCGCCCTGACGGCCCGCAGACGAGTACTGGGAGGCGCTGACCCCGGAACGCACCTTCCTCGCGCGTGTCTTCGTCGACCACTGTGTCGCGCAGAAGGACGACGCCCGCCTCGAGACCGTCCTCCCGGTCGTCACCGCTCTCGCATTCCGCATACAGGCAACCTACAACGAGCTCCTCGCTCGGATCCAGCAGGACGAAGAAGACCGCTTGCTTCGCAGCGGCATGTCCGGCGAAGACGAGGACGAGGAACGTGCGCGCAGGGAGGAAGAGCGAATGGACGGGGAATTCGTCATCGGAGAGATGCTGCGACTCGCCGTCAACCTCGACTACGCAGACGAGATCGGCAGGAGGAAAATGTTCCAGCTCGTCCGTGAGTCGCCCTCGTCGTCGTCCGAGGAAGTTGCTTGACCCTCAACAGGTGATATGATCTCTCACGACGTTCTCCCCGAGAACCTCGTGGCGCGCTGTCTCGACGTGCTGCGCGTCCTCTCGCCGAACGAGCGCGACCTGATTCGTGTTGTGGTCGAGGTGGTGCACGAACTCCGAGACCCCAGCGAGCCCGAGGAGGACAATGTCAGCGAATCTTTTGACTTGCTTTCGTTGACTGACTGTTGTGCCCTAGCCTCAGGTCAACGATGGAGAGAGTGAACTCGCGAAGACGCCTGCAACCGTGCGCGTTCGCCCGCAGGGCTTCGGGCTGCCCAAGCCAGAGAGCGAGATGACGCCCGATGAGCGCGCGCGTGCAGATGCGATCGACCTGAGGTGCTTGGCTCTGTGCATCGGTATGCTGGAGCGAGTCAACGGGGTACGTCCGCGTCACCCGAGAATTCGTTTGACTGAGTATGCTCGCACCGTCAGACGTTCGAAGAAAACTCGACGCTCGAAGGTATCCTCGGCGAGTTGATCATCCCGGCTGTCAAGCGCAAGGAACTCCTGCTCCGGCAACGGGGGTTGGTCAGCCTAGGATTGTGTTGTCTCATTGCTAGGGTATGCCTCACCACGCTTATATACGATCAGTACTGACCTGGAACGCTCGTTCGTAGCGCATGGCTCTCAACTCCTTCCAGCTGTTCCTCGGCCAAGTCCAGGCCGCACCGGAAGTGTTGAAGACGAGCGTCCTTCACATCGTGTTCGACATCTTGATGGTGCACGAGGGCGACTTCCTCGGGCCCGGGAGCGCGAACGTCAGCAACGTCGTCGTCGTTCTATCTGTGCACTGACTGACTTGCCTATAGGGCGACCGCATCGTCACGTTCCTCCTCCACCTCCTCGAGACCGAGGAAACTGACAAAGTTCAAGCTCTGCTGTGCATGGGGATCGCGAAACTAATGCTTGCCGGCATGATCACTGACGAGCGAGTGCGCAGTCTCACTTCGCGCTCTGTCGCTCGTTGGACTCAGTTTGGATATTTTGCAGGTGCTCAAGACCCTCGTGCTTGTGTATGTCTCGCCCGAGACGGCTGATAACCAAGAACTCCGGCAATGTCTGGCCTACTTCTTCCCCGTCTACTGTTACTCGAGCCCACAGAACCAAAGGCGGATCCAGCGAGTGCGACCGAGTCTACTCTCTAGCCGCAAAGTTACTCACCGCTGCACACCTCCCGTAGATCTTCATTCCGCTTTTCGAACAGCTTGTAGGCGCACTCCGCGAATGGAGCGAGGACCAAGAGCAAGACCCCATCACGAGCGCCCAACTAGGGCTCATGTTCATCGACTGGACGGACCCGCAGAAAGCAGTGTGAGGTGCCTTACCTCACATACTCGCAGAGGTGCTCACGGCCTGTGACAGTCCAGTAGCGAGAGGTGGTAGGGAGGCAGACGACGGCGTCCATGTCGACATGGCGGCGGATATCGTCAAGGCGCTGTACAACCGAGACCTGGAGAGTGAGTATGATACTGCTGAATTGGAACGCACCGGCATTGACTACCTTTGTATGCAGAGGACGACAAGAAGGCATTGTGTCAGCTCCTTGGGAAGCTTTACCTTCCCGATGTGGTTGACGAAGACAAGATCCGCTCCCTCAAGCTACTTGTACAGAACCTCCGTTCCGTACGTATCCTATGACGATGTCATTGCTTTGACTCACATACCATAGCGCCGTCCGTTGCGAGACACCGCCTCGCAGAACGCGTTCGCAAAGTTCGACGACGCGCTGTCGAAGAAGTACGCGAGACAGCTAGAGGGCTTTAGCGAGGAGGAGTTCCGCCAGCTGGAGAACCTGGATGCGCACGCAGGTGTGAAGGATACCTTTGAGTTCCTGGACAAGATCGAGCCGGACGATGAGGACGAGGACGTCAAGCCGGCTAGGCGGACAAGGAAACGGTGCGTGTTGCATGGCTCACCTTGGACAGCGCAGACTGACCACGTCATAGACGGTCGGGCAGCATTGAAAGCACGAGCAGGGCGAGCAACGCGACTAGTGAGATGGGTAGCATCCCACCGTCACCGCGGAGCAAGTCACGGGGAAAGGCCAAGTGAGTATCGTTTGTCGCGTCCGCGACATGCACTCAATTGTAGGGGATAGGCGGCGCCGTCTCTCTGAATCTGACGACGAGTCCGATGAGGAAGAAGACGAGGGCACACCCGCTCCTACGGCCGTGCCCACCCGGAATGTGCCCAAACGTTCTGCGTACGTTCCTGTTGGTACGTGATGAGAGTATTGACGAATGGGTTGGATTATGCAGTGCGGAGAAGACGAGACGCGCTGTCAAAGCTGCCGTGACACCAGTGAAGATCGAAGAGAGCGATGAAGAAGAGCCAGAGGAAGAGGAAGATGAGAAGGAAGACGATGAGGAGAGCACGCCTGTACCAAGGCGACGCGGCAAACGAGCGTAAGTGCTAATTCTGGAGAAGCTCATGAGCACACCCTGACAGTTGACGGACGCCAGGCCGACGCGCGATACGACGAGCCCTGGATCGAGCGTGGCCCCTGACCACCCCTCCCCAGACGACGTGGCCCAGGACCTGAGTATGATCACGGTGGAGGATGAGGACGACGCAGACGAGGTAGAGGATATATTGTGATGATAAGTGACTTCCTGACGTGCCGGGGCGCTGGATATACCACCATGTTGTATGCATTATCTGTATTGTTTTGTTTTGTTTTATCGCTAGTAGTACTAGCAGGGACCTGTCTGTTGTCCGACTCCGAGAAGGATGGTTGGAATCACGAGACCGCGACGCGAGAGCGTTGTTCGCGCTTGCGGCCACGGAGGGCCACTGCTGCTGTTGTTCTCGACGCCTCCGCCGTCCAGCTCGACGCCGAGCCTCGCTCCCCGACGTCGCACAGCCCCCTGGTAACCGCAAAGGCTACTCTCGCGCCGCTGCCTGCACTCCCCAGCGAGCACCGCAGCAGCATCCGCCCGTACCCGGCCCCGCCCAAATCCGGCGACATCCGACAACCCTCTGCAGACACTCCCTCCCACAAGTCCCCACTTCGACCAGAGACTGCTTTCTAGACAACCAGACGACCTAGCCTACACCTCCTAAGCCCCTGCATGCCAGCAGTCATGGCGGCACACCCACAAGCCTCGACCCTCTACATGCCCATTGTATCCCCGCCTACGCCTGCCCCCTCGCCTCGTCTCTCTGCGTTCGAGCCGCCAACTATCAGCGCGAGCATCGAAGACCCGGCCTGTCAAGCTCGTCGCGAGTTTGCTGCCCTCACGCCATCTCTCCGCTTCCAGTACTTGGCCGGCCTCCTCGCGGACTGCACCCCCGCCGAGCTCCTCTTCATCTCTACCACGATTACCCCGCTCCTTCGGCGAGACTTCCTGAAGGACCTCCCAGCGGAGCTCGCCTTCCATGTTCTAAGCTTCATCGACGACCCGAAGACCCTCGCTCGCGCAAGCGGTGTCAGTCGGGCATGGCACCACCTATTGGACGACCAGTGGATATGGCGGCGGATGTGCGACGTCCACGGCTACGGCGTACCGGAGGGTGAACGTAGACAGGAGCTCAGAGATGAGGAGAGCGTCGCGGACGAGGACTTGGACGCCATCTCGAACATATCCGGTGCGTGTCCTGTTCTATCCAGTCACCGAGAAAACAACATAACATGTCATGCAGTATCCGCCCCCACAGTATCTACGTTGAGTATGCAGCAGTTGTCTCCGCCCCTACAGCCTCGCTTTTCCTATCGCAAGCACTTCCGTTACGAGTATACAACCAGTACGTACTACCCGTTGCGCCTCGCCTCCCTGACTTGCTCATACATTCTCAAGCTTCCAACTGGTTGCACGGAGGGAAGCTCCTGCGAATGCATCGCATGCCCCTAGTCCCCGCATCTCGACAAGCCCCTCCGCAGGCTGAGCCGCAAGGTGGACAAGCTACGCAGCCGTCATCTGCCATCCCTACGTCTGTCGCTATAGACGATAACTGGGTCGTCGTGGGGCTGGCGAACAGCCGCATACATGTCTTCAGCGCCCGGACGGGCGTGCTAAGCCGGACGTTAGTGGGCCACGAGAGCGGGGTTTGGGCGGTCAGCCTGGTGCGAGGGTCCGACGGCACCAAGAACTCTACCACCAATCCGCACGATAGAGAATACGACGACGCAGAAGTGGAGGACCCTGCGGGAGAGATGGACATGGACTTTGACGACGAGTCCCTCGACCCCGCTGAGTACGACCCGCTCATGCCGCCCACGCTAAGGCACGCACTTGGGCTCGACACCGGCGCTGAGGGGAGCGCCAAGCGGACAAGGCGGCGGTCGGCGTCGGACGTTTTCAGCAGCGCGGGCGGCCCGAGGAGCGGGAGGCCGAGGAAGAGCGGGAGCTCGCGGCCGCGGTCAGCGCTCTTCAACAAGCCAAGTGAGCCTAGCGGAGCATCGGATGGGTGGGGCCAGCCGCATGCGTTGGTTGTGAGCGGTGGATGCGACAAGGATCTCAGGGTTTGGGATGTCAAGTCGGGGTAGGTCTTCGCCTCTGTGTCTTCTGGACCATTCACTAACGAGACATAATGCAGGTACTGCATCTATGTCCTCTCGGGCCACACGTCTACCATCCGCTGCCTGAAAGTCCTTCACGGGCGTCCCATCGCCGTGACAGGCTCACGCGATCGCACCGTGCGCGTCTGGGATATCCAGCGCGGGCGACTCCTGCGGACGCTCGAGGGGCACGAGCAGAGCGTGCGCTGCCTCGACGTGTGCGACCGGCGCGTCGTGAGCGGGAGCTACGACTGCACGTGCCGCGTGTGGGACATCGAGACGGGGGAGTGTCTGCATGTCCTGAGGGGACACTTCCACCAGATCTATTCCGTGGCGTTTGATGGTGTGCGGATCGCCAGTGGTGGTCTGGACACCACCGTCAGAGTGTGGGATGCCGCATCTGGGTGCGTTAAACGCCATGCTAGTGGTATGTTTACCTGCTCACTAACACTCCTCTTAGAACGTGCCTCGCCCTTCTGCAAGGGCATACGGCACTCGTCTGCCAACTGCAGCTCTCGCCGACCATGCTCGCCACGGGCGGGTCAGACGGGCGGGTGATTGTCTTCTCACTCGACAAGTCCTTCACGACCCTGCAACGACTGTCCGCGCATGACAGCTCTGTGACGGGGCTGCAGCTGGACGAGCGGTTCCTCGTCACGAGTGGGAACGACGGGCGGGTGCGGCTGTTCCGGTTCGACCAGGCGCGGGGGCTGGGCAAGTGCGAGTACGTGCGCGAGCTGACGGAGCCGACGGAGAGCGTGTGGAAGGTCGCGTTCACGCGGGAGACGTGCGCGATCATGAGCAAGCGCGGCGGGAAGACGGTCATGGAGATTTGGAGCTTTAGGCCGGAGGATGTGGGCCTTTTGAGCGAAACGTGAGGGTGTAATCGTGCAGTATACATAGAGCCCTGGGAGTGACATTTGTTGTATATCTGGACACTGTAGTTGTTATATTGTACCCTGGTGATGCGAGTGTTGCACATCACAGTGGACTGGCTCGCTATCATTGGTTTCATGACAAGAGCACCATCATCAACAGCCACTGATGGATGACTGACAGATGGTAATTGGTTGGATGAGAGGCTTACCAATACCTAGAGTTTAGTTGTTCCTGAGCAAGGACAAAATATTCCCTATTGTCCTTCGTAGTAAAGTTGAGGCTAACCTCCAGCAATATAAGAGAGTGAGAATATTGACTGGTTATCTTAACTATCCTTGTGTAGGTTTTACTAGTCCTCTTTGACCAAGATAGATAAAACAATTTAACTTGTATGCTAACCCTCTTGGTTAGTATGTTGTATTGACTTTTGCTTATTCAGACAATCAGAACCTCAGTATAGGCTATAGAGAGAAAAGCAGAATTACATTGTTTGTTAGCTAGGGCATTGGGATAGGTGCTTGGCAGCCTTATATAACCCAGCATGGGAAATTCTGGAAAAAATAGAGGTTCAAGTATTGAATAGATGAGACATCAAATCACCACCTCACTGCATGCTGCCCATCTCAACCTCTGAGTTAAGACAGTGCTATCTTCATTGCTGCAAATGCTAGTACATTTCTGTCAGTGTTATTTTCCTTGCATTGGTCATGACATTGTTGTACAAAATGGTGAAAAATTCATTTTGTTGTCACTGTGCTGGACCCTGTGCCATGCCAAATCTGAGCCAAACATGGCAGTGATGTCTTATTATGCTTTGAAACAGCCTCATGCACATAAACAGTGCCTGTGTCATCCACATGGACCTAACTCAATCTGAACCAATTTCTGAACTTGGGCAAAACACAACCAAACCTGAACCTGCTTCAAACCCAAACTGGTATGCCCAGACAGTCATCATGTCATCCACACTTAGAACTCTGCATCTGCATTGGACCAAACCTGTTCTAAACCCTAGACAGAAGCCAAGCCAAAGACAGCTCAAACCTGTTCACCTGAGCACCATGTACCTAGGCAGTTACCAGGCCATCCATACATACTGTAGAACTCAGCAGGACAGTCATCATGGGTAGTCTACATGGCCCAAATTGTGACAGGAAACTCTGGACATTGTGAATAAATATGAGTGTTCTATACCATTTACAGCCTTAGTTCCCTCTCCCTAAAGGCTGGACACTATCAGGGCAGCAGCAGCAGAGCAACAAACTTTCAGAAGGTCCCTCAGGTCTCATGGACAGACAAATCCTGGTTCAAGAAGGCCAAAGAGTGTGAGCACCATAGCACACTCACCCAAGATAGTGCACTGCATCCAACACTACATGAAGTTGTGTCCCTGAAGAGGGTTGTTTGTTTATTCATTCCCTCTATTGTCAGTGAGGGCCTGAAGGGGTTGTTTACCATCTAGCTAGTCAAGGATGTAGCACATTCATGGTGTGTTGGTAAGTATTTGTGTAATGAAACAGCAACTACATCATATAGATTGTCTGGGTATCACAATCTCATTGCTCTGTTCAATCTGTTGTGCAACAATAAAACATGGATTAGTCATGGCATATGCATGAACACCTAAGGGAGAGAGGAGGTAATGCCAAACAGAAATTGTGCCAAGGTTGGAGACAAAGGGGACATGCATGGCTTCCAATAGTGAGACATTTGTATTGGGCACACATGAAAGGATTCTCAAACATCTCAAAAGGCATTAATACTTGCTTGGCAGAAGCTGTCAGGCATGCTGACATTAGAGCATCTATAATATTGAGAGGGTTGTGAGTGCACAGAGTCATATGGGGTCATGGGTTGAACTACAATTCCAGAGCCTCTGCCATGCATCTTTGCACATAAAAGGCTCCTCCTCTGTTGCTAGACCATATCAGACTTCAGAGATCTAGAGCTCTTTGAACTCTGATGTTTGCTGTCTTTACTATGCCACCTCATCAAAGCAAAAAATTGTAAGTCTATCCTAGTTGGGCTGCTAGTAAGTACTAATGAATGTTGGGATTTTGTACATATATCTGAAGGCATGCTGCTAGGTCTCCAGAACCTGAGGAACCTCTGGTATTCCACGGAAAACATTTCTGCAGGACAGGAGTCCTATTTTGCAACACAAATGCCCTGACAAGGTGTGGGCTAGTGTGGGTCAGGAAGTATAGGCCAAGCCAAATCTGCAAAATATTACTGCTGCATGTGTGCAATATAACTGTTTACATCTCCCTGTTGCACTGACCATTTGGTGGGCTTGTGGTACAGATATCATCAGAAAGATTAGGTTATCTGCTTTTATGAGCAGCTCTGCACAAGTCCAGGGTAATTCATCCTATCACATGGCATTTGCCCCAGCCCTTAATTTCCAGCTTGAGCTCTGCATGGATCAAGCCTGAACAGCCAACACATATTCATCAAAGATGGCCATTATTGACTGGATAGTCCACCCCACACCAATAGAGGCACAATACCAAAGTCCAGCTTCTGGCTGTTGTGTCAGTTGAATCTTAGCAATGAACAGACTCGGTGATGGACTTGGTAGCTTAGTCATATACCCCAGTCAGGCAGGGTTACCTATTGATGATGAATTTGTTCTGACCGTTCCAGATGTTTGGAACTTATGTGCTTTTGAGCTGTTCTCAGGCTCTGGACTGTACTACATTAGACAGAATCTACAGGAATGTGCTGGAGTCATCTGCAGAGATGATTCATGCTGAGTCATACATGCATGTGACTGATGTTGCAGCAGAGACCTGCTCTAAACTTGTAAAAACCTGCCCTAAACTGGGACAGTATATATAGGACCCCCCCCTAGCTGCCTAACCCCCCAGCTCTCTGCAACACTCTGTACTGTTGGATCACTTATACTCTTCTAGTAAGACTTCTCCCTATCCTCCATCTTCTCCCTATCTTCCATTGATGTTCTTGTCTCATCATCACTCACCTTCAGACAACAACAATGGCAATGCCTCCCATGGATTCAGCTGCTGGTGCTATATACTGTCCATGCAATGATGTAAGTGTGATGGAGTGTGTGGCTTGGTTCATTGAAAAATTCTCACTACAGGACTCTCATGTGCCCAAAGAGCCAGAAGTGTGTTTCTTGCCATGTGTTGTATCACTTGCTGATCCCTGACTACAGGATTCTTGCTGTGATCATTGTAAGAAGCTGGGCCGTACCCATTTCTGGTGCTTGGGTTATCTCTGCGTGAGCTGTGAGAAATTCAGGACTGGACACAAGACAACAGAGTGTCCTCTCTTCACCAAATTGTGGATTGTTGATTCAGTGGTAAAAATGGAAGAGGAAGAGCCCCTTAGGTTATGAGCCGATTCTGGATGGCCTAGGTGTGGTATAACCCCTAACCCTATCGAGCACTTAATCAATAGGTCCACCAATTTCCCTGAAACTTTGCACCCATCATCTACATGATATAGACGTCCTACCTACCAACTTTCAGCCCAAAATTCCGGTACCCTCTTTTGTAATTAATTCCTAACTGACCCCTATTAATGGAATAACAGGAAAGATAAGGAAAGTGAGATAAGCACATAACAAACCTTCACTAATGCAGCCACTCGGTAAGTAAACACTTCTAATGAGTTTCTGTGCGCTCTGAGGCTAGCAAGCCTCTATCCCTAACACTTACATCCTCGTACCTCTTAGGCCTAAGGAAGAGAGTCTTGGTTGACATGAGCAAGCTGCCATCCGAGCAAACACGGGAAGAGGAGGCAAGGTGAGACCAATCATCCACTCCACCATGTGACAAGTTCCCAGATAGAGATGGAGTTGACATCACTACTAGAGTCCTGATCCTGACTTTGTCAATGATGGCTATGCAGGAGCTCTTGTTGATGTGATACAATCAGCATACCACCAGCCACAGCAAGAAGAACCACCAAGGTGCCGACAGGCAATACAACAAGTTGAGTCCCCAGTATATGAACACAATGACCCGATGCCCCAAGGCAGACACGATAAACCACCAGTATCTCGCCCTTGGACCCTCACAGACAGATGTTTGGCTGCATTGCAAGATGGTTGCCTCAAGCTTGAAGGTGACCATCTCTAATCCTCAACAACCCAAGTATCCAGGACCGTCCATGGTCGGCTCGTGGCAGCCCCGGACCAGTGGTGCTATCAAACTTGCTGCGCAGTTGTCCGATGCAGATGCTACCAACAAGCATGCATTGATCCATGCACCCTGGGGCAAACCTCCTGGGAGGCCTGCTGCCGGAGTTGATGTTCTGCCTGTGATGAGCTGTGCCCACCGGCCTAAGCCCCTGACAACCATGCCTCAAGAACACAGCCAGATTTGTAACCACAATGCTGATGCTGTGTTAGATCTACAGAGACAGCTGGAGCAATCTGAGACCAGGCAACTGGAAGCTGAAGCAGAGAAGGGGCTTGTTGAGGATAGAATGGCAATTTCTGAAAGAGATCTGGCAGCTGACTAGCAAGGTCTCATGAACCGACTAGAAAATTTGGAGCAGGAGCTTTTGGGGGCAAAGAATGCCTTATGGGTCAAGGGCCAGCAGTTCAAGGAGCTATTGAAGATCAGAAAAACCAGCTACATAACTACCAAAAGGGACTTCTCTTTTTGAGCAATGAGCTAGCCCATGATGCAAATTCCAGAGTAGCATTACAGTACCATTCAGCCACTCCCCAGGATTTGCAACCCCAGCTCAATGGGAACACTGGTGAACTCCAACCACAACCTCAAGTCCCAGGTCAGCTGGGTATTGGAATTCCAATGCCAGGTCCATGATTGGCAGCACCATTTATGATTGCTCCTCCGCCCCACCAAGTATGTTGTACCACCCTCTTTATAGTGTATTCTCATAGAACCATGCTTAGACACTGTTTGGCCACAATGATACCTGGACCGGAGGACCTCTTACAGACCCCAGTCTGATGCCCATGAATGGAGGGCAAGGGCCTGGTTTTCCGAACAGCTGGAGAGGTAATGGTCACAGGCAATATCCCAGCCAAAGCCATGGTTGGACATGCCCGGGAAGAGGTGGCTACCCGCACAACCCATCTCCAAATTGTCCACACACACAGTCACTGTATGGTGCCCCAGATGATGTCACTGGGGAATGAGCCAGGGACAAGGCTAGTTGACAACAATTGTGGGCCCCCAACAGTGATCACCCAAGGGGGCAGCCGGT